TAAGCATTTGCCTTGACGCAGTTCATGGGCGCATTTCACCGCTGCTTCGACGCTTGCATTGTTCTAGAGGGATATGATGGTCTTTCAGGAACTAAAGCATGATTCACCTTGCCTCTTGAGACCTCGGTAGACTTTGGTGCGAGGCCCGAACCGGCTCATCTCCACGCTGGGCGAAGCTGAATCAGACTGCCAAGGTAATAGTTGCTCGCCACTTCTTTGACCCAGCTCTCAGCCCCCGTATCTTACGTGGAGGCAATTGATAAGATTCAAAGAAAAGCGGCATATAGGGAGGGAGGAGAGAGGGGAAGAGACAGGAAAGAAAACGAAGTGAACCCCGTAGAAGAGAAAGCAAGGGAAAAATAAAGATAAAATAGATCCTCACTTGAGGGGAACATGCTAGATTCATGGATGTTTCAGGCTCGACAGTCAGAGACACCAGAGATGTGGAACCTATGGCTTGCTGTCGTCTGCATATGTGAGGAAGGAATTGGATTGACCTATCCACCATCCACGGATCCATCCGTTGTATGCAGCGTATCGGGCTCCTAACAGCGTTGTGGATGTGGCGCGTGAGACCCAGTGCCTCAGCTTAATAATATGCACGTTGAGGTCGTTCCCGCTCACTTGAATGTTGGGAAGGGGCGCTGCTTTCCCCTTGCTTTTGTCTCAGAGTCTCCCCTCGGATTCGCATAAATATGGAGTCATTGTGATTCTCACCTTGCCATCTTGATGATCTCCTACTTCTCTTTCAGCTGGTTTGGAGGGCCTCTGGAGTCTTGCACCGGTAGGCACGGTTCCTCGTTGGCCTGGTCGTATGGCTCGACTGGCGCTTAACGGGATGCTTTATGCCACCTGAGCACGTGTTATACAAGATGATGTGGTTCATTACGAGGCAAGGCCCAGCTCTCGCTCGTGGGACCTCATTCTTCCAATGCCCCATCATTGCAATGGATCAATGCTGGTACCTTTCGCTCCCCCAGGCATTGGGTGAGGATACCACAAAACCACGTCTCCACAAATTAATCAAGAGACAAAAGTCAGCTTGATGCATTGAGCTCCATTGGCTGGTTGGTGCCTGCCTTGCCGTCCCCTCCGAGGGGGTCTTGGGGTGCCCTCCTTCAAGTGATCACCGTCCGAGAGCGAAGCGCCGATTCGCAGACGTGATGCTACACTAATGCGCCAAGGGTATCATCAAACCCCACCACGTTTTTTCGAGCGAGCAAATTACTATCGCCCAACCAACCCACCCTTTCCTCAGCCTTACAGCATCGCTGATATGAATATTATTTCCGAAAAAAACTCTTCTGGTCCCTGGTCGTGCCGTGCCCACCCCCTCTGGGCGTCAGCCGTTGCCGCCGACGCAATCAAGTGACGGGCTGCGTTGGCCTGCCTCGCGTTGCAAGTCGATTGTTTGGCCATCACATCACGTTGGCTTGAGCTCCAAGGGGGAAGAGATATGGAGGATAAGCAATCCTTTTCTCTCCCCGCGGATCGATAAAAAATCAGCGAGGACCAAATTGCGAAATACGAATGATGACATGTTCCGCCCGTGCTTGCGCACCATCTCTCCTTTTTCCAGAGTGATGTGCGTTCTAGGGATACTTTGTCCGCCTAGATTGGTTGTGCATTTCGAGCCTGCATCCGAGAGCCCGAACTTGCCGACCTTGCAGAGGTGTGGAATGGTATTATAATTTTTCAAAAGTTAGTTCTCCTCTTGGGGGATCTGGATTGGGGAGGGATCGGCTAAGCTTGAGGGTGGCTCAGGGCACGTTCTTCCCAATGTGACTCCTCCGATGACGATCGCGCAGCGGAGTACGCTTGGAGCTGGGCAGGCAAGCTACGCCGTGCAGCATCTACATCCATTGGAGCAATTGATGGATCAATCAAGTTGAGCAAGTAAGTACATAGATCTATGGACGTATTCTTTGTGCAGATGGATGTGCTATCTAACCTTTCAGTGTTGTTTCTCTCCTGGCTGGTGTCTCAACAGATCATAGCCAGCCACGCCCGCTGTTGAACCGACGTGACAAGACTGGACCTAATAAGACACGAGATGCCGCACCGCACCCACGCACGCGCCAAACGACGTGCGCATCCTGCGATGTCACCGTCCGATTTTCACGGCCATCAATAGACTCATGCATAGACATGCGATCTGACATACCGCCTCGAGCTTTGCCTGCACCGATCCCCCTCCCTCTCCTTTCCCTTGCCATCACCGTTGATTTGAAGACTTTGAGGATATCTCGTCTCCAGCCTGCCCGCCTTTTCTCCCCCTTTGGCCTCTTACTCTACATGTAATATTACCCGTCCACACACATCGTCGAGATAATGGTCTCGATGATGCAAGGGTGTGTGTACTCCCGGGCGTTTCTCCCCGGTTCCCGATTCCCTTGAGCCGGCATGATATTTGCACTTATTTTTATTCTTCCCCGTGAGACGAGACGTTGGTTGGAGCTTGACAATGCTTTCCAGGCTACGGAAAACCACACGGCAGCTCGGTCCCGTTTGCTCTCGTGATCCATAGCCCCCAGCCTTTCCGTCTCGAAAGGGCAATTCCATTTCTCGATAGTTCCTTTTTCCCTTTGCACTCATCAAGATGGGTCGTATTCATGTCCAGGGGTTCTCTTGCATCCCCCTCTTCCCTTGTATCATGCAGCATGCAGTATGCAGTCCGCTTGCTCTGATCGCGATGGGGTTTCTTGCATTCTAGATGTCGCCACCAAGATTTTTCACCCCCACGTCAGATCAAGATGAGTCAATTGGGCAATCAGGTCTCCCGGACACGCCGCGGGCGTTAGTGCGGGCAGTCTGGAAAATGTATGCACGCTTTTTAGGAGAGCTTTTCTTTTCCTTTCCTCTGCGCGGAACTTCCGAGCGATCAATTCCTGCTGAGCGCAAAGATGCTCTCGCTTTTTCTCTCTCCCCAAAGAGATCTTGAACGGAACATTGAAACGCTCGAATGATTCGAAAACAGCCCCGCCCCGCCCGCACCACGCTGCGATGGGTTGTTTGATATTATGGTGGAGAGCAAATCAATCAATGATGCCAGCAGGCCGCTATTGACACACTCCACCCGAGGGCGAGGAAGGATTGGGGCTTCGCTGGAGAGATTGATCCGTCGTCGAAAAGAGCAGGCCAACAACCCTGGCCTGCCATCCAACGTTTTTCCACTTTTTTCCATCTCGCCGCTCAATCTATCCACGAGATCATCGGGAAAAACCACGATTCGAGGCTCCAACGCCCACCATGATGAAAGAAGACTCCCTCGAGGGAGGGCGGACGCCGAGAACGCTATTGAAATTTACGCTCGCATGGCATGCCTATCCTGCCTTCTCGGCCAGTATTCCCAATTTTCTCCGACTCATTGCCTTTCCAGACTAGATCAATATAGTGGATGCTGCTATTTTTACATGTGCCGTCAAGCAAGTGTCTCCACTTACAGACGTGACAACGGCTGAAAAACAAAGAATGAACACCCCCTCCCACCACCACTCTTCAATGTTCCTCTTGTTCAAACTTCAGCTCCATTGTCTCGAACCAGCTCGAAGCGTTGGGTCGTAGAAGAGCAGCATTGGAGACACCGGTGCGGATTCCACTCGGCTCGCCCGTTTGCACGCGCTAGTGTAGTTCAGTGGAACGTTTCCTCTGTCATCTCCGCGGGTGCCTGAAAGCGAGCCAGCTCGCCGACCGAGGTACAGCCAACAATGTTTTAGCGTCCGGCAGATCCCCGACAGGGACCGGAGGGAGATGGGGGTTTTGTTTCGGCCGTGACCGAAGGGGGTTAAGGCGGGAAAAGAAAAACAGAAAAGAAAGAAAAAGAAAAAGAAAAAGAAAAAGAAAAAGAAAAAGAAAAAAAGAAAGGAAGGAAAGAAGGCAAAAGAAAAGGTGGGAAAAGAAAGGGCAAGCTCACCATTTTCGGTCTCGCTTCAGCTTGCAGGATGCCATGTGGCGTTCATACCAGGTAGTCGTAGACACAACGGCGGAGGGTTAGACCCCACCAGGGGCTGGCTCAAAGAACATCCAGCCAGCCTCGAGATGGCGTTTTTGCCCATCCCAAGACTCCGGGGTAACATATTACCCCGCTGTCGCCTTGGGCTCGGCCTTTTCGAGCTACATGTACCGAGTAGCTAAGAAGAAAAAGGATAACCAGGATCACAGAGGTCACGTATCACGAGCTCTGGCCTTCTTTTTCCACTTCCCAGTCGTATGATATGTATCGCGGTCAGGCCCGTGCAGTGCACCCGCAGACGCCATGGGAGGAGCAATTGAGGCAAACATGGAGCATGGATGTCTTCATATTCGAAACCGACGGCCATCATCAGCCACTTTTTATTCGTTTGAAGAAAGCTCCGCCTACTGAGATTGACCGAGGTTGGTGCCTCGTCGGCACTGTATGATAACTAAGATGACCTACTTCTCCCTAAACTCCTATCCTTGATACATTTCAACAAAGAGAATAGCAAGGTTCAATGTTAAGAAACAGAGACCAAGGCAGATGAAAAAGAGTAAAGACCAGGACGACAAAAGACCACACCTCCACAGACTCCTTAGAACTAAAAACAGGGGAAAAAAGCTAGAAAAAAGCTTCAAGTGGCTGTTCAACGCCATTCACAAGTCGTGATTCTCGTGGGTAGTTGGATTTTCCTATCCCCATATCGCATACCGCCTGTAGTATAGTTAATAGGAAATACACACTGGACAAGGTGTTTTATGAGGAAGGTCGTTATGTGCGTGTATGTGCGTATGTTTGCGTGTGTGTGCGCGCATGTGTGTGTGTGTGTGTATGTATATATCTGCTGTGAATGTTTTCTCTGGCATGTGAACAAAGTCTAGGCCAGACAGGCAGGTGTAAAGATTGAGGGAATAGATGCCTGTCATAGCCTTCATTGTCTGGACAGTCCCAAACGTAGGGAAGAAGACCACACTTCTCGGGAGGCACGTGGACGCAAAGAAGAGGAGGGGTGAGATAGTGGTGGAAACACCACCCAGTCGCAGGACTATATTGCCACGATGTCCATGGCGTCACCGGTTTGGCCCGCCATATCAACAACTTCTTTTTCTTCTTCCATCATCTCGATCAAACTGTCAAGGTTTGCGTCGAGGGTCTCGGCGTCGACTGGATCCAGACACCTCTTGAGGAGGCGTCGGTATTGCTCAATCTTGTCGCCCGTTCCCACCATACTGAGGGCCTCCACGTAGTCCGATTCCGATTGCCTAAGGTCCTTCAGGAGCCCGGAAAGCTCCCGCGCCAGTTGTAGCTTCATCTCATAGGGCTCGTCGGCGGCATCCCCGTTGGCCATGCTAATGTCTTGGTCGACCGCTGCTTGCACCTGGAGTCGGTTCTGGTGCGTTATCAGGCTAAGGACCTCGTACTTTGCACGATTCGCTTCCGAGGCGATTTTGTTGGCCACATCTTCGGGTTCCAGCTGAGTCTCTAATTCCGCAATCTGTTGATTTAGAATGCTTAGCTCCATTTGGTTATTCGCGAGGATCTGTCTCGCCTCCTTCTCTGCAACGTCCTTTTCGGCCCAGTCTTCCTCAAAACCCTGAGCCAAGTCCTGTATCTTATCGAAGATGAGAGGCGAGATTCGCGAATGGACAGTGTTGGCAGCCTCTGACGAGTAGGATGCCCCTAGCTTCTTTGTGCTCGATCGGTCTCCTCCCAGCGCATCTCGGAATGAGGTATGCCGTTGTGACTCAGGGCCAAAGGGCGACGATGACCTCTGGGGCACCCGCTCTTTCGTCTTTGTATTCAACTCCATGATGAGCTCCTCAGCGCGGATGCCCTCGTTATTGGGGATATCTGTGGAGGCGTTACGTCCAATCAAGGACCTAATGCACTTGCGGGCGTTTCGTTTCGCAGCCAAATGGATCGCCGTGTTACCTTCATTGTCGCGCGCGTCAATGAGTTGCTGGACGAATGCGGGGTCGTGAGTTTCCATGAGCTTATTCAAGATATGGTCCAGATAGTACCGAGAGCATGATTGCCCGGTAATCCGTTCGTTCCGGGTAGTAGCCGCATGATGGATTACGGTTAAGCCCAAGTGATCTCGAGCATCTATCGTATCGAACAGTTCTTTCATGACAGAGGGGAAAGTATCCTTCTCGTAGGAATTGGTGAAGTTGACAGCCCTCATAAAGGGAGTCTCCCCACGAACGTTCTTTACTGTGAGGTTGGCACCGAATCTTTTGAGCTGTCTAATCACATCGACATCGCCCATAGCCGAGGCCCAGTGCAATGCGGTGTGACCATCCGTGTCAATGGGCCAATTGGGTTGGAAATTCGCGGGGGCTCGGGCCGGTTTTCGGGCCTGGCTTTCTCATCCTTGCAGAGGAGAAAGTAGTCTAGGAGCTCGTCTCCATACACGGAGTGAAGCTGCTCGATTGCATCCTGCATATCGTCACGCTTTCGCTTGCGATGGCCAGTCGATGGTCCCATGTCAAAGCGGTCATCTTCGCCCATATAGGAGGCTGAGGCTACCGTGACGTTATCGGGCGTGTCATCACCACCGACATCATTATCGTACTCTACGGGAGGAGGAGCAGCTATGGACTCGTTAGAACCATGATAGTGCTCGCAAAGCGGGCTACGGGGCGAGAGGGTGACATACTCCACTTAGGAACCGCCGGCTTTTTAGGTTGCTTTGGCTTGCTCGTGTGTCTGGGTGCTGGAGGCGGACTTTCGCTGCCAGCCTGGTACTCGAATATGAGTCTCAAGCGGTCGAAAACATTGTTTCTATGCGCTAGAGCCTCGCCCTGTTCCAAGGGAATCCAGGTACCTGCGATAACGAGTGAGTTTGCGTATTCTAGGGGAGATGGGGGTCGGATAAAGGAGAATACACACCTTGATATTTTCCGTAGCCACCTTGGATTTTCTCATGAACGTCTTTCTGAACCTCTCGCTCTAGGATACGAGTTCGGGAGGGCTTCGGCATGCGTGGTTAGGAAACGGAGGGTAGTCATTGAATTGGTGGGAGACGGATGCGATACCTTGTCGAAGCCAGCGGCTTTGAGGATATGGGTGGCGTTGATCCAGTTATCATGTCTTCTTCGCATCACACTCTCCTTCAAGTCTGGTCCAAAAAGAAATTCATATACAGGAATCTGCAACAAACAATCGTGGAAAGAGTAAGTAAAGGAAAATTCTCCTGGCAACGTTGGCTAGCCTAGGGCAGGGTATGGTGTCGCTGATGCTTGCTGATGGAGAACAAGCGATGGGGGAAGAACCTACGCCGCTATACGTCGCGCCATACACGCCGGGGCCATTCCCGGCTGGCTTCACCATCTTGAATATATCTCGAGAGGCCAAAAATTACGAGATGCCCGTATTCTCAGCAAGGGTGTCGTCTCTGATGCCGTTGTGAGGTTGGGTAGCCTTGTTCTTCAGCCTGGCTTAGGTTGATGGGATTTCGCTGGGAGATTAGAATGGTGCAAGAAATCATGAGAAAGGGTTACGCGAGGCAGACGCGCTGAACGCGCCCGGACGTCCAACTCAGTAATCTTACCCAAGTGGGGAAAGCGGCTTTTGTCACGTGCTTTGCCTGCCCCCGGGTCCTGTGCCAAAAGCCAGAGAGGAGGCCGTTTCTGGAAATCAGGATTGAACTAACCTGGTTTATTACCTAATCTTTGGGCCGCCCCTTTCCGTAACTCATCTCCACTTTTTGCTCCCAGGTGATCCCACTCGCTCGGAACGCACGGGAATATCGATACAGTCAGCAATCCTTCAAAGACGCAAATGAATCCCCCCCAGCTTAAACTGTTCAAGAGTCCACATTAATATTAGAGCTTCGTCGCAGGGCTGAGGAAATAGAAGTTGCCAAGCCTATTTTTTTCTTCTTTTTCTTGGAGAGATAGGCCTCAAATATTTTGACTATACCTTCGCGTTAGCCCTCTATACCCAATTGTTGAGATGCTTCATTAGCTTTAACGAGAGGTCGAGGGTTCACGCCATCGAGTTCCTTGCTGTTTCCCCAGTTCTACTTGTACACTACTTTATTACAGCACCAGACGGGTGGGTGTTTCGGTATTAAGACCCAGGAAGGAGGGTGGCTAGTGCACTGATCCTACTGCAACGAGAGCAAGGGACTGCCCCAAACGTCTTGAGCGCGGTCATCCATATTAATAGTGTACCATCTCGTCGCACAAGATCATCAATAATACCTACTCTTACTGAAGAAGGCGGCTCTACTTTCCATCTCCTCGGCGCGGACCATTTGCTTTTTTTCACTTCCCATCTCCTCTTTCCTTTTCTCTCCCTTTTTCATCCACGACGGGAATATGGTAGGTATTTGAAGCAACATCTAAGCCTATCCTGCACGTATTCATCGTCCGAGTAGCCTCAAGAGTGTTAGTTGTACGAAGCTGAGTTTGCTCCTGAAGCAACGCTGCTCCAATCATTTACGACAAGACCCAACCAGACCAGCGGGTCATCTCCATCCCCCGTCTTGCATCAATTGATAATAACCAATGGCTACCGTACCTAGCAAACGGGTGGCAGTCATCGGTGCCGGTATGTCATCCCCCTCCCCCATAACCTCCTCGAGGGATTGAGCTCTCTTTCTCATCGATGCATGCATTGTAATCACTTGGCATGACACACTAACTGCTTGCCATTTGACAACTCAGGCCTCACGGGGCTCGTGGCGATCAAAGAGAACCTCTCGGAGGGCTCATCGGTCCAGTGTTTCGAGAAGCTGGGCCACATTGGGGCCAGTGGGCCTACAGCCCGGAAGCCCCCGAAGGCGTGCATTCGTCCATGTATCACGGCTGTATCCTAAATTCTTGCCGTGACACGTCGAGCTTCAGCGATTTCCCGCTCGACCCGGCGCGATACCCAGACTACTTTAGCCACTATCTGCAGCTGCGGTATCTGAACGAGTACGCGGACCACTTTAAAGTCAAGAAGCACATCCGGTTCAACACGCAAGTGCTTCAATGCGTCCCCGCGGCCCAGGGCGGATGGACGCTAGAGGTCCAGGAGAAGGATGGGGAGCGCGAGGAGCACCACTTTGACGCGCTCATCTGCGCGTCCGGCGCACTCGCCACGCCTGTCACGCCAGATTTCGCCGGTCGTGAGAGTTTTCGTGGGGAATTACTCCATAGCCACCACTACCGAACCCCCAGCCCGTTCGAGGGCAAGCGCGTGGCAATCATCGGTCTAGGAGCTCCGCGGTGGACATTGCTTGTGAACTTGGTCCCCAGGCGGCGGAGCTCCACCTCATCACGCGGCGTGGTGGGTGGGTTCTTCCTCGCTATGTCTTGGGAAAGCCGCTCGAAGCGTGGGATGGTACGTATGCCCCTCCCAAAGGAGAGAGAGAGAGAGAGGGTGAGCGATGCGAAAGATCCCTAACAGCGTTCTAGATCGAGCAACCCAGAGCTGGCTTCCTCACAGCGTGGCACAATGGCTTCAGACCAAGCTGGTCAATCTCATCGAAGGAAAGCCGCCCAAGGAGCTGGAATGCGAGCACGGGCTTCTCGCGCAGAACCCGACGATCCGAGGGGACTTTTACGAAAAGTCCGGACGGGCGTCGTCAAGGTGCACAGGGCGAGCGTAGAGGCGCTCAACGAAACGGGATTAGCCCTCTCCACCAACGTCCAGCTTGACGTGGACGTCATCATCTGCGCGACAGGATACAGCTTGACCGACATGCCGTACCTGCCCCGGGACGCCGTGGCCAGCCGTGAGCTGGCGGCACCGCATATCGATCTGTACAAGTTCATGGTCTCGCCCTGGTACGAGGACCTGTACGTTCTCGGGCGGTTGGAGGTGTTTGGCCCGCACGCCTCGGCGGCGGAGGCGCAGTCTCGCGTGGCGGCGGCCATGATCTCGGGAAAGCTGGCCAAGCCGGGCCACGAAGAGATGATGAAGAGCATCAAAGCGAACAGACACAAGATTTCCAACAACTTTGTCGACACGCCGCGGCACTTTCTCACGGTCCATTCGGTCGAGTATATCGATGATTTGCTCGCTCCCCTGGGCTGTGCGCCGTCTGTCGGCAAAGTCCTCGGGCAGATGTTCCGCGGGAATCCAATCCGGGCACTCAGTCTTTTCAAGGCGGTCTACTTTGGCATCCCGTGCAGTGGCCAGTGGAGGCTCTTTGGCTACGGACGGAACCAAAAGCTTGCAGAGGCCACCATATTTCGGATTGCCCACGGCGAGGGCGAGTTGTCGAAAGCAGAGCAGGAGGCTATCGGTGCCGTGGCATCCGCTTGATTGATTCTCGAATCGGCACCTTTCAACACCTGACCCTGGATGGGTGTCGAGTTATTTTATCTGCTTCGGAAATGGGGCTTCTTTTTTGTACTTATACCACGCTCGCGTCCCCCCTTCCTATCGTTTTTTTTTTTTTTTTTCCCCTTTCTTCCCGGTAAACCCTTCTTTTCCTTTGTGCTGCTCAGTATAGTTCTCCCGGCATACCTTATAATCCTTGTGTTACTAGTCTTGACATATATATCCGGACCTCTAATTACAATCCTAAATTCCTACATGTATCAATACAGACCAAGTTTACAAGATAGAAGAATCGGGGCCGTTTTGCGGGCCGATGATTAAACATTTTCTCGTTCCCACATAGTGTGATGCCAAGCGAGTGCCAGGGATGAACGGTTCCTATTCCTCTTGACATGAATGCCGAGAAGCGGACACGCTGGTGATAGGGTGGTGGGCAATGCGCTGTTACATGAAGATCAAGGTGCACGTAGAGTCCGGAGTGCTATTGCAGCCATCACATATGCCCGGGCCTTTTGCCATGGCCCATCGTATGGCATCGGTGCACAATAAGAGGAGAGGCTTAGCAGAGAGCGGTTGCTCCTCATGCAGCACGAGCAGGGCGGTCGTTTTTTTTTTTTTTGTTTTCCCCCTCATTTTCGGAGAGAACAAAAAAGAACGAGTTCGGGCTCGGCAACTAGGACAGTAGTATGACGCACAGCGCGCTTCCCTCGTTTCCTCGATACATGTAAAGTGGGACTATTAGTGTAGAGAGGAAGGAAAACACAATGTCGCCGTTACATCTCGGAATCGAGCATGATGATGCAATGCAATGCACCCGCAGGCGGCGGCTCCGCTTCTGGGGGCAGGGGCCGAACACGAGATTAGTGAAATAGTGCGCTTTGCGGGCAGAGGTTGTTTAGTGGGCAGCGTCAAAGGCTTTTGTCTTTTGTTTTTTTCTCTTCTTTTCTAGTTTCGAGTACTTGGTCGATGGATATCGGGTCGGGGGTCGGTTGATTCAATCTTGTCAACTCTCGCTCGACTGTCTTTCCAGGCCTTTGAATTTGGAATCACGGTGGCATTTCACAAGCATTCGACATCCATTGTATTCATTTCGTCTAGGCGCATCCATCAATTCCATTGCCCGCATATCGAAGGTGGAACTTGATGCTCGACTCAACGTGTTGAGGCTCCTCCTCGTATGGGGACTGCAGCTCGGCCCTATGGACCTATGGACCTATGAACTGACTAGACCCACCAACTTTTGGGCAACTCAGCTCAAATCAGCCGACTGATCCAGTCCGGGATATCCAGTCGTTGATCATTGTCGCGCAAAGGCTCCCAAGAATAGAACACATGGTGGGCACTTGGGCGAACAAGGATTGAGGCAGTGTGTCAAGGCTTTGGCTGACGCGCTGATCCCTTTGGGCCTCGAGAGGCGCCTCTCGTTTCCTTCTCCGTGTTTCCCTTTCTCCTTTGTCATTGGGTCACATCTTTTCAGAGTTCCAATACTGCATCCACAATCTATGCATAATACGTGTAGTGCTAAGCCCGCGAGGAACGATGTTTACCCAGGTGACATGACGGCATGCGGCTCCAGGTAAGCCTACGACCAGGGTAAGAGCGCATCAAAAGGGTTCTACGGCATAGTTGGCGAGAAGAAAGAAAGAAAGAACAAAAAAAAAGCAAAAGAGAAAAAGATCGACAGAGGCTGGACACCTGTTTCCATTCTCACGATACGAGGTGGGCACCGACCCCGTTCAGAAATACTGGGGGTCGCGCTTGAGAGGGCCAAGCCAGGCCAAAAGTTCCCCGGCTGGGCCGCGCCGAGGGTAGCAGTGGGATCGGCAGATCGGATTGGCGCCCCATAGTGCAGTAGCTCGTGTATCGTGCGTATATCGTGTATGGGGAAACACTGGAGGCAAACAGGAAGCCGAAGACGCCAGCCACCACCCAACGGCTGGCGCCCGAGTCCTCCTGGCTGTCGAAACAGCGCTTGAGGTATGGTATGTGGGCTTGCTGGGTGGAGGATAGATCAATTTTGATGAACAAAGTGTAACCCGGTTCTCGGTGGGAGGTATTCAACGCAGCCAAGAGGGTGCCAGAAGACGGAAGGCCCTTTGTTGTTACGAGATAGCATGGAGTGGGATGCCAAGAAGCCAAAGAAGGCCCAGAAAGAAAAAGAAAGGAAAAAGAAAAGAAAGAGGCAGGCGAATGTGAGATGACATGGGTGATCTAGGTTTGCATCTCGCTGTCATCGCGCGACTTGTCTACAACAAGCAAGCGCGCCAAAACATCAAAGTTAGAGTCCACGATGCGCGCTACGACCAAGGTGGCATGTTAATGTTTAAAAAAAAAAAAATTCGCAAGGGCCTTAATGTTGACAGCATACTAGCAGATCCATATACTCATTGGTTTCCAGTGGCCCAAATCTTGTAGTTCTAAATCAAGAAGAAGAAGAAAACAATTCCTCCGTTCTGCTGCCTCTAAGTTTGGACTTGCCGGAGCTCCAGTCCCGTTCGGGGCATGAGTGAGGTGATCAGCACGCCTCAGTCACCCAAGCCGCTAACACGAGAACGAGAGACAGCATTGAACGACCTTTGCCAGGGGACAATGACAATGGGGTATCGTTCCATCGATTAGGTACAATCCAGGAGCTTGGAGGTCTCAATGATACGGCCCAACGTTACCGTTGCAGGTCATTCGATCCACCATCGCTGGGCGGAGCCATCCCCCGACACATCATGGATCACAGCGGCGTGGCAACTTTGAACACGGCCTTGCCCGCCTTGCCCGCTTCCTCTTCCTATTTCGGGCTTTCTTTTTCTCGGGATTGGCATTCTTCGGAGAGCCTCGTATAAGCGCCTTTTGCACTTTCTCACCACTCCCTGTTTCCTTGTTACCCTGATGACCACTCCGGAGCAAAGCAGAGAGCGTATCCCCCATCCGTCGTCACTGATCAATTCGCTGTGCATATAAAGAAGACGACATCCCCTTCTTTTTCATATTCTCTTTTGGAAAAGAAACATCATCACACACTCTCCAACAGCTTCCAGACGACACAGTTCTACTCTCTCCCAATCTCGACAGCTTCTCACGCATCCATTCGCAACCTCTCTCTGTCTCTCTCTCGCCCACTCCTCATCCCCAATCATTTCACCATGAAGTTCTCCGCCTTCACCAGCATCATTGCTCTGGCCACCTCGGCCTCCGCCGTCTCTGGTACGTTGAAACAAGAAATGGACCAGCCGGTCTCACTCAACTTACATCCCGGGGCGGGGAGAATGTGAGACAGTGAAAAGTAGCCAAAACAGCGACTAATTTGATCTGTAGTCGGTTATGACCAGGGATTCGATGATGGCAGCCGCTCTATGCTCTCGGTAGCCTGCTCCGACGGGTCTAACGGCCTTGCTAGCCGTTTCCCCACTCAAGGAAACCTCCTCGGTTCCCTTACATCGGAGGTGCCCCCGCTATCGAAGGCTGGAACTCTGCCAACGTGAGTGATCTCGCCCAAATGGCAGGCCCTTTTTTACCCAATCTATACCCTCGCCTATCTTGAACGAACACCACTAACGTACGGAATTCACTTTTCGCTGTAGTGCGGCTCTTGCTGGAAACTCACCTACAATAACAAGTCCATCTATGTGCTTGCCATCGACCGTGCCAGCAGCTTCAACATTGCCCTCGGCGCCATGAACGACCTGACCAACGGTAACGCCGTTGGACTCGGTAGGGTCGAAGCTGCCGTTGAGCAGGTCAACAAGTCCTTCTGCGGACTCTAAAGAAGCCTGGCCGTATTGGATAGGCACTCGGTACATGTAGTCCAACAGCTCACTTGGGCCGAGCTCGATCCTCCCGTCTAGCCTCGTGTCACTTGCCCCCACCATAATAAGGATAATGATGATGATGCCGGCCCAAGGGGAGAGCCCGGGTGGAAAGGATGGTGGTAGAGAATCGAACCCCTTCTAAGCGCATGGCGGGCGTGCTGCGGAGGGGTGAAAGAAGGCCTTATGATTGCATCTGAATGATAGACGAATTTACATAGCACGCTCCCTAATTTACAAGAACTTAATAATCACTACTGGCCTCCTTCGTTATTGAGTTGTATCACCTCCAAAACCTATATCCTCAAACGTCTCTATCAGTCCAGTGGGAATGGGTCGGATAATGCTGTTTTAGGAGGTACGCTAGAACAATTTCAACTTAAAGATCCCGACGAGCCGGCAGTGTCTTACACTAATAAACGCCAGCAGACCCGGTTTGGTTACTCGGATGGCTTGTAAGAAACGGAGCTAGAAGATCCGTGTGTGGCACGAGCAGCACTCACCAACAACAAGGGGAGCAGGTAATAATTTCGTTTTGCCCTTTTTATTCTTCTTTTGGGGGTAAAGAAGCCGAGAAGGAGGAAGGCTGGTTCCTGGCTTCATCCATCAATTGATCCATGCGTTCAGCGAAACACCATTTGAGGCCTGTTCCATGATAATTCCTGCATCGCACTTCTTCACGGAGGAACAGGGCGGAAGGCGCCAAAACGGGCAAGGTCTTTTAGGCCGGCGTTCCCGTATCGGTTTGGGGCAAGGATCAATGATTGGCTTCTTCGGGTGTGCGATTCTGTGCCTTCAGTGTTCAACCTAGCACGCCGGTTGCGGACTGACTAATAATAATAAGAGTGTCAAGTATGAGTAGTTGCGTTGGGCACATCGGGATGGCCCTTGATGGCCGAAGGAAGGATCGATGAATGGGCCACCACCATTTGCTTTGCTCTGTGTCAGCCGCACTCCTGCTGCCTTCTCCTCATTTTCTTCCCTTTCTTTTCCTTCTTTTGGATCTTCACCATGATATCGTGGACTGTCCGTTACTTGTCGAATATATTCTCGTCGTTTTTCCCCGCATAGCGTTTGTGGTCTAGCTTCGCCCCCCTCGAGCCACTGAGCCGAGCCGTTGTCGGATTAAAAGTCTCAATCCGGTGCCATCAAGCCTCCGGCCGGCGACATCGGTTGTAATCGGCACCAGAAAAAAAGAGGCGGCGACAAAGACGACCTTGCTACTGGACCCTTGCGTCTTTTCTCTGACCTAGGAATCTTCTTGAGCACTCGGCGTTTCACCAAAAAGATTAAACTCTTCTCGAGCTCATCTAACGCTTAGCCCCCCATTCTGGAAACCACCTGATAACCCTCTCGATCACGCTTTTCCGCGGCTCTTGATAGCTCCGTTGCTTGAAGTCATACTACTTACCTCGACGTGCACTCCACACTTTGAATCGCCATTAGCACTAGCTGGCTACCCTTTTGAACTTTTCGTCTTCCTCTTGATGTCGTCTTCCGCCTTGGCCTAGCAGAATTGTCTCTGTTTCTCTGCCCTCTCCCATCCTGCTCTGCTTCTCTGATCGAGGGACTTGGATCCTGCTGCAGTCGTCATAGCTTCCCCCTTTTGGTTCAGAGTTCAACACTAGTCTTGCTCTTCAGCATGTCCAAGGCCACCCTTGGGTCGCTCCCCATTGAGCTTCACATCCAAATCCTCTCCTACCTCGACCTCGAGCCGCCCTCTTATTCGAGGTTCACTAACAGGCCCACCCCGCACATGCTAGACGCTCCCTCCAACCAACCTCTCAAAAGTGTTTCCCAAGTCAACAAGAAATGGCGGGCTGTGGCTATCCCCTTCCTCTTCCAACACACAATTTGGCGCGCTCAACCCGACGCTCTCATCCAACTAAGCGGATGCACCAACCCAAAAGAGATAGACGTCATCAGGTTCCTGGCCGACCATGACATTTGTTCTCGCGTTGAAAGCATGGTCCTCGTCGTCGAGCCACCCTCGACGACGATGATGAAGTAGACACGCAGCCCTCTTCCGATTCTCTACTCGTGAACTGCGAGACGCTCTGGGAGACACTCTTCTCCGCCATTGATCCGCTGAGATTCTCCATCATATCGCGACCCGCCCGCTTCGGCCTGCTTCTTGCCCTTCCCCTTGACTTTGACACTCTCTGGAGCTACGGCAGCCACGAACACGTCCTATCCTTCGCGCGGGACAGCCGCCTCGTGATGCCATCCCCACAACTTCCGGCAAGCGATCCCGTGCTGGCACCGCGCAGCAGAATCTTCACCATCCGGCCGTGGACCGCAACCCTGCTCAACGAAGGATGCAACCTCGGGGTGTACAAGACGTACGATTACCACCGCAAGCACCCCCTCCATCTTGTCTGCCTTGCTGTGCGGTCCCCACACGGCCGGGCTCCACACTATGCTCGTGGATCGCCCTCTTCTCGCCCCGTCCGTCCAAGACTTTAGCTACATTGCCGAATTCCCCATCTCGGACCACTTTAGGAAGATTGTGCAGCACCTGCCGCTCCTTCGGCGCCTCTACGTCCAACTCGTCCCTCAACCCCCGTGCTGAAAAGTGCCCTGGAGGCCGGCGATATCGATGTGCGTGATTTGTGGTTGGAGCGCAACGCGTCGTATGCCGCCCTCATGACCAACTTGTTCGCGTGGACCGCCTCGACAAATTGGAGGAGTCTTCGAGTGCTGGAAAGCGGGGATACAGCGGACAAGGTACGTTTCAGAAGAGGGGAAAGAATAAAAAGGGAAGAAAGGGAAGAATGGGAAAGAAAGTTCACACCCATGGCTGCATGTGTACCGCGAGGCTTTGAGCAACAGACTAATTACGCCCACGCAACTATTTTAGCAAGCTTGGGACCTGGCTGCCCACTACATGCTTCGGGGCCAAACGAAGAAGTGGGCCATCGAACGCGACGGCGTCTTTGTTTGGGTCGAACCAGATGCCGCAAGAGCCCGCGAGTAAGTCTCCATCCGAGAGTCCTATCCAAACTTCTTTTCTTCTTCTCGTCCCACGCAAGATTGTAGGAATGCTAATTCGATTGTGTCGTTGTTTGGAAACAGCGAGGGTAGTTTGGAAAGGCTTGCTTTTCGGGGGTAGAGACTCTGCCTTTTCCCACCATTAGCAACTATATAAATGAGCAGTAGACCAGTGTGGTTTAACGGAAGTCGGGTATTTCTTTTTACCGTACAACTTCTCTTTTGTCAACATATGATCCAAAGCGACTCAGGATCGCGACGGGACCCCCTTTTCTTTTGCACCAAGAAAATGCACATGTACTGAGCGCAAGATGCGGCTGTATTCTATTTACGATAAGATGTAACATGCGAACCTATGCAGAATATGATGAAAATTTCAACCCTTGATATATCAAGAAAAATGATGATGATGCTACCCCAAAAGGAAAAAACATATATGCAATTCCCTAGCCTGGGAGCCCTTTCCAACCCTATGTTGGCCGTCGTCCTAGATGTCGTTGCCTTGTGCGTGTGTGTGCGTATAGTCTATGTATTCCCATGCGGAAGCCAGAAGGCCAAAGAGGGAGAAGAGAGAGAGATATATAGAAAAAGAAAGATAAGAGAGGTTAGGAAGATATTCAAGAAGAAAGGCATATAGGGAAAGGGGAACGAGGTGACAATCAGCAACGGAAGCCCCCTTTACAATATCTCAGGCTCCACTCAGGGTTCCTCTTCCTCCTCGTCCGAGTTGGACTCTTGTCCGCGCTCGTACTCGGAGGCCTTTCGCTCTGCGTGCTCCGACATCTCCCGCCAGGTGCTCCAGGAGAGCATGAGGAAAGCGACCGTGATGAGAGCTCCGCCGAGGATGGAGGCAAAGCCGAGTGGCTTGCCGGTGAAGAGCCAGTCGACGATGGCGACGACGAAAATAGTGAGAAGGGACGCGACGCTGCTGAGGACGGGGGAGGTGAGGCTGATGAGGACGAGGAAGGAGCCAGCAAAGGTGGCGTTGGCGGTGACGGAGAGGAGCAGGAGGAAGGCGGTACGGCCGGTGGGGAGGACAAAGGTCTCAAGGCCGGTGATGTGGAGGATGGGGAGAGGGATCCACAAGACGAGGAGGGTAAAGACGCCGATGAGGGAGCCAAAGGCGTTGGCGAAAATGGTACCGCGGCCGGGGAGACGCCGTCGGGAGGGCAGGCAAACCGCTTGTAGAGGACTTCGTAGAGGCCGTAGAGGACGGAACCGAAGCCGATGATGAGGTTACCAAAGAAGCGGCGAGAGCTGGTAGGGCTGGAATCACCGCCGTCCGGGTCGGAGTCGGAGGCGGCGGGGGCGTCGCCATAGGCTACGACGAGGACGCCGACGATGGCGATGGCGACGGCGATGGACTTGTCTTGGCGCAGGGGCTCCTTGAGGAGGGGCACGGAGAAGGCATAGGCAAAGAAGGCAGAGCAGTTGTAGATGGCGGTCAGGTCCGAGGGGCTCGTCATGCTGACGGCGATGTACCAGCTGAGGCCCGCGATCGTGAGGGCGGTGGTGATGCCGGCAGTGGCACGAACAAGATAGCGGACGGGGCTGGCACGCTGCATGACACTGGCCCTGTCGACGTCGCGGCGCTGGAGCTGGACCATGGCAGCGGTGCTCCGGAGGAGCTGGACGTGGCGTCTCCAAAAGACGTCCCAGGGCAGGTCGCGCTTCTGGAAGCGCAGAATCATGAGCTGAACGGGCCACAGGAAGGACCAGCTGCCATGGGTCAGGTACAGCATGCAGTACGCCTTGTCCCATCCCAGCTCGCCTTGTATGTAGGCCGACAACTCGGTCTGGACAACAAAGGAGACGAGGATGAGGCCGAGGAAGAAGGCAGCGTAGGTGTATCGGCGGCGAGCGACATCTCGGGCGAGCTCCGAGGGGCTGACGCTGCGCATGGTGGAACGGCGGGAGAGGAAGGGGCTGCGAGGGCCGCTACCGGCGGGGCTCGAGGTGCGGCTGCCGGGCGCGCTGTGGTTTCGGGGTGGGCGCGGCCGCGTTCGGCTTGCATGTCATCGTCGGGCTTTTGGAGGAGGGGGTAGCGGATCGGCCCTCGGTGGGGCGGTGGAAGGGGGCCGTCTATCCATTGTCGGGCGTGAGGAATTTACGGCAAGTTCGTTGTGTTTGCCTATTCGTCAAAGAGTTTGTGGGGGCACGAGAAGAGAAGAAATCGAGTATCTTTGAGCGAAGGCGTCGCTCAAGGATCGGGCCGGGTGTGTAGATGGGTCGGCAAGGGCTCGCTTTTCAGTCGGGCCTCGCACCAGTCCCTGAGGTGATTCGTCGGACTATAACTTTGCATGAGGCCGCAAGAGCGGTAGGGGGCAGGGAGAAACCAGGTTGGCGAGGGTGGAAAAGGGTCGGTTCAGTTCGTAGTGGTGAGATCGTAGGTCGCGGATGGCTTCAATGGGCGTTGGGAGAAGAAGAAAGAAAAAAAAAAAGGAGAGTTGAGGAAAAGACGGTGGGTGCTTTTGCCAAGGGCGTCGCTCTTGGTTCTAGGATGTGGCTTGTACACCCCCAAAAATAATTCAAGTGCGGATGTACGTGGGTGTACTTGTGCGACGGTGGATTACTATTGAGAGGGCGTTGGGTTGAGGATGCAGTCCGGGGAAGAAGAGGTCGTCCAGGTGGTCGGTTCCTGATGGCGTCATCGGTGGTCAGCTGGGCTGCTTGCACTGGACTGGGGCACAATTGAACGTCCTGCTCACGTTCACAAGGGGGGACAAAGACGGGTGATGGGTGATGGTCCCTTGAGGACGGCGTGGGGGCTGGGCTAAAATTGCAAAGATGGAAACGGGCTGGTTTTCTCTTCCATCCGAGATGAGAAGACAGAAGAAAAGGAGAGAAAAAGAAAATCCAAAAAGGTACCCGATAGAACCGTGGACGTCAAGTGGAACTTTGTGGCCGCAATAGGTCCAGAATTAGACTTTCCGATTGCCCACAAACATTGAACATGAGCCACTTGTCAGTTTCAGTGTTGAACCCAGAATCTACGAAGTACTTGATCCAGCGTGACCCAAAGCCCACATCCCGGATTTAGCCCCCACCGCACCTGTTGATTATTATTATTCCACGGATCCATTCTTGCCATTCAACCCATTTGGTGTTGTCTGGTGCCTTGATTGATTGCAAGTAGATCCTCAATACCGACCGTTCGCACTGGGCTGAGCTGGCTGCTCGGTATATCAAAATTTCGGTTAGCCGGCTTTGCTTGGCTTGGGTTCCCAATGCAATGATTAGCTCCCCAACGTCCCCAACGGTTCGCCCTCAGAGATATCTCGGTACGCCAGATCCACACGTCACCGAGAACCCTTGCTCTTCCGTCCTGTCTGAGTTGCAATGATGCATCGGCCAATGAACTGATCCCTTAGCGTGACGGCACCATACCCTTCACTTCGTGTGACGACTGAACTACACTAGGCACAGCGAACAACGACTATTGACAAGGGAATTTGAAACCTCGACATTTGCATACTACATAGAGTCAGACACTCCCACTACTTGCTAAGTCGGTGGACACGGAGGCGGTGTTTGTTCCTCGTGATGGTCTCATCCACCTTGAAGCTATGTACTGGCCCGTTTTGATACGTGCATGTAATGCCTGTTGTTCTGAATGTGTGACAATAAAGTGTTCAGTGTTGGGCGAATAGTCATCGTCCAGCGCCCCTTTTTAGACCCTCGATTATGGTCGGCATCAAGCTATATATTCCACGCACCTAGTCTTTTTGTCCAACATCTTCGCCTGTGGAATCCAACCCAAGGCCTGGGTTGCATGCTTATAGAGCTGTTCGTTTCCTCTTTGCTTCTTTACCCGTATGGCCTTCCGTCTGTCCGTCTATTTGCTGTTGGCTCCAAAGAGCACCTCGCGCGTGTTGTAACTGTACTTGAGCTCTTTATGGTAGTAAGGCACCGCGTCCGACTGCACAATCGCCCACGCCTGGTTGGTCGCCTCCACCACCTCCTCGGGCAACGGGCCCTTTTCCAAGTCGTTCAGGTTGTTCTCGAGCTGCTGCAAGCTAGACGCGCCGATGAGGATGCCATCGTTGCCGTCGGTGATGCGGAGGGCCGAGTGGTGCACCAACCAGCGCAGAGCCGTCTCCGTGAGGGTCAGGCCATTCTTTGTGGCAGCCGCCTCAATCGTCTGCAAGGCCTTGAAAGTGCTGTCGCGGAAGTACCTCTTACGGTACATTTCGCCCGTGCGGCCGTTGACATTGGAGAAGCGACCCTCTGTCGGGATGTCGGACGCCGACTTAATACGACCGGTCAGGAGACCGCCGGCGACGGGGTTGTAAACGACGATGTCGAGGCCGTAGCGTCGGCAGGCGTGGACCAACTCCGTCTCAATACCACGTGTGATGCAGTTGTACATGCCCTGGTACAGCGTTGGCCGCACCCAGTTGTTGTATTTGCATGTCAACACAATCTCGGCCACCTCGAAAGAAGTAAAATTGCTAAGCGCAAAGGTAACAAATTTCCCCGCCTTGTGCAACTTGTCGATGGCTTCGAGCGTTTGCGCAAATGGTGTCTCGCGATCCTATGTCAAATGGAGAGAGGTCAGACACGCAACCAGGTAAAATGCAATGAGTGGATGAGGGTGCTACGCCACCCACTCCCCGCGGGGTATCATCATGGTATCACTTACAGCCGCGTGAAGGTAGAGGATCTATCAATAAGAAGAAGAAGAAGAGTTAGCAAATGAACAACGGGGAAAAAAGGAAGAACAAGGTCTGGCTCCTACTTACATCAAGGGTATCTGTGCCCAGGTCCTTCAAGCTGGTCTCTACAGACTCGATGACCTTTTCGGGGGCATTGCCGGCGGGCTCGGAAGGATAGATGACCTTGGTGGCGAGCGTCAGGCCGCGCTCTTTCCACCCGGCCTCGCGCGTGAAGGCTTCCTGCTTCTTGCCCACGTACATGCGCGCAGTGTCGACCTCGCTGTAACCGCGCGACTGAAAGTAGTCAAGCACTTTGCCAAACTCGCCAACATCAGTGATGCGGGCGCCAGTCTCCTGGTCTGGTCCAAAGGTCATGAGACCGAGGATAATCCTGTTATTAGGTCGGGGAACGACGAGAGGCATGATGACGACCGGGTACGGAGACAGGCGAGAGGTCGGAAGGTTGGAAGCAGGGAGGAAAGGGGGATTCAAGCTAGACGCAATTAAAAGTAAAAGAGAAGAGACGAAGCTTCACAGATGTGTTCGACTAGGGAAGAGGGAAGCACGCAGGGAGAAGTGCAGAGTCACTGTTTGGATTTTGTTTTGCTTTATAGTCTGGTAGCCGGATTGACAAGTTCGGCTTGATTACAAAAATCGAAAAAGGGAACCAGGTCTTTCAAGCTCGGAGAACACCACCCACCAAAAAAGTAACCGAGAGACGAAGAGGGGAAAGGTGGGAACTGGATACCACGAGGATCGCGCCTTCTTTCGAGCTTGGGTGGGACACCAGGGCGCAGAAACGGGGTTGTCTTGTCCCGGCAAGAACAGCAAGTATACATCAGTTCCCATGCTGCCATGAACTGAATCGTCTGGACTTGTATTGTTAAGGTGGAGGGGAGCGGGGAGCTCGACCACGCTAACCCCACTCTCCTCCCCCAACACCAACGCTTGCATCATACCTGCTTTCAAGCACCCACCACCACCGCCACTATCACTACGGCGGACCCAGCGTTGACTCCCGGCCGGGCCCCCGACTTCGGCTATCGTGTCCGGGAATAGGCGACAGCGTCACTTCTAAAGTCCGGCAGAGGGGGACTGTTTGGCGGGGGCTCCCATAGCATCTCCGCACTGAGACTTGGGCATCGATACTATACCACCCAATCCTCTCGAGGAGAGGGGAGGGGAGGGGGAGGGAGGCGGCGCTAAAATAAAACCCTCCCTTTCACCATTAGTAATTGAAGTCGTCAGTCGACGCAATAATCTATTCCTACGGAGATTACAATCTGTTTGGTCTGTCTCGATCAACTTTGGCAAGGGCGAAGGCGTCAGTCTCTTCGTCACCCCTCCAAAGGGCTTCAAGAACAAGCTTCGTAGAGACATGGATCTAGTCCAACGTTTCTTTAGCCACGACCAGTCACCCATAACTCGGGGATATCGAGGTATTTTAGGTGAAGCTAAGCCGGGGGTGAAGGATGAGTGGCAAGGCCATCGCAACCACGATTCGAGATCCATTGTATACATGTAATAGCAGCTATCATCCCAACGAGCTCCCTTTAAAATGGTAATAAGCTGGACAAGAAATAGTAAATATGTCCTGGGAAAGAAGGTCGCGGGCACTCTTCTCGAAGTTGGCACCTCTCCCTCCGGTCCACTCCAGGATTGTACTTTTGATATTCTATCCCATCCAGAAGTGTCGTGGGTCTTTTCTCGCCCAAGACGAATCAATGCTCGATTATCCACACTGAAGCCCCGGCCCGCACTTGCTTAACTAAGCACCAATGAGAGCACCCGGAATGCAATTGGCACCAGCAAATTGATCTCTTCTTATTACTCTTTGCCGACCATGAAAATTGTCTCGCTCGACGGATGAAAACGTACGAGCCGTAAATAGCGTCATCCTCAAAGCCCTGCAGTTTTCCGTTTCCCACCTTGGGAATCATTCTCCATTTCCTGTCGCCAACTAGCCCACGCATCCTCCCCTTTCCGTTCACAAGCCGAGCTCTCAATTTCAGCATTCGTGAGAGCCGTCTCATCAGCGCGACCAAGGACTCACAAGCAGGTTTGCGAGCCGCAACCGCAACCCACCACGTTCAATTTCCTTCCACTCTATTCAAGATGCCTCCCAGGATCCCTACCATGTCGGTATGTTCTTCCTCCCTCCCTCCCCTTCCCTCCTCAAAGCCCGTTCCAGCTAACTGACTTCCCCCTTCCTCAGCTCTTGCGCTCTGCCACCCGCGCCTCCCTCTCCTCCACCATCCTCGCCCCCGCAACCGACCGCTCCTCGCCCGCCTCCTCTCCGACCAGACCCGCCAGGCCATCGACAAGGCCGTCAGCACCGCCCCCGTCGTACTCTTCATGAAGGGCACCCCCGAAGCCCCCAGTGCGGTTTCTCCCGCGCCTCCGTCCAGATCCTCGGCATGCAGGGTGTCGACCCGGCCAAGTTCGCCGCCTTCAACGTCCTCGAGGATGACGAGCTCAGGCAGGGCATCAAGGAGTACTCGGACTGGCCCACGATTCCCCAATTCTACCTCGAAGGCGAGTTCATCGGCGGCTGCGATATCCTCGTCTCCATGCACCAGAGCGGCGATTTAGCGACTCTGCTGGCCGAGAAGAAGGTCCTCTTTGACCAAGCAGAGAGCGAGAAGAAGGATGCTTAGAAGCCTAAAAAAAAAAAAACGGACGTTTGTGTCATAAAGGCACAGGCCAAAATATGTTGTCGAAGGAGGAGTTAGGGGTTGGCCAGCCCTTAGCAGGCGAGGGGCGGCAGGCAATACAAGCCGTCCTCTTGCGGTTCCAGTGAACGTAATGAGCGATTACTCTGAAGAATTGGTATACGCAACATGGCACAGGGACAGCAAACTTGTACAACAGGGAAACAGATTCACACATGTATAACGGTATAGAACTTTTGCGGCGGTAAATAAGCGCTTTGCCACGACGGGGCTCTCTTCCCCATCTCTCTCTCTCTCAAGTTTGGGGGCCTTGCGGCTATTTTCCTTTTTCTTCTTATTGTTTTAGATCAGGGTTGAATAATAAGACCACCACCACTCTCACACACACATTTCAATTTCCAAAAACTGACATACCTCCTTCGCGCCTTCCTCTCCCCCAAAACGCCAATCTCGTGCTGGGAACAAGCGGGTGATGGAAAGACGAGAGAAAAGTGACAAGAGGCATCCACGGCCTTGCATCTGTAAGCGCACAGGACAAACCAAGATATAGCTGGCACATGTGTTACATGTAAGATGCGTACCATGCGCTCGTTTTATATATCATCTATACCACATATCACCAACGTCTTGGCTCCGCATCCCCCAAAAACAAACCCCGAGAACCATCCCCCTCGACTCCTACTAAAGCGGAATAGCCGCCCCATCCCCGCGCATATCGCTGCCGGCGGACCACACACCCGTCCCATCCACAGGGTCAACGACCCAACGGATGATTTGCCCGCGGCCAAACAGGCTCCTCGCCCAGCCCCGGACGACCTCGACCGTGTGACCCATACCCCGCAGCGCCTCGACCGCCTCCGCACCCACCCCTTCCTCCACGCTGACGACCCAGTCAAACCCCCGCGGTGGTCCCGGCTCCCCGCCGTGATGCACACGCGCGGCGCGTCGAGCGCCTGCTGCGGGTCCAAGCCGGCCACCACCTGGCCCAGCAGGACCTGCACGTGGCCCTGCGGCTGCATGAACCCGCCCATGACGCCAAACGCGCTGTGCAGCGATGCGTCGGCCGCGCGCGTCGCCATGCCGGGGATGATGGTGTGGTAGGGCCGCTTGCGCGGCGCCAGCACGTTGGGGTGCTCCGCGTCCAGGCTAAAGTTGGCGCCGCGGTTCTGCAGCGTGAATCCGCAGCCCCGCGGGATGATGGCCGTGCCGAAGCCGCCGTAGTTGCTGTTGATGAGCGAGGCGGCGTTGCCCTCGCTGTCGGACACGCAGAGGTACACGGTGTCGCTGCTATTGAGCGCCGGCGACACCACGGCGCCACCGCCCTCGCCCTCGCCCAACGGGTCGCCGTGCAGGACGGGAGGCGGCGCCGCCTTTGCCGGGTCAAAGAGCTTGGCCCTCTCGGCCAAGTACGCCGACGAGAGCAGCTCCGCCGAGGGGACTTTGACCACGTTGGGATCCGCGACGAACCAGCTGCCGTCCGAGAAGGCGATGCGCAGGCACTCGACAATCGTGTGGAGGTACGCCGCCGAGTTGAAATCCTCGGGCCCCCAGCGCGGTATCGTCCCCGCCTTCTCCAGCTCCTGGATCAGGCCCAGCGTCATCAAGGCCACGATGCCTTGTCCGTTGGGCGGGTGCTCCCACACCTCGAGGCCGCCGTCCTCCCCGCGCCCTGCGCCGTGAACTTGAGGCTGATGGGCTCCACGTCCTCGCTCCCTTGCTCGAGGTGGTGCTGCAGGTCGTCCAGCGTCAGCCGGCCCCCGAGGTCCTGCACCACCTTGACCAGCTCCTCGGCCACCCGCCCCGTGTAGAAGCCCTTCTTGCCCTCGGTGGCGAGCGCGCGGAACGTCCGCGCCAGATTCGGGTTCTTCATGATTTCCCCGCACGAGGCGCGCGCACGCCGTCCGCGGCCTTGGGGTCCTTTTTAAGCATCTCTGCAAAGTTGGGCGACGCGTTTCGAATATCCTTTTCCGACTCGGTCCACTGTTGGGGTGGAGTTGGGGATGATTTCCCCATACGGTTAGCCAATTCGCACACACACTTTCTCTCATCTTTTGTGTTTATCCGCTTCCTTTAAGAGATGGATCATGCTGACGCAGGGGACTCGGGGAAAAAAAGAAACCTACAAAGTACGCCGAGTGCTCGGAAACAGGGAACCCATCCTCTGCCAGCTCAATGGCTGGCGCAAGAACGTCCTCCAGGGTCACCTTGCCGCTCCCGAACCTCTCCACGGTGTCAGCCCAACCAGCAGGCGCGCCGGGGACGGTGGCGGCATGAACGCTGCTCATGGGGATCTTGCGGCCCTTCTCTTCCGGGGCATAGCCCAAGTCTTTCCGGATGATCTCGGCCGTGTATGCGGCGCCCGACCGACCGGACCCATTCATGGCCGAGACTTTGCCCGTCTTGGCGTCGTAGAACAAGATGAACATGTCTCCGCCGATGCCAGTGGAGCATGGCTCCGTTACATTGAGGCCGGCAGCTTTTCCGTTTAAGCATATAATGTCAGCGGAACAAAAACACCACGAACTTATTTGGGGACAGCCGGCCCTTTTAGCTCAATTTTGAGACGTAAGAAGAGACTCGCGGTAGCATTCGCGCCCAAACAAGCAAGGCACTCACGAGCTACGTGTACTTACCAGCAGCCACGGCGGCATCCTACATGTCCGGGAAACACCCGCCATTAGCAAACAAGATTCGTTCCAAGATATCCGACAGGAAAACAAGCGACTCGAACTCACCGCAGCATTGCCTCCTTTTTCCAGCACCTTGATGCCGCATCGAGCCGCCAACGGCTGTGTGCAAGCGACGACTCCCTTGGTGCTATGAACCACGCTTCGCCGGCTTGGAAACCCAAACGTGCCACTCTCCGCCAACGGTGTCCCCATCGCCGGGTATAGGAAGGAGGGATCTTGCTCGACGCTCATGATGATGATGATGCTGATGATGGCGATGAGGGGTAGTTTCTCAAATTGCGCAATTAGGATGTATAGATCCCACCAAGGTTTCCTTTTCTCTAGTCTCCCTCTTCTCTTCTTTTACGATTTCTCCCTCCAATGAGCCCCAAAACGAATAAAAATAAACCAACTGTGCTTCGGCAAGAAGAGTGACGAATCCAAGGCCTGTCGAATCAGGATTCCGAGTACAAATTTACAAGGTGGTCGAGAGTGATGGAGAGCGCGGTTGGGCGGCGCAACCAGATCTCTTAATACCTTTCCCCCGTTCTTCGGAATGACGGAATGGGCGAAAGAATTGTTCTGGAACACTTTGAACAAAAGGGCCGCGGTTCTGGTGCTTGATTACCACATAAATTACCACTTCTAGCATTTGCACCTCCATCACGAAAAGGGCGCTGGCGTCGTCTCATAGCGTAGAAGCTGGCGCTGTCCTGACTCACCCCGCCAAAAACCCCCTCGGGCCGAGACGGTGGAGGGGTATCCAATGCAATGCGGGGCAACATCGGCCGTGGGTCGGTTCGGTTACGAGATCTCCGGAGGAGGGAGCCAAGGAGCCAGAGATGGCATGTGGGATTGGGCTTGATCGAAAATGTGCAAAGCGCTGAGATTCCCAACTATCCTTCCAAGGCTGTCTCCCTTTTCCCCGTCTTTCCTGTCATTCCCGTTCCGAACCCCCAACTAAATCTGTCTTGACATCCATTTTGATTCTATTACACGTACGGCATGACACAACTGGGTGTCCCCCGCTCATCTCCACCCTCACTCGACTTTTAAAAACTGAAAGCAATGGATCTTCCCATGACTCATCATACGCGTGCTTTTACGACTCTTCGCAGGCCTTTCTGAGCCAAACTAGCTGATAGAGTAGCCTGCCAAGCAAAGGCAAAAGAAGAATAGGTGCCGTCTTGGCCGGCGCGGGCTTGTCAGGTTTCGTTCTCAAGTCATCATCATCTATTATCATTTCCATACGGTATCTAGCAAACAGCCCTAACAAGTTCAACTATTGGCATCTCTGTTGTGAGCAGCCTCCCCTCATCCCAGGTGCCCGCGCATCATTGATTGCCAGCCGAAACGAACCGCAAACCAAACGGCAGTAGCAGCCCTACCCCCTTCTTTAAATTGGCGTTTTGCGCTGCATAGCTCCCGTCACCCACGGCGATGCGTCGTATCGGTAGCACCTCTTCCTTGATCATCGACACCATCTTCATACTCAACCCAGATGCAGAGTCTGGCTGATGAGAAAAGGCCTTGGCATAAGTAAGTGTGGTGTGCCTCCCTTATCAAGCTAAGGTCCACACGCACACGTTCGGGGTTCGGAAGGAAAAACAACAAAAAGAAAAAGAATAAAAGGAATTAGACACTTTCCGCATCCACCATACGAAAAAAGGGCGGCACAGTTTGATCCCTACTAATTTCCCTCTTGTGAATTTTCTTGGTGTCTTTCTTGGCGTCTTCTTTCTCTCCAACCTACTTCGTAGCCACCACTCTTCCGCCCTCGCTATTTCATCGCTTAAGGGACCTCACCGATGCCGAGGTGCTCGGGATCAGCCTTCACAATACGCATGGTGTTGGTGTTACCCATTCCACCGCGCCAGCCCTGCATGATGACAATAGTCTCGCCTCGAGAGAGGACGTCGAGCTCGATCGCCCGGGAGACACCCCACTTAATACGGCGGTCAACATCTTCCTGCCAGTTGACCTTGTCGAAGTCGGGCTTCTCCTCGGGGAAGTAGAAGGGATATACACCACGGTTCAAGTGACCGCATCGCGAGGTATGGGCGTTGCGGGTGATCATGATAATGGGGCAGACGGGCCTGTACTTGGAAAGAAGGCGGGCCGAGTTTCCAGACGTGGAAAGGACGACAATCGCACCAGCACCGAGATCGAGCGAGGCACGCACCGCCGCCATGGAGACGGACTCGGTAGTCGAGATAGGACCGTTGTGGGGAGAGAGACCATCTCCTCGTACAAGCTGATGTAGGGAATAGACGCTTCGGCACGCAGGCACGCGTCGCTCATCTCCCGGACAGCAAGTTCGGGATAGGCGCCCTTGGCAGTCTCACCGCTAAGCATGACGCAGTCGGCACCATCAGTCACCGCGTTACCGACGTCGCTGATCTCAGCACGGGTGGGCCGAGGGTTCTTAATCATGCTCTCAAGCATCTCTGTGCCCATATCGTTAGCATCTCTTTTCCGCTCGACAAAGGGAGTACACAACGCCATTGCGACGTTTTGGAAAGGGGGCTCTATTTGTGTGGCAAGGGTTCGGCTTGGTAATTGAACTCACGAGTAGCGCAGATGACGGGCTTCCCGGCCATGTTGCACATGGCAATGATCTGTAATGAGAGACAGTTAGTACCCACCACTCACTCCATTCCATAGTCCCTAGGCTAGCAAGGGATCGGGGGTGATGACACACCTTCTTCTGGGCACTGAAGACCTCGGCGGCGGGAATTTCGATACCCATGTCGCCACGAGCAACCATGACACCGTCAGTCTCAGAGAGAATGTCGGCAAAATTGTTGAGGCCCTGTCGGTTCTCAATCTTGGCGATAATCTTGATGTGGGCACCATCCTCGCCGAGGACATCACGGATGTCACGGATGTCCTGGCCTCTTCGGATGAAGGAGGCGAAGATCATATCAACACCGTTCTTGACACCAAACCGCAAGTCGTTCTTGTCCTTCTCGGAAAGGGCGGGGAGATCGATGTCGGTGTTGGGCAAGTTGACGCCCTTCTTAGACGAGATGAAGCCGTTGTTGCGGGCACGAACCTCAATCGTCTTATCGTCCTTGATGCTAAGAACGTCAAAGGCGAGGACGCCGTCATCGACATAGACGACGCGGCCGGGCTCAATCACCTTGGTGATGTTGGCATAGTCAACGTACCTATTGCGTGCGGCTCAGGTTAGCCCAGATCTGACGGACTTTCCATTGTTTTGCGACATTGCGATTGGGACACTTACATGTTCTCGGCATCGCAAGACTTGGCGTATTTCTCGTCCGTGGTGATGTTCAAGATTGTGCCAACAGAAATGGGAATGTCAGCATCGCCTTCAGTGTTGCCAGTGCGGATCTCGGGACCCTTGGTATCGAGTGCAATGGCAACCTGACGACCAGCCATGGCCTCCTCGGCGGCACGGGTGTTGTCAATCACGGACTGATGGTACTCGTAGGTGCCATGGGAGAAGTTCATGCGGACAATGTTAAGTCCGGCCTACAAAGTTGTTAGTCGAGGAGTTGAAAAGACCCTGTAAAGAAGAGGGCAGAATAGGTTGAGGTGCTCACCTGACGCAGCCTGTTGATAGCTTCGACGGAGTTGGTCTTAGGACCAATGGTGCAGATGATAGAGGTCCTTCGGTAGTTCTTGGCCGGGGTGCGGGTAGTGTCGAGATCCGCAAGCCATGCGATCCGACCTCCGGTAGCAAGAAGGTTGGTGGTGTTGCCCTGGGCAGGCGCCGCGGCGGCCTGGGGAGGGTTGGAGATGCTCCATGAGTACCTCTTAGATATCGAGTATCTCTTTCCGCTAGACATTTTCGAGTAGATGAAAGCTCACTTGATGAGCTATTTGGTGGGACTACAAGCAGAGATATGCGTGGGTTAGATAGAGAGCTGGGCCATGAGGTTTGGGAGCTTCAGGAATAAGAGTGGATGGGGAAGGAGAGGGTCAGAAACCCCCAACGACAAGAAGCAATTGCTTTCTGAAGCTTCTTTCTCTATCCATATTGAATAGCACCCTCTCCGCTGGTGACTCTCACCCAATCTCTTCCTGATTGTTCCAGGAGAGACACTGGGGAGAGGGTGGCGACAAGACAAGGGGGTAGCTCTTACGCTTAAGTGACCAGAAGTAAAACTTCAGTAAGGATGACTTGAGAATGATACTCAAATAGACCAGAAGCTATTGATGTTGGAGAAAGGGGAGGAGAAAACTTCTTCAACCCTACTAGCAATGAGCAGGAGTACAAAGATGAGAATTGAAAGAGGAAGGGGAAAAAAATAATTCCCAGGTTGCAGGAGATATTTTTTCACCTCAAAACAATATTTGGCAAGGAAGGCGGGAGGGAAAGTTGGGCTTAGGCGGGGTAATTACCATAGCATCAAGTATTTTCCTATATCAGCTTGAAGAAGGAGCGAGTGGCTCCAATGCTTGAGCCCAAGATCAAAGACGGTGAGGAACAGTGCACAAATAAAGTACATTCCCTCTTGTACCTAACCTCATTCCCTCACTCTCACTCTGAACCTACTCGGGCCTATCAATCTCCAATTCCTCAATTACACTGTAGAGACAGCTTGATAGGGAAGGAGGGGCAGAGGGTTGGTCTGCATTCTTGGGTGAGGTGGGAGGGCAAGGAGGGAAAGTGCCTGGAAGGGGGGCAAACCAGCCAAGCATCATGAAGTTCAAGCTTGTCACTTGCATCTGTCCAATCCCATCCCCTCCACCCACCCTCACCTCCCTCACCTCCCTCACCTCCCTCACCTCCCTCACCTCCCTCACCTCCTTCGCCTGTGCTGTTTCATGTCAAGAGGGCTGGAGAGGGATTAGATAATTGACACAGAGGCAAACGAAACCACCGTTGCTTATCAGAGGCTAAGATATGCCCGCCACCGAGCTCCCTCGTCTGGATAGCTTGGGGGAGAGAAGTGGTGGGAGGCTGAGCAACCTCGCGACTGCTGAAATTCCGGACCGCCCACGTCTCCCCTCCCCCGCGCGCGTTGGGGGCAGCCTGATGTCTTTCCATCCCCGTCCACCCTCGATGGCCAATTGATGCGTGCTGGCTTGCTCTACTAACACATTGAACACCACCTGCCCGCATTGTGCACAGGTATGCGGCCCGTTCTCGCCCCATCCGAGACCCCTCTCCCAATTCTCCCAATTCTCCCAATGAGCCTCCCTTGTCGAGAAGGAGGGGAAATTGACTCGACAACATGCCGCTTTTCCTCACGATTGTATCCAGTAACATGCTTAATTTGGGCAACGAGGGTATCACAGGCCAACCAGTCGTCTCAGCCAACTAAGGAAAGAAAAAGAAAAAAAAAGGAAATTTGAGGGCTGTGAAGAATGGACTAAAGTCTCTCGCTTGCCTGTCTTGACGTGAAAAACAGCGCATCCGGAAGGACCATCGGCCTCAATTCAACAGTTTTGCGTCCACATTAAATGGATCTCACGCTATCCTCGTACTACAGCAGCCGCAAAAGCAAAGCAGATCTTGATACGAGTACCTTAGGTAGCATGGGGCGTGTGCAGTGAGTGATCCGTCAGCTCAAGCTCCCTCCTGGAAGTTGAACTGGGATAAAGTCCTGCCGCCATCGCCGCCCTCGCCGGTGCTGTGGTTGCTCTGGGCATGAAATGGCTCGTCATCGCCGGTTCTGGAATCGACGCTAGCGCGCACAACCCAAGGAAGGCTAAGCCGAGTCGGTGAGATTTTCAAGGCTATTACGAAGGTTTTGCGTGGAAAAAAAAAGAAAAAAGCCTCCCACTCACTCGCATCCAGGATGCGCTAGATAGGTCCCCACCAGAGCTCAAGTCCCTCGCGTAACAAGGGCGACGATCCAACAGCCCCCAATCTCATCCACTCTTCGAATGGGACACTCAGCACTTGACTTGCTCCACTCCTGTTCAATGTGAGGCCGTTTCTGCCACTAGTTCCTAACATTGCTACTATAGGCTATTCCCCTCTGCCTCGACACGTCTCCCAGCCGCCCGTGCCATGCTCTCTCTTTAACAGACCCCCGCGCCGAGATTTGACCGCGTTAGTTATCGGCCCACCGACAGAGGCCCATCAGGCGGAAACCTAAGCCTTCTGGTCCGAAATCCTCACCATGGAAGGCATCTGTAATATCCGCCCTCTCTCAAGACCCCACTTTGACCTTGGTGCGCTCTTTCGGTGGTCTTTTGGAGTCGACGGCCGTCGAGTTTCTCCGTACTAGCGTACCTTTCCCCTTGCCTTGTTAGTCCTCGTCGTGTGTTATGTCCCGCTTGGCCCCAACAAGGGACTTCGCACTTTGCAGACTCGGTGCCACACCTCCGAAAGAAGGAACCATTTGTGTTATCTCGAATAATACTCTTCCTCTTCAAAATGGCCCTCATTACATTCTTCGCTCTCGCTATTGGCGCCGCCCTTCCCATGTATGATGAACGCAGCACTAGGTCAAGAGCTTCAAAGCTCGCCACAACCGGAGAATAACACATTTTCCCTTTCCTCCCTTTCTCTTTACTTCTCCCTTCGCTTTGCCGTTATTTTCCTACCTCTGTTTTGGTCACCTTTTCTTCTTTCCCCTTCCTCCCAACTTGGTGTGACTAAACGCCCCACCCACACGTTGGCGGTGGCTAGGGGGCAAGGGGGCTATCTTTCATCAGACACAGTCCCATTAGCTCACCCAAAGAAAAACGAAAAAGAAAAAGTCCTAAAAAACTACTGAGGATAAGGGGACGAGGAATGTGTGAATCTTGAAGTAAATTGGTCTCCGTTGCGTTGTGATACATTTAAGAATACAGATATATATACGCCCTCGAGCACATGGCCGAGGCCAAGTCGTCCCTGTCAACGCCCACCTCACTCGTGCACGTCTGTTCAGCGAGTGCTGCTTGCGTAAAGACTTAGCATCAAGAATGATGCTAATGGTTGGTTACAATACCATATGCGCTCTTGGTCCGGCCTGCTTTCCGGCCGTCTCTATGCTCCTTTCGCTCCCCTTGTCTATGTGGCAGTGATGTCCTCCTTAAACAATGGTTTGATGCATGGTAACCCTCCCAAAACTGTGCACGCCTGTGTGCTGTGTAGTTTAGAAGAATCGCCGGAACAGAAAAGAAAAAAAGGAAATGAGGGAAAACAAGCTAAGGAAAAATGATGGGACGTCGGAATTGGGTCACGAAAACACATGGACTAGGGCAGGGGAAACCTCGCCCCCGGCCACTGTCTTGACTCAACCCAAGAGCCTTACTCATGTCGGAATGTACACTGATCTCCCCGGGCGCAGGTGCCTTGCTTGTAGAAAACACAGGGTTTCGTTCCGATGAGAGCGCGGTTGACTGGGCGATGAGGAGGGAGGGTTCCGGGTGTCTTGTTCTTCCCGCGGCCGCCGCCACTACTGCTCCCGTGCCTACCGTCCCGGTCCCGGTCCCGGTCCCGATCCCTATCGCGCTCCCAATCGCGCGAGGGAACATCATCGTAATTGAGCCCCGTTCCCTGGTCCCCGCTAGCGTGCTGCTGTTGCTGCTGTGAGGGGAATGCCGATGATTGGGCTTGTTGCTGAGGCGCCATCTGGGCAAGCAACATTAGTTGTTGGTAAGTAGCATCATTTGAGTGCATTTGTGGCGCTGCGGAGGCCCCCGGCTGGGGTAGCTGTAGCCGGTTGTGATTGTGATTGACCGAGGGCGGCTAATACAGCCTGGAGTTGGTCGTTGCCGCCTGCTTGCCCCACCTGAGCTGTGGTGGACGCAGTGGCCCCGAGAGGCACATTGCCAGCCTGCATCTGTTGTAGGATTGCCATATAGGGTGCATACGCCTGCTGCTGCGCATAATAAGCCGCCCATGCATCAGCCCCAGCCTGGCTTTGCATGGCCAGGAAGCGATCAGACTCCGCTCGTGCCCGTTCTTCAGCCTCCCGCTTCGAATGAGCAGCTGCGTCTTTATCGAACCCAAGCCACCATTCCCTGACGGCCTCTGTGTTGTCCCTTAGCCACTCCGGCGGCTCCGTAGCGGGATATGGTCCCGTCAACTTGGCCGCGGCCTCCTCAACGGCGTCTGCGGCATACTGTGCTCGCGGATCGGGGTAATCGTGACGGCGGTGTGTCGTACGGGAGAGCTCCCGGCCCTGCCACTGCTTGACCTTGTCGCTTGTGAGGAGAGCGACGACCTGCTCTGGCGCCGGCCGGCCCGCCGTGGCATCCGTTTGTGATTCGGATGGGATGGTGCCTGAGGCACCTCCTGCCATCTGTCCGGCAGCGGCGGAAGTTCGCAGGCTGTCGAGGATATTGTTAACCTGATGGGCGGGGGTTTTCTTGCTCGCAAGTCGCTTCATGGCATACTGAAGAGCCGAGTCCCTCCCGAGTTGCTGGACCTCCTTCCAGCGGCGATGGATTTCGTCAAACTTGGAGTCGTCCCGAGGGAGGTGGCCAATCTTCACATCTATCGCTGGCTCGGCTCTGCCTGCCACAGGGCTCTTTGGTGTGGGCGGGATATCGGAAAATTCCTGGTAAATAGCAATGAGGACATTCTGCTCGCGGTCTGCCATAACCTTCTGCTCGGCCGTGGCGATGGCAAGATTTCCACCCCTTGAGGTGTAGGCCTTTTGTCTTTGGTCGATAGGGATATTGGAGAAGTCGATGGGTGCAGGGTCGAGCCAGGGCCGGTAAGGTAGCTCGTCCTCCTCATCGTCCTCCTCTTCTTCCAGGCCCTGTCCGCGCCTCTTGAGAACCATGCCTTCGCCCTTGTCATCAGCCGCGTCGCGGATCATTCTGGAATCGAATCCGGTTTCTTCCTCATCCTCTTGGTGGAAGAATCGCACTTGCTCCAGCTGATCATCCGCCTTCCAAGTTACCCGCAGTCTTCTGCGCGCTTCTTTACGCAGACGTGCCTCTCTCTCTTCGGGAGTTTCTTTCCTCTCGCGCTCCTCTTTGGGCTCTTTTGCTGGCGGTTTGGCCTCAGCTTTCGGGGCGTTGATGGAATCAAGAAGAGACGCGATGCCTCCGAGGGCGGAGGATGCTGATGAGGATTTCGAAGGCCTTGGGACATCAGACTTGGGTTCTGTTTTAACGGTTGCCTTCTTCACTTCAGGCTTGAGAGCTGCCTTCTCTTCACTAGCATTCTTGCTCGTGTCGGACTTGGCTGCTTCACCCTTACTAGGCTCAGGCTTGGCGATCGGTTTTAAAGCTGGTCGACTTTTTCCTGGCAAGATGCCAATCGGAGGACGAGGCTTAGCGGTCGCGGCCTTCGGCTGGCCCAAAGCCGTGGCCGGCGTTGGCTTCGAGAGGCCTTGAGATGGGGCACTTGGGCCAGAGTCGGTGGCCTGCTTTTTGGTGATGCGAGGCTCCGTCTCGTCAACACGAGCTCGCTTTCCCGGTGGGCTATCAGTTACAGATTTAGAAGGCGCCAGTTTTGACTTTGCAGACGGGGCGGTTACTGCTGAGCTCGGCTTTTGGCGAAGCCTCTGCCTCCACCTCTTTGTCCTTTTTGATTCTTGACATGATGGAAGCGAGCAGCTCCTTCACATCCGCGTCACCTTTGTCGGACAGGCGCCGCCTAATCGTCTCCAGATTAGTTTGCAAGGCTATCTTTTGAGTAATCCGAAAGTTGGACAAGAGCCGGAGGGCTGACTTGAGCATTGGGCCGGAGAAGTCGCCAGCTTTAATGCAGGCGATCAGCAGATTCATTAGGTTGAGAACAAGCTTGGTGTGACCTCCCAAGTTTTCTAGAACAACCTCATCACCGAACTGGTCAGCAGCGTCGAGTGTACGACAAAGAACCTGCTGTTTGAGATCGGCGTTGGCTTTCAGTTTAGGCACGTCTTCCGTCCTGTTCTCCTTCGTTGCCAGATCAAGAGCCTGGCGCGCCCTCATCATATCAGCCCTTCGGGAAATGATGTACTCGCCGGCTTGCTGTACAGCGCCCGCGAGGAGAGATGTGGTACGGGTTGCGGACGCATCGATGTGGACGGCGCCGATGATGTCCCAAGCCGCACCCTCGATGGGATCGGCAGGACGCACTTCAGGTCGGATCTAAGTGGGGTGGGGAAAATTAGCGGATGCATAGGGTAAGTAATCGTAGCCAGGTGTAGTGAATACTTACCGGCTTGTTCCGCTCCTCTTCAGCAAGCTTCCGCGCAAGCCTCTCCGCCTTGGCTTTTGACGCCTCGTCTGTTTTGAGCTGCTCTTTGAATGCATCTGTTTCAAATATTACAGTTAGTGTGATGGGATCTACGTAAAATCAGGATAGGATCATCTTACGAGGATACTCTGTATATTTAGGGCGACAGGGGCCTAGATCGCTCATGGCTTTTTCGAATTGCGTCAGAAGATCCTTGGCATCTCGTTTCCGGTCCTCGAGGCCAGCCCCGCTGTCCGAGGGCCTAAATCTATCCGAGAACTGGCCTTGGATCTCGCAAGGGAGAGAGCGTCCGGCGCCGGGTAGAACCGGCTTGCGGGATTGAGAGGGTAGGGCTACGAGGGGCGCTAGTTTGTCGTAACTCTTAGGGGCTGGTAGGAATTAGTATAGGTCGAGGTGAACCATGTAGGAAAACTACGAGTTGTACTCACTTGGAAGCTTGATGGACTGGCGGCTGATGAGGTAAGGGGCGGCAGGCACATTTGGGAATCTAGTCCTTCCAGTCGCTAACAGGCTCTGAAACTCGTCCAGCGCCGCATGGTCGGCTCTTGTGACTGTAGGATGGAAAGGCTCGGAGGGGTGGTCTATTGGTTGTTCAGGTAACTTGGCAGGCGAATCGACTTGAGAGTCACCTGCGTCCGCATCGGCGCTTGGGACCTTTTTCGTGGTACGTTTTCTCTTTTGGCAGCGGGCTCAGTTGAGATGTTAGAATCCACGGATGCCTGGGACGGACTGGGGGCGGCGGCCTGTTCCACGGTGCGTTTGGTCCCTTGCGTGTTTGTTACGGGAGCAGGAGACTGGAGCCCGGAAGCGGGTGAGGATATTTGCCCTGATACATTCCTTCCCTGGGACAAGGTTCCACGCTGCAGCGGAAGTGGCACGGGAGACTGGCTTGGTGTAGGCTGGGAGAAAGGTGATGCATGGTGTTGGATATATGATTGAGTGTACTGTGGTTGGGCTTGACCAAGGGGTGCGGGACTAAGCTTCTGCTGTGGGGCCACGGTTTGGGGGTATGCCACATGAGATTGTGCGTACATCTGCCCCTGGCCGGGTTGTTGCTGCTGCTGCTGCTGCTGCTGTGGAGGCTGCGATGGCTGGGGATAGGCCTGGTGCTGATATTTTTGCTGCTGTGCAGGCTGTTGCTGTTGTTGTTGCGGCTTCTGAGGGTGTTGCTGCTGCTGCTGCTGTATAGGTGCTTGTTGAGGGTGGGAGACCATCTCGTATGCTTGCTGAGCATTGCCCTGGTGAGCTGGCGGCTGGCTCATCGGCTGAGGAGTGAACGCGAGCGGGGATTGGAAGCTATGGTCATTTTCAGAAGGAAACGAGAAACTCTGCTGAAAGTTCTGCGCTGATGGCTGGCGTTGGTGGTGTTGGACAGGCGAAAAATCGTCCAGCTCCCCAAGATCAAGTTTATCCTGACCAAAGAGATCTTGTGGTATGGAATCGAACGGCGGGCCAAGGAAATCGGAACCATCCTGGTACTGGGATAGCCCGACCTGCGCGGCCGCAAAATTCCCAGAAGCGAGCGAGGAGGCTCCATTCAGCCCATCTCCAAGCAGATGTCCTCCAGGATGGGTTGTGGCAGGATAGAAGCCGGCCCCATTCGTGGCAGCTTGGTCGATGGAAGAATACACGGTTTGGCCGGGGATGGCTTGGCCCCAGGCCTGTGAGGGATCATCAAGAGAGCCATTCTGGTCAGGAAATGCATACCCTGGCCAGTTACCGTGGTTATCAGAGGATGAGCCAGTGGAGGCTGGATTCCAAGACTGCATCGTGAGCGCAGGTTGTAGGTCGCTCAGTGCCTTCTGCTGAAGTTTGTGTTGACAGCTGGCAACAGATGCCAGAAGCAACCGTATGGGAGAGATGTGGGGTCACACCGTATGAGCTAGGACGGTGCGAAAAGTAGTGAGGAGCTAGCGCTGGGTTGTGAGGAACCTAAGCCGGAGAGGAAAATGTTAATGAGAAACGTAATCCCCCAGGAGCGCCAAACAGCCAAGCATACCTTCGAAAAGGGACCACGCTAACCCAAGACGGAACTAGCAGCTCGCTGCGGAAAAATGGAAAGTCTGAAAGAGTTTGAAGTAATGATTAGCATTGTCAAAACATTGGTGCGACTGTTTCGAGGAAACTGTCTGCTAGAAAGAAACTGAAAAAAGTGACGATGCGTGCAAGCTATTAAAGTGAGAAAGAAAATAAAGGGAAATTGTTAATGCAAGGGGTATGATGGATTTTGATGAATCGGGTCAGACTTGGCGATTCGTGCATCTCCCTCAACGGAAGAAAGAGGATAAGAACGAGGCTTGAAAAGGGCGTTTGTGGCATTTGCAGCAAAGACTCAGCGAGGCTTGTCGCTGGACTGAGTTGGCAAGATTGCCCGACAAGTCTTGCGAAAATATTGCGGTTATTTTGCGTTGATGCCACTCTTCCTCGGATTTCCTTATAGATCAAGCAACCTATTCAAGCCGAAAATTTAGAGTGATTTTGAAAGCCCCACGCCCGATCGAGAAGCGCCATTGAGAATGGAGGCCGCGCTGACTTGAGAAATGGTTCGAGATGTGCAACCTCTCCCTCCGAAACGGCGATATGAAGAAAAACAAAAGAACCAACTCCATGACAAGCCTCTGCTTGCGCGAAGTAGCGTAGAGTTTAGCAAATCGCTGCCTCAACCGTACAAAGAGCTTCGACGGCCTTTAGCGTTGGCATTGTCCGGATGGCCTTGGCTCATGCTTGTGAAGAGACAAGAGTGTCCAGCCGATACGCGTAGCTTTGGCGATGGAGAGGTGTCTACTCTGGCCTCCATACTCTCTGCACGCGACTCTCTCTGCCTTGAACATCGTTCTTTTAAATTCTAATACCCACAGCCATCGCCCGCAATTTAAATATGCGACGTGACTAGGAGATATCCAGAATAGAATTTCAAGGTATCACATACAAAGCTGTTGAAGCGATGGTCGTTCAAAGACGAGCTGTTGGGGGAGATGGTGCGGGAGGATGGGGAGGCATGTGTTTGTGTTTGGGCAAGGATAGCGTCCTCATGCGGCAAACGGCAAGGGGCGGGCGGGAGAGGGGGGCGCTGGTGAGGGACCTGAAGAATGACCTACTTGAGCTAGTTCCTCCAATCTACAGAGAAGGCTATCATTCATGATGTTTCCTCCCATTTGGCGATGTAATTCTTTTTAAAGGCTGGGGAGAGGGATGACGGTTACGACATTGGAGTGGATGTTCAGGTCGTGGATGTTTGCAAAAGGGAGAGTTGGCGGATTCCTGTCTTTAAGGGTGGGCAAAATCGCGTCGGGTGCTGCTCTGGGGGAAAGGTTGGGTTGGGTACAGTGCAGGTAGGCAGGCGCAAGTAAAGGTACAAGGCAGCGTAGTGTAGCGCCCGACCCGACGAAAAGGAAAATTGCTGGCCAGGCGCAACTTCGTCGAGTTGGCGGCAAGGCAAGACTCGAAAATTATGGGCCGATAGAAGGTTGAATACGATCGCAATAATCTAAAGAAGATGAGTCGCGAGTCCAGAGATTGTTTACTGATCGGCAGGTGATGGTTTTTGAAGCGACGAGAGCAAAGGTTGATGTTGATGCGTAGGTTCTGGGCAGGAGAAGGAGAAGAACAAGAGGCATGGAAACGGGAAAAGGGTCACAGCACAAAAGGGGAGAGCTGGGGGACAGGCCGGCTCATTCCTGTGTCGAAATCAGCCGTCTTAGTCAAAGCCGGAAATGGTGCATGGTTGATCTGTGCTCACAGCTTGAGTGTTCCTGCCTTTGTTGACAGCACCAACTCTCCAAATCACACCTCTTTTCGCGACAGAGATCACCCGAATATTTCCCGGGCTGACATCACTACAGTTTTGGCTACATCCGTCGCACTGTACCGTGGCCCCTCGAGTGTTGCCAGCAGAGCTTCTTCCCACAGAACGGTGCGGTGCCGACGCCTGCAAGCAGATATCTACGGTCCTTAGCTCTACTCAACACACCTACTTTTACATGCCCAATCGCCGACTATAGCCATTCATGTGCGAAACGTAGCAATCGAACAGCCTGACTGCCGGAAAGAAACAAGATACCTGGAGCTGCTCCACTCAACGTCGCTCGCTCTCGCGTCCTACAATCCCCCAGTCGTTGTGGCGGCTCCCCGCGATGGCGACCAAAGAGAATACCTTGAGGGACAAGCAAATCGGTTCGTCTTCCCCCATTATTCCCGAGATATAGTCGCAAATTGCCTAACTAGGCGCTCAAAGTCTCAATAAAACGTATCCTCAACCTCAATCATGATGTCGAGACAGCCGACGCCGAGGACCCGAATGCCAACGGCGGTGTTCGGTCCTCCGCCCAGATCCTAACCTCTGAGGGCGAACCTATCTGGAAGGTCTTGGTGTTTGACGATCTTGGGCGCGACGTCATCAGTAGTGTATTGAGGGTCAGCGACCTAAGATCCATGGGTGTGACGATGCATATGTAAGTCTTGGAGTGGAATAGTCGCTCACCGCTAGCTTACGCATGTGCTGATCTTGAGGTTACCATCTAAAGGCATATTGGAGCATCGCGCCACCCGATCCCCGAAGTCCCCGTCATATACCTCGTCGAACCCACCTCAAAGAACCTGAAGGCCATTACCAATGACTTGCAAAATGGTCTTTACTCTCCGGCACACATCAACTTCCTTTCCTCGCTACCACGGGTTCTCCTGGAAGAATTCGCTGCTGAGACTGCAACAGCTGGGACCTCGGAGCACATCTCGCAGTTATTCGACCAATATCTCAACTTTATTGTAGCAGAGCCGAACCTCTTTAGCCTCGGGTTGCAGAAAGAGCACACGTATTGGGCCCTGAACAGCGCGAAAACCAGTGACGCGGAGCTTGAGCGGGTGGTCGACAGGATTGTCAGCGGATTGTTCAGTGTCGTTGTAACGCTAGGTGAGTGGACGCTCTGTCTTTATTGTGCGCTTGCGAGCGCCGGGCTAACCCTCTCCAAACATAGGCGTGATCCCAATCATCCGCTGTCCCAAGGGCGCTGCTGCCGAGATGATATCCACTAGACTTGATCGAAAGCTCCGAGATCACATCCTCAACTCCAAAGACAACCTATTTTCACTCGGTGCCAGGTCCACTTCATCCACAGGAACGCCAGCCTCGCGTCCCGTGCTCATTATCCTCGACCGAAATGTCGACCTCATTCCCATGCTCTCCCACTCGTGGACATACCAATCCCTAGTACACGATGTCCTTAATATGAAGCTCAACCGCATCACCATTGAAGCACCAATAGATGAGAATAATCCAGCGAGAGGAACCTCCAAGAAGAGTTACGATCTCACCTCGAACGACTTCTTCTGGGCCAAGAACGCGAGCTTGCCCTTCCCCCAGGTTGCTGAGGATATCGACGCCGAGCTTACCCGTTATAAGGAGGAAACCGCTGCGATCACGAAAAAGACCGGTGTGGCCGATCTGGAAGACCTCCAGAATGACACCAGCGCCAGCGCCCAACACCTCAAGGCCGCCATTACCCTACTACCTGAAATGAGGGAACGCAAGAGCATCCTTGACATGCACATGAACATTCTTGCTGCCCTCCTCACTGGTATCAAGGACAGGCAGCTAGACACGTTTTTCGAGACTGAGGAGAACGTAACAAAGCTCACCAAACCCCAGATTCTGGAGATTGTCAAGGATGGCACGAAAGGCAATCTTCCAATAGACAAATTGCGACTCTTCGTCATCTGGTTCTTGAGCACCGAATTCGACGTCAGCCGGTCGGAATGGGAGGAATTCTCGCAGGCGTTCACGGAGGCGGGAGTCAACTCCGAGTCTCTAGCCTATATTCGACAGTAAGTCAGCCCGTCGGGGAGAGCAAGAATAACAACCCAGTTTCGCCTCCATGCTAATGAATGCTGTAGAGTCCGCGCCACGACCAAGATGACACAATTGACCACCGTCAACAGCACCTCTGCTGCCCAGCAATCGTCGTCTAACGATCTTTTCCAGCGCTTCTCCTCTATTTCCAATCGACTGACTGATCGTCTCAAGGATACTGGTGTCCCAACCGGGCTCTCATCCAATTTTGAATCACTGATCGGTGGCATCAAGAACTTCCTCCCAGCCAACCGAGACCTCACCATCACCAAGATCGTAGAGAGTATCATGGACCCTTCCACTGCTTCCAGCTACGCCATTGCCAAGACGGAAAATTATCTCTATTTCGACCCGCGGTCCGCCAACGCGCGCGGAACGATGCCGCCCCCAGTACGATCCGGGCAGGGGGAGCCAACCCCCGGGTGGCATGCCCAGCGGCTCTGGCCTAGGTGCCCAGGGCGCCGGCACGGGGCCAGCTTTGGCCAAAGACGGCAGGGCTTCACCGAGGCTGTCGTCTTCACCGTCGGCGGAGGTAGCATGGATGAGTATGGCAACCTGCAAGAGTGGGTGGCACGTGCGGGCAGCGACCGCGCCAAGAAGAGAGTCGTATACGGTAGCACGGAGCTGCTGAATGCCAAGGAGTTTATCAGCGAAGAGCTGGAGAGGTTGGGCAAGGAGATTGGTAGCTAAGCTAAACGGGTCGCTGGTTTCTTGCCTCGCCATTCGGGATTCACAAGGAAAACCGGGGTTGCATGTGCTGATAATGAAAAGAACGGCAAGCCTTCTAAAGTCGGGCTTCCCGCGAGATTACGGGAAATTAAGTAGAGTGGATCGAATGGGTGGGGAAACCGTTAGGTGTACCCGTCCCGTATATGCGGAGAAATACAAAAACGAGAACAGACGAACCCATTTTTTCAAAGACTTGAGCCGTTGGGCCTGTGAAGACATTCAGCTCCTCCACCAGTCCACTATTTGCTATCATATCATATAAGGATTTTACAGAGTGAGGATAGGGCGTCTGGGGCCGAGCCGATATTCCCCACCCTTCCACGAGCAGTTCGGCTTACCAGATGTGCCACCAGATACGCCAGTCAAGAGAAGGTGGAAAATACAAGTGATACTTGGAGGTAAATCTTGAGATCATAGACATTATTTCGAACCTAAAAAGAACATTGAAGACCAAAAACCCCCAACAAGGGCCAGCACTCCAACCAGAATTCAAGGTAGCCCAGGCGAAGGAAACAACGAGTCGGCAATGATGGTGACGGACTAGATGCACCCCACATGGCCTCCAGACCAGGTATCTACATGGCAGCTCCTCCAACCCGGAATGCATTGTGATCATGAGCAGAAACGAGAACGGTGCAAGATGAGACAGCACGTACACACAAGATGACGAAAAAGGTTTCTAACAACAAGAAGAACAACGAAGCATAAGGCATATGAGAGGCAAAATGACATGACATGAGACAACGGCCTTACATTTCGTGAAGGGTATTGAGGAAAAAGGAGAGAAAAGGAAAAGAAAACAACAGAGATACGTGTAGCATCAAGCTAAGTATCGCAGGTTCGAGGTGCACCTTTCTACGCATATAAACGCCCAAAAAGAATCATAAGCGAAAAGAGGGAGACTTTTGGGGTAAGCGTGTTTATACACCGCGGAACATCCTAACCACAAGGAACCACATGGCGCCAATGAACTTGAAAGCACTCAGTCCAGCAACACTCCAGAGGACGACACTCATGTAGATGTTGACGCGCTGATCGCCATCAGTCTGGTTGGGGCTGATATGGTCAAGACCGGCAGCCGAGAGGACAGCAGCGATAAGAGCAAAGTTGGAGATCATCCAACCGAGCACGGTAATGGATCGAATGGCGCGGTAGTAGTCCATCTGCTTCTCTTCCAACTGCGCAGGTGTGGGTGTCGTTTTCACAACCTTGGGCTTCTCACGGAAGACGGACAATTCCTTCATGTACTGAGCATCGAGATCGGTCTCGTCGGGAAGATCTGTTTTACCGGCGCCATCCTTGGTGGAGACGGACGGGAGAGCCTCCGCCTTGTCGTCGCCCTTGGTGCCCCACGAGACATCATGGGTGTTGCAGAAGGCGTACACGTTGAGGACGTTGACGTATGTCGGGGTGAGCAAGACGTACTGGATCAGCGAGGTAACCATGTGCCAGGGATCAAACATGAGGAGTGATGCGATAAACCAGATTCCGTACGTGGCGGTGACTGAGATGATCAGATTGTAGAAGACTGGGTTCTTGAGTAAATCCTCGGGACTGAAACCGTTTTCGTCGTTGATATCTTTGAGGATAGCGTGGACGGAGATGTAGATGGCAGCGAACATGAGATAACTACAGCGCAAGGTCAGCATTTAGGATAGAGTAAGCAACAAGGGCAAGGAGGGAAACTCACATCATGATGATAGCCCAGAAATAAACCATGATACCATAGAACTTGCCGGATCCCGCGGGACGGTTACCCATGGAAAGGACGAAGCAAGTCATTAGAGAGATGCCGTATAACCAAGCGAACACGATACCCAGGATATTACCAACTTGCCCGAGAAGCTCCTCCTCGGCCAAACTTGTCGTCAGAATCTTGAACACGAGGAAGAAGTTACCGAGACCGAACCAAGCGAAAATCATGTTAATGGTGTTGAAGACGAATTCGATGAAGAACATTAGCTTCCGGAAGATGGAATGATCAGAGCGGAAGAAATCGTGGAAATGGGCAATGGCGTAGATAGCGGCGAAGAAGGAACCGTTCAGCCAGCGGCGTCGCTGCAGGACCAGTTCCTGGACTGTGTCAGGCACATCGGTCTCGCCAGTAGCAGACTTGACGTATTGCAAAATCCAGTGGCAGTTGCGTTTGGTGACAAGCTCGAAGCACAGAATACGATCTTCGGCGAGGTACATGTTGGCAGTGAAGATACCAGCCCCAGCACCATGCAGTTTCTCACCTGCAAAATACTTCTCCAGCGGGCCCTGGCCATTCTTATCGTTCTGGAGGGCCACATACCGGTAGGCAGAGAAGGCACCGGGCAACACGGAAATAAAACCAAAAGCAGACTCGAGCGGCTTGTCTAGGATGTTGCTCATCTTGTACTCGAAGTTCTGTGTTGCCACGAGGGGATTGATCAGGTTTCTGCCACCTGTTCCCAACATAGCCTTGATCTCTCCGCAAGCGCCAGCGCACATAGGTTCGAGATCGAAGGCCCTCCACAAGTCGTAAATCGATCGGCCGCCTGGCTTTGTACCGGCGTCAAGGAGGACGCAAATGTTTGGATCGAGAACTCTGCCAAAGGCTTGGAAGAACCACCGATGGGAGTTGATCTTCTTCTGGTTCTTTTCCTTCAGGCAGAATAGGATCTGCACCGGTTGCTGCTTGGGGATGAGTTGAACGACATCGTTCTTGATCTGCATGCCCACCTGCGTGGTATACTCGTAGATATGGGCCGTGACATCTTTCTTGTTGACTTGCTGCTTGGCAATGCCTTCTTGGTAAACACCCATACCAGCAAGAAGCGCCCTGGTCCTGGGGTTGATCTTTCCACGGCCGTCGCTCACAACGCAGACCACAATCTTCTTCCAGGCATCCTTGCCCCAGGTCTTGCTGTTGGCACGGTTGCACATGTACTCGACGTTCTTGAAAACACCCATCATTGTTCTCGCGAACAAGATCTCGTCCTCATTATACATGGTGACAACGATGAAGAGCTCGGTCGGGCGGGGCTTACTAAAGAGCTTCTGGCGCAGGGTGAAGTTGGTCTCGTAGAACTCGGAGGGGTCGCACGTCGCGGCGGTATAGCGCATATGAGTAAACTCGTCGCGCTCACCGTGGGGGAGCTGGTTGAGAAGCCTGGGCGGTACAGGGCAATCAAGGACAAGGTTACCACGATAGAGCAGTACCTGCTTGATTGTCTTCCCGCGCTTCAGTCCACCACCCTGGACAGGCTGCTGCTGAGCCTGTGCGGCCTGATGGTCAACAGGGTCTCGGTAGGCTTCGCTCATGTTCGACTCCTGGTGAGTGAGCATTGGCCTGTTATCATCGTAGCCGTAGCCTTCGTGGTGGTCGGGTTCGTACGGTTGGTTATAATAGGCGTCATGGTGCTGTTCCGGATTGACGGCATAGTCAGCTCGTCCGTGAGTGTTGCTAAAGTTGTCGACGGAGTGCTACAAGTTCAAAAGACAGAGGCAAAGTGTTAGCTCACTCTCCGGTATGACCAGTCTTCGCTGTCCAAGAGGGAGACTCACCGCAGCGTTCAGCTGCAAGTTGTCGCTTGGGCTATGGTAACGGGTTGGTCCCGTAGGCATCTGAAGATGGGTCGCATGGCGGTCATCGTAGGGGTTATCGTCCAGTTGGTAACCATGCTGAAGAGGATGCCCCGGCGAGGGGGTTCGGTGTGCCCTGTTATCCATAGGATAATGGTCGTCTAAGTCAAGGGCAGCGAGGGTTAGAATAAGTCGTCAAGATGGAGAGCATCAACGAGCAGGTCTTTGCTTGTCTCCTTTGGCACCGGCCCAGGCGTGTGTAGCAAGATCAAGCCCCAGGGTGGCCTCGGGTATCTATTGAGCTTTTGGAATCGAAGAGGAAGGGGTCCTGAGGAAATGCCAGGGAGGGATTGTGGATCGTAGGATAAGGTCAGGAGGGGATTGCCGGCTAAAAGAGCCAAGGTTGGAGGTTGCGACTCTCCGTTGACACAGCCAAAGAAGAACCGGAATATGCGTCGACGAGTTCAAGCACCCCACCCACGTATGCGCAGCAAATGGGTCGAGGTCGCAAAAGCCACAGGCGGGTGAGAAGGAGGTGAAGGGCGCGGGCAAAGGAGATGAGATGAGGGTATGTCGAGTACACGAGAGGACCAGAGGAAGGGGGTAGAGAGAGAAGAAAGGTCTACTTACCCAAGCGATTATACGACATTGTTGCAATACCAATGCTCCTGAGACGGAAAACCGAGTTGCCAAGTGTTGAGAGGTGTGGAAGACTGCGACTGGACGTCAAGATCGGGTTGCCCTTGGGGATTGGACGTGATCGCTGCAAGGGTCGTCAACGGCCCGTGAGGGGGGCTCTTTCAAGAAAGGGTGTATGTGGGCTCGTCGGGTATCACGAGGAATTGGGCTCCCTCTGCGCGCAGACTCTTTTGATGTTCTGCAAAAGTCTCGAGTTAGGCGGCCCCTTGAATCCTGCAGAAGCTGGTTGTGAGGCTCTCTGACTTGAGCGATCCTATCTCCAGGGACGAATGTCAAGGTGGGGAGCGGAAAGGGAGAATGGGTAGAGAATGGCGAATATCGCCGAAAGAACGATGTGCCTCTCTGTTTCAGGAAGATTAATGCTTGCAGCGTACCGAAGCGCAACGAGGGACCAAGGAAAGAAACTTCACGAGGAAGAGAAGAATTGTCGAGTTCTTCCCGAGGAAAGAGGCAGCCTCTCGTCAAAAAAAACGGAGAAGACGGGTCGCAGGCACCTTGGCACAAGCTAAAGTACATTGGTTGACGTACCCCGATAATAAGGGGGCGGGGGTAGTTGCGTTTCAGAAATCCCAAGGAAGGCGCAGGATTGTCATATCCCAAGATCTTACAAGTACAGCTCCACTACCAGTGCAGTGTACATTCACGAGCCCTCAAGCTCCACGCGAGTTCCTGAGTACATTACGCTGCTCTGCTCTGCACTGCAGCGTTTGCCAGATTCCAGACACTAGCGCACCCACGGAGAGGGACACTGCCGTTGCAGCTAACGCTCCACTTTTGCTTTTGACGTTTCCAGAGTGAGAACATCTGCCAGGGCCAGAGAGGAACTTGCAGGGCCCCAGCCACGGTGAACCGAATCCCAAGAAAACGAAAGGAAAAGGAAATCAAGATGGCGCTTTCAGCTCCCGTTTGTCGGGCGACAGGTTCTGGTCTGTTTTTCTCCCTTTGTCTTCTCCTTCCTTCTCGGATACATCCCCCTCCCCAAAACGTTTCGTGGCGACAAAAGTCATCCATAGATGGATCTATTTTAGTTCTTTTCGTTTGTCTGGGTCCTTCAGCCCTTGAAGTTTGTGGCACTGTGGCGGCGCAGGCTCCCCTTGGACAAGCCATTGGCTTGAGCTCCCCTCAGAGGCTGGTCAATCATTGTCCACCATTTGAACGTGCTCGGAAGGGCACAAAATCCACTCTTGTCGAGGTCTTATTACCATCAGGACCTTCAGAGTAAAATGAGCCTTGCCTGTTGAAGTGGAGGCAGCGGCAAACCGGCAATATCAAGACCCGTCCGCGACTCCATCGCGTCGGCCGAGACCAGCACAGAGCAGACACCGAAAAGATAGGGTCATTTCCAATCGCCTCGAGGCAAAATCTCGTGTAATAAATCCAGGCTTGAAGCGGGATGGCGCAGGGGCCTTGGAAGAGAATGTCCCACGTTTCTGGAAATTTGTTTGGCGATACAAGCCACGGCAGAAGTCTCGACCGTCATCAGAATTGAAATATTAAGGTATTTGCCTCCCCGAGGGATGGGGGCCCAATTACCATGTTAGGACACTCATAGTACACCTTCATCAGTCTAGATTCCGTTCAAGTCCACCCACACAAGGTCCTTTGTACTCCATCCCTCCCCATCCAGAACTGGTTTCTCAGACACTTGATTGGCCATCCCCACAGTCCTAGAGCCGAGTCGAGCTGGCGCATGCACATTACGACTGGCGATGCACTGCCCCTGAATTACGCAGTGGCAAAATCCCTGCTGATCAGATGCTCAGATCCGCTTTTTCCCTTGTCCCCCTTCTGGCAAGCTAGAATGCCTTGAATGCGAACCTAGGATAACCTTTGTTGTGTGGAGAGAAGTCGATCTCGGATTGCACTTGTCTCGAGGGGAAAAGGGGAGATTGGCCGCCATGTCGCTCCGTGGAAGATCGACCGTGGATAAGGTTGCTATCCGTTTCACGGGTCTCAATGCAAAAGTCGACTTGGTGTTCGGCCCTAGTCGAAAAGGTCATGCCTCGTCCTTTGCCGCTACTATCGTGAGGCAAGGCGGGTTCCAGCAACGTTATGCGCAGCCCTTCCAAGCAAAGACTATGTCCGTCCAATGCTTACAATCCCGGGACCGAAGCTTCAATTGGAATTGGGATTCCAGATGGCTCATGACACGTATGAAAGGCCGCCTCATAAAGGCGCACCCGTAATTGTGTCCATTGCGAATTTTTTCCTGCCAGCACTGTCCGTGAAATGTTCATATCGTGTTGTCATTCCAGGTGGCTTGAGATCGAAGAGGTGTTTCCTAGCCCGATCAGCCCCCAACAAGCCAGCCAGCAGCCAGGCCATTTTCATGTCACATGCCAACAGGACGAGCATTGAAGCCTCTCGTATTGCTCTTTAGGTTGGGAGATACGACTTCGGTTCATCCACCCATAGCCGTCGTCCGCATCTGCGCCACGGCTTTCGCCACGATTTGTATTGATTTCTTGCAGAGGGCGCTGCAGACACCCATAACTCTGAGAAAAGCTAACGATCTGCTCTTATCCCGAAGCGTGATATCAGGATCAACTAGTCCCCCAAGTAGGCATCGATGCATAGGCAAGATAGGGTAGGTGTGTGGTGCTTCAAGTACATGTAACCAACAGGTGATCGAGCAACGCATTGCTCTTGCCCAAGTTATTCCATGTTGCCATTCCATAACGGCTTGCCAGCGTATTTGCCAGAAACCACAAGATTGAGGTTGACCAGCCCTTTCACTTGGTCGGCCCACCAAGACCCCGCGTTTGCCCAAGACCAGGCCCGATCGTTTGGGCCAGATCCCCCATCTGCACGAAGACTATGTGGTCACTGGCTCGCGACCCACGTGTTTACTCATCAGCCAGATCATCATCATGGTGTGGCTCTGCCCGATGCCGAGCAACAGCAATCGGTATGGATGCATAGAGTTGCGAGGTGGTTAGAGTAATACGCTGGTTTGCCCCCGCGAACATCGTCTCGAAGGAATTGGGGCTTCACGTCCGTTGAGAGCTGAGAACACAACACCAGAAGTTGATGGGCCCGTTTATTAATTTGACGAGTGTTGGCTAAAATCAGAGGGAGTCATGTAATGCTATATGTCGCAAGATCACCAATCTAGTACTGCATTCCAGTGGCCGGCCAGGAAAGAACATAATAAACATCACGACGCACGAAATTGGTGTCATCGAGAGCCAGGGCGTCGGGAACGTAGAGAACAAGGAAACATGGAGGAGATACTGCACTTTGTTGCGGACTTCAATGTTCAATCCCATCGGTGAGAGTCGAGAATCTAATCATCAAGTGGCTTCAGCCCAGTGATGAAATCGTTCGCGCTGCCCTTCTACTTGGAGTTCGGCTCAAGGAGAATTGAAGGCGAAGCGAGGGTGCACGAATTGATCAATCAAGAGTTATCAGCTCCAATGTTCAATGTTGGCTTTGGTGGGGTGATTGAGGGGTCCAGGGCAAGCCCAAGCCCGCCACTTACACTTTGGACTGCCCCTCAATATTTGCCTAGTCTCCAGCCTTTTATCGCATTCCGAGTCTCCGTCATCGGGGAGCATCTTTCAAATTTTTGCCTGGCACATCACCCAAATCCCCTGATCCAACCAGCCTCCGCCGCGCCCATCGCAACTCGTAGAGGTTTACCATTCCGCAAATATGGCACAGTCAGAGACCTTTACCATCAGGACTCCCTGCTCGTCCGCCAATATTGGCCCTGGCTTCGACGTCATTGGCCTCGCCCTCTCCATCTACCTCGAGCTCACCGTCACCATTGACCGCTCCAAGACCTCGTCTGAGCTGCCCCTCAACTGCCGTATAACCTACGAAGGCGAGGGTGAGAACTCGGGAGACATCTCGCTTGACCCTCCAAGAACCTCATCACTCGCGTCGCCCTCTACGTTCTCAGGTGCAATGGCCAACGCGCCTTCCCCGTCGAAACACATGTTCACATCAAGAACCCAATTCCCTCGGCCGTGGCCTGGGAGCTCTGGCGCTGCTGTCGTAGCCGGTGTTATGCTTGGAAAGGAGGTTGGTAGCCTTCATCATCTCGACAACGACCGGTTATTCGACTTCTGCTTGATGATCGGTGAGTGACCCCCCTTGTCTTCGGCTTGCCCGCGGCCCCCGAAAAAAATTACCCCACGTCATGCGCCGGCCCAACCAACGATTGGCAACGTCGTCCACGTTTCTACGTTTCTCCACCACACCAGGTACCCATATGCCCGTATATTCGTATATACTGACACGCGTAACTGCGGCTTGTAGAAAGGCATCCCGACAATGTCGGCGCTGCGCTATTTGGAGGCTTCGTCGGCACCTACCTAAAGCCCCTGTCGCCCGAGGACGTTGCCCGCGTTGAGATCCCCCTGAGCGAGGTCCTCCCCGAACCTGCCGGCGGCGTTGATACCGGAAAGAGCCCGCCGGAGCCTCCCTTTGGCATCGGCCACCGAATCAACTTTCCTTGGGCAAAGGAGATTAAGGCCATCGCCATCATCCCCGACTTCGTCGTCGCCACACACGACGCCCGTTCCGTTCTTCCCAAGGACTATTCCCGTGCCGATGTGGTACGTATCCCTTTCCCACTAACCGCAGTATGAGTCCCGAGCTAACGATTCACCCCAGACTTTTAACCTCCAGAGGATAGCCCTGCTTCCCGTCGCGCTCGGCCAGTCCCCTCCCGACCCGGAGCTCATCTACTTGGCGATGCAAGACAAGATTCACCAGCCCTACCGAAGCACCCTCATCCCAGGCCTAGGAGAGATCGTCAGCTCCATGTCCCCTCCACGCAACCGGGATTCCTCGGTTGCTGTCTGTCCGGCGCTGGTCCTACCATTCTCGCCCTTGCCACTAGCAATTTTGAGGAAATCGCCAACAAGATCATTGCTATATTAAAGAAGTCTAACCCCAAGCCCGACTTGGCTTGCCAATGGCGCATCCTTGAGCCTGCCAACGGCACCGAGGTCATCAGGTAACTCGTTAGTCATCGCCTCAGAGATTGCTATCGCCAGTGCACGCAGTTATCAAAGCAACCCTCACTCCCCCGGGCCTGTCATGCTCAGTATCCCAAACTTCTCATCCGCAGCGGGGGAAGGCTAGGGGACCGAGGCGCTCGCTTCTCAAGCCGCTCCCCAGACTTCAAATGCCTTTCAAAAGTCCAAGTTTGGTCGTTTAGGCGAGACTTTTACAACTAGCTATAGTACTCCTAGTTCTAGAGGAACGGGTTCAGACGTGTCCGTTCCTCCAGTTTGATTCTCGAGAAAGGGGACTCTTCCGCACAGATCATTACCATGATAGATAGGGATAAATGGAGGATTGATACCCAAATCTCAAATAATCCAGCTTCAAGGCTTAACCATGTGCCACTTTCAACTCTCAATCGAGGGGTTTCTCTCCATTTAGAGTCCCATCTTTCTCTGAATTGTAGCTGTATGTAGAATTACGCCGGCGGGTTAGAGCAGAGACTTTTCCTACACAACCACAAGGCCTCAGTAGTTTATAGGTTGCAATAATGTGGTTATCTTTCACATACGACCAAAGCCTGCTGAAAACACGCGATCCCGTCCGCTCTCGCCTAGTTAAGCCTCAGAGCGTCAGATTAGTAGTTGGGTCGGTGACGACCAGCGAATCCCTGATGTTGTATGTTTTTTGTCCCTCGCCAATCTCAATATCTCAAGGCGTCTTTTCAGGCCAACGTCTCTCCTCTCTTCGATTGCAGCGAGCGACAGTCGCAGTGATGAAAGGCGTAAAGACATGGAGCACAATCAAATCACTGCCGAGGGGGCGCTTTGAAGAACTGGTCAGACGTTTAGGTTCATAAAACACCTCTAGATATAAAGTATACGAGAAAAAGGAAAAATAATACGTTATTTAGCTGTTCATTCTCCTCCGAGTCTCCTCTCCTCTTCCTCGGCCGCACTGATAATTTCGTCCCACTTCTCCCAGTCGCCCATACCGGCGGCCAATGGAGCTCTCGCACCGTCAACGTCGCCGAATCCCCTTAGCCTGCTGGTCGCCTCCTTGATACCAACGGTGCCGTAACCGACAACGAGTTCCTCGACGGAGCTAACCTTGAACTGTAGTCTCCTTCTCTCGCTGAGCTGTTCATCCGTGGGGCGCGGCTCCCTCGAGAGCTCGTAGAGGCGTACCACCGTGCGAGGGAAGAAGCCTGCTGAGCCGTCGATAGCGCCGGCACCGCCCACGGCTATGACAGGAAGGAGCTGTTGGCCGAGGCCGGTGAATGTGAAAAAGTGTTCGTGGTCAATGGCCGGATTAGAGGCGATGAGGCAGTGGTGGGAGAGGTCGCCGTGAGAGAGCTTGCAGCCCACGATATTAGGATGCTGGGCAAGGGTGACGTAGGTGGAAGGGGCCACTTTGACGTTGTTGGATACACCGGGGTAGTGGTAGCTGCACTTCTAGGTTAGCTTCCGGAAAGACACACGTACTATCGAGGTTGGGATTATGCAAGTAGAGTCATGGGGGAAAAAAGGACGCGACTTACATCATTACTGGCAGAGGACTCCGGTCCGCCACGGCGGTAAACCACCGGACGAGGCCATCTTGCGAAGTGCATCCGGCAAAGTACCCAGGCACAAGCACAAGACCCCAATTAGCACCAGATTCCTTGGCTACGACAAGCTGCTCTACGACCTCCTCGATGTTCTGGGCAGCGGTACCAGCAATTACGTGGCACTCGGGAAGCCAGCAGCGTCCAAACCTTTGCGCACTTGGGCGAGAATCAGACCGCGTTCGTCAGCGCGAAGATGAATAGCCTCGCCGGTACTGCCGAGGACGACGAGACCGCGGATACCGGCCTTGGCGAGGTAGACGGAGTGAGCGACTTGAGCATCAATATCCACTGGCGGGGAGATGGGGTCGTAGTTTTGCGCCGTCTTGGACGCGAAGAAGGTCGGGACGGGAACGTAGATGCCCGCTGGAGGGGGTTTGGAAAGCTCGATACCAGTCATTCTGAATATAGCAGTGTCTGATAGAGTGGGAGTCTAGGAGGAGCAAGGAAGGGCTACGATTTCGAGAGAAGATGGTGAAAAATAAAGGCTATACGTAGGGAGGTGAAAAAAAGAAGGAGGGATGGGGGAAGACGAGAAGAAGAGCGCGAGGTAGAAGAGGAGAATGGGAATAGACTGCCTAGCTCCTCCCCTTGCCTCCTTGCGGCCAAAGAAAAAAGAGAATAGAGAAACCTCCCAAACCCGGCTGCCCTCCAGGGCCAGACGCGACCCCTCTTACGAGGGGCTCCGAACCCATACACAAACGCGGGGGAGGGGTCCAATCCGATACCATTCTCGGGGGTGACGTGCTGCAGTCACTTGCGAAAAGGAGCCAGACCAAAACTCGGAGCAATTCCGGTTCTTCGGATCGGGGTTTTCGGGGCATCAGATAGCGAAACAAAGTGGGGGAGATGCTCCTTTTCCCATGTAATCGCGCTATGAAGACGCTAGCATATCCCGGCATCAACCTCCACGGCATTTTAAAGGGTTATTCCATCCATTGATTCGAGATCAACGAGTAGAAATACACCCACACTGAACATAATTCATCCTATTTTCTCATAGACTCTAGGAATGTGGGGGACAGTTATGTAGATAAACCCCTGGCGCACAACAGCTAGACTGAGGGTAACCCGGCCTACGGCTTCCTCGAGGGGCGGGATTTCCGAGTCAATTGTAAAAATAGGCCGGAAAGCCGGCAGCCACTGGACTCCTGTAGGTGGCTACCTTGCCTCCTCCTACCCGTGAATCAAGTATAAGTGTAGCTTTATCTTGATACCAAGGTAGTGTGAACCTCTTTGGCAGGTTGAAGATGGATGTGACTTTGCGTGCTTAGGCGGAACCCCCCTACAAGGATGACTTTTTCTCTGCAAAGCAATACATCTCATCCTTTTCTTTTGTTTCATCTTCTCTTCACACCTTTACATGACTTGAACAGAGAGCTTTTGGAAACGGCTTGGCTTTCCAAGACAAAGGAGGTGCCTCACTAAAACCACCGTGCTTAGTCATCGAAGTTGTGCCTGGGCCTGTGGGTAACAGGAACCAGGGAAGCCCCATCCAACTACCTCCGTCAGGCTATGCTTTCCATGGTAACACCTTCTCTGAGAGCTCTGTTCAAAGGGATCTATTCATGCAGCAACAGACAAACGCATTGATAGAAAGCTATTGAGGCTCACAGCTTTCTTCACTTTCCACACGTCACCTAGGCCGCCTTCCAGCCTGTCCACCTTAACATCTTGCCAACTATCCCTAATTACTCTTGAGTTTCTGCAAATATTTTGAAGTTTTATAAAAACAAAACACTCCTTCGAACTTGACCCACTTTGCCCTCCAATATCCTTTGTTCTTTCACTAGCTCGTCCATCCGCATCGTGCGCCTTTCGCTGAGCATCTTTACTGCGTCTTTCTTCCTGACAAAAAGGACCTAGTAGTATGGTCCCTACCTCGTAACTGGCACTCTGTACCAAATCTAGCGCCACGGCTCGTGTGGCGAACCATCTTCGCTGCAAGACCACCTCACCATCGCCTTGGATCCCTCGCCTTTCCAGCTTCCCGCCCCATTTTAGGAAGCCTAATATCCTATCTGCATTCGAGAACAGCTACTTACTAGCAGCGTGAATAGACCGGCACCCTGCCAGGATATGCTCCATGGATGCCAATGTCCTCTCAAGTTTGAAGCAGATACCTTGCCCCAACGGCGATGCGTGTCCCAATATCAACTGCTTATTTCAGCACCCGAAAGAGGCGAAGGAGGTGAAAGAAGTGAAAACGGTGGAGGCACCCACCCAACGCGTTGAAGGTATCAAGAATGGTGGGGACACGAGCGGCAGAAAGCGAAAAGAGGATGATCACCTAGGCAACTTTGATTCTCCCAAAAAGCGCCTTAGGACTGATGATGTTGGGAAGGATCATGCATTGGCTCGATCGACCTCGTCTCGGATCATACCTGAAAAAGATAATGTGAATAGCTCAGCAACACGTGAGCTTGAAAGCCTAGTCCGCACCGTTTCCCCGCCGCCTTTGAAGAGACAATCTGGCACTCCTATCGCGAACTTGAGGAAGCCCGGGGATAGCCCAAAGCCATCGGGGCCTTCTCCGGGCAACCAGTCCTTACAAAAACGCCCCAGCGCTCGCCGCTCTACCCCGGCGTCAGGTGCTACCGCCCCGTCAGCCAAGGCACTTGCTAAGACGGAAACTCTTAATCCCCGCATGGTAGCCAAGCCTCCTGCAAAGTATGAAACTCGACTGAAGCTCTTGAAGCTTGTCCACACAGAAATATCTCGCTTGAATGACGGCCTTGCCAAATCTGAACGAGAGAACAAGACCCGTCCGTCGGGGAATGCTAATCCGCACGATCAAGGGCCCGGAGCTCGGCCAGAAAAGGAAGCGGGTAAGAAGGACGCGAGCATTGCGCTTCCTCCCCAGGATCTCATTGTGCTCGCTCTGGGGGAAGAGGAGACCGCGGCACTCGACAAGCCCGATATTTACACCACTGCTATGCGTAATGTGTACATGAAGTACAAGCGCATGACACCTGACCAATGGTGGGACGTGTGCAAAGCTAAGCAGAGCGCTGAGAAATCAGCATGGGCCCCTGCTGATGGCGGAAAGCAAATCGTGACGGGGTTGACACCGACCCAAGAAGCGATTATTCTTCGCCGACTCCTCACCCCATCGCGAACCTATCTACGCATGGTTACGTTTCTTCCATCCCAAGCGACGAGGATGTCGCCAAAGCTCGTGCCGCGGCGGAAACCCTCAAGGTTGGGAGAAGTGCGCGCGTTGCGAAAGGCGTTTCCAAGTCTTCCCAGGCCGGAGGGAAGAGGACGGGGCGTTGACCTCGGGGGATTTGTGTCCATCACCCTGGGAAGACCTATTTTCAGAACAAACAGCCGGGGGATAAGACTCGGCAGCCCAAACGATACAAGTGCTGCGGGAAGCCGTCGGCGACTCGTCCGGATGCACACGGGGAGATACACATGTTTTCAAGGTTTCCGACGTGAAGATGCTTGCAAGCATAACCAACTTTGTCGAAACCCCGAGAACGACAAACCCCACACATACCCAGTTTGCTTTGACTGTGAGATGGGGTACACGGTTTACGGGCTTGAGATGATTCGCGTAACAGCCACCTCTTGGCCGTCGGGGGATCTGCTGCTAGATGTGTTGGTGAGACCCAAGGGGAGGTTCTCGATCTCAACTCGAGGTACTCGGGCGTCTTTCCCGAAGACATGGTTAACGCCGAGCCCTATGGCGCTTACGACACGGAAAACCTCCCCGTTCCCACTGAGATCAAGGCCGCCAGTGCAGAAGGACCAGCAAAGCGTCAATATAAAATTGTCGGCTCACCCGAGGCCGCACGGGCGCTCTTTTTTCACTCATCTCCCCAAGCACGCCGCTCATCGGACACGGCCTCGAAAACGATCTCAATGCCCTCCGCGTCATACACCCTACAATCGTTGATACCATCCTTCTCTATCCACATAAGCAAGGACTCCCTTATAGACTAGGACTCAAAATGCTTGCCGATCAATTTCTAGACATGAAAATACAGCTCGAAGACGCCAGTTCGATCCGCGGCCACGACAGTGCTGAGGACGCCAGAGCAGCGGGCGCACTCGCAAGACTCAAGGTCAAGGATGAGTGGGATCGCCTGAAGCTCGAGGGGTGGTCTGTAGTCCGTGGTAACATCGTTTCACCCGACTAGGAGCAGGATGGCGTCCTGGGCGAGTGGAAGAGCCTGAAAGAAAAAGGCTTCCGGCTTGTTGGCGGGAAGTTTGTCGCCCCCAAGGGCAGATCTGGGGACTAATACGAGCGTCGTGGACATCTGGCAAGCTGGCAATCGCCTTTCATCGCGAAGAAGCCTGAGGCTTAGTTTGGAATTAAGGGATGTAGCTCATGTATGAAAAATGGGAATGGCGTTTGGAAATGGGTACACATGGACAAGGGGGATTGAAGACAATTGAAACACATCAACAATCCATTCACGTACGTCTACTACGAATTGTGCCGTTTGTCTGTTTCCCGAAAAGCTTCTCAAGGTGTCTTGGTCATTTTCCCATTTGTGTATGGGTATAATTACATTTGAGCGGATAATATCTTGCCTGCAATCGTATCGTTACACACCGTTTTCATGCCTTCTTCGCTCCTAGTCAGCCTCCGCCTATTTCACCTATCACTCTAATCTAGGTCCTGCCAACGGAGAGGAGCAGCTGGCTCCCATTTCCTTGCTTGCCGCCAGGGAGATACGCTACGTTGGGGTTCGACGCCAGCGTTTGCGCAATGTCCCTGCTCGCCTCAATCTTTCGGATCTGGATAAGTCCATCACCAGCCTTGGCAATGGCCTTGCTAATGGTGTCGGCACTCTCAGCCTCACCCTCAGCACGGATAACGTTGGCTTGACGTTCCTGCTCAGCCTTCTCGACGATGAATCGAGCACGCTCGGCATCCTGCTGGGCAATCTGCTTCTGCTCGACGGCTCTGGTGAACTCGTGACCAAAGGTCATGTGGGTAATGGAAACATCCTCGAGGGCGATGTTGAACTCGGAGGCGCGGCGGGTGAGGTCAGAGCGGATGCGCTGGGAAACAGCCTCTCGCTGCGTGATGAGCTCGGCGGCGTCGAACTGGGCGACGATGGCTTTGAGGACTTCGTTGCCGATGGAGGGGAGGACACGCTCGTCGTAATCGGTGCCGAGGTTCTGTTGAGCACTGGGTTAGCTTCTGGATTCGGAGGACTAAGGTTTCTCGATAGCGGCGGCGACGGCAGCGGCGGCAGCGCCCTTGGGGAGGGGGGATGGTACCTGGTAGATCTTGGGCAAAGCCTTGACGTCGGGTCTGTGAAGAACCCTGAGAGTCAAGCTAACCATCTGCAAATCCTTACTACCCGTTGTCGTGGCAATGTTCCTAGGCTTCGTCCTCACATCGAAGAGGATGCTCTTCTGTAGCCAGGGAACAAGAAAGTGAGTGCCTTCGTTGACAACCTGCTCCTTGACACCGGAAAGCCTGTCAAAGATGACGGCCCGTTGTCCGCCGCGCACATCATAGATGGACTGTTGGAAAAGGGCCACGCCAACTGCGGCGGGCACGGCCATCCGGTAGGCGAAGTTGAGAACTTGCGCCATTGTGTATTTTCAGGGGATTTTATAGTCTGACGGGTTTCTTGAAAGATGGAAAGGTGGTATGGGGAGGGCGGTGCGGTTCCGGGGTTCTCAGCAAGCAGTCGTGATAATTCTCCTTCTGGATCAGAATGCTTTCAAAGCTCTGCTCCAAACGGTAAATTCCGCCAGATTTCCGGAGCTTTCGGCTGCATCTTGACACCACCCACAGCAAGCCAAGCACACAAAATTGCTGACAACGACGCCGATGACTAAGCTGGCTACAATTCGACCAATCACGGCTCATGCAATCATGAGGAATTGAAGACTTGATTTCTGCTTCCCAGCTCGCCTGATATTCCCGCGATCCCTTTTCGACACTACCAGCCAACCCACGACCCCCAGCGACGCCTCGAGCTCACAATCCGTCGATATGAAGCCTACCCAGATCCTCAGCGGCGGAGCCGCGCCTCTCCCCATCGGCAAGTACGGCCAGTAAGTCGCTCCCCATACAACTCGCTTGCGCTTCCCCGGGAACACCCGAACATTTTTCTATGCTCTTGATCAATTCAAGTTGAGGTAGAGGCTGACGAGTATCTTTTACATAGCTACCTCGGTCACTTTGGTCACTTTGGTAAGTTTGAATTCTCGATTGTCTCTGGCGGCATTGGGGCGACGGGAGTAAAGGACAGCGAGCGACAAGCCCTCGACACAATTTATTAGCCGAACCACGGCGCGCTTTTCGGGGCCTTTGACGACCTCGTCTTGAGAAATTTGTTGGCACCGGGCTTGATCGACCTCGAAGAATACTCTCCGGTTGCTGGGTTGCTGCGATGATGAGTTCGCTAGGTGCATGGCAGGCTGACAAGCAACACAATAGGTGGTCAACCCCAGAAGGGCATCATTACCTACGGTCTATCCGCCAACCGACAGAACCCTTTGGCCCACACTGCCCATGACGCCGTCTTCAACATCTGGAGGCGCTTCTACGGCCAGGTTTTCTTCTGGCTCCCTGCCGGTATCGCTGGTTACTACATCCTTGACTGGGCGAACCACAGGTATGAACTATCATATAAACGTTCCGGCTGTGTGTCTCGAGACAAATACTGACCTAATATAGGAACCATTACCTCAACTCCAAGGCTGGCCGTGCCGAGTTTGCGGATTCGGAAGAGGAGTAAACGTTGAAAACCAAGGTGGAAGTTGGGCGGATGATGTACATGTGGGAGTTCTGTATAACTGTACCTTAGACCGGTGGACGCAATAGATCCTATGTCTTACCCTATTACCCTATAACTCCCTGCATGGCATGATATTCCATTTGCGATCGCAGGTGATAGTAGGAGGCATTGCCCCAAAACCATCACTCAGGACCAAAGCCTTCTGGAGGATCCCAAATGAAGCCATTCATCATGACCAGCCCTAGACTTGACTACTTAGCGGCCGGTTTTACCGCTCGAGAGAAAAGGTCTCATTTGTCTCTTATGTCAAATCCAACACCTTGGATAGGAGAATATCAATGGCAATTAGTGCACCTGATTAAACGTCCTTCCCATCTCCAGAGGAATACAGTAGTTGAGCGGTCGAGTTCACAAACCCAGTGACCAAGTGCGTGGATTATGTAATCAAAGCGGTGAATGTGGAAGGAAGGTTTGGGCCAGGAAATTTTCAGAAAATTTATCTTGGCAAAAAAAAATGCTACGACCCCCTCCATAGCCGTACAATCGACGAGCAGTACTCGAGGAAAACTTTGACAACGACGAATTGGTACCAGCGAGAAGGCCAATTGACCTCGCGACTCGATCATCAGCCTCTCTAGTCAATAGAACAATTGAGCGGGATCTATCCTTATTCTGCTCTCGCCCATCTTTGAGCACGACCGTCCAATTTTCACACCAACCTTCGCCATGGCCTCCGACCGCCCCGACAAGAAGGAGAAGAAGGACAAGAAGGACAAGAAGCGAAGCCCCGAAGATGGTGTAAAGAAGGATAAGAAGGACAAGAAGGACAAGAAGGAAAAGAAGGCCAAGCTCGTTGCGGCTCTCGACGAACACCTCCAGGCTGAGGCGGCGGCCTCCGCTATCGCCAGCGGCGTCATGGCCGTCGACGACGACGTTGCCACCCCCTGCTGCCGATAGCATTGCGCCCGTGTCCATGGTTCCTTTCGCTGTCCCTCTCGCGGACGACAAGAACATGAAGAAGGTTCTCAAGGGTGTCAGGAAGGGTAAGTCATTTTATTCCCCGCCCAATACTGCGACACACACTGTGGCCAAGTCGAATAGCGTACATGATCATGGGTTGCTAACTATATATATGTTCAGCCGCCAAGAACAACTCGCTCAAGCGTGGTGTCAAGGAAGTGGTCAAGACCCTCCGCAAGTCTCCCGCCTCCACGCCGACGAACCGCACGTTCCCCGGTCTCGTCATCATTGCCGGCGACATCTCTCCCATGGATGTCATCTCTCACATCCCCGTCCTCTGCGAGGACCACAACGTTCCCTACATCTTTGTTCCCTCCAGGGCTGAACTCGGCGCCGCGGCCAAGACGAAGCGACCTACCAGCGTCGTCATGATCATGGAGAAGCCTGAGACGAAGAAGAAGGCTGCTGCCAAGAAGGACGACAAGGATGACGGCGAGGACGATGGTGAGGGCTACGCCGAGACCTACCAAAGCCTGATCAAGCTGGTACAGAAGGAAACGGAGAGGCAGTCGTTTTGGTGAGCACGTGAGACGTGAGGAGTGAGACGATGTTTAATGGCGTAGGTGCACGGCGGCATGTTGTAGACGTGCAACGCGTTGCTTCTTGTGTGGCTTGCCAATTTGTTTATTGGTTTCAACTTCCTGCATGGGGTAGGGGAGTCATCGATGCTCACGGGTGGCTGTCATAGCTGAGAGTCACCGGCGTTGTGCACTTGCCAACTCTTTGTGTAATATCCCGGCCTGCAGGAGGGGTGGTATAAAACGTATCTCGGGGATCATGGCGTTTGAAGGTCTTTCTATCATCTGCTTTCTATTGATTTTGGGTAGGCATAGGTTTATAACAAATCCAAAGCCATGTTTAAACTCCACTGCTGAGAAATTACTCCCTTTCGCCTACTACGTCGCTGGAAACAGCATTTCTTACCTCCTTTTCTTCTAGCGATGCCTCCCTGTGATGCACCATTGTGTCACGACCCTCGACCTTGGTATCTTCATTTTCTCAATCTCATGCATGAGGTTGATCAGAATGAGAGGCCGGAAGGGCATCTCCGGTGCATCGCTCATCCTAGTCACCAAACCTGATACAGTGGTATCTCAGGCCTCACCTTCGCACCTCGCTTAGCCTAGCATAGCACACAATTCACGGGCAGAAAACTTGAAACTACAATCGCCAAGATGGCGTCTAGGATGGGAGTATAACCGGTATATTTGAGAATACGAAACCCCAAAGCTATCAATGAATTACTAACACATAATTCTCCGCAGCGGAACAATTACCGGGCTACGGAGCACACCCAGGGCTTTATCATACACTTCAGACCTCTCCCTTAGTCAAAGGGGTTGGTGCGGGTTCCCACCAGGTGAGTAGTACGGAAAGGCCAACAGTCTCAAAGAGCTTCGCGGCAATGCTAACGCCGACGGTATCGAAGGGACGCTTCTCGGTGAAGATCTGGCTGATGTACTGTTGATGCAATGTTAGATATCGGACCCAAGCCAAGAGAGTGGGAACAGGAGATTTGCCAACTTACGGTAGGAGCAGAGGTGGCGAGGAAGATGAGGCTGCCGAGGTAGGCGGCGCCCTTGTAGCTGAGAGTTCCGGTAGCGTTGATGAGAGCGCCTACACCGTAGGACTGAAGGGCAGAGCCGACGAAGGTGGTTCCCCAGGCGACAGCAGCGGAAGAAGCCTCGCGGGATCGGAGGAACTCCTCCTTGGTGTTGGCAGCCTTGGCGCGCTGGTAGGTCTGGCCAAAGAGGGGGAGAGGACGGCGAGCTCAACGGTCTGGTTGAAGATGGTGCCGAGGGCAATAGCCGAAGGCTTGACGGGAGGGAGGTCTGCAAGGCCAAGTTAGTCGGCCGTCCAGTCGTGTCTGATGAATAACCCGCAACACATGGTTTTCCATAAATCGGGGTCCCTGGCGCGAGGGGATTTTGTCGATTTCCACGCCAATGAATACCATTCCTCTTCCTTTGCACCCTCCGTTTTCTCTCCTCCGTTCACCTCAACTACCAGCGGGCGCAAGAACCGCTATGGGGTATGAAGATGTATGACTTACAGTGAAGAGACATGGTGATTGATGGTTTTTGAGGTGTTCAGAAACGGATTAGGTATTCTTGTGAAAGAACTGTCGATGGAATAGAGGAAAGACGTCAGTGAGGGGAGAAGCGTGGGAGCACAGGGCTTTATATGTCGAGGAGAGAGGGTGGGTGGGGAGGACTAAAACCTGTGGGAACGGAACGGGAACGTAGCAAGTTGCCTCAAAGAGGTCACCAAGGACCTTGATTCACTTCGCACCCCCTCTCTCTCCCTCTCTGCTTTTCCCCATGGAAACCATGTTTGCGAGTAGCCAATGCCGGAAATGTGTGACCTTGGGTGCGCCGGAAAGTTGGCTTTCTGCTGGGTACCTGGCCCCGTCGGGATCGCACGCTGAAATACATCATGGTGACTTTGTTTCGTCCTGACAATAAGTCACGCCTGATATGCCCATCTGGATTTCTTCGCTCGGGGGCGGGAACCGGGGGTGGGTGCAAGGAGCTTGCCCGTCATTTGCGTTGCGACCGACTGTGCGATGATGTCACTGAGCTTCGCTGGTGCCAAGACACGCTGTTGGTAACTTTTTGGTTGGGGGCAAGCGGGTTCTGATCTTTTAGTGGGGGGCCAGTGCTTGTGCTTCAATGTTGCCTGTTGCTTCAAGGCTGAGCAGTGATTATGGGGTGAACCTAGCGATCACCTTGCTTGAAAGCAGAGCTATCGTCACCTCCGTCCGTCCTAGGGCGTCGAGGGCATTGGCTGACCATCGCAAAGGTACGATCAATAATTTGTGCCGGATGCATAATTATCTTTTGGAAGGGGATAACCATTGCTCGATTCCGCTGCACTGATGCAAAGTCAATGCGGTTGCAAAACCCGTCCCCTACATGTCGTGCTAGCAACTCCTCTCCGTCCATCGCGTGCTCGCTTCAATCTTGGGCCTTCGAAGGGGACTAAACTGGGAGATCGGGGGTCGAAACTCAGAAACGACAGGTACATAGATTTACGGTTTGCAGAAGTGCTAGACGCCGTAATAGCTTCAATGTTCACGCGAGTCGCCATGGACACACCACTGCTCCCCCACCTCTTTCGCTCCCTCACTCTCCCATTTCCTCTTTCGCCTATTGTCTCGCTCCCCTTCCCTTCAGGTACACCCCAATCCATGAGTGCATACCTCAGTGCTCCCCACACACACACAATACATAAAAAGGGAGAGCCCCGAGCATTGTGGGATATATCCATCGATCTCTAGGATGACATGCGCTCGTACATGCATCACCCGCGATGGAAGAAGATGGAAGAAGGACCCGCCGCCTGCGGGTTGTTGTGCTTGTTCGAACTCTATTCCAGTGTAGGCAAAGCGGAGCAGAGACACGCAGCTTGCTCCTCTGGGCGAACACCCCGCGCTAGGGGTATGTTATTGTGTCACAATTATCTGTTCTCGTACTCCATCTACATCATGAACTCGAGACACCGTTGCTGGTGAACCAAGCTTTCCCACCCCGGTGCCCCCCTTTGGCGATGAATTTCCTCATGGTGGAGGCTGATCCACCTCCCATCGACGGATCAATTGTCTTCCCACGTTTCTAAATGGATTTGCCATCTATTCAATCTCGTGTGGAGACAGAATTGCGGATGTGGTCGGGGGTATTATGCGGCTTGACCATTATGTACGCTAAGAGAGGGAGCTTCAGCTGTTCGAAAAAGCTCCTCTTCCAAGGAATGAGAGCTGCTTGGGCCAAATGGCGGGACTGGTAATACAAGGCAAAAAAGAAAAAGAAAAAGAAAAAAAAAGAGAAAAAGAGGAGCCCGGTCGGAGGACGTGCGTGCTTGGACAGACACCATTTAGCGCCCGTCCTATCCCGTGAGGAGCCGCAGTGATTGAATGCCCGCAGAGCCGACTGACATCATCGGGTCAAGCCCACTGCTGCATTGCAGGCCTTGGTCGGGATTTTGTCCATCCCCGCTACTCCTCGAGCTATCTATTCTAGTTTTACGAGCTGGGATAAGGAAAAAAATGGATTTACCTATAAAGGGGGATAGTGGGATTCGCCATTTTTTGCAATGAAGAAATTTGTGCTGATACCGATATTCGTTTCCGAGAGGCCGCAATAGCTTCCATCACGGTCTTCCCTGCCTGAGACAGTCATTTTAGCCATCTGAGCGCACGAGCGCTTCACCAATGGACTTGATATTCTTCCGGGAACCATTGACCCGTCCCACTGTCTCATTGTAAGCCAAGAGACTGCAGGTACCAACCCGCCGTGCTCATTATTCTACGTGTTCAAGTGTTGGATGATCAGATGCCCGGTACATTGGGTACAATGCTACGGATCAGGTTCATACCCCCCAGGTCACCGGTGTCGGACAAAATATCCCTTCTTTCGTTGCCGAAAGCTGGCTCTTTGTTCAAATACCATTATCCTACAGAACGCAACCCATCGTACAGAAAACATAGGTGTCCGTCCGTCCTATCACCAATCGCTAGGAATCGCTTCAATAGTACAGAGACCCCTCCCCCAATGCAAATAGACAGACAAGAGAGACAGGTAAGATAAGATGAAAATATGAAAGAGAAGCAGGAGAGGGAAGAAGAAAGAAAACACCAATTCCTCGTCTCTCGTCTGTCATGTGATGATTACCTTTGTGTGGAATAAGGAGAAATAAACAGGGCTATAGGGTCCCACTTCCTAGCCAGCCCTAAACTCGAATATCAATGTTGAATGCTCGCCCCCGTCTCTATGCCATATGCTGACCGTCCTCGCCACCCCGTAATGCTAATAATGCTCGAACATCGGAAACATACTGCAGTCCTTCTAGGAACGGGACAAGATGAAGAAGGTCGCTATCCGTTGGGTCGTTGATCCAACCTTGGATGGGAATTGCATTGTCTAACCCCCAAGCAAGTTAGCCATAGGAAACGTAAAAGAGCAGTCAAGGAATGGGTGTAATTTAGAGCAAGTTTGTGGACGTGTGAAAGACCGTGAGAGAGAGACAGAGAGCGAAGGTGTGGGAGATGGGAAACAAAGTAACGACAAAGGTCGGTGATAATCGCGACATACCTTGGTGAAACATGTAGCTCAGCGGGCTGTTGTCCAGTATCATGACTTTGCTGAGATCTGGCTCGACTGAGCTCAAATCCTTGATAAAAGCACCGTGGCGAAAGGTGCAGTGTTGCCGATAAAGCCTCGCCGAGAAGAACTTGCGCTCTTGCTCGAGCCAGTCAATGACAGGATCGGCATACTCCTGGACTGACGCGGTGAAGACCACCAGATTATACCATTTGCACACCTTTAGCAAACACACGCACACACAACGGCCCATAGTTAGCGCAAAGTGTCTCTCACATAAGGCATGCCCCGCGGAGGAGGGGGAGGAGGAGAGATTAAAGGCTTACCCTGCGCAGGAAGTGGTCGCAAAATGGACGCTTGTGGACGTAGTAAAGAATGGGATGTTGAGGCCCGATCGACGCCTGGCCGCTCGCGCCTACTAGCGTTGTATTTAAACGAACTTCTACCATATGGCCAGAACTCATCCGTCCGCCTTTGGACATGCTGTGGATCAACGTCTCATCGAGATCGAGGATGAGGGTTTTCTGATGTTTGAGCGGGCTAGGTTCTAGGTTGAGGTATGAAGGTTGGCGTCGTGGGATTAGCGGTCTCGGCGGGGCGGGCGTTCTGGGATATCTCGTAAGCGCGCCGACGGGTGACGTGGGGATTTGAGCTGAGCGGATATGTCGGGGGTAGCGAGTTGGCCGGATTTGCCAGTGCGGGAGACGGCGGACTGTGTCTTCCTATGCCGTCGTTGTCGCAAAGCATCTTCGTTGTTGTTGAGCTTGATCCGAATGGACCTTTTCCCAGCGGCTGAATCTTCAGCTTCATCAAAGGAAGTCGACCTCGTGTGCCGCGCGGTGCTATGAGATTTGCTCCTAGCCCGGGTGGCGTTTTGCAAGGCGTCACGCTCGGATTCTGAAGCGGCAGAGGAAGAACCTGAAGATACGGAAGGGCGGGGGCGGACAGAAGACCGGCGCCGGACGCGAGATCCCAATGGCGGGCCGTCCTTCTCATCAATGGCGAAATCCGAGTGTTTAGGGGCCATGGTGCCAGGCGCCTTGGCGTCGTACCATGCGGTAAGCCGCTTTAGAGGGTAGAACGGTGCGAACTGGCCTCGTTCGTTGCAGAAGAATGCAAATAGGTAAACGCCAGGCGCGGCTAATGTCGAGATGAACCACCGAAGGGAGTTGATCAGCGATGCGGCGATGCGGCGGGGGATAAGGTGCCAGGGTGTGGACCGCGAGTTGCCGTCGCCTCCCTGCAGCAGTGGCGTCGTCTCGTCAAGATCGCCGTGTTTTGCGTAGTCGGGCTCAGATAATATGTTGGGATCATCCTCTACTCGGGGTTGGGCGCCTGACTTGGGATCCTCGCTCGCGACCTTTCCGTGATCTCCCGAGGCAAGATCAGCTTGAGAGGCGAGGCTTAATGATGTGATGGAATTTGAGCGAGAAGGTGGGGAGCTGGGAGGCGGCGAAACTCGGGCTGAAAGAATGTTGAGAGAATTCATCTTTTAAGCTGCCCGGTCAGCCATGGAGCTCCCAGTCGCAACGGCTTTTTCGTTCTTTGCTCGAAGTCGGGCGAAGGTCGGTGGTAGGGCGTCGAAGGTCGCTGACGAAGTCTGGGCGAATGGCGTCGCGAGTTTCGGGTCGGATCGTGTGGAGACCCAAACGTTGGAGAGGGAGAAGATGGAGTGGTCGCAGTGAGTCTGGTCTAGATGAAGCGAGCGTGAGGGAGGTAGAGGACGAGGATCGCCAAAGGGGGCAAGGACCTCGGTGGGTTCGGGGGAGGGCAATGATGCAGTAGTCAACAAGTTGCGTGTGCTCGTTGAAATGGGAATGGAGGGAGAAGGAGGGGGAATGGAGAGATCCAGGATAGGGCACAAAGGGTCCGTTCGTTTACGGAGGCGGCGATGGCGGAGGCATCAAAGGGCTGAGTAGGATTAAGTTTCCTTAGTTGGGTTGTTGGGTGGTTTGGGAAGAAGGCTTTGGGTCGGCCGAGGTGCACAAGGGACACAGTGATGAGGTGGGAGGCACTAGTGACAGTATTCAATGCTAGGGGATATGAAGGAAAGGATTGGATGCAAGCTCGATCAGCAAGGACAGGGTGACGAAATGAGTATGATTGTTCGAGGATGCTACGAGCACGACGGGACAGGTATTTTTTTCTGTTTCGGGGTTGGGAGTATAGCGATAAATTGATGGTCCAGTCCTCGTCAGCAGCGAGGTGGTAATAGATGAAGTGTTTTGGGGAGCAAAAGTGCTGCGTGGGATTACGAATGGGAGGATGTAGGAGGGGAAGGCGACTCGGGCTTTGGGGGTTGAGTTGTGGGAAGGAGGCGGTTGAGTGGGCGGTTCAACGGCCTGGCATCGTTGATGGGGGTCCAAGTCCACCAGCTTTTTTCTGGGGATAGCTATTGGGTCGGTCCGTTGGATCCATCAATTTTCATTCAATTGATAGTTATTAGTGCCGTTGCTGGGCTTTTGGGGAGGCACCCGGGCAATGGTTCGGGAGTTTTCGAGGGGCTCCATCCAAGGATTTGATTGAACCCTTCGGGAAGTTTGGACCGTTCACGTGTGAAATATCTGCTTCATGTCAGTGGCCCAACCTGCAGCACCAAAGCCGACTAAGCCATGCACCTGGTCAGACCCGGATTCTCGAGGCCTTTTTCCCTTCCTTTTGGGGGTTTCCTTCTTCTTTGCCTTCTTCCTTCCCCTGTGCTCCTCGGCTGCGTCTCGGCAGATGGTGTGCGTGATGTACTTTAGACAATGCAAGGAAACCTCTATGGGTTTTCACCATCGTGATCGATTTTCCCACAGCGCTTTTATTTTCCATGGTTCAGGATGGGCTTACTTGGTGCATTGAGGGAGTGTTGGGGTCGCCGGGGCTCTCAGCTTTTGTTGAGACCACGAGTCTCCCAAAACATTAAGACCAGGGCATCTATCTGGGACATGCTCTGATTGCATTGAATGGAATGGATCAACCATTTCCCCTTTGGCGTCCCTGGCCCTCCATGAGAACAAGAACTGAGTTCACAGCCATTGGTAGGACTAACACTACCCCCAATCCAAGACTTTTTCTTCTTTTTTGCCTGGGGAGGACGATTCAGATGAATGGTTCTGGTTATGAGCTGAGGACTGAGTCGTGCCTCCAAAATCCAAGTCCAGCCGTGGACGAGTGCGCTGGTGCTTCGTCCTAGAACACATGAGCTCCGGAGGTCCCCAGTCAGACCGAGTCCATGCGCAGATATTCAGATACAGTCCCACCACTTCTTCCATATTATGATTGATCGAGGATGGTTTCCTGTCTGATATCCCCCTTTCTCTTCATCGTCCGCGATTGTATGGTATGAACGTAATGGATGACTGGGGTCTGTTGCTACAAGAAGGGGCTCTAAAAGTCAATTCGCAAATGCACGTGCAACTAAACGCTGACGAGCACAGCGCTAACCAATGCATCGCATCATCTAATCGCCCTGGAGATAGATATCCTGCGCTGTTCAATTTTGTAAAGTTAGAGTTGGTGGGAAGGAAAAGAAAGACGTCCGGGCTGGATGGGGTCTGGCAAATGTAGGCGCGGCTGCGAGAACTTGTTCTTTATAGGCGAGCATCTATAAATGGCAAAACCAGAGCACGAAAGATCTAGATCACAAGGATAAATCCATTACGCCAAGATCTTACGCTCCCTAGCAGGCTGTTGGGCCAGGAGCAAGCAAGATGCACGGCGGGAGTCGGGAGACGGAGCGCGAACGCTGTTCAGTGTCCAATATCAGACGATGGTGGTCAACATCGCGACGCAGCCGTAGGCGGTCGTTGACATTGTCCCCTTGGCTTTTCTCCATTCCCTCGATCACTTTTGCAATTCCCTTGCCCACCTTTCAAGGGGGCCTCGCGGGCGGGATGGAGTATAGATACGAATATGGATGGATTTGGTGGGATGGAATTGGGGAATCGGCCCATTGGATCAATATTCGCTCCGTCAGTGGTGGGGTATGCACCATGTACGAAGTACTTTTTGGACGGGACAGCCATTGACTCATCCATCAGTTCAAGTGTACATTGAATTCTGCGAAGCTACCCCACCAATGCCCGCTCGCCCCCAGGAAAAGAAAGTATCACAACCACATTCGAGAAATCGCGATTAATCGACAGCGAACCCAAATAAACCGCTCTGAGACGAAGGGACTTGGAATTTCCACCCATATCTATACTTCCCCTGCTTCTATCGCCGATTGGGTCTTTTTCTCTTCCTCCTAGGTCCTTTTATAGCACACATACCAGCTCCATCTGCTCCCCACCGCTTCATAGACCTCCCTCATCCTGGCGCGCGCGGGATGGCGTCTCTCAGCATCAACGGCCATGTGGTAGCCCTGGAAAAGTTCAACAAGTCTCTCAAAGGGCAGCCTTTGGAGACTTCCATCTACAATCTTACCTCGTACGTTCTTGGCCCTCCTGGTCCTGGTGGCCCATTCGCGCCACCCGAAACTAGCCTACTAACCCTGCCATCTGCTTGTTACCAGTCTTCTCCGACTCCGCCAGATTCAAGGCTCCGAGCCGTGCGCCATCGCCACCGCAAATCTCCTCCTCCAGGTTGTCGCAAAGTCCAAGGTCTCCGAAGTCGACCAACTACTCGCACACATATCCGCCGTCGGCAGCCAGCTTGTCGCGGCACAGCCCAAGGAGCCCGTCGTCGGAAACATTGTGCGCCGCGTCCTCGGGCTGATAAGAGACGAGGCCGAGGAAGATCGAAATGGGGGTGTCAGCCGCTCCTCGGGTCTCGTCACGCCCGTGGAGATCCAACCATTGACTGGAGTCTTCCCGCCGCCGCGCCGGGCGCCGATTCTCTCTCCAATCTCCGACAAGCGCTCGCCCGATCCTCTTCTGGCCACCCTGCGCCGTCTGGGTATTCGATGGCCAAGACGAAATCCCTCCTTCACCTCCTATCCGCTGCTGGTCCAACGGATGGCAGCAGCCTCTCAGGGGTAAACGCATCGGGTGCATCCACCCCACGGGCCACGGCCGCGCCAGGTTTCAGGCCGTGAGGGAGAGGTCATTGACGGAATTGAAGAGATCAAGGACGAGATTGACCAAGTGGACGATCAGATATCGGCCAACGCCGAGGCCCAGATCCGGCCTGGGGAATACGTCCTAGTCTACGAACCCACGCTGACGGTGCGGAGGTTTCTTCTCAAGGCGGCGTCGAAGCGCAAGTTCACCGTCGTCACCGTCATCCATCCGGCCCGCCAAGGGTCTGCAGAGAGCAGCTACGCCGACCTACGAAAGGGTCTAGCCAAGCACGGAGTGTCCACCATCAACGTTGTCAGCAGTGCCGTTATGGCCTATATGCCACACGTGGACAAGGTAGTCCTGAGTGCCCGGGCCGTCTTTGCGAACGGCAGTGTTCTTCTCAGTGCCGGCGGGGAAATGTCGCCAGGACGGCCAAGAAGCGGGGCAGCGCTGTTGTGATCCTAAGCGGTGTTTACAAGTTCAGCCCAGAGATCCCCTTTGACGAGGAGGCCCTTGTCGACTGGGGCAATCCATCGCAAGCCGTCAACTACTCGGACGGCGGCATTGTCAACCATATCGCCGTGCAAAACCCGACCACAGAGCTGATACCTGAGGACCTCGTCGACGTTTACATCACTAACCTGTAAGTTCATTGTACCTCATACCCAAGCAGCCGGACTGCGCTCTAACACTAACGTGCCAATGTTTTTTTCCCTTCCTCTTAGTGGTGTCCACTCCAGAGATCATCTCTCAAACATCATCGACGAGCATTACAAACCCGAAGACCTCGATTTTTACGTCTCGACTTCCGTTCATTAGATGAATGCATCAAGTATGTGGGGAGTGGCGGCCATTTTATGAAAAAGCCAGCGCTGAGACCGGCTGGTGTTTTTCTTTGGAGATGTCCGGCCCTAGTTTAGGGATAACTGAGGGAAATCGGGTTGGACCCAAGGGTTAGAGGGAGTGTACAATATCAGGAAGGCAAAGGAGGAGCGGTTGGTTGTTTGCCAAGGGAAGGGAGAAATTAGGAGATATCATTACAAGTCACACAATAGCTGTCTAGGATGCGAAAAGTTTAGTTTTTTAAGATGACTGAATCAGGAGGAAGAAGGGGCATTATGAAAGGAAGATGGTTTTGCAATTGTTTTTAAAAAGATCCACAGATGCGAGGCCGGTCTTTCCAATGGGGTTTCTCTCGTCTCGGCGCCGAGCCCGGTCCATAGCCCCGTCGGTCTGTCGGGGCTAGGAATCACCGGGGGGCGAGGTGGGGTGGACTGTGATTATCTGATCATTTCCGTAGTGCGTGGCCTGGGGACGGTCGGTGCAGTCATAATAAGAGTTGAGGCTTGAGACGTTGGGAGACGGAGCGAGAGCCTCATTGCTGCCTATCAGTACTTTGGTCTATCAACCATTCATGGGATCCATAAATGCGGGCGGAAGAAGACGATGTGGCCCGAAGTTTGGAGTTGGCGATCGGGCAGGGCAGGCAGCACCCGTTTAGCCCTGTGCGTCGACGACAAGGGAAAGGCGGGAGCTCGCGTCGTCTTGAATGCTGCTAGCTGTCCATTCCCGTGGCTGGCCGCGTCAGCATTTACGAAGGATGCGGCATCTGGTTGCCGTGCTGAGCAATTCGGGGCTTAGGCGAACCATGTACAAGTAGTCGCTGACAGCGGGGTTCGAAATTGACAGCCACTGTTCAGAGCAGTATCAATTGTTGATACCGCATTACAACATCAACAGGGCTCTGTGCTTTGATGGGACAGGAGTTTAGCGCGTGAGCCAGTGAAATCACCCCACCATCACCATCCCCTCCTTCACTGATCGAGACAAGGCCTTTTGCGCCATAGGGCTCGGAGTGCCCTTTGCTGTCTTTGCTTTATGGCAGATAGGATGGAGCTTCGATACGCTTCTTGGAACTTTACGAACGTAGCAAATATACGTATGCCATGGTGTCATCCTGGCTAGAAGGAGACAAGAGGGTTGCGTACCCCATCGCGAGCAGCGTCTCATCATAGGCAAGTTCCCATGCAGGTCTAGTGTTTGGTGAACATACCCTTGATGAGGAGTTACTACTTGTCGAGCAGTCCAGGCTTTGAAATAAAATCTCCTGATGTACTTTGCTCGGTCAAGTTTGTCGAATCTCTGAGAAGAAACAGTGCGACGCGAAGCCTTGGTCGGCTCCGGAGAACCATCTGGCTCAGCCCCCGGCCCAAACCTATCATTTGCAGGAGCACAGCCCTGTGTATTCAACGGGGCGGTCCTTTCGTTCTTCGTATCAACGTACCTATCATTCACCACGAGCACGTCCTTTCTGCTTGCTAGGATTATTTCCAACCTAGGTGAAAAGTACATACAACCGCCCTGTCAAGTCGACAAGGCAACCCCTCTCGCGAACAAGTTGGGCGAGCTAGTGTACATACATATTCTTGGGTTCCCCAAGGACAAAGTCCATCGTGCTCCCCTCCACTCGTCTCGCCGCTGTCCTCCAAGGCCCTTTTCTAGCCAAACACGGAAGTCTGGTTGCAACCTGGACATCACAGCACTTTCTCACACTTCCTTTGAACAACCTCAAAATAAACAACACTACCCGAGAGGTCCTTTCCGCCACGGGAGGCCGAGGATTTGTAGCCACCGCTTTTACTATGCAGGCGTTCAACGACCTTCCGCCCCCTCCGTATAGCGAGACGGACATCTACTCGCAGGCCGGCGCTCCCCCGCACCAGCCGGACGCCCATCCGTTGGCCGGCTTTCGCCCCATGCTTCTCTATATGGCGATGATGCCATCTCCACCTCAACGGCTGGTGATGTAATTTACACCCCACCGCTAACGCCCCAGACATCACACGCCAGTCCCCTCGAGCCCTCGGCTGCAGCTGCTGCGTACTTTGACTCTCGCCCTGTCCTTGATCCTGTCACCTCCGGCTCGTCTTTGGAGCACGTAATCAACGTGAGCGCCGACAGCACGCCCGAAGCTTTTCCCTTTGTTCCCGGGTTTTTATCTCGCGACGTAACAGAGCAGGACTGGAGGACCTTTCTTAATTTCTTAATTCCGGACCATTCTACCCGGAGCAATGAAGCGGTTGCGGACAGGAAGCTTAGGGCCGAGGGGAGCAATACTAGCACAATAGGTGAAGCAGAGGCGCAAATGAGCGCCATCATCTCCGAAAATGGCTCCGCCAATTTCTCCCGCCTAGCTGTTGAAAGGACAGTCGAGGAATGGAATGCGTGGTTCTTTGGACCTCGCGGGGTGACCATCCACCTTGCGCCCGAGCCGAGCGCGGCCCGCATGCCCGGCGCGTGGGACCAGTCCTTCGACGCCGCGGCCGCCGGACCCCCGGGGTTCCAACCGATTCCACCCCAAGAAGGGCCCCTCCGGCCAATACGCGAGGTATGAGCTTTGGAGGCGTGCGTCTTACCGACGACGGCATCTACATCGGCTCTAGTCTCGCCGCAGATCGAAGCGGAATCCGCGTAGGCAACATTACCGCAGACCAGACCGGAATCAAGTACCTCGGGCGAAACCTTCTTCCTGGAACGTACGGACCCTTCCAACCCCGTGGACGTGGCTGGAATTCCGGTGGACCCTTTGGTTTCCCGGACAGGGCCCTCCCTGGGCTCCGCATGACCACTCCCGCGGAGTGCCCGTGCCGGACCCTTTGGTCACGGTGGGCCCTGGGGCCCTGGACGACATGCCCGTGGTGAGTCTTCCGACTCTTCCGACTCCGACTCGGATTCAGAAAGCGACCGCGAATCCTGCGTTTCCCTCGACTCCCTCCCCGACTATGACGATCTAGACGGGCAGCAATACACAGTCTACACGCAAGCTCTGCAGCAATGGCTCGCCCGCGGGGAGACAATGGTCTCGAAGCAGGACGTGCGCCAGCTCAAGGCGGATCTACGCGCTGCTCGATCCAGGCAGTGCAACCTCACCACCGCCCAGCGGAAAGAATGTGCCCGCGACGTCAAGAACCGGTTGCGTGAGCTGAAGCAAGTCCGGCGACAGCATAAGCGGGACCAGAAGGAGCTCAAACGACAAGAAAAGCAGCGGAAGCGGGCCGAGAAGAGAGAACACAAGCAGAAGAAGCGAGAACTGAAGCGTTCGGAAAGAGAAAACCGACACGCCAGCAACGCGGGCATCCCCGCCCCGCCAGCTCCCCTGCTCCTCCTGCGGCTCCTCCCGCACCGGCCGTCCACGTTCCCCGGTGTTTGCGGACCCCATGGGCTTTATGAATAGATGTGGCAACGAAATGAGCCGTGGGCGTGGCCGGAGCGGAGGAGGGTGCGGACCAGGACGGGGATTTGGTGGCGGCCCCTGGGGCCCGAGTCCCTGGGGGTCCGGTCCTTGGAGTATGGGCGGACGCCAAAACGCTCCGGTTCCGGGCGCCTGGCCGTCCGCGGCCGGGCAAGATGCGGGCGACGCGCGCATGGAGGGATACAATGACGCGGCCCGGAAGCTGGAGAAAAGATCGGCCTGAGGGAGGCTGAACTATCCAAGATCGAAATCGATCTGGCCATGGGCAACTGTAACCGGACCTGGGGGAGTGCCGCGAAAGCGCAGAGCAAGAAGGCTGCCCTTGAAAAGGAGATTGAGGCCCTGCAAAGCTCCCGAGAGCAGTTCAGGCTCAAGGCGGACGAGGAGTATGCGCGCAAGCTGGATGCTAGTGAAAATGCTTCCTAAACATCGATGGGGGAACGACCCCTCAACCTCATGGTAGCCCGAGTCTTCAACCGCGCTCATTGTACGATAGAACAGATACCCTTAATCCGGCTTTTATGACGCAGTAGCCGCCCTTCATGATAATAAATGGACATTCTTTTCAAGTGCTTGCTCCGCTATCCCCAATTTTTCTTTCTACCTTTCGCGTATCTGTGACTCCTAATCTATGCCCATGCAACTTTTGGAAACCCGACCCAACCTTGTGCACCCCGCCCAAAGTCCAAGCAAGTCCCGTTTTTTCTTCTCTCGCTAGTGTCGCTATGCAGGAATACAGCAACTACTCTAGAACATCGACAACGCACGCAGTATGCCTTGGAGACGTCACAGGCGCGCCCGAACACGTTCTCTCACCCCCACCCATCCTCCAGGTTATTGCCTCCACGTTGTACCTGTTGGGTTCTTTTGTTTCTTGTTCCTCCTCCTCTTCCTTCTTCGCTCTATCAGCTCTTGTGCGTCTCGTCTCTTTCCACCAGTTCACCGACGCCCAACGCCCGGCCAACCTTGACCTTCCTCTTCTTGTCGGCCGCCTTGCCCACGTCGCCAACAGGCTCGCCCTCGTCCTGGTGCTCGGTCGTGTCGGCGCTCTCCCCTTCTTCCTTATTGCGGGCTTCGTCGATTTGCTCGCGGATGTCGGAGAATTCGCGCTTCATGCAGAACGCATCCTCGCCGTCGGCATAGTACTTGGCCTCAGTCTTCTCGGTCAGGAAGCCGAGGGTATCGCGGTAGAGGCGTATGGCCGCCTGGTTAGAAACACGAACGTGGAGGCTGACGTACTGGGCGCCAAAGGTTTCCACCATCGCAAGCTCTGTTGAATCGACAGACAAGTTAGCTCTCGGCTGCTAGAAACTTTGATGCCAACGCAACCAATACGGGCGTCGCGAAAAAGGGAGATTCGCTACGTACGGCTCTGGCGCATGAGCTTCTCGGCAATGCCTAGCCTCCTATGCGTCCTCATAACGGACAGACTGGTAATATGACCGTGCTGAACGCCGTCGGTGGGCTCCTCCTCCATCTTAGCGAGCACATAGCCGACGATTTTGGGGTAGTCGTAGGGCGTCTTCTTGGGACGGGAGACGTCGACGGCAACGAAGCTCAGTTGAGGCCAAGAAAGAGCATGGTAGAGGTAGTACTTGAGGAAGTAATTCTCGGGTAGGTTCTCGAGATTTGCATGTTGTATGAGGGGCAAGTCGGAGGGCTGGAGGACTCGGATATCCATGGTGTGGGCTGAATCAAGGTGATTCTAGGGTGTAGCAGGGTCTAGGCGGGGGCCGAAAAGGCCAATTGGGAGGAATTTCGGTTTCTCTCTTTAAGCCCTCTATAGCTCGAAAATTAAGAGGATACCAAAAGAATAAGGCTGATGGCGAGGCTGTCTATGTCTCTGTTGGATTTCAAGTGGTGAGTGCATCTGCCTTCCACTCGCAGTCTTTGAATTTCATCACGTGTACCTAAGCATACTGCCCGCCCGTACAACTAGTGTATAGTACCGTCACCCTGCCCCGCACTTGGTAGGTTCTCAGCTCCAAGCTGTCAGACACCCCTAGATATTTTGGCGGCAGCAATTCGGTCTCGAGTTTCTATCGCTCGACTATCTACGATAGATTTTCTCCGTCGGATACTTTTGTGTGTGGGCAAGGAGTACCCCTAGATAAGACATTGAAAACAAGGGAAGACGGGGGCATTTAGCTTCCCTAGGTCTTAGTTCACAGACAATTGTAGAGAAGGGGTATTGCCATTAGCTACCTACGCATCCGTCGATCCATTGGATGAATCGAGAAATCCAGAACGGAGTATGTTAGCCGATACTCTAAGCTACGAGGAAAGGCTCCTTTAGCTAGTACTCATTATACTTCCACAAGCTTTCCGCTACTTTGAAATGGTGAGAAAAAGATGTTCCTTGAACCGGCGCAGAATCATATCTAGAAAATAGAGACGACTCGAGTCTAATCGGCAGCGAACCCGCCGCTCAGGATGCTTGGATAGATGGATGGAGGGGCTCACTGGCACACAGCAAGATCTGAGGTGCTTACACGATGGAATCTGACCTGCGCCATGAGCTCGGCATGCCCCTAACACCATCTCGCGATCCATGTAAGGGTAGCGGATACTAGCGAGCGGAAGCCCAGGGCCTTTACAGGCGATCTGGTAATGATTTGCGACATAATCTCGCTCCATTACTTGCTAGGTGTAGAGAAGCCACTTCAAAATGCACAGATAAGGCGGGGTCCAGACTCGCGATTCCTAATTATTGTGTCAACAAGGTGGAATCTATACTTGTTGGTTTCGATAAGAATATATCCCCTCACACTTACTATCTACAGTTCCACAAATGACAGGGCGTGGAGGGTGCCTTTGCTGGTGTCAGCTCTTGTTATCAGCATATCTCTTCATCTACGACACATCAGATCATGCTGTATAAATCTGGCGAGCTGACAAAAGACAGACATTCAGACAATCGGGGGTTTCTAGCCATTTTGTCAAGGTGACCTTGACTCTATTTTACTTGAGTGATTCTTGAAATGTATCGCTATTAGAGTTGGCTGTGGGAGGTATCGGGAACATCCACGATTCAAGTTCTTGAGCAATCAATGAATCGATGTGCAAATACAGAGGCCTGGGCGATACTCGGGTTGAACCCTGCCCTGGTATCAGCCAGCTCTCCCGCCTCTCTGCGGGCTATCTTCCAGAAGCCTAGGCGGCAGTAACAGGCGTCTGTGTCGCATTAGCTTGATCTCCTGCGCCTTGGACCGGCTGGTTGGGGGCTCTGGGTGACATTGAGCCTGGGAAGGGAACAACCGAAGTGGAAAGATTGATTGGATTGAGGTCAATCGGCTGTTTAGATCAGCTTATTAGTGCTGGGCATGTCAAATCAGGTGGTACCGTGACAGGGTGGAGGGTAAAACGCGAAAACGCCAACAGCTCCAAGTCCAGACCCACGACCTCGCTCACTTCCCTCGAGACAAGCAGCAATGGCGCCAAGGAGAAATCTCAACTCACGGGTTCGTATTGATGTCCTACCAGACAAGGGAAATCTATTCTCAGTGAATAGTGCACTTCTGACTGACACGTTACTACTACGGCAGACGGTGATGGCCCCTGTGGCCGCCTTTACTATGGCTTGCATCCTCTTCTTGTAAGCCCGCACACGTTCAAATTCCTCTCTGCGTCTTAAGCAAACGTCTCTTTTTAGATACACCCGGTCTTCGATGCGCCAAGCCAAGGAGCAGTCTGTAAGTCCAATCCTTTATGCTTTCTTGCGAGCAGTGCTTCTTCTAGTTAGTTGTCTTCGACCGCTCATAGTCGCAAATAGAGAATAAGGCAGGCCGGATACCGCACAGATAGCGGTAATAATAAATCGCCGTAATCTTCACTCTAGCAAGGACCAGGCGGATTCAGCGTGGCCATTTAATAGCTCTCTCCATGTTATAGAGGTTCAACGTTTGGCAACGCGATCTATAAGAGGGCAAAGAGCTGTCAGCGGCGGCTGAAACAACATGTACCTAATAACTAAGCTTCTCGGCGATTGAATCAATATAATGAACTCGAAGGTATTCATTAGCGTTTCCCATATCAAACGTTGGTCAATTGGTGGAACCGCTACTCTGCTGGCGCTCGAACGGTGAAGTCTCCGAGCTAGGGTCCAATGAGGAATCCATTGATGCCAATGGGCGAAAAGTACGCCATGGGATCTGGAATCTGGCGAAGTCGCGGCAAGAATCGGATTGGTTTGGTGTTGAGTCAAACCCCCATTGGGTTCAGGTCGAGCGGGTAAGGGCCATGGAACGGTTCGGCCAAGCGAAGGGCAACAGAGCATGAGACAACCATGACGACTTGCATCTGCGAGGTGGCGGCAAGCCCAACCACCGACCGAGGAACCCTGCACCTTCCTCGTTTTGTTAGCTGCATGTGCTCCATGCGCAGATATCCCTATCAATTCAATACTGGAAGCTGCTTCATGGATTGAAGGGGCATCTCTGCAGCCCCCAAGAAACTGAATATGAGAGGAAAGTCAGCCCGCTAGCTCCTAAAATAAAGATCATTGATCAGGGCATAAAAAGACGAGGCGAAGGAACCAAATGACTCCTCTGCTATGTGGATCTTCTCCTTAGCCTGGGGAGGGTAAGTTCGATCAACTGATATTATCACTGACATGGATGCCTTTCAAGAGTTCAAGGTTCTTGAAGGTCAAGAGGTGTGTTTGTGCCTGCCAATCTCGCACTGTGGGTACCCGTCAGACCCCCACCCTCCTCCCCAACCGACCTCGGATCTTTCTCAGTCCACAGTTGCAGAGGAATTTTTAGCTGGCTGGGGCCCCCAATTCCATACTATGGAAAAAGAAAAGAAAAAAAGGCCCATAGCTGTCTTGAATGATGAATATTATTAGGGGTATGAAAAAAAAAAAAAAAACTCCCCAGTGCAACCAACTTTAGTTACACACAGTCTATTACGTCTTTTCACCATCTAAACCCGTTCTCTCCTTCCCCGCTGCCTCCTTCCTTTCTTCCTTGCTATTGTGAATTGTGGACCAGCCAGTCGCACTTTCCACTAAAGAGGTTCTGGCCTGGACTAGAGCATCCAAGTGCTGTAGCCATGATCCCTAGCTACTGTGAGATATTCTAGCGGAGACACTATTTTGTCTCTCGCACACTCCAGTCCTCAACCTTGTATCCCCTCCTTTTTCCCTCTTTTCCTTTCTTCATATCCTCGATTCCCGCTTTGAGATATCTCCCAAAGCCCACCTGACTGGGACTACTCCCCTCCACCCCCTAATGACGGCAGGTTCTTGAGTGTGAGCGACGATATCAACCTACATTATTTTCCAAGCCCTCGGAACACCTGGACCGTGACTGGCCGGGGACCCGAGGACCCGGTCTTTCTCATACTTACCCACCGACCCGATAATCGAAACGCCCACGTGAGAGGAGCTGCCCGCGCTCCCTACTTCCCATGCGACGAGAAACAAGGGCAGCGATGTCCCACGAAGAGCAACCCTACCAGTCCAGCACCCCTCATCTCACGAAGGCCACCACTATGTAGCCTCCGACTTGTCTCGTACACCACCATATCCCCCGAACCGAGGGCGTCCTCGCCGGACCAGAAGGTGTAACAAATGCGAACAAGGAAGTTAACTTGACCCCCTTCCAATCATGGACGCTCAGGGCGTCTGACAGCCAATTCAATGCTGCTGCCGGTAGTCTCGGGGGCATTGCCTCTGGCGTCGTCACTTGCCCGCTCGACGTGATCAAGACAAAACTACAAGCGCAAGGCGGCTTTATCCCTATTCGCAAACAAGGAGGTCACGTCGGCCACACCAAGCTCTATAACGGCCTGGTTGGAACGGCCAAGACTATTTGGAGAGATGAGGGATTGCGAGGCATGTATAGAGGGCTAGGCCCCATCGTGATGGGCTACTTACCCACATGGGCTGTCTGGTTCACGGTATATAACAAGAGCAAGGACTACCTGAACCAGCGCTATGGTGAGTTTGCTCCCCGTCACCGCTTCCACGACATGGCATGTCTCATGAAACTGCCGGCGCGAAGCAGCGCCAGCATTCCCTCTCCTTTGTCACTTTCAGGTTCCTACCGGGGACGAACTTGGCTAATGAACTACGTCCTTTAGAATACCCTTTCTTGGTGAACATGGCCTCCTCCATTATCGCTGGCGCGAGTAGCACTCTCGCCACGAACCCTATATGGGTGATCAAGACGCGGCTGATGTCGCAGAGCGTCTCCCACCAAAAGGTGTGCATTATGATCTCTTTCCAAAGTCGTCTAGTACACCAACATCAAGGCCAACTCTCCAAGTGCCCTGGAACTATAGCTCGACCTTTGATGCCGCTCGGAAGATGTACACTTCCGAGGGAATTCTATCCTTTTACTCTGGCCTGACTCCAGCGTTGCTCGGCCTTACCCACGTCGCCGTCCAGTTTCCAGTCTACGAATACCTCAAAACCAAGTTCACGGGCCAGGGTATGGGAGCAATAGATGGCGAGGCGGGAGAGAAGACGTGGGGACAATTGTTCGGCGTCCTGTGTGCTACGGTGCTTAGCAAGGTCATGGCAAGCAGTGCCACCTACCCGCATGAAGTCATCAGGACGAGACTCCAGACACAACGTCGCCCCGCTGCTGGCGACGCCTATCTACAAGGCTTTAACATAGCGCCAGGTTCTAACCAGACACCGGCCCCCACGCCACCTCCGCGACAGGAACTCAAGTACAAGGGCGTGGTCAAAACATTCCGGACCATTCTCAGGGAAGAGGGATGGCGCGCCTTTTACGCCGGCATGGGGGCGAACATGATGCGAGCGGTACCCGCCGCGGTAGTTACAATGTGCACCTACGAGCTCTGCATGAACTCTTTCAAAAGGCTCGCCAAGAAGCAAAGGACAAGATATCGAACGGTGGCAGTGACGAACTACAGCTCGCTTAAATGCTTATTGCCTTTCCATATAGGAGCGTGTGGAGGAAAAACCAGGGGCCACCCAGGAGGGGGTGGGTGGTTCAGCGGTCGGGTCGGTCGGTTGGCTGATTTTGATACCCTTTGAAATGTATAGACGAGTATGGATTTTCTTCATCTTCCATCTCTCCCTCCCCGAGTCCCTGATGCTTAATAGCCTGGCGTCGGGAAGGAATTCAGTTTTCCGAATCGGGAGGCTCTTCGGAGGCCCGATGGTCACAGAGGCATGTTGCCTCGGATTTCACGGTTACAGTCTTCACCACTGCATCACGCGAGAGCGGTCATGACGGAAAGTCGTTTTACTTATTTTACTCTTCTTCTCTTTGTTTCTTTTCTCCCCTTTTTCTCATGTCTTTATTTACGGTTATTGGTAGGCGAACGGCATAGAGAATCAACGCATTTTCACTTGAAAACAGAATCGCTGCTGCTCGAGGGAATGCAGGTGGCCTGTTTCCCTTCACTCCATCCCATGTGTTTTTTCAGCTAGTCGATCCCTTTCCAGCCCCGATCCTGGCAGTGATACACGGGGGATGTGCGCGTGCCGAATGAGTTGCGCGAGGTGACGCCCCACGGCAGTTAAAATTACAATGCTTTTAGCACATATAACGGTTACGACAGTGGCGGAGAAATCTTTGGCGCGAGAGAAGAAAAGTGGAAAGAAAAAACGAAGAAAAAGAAAAAGGGCAAGACAGCGAGGAAACTAATCCATTATGCAGTATAAATCACTACCGGGTTGTTATCAAAGAGGTGCAGGACGGCTCCTTCCGACATTGAAAGCTTCCAGGAGCTGTTGGGAAATCGCATCGTGATTGGTCGCAACAGCCTCTGTGCTCCGGCTGCTGTCGTGCTCACGTCGCCCTCCCGCGCTCGCCCGCCCTCTGGTCTTGTTTTATTTTCCCATCCACCCCCTTTCTTTCTTGCTCTCCATTCTCCTCTCCTTCCCATCTGACCCGAGCGCATCCCTTCATTCATCAGCGCGAATCTTGTCGTGAGATCTTCTGGAAATTTACCATCTCTCTGGAGGAAAAGAGCGCAGGGCGAACCATCCCCCTTAATTGCATAATGCCTCCAGTTCTGCGCAAGCGCAAGGCGCCCGAGCCACCCCCAGCACCGCCCGCCACCAAGAAGGCCGCGCCCAAGGCCACAAAGGCCGCTCCCAAAGAAAAGGCTGCGCCCAAGGAAAAGCCCGCTGCTGCCAAGAAGGCAGAAGTTGTTGAGAAACGCGTGAAGGAGGCGCCTGCGAAGGTCGCTACGCCGCCTAAAGTCGGCGATATCATCTCTCTCGAAGGTTTCGGCGGAGAGATTGAGACCCATGATGGCAAGAAGACTACGCTAAAGGCCCTCGTTGATGATTCCAAGGGCGGCGTAGTCCTCTTTACATATCCCAAGGCCTCTACTCCTGGCTGTAAGTTTTCGCGACCGCCGAGCACCCTTGGCACTCATGTTGTGATATGAGCTTCCCAATTCGCGCCTTCGCGCCTTGGGCTGTCGGGGGACATGTCTAGATCGCAGCCCTTACTTCATATCTTCATCTCTTCATAAATGGCTGACGCATTTCCCGACATCATAGGCACGAAGCAGGTCTGTTTCTTCAGGGACTCTTACGATGATCTTACCAAGACTGGACTCGCTATTTACGGTCTCTCGTCCGATTCCGGCAAGGCCAACACTTCGTTCAAGGAGAAGTACAAGCTAAGCTATCCTCTCCTCTGCGACCCGGATGCGACTCTTATCGCTGCCATTGGTTTGAAGAAATCGCCCAAGGGCACCCAGCGAGGTGTCTTTGTCGTCGACAAGTCCGGCAAGGTTCTCGCTGCTGAACCTGGCAGCCCTTCCGGCACTGTGGATGTCGTCAAGGCGCTGGTGGAGGGCTCGGATGAGGCTCCCAAGGATGAGGCTGAAGAGGCAAACGGCACCACTTCCGAAGACAAGAAGGAGAAGGAGGAGACCTCCAACGGAACGGACAAGAAGGATGACAAGGATGAGTAGCTTCTAGCAGTTTAATGCGCTATGGGCCTTAGGGATGGGTTGGAGTATCTTTTGGGAGAGGGCCTCTGCAGGGTTGATTGGGGATCGGGGTGTTTTTGAGCGATTGGCAACTTGGGTTGACTTGGTTGAGCGAATTTGGTTGATTTTCAATTAATGGTCCTTTCTTTTTCCCCTTTATTTTTCTCTCGTGATTTCAAGTAAGTTATGCAACTGCAATATTCATTTCCAAACGAAACCGCTAGGCATCTTCAGATTCATCAGCCTGCATTGCCTGCCAGTGACGAGTGCATCGACTCCGAGAGTTGGGTCTTTTTAGTAGGTCCCTGAAATATTGCAATTGACAATTCCGGCATGGCGACTGGCTGGGCGGATGTTGGTCGTTGTGTTTACCCGAAGAACAACCGTCAATTCCAAGTTCCCACTCGCCAAATATCACTCGAACATTGAACGGAAGCACGACAAATCGCAAGTCGAAGCGACAATTCGGACCATACACTCACAACCATGGCCTCCAAGGTGGTATCAAGGGCTGCCGGTGGTGTAGTAGAGATTGCCCATGTGAGTTTCCATTCCCCAGTGCTTCACCGCGGCCCCTGTGCCAGCCCAATTGCGAACATGACAACCAAATCATGCCAGACGTTTTTTGGAACATGATGAGATCTTGCCCCCTTTGCTAACCACTAGGACTCCAACGTTAGAAACAAACCGTGCAATCGACCGGCTTGTGGGAGACGCTGCGACGGGCCCTCGCCATCGACCCCGAGCGCTCTAATGGCATACCCCTAAACCCTTACTTCCGTAACCCAACTCCCGGCGCCGCAGACCCGCTCTCCTACAACGATCCCGTCACGCTCCCGGCCGCCGACATTGCCGGTAACCCTTACTGGAAGCGCGATAGCCGACGCAACTATCCCCGCCTCAGCGTCGTTACCCAGTCGGACGCGGTTGCCCTCCTCACCGTCGGCAGCGAGGCCGCGCCCAAGAGCGAGCTGATTGGCGAGGCGGGCCAGCAAGCCCTCGTCGCCGCCAAGGAGGACGGCCAGACCAAGGGCCTCGCGGCGTTCCTAGAGGAGAAGACGGCCAAGGCTGTCGCCGCCGATGTTCTCGTAAATGGCCTTCCGCCTTTGCCTAGCGGACAGAGCTTGGCTTCGGGCAGCTGGGATGTGCACAAGTATAAGCTGACGCCTGAAAAGACCGCCTACAACGATCTGTATGTGTCTTCCCATTTCGCCCTACATGGCGAGAATGGAAACTATCTCTTCGCTTTTTCTTTTTCATTTCTTTTACTGACATTTTCTTTCTCTCCAATAGGTACCCCTGTAGGTCATTCGAATAGAGGGCTGAGAGGAAAGTGAAAAGCGTGTACATGTACATAAGCAGGAACATAGAGGCATGAGGTAGAAGAATCCGGATTCTGTTCTTTCTTTTTCTTGTTGAATTCTATGAAGACAAGTCTACTCGTGCTATACCACAGCTATCGTCCTTTTGTTCCTCTTGGGTCAAAAGGAGTTCATGAAATCATCTATGCTACTAACTAATCGTCTCAAACGGTGAGGATGCAAACACCAGCAGGCCTTCAAACGTCTCCGGCTTTCGTAGGCTTAATGCCGATGGCCCGTTCTATGACCCTAACCTTTCCCTGCGCCTTTTAAAGCGGTCGTCAAAATCCTGGACGGCGTCGTCGCTGTTTTCTGTTGGAAGCGTGGCCGGCTCCATGAGGGCATGCACAGATTCAATGTTCTTGGTAAGCCTCGCGTTATCTGGTAGGGGTGGCATCTTTGACGGTGCCTGCTGCTTTCCCTCCGAGCCTATGCCAGCTGTGGCTGCGGCCGAGGGGAGGCGGTTGGCCCACACGACGGCGCGGCCGTATAATCTTCCGCTCTCGGCGAACTTTTCGAAGCCCTTGGCCAAGCCGAAAGACCGGCCCTCGATTTTCCCGGCGCGCTCGCCATCTTCGTAGCCTTGGTTGTAGCCACGCTTATAGAGATCGTCCTCGATGGTGAGGGCATCGTCGAAAAGGTCCTCGCTCATGTTGTCTTTTTCTTGAGGGGAAAGCTGTGAACTTTGCCCCCTCCCCTCTACTTGTTTTCCTGAGGTGTTGATAGAGAGAGGAAAGAGAGGTGAGAGAATGAAAAGGCAATGCGCTGCGTCAACTTGATTCTTTTTTACAGGTCAATATATCTCCGTTGTAGTGAGAAGTGACTGAAGAGGTGAATCAGTCCTAAACATCTAGCACGATCGGTGGGTCAGTAGATGGCGAAAATTCTGGTGGGGTCAAGCCTAGTGGAGCTGGGGATGACGGAAGCCAGCACGTTTGCCTTTTAGGTCAATAGTCAGCATTAATTGTTCCCAATGACCAGCACAGAGGGATTGGCACCCACTAACACCACAGCACTGCTTACACTTCCCACCAACGCTGTCCTCCTCAAGTAATTGATGTGACGGCGAATCTATTGTATATACACAGAAAGGCTAGAACCGGAACAGAGGGACTTTTACGGAACCAGAAAAATATTAGGGATATCTTGTCAAATTTTACTTGATTTTCTAACGGTCTACTGCGTCCCCAACAGCATGCCTCCATTTGCGCACACCACTTGACCAGTGCACCAAGCAGCATCAGGCAAGCACAACATCGAGACGATGCCGGCAACCTCATGACAGTATGCGGGTCTCCCTCCGCTAGTCTTAGCATCTTCTACAATCTCGTCGGCATCAACACCCTGCCTAGCCTTCATCAAAGGGGTATGTTCGATGAAGGGCTTGATCAGGCGCTTGAACTCGTCCGTGTTCCTGGCGTACATCTCAGTGAGGACAGGGCCCGGGTTGATGGCGTTCACCGTGCAGTTTTCCGCGAGCTCCCTCGCCCAAGTGCGAGTCATGGCTTCGAGCGCGGCCTTGGTTCCACCGTACACGGACTGCCCAACAAAGCCGCAGCCGGCGCTGACGGAGCTCAAGTTCACGATGCGGCCGCTGCGGTCGGTAGGTAGGTACGGCTGAGCTGCCTGGACGAGGAGGAGGGGTCCGAGGACATTGACCTTGTACGTGATGTCGAAGTCGGCCACCTTGATCTCTGGGAGTTTATCGTTGAAGGCGACGCCGGCGTTGTTGATGATGATGTCGATCTGGAACTTGCCGTCCTTTTCGAACTCGGCCTTGGCAGCGGCAACAAGCTCCGAAGCACCCGTCGGCGTGGAGAGGTCAGCCTTGACGATGAAGGTGCGGATATTCTGCTCGGCCTTGAGCCTTTGCGCAAGCTCCTCGGCTCCCTGTTGAGAACTGGCGGATGTGTAGCAGAGGATGAGGTGGCAGCCTTTCGTGGCCATGTGCTCCGCGATAGAAGCTCCGATACCTATCGAGGTGGGACGTCAGACGTTGAAAGGCCATCACATGGACAATTGGGGTAGAAGCACCATACCCCTGGACGCGCCGGTCACAATCGTGAGCTTTCCCTCGAGTGGGCGAGACATGATTATGATTTTCTTTTTCTTATTTTTTTCTCCTTTGTCTAGATATTCCCGTGTCCGTTTCGTAGGTTACGGAGGTGAATTGGGACCGAGTAGAATCGGGGATGGAGGGGAAAGAGGAACAGAGCTCGCAGGACACCAGCGTGCCGAAAGAGCAGGTTGAAAATGAAGAGAAGAAGAAGTTTACACCACCGAGAGGAATTGAAACATGTGCCTGTCTGAAATGGCGCAAGCTGAAAGAACTCAATGAGCTTTATACGTTTCCCGGGTTGGCGATGCGAATCCACCTTTCTAGAATCCGGTAATACAGCTCTGCCCCGCTAGGTCACTTGCTGGCTCTGATGGAGGGGCTGCTGCCCCTCGTAGCACTGGGCAATTGTTGATGCGAACTCTGCCGCACCAATGAGCAGCACGACAGCGCACTGCTTATTGATAGTGGCTGAAAAGGTCTAACTAGATCTCAGGGCCCCATTCCCTCGGAGGACATCCGTAGATATGTATCGTGCGGCTATAGATCTGGAAACCACGGGATGGACAGGGGAAAAAAGAGTTCCCACATTGCCATCAGCCGAGCTGCCTTGGTTCCATTTGGCGACAGCCGTGCACTTACTTTTCACCAGGGATGCTCTTGCTTGGTGTTCCGCTTCGGCTCCTTTCTCTCTTTGCGCCTAGGCCTGAACTAAATGAGAACCCAAAAACTCCCGAGAATACGACCTCATCTGCTCTTTCGTCGCTGTCAAGAAACATGTAGAGAATATGACGATGACGGGGAACCTTCTTCAGGCAGCTACGACTAAAAGAGGATTCTTAGTCTTCAAGATCGGAGTCGTCAGCGCCAGTATAGACCGACCCATGCACGCAACAGGATGAATCACGTGACAATATCCGAATTCACCCGTCGTCTGCCGGCCAATTGGACCACGGCCAAAAACTCCAATCAACCTCATCTGATTTCAATCGAGGTAATTACTTTGTCTAGCACGACAATCGAACGAACAAGGAGAAAAAAACCGACCTCCTCCCGCAAGCGACAACCGCCCACCCTCAATCGGCTCCGCAACCCGGCCTTGATCCCCGACGAACCGACTCAATTGAGACGCGAGTGCTTCTTTCGATACCGCCGCCATGTCCTCTGTCACCAAGCTCACCGGAGCCGTCAAGTTCGTCGCGAAGCGACCAGCTCCAGTCCGCCGTCGACCGACTCAACTCCTGGCAATCAAAGTACTACCGCCAACTCGGTCTCAAGTACGCCTTCTCGCTCCCTTTTATTTCCGTTTTCTGGCTTTTGTCTTGAAGCCGTGTGTCCCGTGGCATGTTGGTTGTGCATAGAGGGCGGCGCCCGGCCGATTCGCAAAGAGACAGGGGTCCCGAGTTTCAACAGTGGCTAACAGAGGGATCTGAATAGGTACGACGATTGCCTCGATATGGAAGAGTCCCCCATCGGTCAGCTTGCCCTCAAGCGTCTGTCTCCCAAAGAGTCCTACGACCGTGTCTACCGCATCCGCCGCGCTTTCCAGCTTTCCATCTCCCACAAGATCCTACCCAAGGAGCAGTGGACCAAGGTAGAGGAGGTGAGTAGAGCTTCCCTTTAGTCATTTTCACAACTAGGAGTAGAAGAGTTGGGGATTTCTTCTTTTTACCTTGCGGCGAGTCTCCGGCGGAACTCCTTTCGCGACATGGTGAACGGGACATATTGGATTACGCACATGGTATTGGGGATTGGGGACTTTTGGCTAATGATATTTCAACACAACAGGACAAGCCCTACCTCCAGCCCATTATCGACCAGATCAAGGCGGAGATCAATGAGAAGGAGGCTCTCGACTCCATGGAGGTTGTCAAGACGCATTAAACTGTATCCCCAAGTTTCCACGACAAGTGTTTAGAGGAGCCGCGGGTTCCTATGGAGGACAGCTGTATATCATCTGGTCCTAGGCTTATAAAAGGACTCAGCGCCATTTCAACCTTCTAGAGCTCTCGCCCTTTCCTTACTCCTTTGTATGCTAGTCTCTGTATAGAATTCACCCTTTGATATACTCTTTCCCTTGCCTCGGAGAGTAATACATAAATTCCCAACCTGAGCTAGAGCCACAAGCCAGAGAGCATTTCACGATGAATTACTTATTTCTTGCCCTAAAAATTGAACTACATCAAAAATGTATGCCACGCCTAACTTCATCCCCCTCCCGGGTCCGTATTCACTGGGCCACCAAACCCCAAGGTTTCGAAATACGGCCAAGAAGACGGAGCGAGCCTGGGGTTACCAGGTCGTCGACTGCAACAAAAGTACTGAGGTGCTCATGCTCTCCCCGCCGCCTCCGTGTCTACCCGCACGCATGATTGACCAGCAAAACTTGAATCACACAAGTCTAGTATTACAACCGCCAGAAAACTGTACAATAAAGATTTGAGAGAACAAAGGGAACCCAGCATATATAAAGATAAAGGAGGAAAAGAAAAAGGTTGGAAAAGGAGGAGTGGATGAGATAGAAATGTTGGAGGTAGAATGCAGCGGTAGGATATACTACGATGCATCAGATTGATGCAACGTGATCAAGCAGCTGAGGGAAATATACTTGAGAAATGTTCAGGAGCCAGGGCTAGCGGGCTCCAGGAAACAACTTGAGAAGATGATGCCGTCAGCCTGATCGTAGACCAGAGACCCAAGACAAAGGCTGACTGGTACAAAAAGTGTTGGGTATGCTTCAAGGGGGTGTTCTCTTCAAGTCTTCGAGGCGTTATTGCTGCATGTAGCTTGCGGTGGGTATTGTTCTCAAGGGACAATCGTGGGCGAGAGCTCGACGTCCGCCCAACCCGTCCGCCTTCGCGATCAAACAGAATCCACTCCGGTTGTTGGGGTACTGCATGCGTTGAAAAAGAATCATGAGCGCTCGTATAAATCCAATTTTCCTGACACCGATTTAAAGCCGTTGACGAGGGCCAAGCCCATTAAACAATAATGACTCAATAAAAAATGCGGAATGTCGACAAGGTCAAATTACGCCTTGCCGCCCTTTTCGGCGGTATCGATATGCCAGACGACATAGTTGGGAAGACCAATCACTTGATAGCCAGCCCTCTTGGCCATCTTTGCAAAACCTTCCGTCTCGGCTTGGTTCTCGAAGGCATAGCAGGGGAAGTTGATGCCTAAAGTCATGTTAGTTACCACCGCCTAGATTTGTTTCCTTGATGCGCGGTGCGGCTTACCAGATCGATGAACATCAGCCTTCACGAGGATGCTAACACCGCCAACGCCATCCAGTTCAATTTCCATTCTCTGGTCATCCCTCCAGTCACCCATCTTAGCCATATACTGTCGGCCAGTCTTGAACTGCTTGTAGCCTAAGGAGCACATGGAAGTTAGTGGCAACCCTTGCAGGCAAGGGGGAAGGCGTTCAACTTACCCTCTGCGAGGACGACATCAGGGTCAAGAGTCCTACGCAGCTCAATAGCTTGTTCAGACTCAACCCACGAGTTGTAGTCAACTATGACTTTGGTTAGTAAATGATCTCGCACGTCCCGAGGGAAATCGACTAGAGCTTACAGCGACCCTCGACGTCCTTTCCTTCAGAGTTGAAGCGATGGAACCAAATGTCTGTACGCTCGTTAGTTTCTGTCACTCTGATATTGAAGACTACGAAGAAATTGGCTTACTCGGAACGATGATGTCCTTGTCGTGCTCCATAAAGTCCTCTAGGATTCGCTTAGGGCTTTCGACAATATCGACATCTCTCCAGAAGACCCATGAGTGTTCAGGCTTAAGAGCAGTGGCGAGAAGGTAGTTCCTAGCACGACCCATAGCCTTCCTTCGGGGACCTTGAGCCTCGAACGAGTGCCTCTCTTCGACATTTTGGCTGAGATGGAAGTCAAAGTCCTTCTTGACAATGATTGCGCTGTTGAAGGAGAGGTGGTCGTCGCGGCTTTGGACTCGATCGAGCTCATCAGCGAGAACAGAAACAGTATTGTCAGTCGAATCGGAAATCAAAAAGGCGAGGTCGATGAGATGATGAGGATAGGTCAACTCGGAAAGAAGTTGAAAGTAGGTGGACAGGTATGGGGCGGCATCCTTCAGCGGGGTAAGGATAAGAACTCGCTCGCCATTCTTAACGGGTTCGGGTGTCGAGTGAACGGGGTTGAGGTCGACATGTTGTATGGACGAGGCATTGACCTCGATGGGCCTGTGGTTGTTGAAGATGACTGGCGTCTTGAGATGGCCATACCAGGCCGCCTGCTCGTTGGCCGTCATATCCATCGGAGGCTTTGCAGGGCCCCAGCAATAGAAGCTAGAAAAAGATGATGCGAATTAGTACCAAATGTATCCATCGTCGGGTTCAAGGACGCTGATCGGGAAAGATCTCAGTCCGGATGATGTCCCAGGCCGGGCTTCATCGCAAAAGGGGCCGGGTATTCGTACTTTTGCATCTCGGATGCCGAACTAGACAGCCCGCGCCATAGTAATAAGAGGAAGCCGGCCGTGGCAACGACAAGCAAGACTCTAGTTTTTGTCAAAAATGCCCATACCGCCCTCGTGGGCGGGAGCTGTGCTCGGGCAACTTTCCAGTTGTATCCCTTGGGAAGAAGCATGATGGCGATGAACCGGCGCGACGCGTCGTTGACTGATGGGCTACCGATGAGCAGTCGGGCTCAGCAGCTGGGTGGCGAAGCGATTGAATCCACACAAGAAGCACAGGAGCGTCCGGCGAGTCGGGAAGGGAGACAAAGATGCGCAAAAAGCAGCACTGGTGATCAGATGTCGGGGCAAACTTCTCTAGGAGGTTTGAACTATTTAGACCAGAGCGGGTGCTTAAAGGGGATAAAAAAGTATGAGGGTACCTGGCTAAGGAGATGAGGGGTACATGGGGGATACCGCAGGTCTAATGCAAGGTACCAATTTCTTGCTGCGCCTAACACTGCAAATTTTTCTGGCTCGCCCGAATCCTTGCGATAACAGGTCTGGACAACCAAAAGTCCAAGTCACCTCTTGTTGCGAACGCATAGACGAGGCCGGCCGTGTGGAGCTTGAACGGAAGAGCGAGGCACTGTTTCAGCATCATGCTCTCGCCATGATTCAACATCCCGTCCTTGACGATTATGTGGAATGTATTTCAGTTGATTGCTCGTTTCCGGCTCCTACCATAAGGAAGAAGAAGAAAAAGAAAGGAAAAAGAAACAGACACTGCGACCTGCGTTTTTTGGTTCCAATATCTGCAAGGAACCGGTTATCTTCCCTCCTATTCCGTGAGCTTTAATCATCAGAACAGCGCTCTGCTGGGAGCATACCCGTGCTACACGCCAAATAACCTTGAAGGTTCAGGTTTGAGTGGTAGCCCAGATGATGGCGGCAGGCCGCTTCGATGCGCTTGGGACCAACACGAGAGCCACTCTAATTTTGTCTGCAGTGCTAAGGACAAAGGTACCGCGGAGGTACTGTAACCTCATCTTGCAGACAATCACCTAGATAACGCGACTTTCAGGGATTATGATTAAGCAGCCGGAACTCATGTCAGACGGGGCACAGTGCAAGGATACGAGGCTCCGTCCATGCTAAACCTCGAATTGGCATTGATTCTGACGGAGGCGGGCAAGATCCCACCATTCACAGCCTCCGTAGATAAATAGGAGAGCTGCTCTTGGGGGCTTGAATCGGGGAACTTGGCACCATCGGAACCGTACAGATATTGTGGCGGGCGACAACTTCGATTCAAGAAGCTGCGGCGATTACTGGCAATCTTCAAAGCTAAGCTCGTGCATCTCCTCGAGTCTAACAAGTCGCAGAGACTCCAACATTGGTTACAATGGATCCGACCGATCTCTTGACTATTGCTTCACGCTAGACTGCCCCGGACAAGAATCCCCAATCCGTCTAATTAAGAACGATCCTTTAGCGAAGGATTTCTTTTTCTTTTCCTATTCTTTTTTGGGCCTGCGCCATCCATCCCCAGACAGGGCTCAGGGGAACTAATCCAGGCTAACCTGGCAGGGCCTTCTTTCAACGATGAGGGGAGACAGCTCAAAAATCTTGTTACACTGCCTCAGTCAAAGGAAAGGATTCTTTTTTTGGGAGGAGGAGGAGAACCCTGACTTTAAGGGGCCAGCAAAGAGAACCTCAGGTTGAGTTGCCAACATCTCGATTAGAGAGCTCCAAGTGCTCCCTGGGCGGCCGCGTTCTAGACTGTTCCGGCCCGTTTTGCATTGCATAGACTACACTATTCGATAACCACCTTCCATTCGTGATTTGTGACGATTGATTTAGCCTACCTGGCTTGGTGTGACGGGAAGAATCATGGCACCGTGCATATCAAGTAGAAACGGCCGAAGCTGACTCCGTCAGTCAAAAGCTGTCCACCTGGACGAACTTTCCATGCTCGAGGGTGAATATGTCTGCTCCTCTCATCCTGATCTCGTGCACAATTCCTCCCTCGCAGCGCAGTGAGGACTTGAGAGTCTAAGGAGCGCATCTACACAAATATATCTACTAGGAGCCAATGCTATCCGCCCTTGAGAATCGATAAAGAAAAGCGAAGACTAGCTAAAGACGGAGAAGATAAAGAATGTTGCTGAGTCATCCGCCAAAATCGTCACTCGAAGGGCGAAGAGTGTCCAAGCTCCGACGGTTTGTGAATGCCAAATCGATGTGCAAATGTGATCGTCCTCCCCCATTGAATCCTCATGAGCTTCCTCGAAGGTCTCACATTTTATCTTCTTCAATCGAAACCCCTCAAATACAAAGCTTCATAGCCCACCCTACTGTTTAACTCAATCTGAAGTCCTGAGGAGAACTTGGCCCACGTGGGTTTGAAGCTTGCACCAACCCATCACTTACAAAGTTCACGGGGCTTCTCAGGGCCATCTTCGTGAGCAACACAACTCCAGCTGGACTTAAGCCCAGCGCGTCACGGTAGACCCCTGGAGATTCCATCAAGGAAACTTGTGTCTTGAGCCCACAGACAAGGTTCGAGATAGTGTACGGTCTCTAGCATGGCGACTCGTCGGTCCGCGCGACTCCTCTCCCAGACCGAGCTCAAGCCTCTGGTGCCTCTGGCCCCACCTGCAGCGAACCCCCGGGGACGAAAGAGGGGGACGGAGGTGGGAGATGAAGCCGGGGAGTATCTACGCCAACTAAGAAGCGGGCCCAGTCACGACCGTCGTCGACAGGGCCCGTAACCCCTCCGCCCAAACTCTCCAAGGCTGCGGGCCTCCTAGCGGCCGACGGCATTGAGAAGCCCAAGGCCGCCGCCGTTAGCCGCATAGCTGACCCGAGAGCTACCAATGCGCCTTTGGTATCCCCCATGACAGCTCGAGTGCTCTCATCAAGGCCCTTGGTTGACATTTCTCCATCCAAAGCCGCGAGCGTCACGACTACGACAGACAATATACTAGAGCAAGCGTGCCAACACCTCATCCAAGCGGACGAGAGGATGCAGCCACTCGTGGACAAGTTCCAGTGCAAGATGTTCTCGCCCGAAGGACTCGCGGAAAAGATTGACCCGTTTCAGTGTCTCGCCAGCGGTATCATCGGCCAGCAGGTCTCCGGAGCGGCGGCCGCATCCATTGAGAAAAAGTTTGTCGCTCTGTTCGAAGATGAAGGGGCGAGCGGGTTCCCTCAACCTTCGCTCGTCTCCGCCTGTTCGCTAGAAAGGCTACGCTCGGCGGGTCTCTCCCAGCGCAAGGCCGAGTATATCCAGGGCCTCGCCGAGAAGTTTTGCAGTGGCGAACTGTCCGCGCAGATGCTCGTCGATGCACCCTACGATGAACTCTTGGAGAAGCTGATCGCCGTTCGAGGGCTCGGCCGCTGGTCGGTTGAGATGTTTGCCATGTTCGGTCTGAAGCGCATGGACGTTTTTGCCACAGGAGATCTAGGCATCCAGCGAGGCATGGCCGCCTTTGTCGGTCGAGATATCGCCAAACTCAAAGCAAAGGGCGGCAAATGGAAGTATATGTCGGAGGCAGACATGATTGAGATTTCGAACAAGTTCGCGCCATATCGTAGCCTGTTTATGTGGTATATGTGGAGGGCAGAGAATGTGGACACGAGCGTCTTGGAAGACCAAGTAAGCCCCGAGACACGGTTGAGAGGATCACCCGGAGGGCGGAAGAGACAACACGGGGCTTTCTAATCACACACTGGGATCCTATAACCACGCCCGGTTCGGCCTTTTAAGTTTCCTTCTGGGGGCCGTAGCTACGCGTCCCTTCTTACGGAAGGGGAAGGGGAGTAATATGTCGACCTCGTGTAACCTTTTTGTTTTTATTATCTTCAAGCCCAGACCTCCTCTTCCCAAGGTCGTCGAGAAGTGGGCCTAGGTTCGAGCCATACGGGGTCAACTACCATTTCCCGGTCCCGTCTCCTCTCCTATGCTCCTCTAACAATCCCCATGATTACTACCGACAACTACGACCGCCAAGTGAATTCGCTTCACTTGTCAATGTCTCGGACTATGACAGGCGGCACGAGGCACAGGCGCACACTCCAACGTGCTTTTCAGCCACCCCATGCCTAAGTCGCGGAGACGAGGTCGGGAGGGGGGCTATCCTTCACATGTCTGTGTCTATCATCGTCGTCGAGGAGTTCCGCGCCGGCATTACAAGTATTACCAGAATTTGGCTGGGCCTATCATATTGAAGGGAGGCGGATCGACATCATTTCGTGGATTTGAATTCGGCACCAGCAACACACCAAACACTAAGCCTGAATATTTGGGGCTGGAGAGGGCGCTCACTCTCAGTCTATAGGTGCAAAAGTTTTTAGCATCGGGAGTGACTCAAATGCCACCTTCATCACAACTTTAATGGGCATGAAATTAAGCCACGGATAGAACGTCGTGCAGGAAAAGAAGGCTGGGATGGGAAAGCTGGATCAAGCTGGGTCGAAACAGGAATATGATGTCATATTCGATGGCTGTTTGTGGTTGGTACCCGTGCCGGCCTCGATAATCCCTGACACCACCCACATTTGCCAGCAACGGAATGGCAGGATGCATCTTTTTTTCCCGGCCGTTCACACCCGCTCACCCCCTGCTGTGACATCTTTCCCAACTTGGCTATCAGCCATTCGAGAGAGGCGATGCTTGTCCAACCAGCCTGCCGATGCGAAGAGGACACTCGAGCATGGCGCTGGGGCTTGACACACCCCGACGCCATCTCTCCTTGGTGATGAAGGGGGCGTGTCACACCCAGTGCATTCATCTCGAGCCGGGACGGTTGCGTGGAAGTGGCAGGCCTCCAAGTCCAACATTTGGAAGGTGGCAGTGGGGTAAAAGACAATTAACAACATCTACTACTAGTATTATATCTGTGGATGTACTTGTAGTGTGCGGATACGGGCCTTGGAACACATCCACAAGGCAACGGATTGATCATTGATGGATCTATGGAGGTTTCGCTCAGATTGAGGACAAACGCTACACAACAAGGCGGCATTACCCGCTGGGAAAAAGAGGTCGGGCGGTGCACCTGGCGAAACATCGAGGTTGCCGAGGACGGGGCGCTTTGTTTCCCTTATGCTTGTCCACAATTCCTGGTTCTAGTGACATTGAAGCTGCTGAGACATCGTCATTGCCCCTCCTCATTCCGGTTCTTTAAGGTCGAGGACGCGTGGCTGGCCGTCTCTCGATTGTTCTGGCGAGAGGGAGGAGACCTTGGAGAATCTTTCTTCTTAGCTTTCCATGTTCCATGTTCACCAAGCCATTGCCGGTTCTGGGGCCCTCTTCTGTCGCACGCGACCCAATCCTCGATGTGCATCATCATGGTACATGTATAGTCTAAATCATGGCCAGTACTTGGGGCCGCGATGACGGATTTATGGATGGATCAACGACCACAAATGTATCACGGCGCTCGCTCATGCGAGGCCCAGGGATCAATTAGTTCGGCAGTTTTAATAATAATACTTGGTTGTCCTGAGGAACTCAGCCTCGATCGCAGAACGCGGGCGGGGCATCGGATAAGCACAGTGAGAAAAGAAAGATCCCCGATGGTGGAGAAGAGAAGATGGCGATGGATTTGGATCAATGTCTCCTCTTCTTTCAGACTAAGCGAGGTTGTTTTTCTTTGCTTGTGATACCACGCGCGAGTTTGAAACACACCAAAGGGCCTCTTGGGGCCTGTTGGGGAGGAGATGAACCAAAGGGCCTAGAAAAAGAAAGGAAAGGAAACCCCCAGGGGAAACAAAGAGGGCGGAGGGGATGCGTAACTTAGTACTCGTGTAATAATAAAATCGAGGGGTTTAGTTATCACTCGTGGAGGCTATGGGATTTGCATGTTGCAGCAAAACGTCGATTTGCTAGTTTGATCCACGCAAATACCGAAGGCGGGATACAAGCACAGTATATGATATGATGGGATATTGCTTGATATTCCGTTGTGCCTCGTTCGTCCTTCCAACACTCGACACTCGTTACCCAAAAGTTATTGCCCCTCTTTACTTGTACACGAATGGATGCAGAATGGCGGCGGTTGGGTCGGTATGCGAGAAGGGACGGGAGAAGTGTGTGTAGAGGGCGCAGAGGACCAACATGAATTCGAGGTTGGGGGAGAGATTGACCCTTCGCTTTCATCCGTCGATGCGTCCGTTTCTGTGCTGATGCGCGGTTTAACCAGTATGTACTGGGCTATATCGACGGAAAGTTCGAAAGAGATCGATACCGACGATTTTATTCATGTGATGCGTTGGTGCACATCAATGATTTTTATGTGCTCGAGACTTGACGAGTGTTGTGTTACTGCCCCTATGATGTTGGTGCTAGGGATATAGGCCTGCCCGGCCCGGCTGGCTCGCCGGGGAGGGACAAGTTGTGATCTTCAAGCAGACTGGAGCTATCGAAGAGAAAATGAGATCCCCTCCTGCGTTTCCCTTTCTGGCAGAGACTGTTTGGCATCGGAGTGGGCTTCTCGCCCACTGACAGACGGCCCAGGCCTGAATACAAACCAGGATGGGAATGGCCCCAAACATCCATACTAGCATGGGTTCAATGTTCTCAATCAACGCCTCAAGCTCACAATATTTGAGCTTGGTTGACAGCGCCATCCGCACTTGGGTATCATTTGTTCTTTGAACTAACCCACCACCAACCCATGCCACCAAGACCAAGAAGACTTGTACCACCACCTTCTCGCAGCAAAAGGTGTCAAAAGCGGATGCTACGGATCATGAATATTGGTCTCGAGCGCTATGCGCGACCGTCGATACACTACATGTAGTATCAATTACACTACATAGCACATCAACAATACACGCACACGCACAAGCGACGTTGATGCAGCACTGGTACAACGCACTCACCAAACAACGGGCAGTTCACCATTGCTAATATTGAAAGGTTTGAGGGGACGCGATTCTACCAACGCACTTGACCTATTCAATTGATTGATCCATCCTGGATGGATCCATCAATTGTTGTATCCAGTATTATGAAAAGTCTTTCAGAAGCCGGCCTTGTGTGCGAGTACTCCTAGTGCCACCAGCACACACAATTTCTGAACTTGCTTTCCTGAGCTGGGGGCCTCCCCAACCCAACCCAAAGCTCTGAAACTTCTTATTATTAATTTCTCCAAATACCACCGCCCACTTGCATTATGGAGACTGCCCCATCGCCCCAACCTCTGCTCGATAGGAAACAGGCTCTTCAACCTTTCCGTTAATTGGGAGCCCGGTATTTTGATACTGCCGTGTATTATTGACCAACCACCATTTCCCACCTCCCTCGATCGACATTTCTTGATTCCTCGATGAACCAAGGCCAGAGGGAACGGAAAAAAAAAGCTTGAAAGTCGCAGTCTGTGATGACGTTGCTTCGTCCAGCCAGCGTTCGGACAGCTGGTGGAGGATTTGTGAAAGGGGTGGACGTATCATCCAGACGCAAGGTACCACACCATTCCAAGATTTCCAGGAACCAAGCTCGGGGGTACCTAGACCAAGGGTACCTTTGATACCCACTGAAATCGAATGGTCCGGTGATGCTCGATGCTCAAGTGCTGCACCAAACCAGACCAGGCCGGGGTTGGCTAGTTGGCGAGGTACGCTAATGTGCCAGTTCTGGAGCTTTCGTACCGACAGTCCCATCGACACCCACAACAACTGTCGGCTTGATCAATCGATTGGGCCGCACCAGCCTGGATCGGACCCAACATCAATTGACCAACGAGTCCCGCCTTTGCCTTTCGTGCCCTTGTCCAGCTGTAGCCCCAAAGATAGATCAATCGATGGGATGGATCCAGCGTCGATGCTCTCGCCCACTCCAAGTTGCTTGACGTACAACATGACGACTCTTTTATCGGTAAAATACCCAATGATGGAGGGGCTCTGCTCTTGCCACGCCATATCGAGGACGTACTTGTATTCATACAGGCAGGCCCACAGCGTCGTTGGTGGATCAACATTTGTTACGAAGGGCGATTGAGTTCTTAGATTGCCCCGTGGATACAGAACCACCCCCATATCCCTCCAAGAGCAGCCCCTCCCCGAATTGAGTGGGAGAGTTGTCCATGGAGATGAGGATTGATCAAATGTTTTCTTTTCTTCATCCGCCCATTGCTTGCCTCCTTCCCGCGAGTGAGACCTGCGGATCTGGCCAGAATCGAAGAGTGCACTCTGTCACAGATATCTCCCCACCAGATGCCAGCCATAATATTTGTCAACACGGACGGGGATGCGGGATGCACAACTCGAGCTTCAGTGTCGCTCACCCGCCCCAACCTTAATCAGTTCACGGATATTTTCATTGGGGGCCCGGCTACACGATGCACTCGCTCGACGCAACGCCGGAAGCCAGTGTCCATTCTGGTAGTGACATTGATTTCTGCTTTAATTGCTTTGATAATATTAAAAGAAGATTCGATTGATGCTCGTGCTCGTATTGGGCACTTTCGCACTTTCGCACTTGTATTGGTAGTGACCTGTCTCGTACCTCGGTACATGCAAAGTCAACGCTTTCCTCGTACACTGAGTGGGTTTCTTCGACAGGAGATCTCGCCTCTGAATTTTGGAAGGGGCGAGGGGCCTGTGTACATCGAGGCGAGGTACCACGCGCTCCGGTCGTCCTTCCCAAGCTCTAACCCCTTTGTGTTCCTGGCTATGTCTGGCGGGGACTTGCACACCCATGCCAAGTTCCCACACCCCCTTCGAGCAGAATCTGGGACGAGGGAAGGGGAAGTTGGGTGGTTCCAGGAGTTGCTTCCCACAGTGTTTCTCATTTCGCCCTTGGTCCCTTCCCTCCTTTTATCGAGTGTCTAGTGAATATTTCCTCCAACTCCAAGAAAAACCTTCCTTCTTTACTTTCGTTATTCCTGCCTTCTTCATTCTTCTTCTTCTTCTTCTTCTTCCCTCTCTTTCGCTAGTCTCGTATTGTAATCATCCTTCCGATTCGTTCTCTCGAACTCATCCACCCTTCGTTCAACAAGGAAGAAACCGCCTGCTCCGGACCAAAACCCTGTTGGAAGAGTAATTTTGGGCAACATCAACCTCTCGCTGTCGAGCTCGCCGATTCTCACGCGCCCCAATCGCCGACTTTCCCTCCTATTTAGATATTCCCACGCGTAAGTATCTCCTAGAGACCTTCACCACACAGAATTGTCCCCAATCGACAACCCCAATCCCGCCTCCTCGCGCCCCGGGCTCTGCCACTTTTTCAACTGTTGGACACGCACTTCCCGCGATGCCCGCGACCCCACGGTCCCCTGGCAGCAGGCTCATCATAAATGACACCGATGGCGTCCAAAGAACATCCGCTGGCTGCCTTGAGTCCTTGCAATGGGATATTCGGCCTCCAACCGTTTTCTGTCGGATCATGCCATCACGCGTGAAGCCGCAGCTTTGGACAGCCGGATGCCAAACGTGTTGGGGTTAAAGGCCGTTCAACCGGATAGAAATATCGCAGCCTCTAGCGCTGGGTTGACTCGGCCTTTTTCTTCTTTCTCATTCACCTCGACAATTTTCGTGCAGGGGGCGTTTAGTACCGTTTCGGAAGAATTTTGTTACTAACCAGGCTTGCAATCTAGCTACTCTCTTCACAATGTCTGCTAGCAAGATCATCCTCGCCCTTGCGGCCCTCGGTGCTGGTGTTTCCGGTAAGTGTGCTCGGTTATGTTTCGTGGTGCTCTTCACTCGCGGGAATTGACTCGTCGGATTTTATAGCTCAATCGGGCGGCCTTTGCTCGTCCGCGACCATCACCGTCGCTGCCCCCGCCGAGGCCACTATTAACTGCAAGACTATCGAGGGCTCCGTTGTTTTCAAGGGCTCCGAGGCCCTGTCTGGTGCCATCAGCATTTCTGGTCCCGAGTCCATCAAGGGCGACCTCATCATCCGAAATGCCACTGCCTTGAACTCCCTCTCCAGCTCTTCGGTCAACAACATCGGCGGCAAGTTCGAACTGACCGGCCTCCTCAACCTCAACACCCTGGACTTTACCGCTCTTGAGTCTGTCGGCGAGATCTCTTGGGTCTCCTTGCCCGCGCTCGAGAGCGTGCGCTTCGGAACTGATGGTGTCACCAGGGTCAAGACTGTCCGCATCTCCGATACTTTCCTTTCGAGCTTGGAGAGCTTCGGCATGGCCTCGGTTGGAACCTTCCAGATTGATAACAACCAGCGCCTCACCACCTGGGAGACCCGCATGACCAGCATTGAGGAGAGGCTCATCGTCGCTGACAACTCGGCCGATCTTGAGGTGTCCCTTCCTGCCCTTGTTTGGGCTGCTAACCTTGATGTCCGTGGCGTCAAGAGCCTCGACGTCCCCCTTCTCAAGGTTGTCAACGACTCCATTCAGCTTACCTCCAACAAGGCCATGCAGTCCTTCATCGCTCCCAACCTTACCCGAACCGGCGACGATGTCTCCTTCAGGAACAACAACGGCTTGACCAACATCTCTTTCCCTCTCCTCGAGAAGACTGGCGGCAGCTTGACTGTCCAGAACAACACCGAGTTGGCCGAGATTAACGGTTTCCCCGAGCTCCGACAGGTTGGCGGTGCCGTCACCATGCGTGGCAGCTTCTCCGATATTGAGCTTCCTAGCCTCGACGATGTCAAGGGTGCCTTCGACGTTTCTTCTACTCAGGACATCAGCGAGGACTGCGCCACCTTCAAGAAGCTTGCTCCCAAGAGCAGCGGTGGCAACGGCAAGATTCAGGGCTCTTTCGAGTGCACCTCGAACAATGCCAACGCCAACAAGGGTGGCAAGGGTGGCAGCAGCTCTGACGATGATGAGGATGCGGCCGGTATTCTCGGCGTTCCTCTGTCTCTGATTGCTAGCGTTGCGGCCCTCGGCGCCCTCGTACAGCTTCTGTAAATGAAAACGAGAAGGCTTGGGATGGTGCGCTAATTTGTACATGTTGTGGAGGACTCGAAAACTCGTGATGCCTTCGGTGTGCTATTCGGGCGTCTCTTTTTTATTCGGTCTTTTTCTTTGTGTCTTTTATCTTTTGCTCCCCGCCCCCCTTTTTTCCCCTCATGACACTCACTATCCTGTTTCCTTTTTTAAATACCATTTGTTTTCATCGACTTGAAAAAGAGGTGGTAACGCATGCATCCTTTCTAGCATGGTGCTTGGCCTCCCGGGTCATACGAGAGGGGACGAGCCAGCTGGAGTTTTTCGAGACATTGGGAATCCACTATACTTAATAATTACTTGCCCATGATTTTACTTGTCCTTGCTTTCCCCATTCTCCGGTTGTCTTGCACTTCTCGCTCAAGCAGTAAATTTATCCCCTGTTGACCTCGGGGAATTCGCTCAAACTGGAAATTTGTTGCTTTGTTTACATGTAGACGTAGAGGAAGGCGAAGAGGTCGCATGGGATTGCAATACACTTTTTTGCCTTGCATTCGACTTGATTCTCAGAGATCTTTAAACATATACTGCTCAGCCAGCCTTCTTAGTGACCGATGGACGTAGGGTATCATTAAAATGTTCTATATGGTGTCCTTGCTTTTCGGATGAAAGGCACCGACATTGGCTTCCCCAACCTCCCTCGTAGACCCGCCCAGAAAATAGCCTTAGTTGTACTCTGCCTTTTCGAACTTTTCAGGGTCGTAAAATTTGGCCTGTATTGGGTTGCCATTGAAGACGCGGCCATTTAACTCATTTACAGCCTATTTCAGCGGGAATTATTAGTATTCTCCTCCTCTAATACAGCACAGGGTGGCAGGTTTCAGGAATCACGTACCCTCAAGGCGGAGACTTGGTCAGTAAACTTGATAAAGACCTGCTTCGTGTCGATATCAATGTAAAGGCGTTCCACGCGACCGTACTAGACAGGCGAACACAGATTAGACAAGCTTTGTAACGCGGGATGGGGCTAGCGTAAGGGATGCTAAACGATGGGAAACAAGCGGGATTCTTAGGGGCGGGGGGATATAAAAGTACCTTGTCGCCGCACTCCTCGCCGATTTCTTGGCCAAGGCCAGAGGAAATCTCGCCGCGCAGGTCCTCCATGCCCTCGAGCATGTTTCGGAGAACGATGACCTCGCTCATGGCGCCGAAGCCGTCGTCGGCATCGCGCCCTTGCGGTAGCTTGCGATTCCCGCCGAGTATCTTGGAGCGTGCGCTGGGCTCGGCCCAGCCACCGCCGTCCGCATCCGCTTTTTTCTTGCGCTTCTCGACCTGGACGCGAAGCGGGTGATGATGCCGGATTCCTCGGCGCCGAGGCCAGAGCCCTTTGTCCAGCCGTATTTGGACATGAGGCGTTGGGCGAAGCCCTTTGGCCGGGGAGGTTGGAGCGTGCTTGACTGCCGTCTCCGCCCTGCTCTCCGCCGTCGGCTGGCGTGGAAGATGCGCCTAAGCCGAGGGATGGTCGGAATCCTTGCTCGTCGTCGTCGTCGTCGTCATCCTCGTCATCTTCAAGGTGTTCCGCATCGCGCGCTTGAGGTGGGGGTGGGTTGTTGTATCGCACGGGAGCGCGAGATATGGTCGCGCCTTGTTCTCCGGTAGGAGGGGGAGGTGGCGGGGCAGATGCAGAAGGAGGGGGTATGCCTTGAGACATGGCTAGACGGCGTGCGTAGGCGTCATCGCCGGACCGGTCGTCGGGAACTGAAGCAGGCGCTCGAGGTGGTGAAGGGGGTGGCGGAGGCGCGAAAGCGTAGCTTGGAGGAGGAGCAAACTGGCCTGGGTGAAGGGGGATATGGTTAGCTTGGAGCGGGTGAACGGGACTAGGGAGGGGAAATTGGAGAAGGGGCGCGGGCATACTGGGCATTGGCCGGCTGCGATGGTCGTCGTCGCTGTCCGAGGACAAATCTTCTTCTTTGCCCTTACGGTGCCGATATAGCAAATCCTTCCACTCGTGTATCTCCTGGATACGTTCGTCGCTCTTGAGGTATTCGTCCACATTGGTTGGCCGGGATGGATCATAGATTTCATCCCAGTCAGTCTCCATCTGCGTCGTCCACTTCTTCTTCTTCTTCCTGCCCCCCTTTGGCGCTTCTCGGCCACTTTCGCGCTATAAGTCCAGCCAGTATCTTCCGTACAGGTCCATGCAGCGAGGGTACTTTTAACTGGGGGTTTGTTGGGATAGCATTCGAGGCTCCAGCTGGCGCCGCGGCGGAGCTTAACGTGGGCTCAACACCCGGGTTGGCCTTAGACGGAAGGGCGCCAGGGATGGTTTTGGGGAAGGAAGGTTTTGGCTTTTGCTTTACTTGCGGTCTTCTTATGGGCTGGAATCGAAGGGCTAGAAGAGAAGAGGCGAGGCGGGGGACTTCACGTCAGCACATTTGTCCCGAGGAGCTTTTCGCGCGTTCTACAAGACCGTCAGAGGTAGGTGCGCACCTGGATCTATAGCCTTCTTGACCGACTGTGTATCCGGGGCGTCTCCGTAGAGAACGGGGCCGCCAGATATAGTGGCGGATGCGTCGCCAGAGGACTCAAGGAGGTTCGCGTAGAGGGACAGCCCGCCGCCTCCCTTTGGAGGGGAGGCTGCGGCGGTGCAGACATGAAGGTTGCGCGGGGATCCGGGGAGTGGGAATGGGGCGAGTGCGCTTTATGAGATTTCCGATCAGTTTAGAGGGTTTCGGAGTTTTGACAGGAGGGAGGAAGCACAAGATTCTCGTTGCAGCTTGGTTGGGAGGAGCTACCTAGGGCCGAGGGCGTCGCGGGGGATGTTTGGTGATTCTGCTTCGCTAAAATTTGGAAGCTTCGTCCACTGCATGGATTGATACAATCCACCTATGGATCATCCTGAATGGAGGTTCCTTCTGTACCATGCTCCTGCCCTGATTGGCCACTACAAGAACTCCCGCCAAACTTCCGGGCGGAGCTCAAAGGGTCACTCCTTGCCTCTCGATTAGTCAGCTAACGGCACCCTGCTTGAGGCACTAACACCATGTGAAGCTCGACTGTTTGACGCTCACATCCGTGATTGATCCTTGCGCCCTGGCCGGGGTGCGGGTGGGCAGGAGGTCCAAAAGGAGCTAGCCCCCGGCCCGAAGGCAATTGCACCATCAGCGAGTTGCCGAGCCATTGATGGATTTCTCGTCTTCATGACATTGTGGGGAGCTTTTGGTGACAGCGAGTGTTTCCAATCGCCAGCCTGTGACTATTACAAGATTTCCGCGTCCCTCAAACTCTCAACCGCCCCCTTGTCCCAATTGTGACGAATTATCAATAGAGACGTCGCAGCTACGTCAAGATCTATTTTCAAGCTACCTTTCCTCCTCCTTGGGGCTGGCCCAGTCGTTGAACTGAACATCAGATCCCGTGCCTCACCAGACTCTTATCTCCCTTGAACCCCTTTCGTTCAAAGTATCACTTTTCTCTCGTCTTGTGTTTGTGCTGGCTGGAAGCCCAAGCGACAAAGTTTTGTGTTACGCGCTGGCTTTTTCCCTTTTACTTTTTCTCTCTCCAAATTTCCATCATTTTTATTGAATATTGCTTGAAGTCCTCCGACGGCATGGCGTTGACGCTCAAGACAGCTATCAAAGGCTCTGGTGACGCTACCGCCGTCATCATCCCTAGCAAGCCGGTCCCCTGACCGTCACCTATGATGGCCTCGGCGCTGAGATTGCCACCTTCCAGGCCAAGCTCGCGGGCCTCGGCATCAAGACAGGTGCTCCGGTTTCCATTGCCTTGGTCAACTCGTACGAGTTCATCGTATCCTTCCTTGCCACGTCGTGGCAGCGAGCCATTGCCGCGCCCCTAAACCCGGCCTATAAGCAGGACGAGTTCGAGTTCTACATCGACGACGTCAAGTCGGCCCTCGTCCTTGTTCCTAGAGGTGCCGTTGCTCAGAACACCCCTGCTGTCAGGGCTGCGAGGCGCTTCAAGGCGGCTATTGCCGAGTGCTATTGGGATGAAGCCAAGGGCGAGGTCGCCCTAGATGTAAAGAGCAGGGCCAACTTGGACATAAGCAGCACGTCCAAGAGCCCCAGCCTGACGATGTCGCGCTCATCTTGCACACGAGGTATGCATGCTTCATTTTTTTGGGGGTACGGAAACCCGTAGACTGCTGCTAACATCAATATTGCTCAATAGTGGGACAACTTCCAGGCCCAAGGTGGTGAGTTTCACAGATGGCAACAGACTTTGCTTCGACGTCCGTACTCAATACAATGCTGACCCTCGTCTGTTAAACCTCAGGTGCCGCTTACTCACCGAAACTTGACTCGAACGATGCGTACGTCTGCCGACCCTGCGTCCACAGTTTGAAGAAGGAGAAGGAGGGAAAGAGCTAGGGAGAAGCAAGAATTGCTAACGAGGGTGTTACGGCAGGAAACATTCAGCAGACCTACGAGCTCACCTCCAACGACCGAACCATGCTCGTGATGCCGCTGTTCCACGTCCACGGCCTTCTCTGCGCTCTCTTGGCGCCGTTCTACTCCGGCGGCTCAATGGTCGTGCCGAACAAATTCTCCGCCTCGGAATTTTGGGATGACTTCATCCACCACCAGGCCAACTGGTACACCGCCGTGCCCACGATTCACCAAATCCTCCTCAAGGGGCCTACGCCCAGCCCTTTGCCCAAGATTCGATTCATCCGGTCTTGTTCGTCTCCCCTCTCGCCGACTGTGCTGGAGAGGCTCGAGAAGGCGTACCGTGCACCTGTGCTCGAGGCTTACGCTATGACCGAAGCCGCGCATCAGATGACATCGAACCCTCTCCCTCCCAGCAAAAGGAAGCCCGGTAGCGTTGGTGTTGGCCAGGGTGTAGAGATCAAGATCCTTGACGATGCTGGGGACGAGCTACCCCAGGGCAAGGAGGGCGAGATCTGCATCAAGGGTGAGAACGTCACCAAGGGATATCTCAACAACGAAGCGGCCAACAAGTCGTCCTATACCAAGAGCGGCTTCTTCCGGACTGGAGACCAAGGACTGAAGGACGCGGATGGCTACATCATTATTACTGGTCGTATCAAGGAGCTGATCAACAAGGGCGGCGAAAAGATTAGCCCCATTGAGCTCGACAACGTTCTTACCCAACATCCCGCCGTTTCTGAGGCCGTGAGCTTCGCTATCCCCGACGAGCTATACGGGCAAGACATCGGGGTGGCCGTCGTCTTGAAGTCAGGCGAGAACCTTGCAGCGGATGAGCTCAAGAACTGGGTCTTGGAGAAGCTGGCGAAGTTCAAGACTCCCAAGAAGGTTAGTTTTCTTTTCCCTGCCATCTTTAGCCCCTCCCTTTGTTTTTCCTCGCCACGTCTCAATTTTAGAGCGAGGTGACGAAGGGGGAAGGGGAGGCTAGACTTTTGTTTCCTTACGCTTGACTAACTCTTGATTTTACCCTAGATTTACTTCACCGAAGTGATGCCTAAGACTGCGACTGGCAAGATCCAGCGTAGGATAGTCGCCGAGACGATGCAGAAGCAAGACAAGCCCAAGCTTTGATCGCGTTCCGTTTTTCTCTTCTTCTTCCGGCTTTAAGCGGGCTGTCCGTTGGGGCCCGGTGTCACGACACATTTCGCATTGGAATATGCGCACCTTCTCAGGATATATATTGTTGAATTTCCGTGCGAGTCTTGTGCTGGGATAGAGATCAAGATTGGGGTCGACGGCAGGAAAAGTCTTGTTATTTACACAAATCTATGGTCAGGAATGAAGTAGATGTATGTTCAAATCGAAATACTATCGGCAGTTAGTTTCCCAATAGAAAATCCACTTAGCTGTCGGTCTAGAAGGAGTGGCCATACCCTCATATCGCAGCATAGTACGGAGTGACCTCGCATCATTCGGCAGGACCCATCGGACTAACTATCGCGGTTCTCTCTCAACCGGGCATCGTTCACGCCAAATTAGTAACTAGATAGAATCTGATTCGTGTGTGGCTATGAAATACTGGCCGCACTATTCTCGGGGATTTTCTTGGAAGACGTTGTCGAACAGAATGGGTCAATTGATTGATCTGTTCCATTCAGCCTCGACAATAATATGCTGCTCACTACGTTATGGCGGACGCTGTTCTATCGCTTGAAAGCCGTCGACCTTCGGAGCTCGGCTCGTTTCCCCGCCTCTAGCCGATCCGAGACCCAGCAGAAGCAATCCATTCCACTCGGCCAGCGCTGGCCACCCAAGCTTGCAGCCAGCCACGCACGGTTTCCAAGCGGCAAGGCACCAAAGAGTACCAACATACATTGAAGTACCAGCACTGAGAGCTCTCCCAGCCCAGCAGCACTGAGCTCCCCGTCTGCCGTGTTCAACCCCACCATGAAAGGTTGCGCCATTCCGAACTACCTTCCCTCCACAACGAATGCTCGCGAATCGGCTCCATTGGCGACGAAGACAACCAAGTAGACTCATCTAAGAGCCTTTTTTCCACCCCTCGATTCCCCCTTTGACTACCCACTCTCCCTTTCTCCCCTCCTCGGCTTTTCTTTCCTACCTTCCTCTTCTTCCCTTTCCCCCCTTCTCTTACTCCTTCTCTTCTTCTTTCTCCCCTTTTTCCTCCTCTTCCCCTCATTCCATGAGTATCTTGCGTCCTCTCAGGCCCTTCGCAAACCAATTTATATCCATCCCCGCCCCGGCACCGGTCCTTGCCCGCACCCTCCTGCGCCCCTCCGCAGCTCCGCCCACCCGCGCTTCCTTTACGCAGCTACCCCGATCCGCACCATGGCCACCCCCGCCAAGAAGACCGAGTGGCTCGTCGTCGTCCCCGACAAGGAGGGCGCCCACCAAAAGAGGCTCGAGGTCCGCCCCAAGCATTTCGAGGGCATTAAGAGCTTTGAGGAGTCTGGCCAATTCAAGATGGGTGGTAAGTTGTAGAGCCTATAGACTTGTTCCGCGTAGATTCGGGCCTGCCAGAGACGAGACGCTTTATCTTGCTCAAGGAGAAGCTAGTAGGGAGCTTGCGCAGCTGCACCCCATCGACTCCAGCGGGAATCTGATGCCCGGCTCTCGGGGGTTGGTTGGCACGTTCGCCTCCAACCACTTTTAAGAGTGCATCACTAATTCGATCATCTCCTTTTGGCTAGGCGCTGTTCTTAACGAGGTCCCTAAGGATGGCAATCCCCAGAACTTTAGCTTCTACGGTAGCACCATTATCGTCGTTGCGGATACCAAGGAAGAGGTTCTTGATATCCTCAAGAAGGACATCTACACTGAGAGCGGGGTGTGGGACGTTGAAAAGGTATAGATGGCTGGCTAGCTCCCCCTCACCTTTCGTCCCTCCCGAGCTATTATCTTTCCCTTCTTCACTTGCTAGCCCGTTTTGTTCATTCGCTAACCAAAGATCTCCCTTCTTTTCTATCGCCGGCACTAGGCCCAAATCTGGCCCGTAAGTTGCACAATCTCTGGAGAGCCCCTCAGTAACCCAGCATTCTACTAACACAAGTTGAATAGGTTCTGTTGGCTTTCAGGAACCCCTAGGCTTGGGGCTCGGCAGGGAAGAACAATAGCAATTTGAACTCTTAATTATCTCACATACTGCATTACTAGTCCAAAATATAAAAGTCGTTATATTACAGACCGTTCCCGAATCGCGGCCAAATATGGTTTCAATGTCTCCCAGTAGCCGTGGCAAGAAAATAGGATAGAGAATGTGACAACATGAATCAAATGACTAGAGATGAAAAGTTTAAAAGGGAAGAAGGGGAAAACAAACGCTCATTGGGATGAGGAGGAGACCGAATGAAGAGGGTGGAGGGATAGAAAAAGAAAGAGAACCGGCGAACTACGCAGATATCGGGACATTATTATGAGGCTTCATAATAGGCCCGTCGTTCGCATCGTCCTCCGTCTCCTCGTCCGTCTCCGCATCCGACTCAGCCTCGGAAGCCGTCCTAGACTCGAGATCCGTACTGGATGATTCTTTAGCTTCCTTGGCCTTGGCTTCTGCGTCCTCAGCCGCAATCTTGAGCTCCTGCGAGAGATCGAAACAGTCTTCGAGAAGTTCCGTCACCCTTCCTTGACCCTCGGGAATATCATCTCCGACCATGAATTTGCCATCCTTGCGCATATTATCGATGGAGTTGAGCTAAGAGTGCCCGAAAAGTTAGCCTTGCCAACCCAGTCAACGTCTTTGGGGCTTCTCTACATACCTTCATGCTATAGGGGTACACTTCGCGCAGATTCCTGATGCCGCCGTTATCTCGGACTTCGGTCAGGCATCGTTTGAGAGTCTTGAGCTGGTTGTATACCGGAAGAAGCGCTTCCGACACGGGCTGAGAAGCCATCATCAACTGGAAGACAAATCCGTACGACCTCCGGATCAAGTAGAGGAGCATCTAAAGTAGGTTAAGTTTAGCCTTCAGTACCGGTTCATTGGCAGACCTGCGCAGGCCTGTCATCGGGCCTCCTTCATTTCTTCTGTTTGTGTCACTTACTCTTCGGACGTAGACATCTGCTTCATTTCCTTGGTCGTCCACCCAGTTGCCATTGACTCGTAGGTCATCAATTCTATCCAGGGTGCGATGGTAGTCGTAGAGGTCAGCCTCTCGCAAAGCCCAGGCGTGGGTAACTGAGAGCTTTTCCAAGTGATTCCTGACTAGGATGAGTTTGTCGTAAAGAGGCTTAAAGCCATCCGGGATCGCGCCCTTCCTACAGTTCCAGAACGGTATGTCAGTCACTGAGCCAATATTGATGCCCTTGCACGTTGGCTGTGCAGCTTGCACCGAGCGCGTACCTCTCAAGAACAGCCTCGGACCAGCCGAGACACCGGCTTAAGACATCATTAACAATATCGTTGCCTGCCGGTACTCTCCCGTCCTCCGCCACGAAATTTCCATCTTGGCGCTGTTCGGCGATCTCCTGTGCCTTCTTTTGCAGACCGGTAACCTCCGAGACGGAAACCTATAATGACGAATAATGTTAGAGACCACATAGACAAAGGGTCTAGTAATAGGGGAGACACAAGGGGATAAACGAGGAGGGGAGGTGAATACCGTCGGCCGGGTGTTAGCCCTCGATATAGTGCGGATGAGAGAGATGATTCTCTCGTAGATATCAGGCAGAGGATCCTCAAGCCTGTTGAGGCGCTCTCGGAGAGCAGTGAGGGAGGTTCGGCAGAGCTCGATGCGGTGCGTGAGGAGAGTGACATATGACCGCGGGCAAGCCTGGTCGCGGTTGACATTGAGAGAGCTTATTTAGAGTCTCGTCCATAGCCGCTAGGTCGTGGGCGGAGTATAAGTCGCATTCGGCCAGGTGATCGAGCAACCTTAGCATGGTTGTCGTAGGGGCGTACACGGCAGGTGCTTCATTATTGCGACCTATGGTGAGGAAACATAGAGAAAGAATTCGAAAGCAGCTATCCAAGACGTGCGCCACTATTCGAATACCCTCAAGGCATCAGTATCCAGTTATTTGATCAGACCGTGAACCAGAGAGGCAATGGCCAAGCGTGGAAGGTCTGCGACCGGGACGAAACGAGAGAGGGGGAACTTACGTTGCGTCTGGGGTTTCCCATCTACGAAGCCGAGATTGTCTAGTTTCAGGACTTGCTCGACAGTTTCGTTGTAGAGGGGTATCACCTCCTGGCTTCGCAGGTAGGTGGTGCGATCCGTCTTCAGAAGAACAAGCTGATCTCGGATTTGGGAGAGCTTGCTCAGCACCTCCCGGTCACGATCATTGTCTGGCGGCGGCAGCGCCGGAGTTTCCATTTCGGTTATTTGCTTGAGGGTGAGCGAAGGGTTCGGCTTTGGTGAGCTTTGGTGAGCTTTGGTGGGCTTTGGTGGGCTTTGGCGGGCGGCTTTCCGTTTCGCAAAGGGCGGGGGACGAAGGTGATGGCGGGGTGGTAGCGTAGGTTGATGTTGCGGTTAAGGTAAGGTTCAAGTTCAAAAGGTTGGGAAGAATCAGGCAATTCTAGGATACCGGGTATACATGGAATATTCAGTCACGAGAATTAGCATTAGCATTCGGAAAGAGGAATAAGCACAAGTCACTGGTCGGGCTAGGGAGGCGGTTTTGTATTCCCTGGTGCGGCCATCCATCATCGTACTGTGCGCGCGGCAGGGACGGAATGTAAATGGCCGACGAGGGAGGCTGACTCCTAGCCTGGGGGTGGAGCGAGAAACAGGAGACTTCGGGCTCTCCATATCACGAGCCCATTTTCCCCCATCTTTTTCTTTTTCCAGCCTGGTGACGCCTGGCGACGAGCTTTGAACGGGGTTTCACCGAATTCCTGTGAGCCAAACTCTAAACGCTCGGAGACTGGGCGTAGGCTGCCTGGCTGTCTGTACATGTAGCTATCGCTGGCTGCACGCTCTTGAATCTCGAGGAGAAGAGCATGATCACCAGTGGATCCGCACCAGGCTAGTGGGAGCTGGGAATAGATCCCTCCACTGTGATCCGGATCCGTAAAGACATTGGTGGAGGCAGCCCACCCTAAGTTCATAGCCTGGCACATCTTTTTCAACCGAGACAGCTGGGCTCGCTCAATCGATCCTTGGTGAGGGGTGCCGTGCTCAATGACAACATGAAGGACGGACCCCACGTACCAGCACGACAAGCAATGCGGAGGGTGGCGATAGTAAAACAGCAAGCTCATCTACTAGGACACACATGATGCGCCAATAGATTCAATACAATAAAAGTCCCAGCGGCTGCCGTCGCCAATAATTGTATCAATCAAAATGGCTAGGAACACCTGAGGCGCTGGTGGAAGTCTGTGACGGTCATGAACTTGTAGATCGGTGTCGTACAACCCACGTGGGCTAAATAATTCAGCAAACGATCTGATCGTCCAGCCGCTTTGGAAGGAAAAAGAAAAGGAAAAGGACGAAGAAAAAGGACGTGCCATTGTGAGCATATGTTGATCTAGATCGATTGATTGACCAATTGACCAAACCCCATTGTTCACTCTCGCTGTAGGATATATTACTGCAGAGGCCTCGAATTCGCCTCGATTGAGTTCACTTGATTCTTCCACGCAAAGTTCCGATGTGAACAACATTTTTCGTGAGGCGGCTGGTGGCGTTAGGAACGACCACGTTCTGCACCTCGCATCAAACAAATGCAAGATGAATCGCATTATGCACCACGCTTCCGTTCTGAGCTGCGCAGGCTCTTCAATTCGACTCTCAACACAGAAAGTCCTGCCGAATCAGTAACGTGCCATAGATGAACCCCGAGCTGGGGAGGGCTCCATCACTGCATCTGGAACCCGTGTGCGTCCGGGTGCTTGCGATCACCAGCGGGGTGGGACTTGGGCGGGCGGCAGCAGTTGACTTGAACCTACGAAGGTAGCCATAATCAGAACCACACCCCATACCCAAGATGGTGCGTGGTGTGCATTGGTTCCAATAGATGGTTCCGATTCAGATTTGCATCAACAGATCCGCCAATATGGCCTGTCCGATCCCATAGATCTGAGATGCTGCCCACGGCGATTTGTCCTCAAGCGCAACGGCGGCCCGGTAAGTGCTGAGAGCAGCGCAGAGGGCGCTGCCACCCAACGGAAGGCAATGCAATGACGAAAGGTGGGGGAGGGGATCACATCAATCGCTGCTTCCGTGCATGGGAACATCCGACAGGGGAGGGGATTGGCCGAAGCCATCCATCCATCTCTGCAAAGGAACTCATTGTTAGGCTGAGTCATGCATCACTTTAGTTGTATGACTCAGCCGCCAGAGAGCTTCCATGGATCATTATGAGTTTCCACCGAAGAGCGACTTGGTGGGTCTGATCGGTGCCGTGAGCGATGAAAGTCACATGACTGAATGCCCTCAATGGCCGCTCAATTCGAGGCACGGACCAGGCCCTGTCCACCACAGACTCTGCTTAGGTTTCCAAGCCCTCCAAATCCAAAAATTATCCCAAGGGAAATTTCAGCCTTGAAGAAACGCACCTTTGACATCCTCCCACCAATCCATTCCACCAACCCCGGATACCCTCATTCACAACCGTCAAAATGTCGAACTCCGAACTTGCTTCCTCTTACGCGGCGCTCATCCTCGCTGACGATGGCATTGAGATCACCGTGAGTTTCCGTCCCCCTTGAATTTTCTCTCCTCAAGAATCAAGCCGTTTTGGGAGAGGCACCTCATTCAGCAATTGGAACCCCGCCGCCGACACCAATATTACGGCCCCCGAGAACACTCGACTCAACCCGGCCACTACGGAGGGACAAGGAGGGGAAAACCTGCATGATCTTGGGACGCTGTTTTCTAACAATTCTTTCGTTACAAATTTTAGGCCGACAAGCTCCAGACCCTCATCAAGGCCGCTGGCATCGAGGATGTTGAGCCCATCTGGACCCAGCTCTTCGCCAAGGTACATGCGCACCGCTTGCCTCCCTCTTCCCTCGCTTCTACGAGCGTCTGCCACCTCCGTCGAGCGCGACCTCGATCCCCACTTCCCGACCGATGAAACCCGCGACTTTTGAGTCGTAGATGGGGAAAGAAAAAAATAACATTGCTAACGTTGGATCGCCCTGTTCACTAGGCTCTTGCGGGCAAGGACGTCAGGACCTCTTGACCAACGTCAGCGCTGGTGGTGCTGCTGCCCCCGCTGCTGGCGGTGCTGCTGCTGCCGCTGGTGGTGCCGCCGAGGAGGCCAAGGAGGAGGCCGAGGAAGGTTCGTGCTTACCCAACCTAACGACCTTTATCACGTCATGGCGGTCGCTGCCGCCGTGCCCTCGATGGGACTCTGGTATACTGACTGCTTGCTACAGAGAAGGAGGAGTCGGACGAGGACATGGGATTCGGCCTTTTCGACTAAATCAACCCTTGAACGACTTTTTCTTTGTACTTCGGATGCATGGCTATGGGGGTCTTTACGTTCAACCGATCATAAAAGGATACGGTGGTGTAACAGCGTTCTGCTGCCTGGAGACAGGGTTCGCATTTCTCATAGATTTGTTAATATGACGAATTGCGCTCAAAAACAAAAGCAATTGGGAGTTCAGGTTGCTGCCCACTTAGACGGTTTATTTGAGGGATATCGCAAAAACAAATCAACCCATTGCTTGTCGCACCGAGATCTATCACAAGGCAGAACATAACCCCGGCTTGCGTCTAGTGTAATGCTTGTGAATGTTCGCTTTTCCCTATAATCCTAGCACCGCATACTCCACCTTGCACATGCCTTAGGCCCCTGCTGATGGGACTTGTTCTGTGCTGCCCTGTCGCCATGATTGTATTGGGGTAATCCCCTTTATTTCACGTTGAGCACGGCCGATGGCACCAAACCTGCCTCTTTTAACGTCTTACCAAAGTCGATTTGGCCCTCAAAAGTCTTGCGTGGGAACGTTGTAGAGAAGCTGGAAACCTGAATGGCCTGTTCTGACTCAAGGGTCTGCGCGACTTCGAACAAGGTTGTCTCGGCAGGAAACGTCTTCATCACCGGTCCTTTGCTGGTTTGGAGCTTGAGCCTTGCCTCGTTATGATCCACCTTCCTCGCAGCTGGGGCGGGGGCGGCGGCAGGGGCGGCGGCCAGAGGGCTTTCCACGGCCCGCCCCTCACGGGCAGCTTTGTCGGCCTCTGCCTTGCGCTTACGCTCCTCCTTGTCTGCTTCTATCTTAGCCTTGATGCGTCTCTTGGCTTCGATGTCATTGAGCTTCTCCTGGCGCTTTCGGGCTGCCTCCTTGATCTGCTCCTTCCGTTGTAGCTCATCCTTGACGTCCTGGGCGTCACGCGTAGACTTCATCCGGATTTTCTAGCAGCAAAAGGTTAATATTTTATTGAAAGCTTTTGAGCGTTGGGAGAGGCTCTAAGAAGCCTTAAAGCTAGCACGCACCTCGTTTTGCTTGGCCTCCTCACGTGCTAACACGGCCTGGTTTTCGCGCTTTGCTTTGAGCTTCTGACGGAGCTCTTCGAGTCTCGCCGCCCTTTGCTCATCTGTAAGAGGAGCGATCTCGTCTGTGGATTCAGAAAAGTCTGTGTGGCCACTGCAAATATACAATTAGCGCCTGTCATCGTCAAGCTCGAATGAAATCCTCGGTGTCCTGCCCACTCACCTCTTAGTTGCGTGATAGGAGGCGAGGTCAGCATTCTTAAACTGCTTGCCACAGTCATTGCAAACAAGAGACTTCATTTCTCCCCGCCTGTTTGATCAACATTGATATTCGTTTGTTCTTCTTCATCGTCGTCGTCGGCGCCCTTTGATTCCGTCTGAGCAAGGAGCTCGTCGAGCGATTTATCCTCGTTCGCTTCAAGCCATTCAAGGGCTTGGTTCACTAGGAAGAGACGGTCGTGTGGTTAGGCCAGTGTAACAGGTCATATAACGACTTGCAACTCTTGGGGAGTGGGGGAAGGGCGACATGGGCGATCCTTACGAGCGCCTGCCTTTTTTATCGCCAACTCAGCGCGGGCCTTGTCGAAGCCCATCTCCAGCAAGAGGTTGAGGTCAGACTGGCCCATGGTGGTGACGGTGGCGGGGTGAGGTGCTAGTAGTGGGGTTTCGAATCGACGGCAGGTCTTGCTTGGGTTGCGACTGTGTTGGAGTTTCGAGAACCCTTGTGTTATGGAGCTTTAAGGCCTGGGAAGATGTATGAGGCACACTTGTGGGATTTATATCCTTTTCAAGGAAGCGGATCAAGGTAATGTGAAGTGGGAAAGAAGTTATTAGGGAGGGAGATCAATGGAGGGTAGCTTAAAGTCGATCGATGCATGACAAAACACTTCAATTCGCGGGGTACAAAGAGGCAGGACGGACTACATGTATAGCATGTAGCGCCTGCCTATAACCGAAGCTAGGGCCAAAGAGCTTGGGTCAGCCAGAGCAGCAAGCTCCAGCTTGCTTTGACACTTGGAACATTAGTCTCCTCACATAACCATGGACGAGATTGAAAGTATCTATAATCTCGAAGACATTTCAGGTTTAATGTTCATAAATGATACAAACACGCATTTTCAAGAGAAAGACAATCGGAAACAAAATTTTCGTTATCCTATAGAATGTGAACGAATCCCGGAAACAAAGCGAGGACGTGTCAATGCGATGGACAGGCGACTGCGTTGTATTGGTTGAAACATCCACCAAGTTTAGTATAGAATTCTCCCACACGCCTTTATTTCTAGAGAGGGAGGAGGAAACCAGGAGGGCAGTCATTCGAGGGTCCGAAAAACACGCCCGCCTCAGGGCAAGTGGTCACGATGCGTCCTTCAAGACGGCGGCGTCAGCATTTCTTGAATAAGCCCCTCCCGAAGCAGCGAGGTACCATCGATAGGTCCAAGCCGATGGCCCTGAATTTTCTCCATTTCATGGTTAACATCTATGGATGGTAATCTGGGGGTTTGAATTGTGGAACATTTCTCTGGCTTGGTGAAGGAAGGCGAGCTCAGAAAAACTCTGTAATTATCCAAAAAGAACACCCTCCTCCGGTCTGCAGGCTATGGTCCCATCCCGTCACAGTTGGCCAGCATTGCGGGAGATCCGATCAATTGGATTGAGCCATGAGAAATGACGTCTGCGGACCAAAGAAAGTACTGGTCGACACAGACCAGCCTTCAACCAAGGATCAATACGTCAAAAAGCTCCAGTGCTGAGCTTCCCTTCCACAGGAGCACTGGCCACTCCGCGTGGTTGCCATTATTAACAGCAGCGTTTATTACCTGATGCTGAAAGGAGTGTGGACACGAGTGGATGTATATATACGAATCTTTGCCGTATAATAACCAGAATTATTTAGTACAGTGACAAGTGGTTTACCCTGGGCGACAGCCAGAATCAGAGTTCCATATTATTACCAATTGAACAGGCCCTCGGTAATCTGCCCAGCTCCCTCCGTCGCCATCCACACTTCTCTAATGTACTGGTGGTGAGACTGAAACCTGGCCTGTACCGTTACCTCACCAAACACCCACCGCACATCACATCGCCCTCATCAGGTGCCGCTGCTGGCCATTTCTCGTTCTGGTCGTGACACGCACCTAAATACACCCAACGTCTTTTCCCGCTGTTTAAACCCCGACAACCGCGACCGTTTATCCGCCTCGCCTCTTCTCTTTCCAACTCTCCGGATCCTTCGTCGCCTCTCTGTGAGCACTCCGACATACGATACAGCAAGCAGACCATCATATTCAACAACCCCCGACTCCGCGAGACTTGCCTATAGCCAAACGAAGGCTTCCTTGTCACACTCTTCAAACCGATCGAATATTGGCAACATGTCTGTCGATATCGAACCCTCTGAGCTGAGCTTCCGTCGTACGTCCCTCACCTACTTTTGGTCGTTGTGCACCGCTGGAACTCCGGACTAAACCCCTTCTTCTAGGGCCATTCACCGAGGAGGTCTCGCAAGTTCTTATCCTCAAGAATCCGAACTCGAGCCCTGTCGCCTTCAAGGTATGTAGCCGCGATCATCCCCTTCCGAGGTATCGCCTGCTTATTTCGTCTCTCGCTAATCGTTTTCCACAGGTCAAAACCACCGCGCCAAAGCAGTACGTTCACGCACCGCCTGCAACACTTGGATTCCGGACCTCGTCCTGATGCTTATTATGATTCTCTAGATACTGCGTCCGCCCAAACTCCGGTCGTATCGAGCCCGGTCATGATGTTCAAGTCGCAGGTGCGTTTTCCCGATTTTTCCCTCCCCTTCTTCCTTGCCCCCTGTGGTCACATGGCACTAACCAGCCGATTTTGGCACACACTAGTGCTCCTCCAAGCGATGAAGGCCGACCCCCTCGATGCCAAATGCCGCGACAAGTTCCTTGTCCAATCAGTTGCCATTACGCCTGATAAGGAGTTTACCGCCGTCGCTTCTGTGGTACGCGCCCCAGTTCAACAGACTGTAAAACGTTACTAGACGCCGACGGACAAAACTAACACATATCGCACACAGTTGGATTCGTCTGAAAAGAGCTCCATACAGGAGAGGAAGATTCGTGTGACGTGGCTGCCGCCTTCCCAGGGTGCCAACTCTCACGCTTCTGTTCCCGCTGCCCTGGAGACACCTGTAAAAAGCTCCATCGCTGCCTCGGAGGTGAGTTCCTAGGTTTTTGGGTGTAGTTTTGTACTTCTGTAGCCGGTGGCTGACCTGACGATGCTAGAACTTCGATGCGACACCCGATATCTCACGAGCGTACGCGTCGCCCTCGAACAACGATGATGCCACCTCGAGCCCGTCACCGCCGCCCCAATACTCGGACGACTCTAGGTCGGTGAAGAAGGAAACCGTCGAGGATACGCCAAAGACTACGGTCGGCCAGATCAAGGCCCAGATCGCGAGTATCGCCCAGCCAACTTATGAGGAGCTTAAAAGGAAGTTAGCCGAGGCCGAGGCCACCATCGAGTCCCTCCGACAGGACTCATCCCTCCGAAAGCGCAAAGGTGGCTCCGATAACGAGAAGATCCCGCAAACCCAGCAGCTCGCCACTGCTACACGGCAGGTTGCAGAGGGCGTCCCTGTGAAGGTGGTTGCGATACTCTGCTTCCTGACCTTCCTCCTATCTTACATCTTCTTCTAAACCTGAATTATGTGCCGTTTGAATACCCACTTTGCTTTCAATACTCTCTTTGAGCGATGGCTGGATGCGTCGCGATTAGAGGACTTGCAGCCGCTGCAAAATGGATGCGAAAGGGTTAGCATTGCCCATCCCTTCCCGGCTTTTCTTCTGTTGGCGAGGGCAGGAAAACCCAAGGGAGACGAAAGATGCGAGATGCAAGGGGGCGGGATCTGTACGTTACAGGGAAACTGTTATACTGCTCGGCGTATTTTGTGCGGAACGTGGGAAGAAGGACATCTTTGCTTGCGCGTCTCTTTCTTATGTTTGCTTCTTTCACTATCCTCATTCTGTCTTTTGCCCTAATTATTTCCCCCTCACCCTTCTCTCCTAGTTCTCGAGCAACCCGGATCGACCGCGGAAACTCGACGACTAGGGCCGCCAAGGTGCCCTTGACCTGGAGGCCTTCCGTCGCACGCAACGGCTCCGCGCTGTCTCGGCCAAGCGACTGATGAGAACTGGGCTAAGAGTGGGTGAATGCATGGTGTGGCGACAAGCATAGATGAACTCGACTACTGCTCTTCTTTGTTTTCATTATGCTGTTCCATCATCTCATCCCCCAAGACTGTCTAGACAAGACTTTATTGGGAGGTCTCCCTTCCTTTTGATGTATCCATTCAGTCCAGACATTTCCCAGTATTCACGTCCAGTACATCAGAGTTAACGAGAAAGCGTATGAATCACCAAACATTTTTCATTTGTCTAAGGCGTGAAATGCTATTATGACTGCAGACCCAGCATTGCGAAAACCAAAACTACCTCCCAACCCCCATTTTTCTCTGATTACACTAGACTTGTAATACATGTATTATTACTTCATTCCGGAGCAGTAGCTTTATCCGAGGCCATGACGGCCCGGTACTACTTGATGTACCACATGTATTCTATGATGCTGCGGAACGTTGGACCACCCTTCCTATCAATTCTTCCTTTCGTACTTTGTAGCTGGCCCGTAACTCAGCTCATCAACTTTTGTAGGGAAAAACGAAAAAGGATAAAAGGTTGTGGAGGAGAATCAAAGGAAATAAAAAAGAATATTAAATGGGTAAAACGGGTTGAAAAAAGCATAATAGGAGGAAGGGCAAAACAGATACGTGTATCTCGTGAAATGATATGTTCAATGTTGACTTAGGACTCAAGTTCAGCCTGCTTCCAGCTAGTCGCACCGCCAACCATACGTCCGCCTTCCTTCCTCTTGACACGGCACTGGAGGCCGACATTGTCGTCCCAGATGAACCTCCATAGTGCGTAGGTCCAGCTCTGGTGCCGAGGGAGGTCGTCGTAGAACTCATGAGCAATCTCGTTCAGTTTGTGGAGGCGAGTCCAAGGTACAGCGGGGAAGTCGTGGTGCTCGTTATGAAGGCCGACATTATAGGTAAGGATATTGGCGGGGCCATAGTAAGAGAAGGTCTCAGGGATAGGGGCGTTGTTGTTGGGGTTGCGCTGCTCGGGGGTGACGGTTTCATACACGTAGTGCTCGGCGATGAAGTGAGCGGCGAGGGGATGCAGAGAACCGGCAAGGAAAGAGCTCATAATGAAGTAGGATACGGCGTTGGCACCAAGGGTGGTGTAGATGAAGTAATCGAAAGCGCCTTGGACGAGGATGTTGAGCCAATGGACCCAAGTGAAGGGGACCCGGTAGATGAACATGGGGCGGAGGGCGTAGAAGAAGATTTGGAAGGTGGCAAAGAAGGCCTTGCCGAGGACGGAATCAAGGAAAATGGCCTCGAAGGCGGTGGGGAGGTCGGTGTCGAGACCATCGACGCCAAGGGACTTGTGGTGAGTTAGGTGGTAGGGCTATGTCGGAAGCAGAGAGATGTTAGCTAAACGAACTATACGGCAAGGTGGTGATGGGAGGAGCAAGGGGGAATGCCATACGCGGAACGAAGCGCTGTAGGGAACGCCAATTGGCAAGTTGGCGAAGATGGCAAGGATTCGGTTTGCCAAGGGGGATCGGAAGGCCAAGTTGTGAGAAATCTCGTGGATGGCGAGGAAGAGGTTCTGGTTTGCGGTCGCGCCAACGACATAGGCGGTCGCTAGGAACTTCCAGTTCAGAATGGACGTGTCGCGGAGGAGGTAGGCCATGAGAACTTGGATGCCAACGACGCCAGCAACGACATATTTCGTGAGGGGCTCAGGGCCGCAGAGCTTCGTGACCTATGCACAAGGGATCGAGACACACACATATTAGCACCTCGACTCAGGCTCATATCTCGCTGCAAGGGGACCAATTGAACTATCAATTGAACGGACGAGCAAACTCACCTCGGGATGCGCCTTGATGATGGCGAGGCGACGCGTGCGGTGCGGCTCCTCGGTATACGTCCAGAAGAAGTCGTGCTCCTTGGCTTCCCAGGTATCCTTCTCGTCCTTCTTCGCTGATCCATTCACTCTAGATTTGGCTGTGGGGGCCTGCGTGGCCGTCGAGGAGCCCGCCATTGCGAACGTGAGACAGGCAATGAACTATTCTGTCTAAGGAACGGGAGGTTGCGAACGTGGTCGAAGTGAAGGCGCTGTATCGCACAACAGCCACTTGTCAAGAGCTATGTGAGACTTTGGCGAAGAGGAGATTGGCGGAGAGGTAGGCAAGGAAAAGAAGGGAACCAGATACAGATAAAGGATAGATGCAAGCAATGAGGGGGCAAGAAAGGAAAGGCAAGAAGAAGAGAGGGAAAAAAGTAAGGAAGAAAGATAGAAAATGAAAAAAGATCCCGTTTGGCGACGTTAGATTGGCGGCATGAAGCGGGAAAGGGTCAACAATATTTTGGTCAACGAGAGCACATCAAGTCCCTTCCAAAAGGAACATTTGAAGAAAAAGGAGCACCAAGCAAGCAAATACCACCAAAACTCTCTCCCGACTTGCCAGACTTCAAAAAACGAACCCCTGTACGCGTGGTCCGAGTGCCACACGTCGTTCCTGGGTGGCGTTTTTCTTCTTTGAGCGAGGGGCAACCCCTTTTACTGTTGGGGTTAGATTGAACGCTGGCGGCGACCCAGTTATCTGTTCTCCATTGCTGGTGCCTGCTTCGAGGTGGAGGGCAGTGGCTGCTCAGTCGTTCGATCCCCACCCGGAACCGGGAAGCCTTCGAGAAAACTGACCTTATTTTCCAGCCGATATTGCCCTGGGCGTCTGTGGGCAATGTGGTGCTGTGGCAAGGGGCTGTTGGTTCATTGCATCTCGGTCGGAGTATACTGCATACATGTAGAATCCAGTTGCACATGCTTACACCAATTGTCCAGAGGCGCAAGACTAGATAGAATGGATCCATCGTCTATGTCTCGTCGCTGTCAAGTCCTCATCATCATCTTCTCCCCTACGTTCTCCCAGGTAATACTGGATTACTTAGTACAGATCCCCGAAACGGAAGAACCTCCATCTCTTCATCCAGTGGGCACAATGAGCGGGGCGCCCCCGAACATTCATCTCCGAGATGCAATGAAACCTTCAGAATCTTGCGCTGCTTCCCTTCGCTGTTCAGCCAGATTCCCGTAACAAGGAAGAAATTTGTTTGCAGAATTGGATCAATAGATGGATATATACACTGGCGATAGCGTCCGTTGACGACCTTTTTTTTTTTTCTCTCTACTTTCGGAATCTTGAGAATGCGCGCGAACCCAAAGTGCGCACCATGCATGTGCGCGCGCATCGTCGCCTTGCGGTTCGTTGATATTTTATCACTTTTCCCCTGGTATCTCGTCTCTTTGATCGTTGGTTCGACCAACCGGCGGTCCCCGCGACTCCACCGACAATCAGGAACGATCCTATTCCCCAGGCCCAAGGTAACGCCCGTAGATCGGATAGATCAACAGCGTATATCCACGGTCTTGCGAATGTGCTCATGACTTTCCTCCCCGTTACTAGACGCGTGAAACCTATTCGTAAACGGCTACAACACGTCGCATTCATTCCCCATACATGCAATCAGGGGCATCTCATATTATCTATCCAAGCCCGATGTTGTAGACTCAATCCCGGTCAAGCTCGACGCCGATCTGCGTTGGAGTCGTCGCGTGGGACCACAGTCCAGCTGTGTAGAGTTGATAATCTATTCCCTAGAGTTGCTTGAGCGCGGTCATTCATAGGTCCATGAATCAGATCAAGGCATGGACCAATAACACCATATATTACATATAAGCGAACTCATCCTTGGACACCAACAATCCGGAAGCGTTGATGATCCCCAAAGAACGGACGCTTGAAGTTGGTGATAGCATCAAGTTTTCTGCCTTTCTCCACCATTGCGGATCGCAACTCTGTTGCTTCCTCGACTCGATTTTGTGCTGCGCGCGCACTTTCTCTTCATGTCATGCTCCGCTCTTCCTGAACCGGCGAAATTACAGCGGTTTCATTTGTTCACCACGGCCCCCGATATATTGCAAGGCAATCTATTTCACAGCACGATGTCCCCATTTACTTCCACTTTATCCGCCCCGCGTTCCCCATGGTGGGCGATCTGACCTACCATGCTCCCTACTTAACCATCCTGCAAACCTCGTGCCGGCGGGCCTTATTTGTCCTCGACTTGGCAAAACCGGGGTTGATGGCTCTTTATAAGAGCCACCTTGAAGACTGGAGAACCATATTCCTCTCCGTTTTACTTCTCTCTCTCTCTCTCTCTCTCTCTGGTGATCTTGAAGAACAGGATCGAGCTTCCCTTTGCCGCACGCCCGTCCAAAACACGCTCCGAACCCCCGCATCTGTGTAAGTGAAAACGGCTGTAGCATCGCAAACCACCCTTTTGTTTTTTTAGCCGTGGTTCTCTCTAAAAAACCCGCAACCATGCGCTTCCTGGCCGCTCTTTCATTCCTCGCCACGGTAGTTCTCGCCAAGCCCGAGCAGATTCGAGGTGTTCGGGAACCCATCTATCACCTCTACCTCCAGGCGCATCCGACCGACCCAACCAAGGTCGTTCTTGGGCCCGAAGCCTCGGCTGATACTTTTGAGATTGGCGGCACGATTGCATCCAACACCACCAGTCTCTTCATCAACATTGGCGACGACAGCACTTCGTACAAGTCTCTAACCTTTGGCGAGAGCGGTGAGACGACGGCGTGGGGCCTTGAGGGCGACACCATCATTACGACGACGGGGAGTAGCTATGGGAGGCGTAAGTTTTCTACCTTGTTTTTTTTGTTCTTCCTTGTTAGACCCGCTAGGAAGCCTCTACCGCATCTTCACCTCCCATTACGGGATCGGCCGGACCGTATCTTTCCATGTTCTGGGCTGCTAACTGTTGAGGTAACTCCAAAATATAGAACTGAACTTCTTGGTCTGCGATTTTAGCGGGGGCTATTGGGAAGTCTTCCTCCAGACGGGAAGTGACGAGCCTAGCGGGAAGACTTGTAGCAACTACCAAACTATCCATCTTCCCTGCCTATGTTAAGTTGAAGGGTTCCGTTTTTCTTCCGCACGCCAATGGGATTGATATTCCTGCCGAAGGGGCCTTCGGGGAAGCGAGACGTGGAGGAGGAGATTGGCCGCCGTCGTTGACGCGTGTCGTCGAGTGGCACTAATGTCCCCTATTCCTCACTCTTCACGAGCAGCCCTGGCCAGCATAGCGAACAGCGTGCGTCTACCAAGGCTGCGCTTCAATAGGTAGCTCAGAAGGCAAATCATGATGTGGTGGACGACCTGAGGCTCCTCCCAACCCCACCCTCTGTTTGCCACTACTAGCACGTATATAGCCACGATACCAGAACAGTAAATATGAAGTCTTGTTTTCAAAGGGAGAAGTCTTGAAAAAGGACAAAAGACTTCCACCACTTACACATTGCCGCGGCCCTTTGCTAAGCCACACTTGGCCAAGAATCAGCGAGCGAGGTGGGATAGCAGCACCCAACAGCTTCCATGACGTCTAGTGTGGAGCTTAGCTCCCGCGAGCATGCGGGTTCGCCACGCAGTTCTTTGAACCGTTTGCAGGGATCAACAAGGATTCTCGTGAACTAAAATGGTCTCCCTCGCTACTTCAGGGCCCACGATAAGCGCGGGCTGCGTTTTATATTGATTTTACTTTTCCAGTCCTTTTAAAATGCGGGCAGGTGAAAATGGGGGACATTCGGCTAATAAAACCATGGATGGGCGAGCTGGGAACAGTCTGGGACTGGGATTGCAGTGCGGCCTAGCGAAGGAGCATGGTAAGCTTCCACCATCAAGCAGTGTGACATCACCACTATATTATGGGGTGTGCTGCATCATTGATCGATCCATAAATTCGACAGAAACACACCGCCAACGCAGAGAGCTAGTAAGGGGTTCAAGCCATTCATGGACCGTCAATCTCCAAGGAGCAAGGCACCGTCACCCAGCTCCTTTCACCTCCATAATTTTGTAGTGACCCTGAACGATGGTGGTGAGGGCGATGGCGAGGCCTCGTCAAGGAGGGGTAGTGGAACTAAACCTATCAAGGGTAGTGTTGATGCGCAGATGTTCCGCACAGAGGGGGTTGGCTTGGCCATGCGACAGGATTAGTGAGGGTTGAGGCCGTATCAAGAGGACAATCTGAACTGCATCGGGTTCGCGTGATCATGAGGGTTGTGATGGTGGGGTTCGCAAGAGTGTCCTCCGACACCCAAGCACCTTGGGCTACATTGATTGAATGGATCCGTTGTATGGCATCTCCTTAATAAGCCTTGTCCAAACAGTCAAAATGGAAGGCAACTTGAGGGCTTGACTGGGGCTGGGAATCAAGTGTTGGCTCCCTTCGCAGACCAAGAGTCTAAGCTTCAAAATGCTGCCATGGCCAGATGGACACCAACGCCAGATCAGGCCGTCAACTGGGGTATGCGCTCTCAGTCGCGATACCGCGACTGGTATGGAGGCTTGGGAGGGCGTAAATTGATCCGTGACCATTAGCGAGGAAGGGTCAATGGTCATTGGTGGGCACGGAGACGACCCATGACAACATCGGCAATGAAACTCTCCTGGCACTCCCATTCATCGATGATTGTCGAGTGCGGTACTGATAAAGTATTCATTTCCCCGATGGCGCGGGCAGAAGAGCCGAGTTCGCCAGGCCTGGGGCGGTATTTTCAACCGTGGAGGGAAGGTATTACAAGTTTTTGTCGATTTCGGGGACTCCATAGTACTAGTGCATGGAACACAAGCAGCACAATGAGGTACTACATTGATGGAGAGGCCCATACGGATCCATTCCAGCCAAATGGAATGGATCCATTGCAAACGCCTGAACCACTTACACGTCTCTCCAGCCACTTCCTCACCCCAACGTGTCTTACTTGTCGACCTCAATGATCATTCTAACCGACGGCTCTGACTCTAGGTCGTGCTCCAAGCGGATCGCCTCAGACCTAGTGGCTCGGTCTTTGGGAGTGACGAGGGAAAGGGTGCCTCCGGGGCGGGAGAGCGCGCTGATTGTCGACGTGTGAGGGACAACAAAAGTTTTTGGGGAGGGGGACATTGAGCACTTGAGGGCAAAGGTACTTCAGATAGAGTTGGGCCTCTGTCGAACCGAGGTGAGGAGGCGAGCCGATATCACCAACGGCTCATTTTTATTTCGCTCCATCTTTACCCCGATGCGGGTATGAGCTCGAGGCGCTGTCCTGTGCGTGTTGTCGGCCTTTTGTGTGATAGCCATCTTCAGGATGATGGTTTAGAAGCGCCGAGGGTGAATGTTCAATGTTCTGAGTGATCTTGCCCGTGGTAGGATATTTCAGGCTGGCACGGCATCTCAGCTTGGCTCGGAAGAGTGACGCCAAGCAACATCATGTACACTCTCAGTACCAAGAAAGCGTGCATGCAGCACGTGAAGATAGCACCGTAAGGCACCATTGCTACCAAACCCGCATGTATCACCCTAGTCACTCCCCTTCCGTCGAATGAGCACACCGGTGGGCTTTATTTCCTCTTCTGGCCACCTCACTTTAAATCCCATCCGTCAATCTTTGGGGGAGACGAGCAAGAAGAGTTTTGGCCTCGATTACCTTGCTTCTCCAGCCATTAACAAAGACAAAGGCTATCAACTCGGACTCGACCCTCCAGATTCCCTGTCGCGAGTCTCTTCTCGAGCGCGCCTTTCTTTCTCGCACACACTTGTGCTTTTATTATTCTTTTATTCCCCCTCTCCCTTCATTCCTTTCCCCCTTCTGTGATCCACCATTCTTCACTAGTTTCTCAAGCCGTCCGAAAAGCACATGCTTCTAAGACCCCTGCAAGCTTTTTTTTCTCCTTTCGTGTGCACGGTCAATCATCAGCCTCCATCCCGTCAGGGCTTGAACTTGTTTCCTTTGCCGCAACACCAACGGAGGATTAAAACACACCCAGCCTTTCAGCCTTTCCACCTCCCTTCACCCGCGGCACTCCCCAAGTCGACGCCGGGTTGCCGACCGAACACGAGCGAGCTACGAACGCGAAAGAACCGTCCGCCGCCTTGCGTCTTCTCTCGACCGCTTCATTTTTTTCGAGTCCGACAAACCGCACGCTTGGCGCGGAAACGCCAGCCAGCCATCACCCATGTGGTGGCTTTTCCAGGTCCTGCTTAGCGCCCTGTTCCTGCTAAGCATCGTTCTCTCCGTCCCCATCGCGTTCGATGTTGGCGGTCGGGACAGTGGCCTCGCCTACAGCCTCGCTCTCTTCTACTACTACCTAGGCTACTCGACGATAAGAGCGGCCACAAGCGATACCCGAGCCGGGCGGACCATCAGTGCCGTCCTGCGCCTCTCGCAATGGGTCATTATACCCGCCCTACTTATCTGGGCCCTCGATCGCTTCGCCGTCGACGCCGGGGGAGCGACCTGGGTGGAGAGGACATTCGAGCAGTTCGTGCAGCAAAAGCCTGCCACCTGGTCTGAATGGGTAAATGGCGTCGTAGAGACGGTGACGCTCGGTGGGTGGGATAAGACTCTGCGATATTCCATTCCCGTTTTCCAGCTACTGGAGGGGTTCTGCACCCTCCTTGTCATTCAAGCTGCTGGGCAGATGACGAAGTGGCTTATTAACCAGGGGCGAAGCGATACTTGGATGGTAAGTCTATATTTCATTGTGGTTTTTTTCTTTTTCTTCTTCTTTTTTTCTCCCTATTTCTCGCGCCCTTGCCTTCAAACTACCGACTCAGGCATGGCCCTCTCCCTCCACGTTTGATATTTGACGTTTGGCGGGGATGGTGCGCGGCAGGCGTGGAAGGAAGGGAGCGCGAGAAGTCGACGCAGTGGCAATAGCAAAAGCTAACATGCAAACTCCCCTTTTAGATCGTCCTCTTGGCCCTCTCGGGTTCCATCATCGCGAGTGCTGTCTACTTCCTGTGGCGTGTTGCCCAGTTTCCCCACATCAGCAATATCGACGCTACACTTATTGGCATCACCATGACCACGGCCTTTTTCTTATGCACATTTGGCATTACGAGTGGGAAGGGCAACCCGGTCGAGTCCTCTCTCCTCTTTGCCTACGTCGTGCTCTGTGTATACCAAATATTCACAGACTATCTCCCTCCGACGGATTGGCGGAGCATACAAACTCAGCCGACTCGCAGCCAGAATTTCCTCCCCTACCTCCCATCATCATGGCTTCGTATTCGACCTTCCTCCACATGCTTGGGTCGCTCCCCTCTGCCGTTCATTCGGCATTCTCGCTCTTCTACGCCGCTTTCCAGACAACCACAGCGTCTGTTATCATTTCTCTTTGTACCGAATTATCGTCTTTTACTTCGCAACCCGCATCATTCCTGCCGTGCGCGAGTACGGTGCCCAAGCAATCATTGAAGATTCGCCGCTTGAAGACTCGGAGGGCGCGAATAAGCTCCTTGAGCTTCTCTCTTGGTTCGCGCCTTCTATCCTAATTGCGATTTACACCAGCTTGCTTTTGCAGCATTTTACCGTCAGCGATGGGCCGGACGGGTGGACTCTGCGCGGAGGAGACGCGGCTGGAGGCAACCTATGGCGATGGGTCAATGTGGCGGCGACCATGGCCCTCTACACTCTCGAGCTCTATCTCGGTAACGACGAGACGAATCACTGGAAGGTCGATTAAGCGGACTGACTCTTCAGTGCCCCCATGGAAAGCGGCCGTCGTTGCCGATGCAAGTTGTTTTAGACGGATGAGGCGATCGGCCGTGCCTCCCCATGAGCTGTCTCGTAGGGACCCCCGCTTCGCTTGTGCGTCTTCTCCCAAGGTGGCTGTAGAGAGGATCTACTGTGAGATATACGCATCTACGTGTGAGGGATTATGACAAAGCTGCCATTTCCCCGCTTCTCACCCAATGCGTGGCAGCCGGAAGACACGTAAAGAGAGAGGGTGGGAGGAAGAGAGGGAAGGATACAGGCATACAAAGAACAGGAAACACCCGGTGGGACGCAAAGAGAGAGAGAGAAAGAGAGAGAGAACGTATGAGTGTGTGGCAAGTGCACTTCTGACGGTGTCTGGGGTTGGACTTTACTTGCTTCTTGTGACGAACGATTTGATACGACTATTCCCCTTTTGTTGCATCTTCTTGGGTTACGGATGGGAGGCATGCCTACAACGAGCATTGGCAAAGCCCTGAGTTTTTTTTCCGGTTTTTCTTTTTGCTTTTCACCTTTTCCCCTTTTCCCTTTTCCTTTGTTAGAGACACGGATGTGAAGTTTTCTCGCTCAATCTTTTCGTATTAATAAGAAGACATCCACAAAAACCAAGACATCTTATCTGCCCATGGAGCCATTGAACCCATAGCTGTATCCCCCACATATAAAACGGGGTGAATGCGCGACTGCGAAAAGGAACTGGGGGCTGGCGCTCTCGCCAGAGTTACTAAAAGAGTGTTTATTTATCCACGAACACTTGGGTGCTGGCGTTGCGGTTACCTCCACTCCCGCTTTCCCCACTATCTAGTGTTCAATGATCGGCCTGTACGCGGCGTGGCAACCACCGACCGACATCCTCGGCATCCACCACGCATCGCTACATGTACTTGACGGAGGGAAAAAAGAGCAGCTACCACAAGGTGTCTAAACCAAGGCCGAGCTCGGACTGCATGTAATCATCCATTCTTGAAATTCGGCATTCACCACCTTTCGATCCACCCATCGTCTTATCTGCAGGATTGGAAGGCTCATCCAACAAGCAAACCGGCAAGAAAATACAACAATGGCTACTGCAAGCACGGACACACTCCCTCCCCGCCAAAGGTCTCCAAGAAGACCATCCCCATGGCGGGGCTGCTTGTCGATGTTTACGGGCTGGAGGAGCTGTCGACCCCGGTCCGCGCCACCCAAGTCACTTGCCTATGGCTGCACCACCCGCGCTTACAGACGAGGGCCATCATGGGCGCCTTTGGGCGCCGCGCCGTGGACGCGTGGAATGAAAAGCGCCGGTCGGCTAGGCCTGACAGCACCGCGGCAAGCCGGGGACTCGTGGCCTTGGCATTCGACCAGCGGAATCACGGATCTAGGCTGGTGGATGAGCTGGCGAACGAATCGTGGAAGAAGGGCAACGAGACGCACGCGCTGGACATGATGGGCGCGGTGCGGGGCATGGTGGACGACACGAGGGGCTGATAGACATAGTGGAGGGCTATTTGGTGAACGCGGGTGCGGAGGGGATCGAGGTCGACACGCACTACGTGCTGGGGAAGAGCTTGGGGGTCATAGCGCTTGGCAGTTGATGTTTGCGGACCCGAGGGTCACGGTGGGAGTCATGGTCATCGGCTGCCCCGATTACATGTGTGAGTGATGATTCCCCCTTTTGCCGATCTCGCGGGACCGAAGCGCCGCAAACGGCCCAGGACTAACCAGCAGCGATGTAATTACCAGCCCTGATGTCGAACCGGGCTCGAAAGTCCAAGCTACCCACTTACAAGCCGGAAGACGATGGGACGTCCTTTCTCGGCAGCCGGCACTTTCCCAGGGATCTCGTGGAAGTGTGCCGCTCCGCCGATCCCAAGGGCCTCGTGTTTGGGACCACCGGCTGCGATGCCGCGCCGCAGGAACCCCGCCAGGAAGAGATTGCCCAGTTCTTTGACCGCACGATCAAGGGCAAGAAGTTCCTCGCGTGCTCGGGCGGCGCAGACAAGCTGGTGCCGCACAGCGTATCGGAGCCCTTTATGAAGTTCTTCCAAGCGGCCGTTAAAGGTTGGTACAAGGACGGGGGCGTGTCGGTGGAGGATAGGGTGTATGAGGGCATCGGGCACTCGTTTAGCGAGGGCATGGTGAGGATGCTTTGGAGTTTTTGATGAGTGCTATGGAAGACGGAAGCAGGGAGGACAAGGCGCGGATTTAGATGTTTAGCCATGGCTAGCTAGGTAGGCCCACATGGCTCTTGAGGAAGGGCACGGAAACCAAGACCCAGAAATGTGAAAATCAAAATTATCATTCGCTACATGCATGCTCCCGCAGATGTGTTACCATCTTTCTTCTGTAGACAAATGCCATAGGTACGGGTAACCAGACTTAAGCTACCCCCGCCTCGCTCTAGTTATCCCAAGGGCGAGGGGCGGTGGAATCCAAGACTTCATAGCCGTCTTTAAAAGGAATGGTCGCTAGCTTGCTTTTCTTTCTCTCCTCGTCATCCAAGAACAGATGTTGGTTGATGCCCCATGGGTTGCGCGCCGCCCTCTTCCCTGCCAGTGAATCTTGGACCCCGTGAGGATCCTTTGTCCACATCTCGAGGGCAATCTCGACGCCCTTGAGAGCGCCGGCGTCGGCCACACTCCTCGGCCATGCCGGGCGGATCGATGCCTACATACCGCGTGCGGTCAAGCGGAAACCCAATCGCGGCGCAGTGTCCGTCGTAGATGCGGGACTTTTAAAAGCGTGGCTGACGACGGTTAGGCGCGCCGGCCAGCGGCGGGAGTGAAGGCGCCAAAACTGGACGAGGGAGAAGAGGACGTTGTAGTAGGAGTCGAGGGCGCGCTCCTCTACTAGCACGCGGTGGGCCTCGGATGCGGGGATGATGCTAAAGTACCCGTTCCGGGCCGCGATGTCGGCGTAGCTTTGTGCTTCGCTGAGCTGGGTTTCCTTGCGCGTCGGGCCGCTATCGTTGTTTGTTCCCCGTCCGTTCGGTCAGCACAGGTTTGCTTCGAGCCACCACGACTGTCATACCCCACCCTCTCCTTCCTCTCCCCCTTTTTCCACTTCAGTTCTACTCTACTCACCCGGAAAACATGAGCACCGCCTGCGGGTCCTCCGCGATGCATCGAAGCCCGGCTTTGACGTGCTCTACGAACGTGGGGATTTCTCCTTTTGGAAAGGCGCGATCAACCATTCCGACTCGTCTTGGCCGCCAGAGTCCCCGCCAAGCCAGATGCCGTGGCAGCACACCACGACGAGGTGCGTTGGGTGGCTGTCTTTACGCTCTAGATCGTGTATCATCCTTGACGTGTGGTTGCGTCTAGGAGGGTGGGGGTTCTTTTTTTCTTCCTTTCCTTTTTCCTTTTTCTCGTTCTTGTTGGGTTTAGTGATGGCTCAAGAAAGAAATCGAGCCACCCGAAAGATTCAGGTTTAGTGTAGATAGAGATACGCAGATCTTCGTATTACTACGATTCATCGATGGAAATACTGTTAAAGGGACATTGATTCCCACACAAATTCGAAATGGCCGTACTTGACTCTTCTCGATTCCACAACAGAAAAAGACTCCAGAAACTGTGTGATTAATTTTCTGGTTCGACGTAGCTTTCGTCGTTGCAATTCTATGATTATGTTTGCTGCTGATGCGATCTTTCCACCGATCAAATCAAGCAGATAAACCCTTGGGTATCTATATTTTTGCACTATCTAACCATTTCAAGACGTCCGCGATCAGATATAGGCTCCCCGTGACTACAATGGGCCCTTCATCTTTCCCACCAGATAACTTGGCCATTTGGCACGCAGTTGCCACTGCTTGTTCTATAGTATCGCAGGTTTCAGTGTGGCTTTCCGCACCGCCAAAGCCAGGCAATGCCTTGACTGCCGCCTCTAGCTTTCCCATATCTAGTGGCAGGGGCCGAAAGGAGAGAAAGTAATCCGCTGGGGTTGGGCTCGACTCTGGTCGTCGTAGCGGGTGGTCATATTCTACGAGGGCTACCTTATCGCCAGGATGTAGGAGAGGAAGGAGTATCTCCGATGCCGTTTGCTCCCTGGGACTGGACATTCCCAGGATCCAGGTGATTGGTTGACGCCCGCCGGACTTGGCGATCCTGAGATGTTGGCCTGCGTGCTTTGCAAGCAACGTGGCAGCATCTAGGTTGTGGGCCCCGTCGAGGATTATTGGGGTAGTCCGGTTCGCTCGCTTTCCCGGTGCGGTAGCGGTTAAGTCAATCTCTTGCAACCTGCCTTCCATGTGTACACTGGGAAGTTGTAGCAGATCTTGAATGGTCGGTGAGTATCCTTGGAACTCCTCTAGCTGTTCGCACGCCTTGATGGCACATATCGCGTTGTCGAGGACGTGCTGGGGCCATGTTCCGGAGAGGGAGGCTGCCTCATCTCCTAAGCGCGAGTCATCCGTTGATAGGAGTAGCCTCGAGCCAACTCGCTGCGCAGTTTCAGCTATCACTTCAAGGGCTTCCGGTGAGTTGCGGCCATTCACGATACACGGCGCACCGTTCATGATGGCGGCCTTCTCGGCGGCAATCTTGCCAATAGTGTTTCCCAAGTACTCTTGGTGGTCAAGCCCGATTTTTGTAATTACCGTGACGGCCTTGTTCTTCATCACATTTGTAGAGTCTAGGCGACCCCCAGTCCCGTCTCTATCACGCCGTACTTGATTTTGGATTTGTCAAAGGCGGCAAAGGCCGCATACGTCATGCGCTCAAAGTGCGTAGGAGGATCCGATGGCGAGGCTTCATCGGCCCCATCGTATAATGAGCGGAACAGGTCCGAGGCGATGGCTGAGTTGTTGATGAGGATAGAGTCCTCCGGCCGCCGGATGAAGGGTGAAGTAAACCGGCCATGGGGGATTTTGGAATGGGTGAGAAGAGAAGAGACGTAGGAGCAGACGGAGCCTTTACCGTTGGTGCCCGCTACGTGAATGGCCTTCCATGGCTGCGGACTGGTTCCGTACAGGTTTTGCATACGCTGGAGCCCCAGCTTGATCGCCATCTTTGGCCCGTTTCTCCTCCGGACCAGACTCTATCGCGGCCACGAGCTTCTCATTCCTACTGAGGATTTCATACACTTCAAGGATGTGACTACGGAGGACCTCAGGATTAACCCCAATACGACTGGCACGTTTTGAAAAGATGGACGACAAAAACACGTGAGCTAGGCCGTAGATAGAGATAGGATTTACCTTTAATGGAGGAAAGATGATGGAGTTTGGTCCTGAGTAATGGTCTGGCCACCTGCGAGAAAAAAAAAAAAAAAGAGGCATGCAGGCCTAATGTTGAGAGGTGATAGCTAAATTTTGAAGTTTTCCTAGCTGATAATTTCTCACCTTGATAATTCTGCCGAGCGATGGCTGGATATCGAGAATCCCACCTTCACAAGGACTTGGCTATTATTGCCGTTCCTGGTCTGCGGCCGTCGAGTTCGATGTTGAACTTGAGGTTCCTTGCCACGTGATGCAAGTAAGAATTGATAATGTTGAATGCTGTGTCTTGCCTGGACTCTGGCAGATTATTGCCTGTCCCTGCTAAATGGCGTTGCCCCTGGCTATTCATCCTCTCGAGCGCTTGTGGGGTTGCGTTAAGGATATACCTGGATGCAGCGTGATTACGCTCCTGCGGCCATGTCACAATGTATCGCACATTCACACACGCGGTTGGTCGGCAGGATCCCCCTTTGCCCGTGATGCTCTCCCCTTGCTTTAGAACGGGTTGAAGTTGCAACCAGTCATCATTCTGCATCTCCTACATTTTCATCCCGACCACGCCCCCACCCCTCGCGCATCTCGTGGCCGAATCGACAGGAGACTTTTCGTGACAGTGTCGAAAAAATTCATTCGCGGGTTCTCATCCCCTGCAACGGACTTCTCGAAAACACCACGTCCCCGCTTGAACCGCGCTTCGCGTTTCCATCCGCGTCAATCCAAAAGTCATCCTGAGGCGCACCGAGATCGCATGTTTAGATGCGACAAGGCCACCGCTGTGCATTAGTGGGCAAATAAATTCTAGCCATTCTCAGCATCACAATTCGTCGCTAAAACGAACTCGGGCACTGGCATCGCATCGCATCGATTTTTTTCCATCACAAATTCGGGTTTCACCTTTGCGACTGAAGCCAACGTATTACTCTTTTCCCCGCCTTGTCCAATATGGGTCTCCCGTAAGTCCATCTCCTGCGCGGCTCAACACGACTGTCTCCATCTAGCGAGATGCTTTCGCATCCCGATCCATCGATCCCTCCGTCTTCTCGATGCTGGCGCTCGGCCCATCCCTGCCTCCTTATCGATTAGTCGTTCGGCATCATCGATCTATGCGGAATCGCCCCCTTTCCTCGTTGCTGTTTAGCCACTGGTGCTCCTGCAAGCCCTTTTTCGTGAGACTGAGGATGGCCCCGCGCTCTTGAATCGAGCACCGGGTCACCTCTAGGAGACCTTCGTCCTCTTGCCTCGTGTCGTCGTTCGCCGTCGCATCTCATCGACCACCATCGCTTGTGCCTTTATCACTCCTCTCTCTTGAATTTCCACTGAGCTACATGGTATCGTCATCACGTATACCCTTGTGCCTTCTCTTTGTTTTTCTTCTTCGTTCATCATTACCCCTCTGCTTCACACTTGGATTCAATCTAGCCCTCGGGCGAAGCGTTCCCTTGATGCCCGTGGTGGCCTGGTCATCGCTAACAAAGACTGTAGGCTTTATGTTGCCCGTAGCCCGAGTCCCGAGTCGGACACCCAAACTAAGAGACGTGAAAAGATCGCCAGTTCGAGCCGAAGTATTCGGAGACGTGCTCGCATCGATGACTTGGCTCGTGATTCCGAACGAGAGATCCCGACGTCGCCAGCGGGCCGTCTTCATCGCCAACTATATGAGCGAGCGCGGCGTCGATGACGAGCAATCTCGCCAGGAAGTGCCTCAGCTAAGCAACGTGCGACCGTGGGGCTCTTCCGAGCTTAGCCCTCGACATCATCGTCGCAGCTGGGAGCGCCCAGACGCTGAGCGACAAAGGCGCATTGAGGACCGCGTGCGCGAGCAAGCCCGGGACCAAGCAGCGCACGAACAAGGACTTTGTCGACCCTCCAACGGGATCAATTCGACCCCATCTCGGCTGATCATGATGGGGACACCGGGCCTACTGTAGCTGTTCTGAGGCGGCGTGTGGTAAGTCTTCAATACAAGCGGCCCTTCGTAATACGCAGCTTCACCTGACGCCTCATACTAACACTGTAGATACAGGGCGCCGGCATACTAGATGGCGTTCGCCGGCCTCGTGAAGCTCGCAGGGCTCGCGACGCGCAGCAGCCTCACGCATCGACGACTACTTCTGGTACTTCGGGCTCGCGCCAAGTCACCTTCGGCTTTGACCCGTGGGAGTTGTATCTCATGCAGACGGGGCGCATTGCTGAGGCGGAGGCTCTCATGAGCGGCCTCCGTGACCGCAACCGGAGCCTTTCCAAAGCCCGGGCCCGGACGAGGATGACGACAACAATGAGGCATGGGATACGCTCCTGACGACCTTGACCCCTGATCCCCAACCACCAAGTGCCGGGTCCTCGTTCGCATCGGCCACCGCGACAAGCCAAAATTCAACACGTTCTGCCTCTTCAAACAGACTGCCTGCCTCAACGCATGATTGCGGAGGTGTCTGCGAAATTTGCGCTCGCGCTCGAGCGTCGTCCGCCTCGGCATACCCCGGCTTATCCTGAGGCCTGATTTCGGACGCGAGCCGAGCCGGCTTGCTGATTCTGGATTTTCTGGCGACGGACCTCGAGCAGCCGTCTCCTACACCTTCTCTGAGCGGCGGCGGCACTGGCGGCAGATGCGGGACTTTGCCCGAGAAATTCGATCGGACTCTGTCGAACGTTACACAGAACGCATCATTGACGAGCTCAACAGAATTGAGAGGCGGGGTGGCATCATCCCTGATGGTACACCCTAAGCTGGCGACCCCCTTGGCCACGGAAGATGATCGCCTTGACGGCTTCGAGGATGACGAGGACGACTACGGGGAGTTGATTGTTTAAATCACCTCCTTTTGACTGGCATTGAACTTGTTTGACTGTGAACCCATCGTTCACGTCCCACTTTGCTCAATGCACCCCTCATGATTTCTTGTATTTGACTATTCGCATGGCGGACGTTAGCCAACGGGTTAGGCGTCCAAGGCGATTTTGCGCTCTGTGAATCGAATTCGGGCACACAACGCGCTTTGTGTTTTTCTTCTTTTTTTCAGGAAGGGAGTGATGATTGGGTCCTCTTTTCTTTTCTCGGACATGGGATCGACGCCTGAGTCTGAGTGTCTTATCTGGTCTAAGGATGACAAAAGAGTGCCTTGGATAATCTTTATTTGGGGTATTCTTTTCTTTTTTTTTTTCTGCCTACTATCCCCGTATCTCTATTTTGGGGCGGCAGTGGTTGAGCAAGGACGGCGTTTTGGGTGTACTAGCAAGCATCAAGCACCATGGACTTTGTATTCATATCATATCAGGCATGTCGACGTCGAGAGAACCAGGGGTTCCTCTCGACCTCGCATTTCAAAATCGAATTAAATTCGGAAGCATCATCTCACGATTCGAACCGCCCCTTTAAATTCGCATGATGTGGTCCCATACTATTCTTACAGTAACTCGCGAATTGACGACAATGAAATGTATGTTTTTTGTTCCCGCGCTGGGAAGCCCCTAATACCAAGCCATTTTCTTGTGTTGATAAGGAGTCAGGGGAGACGGACCTGGGAATGCACGAAACCCATGGATTGAGTGAGGGGTTCCGTCTTAGTGCGTTCTTATATTGGTTCAAGGATGGATACAGGATCGACGACAAACAAAGCCTCATGATAATTCCCTTTACACGCTGCCTCGGATTTCTGGTTGAGGGGTTGATTCCATCCCTTGGACGCGTGAAGACGCGTCAAAATCAAAGGGAAGTCGGTTTCTTCATGCAACCTCCTGTTTCGCCGGGGGCAGCAGTATGGACAAAGGTGAGATCTTGACACATGCGCACACCCGCTACTAAGCGTGCGAAAGCATCTAACTGGGCTGGAACCGTTGTGTGAGCCCATGATATGAAGCTTTGCTGGTTGACTCTCCTCGGGCACGTCCCCTTCTGCCTCTCCCCGCTGGCTTATTGCGCGGCCGAGTCCCGTGGGAGGCAGCACAAGTTTTGTGAAATTCCCGCCACTCTCAAGGGTACGAAGTAATTTCCGGCGAAGGACCTCCATCCTGTGGCGTCGTTGTGATATTACATGTACGAATAAGACGCAATGTGACGAGGCTTGTCAAAGCCGATGTCAATCTTGAATTAGAAGCGCCACGAGCCTGGCCTGAGCTGGACTAAGGGATGCGGGATATTGCATGGCTGCGCTATCAGGCAGCGAACAGAACTGGGTAAAGCGCGATGATGCCATTTCCCATGCACTTTATATCTCGGTGAAAAAGGGTACTGGCACCGTTGACTGTTGATGCGCCTTTGGACGCCTTTCGGCGGCTTTCAGGCCTTCCGTAGACGATTGTTCTCTCCCTAAATTGATCGATATGTAGCGCAGGATTGCTAGTGTGCTTCAGCCCATCGATTCTAGCACTATATTATGGGTGCCACAGGATACAAGATATTCCGGGTGATCGCATGTCACCAAGGCTTCCGCCACGGCCTTCCTTTGACACCAATTCCGAACGAGCCATGGATGCTGGACTGTTGTAGGTTGCTTGACCCAGGACGTACGCGGTGTGGGGTAACTCAGCCGTGGGGCATTGATCGTTGATAGATCCATCCACTATTGCTCCTTCGTATGTTCAATGGGTTCATTATATCCATATATCAGCGGGGGCGTGATCATCGCCGTAGTGTAGGTTCCATCAAGCCATCCGCCATGGATAGATGCTTAGATGGTTTGATGGAACATAGGATCCAAAACCATTGGCGATCAATGGTGTCTAGTCTGGTGTGAACTTGAGCAGTGAAACCCCAAGTTGAGAGCAAAGTAATTGAGTTCACAGTGCTTGAGCCCTGGGCGGCCTTGTTGGTGGCGCCCAAGGTACCGATTGGTGGGCCTAGCGTCACTGATTGGCACCCCACCGGCTCACCCTAGGGAGCACTAACGTTATATTACAGGGGTATTCTACTGAGAACAGCCACTGAGCTCGCATCCTTCGGTGTAAGAGTCCTCGGACTTTCAGACAGGGTCTCGACTCCTTGGACTTCAACTGTCTCCAACCGGCGCCATACAAGCGCGAGACACTCTCGTCGATTCGTGTGTGCATGTGTGCAGATGCGTGTGCGTGTGTGTTTGGACGCCCTCAACTCTTGTCCCTGTTCCTGTGCGGCCGCCTACACGATACATTGTCCGAGGTGTTTTGACCAAACATTGAATTTGCTGGTGTTGACTGGACTCCAGTCATCATTGGGAAGTTCGACCCCCTTTCTGTGGACCGGTTGTTTCCTGTTCCTCGCCTCCAAGTCCCATCCCATCACATAGCTGAAGTATTACTGTATTGAACCAGCCCAGTGCACCTTCCCGACCCACCTGCTTGGCTGAAGACGGGACACCGACTCGAAGGCGGGAAAATCCACGAATTTTGGCCTTTTAACCCCGTCCACCTCCAGGTTAAAGCCACACAACGGCCCAACGAAGAGAATAGAGGATAAACAACCGATATGTAAGATAGTGGACCTTGCGAACGTGGGAAACAGGCGGATAAGAAGCTACCTCAGGAGACCCGCTCCGTCAATGGCTTGCGAGGGCGCTCCTGTATGGTTGCTACTGCGATTTCCTTCCCGATCGGCCTCGACGCATCAATCTAGGCACGACAGTACGCCATAGGCCTTACGCGACTGCCGCTTGTGCATTTTGCCTCTTCGCGTCGCTGTTTCGTCCTTGCCCAGAATCCGCACAAGGCTGGTTTCTAGTCCACAGAACGAGCGAGGGCTACCCTCCACGAACTCGCCTTCCCTCGAAGTTGACTGTCTGGTTTTCTCGGTACCAGAGACGTCTAGTGCTGCGGTTGCAATTGATCTCATCGATCCTCTGCCTCGTCATCGAACGGACTCTCGTCGCACACGCCTTCTCGGCACCGTATCCCGAATAGAGAGAGAAAAAAAGGCCAGAGGCCAAGCCGAGCCCGACGAAAACTTCAGATTTGGATTGCGACCCTTTCCATACACCTCGACACTCTTTTACACCTTACTCAAACCCCGCCCCTTCCTTGAGCGTACTGGGGCCGGATTCCCCAAAGGGAGACAGAGGAAGAGAATAGGAGGCATTCGACGAGTGGCTGCGGGCGGTGTGATCCCCCATCCGATACGCCACGAGAACAGTCGCTTTTCGAGACGATCATTTCGAATACGATCCTATCCTACCAAGCGCCGCCACCGGCCCATCTAGTCGGCCATGGCCCCTCCGGCCTCGTCGTCGGCTGAGCGCCACCCCCAAGCCAACGGTAAGGCCGCTGTGGTGGCAACGAGGTCCGAGAAAGCTCCTGGAACACCGCGGAGGGACAAGAGCAATGGGCGGGAAAGTTCGGCGGTGCAGGACCCAGGCCTGAAGGACTACGTGAGTTTTTTTCCCTTTTCTTTTCTTCAGATTTCTCTGAAAATGCTGCTCTCCCATCCTGCAGCGGGGCCCCACCAGCTGGCTGTAGGAATGCCTCCTTGCTCGTGTGGGGATGGTGGCTTCAATTGTGCCGGCCCCGCTCCTGAGAGACCGGAGGGGTTGCGTGTATGCTGACTGAACTATGTTTCCTATGCAGCGTCTTGGCGAGTGTTTGGGCAAGGGAGCATTTGGCTCCGTTTATAAAGCTTTCAACTGGGGTACTGGAGAGGCTGTCGCCGTGAAGCAGATCAAGCTGGGCGATCTACCAAAGAGCGAATTGCGCATGATTGAGGTTTGTTCCCTACCCCTCCATTGCCTGAGCTTGACGCCTAGCACATATCACTGCAGGCGATCTTGACGTGTCGACCGTGAATCTAACCCTCGACTGATAGTCTGAAATCGATCTCCTGAAAAACCTTCATGTAAGCCGCACCTGAGCAAGCAACCCCGGAATGCATTCTGGCCTAGTAATGCTAATCTGATATAGCATGACAATATCGTCAAATATATTGGCTTCGTCAAGTCTGCCGACTGCCTCAACATCATCCTCGAGTACGATGAATCTGCCTCTGCCCCTTCATTCCTTCCCCTTCCTCCCTGCAGTGAGAACGTACTCTAACTGGGCCCCTAGATACTGCGAAAATGGATCCCTTCACTCGATCCTCAAGGCTTACGGAAAGTTCCCCGAGAACCTGGTCGGCGTGTATATGACCCAGGTTTTGCACGGTCTCCAGTACCTCCACGACCAGGGTGTCATCCATCGTGATATCAAGGGCGCCAATATCTTGACCACCAAAGATGGCACTGTCAAGCTAGCCGACTTCGGTGTTTCTACGAGTACAATAGCCGGAAACCAAGATAAGGAAGCGCAGGTGGTAGGGACGCCCTACTGGATGGCTCCCGAGATTATCCAGTTGTCCGGCGCGAGTTCGGCCTCGGATATCTGGAGTGTTGGGTGTACCGTTATCGAGCTCCTCCAAGCGAGGCCACCATATCACAACCTGGCGGCTATGCCGGCGCTGTTTGCCATCGTCAATGACGATCACCCTCCTTTGCCCGAAGGAATCTCTCCTGTTAGTTGCTGCCGCCTCCCTTTCGGACCTTGGTTGTTGACCAGACTGACGCGTATTCTGTATTAGGCGGCAAGGGATTTCCTGATGCAATGCTTCCAGAAGGATCCCAACCTTCGTGTAACTGCGCGAAAGCTTCTTCGGCATGCCTGGATTGTCGGCTGCCGCAAGAGCGAGCCGCAGGTCTCCAAGGCGCCATCCAATTTTAGCCAAGCGGTGGAGGAAGTCAAACAGTGGAACAAGGCCCTTAAATCTTCCGAGACATCTCTTCGGGCTTCTACGGGCTCCGATAGTGCTCCCCCATGGCTCACAACCAGGGCGCAATGCGATTCCGAGAACCCGACCCCCTTCGCTCGAACCACGCCACCCCTGCTCGTGTTGCGCTTGCAAAGCCTCGCGCCCTACCCGAAGCATTCAGGTCTCCTGAACTAGCAGACGATGACAACTGGGACAATGACTTTGCGACGTCCATCTCGCCCAGCGCATTGCACCTACCCCATCTTAAACCGCAGGACAACTTTGGTGGACTGTTGTCTGCTGATCGGCTCAAGGCATTCGCGTCCGCAGTCGACCTTAGTGACGTCTCGGAGAACTACGACGACGACTTCGAAGGCGAACTTCTCACCATCAAAGTCGCTAGGAATACTTCCCAAGATGACAGCTTCGATGCCCAAGAGAAGACGATACGCCCGCTCCTCGCAAAGCAGAAAAGAGCCAGGATTTGTTCAGTTCTCATGCGCGTAACCACTCCCGTACCTTTTCGCGATCGAGCACGGCCCCGGTCTCGGGCGGTAAATCGCCGACGAAATCCAGCTTCCCTAATAACAAAATTGAGCTTCCTTCACGGCCGGACATGCTTTATAGAGAGCAGTCCATCGAAGACTTTTCGGATCTTCACTTTGACAGCGACCATGTGTTTAGCAAAGATTTGAATCTAGCCGCAAGGAGGGTAAGAAAGAATGCGCCCCTTTTCGCTTTTCGGCACCTTGTACTATACTAACTTGCTATCTTATAGGGGGCCCGTCAGAGCGACGCGCCGCAACTGTTTCACCCGTCTGATTTAACTAGTCTACCACGCTCCATGCAGTCTCCAGCAATGCCTGGAAGCATTCGTCGGCAAGTGTCATCGCGCCCTTCCGTCCTGCCCGACCGTCCCATGCGTAGGTCGCGATCGTCGGCGGAGATCCAAAGATTCGTCGAGCCCGATGACGACGAGGACTTTTCCGATATCTTAGGCCCTGGGGACAAGCTTACTCCCAAGGACGAGAGTGATGGCGGGTCTGAAAATGGGCTCATGTTGGCTTCCAAACTATCGGGTAGCTCCTGGCTAGGGGATGACGAAGACGAGGATGACCCGTTTGCATCGATGGACCCTGGGTGGGATGAGCTTGATCTCAAGGCCAATATCGCGCGAGATCGTCACGCACGTCTGTGCGAGCGGGTGGAAGAGCTTGTGCGATCCCTGAAGACGACAGAGAGCGAGGACATCTTGTGCGACCTCTCGGAAGACTTGGTATGCCGTCTCCTCTTTTTCCTTCCCATCGCTTTTCTTCTTCCTTTTCCCCCACTCCTTTTTCTTTTGGCGGTTCCCTTTACTGACTATGACATTCTCTCAAATAGCTTGCTTTGCTGTGGGAGAATCCGGAGGCGAAGAGCCTAATAATCACTGCTCATGGACTCCTCCCCATCCTCGAGATCCTAGAGCCTTGCACCGTCAAGAGCCGGCAACACATGATCCTTCAGCTACTGAAAGTTGTTAATGCTGTAAGTCGATCCGATTTCGAAGTCATTGTTGTAACCGGTTATATCTAACATAGGATGGGTAGATCATTCTTGATGATGTTGAAATTCAGGAGAATCTGTGCTTCGTCGGTGGCATCCCTATCATCACAAAGTTTGCCGCGCGACAATACTCGAACGAGATTCGTCTTGAGGCTGCCGCCTTCGTTCGACAGATGTACCAGACCTCGACCTTGACGCTACAGATGTTTGTCAGTGCCGGTGGTCTCAACGTTCTTGTTGAGTTTCTCTTTGAAGACTACGATAGCGCCAGGGATCTCGTGCTCATCGGCGTCAATGGTATCTGGAATGTGTTTGAGTTGCAGGTTCGTTTTATCTTTGCCTCTCGGCTTTCTTCTCTCTCCTCCATCCCTGAATTGGAACTAACGCCTCTAACAATTCTCGTCATTTAGGGTCCCACACCGAAGAATGATTTCTGCCGCATATTTTCCAGAAGCAAGATCCTGTACCCTCTTGCGCTCGTCCTCCACAGGGTTCTTGATGAAGAAGGGGAGGATGAACTATCAGAACTGATTGAGGGGCGCATTGTGAACATCTTCTATCTATTCTCCCAGGCCGAGAATTACGTCAAAGAGGTTGTCGCGGACCGCCAAGTGCTGAAGAGTAAGTCCTTCCCAACGTGATCAAAGACAAAAGCCAAGTCTACATAAATGACAATCCCACTAACGGCGGTGACATAGGTGCCCTCAAAGATCTGCGGCGCATGACGCCGGCTCATCAAATCACAATGCTAAAGTTCATCAAGAACCTTTCCATGCTTTCTACTACGCTAGAAGTCTTGCATTCTGCCGACGCGATTGACTTCTTAATCGACCTCCTCAGCTATAGTATGAAGAAGGGCCATGCCCAGTTCCGTGAGATATCCAACCAAGTTTTGAACACTATGTTCAACCTCTGCCGCCTCAGCAAAGAGCGCCAAGAAGATGCCGCTGTAGGGGCGTGATTCCCCTCCTTTTACGCATGATGAAGACGGAGAGGCCACCCAAGGAATTTGTACTTCCCATCCTTTGCGACATGGCGCACTCAGGGAGGACTGGGCGGAGATTCCTATGGCAGAATAAGGGCCTCGACTTTTACGTGTCATTGCTGGCGGACCAGTACTGGCAAGTCACGGCTCTCGATGCCATTTTGGTTTGGTAAGTTAGGCATATGGCTATCCCTACGCCCCCTCGCTTCCTTTTGCATGCGCTCCGTCCTTCCGCATTTCCCGCCTTTCCTCGATTATGGTATTAATTCTGTTTTGTACGTGTAGGCTTCAAGAGGAAACCGCCAATGTTGAAAGTCACCTCCTCAACAGCGAGTTCACAAAGACTATCCTATCCTCGTTTAGCACGAACAAACTCAACTCGTTTGACTCAAACCTACTGGAGCCGCTTCTCAAACTTGTCCGTTTGAGTCCTTCCATTGCGGCCTCGCTAGCCGTCCCCGAGATGCTAGCGGGCATCTCTCAGAGGCTTGGCCATAAGAAGCCGGTCGTCAGACTGAACCTTTGCGTCTTGTCCGCATCATCATCGATGCCTGTGACCCAGACTTGGGTATCACCACGGGCAGCGCTACTCTCGATAGCAAGCAACTACAGTCATTGATGAGCACCATCCAGCGCCTCGCAGACAAGGATTCTGCTGTCCTGGTGCGGAATCTTGCGTCCGAGCTTGTGAAGCTGAGAGTTGGGCTGGAACCGTTTCCTGACGTGCTGGCCGCCCCGACTGTTATTCCAAACTCGCCCGTGCCTTCAAGCCGACGGCCCGGATCTGGAAACAGGCGAAACAACTCATACACCCCACCAGGCCTTCATGTCTCCATGTCGGTGCCGCCTACTCCTAGCCACGCTAACCCGAGACACCGGCCTAGCATCTCGACGTCTGGGGGTGCCTATATCGAAGTGGCTTCCAGTCCCCGCCGGACGCCCGCATCCATAACGCACGAACGCGATGCCATTCTCTATCGGCCCCGTAGCAGGGACGGTCCGACCGGAATTCCGCGAAGAGTCAGTGGCGATGTCTCTGCGGCAGCGAGCGTTCTCTCGAATGGAAGCGCGTCCAGCAGTGGCAGCTCGTCGATCCCGGGCAAAAGCCGTTTGCCGCGGACGTCTTTATCCTACTCAAGATCTAGTTTGTCTGGCGGGCAGCCACCCATTATAAGCCGGTCGGAGAGCGCACTGTCGAATAAGGAAAACGTGAGTCGAGGATCTAGCGGGAGCGCCTCGGGTTCGGCGACAGGTTCGCCGGCACCCATCAGCGTTATCGCTAGTGGGAAGAGGAGGAACAGGGCACCAAGCTCAGACTTGAGGTGGCCTTGATCTCGAGTGGTGGGCCAGACTGCAGAGCTTCTCTCTCCTTCCCCTCCGACACTCTCAACTGCCCTGATGCCAGCGCATCTCACGCTTTCCCCCTCCCTATTTTTTTCCGTCTTGTTTCATTTTCTAACTAATCTTGTCTTGGTGTTTTCTTTCCTCTTACATATGTTACGGATCGGACAAAAGGGGCATACAAAAAAATTCATTCATGATGGGAGGTGATGTGTAGGGACATTTTTTTCTTCTTTTTTGTCAGAAAGATAGGGGTGAAGGGACTATCTGCATTTGTTTTGCGCCGGAAAACAACTCCTCCTGCCTCTCCTTGTTACAATTAGGAGAGGCTTTTTCCTCTTTTTTCTTCTTATGCAATATGGTATCATTCTGGGGGTTTCCGAGAGAAAGAGAAATCATGGTTACTATGGAAGAGGGTTTCATGGGATGAGTATCGAGGCATGTCAAGACAATGGATGAAACGGATGCATCCATATACATACATATATATACATATACGTTATCTACGTTATAAGAAGGGCGGGCCTTGGTTCACCATCTTTTAGCATGTTGACCCAGCCAACTTTGGTAATGACACCGATGATTGTGTGTGCGCCTCCCAGTTACGGCGAAACACGGGCTGCCCGCCGGGTTATTGAATGCCTGATGCTACAGCAGATTGTTGGGGAAGCTGGCAAGCGATTGCTACACACGTCGGTCGACCTGATGAGAGAGGCTGGTTGGCTAGTCATTTATGGAGGGACAAGGGAAAGAGATGACGGACGCGATTAGCAAGATCTCACTGCGGTATACTACGGGTTCGAAGATGGGCTTGCCATATCCTGCAACGCAAGCATTTTCCAGTCAATAGTTTTGCCGTTGAGAACTTGACGAGTGTGTAATGATGGTAGCAAGAGCCATCATCCGGAACGGACGACGACTTGCTACATGTTCTGTTATTGCTATCTAACGGGCTGCATCCTGGCGTGACAATCGGTGCCCTCGAGAGACATCGACCGACCCGCAGATTGTCATAGCAGGAGCAAAAAGCAGCGCGCGTGCTTGTGCGCGTAAGATGCAGGGCAGAGCAAAAGCAACAGAACTAAAAACAGAAAACAACCAAAAGTATGGATAGGAACACCCACGAGGCAAGCCCACGATAGCGTAGAAGCATTGTCGTGGTGAAAAGGTACGAGAACCCGCCGCTCCAGCGAGCCCTTCCCTTCATTGCCTCAGTTTCCCGATACGCCGTCCCAGCGATGGCGTAGAAGCACTTTCGCTGTCGAGTTTTTCTTTCCCCCTTTCCTCCCTTCTTAGTCGTCGTCTCCCTCCTCCTCCTCTCCCTGCTTGACCTGGCGTCGTATATTCAACAAACAAGGTATCAAGACATTATTTTTGCAAGCTCCTCGGATGACAGCGTATGTAAACACAGATGGGGTATCATAAAAAGAAAGCGAAACAGAACAAAAGCTGCTGTGACATGAAAAAAAAAAAAAAAAAAAGATGGTGAACAAGCCCCTGTCCTCTAGACACAAGGATAGGGCAGGCACCAACAAAAAGGCAAGTCGAAATTCGAATCCCCAAATATCACTAACTAGCCACCTTGACGACACTAGGAAAGGGGGCGGGCCATGTGGACGATAGCGCTGCAGCATTGTCGTACCAACAGGGCCGAATCCCCTGTGCCTTGTGACACCACGATGACAGTCAGGATCTGGCGGAGCCGGCGGAAGAAAGAAAATCCAAGCAGGCGCCGTGTGTTGTCGCTGCAATGGAGTGTTTTTGAAGGCAGGCCATGTTGAATTGCCTGAAATTCCTTGCATTGATCAAAATGCAAAAGTTGGGGGCATCGGGACGACCCTCCATGGTCCGTCCCACAGCCGAAGAAGGAAAAGCACGAAAAATTCACACAACTGGCCTCGGTTTGATGGCATGGCCGTGTCCCCCATCATCCCAAAAGAGATAAAAGTCCTCCGGGAGGCAGGGGTTCGAAAACCTGATGGCAGGTTTGGCCATGTGGGACAGCATGTTTTCGGTTTATCTCTTGAGCCAGGAGGCAGCCCGCTAGGCCACGCTCCTCGACTTCCCTCTTGGCGGCACCGTCGTCAAAGGAGCTGGCCGAGTCGTCTCCGGCAGCTCCGTGCCGGCTGCGCTTCGTGCCAAAGATCCTCAAGAGGACCATATTGACGAGGCTGCTTAGCAGGCTGATGCAGAGGATCCCAATCATGACGAGGTTACTCTTGCGGAACCGGTGGGGGCCAGGAGCGCTGTCGGCCGCCCAGCCCGTGTACAGGGCATAAGTAGTGACGATGCTGCCCAAGTTGCCGAGACCGGAGACGAGGGCGGTGGCGGCGGCGACGCCGACCTCGCCGTGGCGACCCTGGAAGATTTCGTTGGTCCAGGCCATGCAGATTGGGACGGTAGGGCCGAGACCGAAGCCGACCATGAGAAGACCACCGTAGCGGGCCCACGAGTTCTTGAGGGCAAAGGTGGTGGTCAGGAGGCCCGTGATTTGGATGCAGACGGCGATGGAGAAGAGGATGGCGCGGCGCGAGTGGAAGCGGTCGGATAGCGGGGTGAAGATGAGGATGGCGATCAGGTCCATCTACGGTGTTTGGCAAGTTAGTTTGAGGGAAATTCACCACATAGACGACGAAGAATTGAGATACTCACGATCCAGATGGGGGCGAAGAGAAGGCTGATCTGGATACCGGTAAAGTTGGGGTTAATGGAGCCGATGATGATGCCTCCGTACAGCTGAGTACCGATTCCAACGCCTACGACGCCGAAATACATGAACAACAGAGGCCACAGGCGCCAGTCCAAGAGTACATAGGTGAGATCTTTGAGAGTCCAGTGCTTCATGTGGTAGACGCGGCGCAGTTCGTGATAGTGAATGACGGCGTCCTCGCCGGTTAGGGCCTCAGGGACGGCGGGGAGGAACTTCATGAGGCCGGAGCGCTCCCTCACCTCGCCGGGAGGCAGAGGCTTGTCGGGCAGCCACCATAAGAGCACAACGCCGACGACGATGGTGACGAGGCCGTAGAGAAGAAACATCCAGCGGAAGCCGGTCAGACCGCCGACGCCGTCCATGAGCTGGAAGCCAGCAGAGATGAGTCCGACGACGGCGGCAGAGACTTGGGCGGCGGTGAAGTACATGCCGATCCTCTTGCCGGTCCTCGAGGGAGGATAGAAGTGGGTGAGGTAGAGGGACATGCCGGGCCACATTCCCGCAATGACGGCGCCGAGAAGGAAGCGGAGTAGCCTATTTACGAGGGGTAAAGGGAGTTAGAAAGCTATGTTCGCTGGGAGTTGGGGCCGGATGGGCCATATATGATAGGTTGGTAGGTAAGGTGGGCACTAAGACGGAGGGGAGGGGTTCACGGGCTGGACGTACTTGGCGCTCCACGGCTTCTGAACCGCAGCAAAGCACGACCCAACGATTCCGGTGGCAATGACGATCCTAGCCATCCAGGCGCGAGGCCCAACCTTGCTCATGATCAAGTTACTAGGAAAATCAAAGATGATGTACGAGACGTAAAAGAGCGACAGGGTCTGGGACACGTCGGCGGGAGTCATGCCGAGGACGGTGATGAGGTCATGGCCAACATCCTTGTTCATGGTCTGAGAGATTCCGATGTTGGATCGGATGGCAGAACAAAGAAAGTAAAGAATCCAGAATGCTAGCAAAGCGCAACCTCGCTGTTAGTCCAGGGTCGTGGGGAAGATGGGGGCAAAGGGCGCGCCTGCTGGGCGAGTCTCTCTCACGCACCTGGAATGATTCGAAGATCGAGCTTCTTGTAGACCCGCTCGACCGCCGCGTTATCATACTCGAAGTGCTGCTGCTCCCGGGTTCGTCCGACTTGTGCTGGCCGCCACCATCGGTGTCCCGAGACACAGAATGGACGTCGGCACCGCACTTGTCGTCCGCGCTGATGCGCGTGTCTGCTACCCTCGGCCATGCTAGAGACTATGAGGCAATGGAGATGCTTGCAACTAGTTCCCTATAGAGGCCGGGTCCCGAAAGAGAAATTGTCTCTAGTTCTTTATCCTTTCCCGCTTCGGGCGATTATTTCCCTTTTTTTCTCTTCTCTGTTTTTGGCAGGGAAAAGAAATGGAGAACGAAAGCACCAAGGCTGGATGCGCTCGAAGGAGAGAACAGCAGCTGTGAGTAGTGATAATTCGGGCGGCGGAGATGTTAGCGGTCCTCGAGTCTTGGAGACTTGTGGAGATGGGAGGTGGTGGGAAGAGTGTGGAAAGAAAAGGTGTGGAGGAGACAAGGTCAAGCTTCAAGGACCGAGGCCAAGAGGGTCAAAATTTATAAGAGAAAAAAAAAGAATTGAATCACACCCGACACCAGGCTCGCCGAATAATAATCGACGTTGAGATTTAGCTAAAATCTAGGGCCCCCGCTTCACCAGCTCACTACTTCACCTCCTTCAATGGTCTGCCGGTTTCCACCGGTCCCTTTACCGGTTCACGAGCTCCATTTGAAGCTGGCTTGTTCTTGGTGCTGCGCTGCATGTGCAGGGCAAGCAAGTGATATCTTCTGCATTCAGCCATCCACCGCGTTCATCGAGCTGCTGTTGGACGACGTAGAAAGAAAGCTCAGGGAGGAGTCAGTAGCTCATCGCCATCGCCCTACGATTCGTCAATCGATGGCTCGCGCCCCTCAAAAATGCAAGGAAAGAAAAATTCGGATGCTCATTCATTGAAAAGGCATGGTTTAGAATGTGGGGCTCAACTCCCTCTTGGGAATTGATGCCATTAGCGTGGGATAGGAGAGCCGCTACCGGCTCATGGATGCTAGGGGGCATGGTTCTTTAGCGCATCTTCTCAAAGCTGGTGGACAGTTTCTGGTAGGTAATGGGAACTTGAACGCTGCGCTCGGTGACTCTATGGACACGCTCTGAATCCCGTTGGGAGCTTTGGTCGATGCCAGCGAGCATGTGAGCCTGTGATCTGATGGGAACATGCGCTTTAGTGGGAGAGAGCGCGGCGCTAAGACTTGTAATTCCACATTGGTTTGTCAACGAATCTATAGTGTATCGTTCAGAGACGCGGAACGAAGCCCGCGGCTGTCACGAGAGGCTGCCCCGCAAATGAGAAGAAAAGAGCCCTGCGGCTCGCTTGGCCTTGGGAATTGGGGAGGGAGTTATCTTCTTTTTCTACCAGCGTCTCTTGCCCCACAAACACGCCAACACCTTCAAAGTGTTCAGAGTCGGGCTCCAAGGCATCCACTGGATCTGACCGCCTGCCCGCACCGGCATCAATATTCATGGCGTAGCTCAGGCCGAACACAGGCCGAACAGTCAACCTGGACGGAAGAGGCTTCGCCCCTTCTGTTCGGGAGGTGGAGCTCGGTCTTGGTGGGATGGATTACCCAGCCGCAAATGCAATCTGGAAAATAGGGTTGGGTTGGTTGGGGGACCCTTGAAGTTGCCGCCGATAAACGGCGGCCAGAGCGTAGAAATGACATTGAAGAAAGAAAAACTTGACCAAGGCGGGGTTACCCAAGGCTAGACATGGTGAGCCTCAATTGACCAATTGATTAATCCTTGTATTAGTTTCGCGACGAGGATCCATATATTGTAGCCTTGTAGATTGAGCTGAGCCTGCGAGGCTTTTTGGAGCTGGTCACCCGAGGGGCCTCCATGTTCCCGAGATTTATTACATGTGATGTGCTCACAACAGGGACGAGAGGCAGCCGCGGTAGGTAGCCTTGGAGGCCGTTCGTCTATTAATTCCCCAATTGAAAGTAGAAGTAGTGCAATGTTGGAGCCCTGGCCTCGTTTTAAAGCAGCCACATGGTATTTTTCTGTTCTGCGGCTGCAATTCAGCTTTGAAGCACCTCGTGCAACCCTAGCTGCGAACCGGCTGCGCCCCGTACCAAACTCGGCCGAGCTTGCGCCTAGCAAGGCAAACCCTGGCCTGCGCTGGAACATGACAGGGGCAGGCTCGACCAAGCCCGCAGATCGAAAAAGATCACCGATGGTCAGAACCTAAACTGAGGGAGGGTTGCCTGGCAAGCCTCGGATGGGTTCGATGGCAATGGATCTTTTAGCCTCCCCCGAATATCCCCTGTGGGCTCCTGTGTCCCTTCGTGGGGGCGCACGAACCAAGGATTCGGTAGTAATTACCTCGGTAGATGGAGCTCAAAAACGAATCTGAAGACCGATGTTGTCCGTTTCTGCAAGCTGTGAATTAGTTTTAGAGAGAAAACTCGTGCTAGTGAACGAAGCATCTCTTGCTTCTCTTGTCTATTACTCCTTGTCCAGCATTGCCGAGGCCGGGCTGGAGTCTATGGTGAAGCTGGGGATGGAGTATTGTGCGCACTTGTGTTGAAGACAGCTGCGCGCGCTGCACGTCAAGGCCTTGGAGATGGTGCATTACCCCACATGCAAGAACGGAGGGGCTGCCTCGAGGAGCAAGAGTGAGAAATGACAGTAAAGGGATGGACCCCGTGTAAGCTGTCAGAAAAGTCTACTTGGAGGGGAGGCAGCATGATGAGTGGTCGACATGTTGCCGTCGCCGTTGCCGGTGCCGCTGCGATTGCTGCCTTGAAGCCTGCAGGCGATGCCTCAGGATAACACAACGCTTCGGCGATTTTGAGCCTCGTTTTCTGGGCGCAACTTCTCCAGGCTGCGCCGTTGCCTAGCTTTGCACAGGAGCAAAAACAAGGATGAACAAAAATGAGGAGGGGAAAGGTCACGAAGACCAGAGACAATCTGGACAAGTGCCGAATGAAGAAAAATAGAGAGGGAGAGAGGAAGACGAATCTCTCTCCACGGCCACGCGATACGAGCTGCGCTCCAACATCATGGCCTTTGCCCCCAGTCTTACCCCCGCTGTCCTTTTCTTTCCAGTCTCGCAAACCTAAAATCGACCTTGGGACAAGGCAACAGCGCTCTACCAAGCTCGATGCAACTCCCGGCGACAATCCTCCCCACCTTTTCTCATTGAACCAAGTGGGGAAGTCCTAGCTGGTCAAGATGGAGCTTGGTCCTTGGTCCTCAGTCATCCATGGCCCATGTCGTCTGGATCTGCAAGCACGAGGCATGCACCGTCCCCACCACTTGGAACAGGGCCATGGAACGCGTCTGGAACAACCTCGACCTCAATATCGCTGGCTAAACTCAAACGACTTGTATCTACCTCCCTGCCCTGGCATGGTAGCCTGTGGAACGCAGGAATCTATGAGAAGACTCACAACCTACTAGCCCCAGGCTCCAATCCCATTTACGCTTTACCCTCCCCGCATCCTTACACCAAGGGAGGACGTTCATTGAGGGGAATACCAGGGCCAATCGGCTATTTCCTTGTCCTTCTTCGTCTTCCCTTCTTCTTCGTCGCGGACACTCTTTTCCCTGGTCAGGATGAAAGGATTTCTTGTTGCATGGGGTGCGTGCGTCCCGTGAAGGCGCAGTCGTGCCCAAGATTCTCAGCCAGCACGGCACATGTTCATCAGCTGCGCGCCCACCGCGACTAAGTAGGACTGTGGCCGTCTTGGGTATACTAACCGCCACGATGGTGTCACCGGTTCGTCTGAGGCGAGCTAACCGAGACACAAGCTTCCCCACGTAGCAAAGATGCTGCCTTGAGAGCCTTGACCCGACATCGGTGGTGTTTTGGAATAGCTTCTTTCTCCTCCCCGTCGCTGAGGCTGACAGGGTGATTGGCAGGGACTCTGACACGATCCTCGAAATTGGTGATAGCCAACCAGGCTTCTCTTTCTTCGTTCAAAGCCGGCCAGAGTCCTAGGAGCGATGACAGACATGCCGCACTCCCTCCCCTACGGCGCGTCTTCAGTAATGAAGGAGAGGGGGGTGTGGTTGTCACCAGCCTAAGCTCAAGCTTGGGGTTGTCGAGGGTGATTAGGCACACGCAGCGGCTAGGCAGCATACCAGCCCATCAAGTCCTGTCGTGAGGCCGTCTTTTGGCTGTCGACTCACGGTTCTATGTGTGAGGATGTAGCCTCATGAACATGTGTTGGTTCGCATTGGCACTATCCGGCACGATGACTCCTCCGGCAACAACGGTTGGCGCCACGGGAACCTGGGATATCGGGTCAATATGGCATGGCTTTATTGTCCACCTGGATCTAAAGGCCCCTGCCCGAGATTCGTCCTTACGGCAAGTTCTGGAACCGCCCTGCCAACATGTGTCGCGTGCAATCATAGTCCTTTCTTTACTGCCCTCTCGCTTCACTGGGCTTGGAATATGATGAATATTGGGGAGTTTAGGCCTGCACTAGATACCCGGTGCCCAAAAATAGGCTATCTGCCAACGGATAGCCATGTTTATGTGTCGATATCTAAGTGCTGCCAGCATGGCTATTATTTTCCCCTCGCCCACCGCCTTGAGCCGTTGTTCACCCTATCAGCTCTGGCTAAAGTATCATTGGGCAGGGGGCCCGAATGAGGAGCAACTCGAGGATGAAGCCCTTGTCGATCCAGGCTGTTGGCCCCTGCAAAATAGACGATGTTCTGTGCGAATCTCGAAACAAGGACATCAGTGGAGACATCTAGGGATGGAGCTGTGAAGACTCAGCCCAAACGGCCCCAGCAAAGCTTTGCATATTTCCCAATGAGTCATTCAGTCAAGCTGGTGGAAGTAATGGATGGATCCCTGGTCACGCGGTCCTGACCCTTTCATCCCATTCAGTCTCCTCGCAAAGCCCTCCGCAAGCTACCTTGGTACAGGTGTTGATGCCTAGCTTGCTAGCATTGATACAAGGACGAATGTTTTATAAACGCCCCCTGCCTCCGAATTATTAAGGTTCCTGCAGGACCGGACTACGCAGCCAAATAATCGACGATCACGAATACGCACTGTACCACAGCCACACCAACATCGCCACCCTTTATGTGCACGTGATACGGTCGTGGCGCCAACTTGAACCGTCTTCTGCACTACGCCTACTCCTCTACGACAAGATTGAATCAAAGAGAGGCCAACGACCCCTGGTTGCTCGTTAAAAGTTGCTTACCTTATAGAGGCTTCTCCAACCGACCATCACAGTGTTTGGATTTGCAATCGTTTTTGTCAACCCACGCCGCCACCTTCGAGTACATTCTTCGAAAGCCTCCGTTCAAACCGAGACGACGTGCACGCTCGTATTATACGCCCACCTTTTTTTTAACGCGAGGCAACAACTTTTCGCCACTCGTCACTCCAAGCACACGCGGCCTAACTCGTCCTCCCCCTCGAGGCGGCCTCTGAAGGGTTTATTACCTTGAGCCATAAAGCTCACTACACTGCGCTTGCACCCAATCTATCCAGCCGATTTCGCCCTTTCCTCTTGGTTTCATTCTTTCTCCGTCCTCTATTTCAGCGCGAGAAGCCCCTTGACACATCATGGGGACGGTCTACGACTCGAGGACCTTTCTTCACGATGCGTCCTACCCATCAATGACGGAAATGGATCCCGACCACGACCACGACCACCACAATCACCACGATCACCATGACCACCATGACCACCATGGCCACCACGACCACGACCGGACGGTGGACAACGACGGAGCCGATCGCTTTGGCGAAACCGATGTCGCCGAACTTGCAAACTATCACACCGCGGCGCCGTCTTCACTCCTTCCCTCGGAGCGCACGTCGTTGGACCAGGCTGCCGAAGAAGCTCGGTCGATGCTGCTTTCCGATGCCTCTCGCCTGAATCTTTCTGCGTCACCTCCCTCTGTCAATGTTATGCCCGCTTTGGCGCCTGAACTGGCCAAGGCGGCCGAAGACGCGGTCGCGGCCGCCGTGAGCCTGGGGACGGATCTCGCCGCCCAACTTGACCCTTCTCTTGGCTCTACAACCCTCCCTCCTTCGGCCGTGGCAATGGCGGGGATGGTGGATTTGATGGCAGCCAAGCCAATTCTCGCCTCGCGCGGTAGAGCAACCCCGGCGGCGGCGCGACTCAAGCTTATCCCCAAACCCGAGCGGAAAGTGGCTCGAGGCGTTGGTGGTAGGTTTTATTGCTCGGTGGCGGGATGTGCGGAGGCCACGGAAGGCTTCAAGCGGCGTTGCGAATGGAAGTAAGTTGACTATCCACCCTACACCCTTTTGGCCCCACCTCTCTCTCTCGACAAGAGAAAAACATGGTATTTTCTTTCTTTACATTTCTTTACATTTCTTTGTCGCTAACGTTGGCCTTTTCTCCCAAATCTAGCAAACACATGGACAAACATGAAAGACCCTATCGATGCGAGCACGACAGCTGCGAGAAGCTACCCGGATTTACTTATTCGGGGTCTTTTGAGGCACGAACGAGAAGTGCACGGTAAACACGGTGGACCGAAGAAGACTCTCAATTGTCCGTACCAAAACTGCAAGCGGTACAACGGCAAGGGCTTCTCTAGGCAAGAAAACCTCAATGAGCATCTGCGCCGGGTCCATACGGACGCCACTTCACCCCCGACGATGTGCACCCCCGAGCAGCGACAACGATAGCGAGCGAGGGGGCATAAGCGCAAGCGGTCACTCGCGGACGTGGTGGATAGAATTGACGTAGACTTTGACCTCCTCGAGGAAGTGAAGCGTCTGCGTCAAGAAAACCTAGAGCTCCGGGAGCTGCTGGAGCAGCACCGCGAAACCCAGATAACCATGGTGGCTCAGATTGCCGATCTGCAGGGCGCGTTGCAGCTCAACGGTGCGAACCTAAGCACGGCCGCGTAACCGGACAGCACTCATCAGCTCCGCGCCTCAATTTGAATCTCAAATCGCGCCGCCCACCACGACGATATGCCATACCACCCCCTCCCCAATCAGGAGCTGGTCTTTCCGCTCCTTTTCTTTTTCTCCCTTTTCCGCTGTAAAGGCATCTTGGGAGATCCACGCCTTGTACCAGAACCACTCTACCATCGCCCTTGAACTCTTTGAGAGGGCGGGGGCGGGAACCGCTTCCCATTTCTTATTTCCTTCTTATCTCCTTTGTCACCTTGTTCTCACCGCATACATGCCACGCGTTCACGATCTAAGAGCACCTATACAACATACCCCCTTGCTCGTGTATTAGTTATTATACCAAGCGACTGGTCAGTTGCGGACCTGACCATAGACTGCTTCCGTCTGTTTCTTGGCGCCCTGTACCGCCTTTCGCGCTACTGATTTCCTTTCTTCTCTCCTCCCTTGTTAGGTTTTACTCCGCCTCTTCCTCCACTCTCAAGCTCAATATTGCCCCGCATATACCCCCGGGCGCATCATAAGGCTCGCAATTCCCGCTTTTGAACTGGACGCAGTTGGACGCAAGGACATTCTAGTTCTTAAACTTTTGATGCTGACGGGGTGGAGTTTCCTTCCTTCCGGCCCGTTGTTACCTTTTACGAGATCATGATGCAACTATGTATTTTATTCAGACCTACCGAGGTAGTGAAACGATTAGTGGTGAGAGACAGCCATAATAGAAGGATGAAATTCAACATGGTCTTTTTCGTTTCCCGATCAAATATATATCTTTATGGAAAAAAGAAACCTCATAGTAATGTGCTTTTGGCTTCCGTAGTTTGAGAGGAGTGAAGACACTATACTTTATTCATTTCGCCTTAAAGTTTTGGATCTGGGATGGGTGAGAAGTCGGCCGTCGTGATATTCCAAGGAGGTTCGACGTTGGGATGTCTAAATCCTCGCTCGCTAAAAACACGCCCCACGCCCCCTCAATCCAATGTTCCCTCCCAGCTCCTGGGTGTCAAAAGTGGACGGCGGGGCCAAGAATAGCTGCTGCTGACTGGGGGCTTGCATCATGCAGCATCAATGACACTCACTACCTCGGTACACCCACTGCACTAGGTTGTACAGACGTTTGAAGCACAGGTAGCCAAGTACCAATGTGCACACACTCTCTCGCTCTTCTCGTACCTCCGTGGGGAGGAAAAAGTGCTGACGTTGACGGCTCCGCGTGCTGGATCCGCTTACAAGTCGTTTTTGCAAAGGGAAAGCGCCCTCCTCACGCCGTAGTACAAACGCGGTCCGGCGTCGTGTGCGGATCACAAATCACTCCGGGCGTCCATCAGCCTTGACTTGCCTTTCTTACATTTGAAACCTCTTTCTTTGTCGACTTTTTTATTTTTTATTTTTCAATCCTCCATTTGGCCCCTTGTCCTTTTTTTTTCTTTCTTTTTCGCCTCCCCGTATAACTCAAATGTTGACGGATGGAGGAGGCACGGGGAAGGGGCTTAAACAGTAGTGACAAATAACCTTTGTTTTACGAGGGTGGCGGTGACGTGGACAGAGAAGGTGGCCAAGAATCCGTTTTTCTTTTTCTGATCCTTTTCTCTCTTTCAACGGGGATAATACGGGCCGCGTCTCTGTGTCTCCCAGCGCAGTGGCAGACTCGCGGATACTTCGGAAGACTGGCAAGGATCGCTACCCGTTTCCGGCTCTTCCAGAAACCGGAGACGTCGGGAAATCCCATGGGGAGAGCGCGAAAGTGCGGGAGATATGGCAACCAGGAAATCAATAAAATGGGAGGGGCGGGGGAGAAATGAAGAAGAAGAGCAGGGGGTATCGTGATTAATCCGTTCGATTCAAGGTGAGGGAGAATACTTGCAGTACCGGTCCCTCGAGGCAAGACGTCGTTAGATGGCCAAGGTGGTAAGGGCCGGGGGGCAGGCAACAGCGTGAAAGAGAGTTGAATGAGCGATTTTGTTTTTAAAAAGAATAGAATAGTAGCAAGAAAAAAACACGACAAACTAAGCGAGCGACTACAAGCAAGATCAGGGTGCAGCGAGGGTTATCCCTAGGCATAATGCTGTGCCGGGGGGCGGGAGGACGAGATGAAGTCAGAGACAGTCCCTTCGCCACACAAACGCGACGCACTCCTTTCCTTCAGCCCCAGTATCAGTATCATATCAGCCAGTGGCAGCAGAGGCATGGAAAGACAACAAGTGTTGACCCCTTTGAGTCACCTCTCCCTCTCCTTTTGGCGATGAGTACGATGGCCCAAGAAAGCAAACGCAATCGAATGAGAGGACACTTACGAGCAGTGCCGAGAGCTTCTCCGGAGTTCCGGTCGTAAGAGTCCAGTCATCTCATCCCGCTGCACTTCCACTTCTCTTCTCCCTTCGGCGGCCCTTACTCCCTCTCCTTATTTACCCCCACCCTTTCAGCGCACCACTTCGCAAAAGCTTCCCGACACTTCCTTCAGCACACGAAGGCAGGACAAGTCCGGCCATTCGTTGCCTTCACCTTGCATCACGCCATGGCAGAGTTCGGTCTGAGAAACGGGGACACCACCCATTCATTGGATCGGCCCTCCAGGCTGTTGCCTGCCCTACCCGCTTTATACCTTCGGTCGATGTCAGAGGATTCCTAGGCCTGGCAAAACTGGCTTTACCTCCTCCCGGGCTAAAGGGAAGCCTTTTCCATCTATGCAGCATCCATCACCAAAAGGAAGGCTGGGTGATGGCTACACAGGTGGTCCGAGTATTCCGTAAAATTGTATCATGCGGCTTGAATCCCCCATTCCCCCATCCATACATCCCCTTTGCATTCCATTGGGATAGGAGCCATGCTGTGAACCACACAAAAGCCGTGGTCCTCTTATAAAAGGGAAACCAAGGCGGTGTCTGCGGGGCTAAGTTACCGTGAAGGAGCCTAGTTCGCCTCGCGCTCGGGTTCTCCCTCGAGGTCTCATTCGGGTGCATGGAGGTCTGCATCTTCCACTCACAAAACCCCCAAAAAATTAAAATAGCAAGTTGTAAAGCACCCGCAATCTGTGCGTCGCACAAAAATAGGGCGACAAGCGGCCGGCAGTTTCGGAGTGTCAGGACCAAGGACAAAGTGCCTTTTCCTCTTTTTCTTAAGTTGACAATGTAAAGAGAGTCGCGGCCGTTGCTGGATGCAAGGGAGGGGGTATTGGGAAGAACGAAAAAGGATACGTGCGCGCAAGCTGATTTCCCGCTTCAGTCAAACCCGCCGCCGACTTGGCTCTGGAATGCGGTGCTGACGCTCTTCTCGTCGTCGTCGATGCGTCGAGCGTAGCGGTTGCCGGAGGCCATGCGGCCATCGCTCTCCACGTAGCGTTTAAATCGGTCCTTCTGCGCACTATTGGTGCCACCCAAGGGCAGGCTACGCACCGCCTCATGAAGACCCGCGCCTAGGCTGACACCGCCCTGACCTACCCCCTTGGCTCCGATAACGCTTGCCGTAGCATCGGTGAGCTCAGAGTTGGCGACGCTCTCCCCAGCAATGCTTTCCGTGGCGCGGCCGCCCTTGCGACCGCCCGATCTGCTGGCAGTGGGCACGCCTGGAAGGCCAGGCCACTGGTCAGGCGTAAAATTGGAAAAGATGTTGGCAAATGCCGGGCCGAGAGCTGCACCACCCAGCGCGGAGCCGTGAATCGAGGACGCGTCGTCGGGCACGTACGACAGCATTGACCCCGCATCGAAGTCACGCACAGAGTGCTGCGGAGGCTGGTGGCGGCCGTTGGCGTATCCTTGGGGATGGTTGTATTGCTGCTGAGGGTTGGCGCGTGGCCGCGACGGCTTGGGCCGAGGGAACTGAATCAATGACGTCTGCAAGTTGGTTAGAGGGCCTTCGACCAGACACTTGCGGTCCTTGTAGTGCACGAGCAAGTTGTGCCAGAGCTCATGCTTGGCCAGGACCTTGGGGTTGCCTAGAATGACCAAGCCGTATTTGGCACGGGTAAGGGCCACATTGAGACGTCGAGGGTCCGACAAGAACCCGATGCCCTGATTGTCATTGGATCGCACACATGACAAGACAATGTAGTCCTTCTCTCTGCCCTGGAACGCATCCACGCTTGCCACCTCGACCTCCTTGTACGCCTCTTTCTTGAAAGTGCCCGTATTTTGCATTGTGCTAACAACCCAGCTCCTCTGTCCCTCGTACGGGGTGATGACACCGATGTCGATAGGCTTGACCCCGGCCTTGAAAAAGCGAGTGACAACTTTCTCGACGTTGGAAGCTTCGGTTCGGTTGAGATAAGAGGTACCCGAGGCAGAAATCTCCTCGCCGCCGTAATTGGCCCAGAACATCATGGGTGTCTCTGCTACGGGCCAAGGGAAGTCGACGTCTTTGCGAAGACGCTGCTCGTACGTGACACCATTCTGGAGCTGGCCATCGTAAAACATGTTCGAGGGGAACTCGGACAGACAAGGATGCATTCGGTACTGGATGTTGAGGCGAATGGGGGCATGCCCAGATTGACAAGTCGTTCGAAGAGGGACTGGTTGAGACCGGCCTTGGCAGCCTTCTTGTTCATGATGACTGGTCCCAGCTGCTTATGGTCACCGACGAGGACCACCTGCTTGCATCCCAGCACGAGGGGATTAGACATTCGGGCTCAGCAGACTGAGTCGATTCGTCAATGAGGACGTTTCGGAACTTCATCTTGGCAAGCCGAGGGTCGCCGGCACCGACGCAGGTGCAGCAAACTACGTCCGCGTTGCTGAGAATCTCCTTCTCCGCAGCCTTGGTGAGCTGTCGAAACTTCTTCTCGTCCTGGCTCGACAATTCTCCTTGCTCCGTCTTGAGCTGCGTGAGCTTGACAAGGTTAGCGTTGGTGTCGTTCATGCGGACTTGCTCGTGGAGCGCAAGGAAGCTGACAGACGACTCAACGTCCTCTCGCGACTTGGCTGTCAGTCGAACGACCTTGAGATTGGTACGATGGATACGCTCGCAAAGCTGGTCGACGGCGACGTTGGAGGGGCGCACACCAGAACCTGGCCACCCGTCATCTTGACGAGGTGGTAGATAATGGTGGCCGAGGTAACCGTCTTGCCGGTTCCGGGGGTCCCTGAATAAGGCTGAGAGGTCGCTGCAAAACAGCCCGGACGGCCTCACTCTGGCTCTGGTTGAGGTCGGGAAGGTGAGGGGCATTCATGCGCTTCGGGAGGTTCACTCGCCCAATGTCCTTAACCTGGACTTCGTGGCCAAGAAGCTTGTGAAAGATGTAGCCGGATACGCTCTGCTCCTCGACGGCAAAGGTCTTCATGGCGAGTTGCATTCGGTCGTACGATGTAGCCTTCCACACATAGTCGGCGGAAAAGTTGAGCGTACACTCGGTGGGTGGGGCCGGGTCGTTCGCTGTCCTTCTCAGCTCCAAGGTTACTTCGTCTGACTGATTGTTGGGGATCTTGATCACGTAGCCGACACCCTCCCAAGGAGCATGAAGCTCCCCTTGTAGCGAAGTCGCATCTCATCGCCGACAGCAAGTTTGACATCTCCTGACTCAATCTTGCGCAGCTCGAAGCTGGCTAGCTGACGCGAATTCAGGCCAACGGACCAAATCACCTTGAGGTCATCTTCGGACTGGGCTTCCTTTAGCTTCTTATCGTAGTCCGATTCCATCTTGACGAGGGGACCAAAGATGTTTTGGTAGTGATACGGGTCTTCATATCGGAGAAGAACAGGCTGAGGGTCGTCCTCCACGTTGGCGGTAGCCTGGAGCGAGTGAATGGTGGCATTGGCATTCTCCTTCCACGCTTCCTCAAGTTTGGCCATCATGGTAGGTGTCAAATGGCGGGCGCGCAACTGTTCAGCATCCGAGGGAGAGCGACAAGCCAGGTGAGGAACGCACGCTCCTCGATCAGGGGCTGCCATCGAGAAACGTCCCAGCTGATATCCTTGTTGGACGAGGTCGCCGCACATGGCTGGCGGCAGAGCAGGACGACAACGGAGTCCGACTTGGCGGGGATAAAACCTAGAAGGAAAACGTTTTTGGTCCCGCAGTTATAGCACTCGAGCGTGGTATCTCCCAGCGCAGATTCGGGGTGGAGCTGGACCTCCTTGTGGCGCGCGCGAACAAGATGGTTGATAATGTGGGAAGCGGCGCTGCTGCCCGCGCGCTGCAGAACCATTTGCTACATGCCAGGCACTTGACGACGGAGGCCGGGGAGTGGATGCCACAGTATCTAGACAGGAGTCGGTGAGCATCGAAGCCAACGTGGAGCGCGCAAGGCCAAGAATATGGTGCTATTGGGAGAAGGGCGGTGGTAAAGGAGGGGCCTAATATAGCTATTTACTTACGCGCAAGCATGTTCCGGGAGGTTATATTCGTCATCTGCTCCGAGGTTAAGGCTCTTCATGCCGTCCACAGGCGCGCTGGTCAAGCTGTCGACGTCGTCGTCGTCGTAGAGCTCGGTCTGGTTGTCATCGTCATCGTCTCGGCGACGCCCGCCCATAGCCGCATGCTTACGGTAGAGCAAGTTGTCTTCGGGATCGAGGTTTGATAAGTCATCGGCACCGGCCTTGATCGTAGCGGCCGAGTCAGAGATGAGATGATTGCCGAGGTGGGTAAATGCGCCCTCCATTGTGCAGGAGATATTCGATGGACACTGGGCGGCTTTTTAAACTAATATTCTCGGAACTAAGAGGAGGAGAGAGCAAGAGAAACAAAAGTTAGCCGGCGCACTGAGTGGCGGAGAGGCAAAGAGAGGTATGAGGGATGGAACCCGGCACATCATTGCTGTGTTCACAGGTATTCAAGGAGCAAGGGACGTGATAAAGCATAGTCTTACCTCTCCGAGTGGGAAAAAAGTGTCTCCCCTGTCTTTGCGAAAGGGGAGAGCAAGATGAACTCTGGTTCTCGTGGGTGTTGTTGGTAGGGAAGAGGAAACCAAGGTCGACCACTAATCACATTCTCGCGGTTTTTCGCCTGCTAGATCCCCACTAAGGGACTTCGTCGGGAATGTAATGGAGAGTGCGTCTGGGGCCGGATGCAGACGGGCGTTGCTTGCATGTAGAGTCTAGTTTTTTTATCTTCGCGCTGAGGCGAACAGAGGGAAGGCTCGTTGATATGGAATGCTCGTTTATTAGCGAGGGATGCGGCAGGTGCGAGTTGCGGGCCAGAAAAAAACTACAGGTTCTGAACGCTGGACCGAGAATTTTTGGTGCGCGATTGCCCAAGAATGTCGAATCAACAGTTCTCAGTGTAATGGAGCTCTGGAGTGCTAAAATACAGGCAGGGGGTACCTTCCCACCCACTAAGAGGGCGCTAAAAAGCCGAACCCACCATTGAGGAGGATCAATCATTTGCACGAATCCTTACTCATGTCCAGTGCGACCTCCATCTGGATCTAAACGTATCTACCATTATGAAGTAATGACTTGCACTCAAGCTCACTGTTGTGTAGCTTCTTGGAGCAGGACAAGTACTATTTTCTCCTTCTGCAAGCTAAAAATACGACTTCAGCTGGGGCAAGGTACTTCAGCTCGAGGCCACCCCACATTGAAATCACTTGGCATATTCTCGGTAAAACTGATAAGGATACTGTCGCTTCTTATCTTATCGATAAAGGACAACTTTTTTGGCAGGTGGAGGGAATAATTTTGCTAACATTGGTCGTTGGCCAACACACTCTTTAGACGACAAGACGACCAGCCATCAAGCTGTAGACAACCACCCGTTTCACCATGATTGTAAGCCCTCCTTCGAAATTCCAAAAGAAAAATAAAAGACATGTATCGAATATAGCCCAAAAATAGAAACTAACCCTGAGAATGCAGCGCAAACAAGCTCGCCAACGGCGAGACTACCTCTACCGGAGGGCAGTTATCCTCAAGGAAGCCGAGATTAGCGAGAAGCGCGCCAAGTTGCGGAGCGCCATAGCCGCCGGTCGATCGATAGACTCCTCGGTTGCTCAAGATAAGGACCTGCGAAAAGATTTCCAGTATGACGAGTCCAGGCAGGATCTGGACGCCAATGAGATGGCCGACCTCGACGACGAGTACCACCTCTCGGGTATCCAGGACCCGAGGATACTAGTAACAACCTCCCGCGATCCTTCCAGCCGGCTTGCGACCTTCTCCAAGGAGATCAGGCTCCTTTTCCCGACCTCCGTACGCCTTAACCGTGGCAACCTCATCTTGCCGGACCTCGTGAGGTCATCCCAGGGTGCTGGCCTCACCGATATGATCCTCCTCCACGAACACAGAGGCACCCCGACCGCGCTCACCATTAGCCATTTCCCCACGGCCCCACGGCCTCGTTTTCTCTGCACAACGTGGTCCTTCGTGGCGATATCCCCGGCAGCTTGCGCGGCACCGTGAGCGAACAGTTCCCTCGCCTCATATTCGATGGCTTCGAAACCCGCCTTGGCCAACGCGTGACCAAGATTCTAAAAATCTATTTCCCCCGGGACCCTCTCTCCGATAAGTCCAAGATTGGAAGTCGTGTTATAACGTTCAAGGTTTGTACATTCTAGACCTCTCATTCTTGCGCTCTTGGCGAATCGCAGCTGACACCTGAGATTGGTAGAATATTGAGGACAGCGTAGAAGTGAGGCATCACGTTTTCGTCAAGACTTCGTATGATCGTGTCGAACTCGCCGAAGTTGGCCCTCGAATGACGATGAGGCTGTTTGAGATTCGCTCCGGCACCTTGGAGAACAAGGATGGGGATGTCGAGTGGCATCTGTCGCAATATACGAGGACGGCAAAGAAGAAGAATTACCTTTAAACTAAGAGGAAGAAATGGAAGCCGAGATTCTCTCTTCCCCCACTTTCCTATCTCTTAGGTCAGTGGAGGAACCAATACCCCTGGATCCTTTTAAAGAGGATCGCGAGAAGGGTTAGCGCCTCGAAGCAGTCATAACCAGCAGCCCAGGCCAGCATGCCGAACTTCACCACGAGGTATTCTGCCACGAGGCCTTTTGTTATCCAGGCAAAATTTGGACTGCCATCTCTATCCAGCTCTGGCGAACTATATCCTAGCACTCGCCTTTTGTTCGGGCCCGGCGGCGTCACTATCTTACATTCATATATCATTGGCCCTGTCATTGTATCAAAACCAGCGTAGGGATACGTCTCGTACGTTAGGTTTCCAGGGAGAAGGAGGCGTTAGATGTACATGTTTGGGGGATGGCACCTAAGACACCGGTGGCTATCAAAACCCCCTTCGGCCTTTGTTTGTCGATTGCACCTGGAAGACGGGACAAAAGAGCATCGTAGAGTCGTCCTTTTAGGAGTTTCAACCAAATCACTTTGCAGATTGGCAATAGCCACTTTGTTTCGAACTACCTGTGTGAGATCACAAAGTATGAATTCCATTGTATTTCAAGTCTCAAAAGCTGTCTGTCTCACGTTTGTTCTTTCCCCATTGATCCATGGATATATCTCTATCTCGTTTCGCATGGGAAGAGGGCCCTATACGACGTGTAGCTAGCACGCTGGAGAAATCGTCCAAAAGTTGGATAGATACACTGGTGTACAATGTTCGTTCTTCTGAATTCTACTCGTAAATTCTACTCGTACAATTTTTATTACTCTCCCTCCTTTACCAAATAAGAAACAAAGAGAGCGAGGTATTAATATGTACAAAGGACGCGAACGGCCGTGGCGTCTTGAGGACAGGAAACACTACGGCCTAGATGCCTGTTTCCAACCCTTCTTGGCTTCTCCTTCTGCCTAGATGTTTCCATGATTGCATTCCCCATGAAAAAGATCGATATAAAGTCGCGGCCGGTCTATGAGACGCCACCTTTGACCGGCCAACATGCATTCATGTTCCCCTCCTGTTGGTTCAGAATGCCCGAATCTAATTTGAAGAAAAGTAAAAGAGAAAAAGGACAAGAAAAAGCGCGATAGGGTGGCCGCCGGGAAAGATGTTAGAGGTGGTAAAGGACAAAGGAAGAAAAGAGTGTGCCGTAAGCCTTATCCAGAGTGGGCTTTCTTGCCGACCTCAGGATGTGTACACGTAGGTGGGATGATACGTTCTTGCACATGCGCGGGTGCATGTGAATGGGTAGATATGTTGAGGATTCCTGCCGTCATTCGGTTTATACCAAGTTGGCGGACCTCACCTTGCTGACAAGCTCGGGATACTCCTCTTGAATCTTGAGCTGGCAAGCGGTGGCCTCACTATACGACAAAGCGTTGATCATCTCGAATTCGGTGCGGGCGAGGTCAGCAGCACGCCTGAAGTAGCTGAGCGCCTCGGCAATGTTGCCTCTTTGGAGGAGGAGCTGAGCCATGGTGGCGACGGCGATATCACACTCGGGGTCGACTGAGAAAAAAGAGGAATTCATGTTAGCACTCTATACCTGGTACGCAAGTGGAGGAACCTCTCAAAAGGGAGCAAAACTTACTATCGAGAGCCTTCTGGCAAAGCTTCTCGGCTTCGGCGCTATCTTGCTTCATCTGGAAGATGGCGAGAGACTTGTTCACGAGGGGAAGCACGTTCATGGATCCGGGAGTGCTCTTGCTCTCCAATTCCACGGCAGTCTCAAACTTCTCGATAGCCTCGTTCACCTGGCCCATATCCAGCAGGAGCTCTCCGTAGTAGTTGTAGACATCGGGGCACTTGGGGAAGTTCTTGACGGTCCTCCTAAAGGTAGCAAGGGAGGAAGCCATGGAACCCATCTTGTACTGCGTCACACCAAGTTGGATGTGGGAGAAGATGAAGTCACGGTCAAGATCCATCGACATCTGGTAGTCCTTGGCGGCCTCGGCGAACTCGCCCTTGATGAAGTGCAGCTGGGCACGGTGGTAGTAGATATCGGGATCCTTGTCGTTGACGGCGAGGGCGGTGGTGAAGTCCTCAAAGGCCTTGTCGGCATCTCCCTGCTCTAACCTCATGCTGGCGAGTTTGATGTGAGACTGGGTCATGGAAGGGTCGAGCTCGATTGACTTGGTCAAGTCGGCCATGGCATCCTCGTGTGCGCCGAGGAGGCAGCGGAAGGTGCCTCGCATGTTATAGGCAAGACCACCGTACTCGCCCAGGTCGTTGAGCTCAATAGCCTTGTCAAAGGCCTCCTTGGCTTCCTCGTAGCCCTGGCTAGTCTTCTGCTCGAGGGCACGGAGGCCAAGACGAAGCTGTTCCTTTCCGGAGCCAGCAGGCAACTCGGCAGAATCTTCGAGACCGGCAGGTCTAGGCTTGGCACGGAAGCTAACAAAGTAGTTGTTGACAAAGGTGTGACTCGGCAGCGTCTGCTTGCGATCGGCCATGCGCTTTTGCGCCTCCTCGGTGGCTACGACCTTGAGGAGCTTCTCGACGGCGTTGGCGGCGGCCTGGTTCTGGAAGTTATCAATGATGCAAGCGAGAGTATACCCGACGAGGGCGTCGCGGTACATCTTGAGCTCTTCGTAGGCCTTGGCGCGACGGTTAATGGCCTTGAGGTAGACGCGGTCAATGCTCAAGGCAGTGGTGGTATCATCAACGACCTTTTCCCAGTCGGAGAGGGCGCTGTAGCACGCGGCACGGTTGGAGTAGTAGATGGGATCTTTCCGGCAGATGATGGCTTGCGAGTACAAGTCAATGGCCTTGTTGTAAGCCTTGTCGCCATAGGCCTTGTTACCAGCTCGCTTCAGACGGTCGGCGTACTCATTGCGTTGTTCTGTCGTGAGCTGGGCAACCGATTCCTCATCAATGGTGGGAAGGTCATCCTCGGACTCAACGGCTGCCGCCTTGGGCTGCTCCTTGGTGGCCTTCTCCTTGGACTCGGGCTGGGTCGCGGTATCGTCTTGTGTCTCGGCTGCCTTCCGTTCGGCCTCTTTTCTCTTGCGGCGCTCTTTCTTGGAGAGACGAGGTTCTTGGGGTTGGGACTTTGATGGAGGAGACGGATACAAGGTTAGCCGAAGGAACAATGCGGATACTTGGAAAGGAGGTATCCAGGGGATGGAAGTTTTTAACATACAGGAGAGTTGAGATAATAAACAACGCCGGCGCCGGTGAAGACGACGGCAACACCAGCAATGGTGTACACTACGGTCTTGTTTTCGGATGCCCAGCTAGTTATGCGGTCCCAAAGGCCTGAGGACTGGTCGACCGGGATGGCCACGGTCGGCTGACCAGGAGGAATAGAGGGGAGGGGATTAGACATGATGACTGTCAAAGAGAAGAGAGGAAAAGGAAAAACTCGCGACTTCTAACCGAGGAAGTCACTAATAGAGTCGCCAAAGAAGGAATGAATGAAGAAAGAAAGGGGGGCGTCGGCAAGTGGATGGACCTCAATGGGCGATGACGATGGGAGATCGAGGATAAATTTTCCGTAGATAAAATCGTCTGGAAAATCGTGACGCGAAGTAGTTCCGTCAGCCGAGCTTTGCCAGCGCTGGAGTGAGAAAAAAATTCCCCAAGCTCCCCGTCGAAGGCCATGGAGGCTTTGGCCATTGATTACCACGGCATTGCTCACCAAGACAGACGAGCACAAGTACCGCGAGTGGAGCCCCGAGGTACCAGACGCAAACCCTTAGTAGCCCACTCCACGATCAGGGGTTCGCCTTATACATCATCGTTTGCCCTTGGTACAGCACCAGCTTCCTCCCACATCCACGAGAGCCGATGACTAAGGTGGCCTGACGTAGGATGTGGGAGGCAGAGAACCAATCATAAAGCTCTCGTTTCCCCCTTGTACTTGTACGTTGACCTGCCTCACCTGTCGAAACCGGCCAGTCTTTGGCCGACTCGGACACCTCGAGACAAGGAACTTTCAATCCAATGCTATTAATTGCCTAACACTTGGTGTTTGTTTACTTTCCGTGCTCTATCTTGAGAGCATTATTGTAGACGATTCGCTTTGTGCCAGCGAGTGCGACTCAGCCAGCCCTCAATCATGCAAGCTTTTGTAGCTTTTTAGCTTCCGGGTGCTTTGCCCTCTGTTCGATTCAATGCTGCATACGGCTTGAAGTCTGGTTGGAAGGCTTTGTAGAGACCTGACTGATGAGCCTTTGAAAATGAGAGAGAGCTGACTTGTAAAGAGACACCGCATGCTACATCTGCAAAAGGCCCTACCTACACTCGTTCCCACCCATGTAGATTCAGTATAAATTCGGTATATACGAGGAAGCTCTTGGCTCATGGAGCCCTGGACGTTCTGGAACTAGGGATGCTGTCTACGGCCTTGGTGATGATGTCTCGGGAGCTAGACCTCAACTCCTAATTGACAAGATGAATATCCTAGTAGTCCATGGGGAATACGGGCCCTACGGCACTCATGGGTATGTTTTTACTGATCGAAAAACATCAAACCTTTCCCTGGAGCTTGCCCAGTAGGAACCCCTTGGCTCCATTGCTTAGCCAGATGAGTTCTCCGTCTACCAACGAACTGGAAGGCACGGCTTCCTCGACGGCATATCCACTACGATTCGGAGCAGAAATTAGACCACTAATCTTGAACACTCGCCAAAAGAGAGAGAAAGAAAGAGGGGGAGGGAGAACGGAAAAGGAGAACCTACCTCTCTAGAGCCCACCTTCTCGTTGTTCCGTCCTGGCCGCCACTATCCCCTTCAAGCCCCCACCTCGCTTTCACCGGGGCGTAACCCACCTCTCCTGCCTCCAAAAGTATGGCGTTGTCACGCTCCCCTCCATGACGCCCCCGTCGTCTGCGGCTAGAAGCACCTCCTTTGGCTCCCCGAGCTTGATCCCCGCCCTCTCCCTTGCCCCGTTGTACATGGCCCTCCGAGTCGTTTTGTAGTGCGTGAACTCGGACTTTTCCGTCTCGTCCCCGTCTAGAAAGACCGTAAACGTCGGCGATGGGGCTCCCGCCATGCCACCGCCGGCTGCTTCTACTGGGGCCGCAAGACCCCGGGGAAACAAATCTTCCATCTGCTTTTCCGTCTCGCCCGAAGCTTCCACCTCTATCTGCCCATCCTGGCCGACGAGGATGCGTACGCGCGCGTACTCTCCGCTTCGGCCCGCAGCCGTCACCGCTTGTAGAACTGCGGTTTCCAAGCGGGCCAAGGCGGCGTCGCCGGACAGCACGCCTAGTGCGGCGGTCCAGTCCCAATACGTGGCGGCGCGCAGCATCCGGTCGCGGTGGAAATCTAGCATGTAGCAGGAAGAGGCTCTGCGGTAGTTCCACCCTGCGTGGGCGAAATTCGGGTCATTGTGAAGTGCCTCGAGCTTCGCGTCGTACCGGAGCGTCGTGAAGATGTGGAAAGGCTCCATCCTTGGTGCGAGCTGGCGTTGCTCTTTGGACGGCAAGCGGGTTGGTTGACCTGGCCGAGTTTAAACAAAGCGGGGGCGGGGAAAGTTTTGGACTGCGGAGGCTGTTAGATGTGAAGATGACACGAGAGGTTAAGATTTACATATGGACTTAGTTCAAAGACTTCGGATTCGTTTGCTGTGTGTGGTTTTTTTCTTTTTTTACGGAAAGAAATCGTAGATAGCTTCAATGGGCAAGGTTTCCCGTGACCAACTTGTCGCATGTAGCAATTGATCAATGAGGTTTATTATGACTCAACCTCAGCAATGGCATCTGTAAGCTCTAGGGTCGAATTGGGCGGCCGATGATATCCATCTACGGAACTGCCCTACATCTATTATAGTGTTTTTACCCCCTTCCAATTACATGATGGATCTATTTCATTCAGATACTTTTAAATGGACAGCGACACTTGAGCCGCCTCTCCACGGTCTACCGATTTTACTTTGCGTAGCTTTAGATCTCCTGTGCGGATATCTACGGCGGAGTCACGTCCATGGAACAATGTCAAAACCACGCCCTTTGGACAGACAATAAGACCAGTAAGATGCAGGCAGAGATATATGGAGATATATGGATATTTGCCCAAACACCAATGGATGCACCGTCTCTAATGCTACATATGTTAGGATCCATTTTGATGGGAATGATATGCACCTGAGGGCGATATGCTCCCGAAACCGCCCATTACGCCTTAAATGAACTTTTATAATATACAAGCCGGATGGCTTTGTCCTAAAGAAGAAGAGAGAAACAAAGGAGGATGGCGGCTCAAACCCCATCCCAAGTCTCTCTCCTCCTGTTGCCTTGCCTTTGATGGCCGGGGCCGTTTCTACTTGGGCTATCACTCGTTTCGCTGAGTTTTAAGCTCTGGCTTGGGCCGCTTTAGCGGATGGGCCTCTGTATTAAACACATAGTCATCGAGACTGACGACGTCGGGCGGAGAGAAGATGAGATAGAAATACTTGAGGGTCTCGGAGAACCAGAAACTCTATATCATCCAGTCAGTTACTATCCATGAAAAAAAAAGAAAAACAAAAAGGGCGAGGGGGTTATAGCCGGACTGAAGCCGTCGCTAGGATTTCAAGGAATTTGGAAAGGGCAAGTCGTACCTCCATAGAATCGAGCTTTCTCGTCTCTCCCTTTCTTTGACATCCGCAATGGCCGAGTTCGCGAGGGTAGTCGCGGTCGCCGTCTCGATCGCCTTGAACATCTTCCACGCAATATCGAGGTATTCCTCTTTGCCCGTGATGCGGTACGCATAAAAATGCTCTCGATCGCTTCGGGTCGGAGAAGGTACCGAGCATCCTTGATCCACTTGAAGCCTTCCGGTAGCCTCCTCTGCGTGGTCTCGGTTGAGGGCTCCTCCTCGGCGTCGGGCTCGCAAGGTCCCAGGTTTGTCGTTTTGCAGGGCAAGAGCTGGAAGACCTCGGGCATCAGGCCCGTGGGGAAGCTTTCGTACGCCCACGCACACCCGCGGGCGAGCTGCTCGCCGTAATCGACATAGTCGTCCCGGGAGAAGAGCCTGCCCGCGAGGCCAAACATGCCGCCGGCGAAGCAGGTCAAGTGCTCGCCCTCGGCAGTGAGCTCCGGCTCCGCATCCTCGCGAAAGGGAATGACAAGCCGGCCGGAGAAGAGTATGGGCGCGGTATCCTTGACCATGGGGCGGAAGAGGAGGTTGTCCCGCGCGGTATCGAGCGAGGAGATGGCCATTTTCTTGTAAGTCGGATCCAGGCCGCCCAAGAGCATGTGCATCTTTGGCAGGTATTCGTACAAGGAGTCGGCGCGGCCGCCGAGGGTAAAAGACCTCCCCGGGGCCTTTTCCCTGCGGAAGTCGATCTCGATGGGCCACATGCCCGGAAGCATGGTGCTGTTCTGCAGTTTCTCGAACACGTCCTTGATCCTGTCGATGGCGTCAAAGTATTTATCGTTCCCCGTCAGCTGCGCGAGTCGCGTGAATTCCATGGAGAGCGTGCCGGGGGCAGCCGACGCATCATTGTCCCCGCCACCTGCGAGCCCGAGCGGGCACGGCTAAAGTCCAGCCAAAAGGGCGGCATGCGGTTCGGCGTGTCAAAGGACATGTATAAAAGGTCGCCCAGCTCCACGGCCTTGGCCAAAAGCGCCGGCTGGTGGCTGAGATCGTAGGCGCTCAGCAGGCCGCCTAGATGCCGAATGGTCGTCTCGAAGACGTTGAGGCTTGAGTCCTGTGTGCTCGCCCAGTCGAGCTTGGCCACGGAACGCAAGGCCTCGGAGAACTCCCTGTCGAGACCCATGATCCACAGGGTATCGAGGCTGTCGACGGCGGTGGCGGCCCATCCTCCAAACGTAGTCTTGGGGGCGCCGGAAACGGGCGCGAGCTCGTCTTGCATCCACGCCAACTTCCTATACGACGACCACCCCTCAGAAGGTGGAGCGAACTCTCTCGCGTCGGGCGGAGAGTTCATCCTTGGAGATGCCGGCTGCGGGGTCGGCGGCGAAGGCGTGCTGCACGCGGGGCAGCTCGAGGGGATCGCCCGTGGGGAGGGTTCTATACGACTCGACGGGGTGGGCTTGGGGAAAGTTGGACCAGTCGAAGCTCGAGCGGCGGACGGGGACGCCCTCGAGAGGGTAGTGATAGCCCCTGAAGGATATGAGGGTTTGCGCCGTGAAGTAGAAGACGAGGGCACCTAGAATGAAGAAGAGCACCCGCGAGCGCCGGAAGCCGGCCATGTTCACAACTCGCGTTTCCGCAGGGCCCGGAACCCCGGAACTAGCGGCGGCGGCTCAAATTAACCCTGCGTGTGACGTGACACCTCGAGCGGCCGGGTGGGCACGGCCATTGAAGGTAAGATGGGAAAGAGAAGGGAGAGGGAGCAAAAGAAGAAAAAGAGTATCACTCAAAAGAAAAGTGGAGGAGTCAGAAAGGCATTTAAAGAGAGACAGAAATTGGCAAATCCGTCTTTTGGTGTTGAGAAGGGTCGGGGAATCCTCTTTGCAGGGTTCAAACGCAGGGCAGAGCGGGCCAGGGCAGGGTTGGTTCAAGGTTCTACAAGTACAACATATTCCGCTGACACCGCCGTATTATTACAAGTTTTTCTGAATCATTCATCCATTCCATCCACACAATATTGGGGACGGAATGATTTTCGCTCGCCTAGTCGATCAAGCTCCAGGGGTTGGGGCGGAATGTTGGGGGAGAGGGGAGGGAGGCTTGATCAGCGGTGGGCTTGGGTTTCGGCCTTGCCAAGCTTAAACTCGGGAATGTCGAGGCTTGGCAAACCAGTCGCCGTCTGTTGCTGAGCCGTTGCAGAAAATGGCTGCCAAAGTGATCTGGATCGAAAGGATTGGATGGAACCTCGCCTGCTGTCCGTGAGTCCCCAGATCTGAGGACCGGGATCAAAATCAACCACCAGTCTGGCAACCGGGCTGAACAGTGGAGCGGTTGGTGGTGGGCGGGAACAAGAAGAATTGTTCGACACTACACCACGGAGGGAATGGATGAAATGGACCTAGGATCCATTCTATCCAGACGGATACCCACCCAAGTCGTGAAAGAAAAAGCGATACTGCAAAACCGATCTACCTTGCCACGATGGATTCGTATGTCACTATTTACCAAATCTGATAGAGATTATACATGTACTTCCAGCTCCCTGTTAACTGAGTTCTTCATGTCTGGAAAGCTGTATTATTAGTGGTTACCACAGCTTTTTGCCAGACTTGATAGGGTAGATTGGTTTTGCGGTGCCGTTTATTTCTTCCACGACTTGCCACCATCGTGCCAATTCATCGAACTAATCATTGCTTCTTTTGGTCGCACAATGATGCAGATTTTCAGTAGTGTCTTATGAGCCCGTCGAGCACGACCTGAAAATCCCCGCTAGATAGCAGAGCACTCGCGGTCGATATTCGTCTCATAGTTTGATCAGTCTACGATCAATCTTTGCTGGGGGACTGCTTCCGACAGCTTGGATGGAGGAAATGGGCAAAGGCATTTCAGCTTGAAGAATGCGGAGGGAGGTCCCGGGCCTAGGTCGGGTTCGGGAATCACATCTATGGATGCAGGGCGACTCTATGAAACTAGCCTAAATTCAACGTCCAACAGAGGTCTCGTCTCATAATTATACAGGTCGATGGATCTAGCCGCCATCCCTCCCACCTCCGTTTCGTACCTATCGATCAATGTTTGCCAGTCCGTCTTGTGATACCAAAACACCGGGGGAACCAAGAAAAAAAGAACAAAAGGAGGTTAAGAAAAAGAAGAAGAAAAAGACAGAAAGAGGTGGGACAAAATAGGAACACACGAGGGTTAAACCAAAGACAGAGATGCTGAGCATCAAATCTCAAAGATTTCGCCGACACCCTCGCCAGCACCTCGACGGTTCTCGATGAGGTCTAGCCGCCACCCTACCCAATTTTTGAGTCCTCTCTTGACCTCCTTGATCCTTTCTAGTCGCCTAGTGTTCTCCTCGGCCTGCGCTTTCCTAAAAGCGGTCTCGTCGAACTCTATGCCGTCATCGTCATCAGGAAGGAAGTCATCGTCGTCGTCTGCGCCGGTGAGGGCGTTGATCCCGCTTGCGATGAAGTCTCCAATGCCGCCGCCCCGTGATGTTTCTTGTGACTGGGTGAAAGCATGCCGCCCGAGCCGAGATCAACGTCTTGGAAAGAGACGTTGTGCTCCCCACCCTCGAGCTCGCGCCTCCTGTCCTTCCAAATACCGCGGCGCAAGTCGTGGTTCTCCGCCTCTAGCTCCCTTATTCTCTTTTCGAGATTCGATCGGCCCTCGTCTACGAGCTCGTCGACGGCGTCATCGTCGATACCGCCGTCCAGGGACTGCCTAGACTTGAGCTTGGCCTTTTCCGCCTCGAGGTGCTCCGTTTTGGACCGGAGGTCCCTCACCTCGCCGTCCACCCGCTCCTTTTCGCGCCGCAGAGCCTGGCTCCGAGAATCCTGTTCCCGGTGGAGAGTTGTAAGAGTGGCCACTTTTTGCTCGAGGGCGTCTACCTTGGTTTCCAGGTCTGCTCTAACGGCGAGTTGGTCGGCGAGTTCGTGTTCCACCGTTCGAAGTTTGGTCGCTACGCTCGTTTTCTCGCTGCTGTCCCTGACTGCCTTCTCCGCCGTCCTGTCGAGGTTGCGTCGAAGGTCACCAAGTTCCTGCTGGGCCGAGGCTGCGGCACGCTCCGCCCGCGCCAGCTTTCCCTCAAGTGCCCCGATTTGCTCCTTTTCCGAGGACATGCCCGACGAGTGCCGGTCTAGCGCGGCCCGTAGTTTGGAGAGCTCAAGCTCCATGGATTCGATGGTGGCCGACTTGGAAGCAAGCTGCTCCGCGAGGTCTTCGGAGGAAGCGTCCTTGCCATGCTTCGATCGGGAAACTTGCTGCTGAAGTTGCGCATTTTGCCGTTCTAGGGACGCAATCTGCGATTCCTGCGAGGAAAACGAAAAAAATACCCGAGTTAGCAGTAGTCCTCTCAAGCATGAAAAGAGAGCGGGGCGTCGAGTCGTCCTTTGCCCGTGTGCCATGTCCATCCCAAACTGTGAATCCCAACCCAACGCAAAGGAATACTTACGAGCTTCTCAACCTGGCCGCCACCTGCGCCAGTTTCCCTGGCGGGGAATCAGCCTCCCGCAGCTCCTCGAGCTCCTCCTCCGCCTTCTTGCGCCTCCTCTCGGAATCCTGAACCTCCTTGCCGAGACGTTCATTCTCCTTTTCCAACTCCTCGATCCGCGCCACATTCTTCCTGTATATTTCCGGCGCTGTCGTGCCGTCGGGGCTCGAGAGTCCGGGCGAGAGCGGACCGGAACCCTTGCGGAAGCTCGACGACCGCATCTTGGACTGCTGCGCGAGCGACGCGGGATCTTGCGTCGGGGACGTGGGCGGTTCGGCGGACTCGGCGGGCGCATCCTCCACGGCGACGTCTCCCTTCTCGGGCTCGGCTTGGGGCGGGCTCGGCCGCCTTGGCCTCCTTCTTGGCTTCCTTCTTCGCCTTTTGCTTCCTCAAAGCCTCGGCCTAGAATACCAAAACCGTTAGCAGGTAGGTCGCGGGACATAGGGCTGGAGGGAGGGCCACGATGCCAGCACGTGCCTTCTTCTTCATGGCCGCCAGCTTCTCGGCCTTGGCCTTGTCATCGAGCTCGCCCATTGTGGCGGGAGAGATTCTCTATCTCTTTTCGAGACGGATAAGAAAGAGGAAGGGGAAAAAAAAAAAAAAGAAGAGTGTATATAGAATAAACTTGCTACGTCAACAGGGGAGCTGGCGTTTTGGAGGGAGAAAAGGTGAGCTTTGGAGATGCGAAGCTCGAAGTAACACTCTAAAGTTTAGTTACGAACGTGCTGAAATCGATAGCTGTCCGTTTCGCGAGTCCACGCCTGCACTCCAGCCCATCAGGTACCTTTCTCCCACTGACACAGTGTCAATGCCTCACACCTTGGCTCCCTTTGGCCCACCATCCCTCCAAGGTACTTTGGTACACGAGACCATGCTCGCCTCCTTGCATCAAGGAAAGGTACCATGCTTGTATCGGGGCCCGACTCGCGGCGAGGTTTGCTGTGCAGTGACACAGGAACAATTACATCACGATGCTGCCCTCTCTCACTCACTCTGCCCAGCCAAAAAAAAAAAAAAGAACCCGCCAAACCCCAACCAAATCATTGAGAAAAGCGCAATTGTCTCTTGTTTTCTCCCCCACCAATTCGACCCAGCACCTTTCCTTGAATCTTCCCCCGCCCCCTCTTCTCTAGCCATGTCCTCGTAGAGCTAGAATGAGGCATGCCGCTCTGCCAGATCCCCAGCCGAGCGGCCTCACTCTCCGCCGTCGCCGCCGGCTCACGCCCCATCCACCACCGGGCCCCTTTCACGACCTCGACATGTCGCCTCGCCGACCTACATGAGGACGGCAATTCGTCGCACTACGATGTCCTCCAAGTCCCCCACAACGCCTCACCCGCCGAGATCAAACGGTTCGTCCTTTTTCCCTTCAAATCCCTCCAAACTCATTCTCCATAGGCACCTAACCCCCTCCTCGACCAGCTCCTTCTACGCCCTTTCGAAAACACCACCCCGACCACAACCCCTCCGACCCCCACGCCTCCCGCCGCTTCGTCCGCGTATCCGAAGCCTACTCCGTCCTCTCCGCCCCGGCCAAACGCGCCGCCTACGACCGCGACATGCGCCACTCCCACGCCCATACCCACCAGCCCACCTCGCCCGCGCACCACTACGCCTCGGGTCCCGCCGGCGGCCGCCCCGCCTCAGGCCTAGGCCGGAGACGGCCCATCGTGAACTCGACGCGCGGCACATTCAAGGGCCCTCCTCCGAGCTTCTATCGCCAGGGAGGCTGGGGCGACCACCACGAGAAGCGCAAGGCGGCCCATGACCAGGCTGCGACGGCAGGCGCAGGTGGCGCCTCAACCGCGAGTAGCGGCCTAGGAGGCATGGGGCCTGGCCAGCACCCGTTTAGAGACGAAAACCACGTGCCGCATTTTGACAATGCGTCGCACAAGCGCACGCACCAAAAGCAGGACCAGAGGCGGGCCTCACGACGAATGCCAGATGAACCCTCCATAGGGACCGGTGGGGATTCGCCCGTGGCCTTTGTTGTCATCGTTAGCGTCATCCTAGTGGTGGCAAGTCTTGTCCCGTTGTTATTTGCTCCAAGAGAGACACCCAAGAGGAGGCCGAAGAAGCAGCCAGCAAGGAGCAGTCCTAAGCCTGAGTCTTGAAGATAATGTGACTAGCCATATTTTGGGGAATATAGAAACCATCGTCCAGCAGAGGATGTCATGAAACAGTAGCTCGACCACACGGTAACACTGGGCTCACAAGGGGATTTCAAAAGTGAAAATTAGACACATAATTGTTTTACTCTTAATCCGTTCACATTTGTACGCCCCTGCTATTCTACAATCAAAAAATCGGGGAAGCGAAAACGCAACTAGAGCTATTGCTTTGGAATACACAGCTCAGCCTAGCATCCTAAGCCCGGAAAGCTTGATTTTGGTAAAGTCACTTTTCGTTGCATCACCAAGATCCATGGGATGGGCTAAGTATTTAGGACTCGAAGGTGAAGCTGGCGCCAACCTTGTGGGTGGCCTGGTCGAGCTTCTGGGTGTCGACGGAGGCACCGAGGCCAAGGGTGACACCCTCGCGGAGGAGGACGTTGTAGCCAAGAGCGACGATACCGCGGTCGTTGAGTTTGACCTAGAACATGTTAGCATGGCGCGGTAGGAAAAACCCGCCCCGTTCGGTGAGTTGAGTCGCCCTTCAAGCCCGAGACACTAGAAGACAGCAAAAGAGGGAGATGAAATGGGGTAAAAAAATGGTCACGTACCTTGGCGAAGGAGACGGGGTCGATGCGGTACTTTCCGGCGAACTCAATACCGACGTTGCTGCCGGTCTTGGAGTTCCAGACGGCCTTGCAGCCACCCTCAACCTGGCTGTTGACCTTCTGGTAGAAGGAGGCACCGAAGACGCTGAGGTTATCGGTGGCGGTGACGGCCATGTTGTACGAGGGGCAGTTGTAGCCAATGGCGGCGGCGTAGGAGGTAACGGCGGCCTTGTTCACGTCGTAACCGGCGGAGGCACCAGCAAGGAAGCCCTTGTCGCCGACAACGGCATCGATGTTGGCAGTGGGTCCCTTGAGGAGGTCGAAGAAAGCACGACCGTGGAAGTTGTTCTGCTGGAAGTGGAGGTTGAACTTGGCACCCTTGGCTTGCGACGCGGGGAAGAAGGCGAAGAGACCCTCGGCCTTGAGGCCCTTGGCGAGGGCATCCTTGACCTCAACCTTGGACTCGAGGGCGTTGGCGGTGTTCCAGGTCTGGGTGAGGGTAAGGCCTGAACGCGAATAAAATATTAGCAGCTGGCTCCTCTGGGGCGACAGCATCGCCATCAAGTCAATAGGCAGCCCAGGCTGGCCCAATTGGATCTTGCTGATGCTGAGGCTTGTCTGGAATTTATCGGGTTTGCGTTTCTTGGGGCGAGATATACCAGTGGGCTTATCAGTGTACTTGGCTTCCAACTATATCCGATGAAAAAAGTTCAACAATTAGCGTCCCATCCAACACAACAAGCAAAGGGGTGATATCCTTTGGTCGGTCTGCCAAGTGGGATGCGTCCCGTCGTCTTCGCGTAGCGGTAGCCAGAGCCGCAACAGCGGTAGCGGCAGCAAAAGCAGAACGAGCGGGTCGCATCGGCACTCAGAGAGCGGACAAAGAGTAAAAGTTACGGGGAGGGAGGGTGACGACGTACAGCACCGGAGGTGGCCTTGTCATGAGTAGACTTTCCGGTGACCTTGAAGGCAACGTTGTTGGGAGTGTTGCCCTTGAACTCAAAGGTCGAGGCGGAGTTGTGGTAGAAGTCCTTGTTAATAAGCTAGAAGACGGGGAAAAGAACGCGCAAAGGTTAGCACTTGGTGTAATTGACTACAAGCAAGACCCATCCGCTTCCGATCACGAAAGCCCGAGGCCCCAAAAACGTTGCGCGCGGAGGCGTGGCCCTAAAGCCGTTGCTTTCCATAGCGTCGCGTTGTTTTGTTGGGATGGGAGAATCGAGGGATTTTGGATGGACGGATGGGTTTGGAAAAGGGCAGCTTACGTCGTTGGCCGGCTTGGCGATATCGGCGAAGTTAGGGACGGCCATTTTGAATGATGAAGGAAGAAGGGACGGAAAAGGTGGTTTAGATGGAGTGAGAAGGGATAAAGAGGGTATCAAAAAGAAGATGGAAGATGGAGAGTGGAAATGGAGATGGGAGAGATTTTTTGTTGATGGGAGTCGAAGAAGAGAGTGGAAGCTCGAGCGCCTGGCGCCAGATCGCTACGGGTGATGGGGACTTTTTCCCTCCCTTTGACCTTCTGGGCGTTTTCTTTTGGTGCACTAAAATGAAGTGACGAGGAGTGACAAGAGTTGGCAGGGCAGTGCGGTTCAACTCCGTTTCGGGTTTGAGACACCTGATTGGCCAAGAGGTGGCACGAGGGTCGGTTCAGGTACTGGGCTGGGCTAACGGAGACTTTTTCCCAGGCCGACGGGTGGTTCCATTTCTATTAGGGGAACATCGAAGCATTGAATTCCACACCAAACGCTATGCCACTTCCGGGGGCCGAGGTATTCATCTCAAGCCAGCCAGCAGGGTTCCCCAACGGTTCGATCATTGAGTGGGAATGGAATGGATAAGTTTGGACCTTACGAGTACAGTCCCGCCGTCCAGCGAATGTCCCTGAATAGATGTACTTGGAATACCAAGCAAGCTTGAAATCAATGCAAAAAATGACCGGCGGACCTATACGGGCCTAGGTCTACACAGATCTATGTGATTATTATGCTCTCGGGTTTCAGGACCATCAAGACCCGCCTTCTCCCGAGTCCGAAGCACCAGTTCCTGTACTTGATGTAGTCTCCGCAGTACAATGAAATGGGCAAGCTGTCCCACGCCGATCGCGCATTTTTATACTGCATTTTCCTCAACATCCCTCCCAAGCCCCCATCGTCCACAGGTCCCTCGCGGTTTTGCGGCGTGGTGGTTGCGTCACATACGACTGGTGACCCGATCGTTGAGATCCACTCCGCGATGCACCGAACGAGTCGAGTCCAATCACGACCGCGATGCCGGTTACTAGTCACCTCGTCCATCTGCTGGTTGCCCTTGATCCAAAGAAAAGTCATTCGATGAAGCGGGAAAATCCGCAGGTCTAATACCTCCCTTTCTATCTCTCTCTCTCCCGCTCACTGTGTCTTCCTCTGTGACTCTCGCTTCTAAAATATCCCGAGCTTGAAATTGTTCAACATTAAGAGGGCGTGCACCATCCGTTGTCCCTTGTCATTGGGTGTAGCGTCTACCATCGACCCCGTCCAATATTACGAGGACGACACTCCCAAGGTCCACAACTCAGGGGAAGCCATCAACCCTTCAACCCTGATCCCGACGTACTTGCCCCATTGCTTTGCTTTGATATCAAATTGGAGTGGAACATGTATTAATAAAGAAAAAGAAAGCTCTACTTTTGCTCCCCTAATTCCTCACTTCTTTACAGCTCCTTCTCTTCCACATCCTGCTTCCTCTCAACTTCCTGAAGCCTCCTCTCAAGATCGCCAGACCTGACCGCATCGTTCTTCATGGTAGGCACAAAGATAGGAGCGTCGGTAAACAGATACCTCATCTCTTCCAAGGGCCTCTTGGCTGTCTCGGGAAGGAAGCACCAAAAGTAGATGGCGTTTGTAAAGTTGCATACCTATCATATCCCCATTCTCATTAGTAAACGTTCTTGGAGTGGAGAGGATATATGCTCGGTCAGAGAAGAGGGGTTCCCCCTCCCCCTCCCCTTCTGGGTGATGAAGTCGGCCAACTTACAATAAAGAGGATATACCATCGCCAGCCGATGCCCGTCTTGTCGTCGAGGGCAACAGAGGTTGTCTGCGCAATCATACAGTTGAAGGCAGTGTTGACCATTGTGGCGATGGAAACGCCCTTGGCGCGGGTCTTGGTATCGAAAATTTCCGCGGGAATGATCCAGGATAGAGGACCGCACGTGGCGCTAAAGCAAAAGTTGTAGAGCCAAGTCATGACGATAAAGGCCCAGCTGGCCGACGCGTTGGTGATGCCCTCGCCGGGAGGGAAGATGGCGAGAAGGCATGTGGTGACGATGAAGGAGATGCAGTTGCCCGCGTTGCCGAGGATCAGGGGCCACCTGCGACCCGTCCTGTCCACGAGCGCCATGCAAAGCCCCTGCGCGACGAGGGCAAAGATGTTGGAAATGGCCTGGTAGCGGAGGGTATCGCTGCCGGAAATGCCAATCTTTTCGTAAATGGCGACGGAATAGTACTGGATCGCGGCGACGCCCGTCATCTGGATGGAGGCCTGGACGGAGCAAGCGATCCACAGGCGGCGAAGGCAAGACCGATCGGTAAAGAGCTCCGAGTAGGACTTGGCGGAGGACTCGTGCTCCAAGATGATGGATTCCTGGATCTGGGCAAACTCGGCCTGGACCCAGGCGTCGTTGACGTCGCCGTGGGCGTGCAGCTTGGCCAGCGTCTTGAGGCCCTCGTCGGCGCGGTTGTGGTCGATGAGCCAGCGCGGCGACTCGGGGAAGAGGAGGATGAGCAGGCCCAGGATCGCGGCGGGTATGTTTTGGATGGCCAGAGGGATCCTCCACTGCCGTTCTAGGTTATCGGCGATTCCAATGTCCGCGCCTGAACCCCAGTTAGCTCATGATCAAGGCTGCCGTCTTTTTTTTTTTTTTGCGTGGCGGGACGGGCGGTGGCCATAAGGTTGGCTAAAGAACGTACCGTAGGAGATCCATGCGGCAGAAAGAGCGCCAATGCCCAACATGAACTGCTGGAGAGATGTGACTGTCCCTCGGATGCTGGGATGGCACAGCTCTGCCTGGTAGATGGGGATGATCATGACCATGCCGCCCACTCTGGATAAGTCCCCAACGCGCGTGTTAGCCAGTGAACAGCTTCTGAGAGAGAGAGAGATAATATAAAACATGGTAGGGCGGCGCTGGGCGCTTTCCAACTTACCCGAGACCGGCAATAGCTCTCCCCGCCATCATGTAGGCAATGTTCTGGGCGCAGGTCTGGAGAATACCGCCGAGGAGGAAGACGACGGATCCTATCAAGATGGCCCATTTGCGGCCGAGCTTGTCGCCGAGGGGAGCGGCGGACATGGCGCCAAAGAAGGCACCGCCCGTGAAAACGGAGACGACGGCGCCAATCTTGGCCGGATCGTTTCCGAACTTGGAAGTGAAGGAATTCGCAGCGATGACCTGAGCGATGACGCCGAGATCGTAGCCATAGGTGAGGGACCCTAGGGAGGCGAAGACGCCCACCAGCCACTGGTAGAGCTTGGGCGGGAGAGCCATGGTTTCGTCTATGGGGATATACGCAGCGGAGGGAAAATGGCAGACAAGGGTAGGTAGAGTGAGGTGACGATGGCCAGACGAAGTTGGGGGGGCGGGGGATGCCAAAGGGGATGAGAGGGTGCCTGGGGAAATCGAGGTGAGCTGTGGACTCGTGAAGTTGGCGATGTCATTAGTTTATATGTACGTGTGAATCTTGTCTTGTGCCGAAGCCATGGTCAAAGACTAGAGCCTCTTTGCCGCGCCGCTTTTTTTTTTCTTTTTCTTTTCTTTTTCACTTTTTTTTCCAGTCTTTTGATTTCCCTTTTGCCATTCTCTCACCCTTGTCTCCTGTCGCTCCTCTAGCCCAAGGTTCGCGTCATGCTAGCATCCCCCATCCCTCCTTGGTCCATGCCATCACGGCCCATCTCTAAAGCTCCCGCAGGAGCAAGGGCCCCGCAACCCAGATTGGATCATCTTCTGTTCGAAGAGGGAAAGAAAGAAAAAAAGACCCACATGGAGTCTTGGGATGAAGGGAGCATATCCCCGCGAGCCCATCTCCAGCCATTAATCAAGGGGACCCCGGGCCCCCCTTAGCTTCCCGGTTTTCGGAATCGGAACGGCCAAGACAAAAAAACGAGACGGCGGCGGTAGACCCCCATGCGGGCTTGCGAGGAAAATTTTGGTGAGAAGCCCAACCTAGGGAAGGGGAAAAAGTTCGTCTTGAGGTGGTTTGCCCGAGCCCCTTGGCAAGACTAGGCCCGAGTTGGGTAGCCAGAGATTCCGGGGCTCTTCCTTCGGGCCTGGGCGAGATAAGCTTCGGGGCCGATTGCTGGCGGTGCCGCGAAGGAACTCGTGACGGGCAGCGGTGTCATTGGTGCGGATCGAAATCTGGTGGGCGGAGAAGGGGAAAGGGGCCCCTAGTTTTACGCTAGAAGAGGTCCTCGGTCTTCTCGATGATCTCACGGCAATGAAGTAAGTGGTGCGGTTGAATAACTGAATGAGAGGGAAAAACTCCACCGCGTCTTGGAATCCGGGGCAGGGAAGAGGTTAGAGAAATTGAGCAATGGGGAAACTCGAGAGTGGTTCTCGGCATGCGAAAAGCAGACATGGACGATTCAATGGATTCATGGACGGTAGGCATGCATCGCGTCTCCACGGATCTCTGTTGATCGAGATCTGAGAGAATATACGATCACGTATCGAACCCCCGATCGTGACTGGATCGCTGGAGGGTTCAATTAAGGCGAGCGGGAGGCGTGTGTTGGACGAGGCGCAGATTGTCGATTCGCGCGGCCAAACATCTTATTGATTCCCTCTTCTCACACGCACACAACAGACATACACTTCTCAAGATTCAACCTTTGTTCTTTCCCCTTTTCTGCATCTCCTTTCATCGCGTGCACTTGTTAGTGTAATAGTTGATTCCCAGCAAATCTAATCTCCATGCCACAAGGATGACGTTCTCGCTCAGATCAAGCCAAGAGATGTCGACTAAGGCAAACGAGATCAAAGGAGCTGGAGATGCTACAAGCGTACCAATCCAATGTTTGTCTGGAGAAGGCGCCCCACGCCCAAGACTCTAAGGCTTCCCCTCCGGCCGTTTAGGCTCACTCCGCATCGATGGGTGGATGAGATGTATCACCCAGCGGCTCCGTGACCCCGGGAGCTTCGATGCCGTGCGAGCTACTCCCCGTGTTACCAATGGAACTGCACGTGCCGTGATGGAGCTCACCAGCACTAGACGAAGACGGGTCCTGATGGATGGAGGATGGATCTATGAACGGGGAGATGAGGGGGGATCTCATCCGCCACGCTACGGTCTTGGTAATGAAGAGAGCTAGCAATACCTGGTTTTCGCTGGCCCAAATCAATTGTGGGTTTAGCTCCCTGTTCTGCTAGTGATAGCTCCCCTCCTCTCATCGCGTTTGAACCTCGTGCGCCATGACGCCAGCTTCCCGTTCCAATCGCGCGTACCCCTCAAAAACCTCCCCGCGCTTTGCGGAGGGAGGTCCGGGTGCCGGCCTTTGATTCGTGCGGCTGTGACTGCAAGGGGGTAGCGGCCCTCCGAGAACGCCGCCCGCACGTCTTGAGAGCTTGTGTGCCTGTCTCCAAAGGATGGAGGGATACAAGTCTCCAAAAAAAAAAAAAAAAGAAAAGAAGAATTAGAAAAAATAAGAAAAAGAAACTGAAAGCAGAAGGGGTCCAACCAACGTGTTGTTTCGCTTCTCCAACCCGTCCCACTGCGGGGGAAAAGTGGAAAGTAGGACAGCCCGACAAGAGACTTAGGCCGGACCCAAGCAAAGCGCAACCCTCCCGACGCGAGCTTCACCAAACTCGGACCACAGTTCCGTGCTGCACTGGCGATTCGGAGGGGACCTCTTTTTACTTCCCTTCCTCTCGCCTCTTTCCCCTAGACTTCTCTCCCTTCCTTCTTTATCTCTCACCAATTTCTGCAGTTTCGATTATTGTTTTGTGTTCTGCATCTTTCGAGTGTCTGGTGATTTTTGAAAGATACCCACGGCTTCGACCTTGACGACCTCCTCCCGCAGCCCCTCCCCCACCTCCCCCGCCAACCAACATGGCGACCTTCACCAAGATCGACGATGGCGAGCAGCCCGTCATCACCGTCAATTCCGCTCACAAAATCTCCAAGATTGAGGACAATACGTATGGAGGGTTTACAGAGTTGGTCAAGCCCCTATGTTCCCCTTCTTTATGTCTCCTTTCTTCGCATGAACGAGGTTGCCTTGGCTTCCAGCAGGATACCCCCGCTATCCGTATGATGCAAGGAGAAGCAGACTCAGGCTTACACCACACTTATTAGGCACATGGGTCGCTGCATCTACGGCGGAATCTACGATCCCGGCAGCCCTCTTTCTGACGAAAACGGCTACCGCAAGGACGTTATAGCCGCCTTCCAGGAGCTCAAATGCCCTGTCGTGCGCTATCCCGGCGGTAACTTCATCGCGACATACCACTGGCAAGACGGTGTTGGACCCAGGGAGAAGCGACCCAAGAGGTAAGAGAGGTCTCCGACCTGCCCCTTTGTGACAATATATATATGAGGATGTCGCTAATGCTCCAATGTAGGCAGGAGCTCGCTTGGCATGGAATCGAGACCAACGAGTTCGGCACCGACGAGTTCCTCAAATGGTGCGAGATTGTCGGCACAGAACCCTACCTAGCTCTCAACTTTGGCACAGGTACGTTCATCTAGAGCCGGGGGGGGACATGCTCTTTCTCGATCCAAAGATGGAGACACCTGAGAGAACAGAGTGTCTTGGTACTGATTGCTTTACACATTATAGGGACTCTCGAGGAAGCTCTGGGCTGGTTGGAATACTGCAATTCCGACTGCGACTCTTACTACGCCAATCTGCGCCGTCAAAACGGCCGCGAGAAGCCCTATGGCGTACGTTAGATCCTTCCCGCCTCCAACCCCCAACCCTCCCTATCCCATCCTTCCCGTCTCCCTTTTCCCAAGGAAACCGGAACCGTCTCCAGAGAGCTCTTCTAACACGCCTGTCCCTTTAACCGCAGGTCAAGTACTGGGCCCTCGGAAACGAATGCTGGGGCCCCTGGCAAGTCGAGCAGATGACCCAGGAAGACTACGCCAAAAGGCCTACCAGTGGGCCAAGGCCCTCAAGCTCCTCGACCCTTCCGTCGAGCTCATCCTCTGCGGCAAGGACGGCCCCACGCACTGGGACTACTACGTCACCAAGGAGTGCATCAACTACATCCAGCACGCCCTCGGCAACAACGACTCCTCCTGCCTCATCGACATGCACAGCATCCACATCTACACCGCCTCCGACGACCACTACAAGAACGCCACCGCCCCTCGTCAGGCCGAGAGGGCCATCGAGATCACCAGCAGCCTCATCGACCTCGCCCGCATCGAAAACGGCGTGCCCACCAAGATCAAGAAGCAAAAGATTTGCTTCGACGAGTGGAACGTCTGGGATCCCATCCGCGCTCCCGGCTGGCTGGGCGCCGAGGAAAAGTAAGAGAGAAAACAAGCCCCCCTCTCCCCTATCTTCTTTTTTTTTTTTCCTCTTTTCTGTTTCGACGAGCTGGGCGAATATGCTAACCGAGGGCTCTCAACGTCCCCCGCCATCAGGTATACCCTTTCCGACGCCCTCGCCGTCGCCAACTGGCTCAACGTCCTCGTGCGCCAGTCCAAGCACATCGGCATGGCCACCATCGCCCAATCCGTCAACGTCATCTCCCCCTCATGACCACCAAGGACGGCCTCCTCAAGCAGTCCACCTGGTGGCCCCTCCTCCTCTTCAGCAAGTACATGCGCGGCCACACCATCGCCGCCCACGTCCAGAGCGGCGAGTACGAGGGCCCCACCCACCCCGAGTGGATCCGAGGCACCATCGAGACCCCTGGCTCGAGGTCAGCGCTGCCGTCGACGACGCCGGGACGACCTCGCTCGTCGTCGTCAACATCCACCAGGAGATCGACTTCCGCACAAAGGTCGAGGGCATCCCCGCCGGCTCTCCCGTCGACGTCTACACCGTGACGGGCCCCAGCATCCAGAGCACAAATACCAACGGCGCCCAAGAGGTGGGCATCGCCGAGAGCCAGTGGACCGCCGAGCAGTTTTATGTGTTTCCCAAGCTCTCCATGACCATGCTTAGGTGGAAGGCTTAGCTTTACTCTCGAAGGAGCGGTTCATGTATGGCGCAGGTCAACTTGTGTCAAGTTGGGTATGGTATTGAGTGGATCTATCAGGTTGCAAGGAAATGATATCAATTGGACGGCTAGGTTATTAGATGGTTAATTAAAAATAAAAATAAAATAAAAAGAAGAAGAAAGTGAAATATGTACGGACACCGAGGTCAGCTAGGATACCAGCGAGGACTCCAGTCCCCTTCTTCGCACATCCGCACCACACGGAACCCGCCTTGCACCTTGTGTGGTAAGAAAACGAAAGCCCAAGCTCACAAGGAGACGTAGTCAGTAGCCACGGCCTTCTTGTTCTAATGCTTTTATTTATATATATATATATGAAATTCGGAAATAAGTGCATTCTCCCTCGTAGAGCCAACCTGACGCTTTCAGCAGGGCACCTAGAAAACCGGGAAAGAGAACTCAATAAATAACCAAGAGGAAATCCCCCTTTCCAACTTTGAATTTCAAATCCATATACACCTGATATCGAGGGAGTATCTTCCAAGGAACCCCGTACATCTTCCCTTTTCTTTTCTCGTTTCTTTTTTACTCGGTCGAGTTGTACTTGGCGTTGTGGATGGAGATGGCTCGTCCGCTAGGGTCGGTCTGCTTGGACCACTTGGGAGTCCACCTCATGACGGTCGAGGCGCAGGATACGGGGAAGTGCTCATCAAACATTAGTCGGTACCAGTACCTGTAAAGAAGAGGGAGAGGTGTTAGCTTCTGAAACTTTGGGTAGATAGATCAAGAGGTGGTGGGATAGGGGTGACTAGGGTGGCAAGGGTCTCAACGTACGCCTCCTTGGTATCGGGAATCTCGCTTCCCCACTCGGGCTTAGGGTTCTTCATCATCTCGTCGGTAACGTGAAGCTCGGCGTTGTCCTTGAGGGCGTCAATCCAGCCGTAGCCGACACCGTCGGAGAACTGCTCCTTCTGCCTGTACAGGATCTCGTCGGGGAGATAGGGCTGGACGTCGGGCTCGTCCTTGGTATCGAAGGCCTTGCGGAGAATGTACTTCTCGATCTTGCCCTCGGTGATCATCTTGTCCTGGGGGTCAATGTTCATGGCAGTCTCGAGGAACTGCTTGTCCAAGAAGGGTACACGGGCCTCAAGACCCCAGGCCGAAGTAGACTTGTTGGCGCGGAGGCAATCGGCAAGGTGCAGGTTCTTCACACGGCGAACCGTCTCGTCGTGGAAGGCCTCCCTGTCAGGGGCCGCGTGGAAGTAGAGGTAACCACCAAAGATCTCATCACTGCCCTCGCCGCTGAGAACCATCTTGATACCCATGGCCTTGATCTTGCGGGAGAGAAGGTACATGGGGGTGGAGGCTCGAATTGTAGTAACGTCGTACGTCTCGAGATGGTAGATGACGTCCGAGAGGGCGTTGAGACCGTCCTCGATGGTGAAGGTCATGACGTGATGCTTGGTTCCGAGGAACTTGGCAACCTCGAGCGCGGCCTTGGTGTCTGGCGCATCAGGGAGACCGATGGAGAAGGAGTTGAGTTGGGGAAGGAAGGTCAGGGTCGAGAGCTTATAATCCTCGTCGATACCGACAAGGCCTTCGCCCTTATCGACGTTGGCCGACTCGTCGTCGACAACTCCGCCGTTGGCGTCCAGCGCAGCCTGCTTTAGACGGAGAGTTTCGCGCTGGGCGATGGAGGCGACCAGACTGGAGTCGAGGCCACCGGAGAGAAGAACACCGTACGGCACCTCAGCCATCAATCGCTTCCTGACGGAGCGCTCGAGGGTCTCCTAAGGACCTTGAGGTCGACGGGGGTGGTGGGCACCCTGGACTCCTCCCACCAAGACGGCTCAAAGTATCGGGTCGTTTGGCCGGTCTTGGAGTCGTAGATGTGACCGGGAGGGAAAGCGACAATCTTGTCGCATACCGGGTGCAGGCACTTCAGCTCGGACGCAAAGTACACGGCCTCGGGTTCGGAAGATGACCAGCCCTGGTAGAAGCTGGTGACACCGATGGGGTCGCGGGCGGCAATAACCCTGTCCTGGGCCTTGTCGTAAAGGACAAAGGAGAACATGCCATCGAGGAATTTGGGGGCGGCGATGTCATGTTCCATATACTACAAAAGGGGCGTTAGCAACAACAAAAGTAGAGCCCTTTCCCCTCCCCTCTTTTTCTCACACCCGCACAGCTCGGGGATGCATGCGTACCAGAGGAATCACAACTTCACAGTCAGAATGGGTCTTGAAGTGGTAAGGGTTCTTGAGGTTCTTTCGAATGAGGCGGTGGTTGTAGATTTCACCGTTGACGGCGAGGATGATGGAGTCGTCGGCATTGGTAAGAGGCTGGGCGCCGGATTCTATGAACCGCAGGGCATAAGTCAGTCGCTGCAGGCGGTGGTTGCGCTGGCGGCGAGCACACCAGGTCAAGGGGTCTAGATGGTTGGTAGAACATACCGACACCCACAATGCTCAACCGCTCGTGGCAGAGAACTAAGTGTGAAACTGTCAATTGAAATGCCCCATTGGAGCTTATGCGAGTCAATGGCACATACTAGTGTTGTTGCAGATAACATTTCCGCCTATTGTATTGCATCGTTAGAATTGGTTCGTTGGCGATTTGATGTTTATCTCCGTGTCTCAGAGATAACTACATGAGTCACAACTTACTCCAATCGGGACCCCTGTGTCGGACGCTGTTTGATTTTTTGTTAGAGTAGGATACGACGGGGAGATGGTAGAAAGCGAACGTACGCCTTGGCGAGCTTCAAAGCCGTGGGCTTGAATTTTGGACGTCGGGGTGACTAGAATTCGTGTTAGTTGGGATGAACCTGCCCCGTTGCTCAAGGCCTTTGCTGTCCCCACGCCACGGACGAGAGATCATGGGTCGCGCAGCGCAGCGCAGCTGGTCTTGCGACTACTACTTTGGATGGCGGGGTAATTTTTCTTTGATAATTGGAAATGCCCCGCCATCCACACCACATTGTCGAACCCCCAAACAAGGAAAAGGGAAAAGGAAAAAAAACACCAGCTAAAAGACGCGGCGTTTGAACCTGGCAGCGTCAAGAGTAGGGCACGACATACCGATGGCAGGCAAAGATGCCACACATCGTTGCGATCGGGATAGGCGAGGGCGAGGAAGGCTTCGGAGAATCTCGGTTGAAGGCGGCGGGCTACAAGAAAAAACCCTTGGGAGGTGCGCAGGTGGAAGCGTGGGCTAAGCGTGGGCTGCGTGGGAGTGTAAGAAAACAACAAAGGTCCAGGAATTGGCCCTCGCAAGAGAAACGTGCAGCAACTCGGGTCAAGACGAAAACTCAACAGCCCAGGAATCGAAGACGAGGATGAAGAAAGATTGTGTCGAGGAAAATTGGCTTCTCGGAGTGTGGCAATCGGGAAAGATTTAAAGAATGCTCGGTCTTTTTTTTTCCTTTCTTTTTTTTTTCCGGTCTTCGCCCCCAAAGTTTTGAACAGCGGCCAAAGTCTCTCCTCAAGTGACCGGCCGCTAGAAACTACGAGCTGCTGCTCTGCTCCGGTACCTTGAGCCTGGTTCGAGTCACAAGATGACTCTAACTGGGTCCCAGACTTTTGAGTGGGCGGTCCACCACTGCGCACATTGATTCAATGGATCTGCGACTTGCGCTAGCACAGGGCTCTTTCTTGCACTTGGTCACTGAAGCCGTGACCTAATCCCGCGCTTTCCCCATCCCGTTTGGCTGGGAGGTATCGAACACATCTCGAACTCTCTCCCACGGACTGGCGGGCCCCGAGATCGGAATTGAAAATGCTGCCCCATCATTGGTCACACCGCACCCTACCTTTCCCAAATTGGCGATAAGGTCGATGGGACGGAGGCAAGAGGGTGTGATTAATGGCTTTGAGCACTCCCCCCTTCCAAAACCCCCAACCCGCAGAGCGTCGGATGGTGGTTGGGGCACATTCCGCCTGTCAATTCTTTGTTTGTCCTTCCCCAGATAACGCGGGACAGAGAAACGCCGTGCCACACCACACCTCTACGAGACTAGGGTTGCGCGGGCGCCTTTCCGATAAATCCGCCATTCGCAGATGACAGCCGGCATCGATAAGAGAGCTCTAACATGTACGCCACGACAACGAGATTGGGGGCTGCTGCCGCGGAAACTCGGTGAGCCTGGGGGAGGGGGTCTACGTCTTGGATGAGCTAAACACAATACATATACCCGATGGTTGACCGAATTTATCCCCATCCTTATTATCAAAGGGCTGGCATCGGCTTACTCGTTGAGCGTCCCCTCTTTCCACGCTCATCGATGCGGGCTTGCATCTCGCTGATCCCGGTTTCTTGATGCTGAGTGGGGTGAGGCATTTGCTCACTTCATGTACACCACTATGCAGCTCGACTTTCCTAGACAACCCCCTCCACGCCCATCGCGCGGGTGATGGTGCGTGGGTGTCGAGTGGCGCGAAGAGACTGGCAGACTGCTAGATATCTCGCAAAAGGGAACACTGGTTTCTTGATGTGATGTAATAACGATTAGACTTTTCCCTAGATAATTGTGTATCAATCTCTCGTGGCTTCCACTACCCACCGCAGACACCGAAGCTATTTGTCATGCGATCACGTAGAGAGAGAGAGAGATATGGAAGCCGGTGTTCGTGGCATTGCCTAGCATGGTTCCGTCTTGCTCTCTCCCATTCACTCGCTTTCCCGTCATTCTCTTGTTCAGCACACTCCTCCATCCGCTTTAAAGGAAAAAAACAAAATAGCTTGCAAGGCAGAAGAATAAATAAAGCACGTGCCCTATCCTGGTATCCTTCCAAACTCCGCGTAAACACCAGCCCGGCCCAACTCACTCTCGAGATATCACTGTTCCCAATGTAGACAGATACTCGCCGTGTAATGACACCTAAGTGGCGGGGTTCTCTCGCACTACGCGACGAATGCGCTTCTCGTATTCAGTTCGGTCCTTCTTAAAAAGATTATAGGCCTCCGCTTGGGCGGGAGAGTCGGGATTGGGGTCGTTGAGGAGGTCTTGGATTCCAAGAAGGATTTGCTTGACAGTGATCGCAGGCTTCCATGCCTCTTCCTCGTTGAGGATGGACAGACAGACGGTACCGGATGGGTATACGTTTGGATGGAACAGAGGAGGCACGAATTTGCCTAGGCCGGTGTTAAATGCATGTGTTAGCTTATCGGGAACTGACGAGGGGGTTGAAAGGGAAGTGGACCTACACTTAGGTGGTTTCGTGGGATATTCTGCGAAGAAGGTGGCTTGTTAGTCCTGATATGTGCTGTTCGCCTTGTTTTCCAAAGTACTGACCGTCAGGAAAGGTGATTGTGAGCTTGAAGAGACCACCTTCCCATATCGTTTTCTCCTTGCCAGGGATACCGCATTCCCAGACCTTCATATCTGACACCCCTTGGTTATTTCGCTGAGGCCTAGCGTAGAAACCAAACGGATGGTCGCGCCGCCATTGCTTCCTGAGATCAGGGTTAGCATCTTCACGGAAATTCACGAATAAAAGGATACTGAAGCTAGGGGGAAGGGAAAGCCTGGGTGGGACATACCGCTCTTCAAGCAGGCGGTTCTGGCAAAGACTCATCGTTGTTTAGATTGGTTCGAGGTTGAAGAGAAAAAGTGACAATGTGGCCCTTGGAGGTTAAAGGGCGATAGTGCACCTAGGGTGCGGTTTGCAGGGTTAAATGGAGGTTCTTGGAAGAGAGGGGTTGGTGAGTTGAGGCGAGGTGAAGTGAGGTGAAGAACGGTTCCGACGACGCGGTTACCAGGCACGCCAGCCTCTGATTGCTTGCCGTGTGTTCGGTTGGTAAGCGAGCAGACACTGCTACTCTACACTGGGGAAAAGCGAGTCTAAAGTCCGAAGAGGTCAGGACTGCAACGACTAACAGAGCTGCCGGAAAAGGAAGAATGGCATCGCATCGCGAAGAAGGCAGCAATGGGACTGCCCTGCCTATGGAGGGGAGGGGTACAAAGGTGTGCGGCCCACTTGTTCACTCGCCACAGTTTGAGGCGCTCTGATGGCGCAAAAGCACATGAGCCTAACCCGCCCTACCTACCCACTTGCCACCTATCAAGCACCATCACCCACTCAGGTCGGCTGTATTGATGAAAGTCAGTAAGTAGCACTGCCTTGACAAATCAATAGATCGCTCCATTCCAGAGCCTGCTCTGAAAAACTAAACTTGCGAAATGAGTTTCCTGTTATGATTCTCACGATTCGTCTATTCCTTTCCCTTTATCTTTCCGCCTCCCTCATTCGCCCATGATTAATTTTGAGAGATTTTGATATTTGCCTCGTAGCGCCTGTGTTTGGGAGAGGGTTGGGCGGTTTGGTCAAGTTCAATCTCGGACCAAACCTAGTCTAAGTTCAAGTTGATTGATTCCCTTTGATAGGGTTGAGATGCCCTGAGGAATCGAGGAGACTCAACCGTAAAATAGGGCCGGTCTAGCGAGCCCCTAGTGTAGCAATCACTAATAAAGATGATCAATCAATCTCGTCTCGTGCGGTCAGCACTCTTTTATTGTAGCTCGTGGACAAGCGTCGGCCGATTTTTGGTGTCTTTGGGGGAGCCAATGGTCTGGGGTCGAAAACCACATGCCGTCATCCCTCGGCTCATCGCAGAGACGGCCCACCCAACTCATACCAATCTTATACTTGCCCAGATACCCCCGTACGGAGATATCACCTCAAGTGCCCCAAGACCGTCCCTATTTCCGTTTCCATATAATTTTCCCCCTTGTGAATTTTTTCCCTCTCTATCGCCCTGGATCTGTGCTGATTGTACAGTAAACCCAAACTCTCCCCGCCCTTGCTTGCTAGAAACAGCCCTGGGGCCGCGGGGTTAGAAAGCGCAAGTTGCCCCTCGTGCACGTGGTTCGGCAAACGCGTCAAGAGACCAAGACCTCAACACCGGGTAGGGGCTGCAAGGGCGCCACCTCAGGGCCATGTCGGCCGAACAGAAAGTGGGCGACGCTGTCGCAGACGAGAAGAAGGAGATAGTGGCGCCGGAACCTTCGAGCATAGAGACCAAAGGGACCCCGAAGCCGGAAGTGGTCGAGGATTTTCCTGACCCGGATGAGGATGATTTGGACGATCTCGACGGTAAGACGAGTCGCGTGCCTGGGAGCTACGAGCATACAGGGGGTTAACGCTGCGATTAGAATTTCTGGACGACTTTGCCGCGGGAAAGTCTGACGGCAAACAGCCCGCGCCCCTCCAGCGCCGGTAGCGGCAGCCGAAAAGACCACGGCAGCACCTGCACCTAGCGCGAGCGTCGAGGACGACGATGCTCTTCTCGACGACGAGTTGGCGAAAGAACTCGAAAAGGGCATGGCAAGCTTCTTTGGCGGACTCGAAGGCTCGGTAAGTCGCTCCCCAACGGATAAACGCCCCGCCCTTCCCCAAGCACATTCCGAGCTGATAAGAAATATCTAGCCCGAGATGCAAAAGGAGTTCCAGGATATGTTCAAAAGATCGCCGAAGCCACTACGGATGTGGATGACGAAACTGCTTCCGCTGCTGCTACCGCCGGCGTGTCCTCCGCAGCTGGCCCGACCTCGGACGCCTCTTTCCAAGACACCATTCGCCGTACGATGGAGAGGATGAAGACTTCGGAGAACAAGACGACGGAAGATCTCTCCAAGGATGAAGGCCAAGATATGCTCAACGATCTGATGGGGCTCCTTGGGAATGGAGCCCTTGGCGGAGAAGGCGGCACCGATGATCTTAATAAGATGCTCTTGGGCATGATGGAACAGCTCACAAACAAGGACATTCTCTACGAACCTATGAAGGAGCTACACGACCAGTTCCCTGGCTGGCTGGAGGCTAATGGGTCCAAGTGCGCCGCCGACGACTTGAAGCGTTACGAGGAACAGCGGGTAATTGTGGCAGACATCGTCGCCAAGTTTGATGAGCCCTCATACTCGGATTCAAATCCTGCCCACCGTGAATACATTGTGGAGAAAATGCAAAAGGTAAGTGCGCAGAAGTAGAAGATTTGCCTATCAGTCTCTCGGCCCCTCTCCTTTTCCCCTTTTCCCTCTTCTCCCCGTAAACATCTCACCCAAGATGCTGACGAAGGACGTTCAGATGCAAGCCGCCGGCTCTCCACCTCCCGACCTCGTCGGGGATCTACAATCGGCACAAGAGGCATTAAACGCACCAAACGACGAAGCTTGTAACCCCCAGTAGTATTTTCTTTGGATATCAAGATTCCCAAACATTATAAAGGGCCTAATACTGCCCGCAATAAAAATAAAAAATCTTAATACGCCCATCGCCTACCCCGTATGCGTTGCCCTAAATTCCATGAAACCTGTCGGGGACCCAAACACCAGAAAACAAGACCTCTAGCCTCACAAGCGCCGTACTAGATAACCATGCAAACCCATACCCATAGGAAAATAAAAGGACAAGATAAGACAAAGACCGCTGATCGAGCTCTCAGAGGAGCACTATGACATCTCCATATCCTCTACAAGCACAGTCTCGTCTCCGGCTAGCTCCATGAAGATCTGGTCGTACTCCTCATCATCCGAGATATAGATGGATGGAGGTCGTTGTGAGAAGGGTTGAGCATTGGAGACCGGAATGGGAGACTCGTAGGAGGCGAGGAGCGCCTCGAGCTCGAGTTGTTCTTGTCTCGCGGCCTCATCGGCCATCAAAGAATCAACATCTTCGAAAATTTGCTGTGAGAATTGTTGGTCCGCTAGGTTGGCCGCATCTTCGATATCTCTTTCGGTTGGCATCCCGGCAGCATCATTCTCCCTTTGTTGAAAGATTTGCTGTTGCTCCTCATGCCACCTTCGGATAGCCTAGGAAGGGAATGTGAGCAAAGGATTCCTCAATGAATTGGGGCTGCGAAAGCACAAACTTACGTGTCCTTCTATGGATCTCCTCTCAAAGGCCTTCTCATCTGCTCGACCGCGGACGTTCTTCAAGAAAAGCTGACGTCTCGTCTGCTGACCTTCCTCACGCTTGCGCACAAGTGGGTTTGGTTTCGTCTGTCGCGCGGCGAATCTAGATTTCGGCTCGGGGGCGATGAGAAACAGTTTCTTTGGCCGATCGAATTACCGTGAACGGGGGAGAGTGGCGTGGGAGCGCGAATCGGTGACGAGGAAAGAGGTGATGAGGCTGTCGGCTTATGGTAGCCCCAGTTGTTCTCGTTAAAGTATGGCATCGAAGAGAGGGAAAACATGGCTCTATCTAGGATTTGGTGTGAATATTAAAAGGGTATCGGATTATATTCTCCTGGGGTTTCGAGGATGTCCGAGGTGTTGTCGAGGACGCAAAGAAGTTCTGCGTTTTGCTCTGTTGCTGGAAGTGATCACTTAAGAAAGGGGGCCTATGCATGACTACCCCATGTACTTAATGAGAACGCGCTCTTGCAAGCGTGACGACGTGTCGTGGGGCGACTTCCTCATCAGCGCAACGAGAAGAAACACAGTGTCACGTGACAACCGCGTCTCCCCCGGCCTAGTCCCGTCTCGCACCAAGGTGCAGTGAATGTTTTTCGCAGCCCCATGTGCTCAGCGAGGGGTCAACAAATAACACTGTGGGCCGAGGCCATTCGCTCGCCGACCTCCGGCGGTTACCTGACAGGTACAAGCTCGCTCCACTCCACTTGGACCCCTGCCAGCTTTTTTTTTTTAACACCGCACCGAGAAAGCAGGAGGCGAAAACGGCGGAAGGAGAAAAAAAAAAGAAAAAAAGACTACACCCCAGAACAATCCTCTCAGTGGAGAAAACGTTGGGGCGATGAGGCGATAGAACTTCCTCAAAAGGGACTAGAGGAGGCGATAACACTCCAACATCAACATCACCAAGGCGGTCAGAGCACAGTTGCCGTCTTTTTGTTCTCTTGTGAAAGAAGAATGTTTTCGATCCCCGACGACTAGATTTCTTTAATCTCCAAAATTTCGGCGCATCTCCTTCACGTCCCACCGCTATACGTTCCTCTCCCACTTACACGTCGAGATTTCTGCTCCTATGAGGTGCCTTTGACCGCCAATGGAGGTTGTTTCCGTAACGTGGCGGTCATGGAGTAGAACCCTGCGAATCCCCTCGACTCGTGTCCTCGGCCAAAGCCAAGCTCTGCCGCAGGCGCGTCTCGCGAAACCGCAGGGTTGGAGAAAAAGTTCGTCGTGGAGCGGCGGCCAGCAACAAAACGATCGCAGCCGCGCCAAATCGGGATGGAGTCGCAAGCGCCTGCTTCTCGCCTCGGGAGGCGCCGCAACCGGAGCAACTGTTCTCGCCTTTACGGACGATATCAAGACGAGCTATGAAACCGTGGAGAGGTCTGGGAGGGTGGCGGTTGCCCTTGGGGTATGTATTAATGAGTAAGTTGTCGTCCGCTCGCTCAATATTATTTGCCTGGTGCCACCAAGGCTCACACATTTCCTACTAGTTACCGGACGACCCTAAACGAAAAAGAAAAGATTGAGGACCAAGATGAACAGCGAAGGCTGTTGAAAGCATGTCATAAGCGATGCGCAGAGCGCACCTTGAAGGTGCTCGAGAAAAATGGCGGCATTTTTATCAAGCTTGGCCAGCACTTGGTAAGTTGCCTACCGGTTGAATGGCGGGCGGCGGAGAGGATTCTGCTAACCACGGTGTGTCGTCGTAGAGTGCTATGAATTACCTCCTTCCCTCCGAATGGACCACGACCTTTATCCCCCTACAAGACAAGTGCCCCGTCTCGTCCTTCGAATCGGTAAAGCGAATGTTCAAACAAGATACTGGCCGCGACATTGAGGATTACTTTTCAAGCTTTGACGAGAACCCCATTGGTGCTGCCTCACTCGCCCAGGTCCATCTCGCGGTCGTAAAAGAGACTGGCCAGCAGGTCGCCGTCAAAGTCCAACACCCCGGCCTCGCGCAATGGGCACCTCTCGACCTTTCCTTGACGAGATATACTTTTGCGACGCTCAAGAAGTTCTTCCCCGAATACGATCTCGAATGGCTTTCACGGGAGATGGATATCTCGCTTCCCAAGGAGCTTGATTTTCGCGAGGAAGAAGAGAATGCCAGACGGACCAGAGACCACTTTGCAAAGCTCCGCGGACTTCCTCTCGTGATCCCCAACGTTCTATGGTCTGATAAGCGCATTCTGGTCATGGCGAACGAATCCGGCCGTCGCCTCGACGATCTCGAGTATCTCGACTCGAGCGGCATCGACCGCGACGAAGTCTCCGCCGCCCTCTCCCACATCTTCAATGAGATGATCTTTGGCGACGGCGCGCCTCTGCACTGCGACCCCCACGGCGGTAACCTGGCGATTCGCAAGAACACCCGCCGCCGGGGCTATAATTTTGACATTATCCTCTATGACCACGGCCTCTACCGAGACATCGACCTTTCCCTCCGCCGCTCGTATGCCAAGATGTGGCTCGCCGTCATCGACGGCGACATGGACGCCATGCGCAAGTACGCCGGTGAGGTAGCCAACATCGGCGACAAGGAATTCCCCCTCTTTGCCTCTGCCATCACGGGCCGCGACTACACCGTTGTCAGCTCCTCCATCCTCAAGAACCGCTCCGGGGACGAGAAGAAGACCATGACAACCGCTCTGCAGGAAGGCCTCCTCGCCGACCTCGTCCAGCTTCTCGGTCGCGTTCCGCGCATCATCCTCCTCATCCTCAAGACCAATGACTTGACGAGAAACCTAGACGAGAACCTCCACACCCGCCAAGGCCCCGTGCGCACCTTCCTTATCCTCGCCAGGTACTGCGCCAAAACCGTTTTCTACGAAAAGGTCGAGCAGGTCTCCGAACGAGGGTCCTGGTTATGGCCCCTCAATGCCGCCAAGTTGGTCATTGCCTGGTTGAGCTTTGTCAGAGTGGAGGTGAAGCTCGGCGTTTTTGAGACGTGGCTGCGTTTAAAACGGCTGGCTGGGGTGAGCACGCCAATAGGCTTTGGGATGTAAAAGCCGATGTGCGTTTCTAGAGCGTGGGGTGAGGGATGCGTGCTCGCCTAGACACGAGTCTCTTGTAGTATCTATCATGTCGTGTTTGCGTTAGAATGGGGTTCTGGCTCGGCTGCCTCGTGTATATAACAACAGCCAAGATCCAGAGCTCTCCATAGCTTGTAGCTCAGTATACCATATGCTAGAATTTAGAAAAGTTTATCACCTTTGCCTAGACCAGAGTTTACGCAGTAAAGTCCCAGTGCCGGAGGTTAAAAACTCCTTCTCGTCTATTCATTTCATATCGACGTAAAGCCGTTGTTAATGCGATGATGAGCAAGCTGATATGCCTGTAGCAAAGTACAATCATCGTCGCTAGAGTTGAAGAATATAAAATAAAATAAAAATCAAAGGCCTGGCAAAAGCCATTTGTGCTCCAAACGCCAAACAAAACCATCACTAAGCCCATTCAAACAACAAGTCATGAGGACTACACCGGCGACTCCTGGCTATGTCGTTCTCTGCCGTTTGGCATCTATATTCGTCTCAGTTGCTCCGGTCGGCGTGTTGGTTGATACCTCTGTCAACACCGGCCTTCCTCCATTAACATCTGCTGGCAACGGGCGCTTCATGGTCGGTGGCCGGTACTGGTTCCGGTTTGCGAGGGGCTACCCCGCCTCCCGGGGCACCAATTCGCCTCGCCTGATCAAGATGCGGGTTGACTACGTTTCCCTGCCCGTTTGAAACCCGCCACCAGGCGTCGTTACCACCCCGCCCTGAGAGCTTGATACTTGGCTGCTTTGTATTACACTTCGCGCCACCGGCTTTGACGCGTTGTGATCGAAGCCGGGAGTCTTCCGAATAGATGGGCTCTCGGCCTTGGGGTTGAAAAGTTGCTGTGCCTTTGGAATCAGGCCACTTTCAGCTGCTAGGCTAGATTCTGGGACGTCTTTATTTATCGCTCGGGCCGAAAAAAGCCCACTGGCTCTCCCGGGAGGTGCGACGTAAGGCTTGGGCGGTGGAGGGATAGAAGGAGCATTCGTTATCGGTCTCGGGGTCCCTGAGGCGGGTTCTGTCGAAACCCGCCAGAAGGACCAGGTACGGGGCCCGTTGGTCGGTTGGCGTGATTCGGAGTTTGTGGGGGTCTATTCACGGGCTCTGGCGGCTTATTCTGAGCGGATGGAGCGCTCTGGTTCGTGAGGACAACCTCATCCGGGTGGCCCTCTTCGGCCATGCAAAAGTCTGCTTCGTCAAAGTCTAGTGGCACAGTCAGCTTGCCTGCGCTCCAAGCCGCAGGTCTGCGAGCGAAGAAAAATATTCACCTCCAAAGTCCTCAAAGAAGTCTGCATCTATCGACTCCAAATCCACTTCCGGTTGCTTCTGGACCGGTTCAGGCTTGGCTGGGGGTTGGCCTTGATCTGAGGAACTTCTTTCTTCACAAAATCAGAGTGGCGGTGGAGGTTGTTCTCGTCAAACTTGGCCGGTGTACTCTTGACTTTGATGACCTTGGATAGATAGTCCTTGTCGTATATGCAGTTGCCCAGCACGTTTCCGAAATTTCGCAGCGCCCTTTTCAACGCGTCCGTCGTGGCCTGTTTCTTTGCCTTCTCAAATGCCGACGCCTTTCCTCTGCAATTCTCTATATTGCCGTACCCAATGTCCTCGTGATACGTGCCATCCCGCAAGGTCACCCTGACGACGACGGATAGACCCAGGCTTACTCGTAGTGTTTGCGGGTGCTCATCGACGAAATCGACCGTGATGTTCTGAATCGAACTTGACCAGCCGTTGAACCCGAATATTTCGTTGGCGAGCGCGATGCATTTCTCGGAGGTGATATAGTGTACCTTCGTGCCGGAGGGTCCCGCACGGGAGGAAATGTACTCGGGGCCGAGCTGCCTCTGGAGGCGGGCTTGGAGTGTGGCGATCTGCTGTGCTGTATATTCGTTGATGCGAGGTTTTATTTCTTCGAATGGATTGGCGGCATCGCTTCGATGTTGATCGCCTGGTCTATCAAGGGGGTTAGCTCATTGCTGCCATGGGAGCCATGCTACTCACGCAGGCATCGTGAATGTCGGATTGACGCGCCCCTTCCCGGGACTCGGAAGGAGCAAGGATTACTGGACAGCAAAAGGTTTCCGGATGAGAGTAAAAAAGGCAGCGTATGGGCTAATAGATTATGAGGAAAGAGCACTGGCAGGGGGAGAAAAAAAGAAAAAGAAAAAAGAAAAATAAAGGTCAGCCGTGAACAATGGTGCGTCGGTGCCTAGTGTGCTAACAACGACAATCGCGTTCGCCGGTGATACAAACTCGTTATTAGTGCTCGTTGGGCGCGTTTTGGATGACTGAGCAGTAATACATGATTGACGCGAACAACGGGAGATCACGTGAATAGATCGGGATCGCGCCTGTGTGCAGCAGCACTGGGAGTTCCAGCGGATGGACCATTCCCATGCCCGCTAGGCCGTGCTCAGTTTGTGGGTACTGGTGCGGGTGCCAAGCCAAGTCTGGTTCGTAGGGTTCAGAAGTCCTGGGCAACCAGGATCGAACAGAGTCTCGGACTTTTCCAACTCGCTTCTATTTTAGGCTTGTCGATCCAATAAATTGGGCTCCAAAATGCTCGCCGCTTGCCCCACCAAGGAAAGTCTTTCACGGCGGAGGCTCTATTATTTTTCAATCTATGTACGGACTAATATCAATGATCAATGTACTTAATAACAAAAGTTATTTTGCCAGTCCCCCTTTTGTTGATGTGGCAGAGGAGAGAGAGCACGAGCTCCCGGAAATGTTTTCCCGCAAGATCGCAAATGGTCGAAACGTTTCACAGGGCTCATGGTCAACACGCCCTTGGCTCAAACAACCCCTTGCTCTTCGAGCCAGCAATAACAAAGGGCTAGCAGAATGTTAAAAGACGGCGGTGAGCTCGCTGGCGACATAATGTTTCCCGGCGGCTAAGGGCGATCAGTCACGCCTACATTTCTCGGTTCCCGGATTGGGCGATCAAGCGAAAAGTCAGCTTGAAGGATAGAAGCCAGACAGAGAGCCGTCAACACCGGAAATTAAAGCCATGCTTTGCTATTGATGGTGGAGATGCCGTTGGTGTGGGTAAAACAAGTTCGATCGTTTGAACCACCAATTCCGTATTCTCCGGCTCCACCACGAGTCTATGATTACTTCCAAACAAGGCACGAATTCTATGGGATGCACAGGGCGAGGGTATTACAGCGGGTGAGACACGGTGGTAGGCGAGAAGACGAGAAGGACAGAGGCTGCAAAAATTGAATCTGTGCCGAGGACTTAGCCTGTCTAGGATATTACATCGTTCAATTCACAAGCCTAAATACCCAGCGTCACCTTACAGCAACCCACGGTGCGCAAAGAGGAGCCCAAAAGTTGGATGTAACCGAAAATAAGATCGAAGGGAAGGAATGGAAAAGAGGCCAAAAACCAAGGTCAAACCCGGAGCCACCAGAATGATACCCGATAGATAGAGAATGCATGAGGATATCGATAGAAAAGGTTAAGTAATAGGACGTAAGAAATGATGGACATTAAAGAAACAAAAGGAAACGCCGCTGTGTCTTGCCGAGCATAAAACCCAAAACCGCCCATCTATGCCTAAGCGCCTGACCAAGCCGAGAGGACCATGTGATAAGAATCGTAAAAGAAAAGCATGCATGATGGTGAGAGAGGACAGCCGTTAAAATGTTGCTTGGAATGAGAGGCTAGTCGTCCAAGAGGACGCGTTACCATGGCCCAACCTTGACGGGAGAGCCATAGGTGCCCGACATAAGCTGGTTTCGAATGGAGGCGGGATCGTTGGAAGAGCTTTGAGCCATGGGAGATGCGTTACCAATCCAACCCACGCTAGAGGCCATAGCGTTTATCGCGGCCTCCAGCCTGTTGCCGGAGAGCTCGTTGTGTCTCGCGAGGCGCTGGTCCCAGCCGCCGGAATGGAGCACAAATCCACCACCACGCTTAGCGGCCTCACTGATGACTAGGGCCCATGCCTTGGCAATTTCCTCGTAGGCGTTATCCTTGTGATGGCGGTGGGACTGCGAGTCCCAGTCGGGGAGTGCGTGAATGACCTTGGTTGCACCGTCAAGGTACTGGAGGGAGGCGGATGCCTGGGTTTCTGTTGGAGGGAGATACTGAGGGTGAATTCGGCGATGGCGTCCAAAAGGGCGACGAGGGGTTGCTTCACCCTGTAATAGGTGTACTCGGAGCTCGAGTTCCCATAAGGCGTAGCTACCTTTAATCGATCTTGATACTCTTGGAGAACACCGAGGGCGGAGGCAACGGTCGGGCGGGGGCGCTCGTAACGACCTCTTGGCCAATCTCAGGGTGGCGGTCGCATATACGCTCAAGAACGGTGCGTAGTTGGTTCGTATCTAGAGTCTCAAGGAGGCGGTGGAGAGCCAGGGGCCTTCCAACGATTTCGGCTGAGCGGATTTTCTTGGAAGGGCGGGCGAGTTGTCTGGCGGGTAGAGCAGGGGACGTGTTGGGGAAACGGCCATCTCGTCGCCGTCGTCATCGAGTCTTCGCTTTCGGTTCGTCATGTTGGCGGTATAAGGCGAGACTGAAAATGGGTCAGGGTTCGTGAACAAACTAGTCATGTCTAGGACCGGTTAGGCCAGGCGCCAGACAAACAAGAGCGATGGTGAGAGGAAGCAAGGGAGGGGGCCGAGGATGATGAACAGAGGCTTTTTAAGCGTGCCAAAATGAGGTAAAGGGGAAAGGGTTTTGGGCGATGGTGAAGATGAAACTTACGAGGCCTAGAAGAAGAAAGGCGAGCGGTGGAGTCGTGTTGGTGAGGGTGAGAAAAGTGTGGTGGTTGAGGGGAAAGCAGGACGTTCATCTTCTGCCACTCCCGTGATGGTGGAAGATGACACCAGAGGTGCCCAGGCAACCAAAGAAGCGAGTGGGCAAACTATTTTTTTTTCGCTCGGGAAACTGGAAAATTTCGAGTAACCCAAAGACAAAATTATTCCGACTTTGTGAATTCGAGGAAGAAGAGAAAAAAGGTGGGCGAATGCAGAAAAGGGGGCAGGAAGAACCTCAAAGGTTGTGAGCGGGAGGTGGTGAAGAGATCGAAGGGTTAGGTTGTTTTCACGAAGAAGGTGGGAGTGAGAAAAAGGGAAGGAAATAAAAGGAGTCGGGTCTGTGGATGAATGGCTTCAGGATGACAAGTGGAGTCGCCGACAAGCATGGATGGGTTGGATTGCCCGCCAAGCCAAGCGATTTGGCTCTGGTCCCCCGAACCGGGTGCGGAGTTTCGTTTTAACACGGAGCACTGTGCAGTGCAGTTGCAGGGCCGCACAGGCATGCATCACTTCTTATTACTTCGTCGCTGACTTGCCCCTTCCAGTAATCTCAGTTGCCGGCGGCGCTATGGTTGGGAGGCTGGAGCGCTGCGTGGCCGCCATGAGCCCGCACTAAAATCTGCGATCTTGAGCTTGATCAATGATGTCCCCCGTCCGTGTCAGCACTCAGGCTGTCACTCACCTCGTCGGCCAGGTACCGAGTACAGACAGCAGGAGTCTGTTCAAATGTACGGCTGCCGAGGCACTCAACACCAATTTACTTGTGGTGTTGTCGGGCTATTTCAACCCAGCCAGCCAGCCGAATGGCTGACGTTTTGAAAGGAATGGATGATTGAAGGACGCTCTCGTGGACACGAAATCGAGCGGTTAAGAGGTACATTGATCCATCTACCCATCTACATCTGCTCCTAATACCCAAAAACTAGATTGAAGTGTGCCGGGTGTGAAAGGCCTTACCCTACCCATCACCCATATACATCGATCCCGAGCGCTTCATTGTTGTTCCACCGCTCGCGAACAACGCAAGGGCTTTTGGAACCAGAGATGGGTGCGGAGGGGTTTGCCGGGGTGTGTGGTCAAGATTGATTGGAACAGGGAAGGATTGGTGGGGAGTCGTTCTGGGGTGGGGAAGGGGGTGTGCGTCAAGGGCATTGCGACGAGGCGGTGGGGGTGCTCCTGGTTCCGACAATGGCCCAGCGGCGGACGGTCTGCTGGCTGCCCGGTTGGTGCATGTGGCACGCATCGTGCTTGCTGCCAGCAGGAGGAGGAGAGGCGATCCAAGGAACCTATCACCACCACCCAAGCGGCTACTCATATCCCAACCAAACGTCAGGCAAGGGCAAGGGGTGGGGAGGGACACCCTTCCGCACGATGGCCAGGGTCACGCACGGAAGCATGGATAGGCGAACCATTGATTGATGTCCAAGTCGCCACGATTCCAGCATTCCCTTCATCCTACCATCCAAACACCCAGCGGCATTTTTTTTTCCTTCTTCTGCCTGGCGACATTGCCAAAGGGAAGAACGTCCTCAATGGTGAATGGCTTGTCGAGGTCTGCTGGTTCAAGTCCCACATCCTCAGCTTTTGGCCGACTCGGCCCGGCCATCCCACACACAAAGTCGATAGGGTTTGTGTTGCTTGAGCCGCCGCCCTACTCCTTGGTAACCTCCAGCCCAAATCGATCTTTGGGGATGCGATTCGTCAAGGTTTCCACCGGGGAGGTTGGAAGAGGGGAATGAGGATTCGAGGTCCCAAGGTTCACCAACGGCTCTCCTCACGGCACAGGCCAGCTGGGCAACGCTACAAACCAGCCATCCCTTATCCCCCATCCCCTCTCGTCCACCCACATAATATTATTATCCCCAATACAGGTTTAGCTAGGCCGATCGACGGCGATTCTGGACCCTTGTCACCATTCAGTCCGCCCACTCCATGTACATCATGTGGCATCCCAAGATTCCAGCATATCGTCCTTCCGCGCTCCAAGTTGACCGTCCGGGCAAAATCATAGGGTGGAGCCGGTCTCGTTTTGGCTAAGCAAGCCGCTGCTTTTTTGTTTCTTTTCCTTCCCCCAATACCACATATTATCCGTTAGTCATAAGAACCAGCAGTATTTCCCATGAGACAAACCCAGCTCGCTAGCCTAATGTAGCGCAGGTGACAAACCCGGCACCATGAATTTCGACCATTTGCAGCAACTAACATGGTTGGCTTGTACCAGAGGGAGCTTAAAATTCCGTGAGCCTCATTGTCGCCCAAGGCCACTGACGATGTGGCGCTTGTACCAGGACCCTCTCCGGGCGAGTGATTATCAACGGCAGGAAACGTGCTCCATTTGCACATCTTGGGCACCCGTATAGTAATGTATGATTGTGAGAAGGTTGCGAGGAGCGGCAACGGCGTCGAGTGTATCACCTCAAATCCCACTACTAGGCCTCAAGCCGGCGTCTCCATTTTTCGCCCACACGACCAGATGAGACCCGGTCTCACGCCCCCTTCTCTTGCTCTCCAGAACTTGATGACACCGGGCTGCCTGCTTTAGGTCTCGCCTCTTCCAACCCGCCCCCACAGTGTCTCTGGTGACCAAAAGTTTAGCGAACCTTCGAGTCTCAGTTCCCGCTACCCTTGATCAGGTTCGAGTTAGGGAAGAGGAGGCTAGGTCCGGAGGACCATGAGCTGAATTCCCAGGCTTCCTTTGGAACGTGCTTTTTTCAAGGACATGTCTCCACTGATTGATTACACTCTTCTTTTTTTTTTTTTTTTTTTCATGTCCCCTGCGCCGGGCAAAAGATGGAAACATAGCCAGTCGCGTGGTTGTGAAGCGGGCAAATATCGGGTGCGGATGCCACTCTGGGGAGTCGATCGATACTAGATCTCCAGACGCTCACGTGTGCAGTAATTCTTGCGCATCCAAGGAGGGAGAGAGCCGAGTCAGCTCTATATGTGTAATCACTTGAAGCCCTTCCCTCCTCTCCTTTCGTCGTATCACCGTTGAAGCCTGTATTATCTAAGGCTCTGCAACAAATATCGCCCAGCCATGCGGTCAGCCAATGCTATTGAGGTCAAGGATCGTTTCCCATCGATATTAAATCAGCGCGGCGGAGAATGGGACCCGGTCACCATTCGTAGATGATAAATCCCCAGTAATGAGTCCTCGGACGGAGTTTCTTGTCTTCCGTGTGGAATACTTGTCTCTCTGCTAGCCCAGCCCGAAACGACCCTCATTATCATGGTCCAATGTCAGCTTAGGTTGTGGAATATGGTATTTGAAGCACAGGTGGCTAGTAGAGAAATCTGGCATCCAACGAATAAGCAGGTACACACTACACAGTAGGAGCCCGACAGGTGACAGAATCATCCATGGATGGATTATACATCTCCTCCCCTTGCCTCGTTTATGTACTTTGCGCTTGTGCGTGCCTGGGCCTACCTCTTTCCAGGCGCGCCGATGCCTCAATCTCTCAACGCCTAGGTTTCACCCAGAAGGGCAGCATACCGAACAAGGCCGTAGGTAACTAACACGAGGCTCTCAAACATTTTATCGTCGGAAAGATAGCCCTTCCTAGATCCCCCTCACAGTCCAAGAGCTCACGTCCTACCCAGCCTTACATGCTCCGTCTCGCCCTGGCCCACGAGGGTCGTTTCTAAGTCGAATTTGCGCCGTCGTCCACGCTATAAGTGATACCGGAACTCTTCATCCTAGGTGAAGGAACATACTGGTTGCAGGCATCTAGGGTAAAGATGGCCTCGCGAATGGTTGCATTGGAGAAGTCAACCCGCAGGAGCTACCGAACAACAGTGAAGATTAACGGTGTGCTTCTTTATCGTTGCTAGACTCCCCCACTCGCTTTTCTCATTCATCTAGTTTAGGTGACCAAGGTGACTTACACTGCCAAACTCTTTTTCGCTTATAGTGGTATCATTCTTGACCCGCCCTGTGAAAACGGTGTAGACGGGCTTGGGATATATCTGGGAGGTTGTCTTGGGCATGGCCGCGAATGTCTCAACGGGGACGACATTTCCCGTTACAGGATCTATAGCACCGAGGCCAATGTAGATATTGCCTGCGGTGGCGGGGAGTATTTCTCAGCACATTGCTCGTTGGGTGATGGGGCAAAAGGCAAACTGGCTCTCAATGAACTTGGCTGTGATGCAACTTACTCTTGTTCGGGTACGTGAAGGAATCATCGGTGGAGATGGTGAAGCCACCAGGCACGGCTGTCGACTCCCCGACGTGGGAGCCCACGCAGGAGAAACGCCATCGTTATCGATAGTGGTAATCATTTCATGGCTTCCGTTTGGGCCTAACCGAACAGGTCGAGAATCGGAGGTTTCCACACGCGGGCGTCCACCTGAGAGTCCCACCTTGGTGCCGCAGATGGCATAGTAGTTATCGTCGAGGACGAAGGTAGCGCTCGAGGTTCCATCGCCCATGATCTTCACAGAGCGTTGGTAAGCGTGGTCGAAAGCACTCTCATCAGCGACGCTCTCGGAGCTTGGAACGCCATGAACGAGGAAGAACTGCCGAGGTACCTCGGAGGCGTTTGTGATGGTGATCTTGTACGTTTGGACCATTTTGCTATCGAGGAGGGGTCGGGATATGGTTTAAAGCAAAGACGCTATATGAGCTGTAAGACGTACACACGACGTTCCCACGTCTTGTCTGACTTCACTGCTATGTTGTTCTGCACCTCGAGCGTATAGCTTCTGGTGTATGGCCTGGGCAAAGAGCTTGAGGAAAGGAAAGGGTCGATGTGAACGTCGACTCATTGTTGGGCAAATCCGAGGGCGCCTTTATACTTGAGGCTTGCCCAAGTCTCCAGTGCGTACACCGAGATTGTAGGCCCTCCCTTGCCCTCAAACGGCCCCTGTCTTCCAGCTTTGAAGATCAAAACTAGTCATGCATAGTCAGGTATTGTCCCTTCCATCCTTTAAACAATGCGTCCCTCGAGGTCTGGGACTTTGGCGCCAAATCCCAAGTAGGCCCCATGTTTCGATCATGGCATCTTTCTATCATCTGAGGAGGCCAAGGAACAACCAACATAGACATGTGCTATGGCGGCTATTGGGGGAGAGGCTTGTTCCTCTAACGCATCTATGCAGGGGCGAGGTGACCATGTCCTGATAGTCGATAGCGTCGCGATGAGTGAGCCTTGCTGCAGTAGAATCATTGAACAGTTATGTTCGACTGGTAGTGCATAGAATCATGGCCACAGAATCGCGGTGGATATTTTCCCGCCTCCATTTCGAATAGATGGATTCCCTGCTTTTCTTCAATTGATGTGCGGTGGGGAAAATGCAAATCGTCCCTGCCGGACCAAGAAGGTGGCGTACTGAAGCAAGGAGCGGGCCGCTTTGTTTGCACCTGGAGACAAGCCAAAAACCCTTGCCAATTCAACTACGACCAGCATAAATCCACTAGTTTACATGCCGGTGGGCAATATATGATGGAGCATAGAATAGGTGAAGGACGGTGGGCTGCACTTCGGTGGGTGCCGTATTAATTCCATGTCAATATCTACATGTGGCCATTATTGATGCTGGATGGCAAGGGACCTTTAAAACCCGAGGTCCTCATGCAGGGTTGACAATAAATTGAATCTGTGGTAACTGTCACATGGATCCATATATAAGCACTAGATGTAAAAATGTGCTGGAGTTACCGAGCTATAATGTGTAGAAAGAGAGATGAGGATCTCATAATACAGGCAGTCAAGGCGGTCTGCTCAAAACAAGTTTAGTTAGTCTTGTGGCTTGACTGACTGAAGCTGGGAAAGACTTCATCCAGCCCTTGATGGATTGTACATCAATTGATGTAAACACCTCCTCTTTCAAAGTATGAAGGCCGATACCCTTGTACAGCTAGTCTTCTAATACGCCCTCGACTTGGACTTGACGATATAAGATATACATTCTAGAAAGCATAAGGGATTTATGGATTCAAAGCGTTTAAACATCCATTCTCTCTGCCATTACCTTTAAGGGTTTGTTTAAACACTACATCTATCCATAGATGGATCCATGTAAGTTATATACCCTCGTCTGCTCTCGACCTACCATTATCAAATTCTAGGGTAGTTGGACAAGAGATAAAAGGTCCAGCTTTCAAAAAGCCACTTTTCCCCAAGTAAATAACGTTTTTTTCCTAAGATATGAAAGCTTCTAAACCCTGTTAATTGATATCCAGATCTATTAGCTTTAAGGTTGATTCTTATTTCGAGAACGTTTGAGCACCATTCTTAGAAGTTCAAGCACCATTGCAACCATTGTACTTCGTACTTCCATCAACTTAAAGAGGCGGGGCATATTCCTTATCTTATCGGGCCAGAGGATTGAGGGAAGATCGATGGGGGATGGCTCAAAATCCTTATCGATTAGGAGTGCATCGCTCTCTAAAAAAAAAATTCTCCCTAAGAAAAAAAGTTAAGCTTGTAGAGGCAGGATTATTCCAACTTGTTAAACAATCCCAACCCTCAATTTGACAACCAGATATCTAGGATTTACCTTTCTTTCCCATTTTATACACATAAATTCCTACCTATTATCTTCTGTTGACTTCAAGGCCCTTCCCCGAAATGTCCGCACGCGAGGAATCCCCAATGGAGGGCACTTCTCCTGGACCGGACCCCATCTCCGACTCGGAAAAGTCGAAGAAGAGGAAATCCACGGTCGAAGAAATCGAAGTCGACGTTAATGCGCCCGAGCCTCCCTCTAAAAGGGCGCGACGTGCGCTCAAGAAGGGAAAGAAGCTGCCGTCCAAGGGCGCAACAAGCGACGCCGACGGAGACGAAGAGGGTACAAAGGAGGGAGGGGACAAGGCAAAGCGATCCGAGCATGGTGTCTGGATAGGAAACCTACCCTTTACCGTCACCCCATCCGAGCTCAAGACATGGCTAGTTGATAACTCGGGCGGTGTGATCCTCGACGAGACAATCACCAGGATAAAACTACCTACGAGCAAGGACAAGGCGAAACAGAAAGGGGATACCGAACAACCGATGAACAAGGGCTTTGCCTATGTCGATTTCAACGGAATTGGCCCGCAGATGGCCGCCATTGCGTTATCCGAGAACCTACTAGGCTACCGAAAACTTCTCATCAAGAGCTCTACATCATTTGAGGGGCGTCCAAAGGCCGAGAAGGCGGACGCTGCCGAGACCGACGCGGCGACCCAGGCCGAGTTGGCCAAGAACATGAATCGCAAGGTCTTTGTCGGCAACCTTGGATTCGCTATCAACGAGGATGATTTATGGAGCCACTTTGAAAAGTGCGGCGAGATTGAATGGGCCAAGGTGGCGACATTCCAGGATACTGGCAAGTGCAAGGGCTTCGGCTGGGTCAAGTTCAAAACCCCCGAGGGCGCCGCATGGGCTGCCAAGGGCTTCGTCAAGATCAAGGAAGAGATCTTGACGGAGGAAGACTTCCAAGAACCAGACGGAGACCAGGATGCCGGAGCTGACGACACGCAAAAGAGAGGAAGTACAAGACGAGGAAATGGTGGGTCAACAAGCTCAAGGGGAGGACTTTGAAAATTGAGATGGCCGAGGACGACCAGGTGCGATATAAGAAGAGGTTCGGCAAGGATTCCCAACGGCCGGGTCAGGAAGGCCACGGCGATTTTGCTCGGGCCACCGCCGACGCTCCCGAGCAGGTGGCTGCTTGAGCAGCGGTCGTTCCAACACCATCGCAATACCCACCCACAACTCCCTCATATTTTTCCTCTCTTTCTCGTTAAGGTTTCGAAGATGACGCATTTGACGAACAAGGAAAAAACCAAAGGCCCCCTCCCACCCATGGGCCACCCTTCCTCGAAAAAAATTGATGGCGTTTCTGATTTCCCTTTTTTTTGGCAATTGGCTTTCGAAGACGCGCCTGGAATGTTCCGTACTACTAGCTTGTGTATTTCATGATGGTTCATGCTATTTGAGAAATGGTATCATCCCAGCGAAGGGTTGATTTGTCATCCGGAGTTCTTGGGATGGATCTTGCTTCTCCGGGGACTCTCGGGCGGAGGAGGGAGAACACTAGGCGTGCTAGTAATATAAACGGGGTTCTGTGCCCCTCTGTGTGCTTTATTCCGTCATGAGCTCGGAAAAGCTGCTCAACTTCCTTTTCGGGAACCCCTTCATCACGGCTGTGCCTTGTGACCTCTCGGCTCTTGAACCCGTATCTAATACGAAGCTCGTCGTGCTTCTACTTTACATCCCCTCTCTGCTCCCCTTGCTCCGTCAACCCCGCCGGAGGAAAGCCCGGCTTGAAAGCTACAATGGCATATAAATCAACTATCTCGTTTACCTTGGATACGGTTTGCCCGTGGTAAGCTCCAAATCATATTTCCCCACCAACAATCCATACAATGGTTGTTATAAGTCTAGTCAACGCCTAGTCAAAGTCCTTGGAAAAAACGCTGACACTTCTGCTCTGGTCAATAGGACCTATGTTGCGAAGAAGAGGCAGGTCATAACCAGCTCCCAATCTATTCACGGGGCTCCTCCATATCTCACTCCCATCCCACTCCCCCGTCCCCATCAACCACTCTTAGGGCTTCTCCCACTCCTATCCCGCATTAACTCTTCCATAGCCGTTCAAAGGCAACCCCATCTACTGTGAAAACTTCTTGCGTAGCTCTATATGGAAAGAAATGGCTGACCAACCGCTCTAACCTTCTCGCAGACTCGAAAAGGCCCTAGAGATCGTCCGTTCCGGGCCCGACGCTTCCGCAGTGACCTTCACCGTGCTAATCCGGCCCTTCCAGCTGGACCCGTCCTTCTCCTCGGAACCAGTCTCCAAGCAGGCGCGGTACAAGGAAAAGTTTGGCGACCAGTGGCCCGCGCTCGAGGCCCGCATGGCCGTCGTCGGCGCGGGCGACGGCATCGCCTTTCGCTACGGCGGCGTCATGGCCAACACCTTACCCGCGCACCGCGTCCTGCAGCGCGTGCAAGCCGAAAAGGGACCCGAGGCGGCGTGGTCCGTCTTGGGACACCTCTACAGGCGCTATTTCGAGGAGGAACAGCACCCCAGCTCGCCCGAGACCCTCGAGGCTTCCTGCGCCGAGGCGGGGCTAGACGAGGCGTACGTGGCGGACTTGGTGCGGGGAGATGCCGGCAAAGGGCTGGAAGATGTAAAGAGGGATTTGGTGGCGCAGAGGCTAGAGGGCATCTCGGCGGTGCCGCATGTGGTGCTGGAGGGTAAGAGGCGGGATTTGAAGTTGGTTGGCGCAAGGGAGGTCGAGGAGTACGTAAAGGCGCTTCAGGCCATTATCAAGGAAAGCAAGTAGAGAAAGGCGAGCAAATTGATTTATTGCTTGTTGGGTACAACAGAAGAAACAGGTATGGGCTTTTGCGTTATTCAAAATCTTAGGAGCCCCTGGGTTAATAGTGTTCCATGATCCATTGTCTTCTTTCTTCAACGTTCTTTGCCTCATAGTCCCTGATTTCCACACCCTTGACAGACACGTAGCGCTCTACCAGCTCGTGGCCCATAAGTTTGCCGAGGGCCTTGTCTTCTTTGAGTGCTTCCAAGGCCTCCGCCAGGGTCCCGGGGAGCATTTTGGTGATACCGAATCCCGCCCTCTCAGTAGCAGATAGAGTCGCTGGGTCCGCGGCACAATCCTGGAGTGACAACTGCTCTCCGTCCAGGATGCCGCGAATGCCGGCATGTAACACGGCTGCGAGCGCTAGGTATGGGTTCGCCGTGCCATCCATGCACTTCATCTCCCAGTGGCTACCGGCAATCTTCCGCAGGGGTGTCTCGCGGTTCTGGGTGCCCCAGGCCACCCACCTTCCGCCAGCCCAGCAACCGTCCACGACCCTCTCGTAGCTCGCGGGGTTACCGTAGGTAAACGCGCATATTCCCAGAGGTGCGCCAATATCCCAGCGTAAAACTTTTCGTACACGGCGGGCTCGTCGCTTTCCTTGGGCCCGGTGATGGACATGTGGACGTGGGCGGCGGTGCCTGCCGCCATGGCAAACGGTTTCGGATGCAAAGTCATGCGGTAACCCGCAGAGGCCGCAGTGGAGGCGATGACTTCGCGTACGAACAAGAGATTGTCGACGGCCTGCAGTGCTGGAACAGCCGGAAGAACCACTTCAAATTGCCCCGGAGCACTCTCTGCGTGGACTTGCTCAACGCGGACGTCAACGCTGCGTAGGTACGAAATAGCCTTCTCGATCACGTCGGCGTAGATTGGCCTATCCATCGCCCTAGAGGAGGACCAGCAATGGCCGTTACTTTGGTCGTTTTCCCCGAGAGAGCCGGACTTGTGCTGTTGCACAAGGACGAGTTCGAGCTCGAATCCGAGAAGGAACCCGTACCCGTGCGAGCTCGCGAGCTCTACGGCGTTCTTCAACGCTGTCCGAGGGCAAAGCGGAGAAGGTGACCCGTCGGTGTGCCGGAATTCTCCATAGACAGAGATGTGCCCGGGTCGTGGACCGCGACGGACCCAAGACCAGTCAGGATAAAACTTGAACTCACCGGTACCCGTGGCTCCTGGCGCAAGGGTATCATTCTGCATTAGCCCGAGAGACGCGGTTGTGATGCCAAGAGACAGAGCTCCAGATCTGAGCTGCGCCAGGGCGTGGTTGATGTCAATCGCCCTCACGCGAGGCGTCCCCGTCATATCGTTCCAGTACAAGCGTAGGTAGCGGATCTCTAGGTCATATTCCAACAGAGTCTCGACGATCTGCAGAGCATTTCCACCAGTCGTGGCTGGTCGGGGCCCGGAGTCATGTATGCAGAGCCGGGGAAGGTCCAGCTGTGGCTTAGGAAGGCCGAGGCTGTACAGCTTATTGGCGTTCTGGTACATGATTCCAGCAGCAGCGTTCTCAGCCTCCTTCCAGGTTAGATCGTCTTTGGCAACATACTCGGCGAGGACCTGTACGCAAGTAGATGGAGGGAAAACTTGTCAGTCGTAAAGGCACACAAATAGGAACAGGTACAGGAAAAGAAAGGAACGGGGACTAACACTTTCTAAGGCTTGTCTGAACTGTAGTTGGCCGAGGTAGTACACCTCGGGAAACATGTTTCCATCGGTGCTGAAGAGGATTTTGGCCCAGGGGTGAGCTCGAACAGCTGGTGTAAAACAGCCTCCTGGCCGGCGCGGCTTAAGCAGGGGAACACCTCGCCAACGTCGACCCAGACATTGGCATAGGTGTTCGCGAGATAGCCAGCCTCCCTAGCAAAAGGGTACCCGGTGTGGAGGAGAACAATCTGCACTGCCGGATGCGCGCGGATGAAGTCTTGAAGGTGTGAGGGAGATGCCTTTGCAAGATCAAGGTCGTTATCGCCGAAGCCGGTGTGAATTTGCAGGATCCTACGAGAGCTTGGGGAGCGTCCTGAAGCTTTGCGGCCGCCCTCAGGAGGAAGTAATCGGTCAAAGAAGGCTGTTGGAGCCGAAATTGGGAGGAGTCCCCCGTTTCCCGCCGCCGTGCAAGTTCATGCTCAAAGGCCCTTTCAGCAGTGTCCGCGTCGACCGAAGTCGGCACGATTAAACCCGTCCGGTAGCAGATGGCTGACTTGAACCCCGCCACCCAGGGATCTCTTTGAGCAGAGGAAATCTCGGCATCGAAATGGACAACGACCTTGTGGAATGAAACGGGCGTTTTGCCCGTCAGCCTGAGTAGACTATTGACAATGTCCTCCACCACCCTCTCAATCCTTACGATCCGCCAGCAGCGGCTCCTTGTGTAAGCCGACAAGGCCTCGTACGGGTAGAGTTCGAAAGGATTGCCGATGCCGTCATCGACAAGGATGGTTTCAGTTCCTGCGAGACAAGTAGCCATCCAGTCATCATACCGTTCGGGGGCCCTCTTGCCCTCAGTGGCCGTGACCACAGCTTCCCATGTTGGTTGGCACTTGTGCAGGTTCGAGAGCTGTTTAACAGCCCTTATGTGTGCAAGAGATGAGGGTACGAATGATAATGCATCTCCGTTGGCCTCCGAGACGACGCCTTCGAAGGAATAGGAACCTAGGGCTGTGGGAAGCAGCAGAGGGTGGGCGTGGTTGTCGACAACAGGGATGGTCTTGATAACGTGAGCAAGTCTGGCGCGGCCAGCTAGGGCATTTTCATTGCTAGTTGCTGTCATCCTTGATCATCCGTGATTTTTAAGATTCGAGACTAGAAAAGTCGCTTCTAGGCCAGGTCACCGGCAGGATGGAGATCGTGGTGTTACGCCAAACTCAGACGTATTTCAAGGTACACGTAGTAGTCATGAACTCATCCACTGATTAGATGCAGCGTTAGTTGACGTATATTCCAGCTTGGAATAGCAAAGGGGCAAAAAAGGTTCCCCTGAACTTGTCAACCGTACTGATAGTAAGCTTGCACACAGCACAATGTTTTACCTACTTATAGATGTCTAGGTGCGATACTCTCGCAGTAGGGAAGATGGCGTCACGGCACCAGCGGTTTGATGACTCGAATCGCATCATACCTTTATACCCCCTGGCTACCACGTTAGGAACGGGAGATCGCAGACACCCTCGCAATCTATTGGATGAATAGGGTATGCACCCGTCCATCAGCCACGCACTCAAAGCTGCGCCTTTCGAAGGAATTTAGTGCTGGGCTGCATCTCTTAACCCCAACATCTCTGCATCTACTCGCATCCGCACACCTTGATGATACCGGCCGGTTCTTTTCCGGTGATGGACGCTGCCTTAAGAACGCCAAGATACAAAGAATCCCAGCAATACCAAGGCAAGAAAAAAGCATGAAGCAGCCTTGACCCTCGCAGCTTTGCTTGCTGGGCTAGATATGGAGAGCGGTGTAAAGAGCTGGCCCAATCCCGGTGAGACACCTTGGTCAGATTTTGCATGTGCATCAATGAGGGATTCAGCCTCATCAACTGTTGACTCCAGATGACTACGAGGCGTCTTTAGGGGCCCTGGCGAAGAGGTACGAGATGCAAGGAGCTGTAGAGTTTAAACGGTTTGGAGGGAAGAGAAAAAAACGTAAAGAACTTTTCCTGACTAGGGAAGGTGAAGGCGCATCGTATCATTCACTTATGGTGGGCTGTTCTTGCCCTATTTTAAATCACCCCAATGCGGCGACAAACACTGAGTGCGTGGAAGGAACCAGCCCTGGATCCGCCCCGGGTGTATAATTCCCGTTTGACGTCGTTTGTTTCTCTTCCTTGTGAAGGACACAGTTGATGATCCAGGACTCGGTATCCTTGACTAGATGCTATACGAAACGTGACGAAATTTCGGAGCGGCGTTGTGCACCAGCCGATTAACTTCCGGACACTCGCCGTTCCAGGTCCGTCCGAGTGGATCACGTCTCCTCATGCCCCTCCCACCCTTCTTTTTCGCCTTGCCTTCGACTTATCAGGCCAGTACCATGCTAGCCGTTCGAGAAGATGCCTTATGGTCAAGGAAGGCCTAGTTGCTAGCCCTGATGCCGTACGAGATGTCTTGCCTTACGCTGGTCGCCGTTGCGGGAGCTAGGAGCGCAGCGGATGGAGCCTGTGACTCGAAAGCCGCCCGAGGCGAAAGTTTTCTATTTAGAGCCGCAACTCGTGGGTCACCAACTTCCCACTTACGTCGTTCCGCCCTTGGCTCCCAAGCTGGGGCGGGAGATGTATACAGATGATCCGCAAGAAGATCGCAACTCGACTTGCGAACCGGGAAGAACTAGTCTCGCGGGCACTAACAACGTAGTTGGGTTTGCCCCTTTCTCCCTCTCCCTGACATCCCGGTGAGGGTATTCTGATCTTTCACCTGATGAATCGGGCCTTCCAAGGCGTAGGCCATGGACAACGGGTTGAAGTGCGGACGCTCGGCTAGCCATGTGAACAAGAACTGGTAGCTTCCAAGGAGAAATGATTTCTAGGAAAACTTGGGATATATAACACCGGACTCATCCATGACTTGGCGATAATAGAAGCTCAGTCTCAACTATTGAGTGTCAGCACAAGTCTACTCCCTATAGACATATTACAGCACATATATCATTAAACTCGATTTCGATTTTGCCCAACGCTCCCCTTTAGTAGAAGAACGTCAACATGGTTTCTAAGGCTATCCTTACCTTTGCCATGGCGGCATGCGCCGCCCAAGCTGCATCTCTCGCGAAGCGCGACTCCGGGACCTTGTTCGCCACTGAAACCACCATTTACGATGTTGGAGTCGGCTCGGCCATCTGCAGCCGCGATGGCGTAGTCCAAATCTACAAGTCTGATATCGACGAGGGCCGGGACAAGACCGCCCTCTTGACTTTTGATATTCCCGAGTCACTCGCCGGCCACACGTGCAAGTTGGGCTTCACTCTTGGCAACGGCTTTAGCGACGGCCAGTCAAACAACCTCCAGCTCTTTACCAGCCTCGAGGCCTCCCCTGCCTGCGCCATACCCGACGGTTACATTGCGAGCTACCCGCCCGGCAACTGGCGAGGCATCAACATTGGCGACATCGCCATCGGCGACCCCACCAGCACCATTACCGCCTATGGAGACTCTCTCTTGAAGGGTGGAGACTGCCCCGCGGGCCAAACCCTCGCCTTCGAGCTGGTTGGCCAGGGCCAGGACGTTTGGGTAGGGTTGAGTACGAAGGAAGAAGGCCTTTACATCGAATACAGCTAAGTGCTGGTGACCGGTCCGAAAAGACTGCGCTGAGATCGGCGCAGCCTCTATGAACTGGTCGGTAGGCGTCTTTGGATATGTTTTCTTCTTCTTCTTCATCTTTCTTTTTCGTCTTTCAAGTCGCTATTTTGGTACCTGTATATATCTAGATGGATTCGCAATGATTTATGGCTTTGGATGAAATGTGCCGGCCAACACTAGAGGCAAGTATGCTACAATATAAGTTGGGAAACTCCAGCGCTTGGGGCATCAACCGAGAGATACAAAACGTGGTGACATTCGTGTTAAGAGCTCTGCTCCATAGCGCCATCTCCTTCCCGTTCGACTCCAGGGACGACTTTTAGTTCGATATCCTGGAGTCGACGAGCCTATCGGCATCTAATCAATACCAATAGTAAGGTTGACAATTTGGGCGACAGTGGGCGACAAACGGCGTGTTTCCCGGTAGGTACATGGGTCACCTCACATCTGTATCGGGGCGGGAGAGTACAATTAAGCAAGGGCGAGGTGAGAGAAAATTTGATGAGAGGGAAGGGAAGGAATGCATTTGACTCGACACTCGACCCCGATCGGCGCGCTGCAGGCCAACAGCAGGTTTTAGATGCACAAGCTTAGCCTTTGCCTGCGGGTGGTGGAGGGAGAATTTCCTTGATCTTCTCGCCCTCATCTGCTGAATGATGACGATCCCAAAGAGAGAAGGAGAGAGTGGGGTACTTTGAAAGCAGGGACCGGCGCAAAGTGACATGATTGCAGTACCTACCTATACTCCCTTCCCCTTCCATCAAATCGCAGCAGAGCGGTCGGTATTCGAGAACGCGAGCATTCTCACATCAGTGTTGGTCCTCAAGCCTATCATGCTTGGGGATATGGCAAGCTGGTGCGCGGTCGAGAGAAAGTGTGTGTAAACATTTCCTTCTCAATCCCGGTTTACTCCTCTGTGACGAGAGTGCCCTTTAAAATCGACACTTCGGGTTGTCTTGTGCAATTCCAAATTCGAATCACCTACAGTCGTACAGTCCAATCTTCAGCTTCACTTCCCACATCATCGACTCATCAGTGCACAACCCGTCGGCGCGTGGTATCTCACGTGACCGAATCGATGCGGGCTTGACGGACTGTCCATTGTACATGTGGTCTGGCAAGTCTAGCTGGATTTGGGGGAAGTAAGATATGTCCGACATGGATGTATATATATGGCGGGGAAAAATAATTTGATAGAGCATGAATCTGGTAATCAAGTCGTCCGTCCTCCGTCATCTATCCATCGTCGAGCGCATGATTATAATAACATTTGACGACTTCAATATTGGCACAAGCAAAAACGAGTGTGATCCCCCTCCTTCCACACTTCCCTCTTTCGGGTTCCGTTCCCTTCCCCGCCAGTCCGCCCAACCGCCCAGGCTAAGGAGACATGATGGAGACATGATGTACCGAGTACATTTGTCGTCAAGGTATGATTAGCGCCCAGACTGCACAGCCCCCTCGAATCGCTTCAACTCCGCCGGTTCCCGGCCCAGCTGGGAAAATGGCATGCGTGCAATGTCTGAAAACTGCCCCTTTTGCGGTGGCTCTTCGCCCACCTGCTTCCCCGGACTGGGACATATGTCACTCCTTGAGCCCCTCTTAACCAATAGTCCTCGTGTCAAGGTCTAGGTACTGGATACTTGGATGATGGGCCTTGCAAGACATTTGGCCTATCTGGGACGCCCAAGTCTTGGAATTACGAAGGCCGCGCATGCTCAACCAGTGCTAGAGCTAGACTTTCTTTCTTTGGATAGCGGGCCCAGGCAGTTTGCGAGGCATAATGTCTAACGAGGTTGACTCCTGTGTGTGGATGCGCCCTCATTAATTAGTGTACTTGGCTCGACTCGCACCCCTGAATTTGGTGACCCCGTTGATTGAATGTTCTGAAGCCCGACCCACCAATACGAGAAGTACTGCCCAACTCGTGTCCATCCCTTCCTTTCCTCACTATCAACAACATTGAAGTAATTATTACTCACTTCCTCTGACTCTGATGAAGTGCTCCTTCGCATTGCAACACGAGCTGCGGATGGTGTTTTTTGGATTGAAGGATCGCTAATGTGGTGATGGGGATTTGTCTTTGGAGGGTTTGGTTTCGATCATCAAATGAATCTAATGGTGGATCCATCAATGATCCATTGTATTGATCCGTCTTCTCCCTTGATGAGGTATGGGGAGCAGCTTCTCTTCGCATTTTTCGCCATGTCCTGTGCTGGGTGCTGGTTGGCCTGTTTAAAATCATTAAATTGTCATTCTTGGGGAGAGTTCAACCGCGCCGTGTTCCTGGCGCTGCTGTGTTCCAATCCGTGGCGGGCTTGCGGGCTTACTTCATTTGTATTGACGCTGAGCCAGAACAAACAAGTGTACAAGCCATCAATAGTAGCGTACAGTGTGGCATACTGGATCTATTGTACGCTCATTCATGGGCGCTTTGCCCAGCTTTTGTTGCCGACCAAAGTACTCGCCCCCCTTTCTCAGTCATCTGGAACAAGACAACTTCCCATTTGTGTCGATTCCTTACCTTCCCCGACAATCCCTCTTTCGGCTTTGCGAGTCTCGTACCTCTTCTCCCTTCTTTCCCTTGGGCGATTTAATTATTTTCTTCCTCCAGTTTTTTTTCTTTCTTTCCCACCAACAAAACACCCACGCTCGTTCCTAGATTGTCCCGTTGACTCGATACGGGCATCTTGTCCTGCTTTGCTCGCTCGATTTCGACGACGAATCCCTTCGCTCACCTTGGCCATATCGATTTCGACCTCGACGTCAATTGCCGTTCTCACCACGGACACCGAACACGCCATCCCCTCCTTTCTCTCTCGACGTTTTATACGACGCCAACAGCCGCTGATCCCTATGAAAAAGGGGTTTTAATCGCTAGATTCCCAAGTTCCATTCGTTCCCTTTGCGCGACAAATCTGTCGGCCCGGCCAAGATGACTGTCTCCTCCGTCGCCCGCCAGAGCGTGGCACTTCTGCTCGCTTTGGGCAGTGTTGCGAACGCAGATACCTTCTACAAAATTGACACGGACGGTAATTCTCCCGCCCTTTTAATTCACATGCGTAATGCTTCATTTCTTCGTGGCCGGCTCTCCCGGACGTTGGAAGCTTTTGAACAGAGTTTCCATGTCTCACCTCTCCTCTTCTCCCTCGTCTATAGATGGCTGGAGAGGGTGGCCGTGCCTACACGCAGCGACAAGTTGGATGATACGGAGTTAGATCGGGGCACTGACAACCTACGACTTTATAGATGAGATCCGCGAATCCGCCCGAACGCTTGCGTACGATACCATGCTCTACTACCACGGAAATGAAACCGGCCAGACGCCCGGTATCCTGCCCGGCCCCCACCTGGCGGTGACTACTACTGGTGGCAGGGAGGTGCTCTCTGGGGAACGATGCTTGACTACTGGCATATGACCGGGGACTCGACCTACAACTCCATCATCAGCCAGTCCCTCCTTTTCCAGGTCGGAGAGGGTGTTGATTACCAGCCACGAAACCACACTGCCTCTCTTGGAAACGACGACCAAGCCTTTTGGGGCATGTCAGCCATGTTGGCCGCGGAGCTAAACTTCCCCAACCCTCCCTCGGACCAACCTCAGTGGCTCGCTCTTGCCCAAGCTGTCTGGAACACACAGGCCGACCCGGACCGACACGATGAGTACTGTGGTGGTGGTATGCGCTGGCAGATTCCTCTGTCGAACAACGGTTACAATTACAAGAACAGTAAGTTGCCCGTCCAATTCTTGTTATGCTCGCAAAATCTCTCGGCGAACCCGCTGGCTTGCTGTTTCGATTATTGCTTTTCGCCAAAAGACTCCAAGAGCCTTCTAACACCCTCGACTAGCTATTGCAAACGGTTGTTTCTTCAACATTGGCGCCCGTCTTGCACGCTTCACCGATAACTCTACCTATGCTAAGCACGCGGAAGATACTTGGGACTGGCTTGTGGGCGTTGGCTATATTGACGACAAGTGGAACGTCTATGACGGCGCTCACATCGAGACCAACTGCACCGACATCAACAAGGCCCAGTTCTCGTACAACGCTGCCGTTCTCTTGCAGGGCGCCGCTTTCTTGTACAACTATGTAAGTCCGCGCGCCGCGATGTACTCTACACACATGGAAATGCTAACTCCAACGCCTACCATCACAAGACCGAGAAGGATATCTGGCAGACTAGGATCAACTCGCTTCTTGACAGGACCATCGAAGTCTTTTTCGAGCATGAGGTCGCCTACGAGGTGTCGTGCGAGCCCGAGCTCACATGCACAACCGACATGTACAGCTTCAAGGGATATCTCCACCGCTGGCTTAACCAGGTGTCCCAGCTCGCCCCCTTCACCAGCGAAAGGATCCGCCCGCTCCTTAGGACATCGGCTGAGGCAGCCATCCAGAAATGCATCGGCGGAGACTCTGGACGCGCTTGCGGCTTCAGCTGGACCGCTGATGCCTTTGACGGCAAGATGGGCGCAGGCCAGCAGATGAATGTCCTCGCCGCCGTCTCCGGCCTTCTAATCGGCAGCGCGGGCCCCCACTCACTGCCAAGACCGGAGGTACCAGCCAGGGCGATGTCAATGCTGGCTCTAACAGTCCGTTCCAGCGCGAGCATAGACCCCTTACTACGGGCGACAAGGCTGGCGCTGGTATCCTGACTGCTCTTATCCTCGCCGCGGCGACAGGCACCTTTGGGTGGATGAGCTGGGAGAGGTAATGGAGAATCCCGCACTCAAGCACCCACCACAGCAACTACCAGGGACCTTGCTCGAAGACACACTCCTGCATTATCAACGGTCATGAGTGGTAGGATGGCATGGTCGCTTTAACATATTTCGGGATTGGTTTCACTTTTGCAACAAACAACTAAGCATGAGGATTTGGGTGAACTTTACAAACGGCGTAAGGAGTGCAAGGCAAACAATCGGAATCGATGTATTACCCTCAATACGAGAACATTTTTCTTTCCTCTCTTCATATCTTTGCTGGCTCGGATCTAGAGTTAGATCTCGACCGACGACTCTTCATAGTTACTTTCCTTTATACTTTTTCCCAATGTAGTCTCTTCAATTTAATGTACAATTCCATCTTTTAACTTGATGTCCAACCTTGATTTCCCTCTTAGGCCATCCACCGTGTATCAAAGCTGCCTAGTTCTAGCTTGGTTCTCCGGTTGTTGTGTAGTGGTCCCAGACGTATATTGTTCTGCTCCATTGGCATAGTCTTGATTTTGAAGCCGGCGACATCCAACCCGAGTGATGGGGCTCTCCTTGCAGAGGAGAAGTGGTTCCCCGCCATTTCTCGCCGCAGGCTATTTGGCTGTGTAAAATATTGTAATGCCCAGTCTCTATGATCGATGCGGGGTGTGGGAGGGAGTTTTAGCCTTGCCTGCTTCGAAATGCGTTTTCGAGCTGTATTTGCGCGTTTGTCGTGTCGTTGCCTCGCACAGATGAATACCCACTGATCACGACCTCGACGAAACAAGTTGGTTTCGTCTTGTCAACTTCTTCTTGGGCCCCTTCCTACCTGGCACGCACCTATTTTCACAGGGTGCACAACATTCTATTTTTCCCCCATCTTCCTTGAATTTTCTCACTTTTTTCTTTAGAATAAAATAAAAACCCCGCTATTCTTCCTACTGCAAGACGAGATCGCACAGGACGACGCCCCCTCTCGCCGGTCAGCCCGTCGTAGTCCACCCCCAAAAGGCTTATTAGAGGCAGGAAGAACCTCCGCACCCACCGCGAGCATGTCCCTCCTCGCCGACTTCTCTCTCGGCATCGCCAAATTCCCCTCCTTCGACACCCTCCCCAGCGCCACTAACCCCTCCGCCTGCCCGGAGCCCCCGCACCCCTGGTTCCTGGTCGGCCAGGTCGCCGAGAACATGACCATTACTCAGCCGACCCTCATCTGCCGGGATCGCGCGAGCGCTAGCTTCGCCCTGACCTTTGAGGAGCGGGACTTTAGCCTCGCCTCCTTCAAGAAGGGGCACACTGTCGTGGTCAAGGGTGCGCGGCGGACCGAGGGCAAGGAGGAGGGCAAGAGGGGTTCGTGACTGTCGCGAGGGGCTCCGAGGGCCCTGAACGCGTGAGGTGCTTGCCGGGACCGATGGATCGCGTCCTCGTCCTGGCGGGGGCCATGGAGCGCGAGGGGTCCTCCGAGGCGTGTGCTGTCTGTGGTGGGGAAGGGACGCGCAAGTGTACGGGGTGCGGCTGGGCGAGGTACTGCGGCAAGGTAGGTTGAGCGAGCAGGATGGAAAAAGTCGTTGGACTGGCCCGTCCCAAGCTATTATACCAACGGGGAGGCTGGGTTCAAATCGGGGAAGCCTGGCTTCTTTGCCTCGTGTGACGTAGTGCAAGAGAAGATGATGCTGACGTAGAATCTATAGGATTGCCAAGTGGTGGGCTGGACGGAAAAGGGCCACAAGGCCGACTGCAAGATTTACAAAGCATTGAGGGAATTGGATGATCTGGCAGAGTGAAACCAACTCAACTTGGAGGTATGAGATGCCCTATCTCCAAGGCTTCCCGCGACGCTCTTGCTCTGCGTAACTGTTTGGCAGCCGGGCGCAACGGAGATAGCCTCTTTGGGTAGCTTGTTGACCGTCCTGGGAGTGGGTGTTCAAAATGATAACACGAGAAGTCACGACCTATTCGTGGAGAGGTTCAAGCTCAAGCTCAAGCACGGACGTGAAGGGATGGAACGCAAAAGAAGAAGTCCATAAATAATATCAAGACACCGACATATTAAACCACCAGATATAGCTCTGCCCTCAGACTCCCGCCTGTTTGGTTTCTCATCAAGATGCCCTCACTAGAGATTAAAGCCATGATAGACGTAAACAGGACATCCGTTGTTACACCTTTTTTCTTCCCTCCTTCGCGCCCTTTGTTTGGTCCGGGGCAGGTCTCTCTGCCCATATTAAACAGTGGATATACTTTGAAAATATGTACAGAATATCGAACTGTGGGAATTATTAAAGGATAAAAACAAACAACTACTCGCCAACACGCCCACGTTCCTCATCTTGTCTGATTAAATGACATACTGTAACGCAGGTAAATTAGAGACAATGAAACATTGAACAATGTCCTTGACCAGATAGGTAGACTTACGGGAATGAAGAGATAGGGAACCTGCTTCTCGTACTCAAGCCAGGTCTCGCCGTACTTGGTACGGCACCTTCGGATGTCACGAGCAGCGCGGTGAGCAATCATGATGACGAAGAATAAGGGGTAGAACCAAGGGAAGGGACTCCTGCGAAGGTATCGTTAGTATGTTTGCATGATGAGGAAAAACAATCAACAAGCTGTCTGTTACGTACTTGAACCCGGTGATCAATCCCCAGCTGACGGCGAAAAAGACATCGGCGGTATAATGAATCTTTCGAGCAAGACCGTACCAGCCATCGACAAGAATAGTATCTCCCGAAGGGGTGGTGAGGGTCTTAGGGTTGTGGACAGTCTGCCACGGGACCTGGGGAAAGTGTTGCGCCAGACAACCTTTCCACGCTCCATGGCCCTAAACCTGTTCTTCTGGCTGTTGCAGCTGTCCCACACCCAGTACCAGAAGAGGTACGCAGCGTAGAGGGCAGCAAGGGCAAAGCGGTTCCACCTGTACCCAGCGGGGTCGTGGTTGGCGAGGTAGATGGTGCAGTGGCAATAAGAGAGGGGGACGCCGGCAAGATTCCAGAAGATGAGCATGAAGCCCCACTTCTCATAGTACATATCCCTGTGTAAGATGATTCGGTGGTTAGCTACGTTTGTTCCAAAACCTTGGACTGAAATGGGTTCCATTTGGGAGCTTACCAGGTAGTGACAATCAACTCCTCGCCCTTGGAGCAAGCGTTGGCGTAAAGATAGTGGGCCATGACGAGGAACATGACCTCTCCCGAAACGAAGCCGTACCTCTCATATTGGCGCGCGGCAGCACCGCAGCTGAGGAAGAAGAGAATGTACCAAGGGAGACGGACCTCGAAAAACATCTTGAAGTCGAGGACTCCGAACATGCGAGGGTTTAGCTCCGCACCCATGAAGAAGTCATAGATGGGGTAGCCAGTCATCCTGTGCTGAGCCCCGCGGGCGAGAGCCGAAAAGTACGCAATGAAGCTGACGATGAACCCGCTGAAGATGGCGACGGAGAGCAGTGGGCCAAACTCGTCAATCACCGTGTACAGAGGGAAGACGCCGGTGTAATGCAGGAGACCGGCAACGACAATGTTGAAGTAAAGGCTGGTGTATGCGCTGCAATAATACTTGAGCTGCATTCCACCCGCATGTGGGAGAGGCTTGCCCCAAGCCCAGACACCCGGCAACAGACAGTAGCATGCTCCTTCAAAGATGAAAAAGTCCAGTAGATAGTCCATGCCCTGACGGAGGGGTAGGCACCGGTGTAGACGAGGTTGACGAGATGGTTTCCGAAGTCCGCCCAGCTCTGGCCGGCCTCTGGTCGGGGATGCCGCCGTCGTAGTATGTTGCGCCAATCCACATGTACCACATGAGAAGCGGGAAGCCGATCATCAGGCCGAGGGTACCAAGGCTCCCGCCGAACTCGAACTCGCCAGAGTAGTCGATCTTAGGGTCCTGGCCAGGTATCCAGCCATCAACGACTGAATGGGCGACGCCCTCCTTTTCAGAATGGCCATTGGCAGCAGCCTTCTCAACAGGCTGCGTCTCGACCGGAGTTGCCTGGACGGGCTCGACCTTTCGTCCTCACTCATGTTCTCGACGAATCTAGCTGTCCTCCTGCGAGTAACGCGGGGGCTGGCTTCGCTGTCGTGTCCGCCGCAGAGCTCGAGTCACTGTCCTCAACAGGCGCCGGCGTCGAGCGACGCGAGACTCGGCGAGGAGTCTCAATCATACCTTCGAAGAGCTCCTTCTTTCTATGTAATGGATGACACCGCGGGTTAGCGACAAGTCCATACGACTAGGCAAGAATCCCGGCGGGTTGCGGTCAGACAGTCCCTATGCGCGGGGATTGTGGACTTCTCGAGTGCTGATAGGGGTAGAAAGAAGAGACATACCGAGGAGTCTGGCGAAGTGAGTACCGACCCGACATGGCGATGGCTACAGAAAACCTGTTATAAGATATATGGGTGGATATATATCCTATTACTACTCAAGGGAGATGAGAAAGAAGAGAAGCCTTCAACTAGGAACCAGAGGCATCCGAGGCTACAGACACATGATTCAACGCAATGCCAATGAGGGAATGTGGATGCGAGGTGGATGTGTGTCCTTTGCGATCTCGCCCAGGGTCCAAAGAAAGCGCGAACGAAAGAAAGGGAAAAAACAATATAATCAGAGCTATGCTTGTCTTCACTCCCGTCCACACAGCCAAAAGTGCCGGTCTCCAGGGGCGATCAGTGGGCAGGTGCTCCCCGCAATGTACAGACCACCAAAATTAGGCGAGTTGGTACTTCACAAATTCATGAATTGTCTCTTGGTGGAACCGCACTGGTGACTTCTAAATGCCTTGCCCCTGAGCCCAGACCCAGGGCAGGCTGAAGCCCCTTGTGGAGCCAATTCAGCCAACGGCTTGATTGCTGGGCTGGAGAACATCAAAGCTTGCAGCTACGGCGCAGGCCGGGGTATTGGATCCGAATACGATTAACCAATTGATCGACACCAAAGCTAGTGGAGGATTGGGGGATGGATGCCACTTGGAATATCTGCTCTCCAAAATGCGTCTTTTGTTTTCAGCTGTCAATTCTTTTCATGTTACCTTGCCTCCCCATGAGAGCCAGAGGTTGTTAGAGTCGCACCATTTTGCCAGCCATTCCACAAACAAATGGCTGGTGTATTTCGATGTGGAAATCAATAGGATTCAAGCTTGCTTGTGGAATGACCTCAATATTATGGGAGGGCCCGCGCAACTGTTTTCTGTTTTCTTTTTTTCCAAGAGGGGAGATTAATGCCGCCTGTACAAGTAATTATGGGCCTGTGGATCTTCATGGGTAGAAATATAACGTAATAATTCTGACTAGGCGGCAGCGTTAGTCAGAAAAGTTCTGCCATTCTGGTGATTGGGGCACCCGCACACCGCTTTCGAAGGAATATATAATGGCACACACTCCTCGAGCTTTTGGTCTTTTCTTCTTTTCTTCTTTAGCTCTCTTTGCCTGTACGTTCCTACCCCTACTATGAAGACAATCCGCAACTTTCTCGGCATGGTGCTAACCTCCTCGACTACAGTTTGGCTTAGATCAAGTGTAGTATCTGTTCTTTTCAGTTTAATCTCTGAAAGGTCTCTAAGGAGACCAATCGTGATTAATCTTATTTTTGCCTCTCGGGAGAAGTCCTCTGTGCTTGCGCATGGCTTCACCCACAGTGTCCCTGGTATTACACTGCCTCCAGGCGACGCGAACCTCTGTTTTCATTGCTTTCCAAGCTTGTCTTGGAGTGTGAAGAAGGCGTTTTGAGTTCTTTTAGATTGTAGAGTGTGGGATGGGCTAGGGTCTGAAGTAAATGGAGCTGGTCAAATCCCGTGAGGTGCGTAGTCGAATGGGAATCTATCTATTCGTGACGTACTTGAGTATAGCTGCCAACGCGTGCCCGAAGAGCTAGGAGATGCATGTATAACCTTCATCCGCTCATCTCATTCTCGTAACTTGAACAAAAAACTCAAAACCATCCCTCCAAATCCTTCCCACAATGTCAAGCGGCTCCCCTTCGCGTCTTTTGGATCCTGCCATTTTTCCTGATCTCAAGGACAAGATCGAGCAGGAGACCCAAGTCAAGGATGCTTTGACTCAGATCGTCCAGAAGCTTGAGGCTACCAATTCGTATGCACAAGGATTGCTCTCCCGCATCCATGCTACCCCCGCCAACATTGTGAGTTTCTCCATCATGGAAATTGCTGTTGCCGCACTTGTAGATTGGTGGGCGTGATCCAAAACACCTCCTGGCATCCCTAGTCTAACGTATGCTCCGGACGATCTCCAGACCCTGGTCTTCTCGCCGAGGTAGAGCTCGAGGTGAAGAAAGAGATTGAGATCATCAAGGAACTCTCTGATTATGCCTCCCAGCACCCTTACTACAAGTACGTCTTCTTCCGATTCGACCATCATTTCTTCATGTCATCATGCCTAACGTTTTGCTCCTTTCCTACAGATACAATCAAAAGTGGTCATGGACCATGAATCATGTCCTCTTTACCGTGATCCTCTGTGGATTTCTTGGTGGAATGGCAACGGAAACTAAGCCCGGTGAATTTGGTCGTCTCTTGACCCCTGACGACATCAGCGAGATTCTTCAAGGTAATCCAGACCTTCCCCTGATAGCCTAGCCCGTTCCACCTTGTAGTGTATGCTCTATTTATTAACCCGCACTATGAACTGTATAGTTCCGGTGAACGTCAAGGACCGCGATGTCTTCCACATCACCATTGAAGAATATCTGACGGCCCTTACGATGCTCTGTGATGAGCTCAGCCGTCTCGCCACCAATAGTGTAACCCTAAAGGATTTTGATCAAGCCGTGCAAATCCAGTCGTTTGTCAAGGAGCTCTTTGGTGGATTCCTCCTGCTGAATCTTAAGAATGACCCCTTGAGGAAGCGCGTCGACGGAGTCAAGTACGCCGTGAAGAAGACTGAAGAGATTGTCTATGATTTGACTGTGAGGAAGCTGGTGGCCCCTCCTGGTGACGCTTCCAGCTCAGGCGAGATGGTGGGCTAAAAGAGATGAGGCAGCCCCGCCCCTGCGCGTTTGCCAGAGACAACGTCACAGGACAGAGGCATGCATGTGGCTATGATGCAAACTAGCAATTGTGCATTCCCCAGGCCCTCCCCACACGACTTCCTCCAGGACAAACAAAAAAGAACGATGCGGATGAGCTATCGACAGCCAATATAAAAAGAAAAAAATGTGGATTAAAGAAACGCGGCACTAGACGTTACCCTCGAACCAGCACACACCTCGACGCAGTGCTATCACAACGTCGTTGATGCTAGTCCACCGTCCGAAATCAAACTCAAATGTTGTCACAGTAGAGTACATAAGACCAGTGCAAAGAACCCTGAATGCTTCCTGTGATATGCTTCCCAATGCCTTGCCGGTACCCTTTCCGATGGCATCCCATTTAGACTACCCATTATTCTTGAGGCGACCTCCGATGAGGCAGTCCGTCACCACTTCGCTGGGCAACCATTAAGCATTTCCAATTTGACACAAGCACCAGGCTGCGCTCAGCGTCTGTAGATCAGTGCCTAGTGCCAGATCTACAAGGCCGCTGAGGGGAACAAGGTGCGACGCTCGGTATAGCCTCTCCTTCATTCCTTACGCCACTTAGCACTGGGTGCCTGAAGTCGCCTTCGAGTTCATGAGAAGAGCCACGATAAGACCATAGAGACCTAGAAAGGGCCGGGCGGTTAGCTATCAGGTACAAGCGTGCTTGCGGTGTTGTTCCTGAAACAAAAGAAAAAAACGTACCCAAGACTTCGGCGAAAATGAGAATCAAGATCATGCCAACGAAGAGGCGGGGTTGCTGGGCAGTACCACGAACACCGGCATCACCAACGATGCCGATGGCGAAACCAGCAGCGAGACCGGAGAGACCGACAGAGAGACCGGCACCGAGCTGGACGAAGCCAGTGTACAGGGGAGAGCCTGTTGGAGGTTGTCGGAGATAAGGACAGAGACGACGAGACCGTAGATACCAATAATACCAGCCATGACAACGGGGATAATGTCTATGGGCGTTGTTAGAAAAATATGTCTCAGCTATTAGGCCAGTCCAGCGACAACATACTCTTGACGATAAGGTCAGGTCGGAGAACACCGGTGGCGGCAATTCCGACACCAGACTTGGCAGTTCCGTACGAGGCACCGAGGCAAGTGAAGACGATAGCAGCCGTGCAACCCATGGCGCCAAAGAAGGGCTGTAAAGTGGTTAGCGAGGAAGTTACAGATTAAATGGCCCTCAATGTTGGGTTTGAGGGTCGTCGATTCAGAGGTTCGCCATCGCGGGATTTCGGTAACGCTTGGACAGCTCGGAGAATTAACTAACCGCATAGACAGGGCTACATCGTGGTACAGTTAGCTTTATATTCTGTAAAGGATGAGAGATGGATGGAAAACAAGCGAGGATCGTGGCGTTGGAAGCTATCGATGATGCGGTTTGCGAGGCAGAGAGGATGACGACGATGGAGAGAGAGCATAACGTACCAAGCCTCAGTGATCTTAAGACCTCCTTCAGACATTTTGAAGAATTATGTAGTAGCTACGAAAGCGATAGAAGTGAATAGAGAAGGAAAAAAGTTGAAAGCGAAGGGATCGAAGAAATCGAAGAGATCGAAAGGATGGGGGCGAAGAAAGAGATGTTGGTGTTTTAGCTGTAAGGATTGGCAGGAAGCTCTGGAGCCGGGGAGCAGGTTCGTTTTGGTCGAAGGAGAGCACTGGATGCTGGCTTGGAGCGCCATTTGATGACAGGCAAGGTTTTGATTCGAGGCCCCTAAGGTTGAATGCAGCTTGTCACGTGAAAGCACGGATCAACTTTAGCCTTCCCTGTTTTTCCCTTTGTTTAATCGCTGGAAGGCGCGGCTAGTTCCTTGCAGCTCTGGCTATTGGTATCAGCTGTAACCAGCCTTCCACCACCAGAGAAAGTAGGAAAAAAAAAAGAGTCTGAAAAAAAAGTTGTCTGCACCGCCGTTCTTCACTCTTTTCCTTCTCCAGCAACTTTTACACACCGCAACACCGTCACCATTCCTTGACATATTCAAATCAGAGGATCAGGGCGAGCAAACTAGCCGTGAACCCTGAAGAAAATCCACTTTCAACTTCACCAAACCAATAATTAGCGACAATGGCTGACGAGAACGGTGCTGGTAAGCACTTTCACCCCACTTCTGTGTGCTCTCTAGATTCGTCGTTGCTAACTTCACAACAGCCTGGCCCTTGGCCGATGCTTCCCTCGAACAGGAACTTCTTGACCTTGTCCAGTCCTGCCAGCGTAAGCCCTAAATCCTCCATCATCTACAATTCCAAGTCCGCCACAAGATCTGGCATGAGAGTAGTACTTTGACTAACAAACGTCTCCAGACGCTCGCCAACTCAAGAAGGGTGCCAACGAGGCTACCAAGTCCCTGAACCGTGGTGTCTCCGAGCTCATCATCCTCGCCGCGGATACTTCGCCCCTCGCCATTGTGCTCCACCTTCCCGTCCTTTGCGAAGACAAGAATGGTGAGTGAGCCCCTCGTGGTCACGCCAGCACCCATGACACGACCTCCCATGCTAACTGTTATCTCCTCTTCCTTTCCAGTTCCCTACATCTACGTTTCTTCGAAGGTCTCGCTCGGCCGCGCCTGCGGTGTGAGCCGCGCTGTCATTGCCGCCTCGATCACGAGTAACGAGGGCAGTGAGCTCGCTGACAAGATCAGGAGCATGCGCGAGAAGGTCGAGAGGGTTGCCCTCTAAGCTCATGATTGCATGACGATAGAAGGGAAGGTTGGAACAAGGCATACTAAAGAGCTTAATATGACCAATACCATACACCTGAGCGTCCAAGCGAAGGTCAAAGGGCTGGTCTAAGCTTATGGTGATGGATGTCAGTGTTATATGTGCTAAGTGTACATGGATCAACTCATTCAACTATAACCATAGTATAGCTGTGGTGGAACTTTGAGAAGAACAAGAGATAGACAAGCATCCTCTTTAAAAGATAAAAAAAATATAAACAGAAAAAAGCCGAGCGTCTTTGTCTGAGGCGTAGCGAAGCACTTAGTATCCTCTGCCCGTTCGTTGTGATTTGAATTGGTCGTATCAGTTCGGAAGGCACAAGCCGGCCTATGTTATTGATGTCAATTGATGGAATCGATCACTATGATCCATGGATGTTTTGGGCCTCTCTATTGATGGATGTTGTCCGTCCTCGGCCTGCGTACCCCACTAATGCTAATGCTCCAAGCCCAATGATCCCAGCACCCCACCATCCAGCACATTGACATTGGGTCATTCGGCTTACATTGATTAAGCACTTCCTGCACTCCGATCGCCCTCATCGCCTGGTTTGGGTCCTCTATGACGACCAGCGTGCGTCTTGACTCTCGCAACCCGAGAACTCCCCGAGCTTCACTTAGGCCTGAAGCTTTGTTCGCGAGGTGTGCTCACGCTTTCATTACCAAATGTTCATAGAAATAAAGGCTATGATCACTTCTTAATTTCAGAATGGCCATTGCGCGCAAAGTTGTCGTTTCCGCTCACGGCGAGGGCGTCATCCTTCATACGGCACCTTCCAAGACCCAGCGCTCATCCCAGCAGTTTTTGATCAAATATGCAGACGGTGCGATCGCGCAGCTACCGCGTGACAATGCGACCGGTCTCACGAGCTCCTCGCCGTCGTTTGAAGCCTTTGGTGTCATAGGTATGCTCCGGACCCCGCCTCTATCCTCCCTCCCCGAGCGCTGCGTTTCTTCTCACGCCGCGGCAGCCGGCCCCAAGCCGCAACCTCAGTGCTGCGTGGACTAAACAGCCCGTGCCAACTGTTTTAGGTATCATGTCTGTGTTGGGCCAAAACTTCCTCATTACTATCACACGTCGTGAACAGGTTGCGCAGATCGAGGGATTCCCCGTCTGGGTAGTGACGGGGTCGCCATTACCCCTGCACGTCTCGAGCCGAGGCCGAAGCGTCGGTTGTGAAAACGGCCCAAAATCTCACAAAGGAGGCTAACGAGAAGGCGCTCGAGGACAGCGACGCCATCGAAGACGAGGAAGAGGAGGTGCCGCGCCATAGCGACGATGTCGACGATATTGTGCACGTCGAGCGCAACCCCGAGTCTACCCCGTCGGGGGCGAACCCGTCACAAGCACCGTAGCCGAGGATGTCATCCGCCGGCGAGGGAGTTTCGGGAGATTCGCCCAGCGCTGGTTCAGCAAGAAAGGGTGGGCTCTCGACCAGCAGCGGACCATGGGCCTGAGCAGGCCGCCGGTGGAGCAGGACCCTGCACCTGTCGCGGCCAAGCAGCCGCGAACCTCCGAGGAGAGCCGTGAGGGGATGGCGACCAGCCTCCTCCCGAAACTCTTGGCCACCGCCGAAATCCTGTTCGGGTCGTCCAAGAGCTTCTTCTTCTCGTACGATTTCGACATCACGCGGCGCTGGGGAGAGGCCAAGCCCTTTGCGCCCGAGATCCCCCTCTACGCCCAGGTGGCCCCCATGTATTTCTGGAACAGCCATCTGCTCCAGCCCTTCCTCGCCGTGGGGGCAGAGTCCGTCGCTTTGCCCCTCATGCAGGGATTCATCGGGCAGAAATCATTTGCCATGGACAGCCAGCCCCCGCAGGTCGACGACTCCGAGCCCGAAGCAATGGAAATGTCGACCCTTTTGGTCAGCAACTCCGTTCCGACATCGCCGCCGAGCGAGCCAGTCAAGGAACTTCCAGAGCGCCGACCAACCGAGAGAGACTTTTTGATTACCGTCATCTCCCGTAGATCAACGAAGAGAGCCGGCCTCCGCTACATGCGAAGGGGCATCGACGAGGACGGGTACACCGCGAACTCGGTGGAGACGGAGCAGATCCTTTCTACGCCTTCGTGGAGCTCGTCTCCGCCCGCCGGGACTAAAGTCTACTCCTTCATGCAAGTCCGCGGGAGTATTCCCGTTTACTTTACGCAGTCTCCGTATTCTTTTAAACCAGTCCCGGCCATCCAGCATTCCCGAGATGCAAACTACATGGCCATGAAGAAACACTTTGATCACCTCAAGCAAGCTTTCGGTTCCGTCCAGCTCATTAATCTCGTTGAGAAGCACGGCCCAGAGGCCATCGTGGGCGGGGCCTATGCCGACCAGGTCGAACGTTTCAATCGAGAGGCTTCCGATAGCAGCAAGGTAGCTTTTGAGTGGTTCGACTTCCACGCCGTCTGCCGTGGTATGAAGTTTGAAAACGTCAGCCAGCTGTTGGAAAAGGTAAAGGGTACGCTGGACGAGTTTGGGAGCACCGCTGAAGCGGATGGCAAGGTCGTCGCCAAGCAAAAGGGGGTTATGAGAACGAATTGTATGGACTGCTTGGACCGAACGAACGTATGCCAAAGCATGTTTGCAAAATATATGCTCGAGTCGCAGCTGCGCGAGGAGGGTTTCGATATGAGCGCCCAGCTTGACCAAAACGCCTGGTGGTTCAATAACATATGGGCAGATAACGGCGATGCCGTGTCAAACCAGTACGCCTCTACCGCAGCGATGAAGGGTGACTACACTAGGACGAAGAAGCGTGATTATCGCGGGACCCTCAATGACTTGGGCCTCTCCATCACAAGGTTTTATAACGGGTAAGTGGGAAAATATTTGCGAATTCCGTCCCCCTTCCTCTCCTCCCCCAGCCGCTAAAAGGGAACTGTTTATTATCTAGGCTCGTGAACGATTACTTCAGTCAACTAGCCATCGACTTTCTCCTAGGGAATGTCACGGCCCTCGTATTCTCCGAATTCGAAGCGGACATGATGACCAAGGACCCAGCCGTATCCGTGGTGAAGAGGAGGGAGCAGGCGATAGAGCTTTGCCAGGACCGCGTAGTGGGGATGAGAAGGAGGAGTTTATCGGTGGATGGGCCGTCCTCGCACCCCCAGTATCCGGCGCCATACAGAGCCAGCCGCTCGAGGAGTCCATTCTCCTGCTGACGGACGCAGCCCTCTACCTATGCCGCTTCCACTGGGACCTTGACAGGGTCGCGTCCTTTGAGCGCGTCGACTTGGCCCACGTCGTAGGGATCAAGTTTGGCACGTACATCACGTCTACGATCTCGCCCGTGCACATGGACGAGGAGAAGAACGTGGGATGCGTGATATCCTACGAGCCTGGAAAGTACGACTTCAAACGAACAAACACGCGGACTCTCGCGAACCTCGAGGGCGCGCGCAAGTCACACCAGTCGCCCGATTTCGGGAGCGGCTCGATATCGGGAGGGTTCGCGAGCTTCTTCTCGGGCGGGAAAACGCGAGAGGGCCCCGTCATACGCAAGATTGCGCTCAAGGCTCCGTACTCGCAGTCTTCCCTGGCCAAGGACGGCGACGACCTCCGACAGACAGAGATCCAGCAGATCGTCACCATGTGCTCCGAGATCGAGAGGCTGGCGTTCAAGGCACAGGGAAAAGACCCGTCTGAGGAGAAGGGCATGATTGAGAAGGAAGAGATCATCTCGCTAGAGGAGGCGAGGCGAAGCACGGGCTTGCTAGAACAGCTGGGGCATTCGATCAAGCGCATGGTGTGGGCGTGAAAGCATCTTCATTTCTTACTTCATGAAGTATATTTTTCTTTGTCACTCCCGCCCCCTTCTTTTATCCATACAGTTCTATAGTAGCTGGTATATAATCTTTTCAACATTAATCATGACGTACAATGTCCGCGCACGGCGGGGAGCCTTGAGATTACTCAGGGGTGTGCTTTTCGTCGGGCGATCGAACAAGGCGGTATAGATGAAGTTGATATCGCATGTTTTCGAGCGGTATCGGGTATGTTAGTGTGTCGTTGAGGCGGAACCAAGTCGACTCGCTGGTTTCGATCCTTTCCCAGATATCCTCCAGAGATTTACTCAGTGTATGGTGGAGGAGCCACTGCATGGGATACTTTCTCGCCTGGGCTCCAACACCAGTCTCGGAGTAACTCCCCGGGCTGTCCACCACGAGGAGCAGCGTGCCGATGGGGACGCTGGAGCTAAGGTTGAGGAGGAAGGTGGTCGTCTTGCCTATACCGCCTGAAGTGTAGAGTTCGTTGAGGGTAAAGAGGATGGTTATGAGAAGAGGCCTGTCGCCGACTAGTTGCGCTAGCTGTGCCTTATCAATGGAGAGCACGTCAACCTGGCTGAAGGTCAAGGGCATGGAGTCGGCTGCGACGACGGGCCGCGCATCAACGTCATCGGGGTGCTTCGTGTACTTGGATATCTGCCGTGCTGTACAGGTTGTCAGCGTGTCGTAAAGGCGCCCGACTACGGACGCCCAAGGCCCGGAATCGACGAGAACTATCTCGGTGCTGCCCATCGACTTGTGCATCAGCAAGGTGGAAAAGGCCGCGAGTTCGGCGGCACCGCCGCCAATGGAAAGCATTCTCAAGGGGCGGCTGGGGCACCGCGAGTTTTCGCCTTCCGCAGCATCACCAAGCTCTTCGGGGACACCTAGATTGAAATCTCCAAGATGGCTGCGGAGGCCTTCTATTATAGAGGCGTAGCACAGAGAACGTGTCGGGCTCCATCGGCATGCGTACGACGCGAGATGGCTTTCGGTGGAAAAGGCGGCCTCAAAGTCACGACTGTACAAAGCTCCCTTGATAATTTGAAGTGTGGCGTCGAGGTTGCTATCCGCCAACTCTTTGGAGAAGGTCCGCGCGAAGAGGTCGAGTAGTAGTTGTTGGGTCCTGAGCTCGAGCTGGGTGTCGGCGGAGACCAGATGATTCTCTATAGCTTCCGCCGGTTGGGCTCGAGCCTTGCTACCAGGTGCGCCATTGTTTGAAGATTTTCCCTTCTTAGATGACTCCTTGGCCGCTCCCTTGGATGCCCCGCCCCGAGAAGACTGAGCCTTCTTCACCATGTCGGGCTGGGCTGTTCTTCGGACAGGTTGGTGGGATTCCGAGGGCCTTCCTTTGCTAGGGTCAAGGCTGTCAAAGGGATTTCAAGCCAGACACCCTCCCCCACTCTCTTTAAGAGAGGACCAAATTGAGCTAATTGGATGGGTACTCTCGTGCATATGGAAAGCTTTGCGCACTTATCACTAGCCCCTGCCGATGACATAGACTGGTGGGGGCTTCGTTTTTTACTCAGGTCTCAGTTCCTTCGACCTAGGACGGGAGCGGTAGCGGTCGCGGCGGTGGCCTCACTACATCCAATGATTTCGCAGCGAGTACAAGTAGTTCGGAGGGAGATTCCTTCCAATTCTCTGATAAACGACAACGAGAACGCTATCTCTTCGAGTCATCGAGAGTGGAGGGCCAAGAAAAAAAAAGGCTCCAAGGCAGTCCAGGAGAGGGTGGGCTAACACCAGATGGTGGTGGGGCTCAACCACGGATTTCCGCGCACTAGCTATGTCATCAATTGATACTAAAAGGGAGCAACTTCAACAATTCATGGGCAACCATCTCCTGCCGAGTCCCCCCGCTTGGCCCCCATCAAGAGCAACAGAGAAAATTTTAGTTTGGGACAAGAACCTGGAAATATCAACCAGAACTAACATTGCGATGTACCCTACCCAGTGGCAAGGGCGCTAAACCTAAAGAGCGGATAAATGGCAGAGCTTGCTATCGCGGTGGGCTGAAATTGCACAGCGGCCCGCCACAAGGTGCGCGTGAGATCCATTGGATCCTTACCTTGTGGTCGCCGGTTTGGACGTCGCTGTGCCAATGTTCCATGTCTGATACGGTCTTATGGGAGGGTGAACCTATATTATGAGCATCGAGGTGGTTGGAACTGTTGTGGGCAGTGGTATCAACCAAGGAGTAATGGCTGAGGCAACGATTGAGGCAGTCTCGGTAGAACTGGAGCCATCCATGGCACACACAGGACAGATGCTACAACTCGAAGATCAGCCCGAGTTTCATTGTGTGGGCCCTTGCTGGCGAGGGAGCTCAGTACAAAGTTTGTATCCGTCAAACCACCATAGCGAGCCTCTTTGACGAAACTGGACGAAACTGAATAACTCGAGCTTGGTCTTTTTGTCCTCCCCGAGGTGAACGAGGACTTGGCCATGCTTGCAAGGGCGGCAACAAGATCAGCCGTTCCAATGATAGCTGCTCAAGGAGTGCCGTTGGGGCATTTTCTTCTCGACAACTACCGCGGCGGGTATGCCGCCAGCATCCATTGCATCGGTGGATGCGCGTGGGCTCCAATTTCGTGAATTTGTTTCTGTCCTCCCTCACCCATGTGGACATGGTTGTTGGGAGGGTGGCTGGCCAGCGCAGGGCCAGTTGGGTGTTATTAGTATTACTCGAACGGTTTGACGGATCCATAGATCCATTCCATCCATCCAGAGATGGATCAAATGAATCCAGACGGGGCCAGTATCTAGCGGCATCGGCGCCAGCAGGGTGGGCGTGAAAAGTTGGAGGAGGGAGGGGTATGTTGAATGTTGGCGTTGCAATATAACCCCTCCAGTTGAAATGCGTAATCGGCGCGCTACTGAAGGTTTTACCCCTCGTATGGAGGTCGCTTCCGCATACATTTGGGGGTTCACCCATGGACCCTTCGTTCATTGCTCAATTTTTACTTCCGAAGGGGGAGGGGGTATCTATCTCACAGTGTTTCCTATCCATTAGATGTTTTTATTTTCTCCTACGTTCTTTCCCAACCACTTTGGTCTGGCGAATGGGCGGACTCGGAAATGGGGTAGTTGCGAGATTTTTTTCTCTTCCCGTTCGCTTCTTCCCCTCCGAATCACCGACCGCGGGGTTGTGGCGGACCTCCATTGCCAGCACTGGTCAGCCAAAGCATTGGGGCGACTTTGATGTCAAATTCGAAACGAACGTCACATCCACTGATCTCTTACAAATCGGCTGTTGTGTTTTGCACGTTGCACGGCTAGATGAAGCGCTCCACACTTCTAGGCCTTTTCGGCCCTCATGGACGACTTGTAGAAAGTGGATATCGATTTGATCGCCACTAGACCTGGATAAAGCTTGCACTCGGAGCTGCGGCGGCGAGGCTAAAGCCAGAGCACCCTCGGGGCAGGCGGAAGGCGCCCTCAGCTTGCTCGCAGGCCTTGAGGGCAGCGTTCGTCTGGCTGGCCTCGCATCGAGTGCAAGGGCGTTCTCGGCCATTCTCTATAGCCACAGGCGTGATTAGTGTTTGACAGATCAATAATAAAGGTAGAAAGAACTCGAGGTCGATGTTTGGTGGCGAGGTTGTGGTCAAGATTTGACTGGGACTTGGGACAATGATGGAGGGGATGGAAGCTCCGGAACTCCTGGTCTACCGATCGCCGTCTACCTGATCTACCCCCATACTTTGCCTCCCATCTGACAATCTTGCGATACTGACTCGGACGATGACACCGCGCATCGAATCCGGGCACCGCTCCTGGGCATTGCTTCGACCTGCCACTGGAACATTTTCTTTTGCAATTGAATCTGTGCCGAGCCGAACCGATTTGCTCCAATGGGCCAATGGATTTCTCTGAAAGAGCACGCGCCCTCTTTGCAGTCGGGCACCGCAAATACCGGCAGAAACTCTCCCCTCTCCGGCGGCCAGGCCAGTAGATCCATGATATACTACGACACTTGTGAAGATTTCTTTGACTTATTACACACATTCTACACACATTCTACAGGCCCCAATGTTTGACCAACATCCGAGCTTGGATAATATGATCTACCCCACCCGAGCGCAAATGTGTGTCAGATGGAGGGTGCCCGTCTGGGCCTTGGGCCTTGGGTTTGGAGGAGGGATTGCTTGCTAAGGCTGCGTGTGCTGTGTTTAGTATCGAGGTTCGATAATGGGCGTGGAGGCTCGGCCCTCGCTCTCGTCCCCTTTTTCCATTGTAACTCTCGCCCATTCCTTCACTTGAGACGGAAAGGAGCTTCATTCTGCATTATGGATGTATTGGCACACCAAAGTCAACCCCTCGACTCGTGGCACCGGGAGTGCGGGTGTGGTACAGACACCCCTCCCTCCACCTCCCCTCCACCTTCCCTCCACCTCCATCCACCTCCCATCTCCAGTGCCAGCTCCTTCGACTCTCCGTGCTGTCCTGTCTTGTCCTGTCCTGCCCCCCGCTTCCTCTCCCTCGCGCGCAGCCCCCAGCGTACCTCCCAAAAAGATTGTTGCTCACTAACACTTCGGATCAATCCATGCACTTTGCCTCCTGCTTGATCCTCCATTTTTCCAGACTTTTTCTGAAAATTTTACTTTATCCCTCGTCAAGACCCTTTCTCCTCTTTCTCCTTTACACTTTCCAAAGCTTCATTTCCATCCTACAACTACGCAAAAGCCATTGTTCCTTTTTCCTATTCAGAGATACCATCATCGTTTTACAGCAATCATGTCTGGCAACGTCGACCAGCTTGCCATCAATACCATCCGCATCCTTGCTGTAAGCTCTGCCCCTCCAACCCCACCTTTTTGCTCTCCTTGGTTTCCCCTCCTCTGCCACCCAGCCAGCTTCGACGCTGCCGTAACTCTCGTGAAAATGCCCTCGCTGCCGACCTGGGCGCCAAACCCACATCGGCTTCCCACTTCACCCAATTGAATATATCTTGCTAACAAGGTTGCTTGTAGGCGGATGCTACGGCAAACAGCAAGTCGGGCCACCCCGGCGCCCCTATGTTAGTGACCCCGCGACCATGCGCCTCTCCCGAATTCATGTTGCTGACAGCTGTTTTAGGGGCATGGCTCCCATTGCCCATGTTCTTTTCGACAAGTTCATGAAGTTCAACCCCAAGAACCCCGAGTGGCTCAACAGGGATCGTTTCGTCCTCTCGTAAGTAGTGTATTCTCGCCATACTCTCTCCTACCACCGCTGGGCCGCCTGCCTCATTTTTCTTATGAGGAAGCGGCTTACGGCTGGGGTTGGGACGGGGTGGTGCCTCCTCCCAAGAGCTTCTGTTTTCTAACTGCGGCGGGCTGTCGCCCTGCTTCTTTTTCCTTTAGCAACGGTCACGGCTGCATGCTTCAGTATGCTGTCCTCCACCTCTTTGGCTATGATCTTAGCATGGACGACATCAAGAACTTCAGGGTGCGAACCAAACCCCCAACCCCCTTCTCCCCGTCTTCCCTTTATGTGTCTTGCAACTCGAACATGTGTCTAATGTGCGCAATTCCTCGGAACAGAAAGTCGGCAGCAAGACTCCTGGTCACCCCGAGGCTCAGGACACCCCCGGCATTGAGGTCACCACTGGCCCCCTTGGCCAGGGTATCTGCAACGCCGTCGGTCTTGCCATGGCCCAGGCCCACACTGCTGCTGTCTTCAACAAGCCCGGCTTCAACATTGCTGACAACTACACATACTGCTTCCTCGGCGACGGCTGCTTGATGGAGGGTGTCTCGGGCGAGGCTTCCTCTCTTGCTGGTCACCTTCAGCTCGGCAACCTCATTGCCGTCTGGGACGACAACCATATCTCTATTGACGGTGACACCAACTGCGCCTTCACTGAGGATGTTGTCAAGAGGTACGAGGCTTACGGCTGGCACGTCGTGACCGTCGAGGACGGCAACAATGATATTGCTGGCATGGCTGCCGCTATCGAGAAGTGCAAGGCTGTCACCGACAAGCCCTCTCTCATCCAGCTCAAGACCATCATTGGCTACGGTTCCAAGGAGGAGGGCACCCACGGTGTCCACGGTTCTCCCCTCAAGGCCGACGATATCAAGCAGCTCAAGGAGAAGTTCGGCTTCGATCCCGAAAAGAGCTTCGTTGTGCCCCAGGAGGTCTATGACTACTACGCCAGGCACGCCTCTGCCGGTGCCGCCGCTGAGGCTGAGTGGAACAAGAAGCTTGCCGAGTACGGCGAGAAGTTCCCTGCTGAGCACGCCGACCTCGTCCGCCGTCTCAAGGGCGAGCTTCCCGAGGGCTGGGAGAAGGCTCTCCCCACCTACTCGCCCTCTGACTCTGCTGTTGCGTCCCGAAAGCTCTCCGAGATTGTGCTCTCCAAGGTCGAGTCTGTCCTTCCCGAGCTCGTTGGTGGATCTGCCGATCTTACCGGCTCCAACCTCACCAGGTGGAAGGGCGCTGTCGACTTCCAGAACCCTGCCACTGGCCTCGGCGACTACGCCGGTCGTTACATCCGCTATGGTGTCCGTGAGCACGCCATGGGTGCCATCATGAACGGTCTTGCGGCCTACGGTACCATCATCCCCTATGGCGGTACTTTCCTCAACTTCGTCTCCTACGCCGCCGGTGCCGTCCGTCTTTCTGCCCTCTCTCACGTCCGCCTCATCTGGGTTGCCACCCACGACTCCATTGGCCTTGGAGAGGACGGCCCCACCCATCAGCCTATCGAGACTCTTGCCCATTTCCGTGCTCTCCCCAACTGCATGGTCTGGCGCCCCGCTGACGGCAACGAGACTAGCGCTGCCTACAAGATCGCTCTCACCCACAAGACCACGCCCAGCATCATCGCCCTCTCCCGCCAGAACCTTCCTCAGCTCCAGGGCTCCACTATTGAGAACGCCTCCAAGGGTGGTTACGTCCTCCAGGAGGTTGAGGGTGCCCAGGTTACCCTCGTCTCTACCGGTTCCGAGGTCTCCATCTGCGTCGAGGCCGCCAAGTACCTTGCCGATAACCACAACGTCAAGGCCCGTATCGTATCTCTGCCCTGCTTCGAGGTCTTCGACAGCCAGCCCAAGGAGTACAAGCTCAGCGTCCTTCCCGACGGCATCCCCTCTCTTTCCGTCGAGGTCATGTCTACCATGGGCTGGGAGAAGTACACCCACGAGCAGTTCGGTATCAACAGGTTCGGTGCTTCCGGCCCCTACCTCGATGTATACAAGGCAAGTTTACCCACCCAGTCCCCTAGCCCCTGGCCGCACCACTCCGCAGATCGGAGTCTCAACTCTATCTCCAATGAGTTCGTTGCTAACAACCCCTATAGAAGTTCGAGTTCACCCCCGAGGGCATTTCCAAGCGTGCCGTCGCCACCATCGACTTCTGGAAGGGTGCTACCATCCGGTCCCCCGTCAACAGGGCTTTTGAGCAGATCATCTAAATTTGGCGTGGAAAGACAAGGAAACAAGGACAAAAAAGGGCAGGGCATGGATTTACAATTTCTTAACCAGAGTCTGGGATTGTTGTGATTATCAAGGTAGAAAGTGTCTAGTACATAGGATGGCCAAACGAGTAAACCAGAATGAGGCAATACCTAGGGAAACCAATTGGTTTTTTTCTTTCTTTTCAAATCTCTTGATGGCCGATGAACTCTGCTAGTCAGTCTCCTTATCAAGACTCTGTAGACTCTAGGCTTCCGCGATGACTGAACAGCGAGACTCTGGGCCTTGAGATTATAGTAAAGTGGAAGGGAGCGAGCGCAAGACGTGTGGCACTGCGAACGATGTTGCCTGGCACTAGTGCTTTCCTCTTCGAACAGGGAGTCGACAGAATAGCTGCATCATAGGGGTTCTCTTAGGAACGGAGGAGGGGCGCGAGAGGAGGAGCCTTGTATTCCCTGGATACCTTGCGCGCTTGAAGGCACGCACCCTGGCGAGGCACCCAGACCTTGCTCTCACTCCTGGCCTGCTTTCTCTCTTCTCATGCCGCCCGCACTCGTTCTTAACTATGGTGGGAGGTGGGGTCGCTTGGGGGTTTGCGGCGATGGGGGCAGCACCTCATTCGTTTCGGTCTGCCATCTCTTCCGCCGCCCATTCTCGCTGAAGACTCCTCCCTAGCCTTTCTAGTCTCGCGGCCGCCCGTTGGGCCTCACGTCCTTCGTCCGGGCCCGAGCCCACAACGACGGCGATAAGCATGGGCGGGTCCTCTGCTTCCCCAACGTCGTCGTCATCGTCGCTCGCCTCTCCCAATGCCAGGGGCGCGGCCGCGGCCGGTCCCCCTTTCCCACGGCAGCCGGGGAGTCTGCGGCGATGTCGAGGCTTCCGAGGGCATCGGTCACGTTGGCCGGGGGCGCGGTGGGGTTTCGCAGGGAGGGGGTTCGAGGAAGGAATTGAGGATGAGGGTCCGCCGCCGGGGTACTCGACCATGAGGCGCTCGGGGGTACCGAGGCCGAGGCGGAGGGCGGTGGAGTGAGCGGTGAGGGCGGTGGAGGTGAGGGAGGTGAGGGCCTCGAGTTGGGGCTGGGAGCGGGCGGTGGTGAGGAGCGGGGTGAGCGAGGGGTCGGCGAGGTGGGTGGAGATGGAGGTGGTGGATTGTGCTGGGTTGGAGGCGGCCGGGGGCGACATGTTGAGGGCTCTTTTTTGTTTGTTTGTTCTTCCGGTGCTTGCTTGTGTCGTCCTCCCCCTTGTTCTACGGTGGTTGTTTTCTTCTGGACTCTGTCTGGGTTTTCTAGGTTCTGGCCTTTTTAGTCTCTTTGGCTTGTTTAACCTTTGGGAAGGTTCTTCTGAAGAGAAAATGTGTATTAAGAATTTCCTCTTTTGGTCTGTTGGAGGAAGCTGGGCGTTGGGTTGGTCGCAGCTGCTCACCGGGCCAACGGAAGGTGAATGGGGATGATGGCGTCGTCGGTGAATATGGTTTTCTCCGCTTTGTTTGGTTGGTATATTAATCCTGAATAAAAGAAAGAGAAAGAAAGAAAGAAAGAAGAAGAAAACTCTCGTATCAACAGCTGGTGAAGTTCACGGGCGATGGCTCATGAAGCATGCAAAGGCTGGGTATCATTGGTTGCTTGGAGATGGGTGGCCTGGGATTAATTTGGTCTATTACAGAGGAATTAGGTTTAGACTGAAGCTTGTGGGTGGTATTTTACAGCCCATATCTGAGCGCTCTCCTCAAATAGATTCTTGAATTGATCCAGATTCCGCTGCATGTATTATTACTTTGTGTTCCAGCTCCCCAGTCTGAGTTCAAGAAACCGTGCCGAGACCTTTGGGTTGTTGCTTTGCTGACCAGTCTCAAGGTAAATACTACCCTGGCCAGGCTCCCAAAGAGTACCAAGCTCCAAGCAGTAAGCTCCAGCCAGCGAGCGGGGGTCGGGAAGATGGAGGGGAAGCTTTTCGATCGATGGGTAGGGAGGCTTCGAGCTAGTTTAACATGTGATGACATCAGAGGGGATTTCTCGAGGGCTGAGCCTAATTGAAACGCGTCGGCGCATTCACCGATGGATTGGACTGGGGTGAGTGAACGATAGGGATCTAACATTACATTCCTGCTCGGGGAGGGGCTTCCTACCTTGGATCGGTATCGAATGGGAAAAGGTGGGCTTTTTGACGAATTTTTACCTTTGGCGAGGCTCGCCTGCCATGGCACGGGTAGTACATTTTACGAAGACCATTGGGGGCCAATCCACAGCATTTTCACTTGATGCCCAGTGAGAGCAACGTGTAAGAGAAGGGCGCAACGACATCACCGGTTGCAATTTAGAAGAGGGGCGTTCTCCCATCGCGAGAGATAATATCGAAGATGTCCGAGATCCTCCCGTTTGAGGTTCCGAGGACGCATCACATCCACCGTCGTATTATCGCCACCCTGTGAGTTGGACGGTACAGTATGGTACGGTACGGTAGGCAAGTAGGGTACGAAGAACCCCTCGGCTCTCTCGCGGGCGTCGCTGCTTCGGATGGCGTGATGTTGCGAAACGGCGAGACTAGTGATGGAGTGTGCGTAAACAGAAATGGCCGCAAGTATCAATCAATCTGTACTGCTGTACTTCTGCACTGCAAAGATAAGATGTCCCCGTTGGTTGCATGATGGGCGAGAGAGAGGGCGGGGAATCAACATGCCCATCGACCCGTCAATTGGCTCCACGTCCATTCCCCAAGCTTCCATGGCGTTGGCTGACTTGACTGACAAAGTAGCTGACGCAGCACATTGCTGTGGGGTACTTTGCGAATTGACATGTTCAAGATTATCGGGACGGGCTCCTCTTCGCAGCCGGGCATTCTTCAGGGAATGAGAAACAAGAAAGCTAAACAAAGCAAGCTTCGAAGCAGGCATCCGGATTTACTATGCCTCCTGACTGGCTAGGAATGCCGCACATTTCCCAATCGCTACGCTAGCAAAATGTCTTGACGAGGTGGAGAACGTGGCCCGTGTCAGGTCCAGTGTCAGGGCCACAGCGAGCTCGCTGAATTTTCACGAAGCCCTCTTCTCTGTCTCCCGGAAGCGAAGATGGGAGTTGGGTGTGATATCTGGATGTTGGAATTCCCGCCGATCACTCTTGAGGCAGGAGGTTGGCACGCAGCCCACCAAAGCCGGTCGCTTTTGATGGACGAATCAAACACCAGACAGTCTAAGCTGCCGGTAAAACGAGTTTGTCAGCGTCCGGCCACTACTTCTTTTTGGGCTTCTTTATCATCTCTTCTCTTAAAGTAATCATTGATGGCAAACAAAATGGGCTTCGGGACATATTGTTGGGGGCTCCTGGACAGGAAGCGGGGTCGTTTCTCACGGCACCAATGGAGATCGATATGTGAAGTAAGACTGCGGTTGCCCACACATGCCTGGTCATGCTAGTGTACAACACACATGCTTCGTCCGCTAGGAACGCATCAATGATTTTGATCGATTCGAGCCTGGCGAATTCGTACTTGGGTCGAAGGGAAATAGAGGCTATGTTCTGGCATGTATCGCCGTATCTCTGCCCTGGGCTGGCTGGCTGGGCAGACTTCTAAGCATTTCCCCACTTCCCTCGTTGGGTTTTTCTTTTTCCTCTTCCTATTTCTCTTCCCGTCTCTTCTCTTGGCGGCGAGCAGCACACCGTATGGGTGCGAGCGACGGGAAGTTTATTTTGTCGTTTTCCTTTTTCCTAAGCCAAATAGCCACGTTGAGCCGGAGGAGCTTCGCCATCCGTTAGTTTAGCACTCGCTGAACGCAGATCAATGAATGCGAGCTGGCATTTTTAAGGCCGGCTGCCCAAACACGCAAGTCTTGAGCAAGCACAGCTATGGTCCGATGTGGCCTTGATACCATGCAGAAGAAGAAAAAAACTGCCTGGCTCAATGGCTCAAACCCCCGGGAGGCGTCTTTGTGTCCGGCCTTGGTGCTGCTGCTTCGAGGGAATATTGGAGCCTGATCGGTCTTTGAAAACGACGGGAGCTCGCCCGTTAACATTGATGGATTCCGCAAGAGACAGACCAAAAACAGGCGTGGGAAAAGTGCCGCATGCAGGTGCGCCCCCAGTCGTTGAGACGAACAAAAATGACACGGCCTAATACCATGGGCTCTGCTGGTATGCAGTGGCATGCTTGCTCCCTCTCGCCTCTGCATGGCCTGGCCTGTGGACGTCGATTCGAAGGGGAGGGGGAGGAAGCCCGCTCCTCGTTGACGGCGACGCTGGGCCAATGGAGCTCAGGAAGCAGCTCCCGTTGGCTGAGATGCCATGGTTGCATTCCCTCAAGTGTATGATGGAATTGGCTGGCAATGCAGAGTCTTTCTCGACTGTGCACTGTGTATAAACCGAGCCGTCGAGCTCCAGCTCACAGTGCTGCCGGAGGTTTGCTCATGGGCACTCCAATTACGTGTAACCCGCTAAAATTGAGAGCTCAATACCCGAAGCTACCTTCAATGTCAACAAAGGTAATACAGTGCGCAAATAGTATACGCACACAATTCCCGGGGTGGGCGACGTCGAAAACAGCCAGCAAGCGAAAGGGCCTCTCCCCCAAAAAGAAAACGAAACCGGAGAAAGAGTGTAAAAAGAAAAAAAAAGAAGGGAGAAAGAAAACAACCATGCCACACACGGCCTTGAACCCACAGCCCAGACTACACCCACGCCTGTCTCTTCCAATCAACCCATCAATATCATCAACATCATTCTTTTGACAACCCGATTTCCTCCAATATCCTTCCCGCCCTCCCAGCGATTCCCTTTCCCCCAAACCAGCGAGCTTCAAACCACAACTTAATCCATCCGAATAGCTTGCTTTTCTGACGATTCCAGCTCCTTTTTTCATCTTCCTTTTCTTTTCAACCCACCCTAGCAACAACCTACTCATTACGACGTGCATCTCACTTCTCCACCTCGTCAAAGGGCCGTTTCCCCGTTCACGTCACCAGCTCCGCCTCCATCGACCAGCCATCAAAACCACCAGTCCTTCATCTCCGCCTTGATGAATGCCCCATCCACACTCGAATGATAGCGTAGAGGCGCCATCCGAGTTTGCCCTGCTTCCCGCCCGGCCTTGCAGCTCTCCCATTACATCACCGTCCACAACGTCACCAGCGACCGCGGCCATAATGTCTGCTCCCAGGCGCAGAAGGGTTGGACACCGCCGAAGGGTTGAAGATGAGGGCGATGACGATGGTGGTCCTGACGCCCTTGATCTTGAAGACGACTCTTTGAGCGATGGGTCCGGGCTGACCGATGACGATGACCCGGCTGATGACAGCGACACGAGCAACATCGAAGACGATGCATCTCCCACTGCGGCCAATCCCAGGAAGCCGGCCGGAAACGGGGCAATTAAACCTGCTGGGAGACCTGCCTTGCCGAATAAACCGCCAACGAAGGCGATAACCGACGCCGAAATGATGCTGCAAGGTCTGTCGATTACCGATTCCGCTGAACCCGTTCAAGAGCTGCACTTTGACGATATTGCTGGCTCGGCGTCGCCCAAGATTTCCCCGGATGCACCGCTCATTGTGAGTTCGGCTTCGGCCACTCGTCCCGCTCAGGATACAGCCGGAGACCGCAGACGACGCGAGCATGAAGAGTACAAGCGGCGTAGGGACGAAGATCCCTCCTTCGTGCCCAACAGGGGCGCCTTTTTATGCACGATCACCGCCACGCTGGACCTGCTGGGAACGGCTTTCGCCCGTTCCCTCGACAGACCCGTCTAGGCCACGGTCGTGGGGGCTACGGTGCCCCTTACACGTCATATAGGTATGTTGACTCTTGTTTGGTGGCTTGGTGTTTGGTCGCCATGTTTCTGGATTTGCCTTAGGCTCCTCAAGCTAATAAATGGTAAACAGCCATATGTCTCAGCAACATCATCAGCAGCAACAGCAGCAGCAGCAGCAACAACAATATCAGCACCATCAACAACATCAGCAGCAGCAGCAGCGACAACAACTTCCCTAGACCCCACTGGTGGACAGTGGACTCACGATATGCACGAGGCTGTGGCCGAGCCCGCCCGCCCTCGGCCACCCAGGAGGCTGCACAACGACGAAGGCCCTCCTAACGGCACCGGTCGAATCCCAGTCTGCCCCACAAACCCAACTCCTATCAACCGGACACTGTCCACAGAAAAGCATATCGGGAATGCACAAGTGCGAGTCTTCTTCCCCCGTTGAAGGATCCCATTGTTGTGCGCGGCTTGCAGGTGAAGCAGTATACCAAGCTCCTGACCACCGACCCCCTCTTCGTCGAGACAAACCGGTGCGCATCTCTCTGCCCGACCACCCGCCAAAATACATCTTCCCGGCCACCGACCGATCGTTCATCTTTATTCCGCGGGCGATGAGACCCAACCAGAAGCCTGGCATCCGCGGAGGCAAGGCGCCAAAGTCAGTCTTGGGCTCCGTCGGCGGATGGTCCCGCCGAACGAGTGTCATCGGGAGCTATTACGGCGGCAGCACCTACTCTCCGAGCGTCGCACGCAGCCGCCGTTCATCGATTGCGCCGGATGGCCGTGATTACATGTTCTCGCCCACCGGGTCCGTCGTCTCTCGAGCCGCTATACCTCTTGACCCTTTGAGACCCGTTGTTCGTCTCCCACCCGCGGGCAACGTGCTCATCCCTGATGGCCCAGTTCAAATGCCACAAATGGACCGCCCTGTTGGGGAGTCTCTTATCAACACATTCCCTCCTCCCCAGACCCACCCTCTTCCTCAGAAGCCTTCTTTCCAGGAAACTCACCCCACTCCTATCCCTATGCACCAACCCCGCCCTCAAAAGACCGTCTCTGTGGCGGACATTGAATCCCCTACCTTGAACCAACACCCTTCCCAGCAGCAGCAGCCACCACAGCAGCAGCCGCCATACCAGCAGGCTTTCCATCAACAGATGCCCATGCAAATGGCCAACGGTGGCCCACCAGATAATCACACGCGCAACCCCTCCTTCCAATCCCAACACTCTATCGGGACACCTCTTTCCCAGATTCCCGAACGTGCTATCCACGCAGCTCCCTTCCAGCCCAATGCCTACCCCCAGCCGCCTTATTATAACCAGCCGTATCCTGTAATGCAAACCCAGCCGAATTACTACTATCCGGCTCAGCCGCCCTATGCTGGCGGAAACCTACCGTCCCAGGCTTCGACCGCCCCGGCATTTGTGCCAGGTCCACAACAGTCCCAGCCTGCGGGTTACCCCCGGCAGGCTCTCAAGAAGCCCAGGCCAATGCGCAAGGCCAGGGCCCCATTGCGCAGGAGGTCAACGGAATGGTTTACTATTATGACCCCTCCCAGATGCAGGCGGTCAATCCATACCAAAACTATCCAGGACCCCAGGGCTACGTCCCCGGCATGGTCAGTATGCCAGGGATGGTGGCCCCCAACCCTGAAAGCTACTACCCCTATCCTCAAACCGCCCAGGGTATGGTGTATTATCCGCAATAGAGCCGCATACCAACATACCGGGAGCGGTTCTCTTCGACGTTTTGCATCTTTTATCATATCTAATGTCTTTTTCCCTTTTGTTCCCTTGAATGCCCGCTGCTCCTCGCGATGCCGCATCCGCTATGTGCAGCTTAAAACCTCTTAGCTTGGAGCGAAGCAGATCTATATCTCTCTCTAGATATATCTAGTGCCCTTACAACCCTCAAGTTCATTGTTTCAAGGGCTTGTCATCGCCCTTGGATGCATCAGATCTCGACGAACCTCTTTCGGTGGAGAGCACGTTGAACATGGCCGTCGCTCGCCTCTTTAGAACCGACCTAGCGAAGCCTTGGCCGGGGCGGCGCCATACTTCTCAAGGCGGCTGACTGCCCTGCGGGTCTCATTGAGTCACTGGGATTTTTGTTGCATGCTTATGCTCAGCGCCTCTCTCACCTCTTAGCCCTGTTCCTCTCCTGTAATTCCTCAATTCTTTGTTTTCGTGTGGGTGGTCTGGTTATGGTGTCTATGATTCCTCCGCGCTGCCCTTACGTCTGTCTGGTATTGCTCATCATTTGTCTTGGACAAAGATTTCACTGGCGTTTAGAGGAGTCAAAATACTAGCAGGGGTTCCTTCTCTGCGAAGCATCTTATATACATTTTTTTCTTTTCTCCAGAAGTCCCCGACTGGATGGCCCCTTCGTCTATTTTCTTATTTGCTCTATTATGCGCACACGGTTGCAATTTTTATGTTGGTTTAGATCAGTCTCTCCCCGACACTCAGCTTCTCAACGTCGCAGCGTTGTAGGAGGGGTCCACGCCGGAGATAGGGCAACATCATTTGGTATGAAGATTCTTTATTTGGACGTTGCACTTGATTTGCTTTTTTTCTCTTTTTTTCTTTCTTACTTTTAGGGAGGCCATTTATTTAACTTAGCAATTTTGAAGTCGTCTTGGACCCTTGCAGAATAATATTCGCACGTCAGCTGGCGTTTGAGCCTCGTGTTGTTTGTGTGCCCTGCGTCGTCCTCTGCAGCGCATGTTATTAAGTCTACGCAGCAGCACTGAGGTACAGCTCGTGAAGTTTGGCAATTTCATCCCTCGTCCTAGTAAGTATTTCGCCGTGACGTTCAAATCTGTTCTGCTTGAAGCATCGTCGGCTACTTGCCCAAGCCTGACAAAAAACGAGGCAGCACGGAAGCGGAGGGTCGCTCTTGTCGGACATGTCCACGCCGGGCACATAATCTCACTTCTTCTTCTTTCTTCTTCCTCTGTCTACGAAAATAAAACTAGAATCGGATATAAACCTACCGATGTGTCATCATCGCCTAGGAAAGGCTTAGTTGACAACTCATACTCCAGATTGAGTTGGGGCGGCTCGGTAACCACAAGGTTCCACGTATGCCCTTGCTAATAATCAGGCAGTAGCCCATCGTCCGAGGGGATACCAAAATCCAGTGCAGACGCGAGGCTAGCAGACCCTCTCCTATATAGAGTGTGAGACATGGTGACCCCCGAGGGCTCGCCACCCTGAAAATCGGGGAAGGTCCCTATGGCTAGCCCGGTTGGTGACGATGTGGAGCCTCGCTATTCTAGCTAGGCGACAACGAAGGAGAAGCCGGTAGAAGGTTAGAGCCAAGCACGGAAAGCGGCGCGTTGTAGGAGTGGGATGGATATGTTGCGTTGATATGGAGCTGCCTTGCCCATAAGCGAGGGAAAAAAGCTCCGATCTTCCCGAGGTCATCATGCTTAGCTCTGGTCCACTGAAGCCTAGTCGTCGAGAAGCTTCCTTAGCGTCCTTCGACGCCACAAGGCTTCATCTCTCGATTATCTACTTCGTTACTTCCTTTTCGATTTGGTCGGTTTCGAGCAAAGGGAAAAAGAATTCGGGCAAAGCTGCCTCGACCGAAGCCACCATCGTAAGGCTACCCTTGATAGCGGATGGACGAACAACCTGTGAGGTAGGACGAACAACCTGTGAGGTAGGTGCTCACCCCACGCCTTTACTACCTCCTCCTCTGCCGCGTCTCTTCTGCTTGATTATAGAGGAATAGATCATGAAATGTCCCCTTCCTAGATAAAATCAACATGCTCTATCATCATTATTTTCTAACAAGTCAATATCCTGAACTCCTCTTCATGCTTATGGACACCCGATTCGAACAGGCAGAATGGAGGGGGTGAAAGTCAAGCAGGGCTGAAAGGCTTCCCCAAGGGTTCCCTCCGCGACACTTCGACGTTCTTAGTGTTGCGGCTTTCATCTGGAGAGAGTCATACCGCCCGTTCTCCCGAGACAGGCGAGCTTTTAGGACCTGATGTTTGAACCTAGAAGGACGATGACTTCACACTTCCCTGCAAGAAGGCGAGGTGTCTTACCCCAGCCTCTTCTCCTTCCACGTTGTGGGTCGCGCGTTTCCGGTTCGGCTCTTAGCGCAAGACGCAGCGAAGAGCCCTTGGGCCAGCCCCGAGTGCTCACCTTCTTACACGTAGGGGCCAAGGTACATGGAAGCTTGGGTGTGCGAATGAGGAAGAGAATGCACAGTCCAGATGAAACCAGCTGCAGGATGAGAGTGTGTCCCCTTTCAGTCAAAGGAAAAACAAGTGAAGTTCAAAAGGCACGAGCATCAGCTTCGGCGGGGCGTTTATCATTAATGCAGTGGCACCTCGGAGCCTCCTGCAAGATCCCGGAAGAGCTCCTCTTTTCCCTCTTTTTTCTTTTCTTTTTCTTATTTTCCTTTTCTTTCTTTCTTTCGTAGGCTGGAAAAATGATGCAGTGTATACTACTTCGACCTAGGCCTGCTCCGCATGATCATCAGCGAGTTGGTGCGAGGTTGACTTGAGGCTGAAGCACCTTCAGCACCTCCAAAATGATGAGCCCAAAATGATGAGCAGGATGGGGTTCAAAACATACCCTGGTCGTATCTTAAATCGTTTGTGCCAAAGGCGGAGAAGGGTCCTGTCTACTATTCCCTTTAACGTTGCTATCAGTTCACATTCAGCCAGCGATGTAAATGCCTCGGTAAGAGAAGGCGCCACTGTCTCAAAACTATCGACATAATGTGAGCGAAGTCAATTGCGGGCGGAAGATGGCACCCCTCTCAGGATGAATGGCGTAATATGGGGGCAAATCGAAGCGAGGAATCGGGTATAGTTAGGCATTCTTTCTCGCCCCCGTTCAGGTAAAAGTAGCAATATTATCAGAGGTCCCTCACTCGAGGATCCAAAGCTCCAACCGATGGGGACAAGCTGCGTACCGGTGCGCTAGGTGTACCGACGGGGCGTCAAGTCACCTGCGTCACCAGCATCATCTGGTGGTACTCAAACCTGGGGTTCTCCATCAGACATGGCCCTAGCCAATCTGAAGGGACTAGTAGCTTTGGGCGAGATGTTCAAGTTTGCAAAGTACGGGAATTCCAGGTTTCTTGTTGACCTTCCCCTTTGATAAGAACCGTCGCGTTTGGAAAAGAGCCTGTCGAGGTGGGGACGATCAGCTTGACAAAAGTTGGAGCACTTGCATGAAGGACAAAGTCTGCCGCAACGGCAATGCTGAGGGGGTTAGTTTATCGCCCCACTGGCCGGCCCAATGCCAATGCCTCTCTCCTATTATCCTGAGATCCCAGCTGGTGCTTTCCTCTTCGTTTCTTTTTCCTAATCGGCCTTTCTTTCTTGTCTGCTTTCTTCCGCCTTTTCTTGTTGATATTTGCTTCTTTTCTTTAACCTTCCTTGTTCAACGATCAGCCAGGGCTCGGTGCAAATGCTCGCTTTCCACCCGGAAATGGATAGAGTTGTGGGGAACCAAAGGCGGCGGCCAGTCGCATTGCTGCGAAACCTTCTCTCTTAAAAGGAGGGTTTATTTATCTATTTGGATAATTGGGCCCCTGACTCGCAATATTTTTCCTTCTGCCTACCAGTGGCGACTAATAGAAGCCAGATAATAGCCCAAGATCTGGCAATCGAGAAACAGCATCCAACTCACTCGCTCTCGAGGAATGGAGTGAATGGAGTGGGGTGAGCGGCATTGAGCCAGGCTCCCACATACTCCGCTCTAAAGTGGGTTCATTGTTGTAACTTCGGGGCCGACAATCTAGGCTTCGTTGGTCTCCCTCGTACCCTCGTATCATTTGTCACTCATCCCCTGCATGCTTGCATCCCTGTTGACTGGCACTTGCTGGTGCAATCGCTCCGGGAAACTCGTTGTTCGTCTAGCTTCGTGCTGGTATTACGCACCGACCGACCGACCGAGAGAGGGAAATGGTAGGGATTCCGAAGAGTCCTTGGGAGCCTGGTCGTTCACTGGGCTGTGAAGTGATAGAAGAGATCAGAATCGACCGCGTGCCATTCAAGACAGGCAGGGCAGGGCAGGGCAGCTTTCTGTCCCCTCTCTCTCCCCCTCTCTCTGCGTGTGCCCTCTCTCTCCGTAATGTACTGCTACTCGATTGACTCGAGAAAAAAAAAAGGTAGTTAAGTGGGATAGACCAAGTGAGGAAGCCCGAAGAACGAAGAAGATGAGGAGTCCTGAGGCCAACTCTAGCTCGCCAAGGTTACAAAGTTGGCTCGTTAACACGCGTTGAAAAAGCTTTACCGGTCAAGACAGAGGCTAAAGGCTGCGTGCTATGATTGATAAACCCATTCAGACGCCCGTAAATTTGCCCGCAAACTTGCCGGCGAACTTGAGCTGGGGGTTGGAAGTTTAGCATGATCCGAAAGCATTCGGTAGAGGTGGGACTTATTCACCGTGCTATACCCCGCAGGTCCCGTTCCTTGCACCCTGGTTGCTGTGGACTGTTGGCGACCACGTTTGGCCGTCCGGTTTTCGAGCGAGCCCGGGTGCTAACGCCGAGCCCCGCCATTCGGTCTACACTAAATTGACGAGAGTGTGCCATCAACCATCCTCGAGCTGCCTAACTTGGGCTTGCGTCAGTGGCCAACCGTCTGTGGGGATGGTGAGTGGTCGGTGACCTGACCGCCTCAAGCTCCCTCCACCGATTGCTCCTGCTGGCCAGCCCCATAATAGACTATGAAGCACGTGTGACTGATGGAAAGGAGGTGGTGTGCGTATTGACCTGTGAATAGATGTATCCATCCCACCCAATCCATCCATGTGCACATGTTCTTTGGGGGAAAAGAAGCAAGGGCGGGGCTCTTGACTGTGCGGTGTGTACATGAGTTATTGCATATGTCAGCGCAAAATGAGGTGAGCTCCGTCCCAGCGTGATCGGATAACGGCCGCCAGTTCTCGGTTGATCTATCTTGACACTGTACTGGTGCTGGCGGTGATACGTACACCTTTGTAAGTACGCAGCGCCTGGCTCAACTGGCTTTCGAGGTTTGGGTCAGTGCATTGATGGTGTGTATTTCTGCCGCCTAGCACGCTTCTCCTCCCGCGTCCCCAATAGACCACCCCTTCCTGAGGCCAAAAGTAGCAACACGCCAATCCCTCGTCATTAGTTTGCCGCCGGTCCCTCCTTCCCTTCTCTCTCTCTCCTCACGCTCTCGAGCCTGGGTGTCTCTTCTTTCCCCTTCATCCATCCAAACGATCCCGAGCTCTTGAACTTCCGAGGCCTGATTTCTCTTGATCTTTTCAACCAAGATCAGTTGTCAGCCTCAGCCAAAGCTTACTTTTGATTCTCCATTTCCGCAAGGACCAAGTCAAACACGCACGCCGCACGCCGCACGCTGCACACCGCACGCCCTTTCTTACATTTATCTCTTCGCCCCCCACTCACCCACCCACCTGACTGATTACCCTTTCCCACTTCCCCCATCGCACCCTCCCTCTGCCGTATCCCTCTTCCATCACCGACAATACAGTGGGGCAACCCGCCGTTCCGACTCTTATCTCCTTCACCACCCTCAAATCCCCAGGTAAGCCGACACCATACTTCCTCACACCACCAACCCTCTTCCCACTCAATCGCCAATCCATCTTGGCCACATTTTGCGGCACGACTTGGGTTCTTCCCTCTGTTATTAACCTCGTTCATTTTGTTTTAACCTCCAGCTTCTCTGCTAGTAATACATACGTCTTTTCGTCGCCATGGCGTCTTCCGAATCCGCTCCCGCCGTCGCCATGGTCACCATCAAGGCGAACTACGACGGTGAGCATCATCGCTTTAAGCTCCCTCTTCGCGATATGGTTCCTGCTGTTTTTGAAGACAAGGTATGTGTGAAGGAGACTCGTCTCTGTTCTTTCCCACTCATTTTGCCCTGCCTGTCCTTGTCTCGGTACCTTGCTTACAAACTTGTGTTCTATAACAGGTTCGACGTGCTCTCCGAATCACAGTGGATCAAGTCTGCATTATCGAACGCTACTCCGATTCGGCTTCAGCTTTCCTTATTCTGGACCGTGCCAACATTTCCGTCTACAAGCAGCTTTATCGCGCTGCCAAGGCCAAGTCCAAGTTGAAGATTCGAGTCACCATGATCCGTCCCGCTGAAGAGGAGGCCGAGGCCGAGGAGGAGGAGGAGGAAACCCCCAGTTGACTCCTACCTCTGTTGAAGAGACTACTGTACAGCAGCCCTCTGTGATCGAGGAGCCCCTCACAATTACTACCGCCGAGCCGGCCCAGCAGCCGCAGGAATTCGCCGTCCCCTTCGCTCCCGAACTCTGGTCCCAACCCAGGAGGTAGGCTCCCGGGTTCCCCTTGCTACGAGAACAGCAGCTAATCTGATGGTACATGTAGACTTCCCCCATCAATCACACTGCCGATCGCTCCGTCATGACCGATCCCTACTTGCGAAGCATGGCGCCTCCCGTGTGTCCCTACGCTGGTTCCACCCTGGAGTATCGAGTCTGCTGCAACAGCTGTGAACGCACCATTCCTGACGTCCACTACCACTGCAACAAGTGCGACGATGACGACTTTGATCTTTGCCTAGCTTGTGTGGAGAGTGGAATCACCTGCTACAGCCCCGATCACTGGTTGATCAAGCGATTCAAGAAGGATGGCGTGTTCGTGAGCAGCACCACCGAGACTCTTGCCCCAAGCAAGCTCGTCAAGAAGGAGTCTGAGCCGCCTGCCGCCCAGCCTGTGGCCGAGAAGACCGCTGTTCCCGTCATTCCCGCCCCAAAGACGGAGGCCGTACCCGTGCCCGTACCCCAGGCTATGTATAGGACGTGCAACTCATGCGTGCGAGGTGAGTCTTGTTTCGGCCGTCATTCCGAAATAGCCTAGCAGAGCGAGCAGCTAACTTGTGAACGAATGTAGAACGTCCCGAGCATGTCTTCGTCCATTGCACCACCTGCTACGACTTTGATCTTTGCTCCACCTGCTTCTCCCTGGATGCCCATGGGCACCATCCCAAGCACGAATTCAAGCCCGCCGTGGAGAATGCGCGCCTCTCCGACGCAGTCGTTGCTAAGCTCGGCGCGGGTCGCAACCTAACCCATCACGCCATCTGTGACAAGTGTGATAAGTTCATCCGGGGAGTTCGTCACAAGTGCCTTGACTGCCCTGATTGGGACTACTGCGGCGAGTGCATCAAGGACGCCTCGACTGACCATGCCGGCCACCGCTTCGCTCCCATCTACGAGTCGCTCACCCATACTGGGCCCATGCGCTCGAGCTTCCACCCTATTCATGAGGGCATCTGCTGCGATGGCCCCTCTGCGAGTCCAACCCTATCGTCACGTACATCACCGGTATCCGGTACAAGTGCGCCGTCTGTCCCGACACGGACCTTTGCGCTGCGTGCGAGGCCCACCCGCGCAACCTTCACAACAAGACTCATCCTATGATTAAATTCCGAACACCAGTGCGCCACGCGCTGGTCAGCACTACCGGCGTCGACAGGAACGGAAAGGAGCTTCCCATGATGGGCGATGCCATCTCCCCGCCGACCACTAGGCTTTCAAGCAACGCTACATCTCGGCGTGAGCCCACCATCTCGAGCCCCCGCGCCGTGATTAATGTGGAGCCCTCGGAGCCCGAGCCTGCTCCGGCTGCTCACCAAGAAAAGGCTATCGTGAAGGAGGTACAAGGGTCGGAACAAGCAGAAAAGGCTCAAGAGACGCCCGCCAAGCCCGAGCGCACCCCTGAAAAGCTTGACTCGGTGTATGTGCACGACACCGTCATGGACGGCACCGTTCTACCCCCAACCACGTTTTTGAGCAGACCTGGGTCCTTCGCAACTCGGGCGACGTCGCGTGGCCCGCCGGCTGCGCCGTCAAGTTTGTCGGCGGTGACTATATGGGCCACGTGGACTCGAACCACCCGGCCGGTATCTCGGAGCTAGTTTCGGCATCCGAGTCTACTGTCTGCTATGACACCCTGGAGCCCGGCAAGGATTATCCCTTCACCGTCCTTCTCCGCACGCCTCCCGCGAGGGCAAGGTGATTTCTTACTGGCGCCTCACAACTCCTGACGGTCTCCGATTTGGACACCGACTCTGGTGCGACGTCGAGGTCCGGGCCCCTGTGTCGCAAGAGTCCCAACCTGCCGCTTTCCACAAGCAGGAGACCAGGCAGCCCGAACCCGTTGTTGACAGCAGCCAAGTGGTTTTCCCTAAGCTCGACAAGGAATCGCCCGTCTCTAGCATACACCAAGAATCGAACAAGGAGGCGGAATCGGAAGAGCAGGCGCCGCTCAGCCCTCGGGAGGTCGAATTCGACGACCTGGAGGGCGAAGTTTGGGATGGGTCGGACGAGGGATTCTTGACCGACGAAGAGTATGACATCCTTGACGCATCCGATGAGGAATACCACGAGGATCAGAAGCAGAAGGCGCTTCTCAGGAGATAAGGCCCGACGTAGGGTAGCTGTTGATGATGGTGCGAGATGGGACTGGGTCTATCGTCCTTTCTAAGAAGGAGCGCATGGCTCCGGTCGATTTCAAAAGCCGCGGCCCCCTCCATCCCGTTCCTTACTTTTCTTTTTGCATTGTTATCGCCCTTCACTCTCACTTATCGTATTCGGATCCGGCGTTCGTCCCTCATTCCTTTCATTCATAACAGGCTTCTTGTTTCTTTGTTCTTTTTGGGAGGGCTGAAGCCTCAAACGCTCTTATCAAGCCGCAAATTCGGGCTCGACGCAAATGAAAGGTGCAGGCGAGAGGCAGTAACAATAAGGAAACGCTTGTGTATAGCACAAATAGCAGAATCAGATTGACTCCAGTTCGGTTTGTCGTTAGTCGTTTTTCCTTTTCTCCTTCTTCTTTGCCCGTCTTTCTTGTTTTCCGAGTGCTCTGAGAAGGAACAATACGCTACTACACGGGTAGGGGAACCTTGCTCGGACCAGTCTTCTCAAAACAAGTGCATGGCAACGCACTGACAGGATCTAAAAGGGGTTTCTCAAGGTCGTCATGATTGTTCGTCTACCTCCATCAATGTATTCTATCTAGTCTTTTTATATGGTCAAAACCAGCACCTCAAAACTAGTAGGCCAGCCGTGATGGGTTTGAGCCCTGTTCCCCTTTTTGACGTGACACCTGCAATATCCAGTAACTCAAGTCAAAAGTCTGCCTCGTTCACGCTAGTTAGCACGAGGGGGTGAACTAGCAATTAGTAAATCATCGAGGGATATTTTCGAGATATCGAATAGAGGTTGTTGCGAAGCGTGAAATACGAAGTAGATTATTCGAAAGCGCGGCCAATCCCAGAAAAGTGACGGCAGTCGTCAGTTGTGACCAGGGTTGAGGAACAAAGTACCCCGTACCTCATACCTTTTAGAAGTCTTTGCTCTCTGTTCTCTGAGCTCTGTCCCAAAAAGAGGACTTGGAGGAGTCTTGGAGCCGCGCCCCTTCTCCGAGCAGCCGCAGCCCAAGCAGATGCGGAACTGGCCAATAGTGGGGCGTGCCTGGCAGAGCTGTTGCAGGGTGTGGCCACCCGCAAACGGTACATTGTACCCTGTAAGTTTCTTGATATGTGTTCACTCCAGCTTTCAAACAATTTGGCGACCACGACCTCTTTATTCTTCAACGCAGCGCTGCTTCGATGCGGAACATCTCGACAGCGACCCTAGTGCCCAATTGACATATTGAGCTACGGTCTAGATCCCACCGAAATCTTTCCACTCCCGACTTTTGCCCAGACACATCCCCTTTCGGGTCCGACAAATCCTCGATTCCTTGAAGCCGATTCGTCATCGCCGAGCCTTTCCGCCCATCCTCCCTCTGTGTCCTGGACCGATTGACCCATCAAGCCTGCACGTCTTGCATTCCCTTCTTTTCCTCACGATTTGGTGGGCTAGGCTAGTGGGAACGTGACGACCAGCTGCCGACAAGGGCGACGGTAAACTCTACCCTGTTAGGCCGTAGTCGCACGCCTTTGTGGTATCGCAATGAACGGCTTCGAGAAGCGTTCCTCGACGAGGACGCCTTCGGCGCAAAGTCTGGAAGTATCGTCAGTGCCTTCGATGCCTTTCGTAAGTCACCCGCTTCCCGTCCGACTCCATTCCCAGGGTAGTCTCCATCTTGCTCTACCCTCTGGGGGCCCGAGCATCTCGGTAAACACATGGGCCTGGGCCTGGGGAGTGCAACTAGCTAACATCTCGCGGCCGACAAACAGCCAAGTCCAAGCCCGAGTATGTGACACGCACGTCTGGAGGTGGGAAATGGACCATCATCATGATGGTGGTCTCCTCCTTTCTCGTATTCACCGAAATGGGCCGTTGGTGGCGCGGCGGGGAACACCACACTTTCGCGGTTGAAAAGGGCATCGGCCGGTCGATGCAGATCAACGTCGACATTGTCGTCAACATGAAGTGCAGCGACCTCCACGTCAACGTTCAGGATGCGTCGGGCGACACCATCTTTGCCGGCATGTTGCTCAAGAGGGAGGATACCGCCTGGAGCCAGTGGGCCGACGGCAAGGGCGTGCATAAGCTCGGCGCCGACTCTCAGGGCCGCATCATGACGGGCGCCGGCTACGACGAGGAAGGCTTTGGAGAGGAGCACGTCCACGACATCGTCGCCGCGGGCAAGAAGAAGGCGAGGTGGCCCAAGACCCCCAAGGTCAAGGGTAAGGCGGATAGCTGCCGCATCTTTGGGAGCATGGATTTGAACAAGGTGCAAGGAGACTTCCACATCACCGCCAGAGGCCACGGCTACAGGGGTGTCGGTGAGCATCTGAGCCATGACGGTAAGTTTTTCTGCTTGTGGCAACCCCATAATTCCTTCACTCGTGTCCCCCAGGCTCTCCAAGGGCGCGGGGCTGCCTTTTTTTTTTTTTTTTTGAGAAAATACAAGCATTGACTAACGCCGGTGTGTGGCTTCCTCTTCTCCAGAATTCAATTTCAGCCACATCATCTCCGAGCTGTCCTTTGGGCCCTTTTATCCTTCTCTCGTCAACCCGCTCGATCGTACGGTGAACGTCGCCAAAGCCCACTTCCACAAGTTCCAGTACTTCCTGTCCGTCGTGCCTACGATATACACCGTCGGCACCAAGGGCAAACCCTCCAACACCATCCTGACCAACCAGTATGCCGTGACCGAACAGAGCAAGGAGACCACGGAGCACTCCATCCCCGGCATTTTCTTCAAGTACGACATCGAGCCCGTGCTGCTCACCGTTCAGGAGACCCGCGCCGGCCTGTTCGTCTTTATCATCAAGATTGTCAATGTCCTTAGCGGTGTCGTTGTGGCGTGCCACTGGGGTTTCACCCTCAGCGACTGGCTCAAGGATGTCTTGGGAAAGAGGAGACGAAGCACCCAGGGTGTTTTGGGCTCCAAGGGCGAGGAGGAAGAATAGCCCGCTCTCACTTCTCCTCTTGGAAGGATAAAATACCCAGCCTTCTTGGTCTAGGGAACCTCACATTTATCTTGCGATTTCTATCCTGTCTTTCTTTTTTTTGGCGTTCGTGGAACGGGTTGGGCGGGAGTTGTTTCCTCTTTTTCTTCATCCTTAAGTCTATAACGGAGTGTCTCGATAGAAGATGCGGCTATATCAGTGTGGTGGCCCATCCATGTATTATTGGCAGATACTTGTATACACGCACGCCATTAACACTCTTGCACATGGACACTTCTCTTATCGTTAAGATCTACCTTGCTTCTTAAGAACCTTGTTCTTTTTCGACTGGACTAGGACGTGCTCCACGGCTAGCCTTTTTCTTCCTTGTCTGTTCGTCTCTCAACCCTCGCACCGTTGTTGATACCACTTCTGCTAAACCTCGGTTCACACTTGCCCTCTCGGCCTCAAGACTAAATGTGCGGACGGTTAACCCGGCTTTCCCAGAACCGGGCTGTTCGTCTACCCATCCTGCGTCGCAGTGGGGGTCTGGAAGGAATGCCACTCGCCGTCCCGTTCGTCAGACGTCAGTCTCCTCTTCCAGAACATTGTTCCCTCGTCCCGCCTTTGGAATTAGAATCCTCCCTCGTCTTCTTCCGTTAATCCTAACATCCCTTCTTCACTTGGCCCCTGGGCCCTCTTTGCCTAGTTGCATCCGTATTTCGTTGTACGACCCTCACTTCTCGCCCGGCAGCTATGGGCCTCGCTTTCTCTTCTTCTTGAGCACACACGGATGGAGGATCAAGCCCCTTTCGGCTCTTTGGCTACGCAAATTATTTTCGAGGATCACGGGGAGAAAGAAACACCCAAGATCCATTCAAAAACTCTTTCATAGAATATGAGTATTAGATGGTGCGAAACGGCATTAAGAGATTGCCTACTGGACCTCGGAAACAAGGATTGGGAAAAACTAAGCTGGTGCACCCATACATAAAAATGAGGAAAAGAAGAAAAAGAACTTAGAAACCAAAGAAAAGTCCCACCAAAACAAACAACCCCTCAAGGGGTGAAGCTCTGTTGTCATAAACCATAGAAAAATGTCTCATGGCGCCTTGATGATTGAGCCAGCTCATTCTCATCCAGGCCCGTCTAACTCCCGCCGGGACAATCCCCTCCAGCTCCCCTCGCAGACCTGCGGGGACGACATTACCTCTCGCCTAGTTTAACGGCGAGGTATCCTGTTTCTGATGTCTTTCTAGCCATACGACGTCTGGGGACTTATTCCCTCGCCTTCTGATTGAGAATCCCGGCCCGGAGAAGAACGGGAAGAGTGCTCTCGGGTAGCGGGACGGGAGCAACGCCGACATGGGTAATAAACATACCCTCTCCCCCACAGAGAGCATTGGGTCACGCTGCGGAAAGATCGCGGTGTTAGTAACTGAGAATATCCCATCTTTCATTATTGATTATTTTCTGTTCTTGAGTATATAGGATATGAAAGGGAAAGTAACGCGGTAAGATGGGTTGTTACATACTGTCTCGCGAGGCCACCACAGTTTGGGCAGTTTGCGGGCTCCATCAGGTTTATACATCCGCATACAAAGGTAGAATCTTCTTCGAAATTGGGGTCCATCCTAGAAGGTTTAGAAAGGTTTGAATTTTGGTCTGGTGGACAAAGATGTGCTGCTATAATTTCAATACCAGCCTGAAGTGTCTGTTTGGGGCGGGCCAAGTTGAATATCAAAGTAGATAATCGGAAGGCGTCCCATGGAGGGTATCAAGACAAAGCGGTTGGGAATCTGTGAAGGGGGGGGACAGGAGATGATGGCCTTGCCATCCATCTCTTATATATATATATATATATTCTCTATTGCGGCCCTCCCCGAACTACGCTTTGCATACCGGGGTAGGATGAAGGCTTTAGGGATCTCACTGGTCACTTTCCGTGCGCAAGCCTCACGTTCGCGTCACTATGTTAGCAATCACATCCTAGATACACTCTCTTTCCAGCAGCAGCTGACGCCAAAAAGTGAATTAGGTGACGAGAGTCTGCGGACGCGTGGGGGTAAGTGATTTCAGAGAAGAGGAAAAAAACACCGCCGACGATAAGGTAGGAGAAGCGGTACCCGCTTCATGTGTGCCCTCACTCACCTGCTCGCGTGCCTGCTTCGACTTCCAAGTTCTGGTAGGAGGACAAACGGAATGGAACACATGAGCGACGCGTGTGGTGGCCAGAACCGTAAAGAATCATCAGTGTCATAGGCACATGATCAGACGAGTATACCCCCGATCAGAGTGCGAGGGTGATGAAGAGACGACCAAGTCCACAAACCCATATGGTAACTAGATACGATTCGTACTTTCCGCTACTCAATCGGCAATCGGCATTGGTGCCAGAGAATCTGGGGAGCCAGATAGCTTTTGTGGGGTATGTCTAGTGAGCCGCAACGCAAAGGGGATCAAGGAGAAGAGACAAGCTGAGCAAGATATCACGCTCTTTTTGGTGGTGCTGGGAGTGAGAGAAGGAGGAAAAGGGGCTCCTGTGTGAGGAGAATACGGATTTTCAACTGATTCCGAGTCATCACTACCATCATATTGCGCGTCATCGTCGTACAAGACCATGTTCCGTGTCGATAACAGCTCACCGCTCCCTCCCGGCTGACTGGGGCTATATACCCGACCACTATTATGTCGCAGCTGACAGCTCAGGCTCAGAGAGAACGACATATTCCTTGAGCCGAACTCGGATCCCTCGAGTGGAACCGAACTTGCTCCTCGGCTGCAAATTGATCACGGCCACGGGGCCGACACGTGTATTCGGATAAGCATCGCGTCGACATGGCCGCCGAGTGCAACGTAAGAAGGCAGATTTGTGTGCGCCGCCAACGCCAGGTCCCTAAACAGAGGGAAGAACGACCGTAGAACTCGTCGTACCCCGTGGAGGCCTGTGCGAAGACTCTCCAAACCGCTGGAATCAAAGTCGGCTGACCTCGGCTCCACGTCGAAAGGTGACTGGAATCAGTAGGAGGGAGATATCCGCGTAGGGACAAGTGATATCTCATACTCGCTAAACGTCTCTCTTACTCCTGTGCACCCCCTTCAATCACTGGACGTTGCTGCTGGTTGGTAACACTATACATGTAGACTCTCGTGGCACACGAACCACTCGGCACTTGAGCACGACACTAAGGCTGTAGCGAATTGCGAGGATGGCCCAAATTTGACCGCCTTGCAAGGAGTGGCCAGCCTGATAAATGAGATGTTGAGTTAGTATGGGTTTCATGTGTAGAAAGTGTAGGAGAATCGTGTCGGGTTTGGAAAAAGGAAAAGAAAAGGAGGGCGACGAGCTACATCCTGCCGCCATCACCATTTGCCGTTGTTTAAGATCGTAACACGACGTAGGAGTCAACTAACTACCTCGTCTCTCGTTGAGCAGTCAGATACGTGTCCCACACAAACTTGTAGCACCCCTTATAGGGAGAGAGAGAGAGAGAGGAGGGAGAAGGAAAGGAACTAGAGAGGGAGGCCTCGAAGGACTGGGGCAAAACTAGACCATCGATCAGCTTCACAGGCTTCTATATCTTGGGCATCATAGCAAAGATCTGGCTGGGTGGTTTGATCCTGGATAGCTTACCTATATTTCATTACCTATGGTATTTGGTGCACACACGGGTAGGTTAGGTCCTTTCCGCAAGCCTCAGGCCATCTCCATGCCTTTGTCAGTGGACGGGGCCATTCCCCTCCGGTCTCATCGGTAGGTTCTTCGCCTGGAGGGGCTATCCAATGTGAAGAATGAATGAATCAGAATGAAGCTTCCAGCCCAAGCATCAGCTCGCGCGTGGTTCCCGAGAAAACCAGAGAGACATGTCCACGATCGCGTGCTCTTACGAGATTATGCACTCGTCCGTTTGATTCCCTCCAATCAAACCACAGTATTGTTAAACGTAACCAACCAGCCTATTCCTCCGGACGGTGTGCAAGGCGTGAGAGGGGAAGTGGCATGACGGAGAGGGCTGTTTAGGCAACGTGGAGTCTGTAAAAGAAGATAGAACCTGTCCCATCGATGGGACGAGGTAAAGAATGGTAGAGGGTCAATCCATACTCGGCGGAAAGGTAACCCTTCAGGACTGGTCTTTCAGGGCGTGGACGGGCCATGGCGGATACCTGCATAGCATCGGGCATTCTCTCTCCATACCGAGGTAGAAGGAAAGCCATTGCGAAGTGGAGTATACTCGTGACAACGGTCCCTTCTGGCGCCTTGGGTTCCAAAGGATCAAGCTGCGAGATTCATGGCGTGCGGTAACATGATGCTCTAGAAGAAGACAAGGCTAAAATTTGAATGACGTATGGTCACCTCGCCGGTAGTTCTCTAGGCACACACTCAGATTAATTCTACTGAGAAGCGCAGCTGATGACGGTGATGTAGAGAGAGAGAGAGAGAGAGAGAAAGAGATGGTGCGCGAGATCATTCTTCGATCGTGCCACTCATCCCCCTTCCATCTAGTTTCCGCGACGATTCTTCGTAACACTCGAGCAAGAGTCTAATGAAAAGTCACCGAGATCAGGCCGTGATGCTAGGCCGGGTAAAGAAGGCCTTCGTGTCTGCTAATGGAGGACAAGGAAGGGGAAAATAGCAAATTGTACGATATGCAGGGTTAAGGGAACCAAATAACTGGAAAGAGCTGTTTGTTATGTCCGAGGAAGGCTTGATGAATATCAGAAGAACCAACTCATCATCATCAAGAGCCTTTAGTCTTGCGTTTCCCTCGGTGCTCTCCGGCACACACACCTAGCCTCCTGCTAGCGTGCTGTGTCGTCTTGTGACGAGCCGTAGCAGGAGGCGGGCGCCATCCGATCCGAGCTTACCTCGCTCTTTTTAGGGTAGGTTTTATTTCCATCTTCTCCTTCATGTAGCTACCCAGTTCCGTGCCATGACATCCTATCGACGGCTCCCTTGATCCTTAGTCCGTCGGTAGACCGCTCTCGTCTCGAAGCGAAGTCTGTGTAACCGAGCATAGGTGGTGGCGTTCCCTGTGTAGCCAGCAAGATACGTGGGGTATACATGCGCGGGGAGAGGAGAGATGGGGAAATACGCGGACTTGTAGCTAGGTGAGGCGGGTTTGGGGTGCTCTTCTGAAAGCTCCGGCTCTCGCGTAGAGCCTTGCCTACAGCTCTCTTTCCTAGCGAAGATATCCGGGAAGCTGAGGCGGGTAACCGCCCCCAAACCTCATTCCCTGCGCATAGCGTAGGCGGCGAGTTCATCCATCAATCTATGGACTGGTGGCTGACATGCGAGAACGTGTGTCATTTGCCATGTGGTTTCAAGTGCTTTGAGGTTGTGATAGGCACATCCTTGGAGATTATTCTTACTGCTGTTCCTGGTAACGTGTCATCGACACCATAAGAGTCCCAGGTGGTCATTTCAGAGTAGCAGTAACGTAGCTAGTTTCACTGGAAAGAGTGATAGATAGGAATGTAAGTCTATTATCTCGTAAACCCTTTATCCACCTGGCCATATCCGTGCTCTGTGTGTCGACGAGAGGCCATATATGAAACGCAGAGCCGATGGCGAGCACAATAATTGTTTCGTCACGTTACCGTCTATCCTGGCCACGTAGATCCGTGAGCTGTGGCGCCAACACATATTTGCTATTCAAAACTAGAGCGGCCGCAACTTGTCGCGGCCTTTTGTTCAATTTCGGCGACGCCGGAGTTGCCCTACAACGAAAAAGGACGAAGAGCTGTGGTGCGACGGTCGCGAATTCCCGAGCCTCGACACCACTGGTCGAGGCTCTCCGCGATGCATTTGGGGTTGAGACCGCCCCCTTATTACGTGGTTTCCTTGAAGCGACTTGAAGAGACTTCCTTGTCTCCTCTACCCCATCCCATTCCACGAAAGTCAAAGCCTTCTGTGGGGGTGGAGCTCATGCCGTCGTCTCTAATGTGAGGAACAGGAGAATCCTCGTCTCCGACGCCCGGATCTTGGAGGGATTCAAATGGCGCTCGCTCTTGCTTCCAAAGGGGCAAGAAACATAATCGACCTGAAGAGGAATTCGGCAGCCTGATCACCAGCCTTCACCCCATCCATCATCATCCATGTTACTTTGCTTTGGGGCAAGACTAATCTTCTTTCCGGCCGCAGGCTTCGATGTTGTAGCCTTCGCCGTAGAAGGGGTGCGGGATGCGGAAGGGGCTGGTCTCGACGCGCTGGTGGTGGTGGTGGGCTTCGCCTTTGCTAGCCCCTTGGGTAAGGGCTTGCCCCCAGACTTCTTCTGGGATTGCGCTGCGAGCCACCCGGCAAAGTCGGGCTCACTACCGTCATCGTAGGCCAGACTGCTAGCAGGAGGTGACTTGTCCGAGGGCTTCTGTCCTTCATCCTCAGGCATATCGAAAAAGTTATCCCCGTCGTCCATTTCCCCCATGCGTCGGCGCCATCATCCCCGCATTATCGAACATTGCGGCGGTATTGATCGTCGTAGATGAAGAGGCCCGTGATACTGCCGGGGGCGGAGACTTGACAGCTTGCCGGTGAAGTGTGGATGCCGAGGATTGGTGGGCTGATTTGACCGGAGGCGGACCTGGGGGAATGGGCTTGGGAGATGTAGCTCCGTTGGCCTGAATTTCGCCGGCCGCTGTTGACAGTTTATTCGTAAAGGAAGATATAGCCCAGCCCGCCCAGCCTGCCGCAGCTGATTCGCTTGGTTGCGGGGTGCCCATGCGAGGGGCAGAACCATCAGCTGCTTGGACTGGGGGCAGCGCTGAGTCCGCCATAGCTTCCGCTGCTTTGCGGATCTTTTGTAGGTAGACTTCAATGGTTTTGTTCGCTTGGTCACGGACTGGCTTTTCCTTGTCGACCAGCAGCGGGCACATTGATGGGAGGACCCGGCTCGCGCAATCCTCGTCGCTAAAGCAATCAGTGGTTGCGGCTAAGGCCATGAGGGCAGCACTCCGTGCATGAACGAAAGGATCACGCAAAGACCGACTGAATGCGGCAATCAGAACTTTTGATCTCGTGGATCCACTCAAATTCTTCGCCATCTTGCCCAAGCAGATGGTGGTGTTGGTTCGAATGCCAGGCTGCTCGTCGTTGGCCGTCTTGGCAAGATACCTGAGTAGCTCGCCGTTTACGGTTCGGTCTGAAAGTTTGGGAACAATGACAAGAACGGATTTGAGTGTCTGCTCTCGAACCAAGGGCGCGACATCCGTAAATCCCGTAACGAGCTGGGGGAATATCTTGTCATTGACGACTTTTTGCGTCAGTTTGTCGATGATGAGGGGTAGGCCATCTAGAAGGCACACTCGGATGGCCCGATCAGGATTTCCAAAAGTCGTATAATGATAGGGGTGACCTTGGACTCAAAGTCGTCGTTGGAAAGATTGCCCGATATTTTCAAAACCACCTCGAGGGCCTTCGGCCCACCCTCCAAACTCGACTGATTTGAGGAGCTCGGGGAGGACCTTCATCTTGAGGAAGTCCTCGGGGAAATCTTCGGAGAGTTCCGCAAGTTCACTAAATAAGCTCGTTAGTAGGTGCGTTGATAGTAGGAGGAAGGGAAACTGACTTGAGAACAACCTCTCTCTCTCGGGTGACTTGACCCCCAGATTCTCGATATCGTCAGTAATCTTGATGATGGGGACATCGAAGAAGGCGCCGTTTCTCCGGCCCATCTCGAGAAAGTTCGCTACACTAATCCGTGCTTTGGGATTGGCATTAACTAGGCGCTTGTAGCTTGAATGCATTGAGGGAGGTATGCTGGTGGTTTGGCCGGCTTGGTCACCACCAGAATAGAAGCCGTTGAATACTTCAAAGATCAAGGTCCCCATGTTGAAAGAGTCGACGGCTGTGTGAGGGCCCTTCTTGATTGTGTCCCAACCGTTTCGAGCGAGCTCCGGCGGGGCATACCGCCCAGAGTCAGGCACCATGCTCCCATAGGTCTACGCTATATTTAGAGATTGCGCTTGCAAAGGTGTGAGTCAAAACGAGGGGGCAATTGACATACGTAGATGATGGCTTCGTCATCCGTTACACCGCTCAGGACCTCGAAGCCTCCGAGTTTCCACTCGCCGCTCTCCGAGGTATAGACGGACCCGACCTTGAGATTTCCGTGGATGGAAGATGCATCCTTGTTGATGAATTTTACGGTGTTCTAGACTCAGAGGAATCAGCCAGTGCGTCGGTGGGCATGGGCATAGCGAAGTTTTGTTAGGAGCATACCGCGATGCTGTGAAGGCCCCACTTCATAGCTTCTTCTGTCAGGCTCTTCCTTTTTACGTGCCACCGCAGTGGATCTAGCCTTTCCGTGGCGATATAAATGTACGTTTCCGTCTGTCACGGCGTCAGCTCAAGCCGAATAGAGAGGGCAGAGTCTCTCGAGGAGTCGTTCCGTGGCATACCTCGACGGTATCAAGGACCTTGATGACACCGGGATGCCGTAGAGTTCGGAGCTTCTTGAGCGCGTTGCGGGCAAGGGGCAGTCGCGACCGATTTGCGGTTATGTCGAAGGAGAAAATACTGCATTTCGAACCATCCTCCTGCTTCCAGGTTAGACTTGACTTGCGCGGGGAAGGCCAGACCGTCTCAAGTGCGGCCAGGCAGAAGGTGCAGCGCATCTCCCGATTTTAGCAGTCGCGAGGGAGGGGAAGTGGGCTCGGCCACAGCTCGACATACCCTTTTAGTTCCGTTGCGTAGTGTCCAGATAGATTCGTCAATGTCCACCTTGTCGCCAAACGAGTATGGGAAGGGAGGGCCTTTTGCTATGGCAGAAGCCACAGCAGACTTTAGAAAGTCCATGCCGTCGTAGGTTTGACGGTCCGAGATCTATTTGAGCCCGGGAGTACCTCGGTGGGGGCAGATCACCGGGGTTGTGTGAGCAGTGCGGCCTTGTCGAGGGTTCCGCTTCAGACTGGTGAGGAAATCGCGGGGTGAAGGTATGTTGCGAATAATTTGTGTGCGAAGAGAGCTGGTTGATGATTACAGGGCCGGTCGATGTCTAAGAGGCGCGAGAGTGGGATCTCTAGGGGTGGATTAAATCAATGTTGTAAGACAACGTGTCCAGGCGTGTCCCTGGATAAATTTCGTGTTGTAAGCTTCAATAGCGTGCAAGCAGAAGAGCCCCTCATCAGGCTGAGCGACATCATCAAGCGAGAAGTCGGCGGCGGGAGGGATCGGTGATTGGACAACTACACACCCATGCCTTGACGCTCAGCCAAACCACCACCAGTGGGTCGTAATACTTGAAATGCAACGGATAATTCTTGGCCTACTGCTTCGTACATCCCCCTTTAATCAATCAAGAGCAGCCCCGCGTGTTCCCGTTACTCCAGCTTGCCTTGCGCCTAACGATTCTAGCCAGCGATGGTTCACTTTTCGCAAGTGATAGGCAAGCGACCTCTTAGTTAAGCTCATGGAGAGAGCGATCAAATTGATGCATGGCAGAAAACAAGGGGTAAGGAAGCAAATTGAGGACAGCCTTGATTCAAGGATCCGCCGCCACGATGCAGCACTGAACCCTGCCAACCTGGATCAGATAGATCAAGACGCTGGATTGACCTGTCTTGTTGGGTGGCTAATGCCTCAGCCAGCTCCTCATACTAGATTATAACGGCAGTAGTTCCTTGCCGACCTGGACGCAAGGGAGTAGTGTATGGGTGCTGGAGCCGTCTTCTCGTCAACCACTGGTCCGTTTTGATGACTCGGCCGAGTTGGTACAAAGCAGTATCCGTGGTCGGTCCTTCGCGACTCGCCGTGTGCTCGTGAAACTCATGATGGTGTAGTCAACAGCTACATCGCATCCTCCCTTAATTGCTTTCAATTGCGAGTATTGCTCCACCTGGAATAAACGCCACTAGAGCTCAGGGAGCAATGCATCTAGGATCCATATGATTTGCCTTGTTGGCGCGCAATGCATGGGGCCCAGCCCCAGAGCGATCACCATCAATTTATTAATCAATGGGTGGTTAAATGGCCTGGCACGGCGTTTCAGCGACAACGCCCGCGGATGGGTCCATCCCATCCACATCAAGATGGACGCAGCATCGAGGCGGCCCACTTGATTCATGGTCAGCGCTGGCACGCTCCGCTATACTTGAGTAATAATACTTGATCAACGACTCTGTTTTTAGGCTTTCATCAACCAGGCAGATCCTGCAATAGCTTTATGTGCTCACCGAACATCAATTCAATTGAACCGGCGCGAAGGGGTGGATGGCATTATGATCAATGTACAGCATACACGCCACTCAATGTGGGCGGACTGGATATGAGTGGATGTATCCTCTTTGGAGAGGTTTGGGTTGGGTTGGGTTGGTTGTGGGTTAAGCGTAGCGTGGCGGGTGTGATGTGTGTGGTGTGTGTGGTGTGTGTGGTGGAGTGGAAAGGTGTATGCCGTACCTCAGTACAGTGCAGCATCGTCGTCTGTGCCTCCTTCCATTTGGAAGACCATCGTCAGCCAGCCGAGCCGAGCGAAAAAGCGCGAAAGGGCGCACTAGGCCGCATACCCCCTTGTCCATGCAACAACGCCAGCATTGAGTACCCGAGCCTTGCGTGAAGTTTGTTCGCCGCGCGCTCAACTTCCTCCATCTTCATCTCAGAACTTTATTGCTCACCTACCACCCCCAACCCCCAGTCTTTGCTTCTCCGCCTCTGAGGAAGCCGTGCTCATTTGTTCCCGGCTACCTCTATTTTCCTCCTTTGTCTCCTCGCCATCGCCACTCTCCACAATTATTTCCTCAGACTCCGGTCATTATCCCACCCTCGTCCCCTCGCGCCTCGCCTTCGCCCTTGCCTTCCACCCTCCATGGCCTCCTCCCGTCGATGAATCAAGTTGCCGTGGATGTATGGGCGCTAAAAGCACATCGCGATCCTCGCCTTTGCAACGCTGCGGCCTGTCACGCCTAAACCACCTAAGCGCGCCGATTCTGCCGTGCTGAACAGCGGCTTCCCGTCTCAACGACTCTATGCCTGAGGTGAAAGGCTCTCGGTAGGATTTCTGGCCGGAGGGGTGAAGGAGGCGACTGGACGATTCATTTGTTTTTTTCTTTTTGTTTTTTTCTCCTCTTATTCGCCGCCGGGTTCTCGCTTGACTCAAAATCACAAGGTACAGTCCAACTTTTGCGATCCTCTTTCTCTTGTCTTTCTCCCCGATGTCGATTATCCCCTGTAATGATGAGCTTTTGGTAAAAGGTCGGACTACCTAAAGGGCCCGTCTGGGGTCGATGTTGCCCAAGTCCCCGCTACGCTTCGTCACACCTCGTCGTCATCTGGTTCTCCCGAGTCTTTTGGCGCGCCCACTTTAGTGCCAGCTAGCTTGGCATGCTTGTGCTTGCGCTGTGGTGCTCTCTCATTGTGAGATGGGACATGGACATCTGGCGCGTTCGGAGTCGTGAGCTCGATCCTATGATCTCAGGACCAAAGGCTGTGCTGGACAGGTTGACGGGGCTTGGGCATTTTGCTTCAAGTCCTTCTTCCACCCTCATTCTTTTTCTGTGGCAGGCTTCGCGCCGGATCTTGGTGACACTCGAAACCGCTGTGGCCCCTGGATGAAGACCAAAAGAAAACTGAAAAGATCTGACAATCGTACCTGAGCTTTCAAAGCTCTTTTGTTTATCTTGTTACACTCGTTTTTGTCGCAGGATGCGCTAACCTCAACGGTGACTTAGTATCACGAGCGGTGTATCGCGCGCGTAGCCGCCGAGCAAGTCCGCGCCCTCTAGGTCATTTTCTTTTTTCTTCTTCTTTTTTGTCTTTTTCCCTGGTTCGAGTACATGCCCTTCAAAAAACGGACAAGGTATGTTCATGTTGTGCTGCGCCTACGCCTACGCCTTTCGAATCACTGTCCCCAGCCTCCAAACTACGTCGAGGTAAAATTGTACGCCTGCTAATGTAATGACCACCTGGTGATATTCAGAGAGACGAGTGAGGTTTGTGTCCACGTCACGTCCGGCCGGCATCCGGTGAGGCCGCTCAGGGCGGCTTCCACGATGAACCCAAGCCCTTCCCAGATGGTGGGACATGTAGCAACCGGCGCGCCCCTCTCGTCACTCCCTCGCAATTTTGGGCTGCATCAGCGCAGGCCTCCCTAGGTACTCTTGTGCCGTCCGCCCCCAGTCTATCGCGCCCCGCCAAGTAGAGCCCTTTTTGCGCTCAACCACGGCGAGGGTCCTAGACATGAGGGACAGGATATGGGAACGTTGCCGTTCTGGGAGCTTGCGTATTACGAACATCATCCTGCTACTAGACGCTCTGATGTCTACCCATTGACTCCTGATGAGCTGAGCACGCGTGTGATTGCGGGGCCCAGTATGGCGAATCCTAGTCTGGGAGCAAGAGAGAATGGTCTCATGCCATCAAGACAAAAGCCCACCGGGCAGGCTCTCACTGCTAGACCTGCCCCTCTTTCTACAACATATTCTACGCTCACAAACGGCGCGTCACCAGTGCATCAGCAACGACCCCACAAGGCTGCTACACTCACGGTGCATAGCAACGACGATTCGGACGTATATGTATTCAAAGGTACGCCGGTGCGACCGATAAAGCCGACTCGCCCTCGCGATGTTAGCGAGCGAGCCAGCCAAGCGCGGCCAGGGTCTTCAGGGGGCCTTGCGAAGCCCTCGGCAAAACGTCGGCGACCTCTGGTCGTGGAGGATATCATCAACGCCGGCACCGCGGCAATATCGAACTCAGAAAGTACTACCCCAACGACTAACTTAGCGGCTTCCTTGAGAGGAGGAAGTCGTGAGCCAAGTGTCGCAGTTACAATGGAATCCGCGCCCGGGACTTCTGCATCCACCACCCCTCGCAGGCCCTTGCAGGAAGGACAGAACGCAGCGTGGATGCCCGTCGGATCGTCGACGATGACGATTTTGACAGGTTGATCTATGGGCAAGAGGGTGCTGCAACCCCCTCCTAAAAGTGCGCCAATTCGTGCCCCGACATTCAATGCCAACGGTGCGGGATCGGCGAGGAGCCCCAGGTCAAGGGCGAAGACACTCGTCTGTACCTCTCAGTCGACCCAAGGGTCCACTGGAATCACAACAAACCACAGGAGTGGTACGATAAGCGAATGGAGGAAATCCGGCACCGGGGTGGGCGCAAAGCCAACTTTGGGAAGGCGGCCTCGCGGATGCGAAGTAAGCGACGGGAGGAAGCCTTGGTCCGTAGCGTTACCTCGTTCGGGCAGATGGACAACGAACCAGGGTCTGAGAGATTTGGCCGTCCAATGGATTTCTGCGATGTACCCGAGGCAGATCTACCAGACATGGTTAGCTCGAACCCAGCCTGGATGAAGGCTGTGTCATGGATGCGCGAATGCAGAGAAAAGTCCGTTGAAAGGCGGAAGCAGATTGCGCAGTTGCAGAAACAAGGCCTCCCTTGGAAACACCTGCTTGGCCCTGGCGACTCCTGACGAACCTGCGGGCTTAGGCCTTTAGTCTTGGTACTTGAAAGCGAAGTCGCCTCGCGACCTGGTGGGCGCAATATCCTCGGAGATGAGAGGCTCTATCGCGAGAGCGGGCTATATCTTTTTCTCCGTCGAGACACATGTAAAAACAAAATTCTTTGCAACGTATTAAATAGGCGATGAAGGTTGGGATCCTCTTCATGGATGGAGTTTGGGAGGAAACAGGTGCATTCATGGCCGCGGACTTATGATACCCCCTTCTGGGTGCGGTCTCCTCTACTGGTCTTTCATATCATAATCTTTTTTCTAACTATATTCTTGTTTTTTTTTCTTGCTAACTTTGTGTCCCCCTTATCTTCTGCTCTGCCTGCCTCACCCTTCCCTCCCTCTCCTACGGTGTCTCAAGGCCTGTCACGAGACCAGTTTCCTGATCTAGTCTGGTGCGAGGCATGGAGTGGAAGACGCCGTCTAGCTTGCGTGTATTGTAGGAAAGCAAAAGGAGTAAAAATAGGAAATTTACCAGTTAAAGCAATTGATCCTCTTAGAGAGGATCTAGGTACCCTCCATATGGAAATGAGGTATGGGATAGCGTGGGGAACGCTTCCCATTTCCATTTTCGTGACAAGAAAAAGAGTAATTTTGGGAAGGGGCAGTCGTGAGCACCGTTCGGCCTCGGAGCCGGCAAAGATTCTGAGTTCTTGCTCTCCAACTGCATCGGCGCCAAGCCTTTCCCCACATGTGGTTTGTCGGGAACCAAACCAGCGAATCGCAGCACACCAATTTTTTACATTTCGTCTGAGATTCGCAAGACCCTTTTGGGGGACATTTTTTTCCTCTCCCACCCTCCGACTCTCGCAAAGCAAAAACAAGAGCATGCGCCCGTGAGAGCCACCAACAACAATGGCTCCAATTGACCTTGCCAGGCATTCTGGCCACCTCACCAAGGTTCGTATTTCCCCCAAGGCTTGCCTTGAGTATCATGAGCCTGTGTTTCGATTTTTGGGGGTTGCCTCTATTACCCTCGGTTACTGACTTGTGTAATCCTCCCTTCTTCCAGGGTCTAGTCCAGCGGGGTCTGCTTCGCCCGGCCACCCTCCGGTCCTCGTCCTACGCTCGGCGTTACTCATCTTCTCCTTCTCCGGGATATGGCCTCCCACCCCCGTCTACGAGAGGCTCTATAACAAGTACACCCAGGTCCGACGGGTTCTTGGCGCGCAGAGGCTCACCCTCGCCGAAAAGATCCTCTACAGCCATCTCGACAACCCCGAGGAGAATCTCCTCACCGACACCGACAATGGCAAGAAGATTCGCGGCTCGGCCAATCTGCGCCTCAAGCCCGACCGCGTGAACATGCAGGACGCCTCCGCGCAAATGGCCCTCCTCCAGTTCATGTCCTGCAACCTCGCCAAGCCCGCCATCCCCGCTAGCATCCACTGCGACCATCTCATCGTCGGCTCCCGCGGTGCCGAGGACGATCTTGAGGCGGGCATTCAGACGAACAAGGAGGTATTCGATTTCTTAGAGTCGGCCGCCAAGAAGTACGGCATGGACTTTTGGCCCCCGGCGCCGGTATCATTCACCAGACCGTTCTCGAGAACTACGCCATTCCCGGTCTCATGATGCTCGGTACCGATAGCCACAGCCCCAACGCTGGTGGTCTCTGCACGATAACCATCGGTGTTGGTGGCGCTGATGCCGTCGAGGCCCTCGTCGGCGCGCCGTGGGAGCTCAAGGCCCCCAAGATTCTAGGCGTGAACCTGACTGGCCAGCTCCGCGACTGGGTCTCTCCCAAGGACGTTATTCTCAACCTTGCCGGCCAATTGACTGTACGCGGTGGCACCGGCTTCATCATCGAGTACTTTGGCCCCGGCGTTGACTCCCTCAGCCTCACTGGTATGGCTACCATCTGCAACATGGGTGCCGAGGTTGGCGCCACCACTTCCGTCTTCCCCTTCACTGCAGCTTCCAGCCGGTATCTCGAGGCCACTCGTCGCTTGCAGGCTAGCAAGAACGCCGAGGCTCTCCAAGCTTTCCCCGGAAAGGAAGCCCCCGAGGACCTCTACTTCAAGTTCCGGGCCGACGAGGGCGCGGAATACGACCAGGTCATCAACATCAACCTTTCCGAGCTCGAACCCTACATCAACGGCCCCTTCACTCCCGATCTCGCGACCCCTCTATCCAAGTTCAAGGAGGTCATCCAGCAGGAGTCCTGGCCTGAGCAGCTTTCCGCCGGCCTCATCGGCAGCTGCACGAATAGCTCTTACGAAGACATGACTCGTGTCGAGAGCCTTCTCAAGGACGCCGCCGCCGCCGGAATCAAGCCCGCCTCCGACTTCTACATCACGCCTGGCAGTGAGCAGATTAGAGCTACCCTCGAACGCGACGGCACGTTGAAGACCTTTGAGCAGGCTGGCGGCATCGTCTTGTCCAACGCCTGTGGCCCTTGCATCGGCCAGTGGCAACGCCAGGACGGCGTTACCAAGGGCACTCCCAACGCGATCCTCACCTCATACAACCGCAACTTTAGGGGCCGCAACGACGGCAACCCCAGACTATGAACTTCTTGGCTTCGCCCGAGATCGTCACGGCCATGGCCTTTGCGGGCTCGACCACCTTCAATCCCATGACCGACTCTCTCAAGACTCCCGATGGAAAGGACTTCCGCTTCTCTCCCCTCATGGTCTTGAGGGACCTCCCTCTCCGTTCGTTGCTGGTGAGGAGAAGCTCCTTCCTCTCTCTCAAGCTGCTGACAGCAACGTGGCCATCGCTATCTCCCCACCTCGGAACGCCTAGCTCTCCTCGAGCCATTTGACCCTTTCCCCGAGGGCGACTTGGCCGGTCTCAAGGTCCTTGTCAAGATAACCGGCAAGTGCACAACCGACACCATCTCCGCAGCCGGTCCCTGGCTCAAGTACAAGGGCCATCTCCCCAACATCAGCACCAACACCCTTAACACTGCCGTGAACGCCGAGACGGGCGAGGTCAACGCCGCCTACGACCTCGACGGCTCGAAGCACACTATCCCCGAGCTTGGCCAGCTTTGGAAGGAAAGGAACCAACCCTGGCTCGTCGTGGCCGAGCACAACTACGGTGAAGGCAGTGCCCGAGAGCACGCCGCGCTCCAGCCTAGGTACCTCGGTGCACGTATCGTCTTGGTCAAATCGTTTGCCCGTATCCACGAGACCAACCTCAAGAAGCAGGGCGTCGTGCCGCTGACCTTTGAGAACGAGGCCGACTACGACCTGATCGGCGCCGGAGACGAAGTCGGTACCGTTGGGCTGTACCAGATGCTTCAGAACGGCGGCAACGGCGAGGTCAGCATCGTAGTAAAGAAGAAGGACTCTGGCGAGGAGGTTCAAATCAAGACGAAGCATGCGGTAACCAAGGACCAGGCTGGCTTCATCCTCGCTGGCAGTGCCCTTAACCTGCTGTCGAAGCAGGCGGCTGCGTAAAAGGAAAGAAATGCGGCGTTTTTCTCGATAGACTCTTTTAGAGATTCCCTTTCTCGGAAGGGAGGGAGCATTCTTTTTTCCCCTCCCTCTTTCCTCTTTTGTACCCCTTCTCTCTTTCATTTTGTTCATCTTTTGTCGGAATAGTTTCATGCAGGTACAGGCTCAGGAGACTGGTAGGTAACGATGTCGGTGCTAGCTAGTGGTGCTGGTGATGGGCAATCTAGCCCATAAAAGAACAATATGCATCCTCTTGGGGATAGTCTCTTGTTCTTCTTTCTTTTTCCTATTTGTTCTGCGGCGTTTTTAAGCATATGTCGAGTCATTTTGGACACAAAAGATTACAATGTACATTCTTCATATATGACTTGCATCAAAAACGTTTGGTCCTATTCATCCTTTGCCCACAGGCTGGTCGTACGCGTGGGTGGTGCGGGTGCGTGTCCGCGAATTGACCCCAAGTTTTGATTCAAATTCTTCAGCAGATGAAAGAATGGCATTCAGGGTTAATCAATGGATTGATTATGTAGAAATCCCTCTGTCTTTGTGTTGTGGGAGAAAACAATGAAGGTTGGTTTGTATGTCTGACGACTGGTGCTCACCCAGAATATTCAACAGCCAAAAATCGGGGCCGATTCCTAATTTTTAAGCGGGCGCAAGGGAGCACGGATGTGCAGGCAGTCAGGATGTGTTGAGCCACGGGGAAGGAGCGAACCGCTACTGAACAACCCCTCCAAAGCTTCCCCAAACTCTCCACATTGACCCGTTCCTCGCGTCAATTGATCTGACGAACGCCATATGTTCCTCAAACTTTCTTGATTTCCCATCGACTTCTCCTCGCCCTTCCTCCACCCCTAAAACACCATGGCATAGGCGCATTTTCCGTATCAATATCTGTCAACCATCTCTTTATTTCAAGATGTCTGTCATTCTCTGCACAGGTAAGTGACACGCGGAACATCCTCGAGCTCTGCAACTTCATCTCGACCTCCACTTTCCGATGCTGACCGCGCGCGCCTGCTTCCCCTATCATAGCTGGTTACGACCACACCATACGGTGCGTCTCTCCCTCGAAAACTCTCCTCCCCGAACGCATTGTAGTCGCGAAGTCTCTACCTCTCGCCCTGGCCTGACCTACCGTCTGCACATATCTGGGGTCGCAGGCAGGCCGGTGTGCGCCGCGCCGTTAGCAAGATAGCAACGGAACGCTCTGCTGACAATGTGCATGTCGCTATAGGTTTTGGGAGGCGCTTTCGGGCATCTGCTCGCGGACGATCCAGCACCCAGAGTCCCAGGTCAACCGGCTCTGCATCACCCCCGACAAACGCTTCCTGGCGGCGGCAGGGCATCATACGGTGAAGCTCTACGACATCAAGTCGACCAACCCGAATGCCGTGCTCACCTTCGAGGGCCACATGGGCAACGTGACGGGCGTGGCCTTTCACTGCGAGGGCAAGTGGATGGTCACGAGTTCCGAGGATGGTACCGTCAAGATCTGGGAGACGAGGAGTGGCACTGTCCAGAGGACATACCACCATGCGTCGGCCGTCAATGACGTCGTGATACATCCTAATCAGGGTGAGATTATAAGCTGCGATAGGGGTGGGAGCGTAAGGATTTGGGACCTTGCCGAGAACACTTGCTCTCACGACATAATCCCCGAGGAAGATCAATCGGTTGCCAGCGTCACCGTTGCCAGCGACGGCTCCTGCTCTGTGCCGCCAACAATTCGGTACATACTCGCCCTCCGGCTTTTCCGCCCCTGTCCGTGTTCTTCCCCGTTTCAGATAACTCACTAACCCAACGACTTGCAGGGCAACGTCTTCATCTGGAAGCTGGCCCAGAGCCTTGAGCGCACAAACATCCTACCCCTAGCGCAGTTTAACGCCCACAAAGAATACATCACCCGCGTCCTTCTCTCTCCCGACGTGAAGAAGCTCGCCACCTGCAGCGCTGACCATACGGCCAAGATTTGGGAAGTCCGCGATCTCGAGCCCGGCCAGATGGACCAGTTGCCTCCCAACCCTTACCCGCTCGAGGCCACACTGACCGGCCATCAACGTTGGGTCTGGGACTGCGCCTTCTCTGCCGATTCGGCCTACCTGGTCACCGCCTGCTCAGACCACTACGCCCGCCTTTGGGAGCTCTCTACGCAAACGATTATCCGGCAGTACAATGGGCACCACCGGGGAGCCGTCTGCGTCGCGCTCAACGATTATTCGGAGGCTAGGTAGGGCAACCAACCGGAGAGCGCAACGCCCGACGGACCCCCAAAGCGGCGGCAGCGATTCTATAGATGACGAAGACAGCGATCCAACCCCGCGAGCCGAGCAGACAGGGGCCGAGAGGTCCCAGGCTCAGGGTTTCCCGCTCCCTACCCAAGAAGACGACGATATTACCCCCGGGCCTCGGTCATTTCACACGACCCAGCGCTTATGCAAGGTCCGTAGACACCCGAGATTTCCATCACTCTCTCTCTCTCTCAGCTACCAAATGGGTATATAGAAAAGCGGACAAGCGTTGGGGAAGGGTCAGGCCCTCAGCGGTTCATCCGGTCACGTTTGAGGGCGCCATCGTCTTTTTCATGCATTTCTTCTTTCTATTTATCACTTTACTCTGTTCTTTTTTAATGCTTTTGCTATTTGACTAGGCAGGCGTTTTCGTGGTGGTCAACGTTCTTCTTGTTTCATTGCCCACCGTTTACTCAACTAGTGGGCAGTACCCAGATAGCAATGCTTTTTTGAATCCATTCTCATAGATTATACTTAAAGCCCATTGCCTGCTCGAACCTTGTGAACCCTCAGATGCCGGTGCCCATTGAGGCCCACCCGTAGCAGCCGTATACGCTATCTTCCCCTTGGCCTAGGTCAGTCCTCTTGGGTTACGGTCACAAGTTTGTCAGTGGCAGAATGCAGCCTGGCGTCAACTCTTTTGGCTACTCATAAGGGGTTTCTCTTTCTACGGAAACTCACCCGTTACCCTAGTAGGTTCACAAAAGTCCAAACGGTACAATGACATGATTCCATTCTGATGCGCACATAAAAAGATAAAAAAACATAAAAAGGTTGGAAACCCTAGCCCTTGGGCATTGGCAGTGAAAGTCAAATAAAAATAAAGTATCACGGAAAAGATTTGCACCGAATAAACTCCAACCCCCTCCTTTCACACAAACCTTGGCCGGTTGAACATGTCAAGATAAGATAATGGAAAAAGGAGGGAAAAGAAAAGTTGGGATCATGCCCAGATATCGATGAACCGACCTCCCCTCCCGCCGAAACGCCCCATCCGGAAAAGCATAGATCCAGTCGCTCCAAATAGCCAACGACTGTAGTTGAAAACTTAGGAGAGGGTGGGGCCTGATGCCACCAGTGTGGTGAAGATCGCGATGCCACCCACAAGCCCCCAAGAGCAGCCATGCCCAACTTCCCAGCTACTGTTTGAACTCGCTTCACAGGCCGATCTAGCGCCTCCTGCCCATCCTGGAGAGGAAGAGGCGATGTGGCCTCATTAGTATTCGTAAAGGACTCGCCGAACCGCGGCGGCGAGGGATGGACGGCCTCGGTATATGCTGTGGAGATTTCGTCCATCTTCCTCTTCCTGCTGCTGTCGTCAGGAGTGGATCGAGCCTCTTCCGTTTTGGGGCCCTGAGGACTTGATTCTAGGGGTTTGTGCTCCTCGACGCTAGGATCCTCGGGTACAGGCTCGTGAAGATCAGCCTCTTGAAGATCATTCAGATCTAGCAAAGTAGCGTCTGCATCAATGACAACACCTGGTGATGTTGAAGCTGCAAAAGATTCATGGTCCTCAACAGCGCTACTTTCTTCTGTTTCAGGGATGTCGAGACTTTCGGCACTGGGATAGCCCTCGTTGACAACCCCGTTGACCGCTTCGCTAAGTCCATCATTGATCTCTTCATCAGCCTCGTCATCGACCTCGTCATCGACCTTATCATCAACCTCGCCGTCTATTGCAGGATCCAGGCCACCGTCGACGGGGGTATGGTTCTCAGAGGCCTCGGAGGTTTCGGGCTCAACCTCCAATGAATCTTCTGAAGTCTGACTGTCAACGATAGCTACGACCTCTTCTGATAAGCCATGGCCGAAATCGCCTGTCGATAGGCTGAGTCCGTTGCTTAGCGGGTGAAGCACCGGAGGGGGCCTAGAGTCATCTGTAAGGTCGACAACACCCGAGTTTGCGCCAGAGACACCGCACCGGTGCAGAATCCCTACGGCGCGGCTGACGAGGTCCGTTGCTTCTTCTTCATCGGCGGAGTCGTCGTCTGGGACGGTAAATGTCCCTTGTACCCTTTCACCGATAGATCTAGTACTGTATTATGATGAATTAGCTTAGCGTAAGGAACATTGAAAACACAAGGAAAGCGCTACCCGCCTAAATATGGCTGAACCTACTTGGATTGAAGAAACCTAAGGCCAATCTTTGCTCGAACTGGGGCGATCACATCGGTCCCGTGTCGGATAGCCACTCCAAAAGTCAATATATCCCCATCGCGGAGCGGATGCTGGACTGCCGGTTCGATCCTGGTGTCGTTCACCAGCGTTCCATGAGATGACCGGGCATCGCGGACGTAAAGACGCTACACAAGGCCAATCAGTTATAGGTGCCCTAAAGTAACATGGAGTGGACGAGGTGGCATACCAGGTATCTCAGATCGGCATGTAGCTCTGCGTGAGAGCGACTCATCACGGGGTTCTCATAAAAAGCATTGTCTGGCCTCGGTGCAACCGAAGCCACCCTACTGCTTGATCGGCCGATGGGCATCTTCACTCTATCATAATCAAGGGTGATGGTCCGTTCCAACACATCGGAAACAGGCTCCTGCGCCGTCAATGTGATTACGACTATCCAGAATTTGAGACGTTAGTAGAAGGTAGGGTCGAGTAAAAACACAAGAGCCAGTCCAGCATACCTTTGCGGTCCCGATAGTACATGGCGGCGGAGGGTGGGGCAACTCTGCCTAGTCGCGGCTCAGGCGGCAAGGGAACACGACGCCGAACTGCTGTCCTTCGAGGGCGGAGGATAACAAATATCGCAGCTGGGGTTTCTGCGTCCTGGAGATTTATGGTTCTTTGTCTGGCTCCAACCGCAAGTGGTGGTTTTACGGGGTGCAAGTTGAGGCCGGGAGGAATCTGTGAAGTAGGAGGATTGATGGTGCGGGACGAGGGAAGGCAGATGATGCAAGTGTATGGTGGGGTTCTGATAGCGATAAGGAGCCGGATTGTGGAGAAGGTGCCGCTCGGTGCTGTCCCGGTGCCCAGCCTATTGATGGGGTTTACCTAGCGACTTTTGGAGGGTTGAAGAGCTGACGCAGTCCACGAGCAACGTTAATGAATCAGTTGGTTCTCAACCCTTCGATGCAAGCAAGTAGTGATATTCGTCCAGTCAGTCTAGGCAAGTAAGGCTAGGTTTGACACTTTTGGGCGGGGTAGAATGTTTCCTACTTCGCTTTATCTCTAATACTAGCCTGATCCGAGGGGTTGAGTCAAGACAGTGCTTGCCACAGCCTGGGAGGAAAAGACGTGAAGACACAAGTACAGTGTTGATGGCTGAAGGGTCACTTGAGCCCAAGCCACCTCAAAGCGTACTGTGCTCCCCACGCCCATGAGCTAGCTTCAATGTTCTCCCAACCGGCTAAGGCACCTCTGCAGAATACCAGGCGCCAGGCCCCATCAGTGCTGGGTGGACTGGACTTCTTGTTTCGAACGAGATTAGCTAATAGGTTCTAGGTACTTTGCCCAAGGCTGGCCAGCGATGCTGATTAAACACTGCAACAAGTTTCCTATACAAGGATTGACAGATTTATGGATTAATTCATTCTCGAGACCTCAATGTGAAGAAGTGACTCCCTCTCATTGAACATGGTCAATTTTCAAACATATTGAAGCCAAGGCTCTTCAATAGTCTATCAGCATTTGCACAAAAAGATCACGGTCCATACGATGGATTCATTCTCAATAATAGGTTGCCGGTCTTTTCATTGCTTGTCAAGCATGAGGCCCGGTCCCCCTTTACAATGATTATATCAACGTTGCCATCTCTTGCTAATAATGCTTTGGGCTGGGTGTTCGGAGGAGTGCTACGTCCGAGTCGCGACTGAGCGAATCACATTCTCAATAGCCAACGGCACTCGGGGAGAAGCGGCCTGCAGATGCACAATGTTATTGATTCTTCCCTCGGTCCAGGTTCAACTGGCCTTGCCATGCGGCGAACCCCGCGCCGTGATATGCAAGAGCGGCGGCTTGCGCAGCGAAGAAGGAGAGGTGCATTCATCCCCTGGGGACCGGCGACTTGCTTCATATATCCAAACTTATCGACAAGGGCGAGGCGGTTCTATATCCGCCTCATGATGCTGTGGATGAGTGTTTTTGCCCTTCTCTCGCTTTCCCTTCCTCATCAGATTTCTATTTGCCGTAGACATCAGAAATCATGTCGGCACCAACCGTGAGGCTAGTTAGTAGTTAGGCCTAGCGATTTCCACCAAGTCTATGCTGTAATGTGGCCGAGGGGGTTCACACGACATCCGAAAAAGACCTTTGAGACTAGTTTCCACATGTTCTCGAACAAGTCCTGGGGCACCGAGGTAGTAGAGTGGAGCTTCTTTTCTGCACGACTCAAACAAGGGTCACAGGCAGAAAGGTTCTATGCAGTAGAGCTGGCAAAGAGTACTCCAGTCAAGGAATCTATAGCTGATAGCCGACACACATCCGCAGCCTCAGCTGCCAGCACTATGCATTTACTTTCTAACAAAGCGCAAAGTCCATCTTGACACTCTGCCCGGAAGAGGGGGTTCGAGTCCACCATGCGTGTCCTTGGTTGGCCAACGTGGCGCGGGGCAAATCACAAGAGCGTCGCCCCCACACTCCAATCCAAGCGAGACCTAGAGTATTCATTCGGGGTTTGAAAGGAAGTAGGAGAGGATTGGGAGGGCAGGCGATAGAATATGCTGGCACCCTCACTAACACCTTTGCGCCAAGTACCGGTATTAGGGGACTTTCCAAGGTGAAGGGGACTCATTCCATTCATCCATCTATGGATGCAGCGTCAACTGACCGCCAATAGGGCAATCAAGCCGCCGGGCAAAAGTTACAAATGATCAAGTGCCCGACAGATTAGGCTCCTTGCCCTGAAATGATTTGGAAGGAAAGTGGAAAGAGAAATCAAAACAACCCCTAATGCAGGAACGTCAGTTTTGCTTGTTGAAGTCCATCGTGTAAACCTGTTTGAGAAGTTTCTATGGTCAAGGGTTTCCTAGGTTACTGCGCGCATGAAACCAAGAGATGCATGGATTTTCCAATCGGAGTCGCGCACTGCGAGAGTTCAGAAGAAGACAGGCCACGATTCTTCGAGCCAGGAGGGAGGCCCTGGCCAACAATTCATCACAGATGCCTTGACGCCCGACAACCCAACGACAAAGTATGATGGAGAAAGGATGGGATATTGGATATTGGGGGTGATTGGCTTTCGATGATTCAAAATGACAGCAACCTCGGGTCCGGTCTCCGTCAATTTGCAGCAACGCCCCATTGTCGTCCCTGGAAGGTCTCATGTTACTAAGCAGGAGAGCAGTGAGGAGAAGCTGACAGTTGAGGGCCACCACCCAGCACTCCATGAGACAGACTTGTGTGCCTTTGAAAGCTCTCACCACACCCGCCAGCTGTCTGTTATTCCACTGTTGAAAGCTCATCTCTGACATCAGAAGCGGATGTAACAGTGTCGTATCAGTTTGGGGGAGAAGAACGACATATTGATCCAGAGATGATACAGAAACCCACTCAATTTGGACAAACTTGGACTAGGCAAGCAGCGCTAGGTGAAGCTCCCGGGCCCTTGTCCACAATAAATCACAGAAGACGTCGGCGGAGTCACGCTTTTTCTCCAGACAGGAGCTCGAGCTTCAGAGGCTAGCACTAATTTGGCCGCTGCCTGGCCAACAGCTCCAGGGACAAGATTGATGGCCCCAGGATCTGACAAGCTAAGGCCGTGTCAGGAGCCGCCACCGGAGATCAATTTCATGTTGACAGAAGAGCAGTTCGTATTTAACTTGGGTTAAAAAATTTTTGTACTCAAGGCCAATGGAACAGAATTAGTGCTAATACAACGCAATTGATGACACCGAGATAATGGTGACGAGTGCAACGTATTTGCTCGACCAGAGGGTTCACCTACACTACATGTACACTCGGATAAGGATAATACCAGCAACCCTGTTCCAATGGATCCTAAGAATACATGCAAATGCTTAAAACTGCACCGAGAAAGGTCGGTGGTGGCGGATGGCAATTTTTTTCCCTCCCGAAGGACATCTGGCCCATAATATTGCCTGCTTTGGACCAATATATACACGACGGAGGGTTGGGAGGGCAAGAGTGGCTGTTTTCCGTCAAAGAAGGAGTGATTCGACTGGATGGGGAACGCTTGGTCTGATGAGAAGGCAATATCGAACGGGATTCGCCAGGGATGGGCGGAGAAACGGGAACAGTGGCAAGATGGCCTTTTGGGACCCGTATGAGTGGACAACGATGGCGGGAAGGGGAGAATCCTGGGTCCATGCCTTGCGCCTCGGGGAGCGAGAAGGCAACCCGCAGAGCTCGATCCATCGGGCAGATCCTGGCCCCGCCAGCTTCATTGGTCCAGCTCCCCACAGGGCCAACTCATCAAGCTGCTGCTCCTCCCGACTCCCCATGGTAACCGTCAGCCATCCCAGCATTTTCCAGCCGCTTCTGGCTCCCAGCTGTTTTCGGAGACAATAACAACAAACCAGGCCGATACCACTTCTGCCCGCTCCCTGCCACCCATCCGAAGGGAAGGGAGAGAGTGACCCCCAAAACATTTCTTCCTCTTCGTTGTTCGTTTCTAGCCAAGCCCCCTTTTCCCGGTTCCCTGCCTGTTTGTATCACACCCATCACTGTGAAGTATCACCTTCCAAGGCTGGCTGTCTTCGTGCAAAGGCGATGGGATTTGCTGCGCTTTCTCAGACCGTAGTGGCCCACCTCACCCCTCTGGAGAGGGCAGTGTTTTTTCTTTCTTTTTTTCTTTGCAGTTTTGTGGCATCCCCTCGGTTTCTCCGACTTTGGAAGCGCCGCGTGATGGAACAATTTCACATCTGCGCATACGCTCCTCGTGTGACTTAAAACCCCATTTAGGTGCCAACGGCGGTAGACTAGTTGGTTTTGGGAGCACAGCTGAGCCAGCCGAATCGTAGTTCGTAGCTTCCCTGAGGTGACAGGCGGTTGTTAAGACAAACCTCGGCCAGCATCGATACATTCGAACGTGTTGTTCAACACACAGTATTTCTTGTCTCACGGATCGGCTCCCTCTCCCGCCGTGGGTGTCTCTCCCTCTTCCTCCCCCACGTCACGAAGCCTTCTGCTCAGCCTAGAAACAAAGACTCACAGTTCCTTTTTCCTCTCCTTCCTTTCCTTTTTTCTCCTTTCCTCCTTTCACCATCACGTATTCCCGGCCTCGCCACCCACTATTAATCACCGCCATTAATCTGAAAAAAAGAGTCGCGAGAAAATCGATACAACTCGAAGCCTCAACTCAAGCCCGCCTCTAATAAGATCCGCATTGCGACCCGCCCAAATCTTCAGCGCCTCGTGGACCCCGACCAGAAAATAAAAGTACTTGCCGTCTCGACCGAGCATTTCGTACCGCGTAAGGTTCTTCAAGTGATACTGTACCGCCGCTTGAGAGGCCTTCGAATTCTTTATATTGGGTCTGTTGAATTTGCAAGCCTGTGCTGTGCGAGTTCGCGAGTTCTGCAAGCCCCTCGCCCCTTCACCTTGTCTTGACCCTTGTCGTTGTCCGTCTCCAGCAGGTCCAGTTTTCCTAGGTACTCACGAGTACCCCAGACAAGTACATTGATCCCTCGCACCTGGTAAGCAACTATCGTCCCCAACCATGCTACGATCCAAGCCATCCACAATCAACATAGCCAACACCTCCCTCTGAGCTCTCTCTTCTCTTTCATATCAGCAGTACCATGCTATTCATGGTGTCTGCGGGGAGCTCCACAAGACTCAGCTGAGGAAAAGCCTCTCTGGCGCAATCTCCCTTGCCCCAAAGCCATTCGGCCGGTTTCCCTTTTTTCTCTTTCTTTTTCCCCTGCTCTGGTTTGGTCCCAAGGACTTGTTGACCTTCCCTACCCGGCTCGCAGCCCGGTTTTCTACTCGCATCTACCCAAGCACCCCCAGACTGAAAATTTCTGTTCCCCTTCCACCCTCGCGCTCCCCTCCGGACTGCATTTGCGCCCTTTCCTGCAGGAGCCCCCGACTCTTCTGCATGTTGTTGTTGCCACTGGGCAACAAAGCATCTTGCGCTTACATTTTCCTTTTGGCCTTCTAGGAATTCCCCACACCGACGACTTGGCGAATCCCCTCTTCGTTCCTCCAAAGTAGTGTACTTGGACACTCGCCCTGCATGTACCTGTTCCTTGAAATGCCGTGACATTTCACACATTGGAGCAACCTTGGGCCCCTGTCTATTTACCTCTTAACCTTATCACCCCTGGCACATCCTGTCCTGGCCACTCCCCATTTCCTCCTTCCCTCTCCCTCATCGCCTGCAAAAGGGGAAGCAGGATTGATTCAGGGTCGGAATTGACAGACGGGACAGCGTCGTCGTAAACAGAAAATAGACGACTACTCCAGGGTCTCACGGACAGGCTGGCCGCTCCTTGAGCAACCAGCTGTCCTACCCGCCACCTAACGCTTCGGGGCATACATGCCATCCGACACAACCTTTCCCGATTATCATCAAGATCGAAATGGGAATTAACTTCAAGAAGGCCCCACCACTTCCTGCACCTACCGAGACCGAATCGACGATACCTACCGAGCTGGGAACTGATGTGTCCTACCCTATCGACCAGAATTCTACCTACTCCCTTCCCGAGGACGGCACTCCAGTCACCATCAAGACCCACGGCAGGTCCCTCAACCAGAAAACCCTCTTAATCGAATACACCGAAAATCCTAGGCCTGGTGCCTCGGGTTCCGACTCTGAACGACGACCCAGCGTCCGCGTCCGCGTCACAAACCCTTCCTCCCGAGGAAAGAGTGACGCAGTCGCCGCCGCCGCCGTCGCCCGTACCAGAGTCGCCGAGACCGACGCGCTCTTCGCCCCAACATACAACCGACGCCGACCCATCTCCCCTTAACCGGTCCTTCGCCGCTCGTCGAGCCCCGAGACCTTGGCGACGATCGTAGCATCGGCTCTTACGCCTCGGCCACCGAGGAATCAAACGTATCCAGACACCAACCGTCTGGGGACACCGGCCCAATCATTGGTCGCAACCCTCGCCGGCGTAGACCCGCGAGTCCCCTCATACCATCTGCTCACGAAAGCGAGACCATGGCGTCCTATATGCCGAGCACACAATCTGAGATCTCTGCGATCCCCACAGATAGCTTCCTCGACGGCTCCGGGCCCGTGAGGTCGCCCGAGGCAAGGTGGATGGCTCACCCACCGTCCTCAGAGAAGCTAAAGAGCTCCAAAACCCGGACCGTGAGCCGCGAAAGGGTGAAGATTTCCGAAAATCTTCGCCGCGAGATCGCTCGGACAGGAAACATAAGTCCAGCAAGAGCCGAACTAGCAGCATAAGCGACAAGCATGGAGATAGTGGAAAGTCACCCCGGAGACGCTCGAGCCGTAATCATGACTCTATTGTGTCGGGCGCCGACTCCAGCGCCGTTTCCTCCAGCTTTTCCCCAAGCCATAGATCCATGGACCAGCATTCAATGCGTTCCGAGTCGTCGTCCAAATCCATCAACAACCCGAAGCTTCTTGAAGCCGTTGAAGATGCCATTCGTAGGTTGATCCTTCCTCAGCTCGATTCGTTGAGGCGCGAGCAAAGCATACGAGAGGCAAGGCGTGGGTCTGTCGTGTCCGCCGCCACTTCGGTGTCTAGAGAGGATCTCGCTGGGGACCGTAGGCGACTTTCCGACCGATCTCAAAGAGATTCACGCCACAAGGATCGCAGAGATAGGGAGGCCCGCCATGACTTTGCCGATGCATCCTATGATCGGGAGTCCATGGATGGCTCATCCATCCTCGAGCCCGAGCCGCATACCCCTCGAAGACGGAGTACGGATATGCTCAAGGCAGTCGCCGCTGCCGGCGCTGTCGGTGGATTGGCTGGTGCGGCTTTAGCGCATTCGCCATCTGAGGACAAGAAGCAGCGCCGCCGAAAGCGCGCCGAGTCCACTAGAGTCGGAGCAGAGCAAGCGACACCTATACCGACGACTTTGACGACGATGATATGCTTGCCCCCGCCCCGCCAATGCCGCTTATGAGTGAAATCAACCCATCCGACGTGACGAGGACGTCTATTCTTTCCGCCGATACGGATAGGCCGCATTCCGCATCTGAAGAGATGGCATCCCTTCGCGAGGTGCCTAGAGGAGTGGCGATGCCCCCGCCTTCCGGTCACTCATCCGCGCTCCCCCAGGGACTCGGGATGCAACATGCAAACATCTCCCATGGCGATCTCACAGCTCTCCGTAACGTCAGGGCCGAGGTTGACCAACCTAGTCCTGCTTATGGCCGGGAACCCCCATCCTCACGCTCTGCCAATCCAGAAGGCGCCACCATTCCTGAAGTTCTCGAAGACGAGCTACCACCCGATTCGAACTACGTAAGTTCAGCGTATGAATATTATAATACCCAAGACGTCCCCCAACATCTCCGTTACGAGCCATACCAGCCCGAGCGCCGCGGGCTCAGCCCTATCTACAGTGTGTCAGGCTATACAGAAGGAGGCAGTGAGGGACCCCATCAGAGGGATTCCCGAGGGTACGCTGCCAGCGCGACCTCGGACTCGCCGGAAAAGCCGGCTCACTCGATGCATTCGCCTGCTTCTGCTCATAGCCACCTCTTAAGCCGCGATCTTGATCAGCGAAGCGACGGCCGCAGCTCCGTCGCCGATTATCGACGTCCACTGTCTATGGATGAAGCCGATCCGGACCCCTCATCAAGGCAGGCCGTCCGCGGCATTGGAGCGAACCCTGACATTGTCCATGTTCCCATGGGCTTGAGTCGCATGTGGCATCCTTAGTGGATGGCTCCATGATCGAACAGTCTGTTCTGTCTCAAGATTACGGCCAGCGCGACTCCATGGCATCTTATGATGATATGCCTCGCTCGTATCGAGACAATTACAGCGCCAGCCCAACCAAGCAATCCCAAGATAGCCGACACTACACGGATGATGACCGCGCTCTTACCCCAGTCTCCCGCGGGCCCGCGAAACGCTCGCACGAATTTTCAGAAGAATATGACATTGACAAGCATGGCCGCAAGGTTCCTCAATCGCGGTACAGACAATCTCCGACCGCGTCTGAGGCGGCTATCACTTCGGGCGCGGCTATGAAGGCAATCTTGGCCCTCAAGGCCAAAGGTCTAACGGACGGCGCTGCCGAAGAAGCTTTTACTCCCGCGGGAGTGCAGAGAAACAAATCCTTCAAAGAACGTACCCTAGCCGGGCATGAGCCGGCCACGACTCCTACGCACAGCGTCGACCGGCTCGACTATGTAGACGAGCCCCGGTTCGGGGCTAGCGGTCTACCGGATCTCAACGACCCCATGCCCGAGATTGGCTATGTTGATGATAGTGACACACATACAAATGCGTCCGTCGTTGAAGACCGGCTTGATGGAAACCATGGCACTACCTGGAGCGGTCGGTCTACTCCTAAAGCAATGATTGATAGCGGCCGAAAGCCTGAAATCCGCGAGGCTCACGGCCTAGGCATCACGGATTTGGCAGCTGCAGGCGCTGCTCTGGGCGCCGCCGCTGCCATGGCCTCCAATAACCAAAGCCGCCAAGCAAGCAACGAACACGTTGAAGAACCGCCGCGGACCTCGGATGAGAAGAAGCGTGACACGCTGGGGACCAACCCGTTCGAAGGCATCAGCCCCGTGGCCAACCCGCACCTGGGCGAGAACCTGTTTCAGGGTGGAAATTACTCTCCCGGCTTTCATACCGGGAGTCCTGGTGTCGAGGATGAGGGCTACAAGTCACAGGGGCCGAACCGTACCCCGATTTCGAGACCGGCAAGGGAAACCTCGATATCGCAAAGCCTGTGGAGCTTCGGGATGGTGAAGATCCCTTCTTTGATCCCACGAAATCTCTACACACGCCCAACTTTAGCGGTATGTCCCATGGCATGGTGACGCCATTTTACGATGCTGCGACCGGGGGCGGTATCGACCGAATCGAATCGAAGGACATCATTGCGCTCATGCAAGAGGTATGTACAACCATTTCCATGTTTTGGGATGACGCAACAACTCGTAGGACACTGATCTGACACGCCACCTTTTAGCTGGTCGCCCGCGACGCTCAACGGACCGCGCGTGACACCGAGATCGCCGCCACCGTCATGTTCCTCGCACAAGAAATGCGCATGTCTTTCCAGAACGTCGAGACCCGTATAAAGCAAGCTGAAGATGTCCTGGTTGACGAGCTCGAGCATACAGAGAAGGCCATAATTAAAACAATCGGAGGCCCTCGCCCCTACCCTGGCAGTGCCGGTCGATCTGTACAGGGTGGGTCTCAGGCGGGCGAGGATCTGGCGGCGAAGAAGGGAAACATCATTCGACGCGCCCTAAAAGGTCTCAGGACGTCGGGAACGAACGATCTCACCCGAATTGAGGACATGCTCCTCACGCTTCTCAAAGATGTTGACGACCTCAAGGCCCAAACCGCCCAGCAGCCCCGCAGCACAGCCCGACCATCACTAGACAACTTGCAGCCGGAAGCTCAGTACGAGCAGGACCAGGTCTACGAACAAGACGCGCGTGATGCACCCTCCCTAGCTAGTCACGGCAGCCAATCCGGGCACCTTGCAGCGCCCCGAAGCTCTCAGCGGAGGTTGTCTGAGAATCGCGTGAGTACGGTTCCCGAGGCATTGGAAGAGGATCACGATGATGAACATGGAGATGACCACTTGATGGGACCTCAGTTCACCGACAGCCACCTCATGACGCCAGCCCACAATCAGCGAGGCAGCTCGGTGCCCCTCGACACACCCCCAGGCGACGACCTCGAACGCACACCTCGGCTCCGTTAGCAACGAAAACACGCCTCGCACCGATAAAGGCAAGAAACATAAGTCGGGCAGCTCGTCGAGCTGGATCCCCAAGATCTCGCGATGGTCGGAGACGACGGCGTCAACGGTTAGCAAGGCTTTCCGAGGTAGTGGCGCGACCTTGCGCAAGGATAGGGATGCTGAGTATGTCCCAGCCGCCCACTCACGCTCAGGGTCTGACTTGGGTGCATATGCCGATGATTACCACCATACCGACCCGTACGGCGAAGACCACCTGCACACAGGCTTCTCAGACCTAGATCTCGTCCCTCCCAACGCTCGAGCAGATGATCTAGGTGGTGGTGGAGGGCCGCCGAGGGCGTACATGACGCCCGAAGACCCCAAATACAAGGCTCATAGGAACTCGCTTAACCTACAACATCCGCAACCGAGGCCGGGCCAGACGGAGCGGTTCAAGGCAACGCTCGAGTCTCAGGCACATATCTACGACTCCACCATGACCCCTCGATCTCACGACTGGCGTGGTTCCGCTGCCAGCCTTCACCGATCTCCCGCTCAGCACGGACACCGCTACAGTGATGTTTCGGCCCGTGCTGGGGAGGATTATTGGCCGGATTCCCCGGCGGTGCCAATGCGCCGCCGCGCCCACCCAAGGAGCCTCTCGACAGCGCGTCGGGCACCCCGTTCGCGGTGGTCGCTCCACCAAGCTGCAAAAGCAAGCCCTCTTCCATACCATAGCGTGGAGAGCGGGTATGGCACGGCTACGGCTACACACACCAATTATACTGGCAGCCCGAAGCTAGAAAACCGCAACCTAAGTGGCGCGCTAGGTGCCCCGACCCGACGTCCTAGTGGGCCGAGGGCCATGACACCCAAGAGCCCGGAGGAGGAGGCCGCCCGAGAAGAGAGGCGGAGAAAGCGAGGTAAGCCGCCCAACCCCCTTTGAGTCATTCTCGAGAAACCCCGTTCTTCTTAGAACGGAACCCAATGGTCGTGTCTCATCTCATTCCTATGATTGTCATGTATTGCTATAAGCCTGGTTTCTAACATTATTCTTCTAAACAGACACCTTTGGGACGATTGCTAGCCAGGACACTGATACTTTCTAGAAAAAGCCTGCGGTTGCCGCCCCTCGGCGTGTGCGGTGGTCTCTAGATGTATGAATTGCTCGACACAGCCAGGCGTGTACGAAGTTGCCATCGCGTATTGTGAATAGAAACCAGACTGCAGGCGAGTCTGGCGGGATCGCTCCAAATCCAACCTTGTTAGACAGCACTTTTGAGGAATCGACCAAGCCACGTCCGTTCCTCCACCGAGTGCCAGAAAGAGAAGCAGAGAGAAGAAGAAAAAAAGAAGTGCGGCGCGAATACCCCATCAGGAGACATGAGGATAGGGAGGGGAATGGTGCCCCCGCGAAAACCTTCAACGGTTGGGATCAGATCTGGAAGTGAGTAAGTGAATGTGAAAGGAGTGGTTGGGATCTTTGGTTTTATGTGTGTTTTTGGGAGGACAGCTTGTGCCTATCCTTCACTTGGTGGCGGATCCGAAGGGGAACTGAGGCGGGGAGCGTTCTTTCTTTCTTTTTTCTCATTTCTTTCTCATCCGCTTCTCATGTTGTCATGACCCGTTATGAGCACAGCATACAGTTGTAGTTAGCCCCTGTTTTCTTCGTTGTCTTTTGCTGCAAGCTTCTCGTTCTCGCGGATGCTCGCCCAGATAAAGAACCTCGCCATTCACCAAGATGGAGTTACTTTTACGAAAGGGAAAATGCACGTTTTGTCCTGCTGCTCCTATTTTATTAATCCACTTTTATCGAGTCCCCAATACTATCTTTGCCTGTTAAACGTGAGAAGGACTGGATGAACCAAGAGCTCTATATGTCGGAAGGGGGCTGGGTCCTTGAGGAAACGGCAATTAAATCATGATGAACCTGAGTGAGCGTCACGTCATCACTATTAAACATGAACAGATCCATTCGTGACTACATGTAGGAATATATATATCGAAGCTGATTGATGCTCAGCCGTCGTTACGCGTACATGGAGGGCCACGAACAGGAGAAGAAGCATCACAAACCCCGATTCTCGAGAAAGGGGGAAAAAGGGGAAAAAGGAGGACAAGGGTGATAAAAAGCAACACTCGAGGTATAGAGGGAAAACACAAATCCAAACGCTGCGAGCGTACATACACAACAAAGGGCACTGGTATCAAGTCTTTTTCTTCGTCTTCCTATCTCCCCACGCTTACGCTTCCAAAACAAGATAGAAAGGCAGGGGACCCATCAAGATTCTCTCCTCTGCCTCAAGCTGCCTAGGCTGAGAAAGAGCCCTCCTTCCCCGACGCCACTGATGGGTGAAAAATAAATAAAAAGAAGATGCGCTGGTGGCCATGAATTTTCCCCGCCAAGACAAGTCATCTCCATACTTCATGGACCCCTCTAATTACCTCGAGGGGAACCCCTCCGAGGGATGGGAACGGCAATAAACCCGCCTATATCGCCCGCAAGCCGAGAGCCGGGGCACGACCGAAGTTGCGTGGAAGATGGATGCCGCTTCTCGGCCTGGTACTCCCCTTTAAAGCTAGCTCCTCTTGTTTTTCCTCTTCTTTAGGTAAATCTCGTGTGGATGATGTCCGGGTTCTCGTGCCAGTCGTCAATGCTCACCCACATCTACAAACACATTAGTTTCGGTGGGCTCAAGGCAGGCCGGGTATCTGCAAAAGCAAACAAAGTGATTGGAAGGGACGCTGGTACTCACCTTCCTAAAGGTACTTAGCTGGGCCAAGATACTCCCACCAATCCAGGTCGAGTACTTCCTCTCCGGAGGAGCAAAGATTTTTATCCGCATGTCCTTGACGGCAAGCCTTTGCATTTCGCTCAGAAGACGGTCACCAAAGCCTTTCGTGAGTGTGCTGCCTCCAGAAAGGACGATGTTGCTGTAGAGGGATTTCCTGAGGTCCATGTCGGTACGGTTGATCGCGTCGATGACGATCTGGTGCACACCAGGGTATTCAAGGCCGATAATCTCGGGGTCGAAGAGGATCTCGGGCGCCCTGAACCTTTCTGGGCCGAGCTGTGAGGATTTGCGTCAGTATCGGGATTCGCAGGGGATGGGGAAGATATAACCCCGAGACGTGCGCGGGGTACCGATTTTGCGGGTTCATACCTTGAGTTTATGGCCATCCGGTAACGTATACTCAAACATCTTTCCCGAATCGTGCTTCCCGCCAACCCATTCCTTCTCCTCACGTTTGGGATCCCTTGATATGTAGCAGGCAGTCTCCTTGAGATGTCGTACAACCTCCTTTTCCGCACTCGTATGAAAGACGTACCCGCTCTTCCGGAGGAGGGTCTGTAGGTATTCGGTCACGTCACGCCCAGCGACGTCGATGCGCCTTATGCTACTAGGCATGGCGAAGCCCTCGTAAACGGGCACAGAGTGCGATACGCCATCGCCAGAGTCGAGGACGATGCCCGTCGTCCTACCGCTCGCGTACAACGAGAGAACGGCCTGGATAGAGGTATACAGCGCCGGGACATTGAAGGTCTCGAAGAGGATCTGCGCGGCGGTGTCGCGGTTGCTTCGGGGATTCAGGGGGTTCGGTAAGGAGGATGGGATGCTGCGATTCGTCAGTGCCGATTAAAAGTGAAGACAGGGCTCCCAAAGGAAAATAGGCGCGCTACGACAGGAGTCGGAGGGGCAGGTGCATGGAGTCTGGGGAATGCATACTTCTTCGCTCAAGCTTTTCAGGCCCTCTGTGTAGACGTACTCCCAGATCTTTTCCATGTCGTCCCAGTCGGTGACTATTCCGTGCTCGAGGGGATACCGAATCTTAAGTAGCCCCCTGTACTCGGACGCGGCCTTCTCGCCGATGAACAGCTCCCCTCGAGGGCGCCAGCCAGCACCCTCGTGTGCTTCGGCCGCCCCACCCAGGAGGGAAGCAGCACTTGGGCACATCCTCTCCAGCGAAGCCTGCCCTTATTGTTCCCGATCCATTGTCAAGGACGATGGGGGCGTTATGTAAGGTTTCGACCATGGCTCGCGTGCGGTGAACGGCATGTATGGCAGGGCAGCAAACGGCGGGGAGAGCCCGGGGACTGCAGGATCAGAGGCGATCTATGTAGTCGCCCGCTGATGGAGTTTTCGGGCGGTGGGATTAGGAGATGGTTCGCAAAAGGACAAAATCCTGTTCGTTTCGCAGCAGGTGACGGGCAGGGTGGTCCGAGGGAAGCGGAATACGTGGCGTCGAAGGGGGCGGGTGGGCGGTGGCGGCGTGCTCCTGAATTGTTGATGCTCTCGACGGATTGATGCTATTACCAGGCTTGTGCAAACAGCCGGGAGACGCGCGCAAGCTCGGCCAAATTACTCAACATACAGATGCAAAGATGGCTTCGCCAGGAAAGGAAGAATTGATAAAAAGGGCAGACGGTGAATCAGCGTCGAGGCCGTAGGGAATTCGTAGATATCGCCAAGTCGAGATTCGGTAAGCATACGTTGTCAGGGCTGGGGGTCCGGAGCGCGCTGGCCTTCCACTAACCGTCTGTCTGTATTGGCCGAATTTGGTTCGACAGGAGCTCTTGGATCCAGGAACGCGAAGCAAACCCGTCCGGCCGTGGCCCCCAAACCAAGCCAGGCCAAACCAAGCCCGCCGCACTCTGGGAATCAAATTAGCTGCAGGGGTCTCGAAGGCCATTGGTCTGGGACCAGTGAAACGCATCAGTCAGTGGATCGAGCTTGCGAAATCAGCCAGTGAGAGTCGGCGTCGCGCTGTCGTTGGGGCTCTGAGCACCTGATCTCAGTGTATCACGTGATTGCTATTGTGAATGTTGAGCACAGGTCGCCAAGACTGACATGATGAACAACATCAATTGATCAACTTGAAGAACAAGTGCGGCGAACCCCGCCAATCTACCGTTTTCAACTCCCCTTCTTCATCTGATTCAAGCCCAACGTCTTTATCTTGAGAGAGTACTTATTTCGGAGGGAGGGGAACCAACTTATGATTACTCTTTCGTTATCTTGGACGCTTTAGAGAAATTGCATATACATGATGAATAGCATTGTACGGCGGCGTTACAGTTCGAGTCTATGTAAACTAACTCTGGAAGGACCAAGAGAGGGCGTAGCTGGCTCACGTTATCAACACATGATAGCTACAAATCCGCCTACTATCTCTCCAACGCACCCTTGCTCGCCTTTTTCATTTTACAAGCTCCCGTCCTAAAGACATGGGTTGCGCTCAGGCGAGCTAAAGTAGGTATCAAGGGAACAGGGCCCTAGCACCCTGCCACCACACCATCTAGTCCTTTCCAGAGATGGCACCGATGCATATCCGACCCTGGATATGTACTTGTAGGAGCGGTTGAGAATCGCCCATTCTCAGTTCGTTCAAATCACAGGCACAGCAGAGAGGCCTACCCTACCATCAAAGATCACGAGAAGGTGATTTTCCTTAAATCAGGATTTCCATTTATGTACTGAAATACAATAAGAAATCTCTTCGTATAGAAAGAAATAGTGCCAGTACTGGCTAAGTTTGTACAATAAGAACGAAGAGCGGAAAACCGACAAGTTGAACAATCAGAATGCACTGCTAAACAAAGGAAAACTTGACGCCCAAAATGCTAATAAATCCAACACCAAGTCTCACTCTCCCTCGTCGATGGGAGATGGACTTCCAACCACCAATCTATTAAAGCAACCAAAAGCTAACCACATCCGCGGAATCGTCTAATCGTTTTTTGGTGCATCCTCGCATGTGCTTGGATGGTGGGAGAAAAACAGACGTGAGAGTTCGTTCATCGCGATGCTCTATGCTTGTCATTCGTAGTAGGAGTAGAGGTTTTGTTCGAAGTCATTTCGTCGTAACCAGGAACGCCTTTTCCTGTAGACTAAAACGCCGACGCTTGCAGAACGCTTGATTATACATGGCCGTCGAGGGTGAGCTTGCCGAGGTAGGGCCAGCCAAGGAGCAGAGCAATTCCGGGGCGAAGCTAAGTCGTGTCAGTCTCGCATCTTTTGTGTAAGACGGGGCCAAAGAATATCCCCAAGAGAATACCCCGAGGCCAAAATGGTTCCTAAAACGAGGTGGAGAAAACGAAGGGGCGAGCTTACAAGACAAGACGGCTAGCAGCGTTCTTGGCCATCTTTCCATAGGCACCAGAAGCGTGCTTCTCCTTGGACATCCTCTCGTAGGGATGAGCTTCAAAGGAGCGAGCAATGGTCCTGGCCGTGGAGAGTTGCCTGCGGGTGGCAGCACGGAAGAGAGCTCGGGAAGCGAGAGTTGACGACATTATGAGGGTTTTGAGAAAGAAGTTTGTTGTTGGTTTTGTTTTGTTGTCGGAGTAGAGAGTAGAGAATAGAAGTGAGGAGAGTAGAGGTCTCGAGAGAAGTAGGAGAGGAGTTGGTTTGTTGAGATGAGATGACGGTCGAGGATGGAGAAGAGAGGCCGGTCGTCAATAAGAGGAACGGGAGTGAGTATAAGAGTGTGTGGAGATTGTGTAAACCCTCGGACGGCTGAAACCGAAAAGGAATCAACAAAGAAACGAGTTGGGTATAATGTTTTTGAAATATTATTGTATGATGATGGATAGCAAGAGAAATCACAAGAGGATGAGCGACTGCAGGTCTTCTTATATGCTGGGTCATGAACTATATTCCGATGCCACTCCGTCCACGTCCCTGGCAGCAGCGGCGGAATGCGGAGAGATCCTGCGTGCTCAAGGCCAACAGCGCCCCCAAACCCTTACGATAAAAAAGGTTTGACTGTCAGGGACCCGCCCAGGATCTAATTGTGAGGTCAAGTCGTGCCATGACCCAGAGGAGCTGAAGCGAGAATGCCCGTGTCGAACCAGGCCGGCGCCCAATAGAAGCTGCCGAAAATCTAAACCGTCCGTGGCGGCGCAGTCCCTCCTCGGGGTGCGGAGGTCGCAGAGGTCACTTTGATGGAACGATTTTGACCCGATTTTGATAGGGTCCCTTTCGTTTTGGCGTGGTGCCACCGCCCGCGTGGGCTGATCGGGTCTCGACGACCCTCGCAAATCAGATGATCCCCGGACAATGGAACCAATCAAATGCCCACATTCGCCCTTTCCCTCCCGATTTCAAATGTACCCACGAGTTCCTTCTGGCTCACCCGCTCGCTACAAGGGAATAATACTATTATGGGGCCCACACAGCAGAGCACAGCACAGCTGCTGGCCGCGCGAAGAAAGAAGGTTTCGTTTTTGGTGTGAGCGAACCCTGATGTCAACTCACGCTTTGCGGCGCCAGGAAAGATACATCACGATCCACGTTCATGAGGAATGGGTGATTGCTTATCATACACCAGCCAAGAGAGCGAATGAAAAAGGCCTGCAACCCTGTGACTCTTCCAAACTTTCCAGCGAGGGGTCCGCTGAGTCAGAGAATCGAATGGTGCGGAGCTCTCATCAATTGCATGAAGCCCGCTGTCCGGCCGATTATCGTCACGTGATACTGTATTCTCGGCCGGGTCCACGCCGCGCCAGGTGAAGGAGCCCACTCAGCTTGTCTTGCTGCCACCAACAATGGTTATGTAATCGGCCATCGCCAAGAGAATGGAGGCCACACGGGTTGTGGGTGTGGTCATTTTCAGGCGCGTTGTTCATTGGCTTGGGGGCTTTTGCACCATAATTCAAGGCGACCGAGAAGCTCCCTTAAAAAGGCTTTGCCAGAGCGAGAGTTCGGAGCATCGCGAACCCCTCATGGAAGCCGCCACCTCAGCAACGGAAACCACCAACCATTCGTAGTCCAATTCCCCTCGTTCGAGACCGACATGCCGTTAATCGACCCCGTCACCATGTCGACAGCGGCGACAGGTCAGGACAGACCGGCCGAGCCGGCGAAAGCGCTCCGGCCCGTCCTCCTCTTCGGCACCAGCACTGCGAGAATCACGGACGCGATAGAACTTTTGCTCCTCGCGGTTGGGTTCAGGGCCCAGTTCGGAAAACTCGTCGAGAATCCCGTCTCGACGCTCCAAACCGGACTCCTGGCGTTTGGTGCGCTGCAGACCGTTTGGGCTCTCCTCTGCTGCCCTCCGGCGGGCTCGCAGGCGAAGAAGCGCGGAGCTAATCCAGTTCAGGTATATATATCTTCATCCACATACATACCATACCACATACCAACATCCGATTTCCTCCCCCTTCCCCCTCAGTCCCTAGCATGGAGCCCTCACCTCCGAGTTTCCTCTAGAAGCTCTTCATACAGTCTACAGTTTCTAACAACGTGGCCGCGTGGGCTTGTTCTAGTCTGTCATCCTCTCCATTACGCTAACGGCCCTCGTCGTGCCCCTCCTCCACATCATATTCGTCCTCTTCGGCGCCCCGTTCCTAACGCACCAGCTCGAAACGCTGCTCTGCTCCTCCATCCTCGCCGTTCTTTCCGTCTTCCCCGTATTTTACGCGCACGGTGTCAACTCGACGGCGTGGAGAGCCATCTGCGGCTTCACGGCGCCCCTCGACGAGACAGTCGGCGGCTTCTGGGGCGGTATCATCGGTGCGTGGCTGGGCGCCGTGCCCATCCCACTCGACTGGGATCGGGAGTGGCAAAAGTGGCCGATTACGATTGTGTGCGGACTCGTCGGGGGTATATCATTGGCCGCCTCGCCGGCGGGTTCGCGACTCTAGAGGCGAAGAAGGCCGCGGCTGGAGGTACGGACGGCAAACATGTTGGTAGGAGTGGAGAATCCCACACGAAAACAGAATAACGAGGAGCTTTGTATGCGAGAATAGCTTTCTATACTAAGAATGCATACTTTTGAGGCAATGAACATGGTATCGCTATTGCAGTGCCTACTAGTACGCGGAACACCGCTCTTCCTAAAGATGAGAGCGAATAAATGAGCTAGATGGGGGCCGCACTACCCATGACACTACCGGTATCTTTCTGTGTTGGCCACCGCTTACGCGGCGGGAGGCCTACAGTCTCATTACTCGAGGCGTGAAGGAAGGCTGTGATTGATCTATTAATAAAGTGGACATAATGACATGTGCGAGCTGGGGCTGCCTCGCGCTCGGAGACGAGAGGGTGCTGGTCGTGGTCGTGATGGGCAAAGATCGTTGTCGAAAGCCACAGATGTGACGTTCGCACCGCCACAGTTTGTGGGTATCTTCGATCTACGATATAGAACCAAATTCTAAAATATCCATGCTAAATTGTAGAAGGTGGGTGTGTGCATTTAGCTGGTCCCTTTGCTGGTTGTTGTGGTAGGGAATAGCGTGTGGGTGGTGTTTGGAAGCCGGATTGTACCTTGGACTGGGATTGGGTTCCCAACACTGCCAAGTCCTGGCGTCCACGTCATTCATTCACGAGTACCAGTGCGATGAAGGGCTTGGGATGACGTAGGCGCTAGGCCGGAAATTGGTGGGTTGCTAGCAAAGCTCCAAAGCTTCGGGCTGACGGAGTTGTGGCCACCCCTCAGCAAGGCCCGCCATTTTAACAGCACTGAACACAAGACGAAGACGCACTTGGTAAAACAAGGTGGGAGGAGAGGGAAACGGCTGGATTAGGCCTGGAGGATTAATCACGACGGGGTCGAAAAAATAAAGGAGGATTGGCAAAAGATTGATGGTGGTTGGGGACGATACATGTAAAAACTAGCTTGCGTGATAAGGTAGCAGCGATTAGAGTTGGTTCTGAATGGCGCAAAGAGCTACCAACACCAGTGCACCATCTCTGATTTCCTTTCATCGACGAGACTAGACGGCGAGACTAAATGACGAGACTAGACCAAAGTCGCCCAACCTTTTCCAAGTGCGTGGCATTAGCTCGCATGGCTCGGTCGGCATGGCTCGGAGGGGGATTCCTGACCTAGCATAGCTACAAGTTGATTGCCCGCCGAATTCTCAAGAGACCATGACGCAGATATTACTGCTTCCCGAATCGGAGGTATTCGAGCCCGCGGCCGCTGCCGAAAAGGCTGTTTTTTTTCTTCTTTTTTTCCCTCCTTCTACAAACGGTCGAAATGAAGAAAAGGGTCTAGCCGGGGGCGAAACGGATAATGTAAAGTGGTTCGCTCCAGAATATGCCGAAGTAACCGTTCTGTGTCTTGGTACAGTCGGGTGTGGCCCCCTCCGCAGGTTGTTCGCGGCCTTGGATCTTGATCGATTGAAAACGGCAAACGACGCCTTCGCAAGGAAGGGGGTGGATGGTGGGAACAGCTTCGCTTGTGACCTGAACATTGACGTCTATGCACAAGATGGCTTGCCGCTTGTCGGAGAGGGGGGCCTTTTCTCGAACCCGGCCTTGACCCTGCCCTCTAGAATCCCTCCATACATCCATCCATGGAAGGGGGCGATGTGGTTGGAGAACGTACGTATGCATCATCATCAGTGATCATGGACACCAATTGTTTTTTTCTGGCATGGCCGTTATCAACTTTCAGGTTACGTCGCTACCTCGACGCCCAGGGAGGGATTCAAGCCCAGTGCCGAGCCCCCGAGGTGGGGAAAGGTTGCTAGGAGGTAAATGCAATTGCGATCGCGGCTGTGATCGTGATTGACTGGTTCCATCAAGAATGGGCCCATTCGACTGATCTTGTTCCAAGCAATGTACCGTGCCCTTCTCCAGCCCTGCTCAAGCGCTCCCGCTCCCCAGGGGGTGGCAGCTCTGCGTCTGACCTGGCACCAGGCAAAGCGGCGCACTCTTCTACTCTTCTCGGCGCGGCCGGGTCGGGCTCCATCAGAGTACAAGTGGGATGGAGTCTTGGCCTTGTCATTCCCACATGTACCAGGTGCACATGGCATCAGAGCAGAAAAAAATGGAAAAGGAAATACAAGTCCACACACGTCAATCTGGTCGTCGTACCTGAGCAAGGTATAAGACAACGCCATGCCCTCCCGTTTCTCCATTCATAACCTTTTTTTTTCTTTTTCCACAAACCATTCTACAACCCACCCCAAAGATCCCGTGTTCACCCCCAAACCAACCGAATACAAAACGAAATATACAAACCGATAGACAGAACTAGTCGTCCACAACAAATTCGCCCATCATGCCTTTCACCGCAAGGTAAGCTTTCCTCACTGTTGAATAATTCACAAGGCGCATCGTGCGCGTAGCACTCCTCGCGCCTCGGGACGGCCAAAGGGCAGCGCGGCGCAACCTCGAATTCCTCAGCTTCAGGTCCCGAGCATGCCGCTGGAGGAAGAGGGGCTCCAGGGCCTAAGTGGGAGGGGGCAGGTTAAGCGTCACAGCTGCTTGCTTGGGCTTGGCTTCCTTAACTCTGCACATGTGCACTTGGAGAACGGAGCCTCTGGCTGCACCCTGTGTTGCCCGCCAAGTGCCGATGCTGCTGCTGCTGCTGCTGCTGCTGCTGCTGCCGCCGCCAATCGTTTTCGAGGCTATGAAATTGCTGCGCGCGCGTACGCAAGCTTGCCAAGCCCTCATTGACGCCTCCTCCTCAACGGGCTACATCGTATGTATCGGGCTAAGCTAACTTGCTCTGTGAAAACAGCGATATCTGCAAGATCATCTTCGCCGTCATCCTTCCTCCTCTAGGTGTCTTCCTTGAGGTTGGTTGCGTGTCGGCTCTTTGCATCAACATCATCCTCACCTGTCTTGGTACGATTTTCCCCCAAGCCAATCCTCCCCAGGCATCCACTTCCCTCCCCTTTTCTAGGGCCAAAATCACGGCAAACCGCAAAGCAGAAGGGGAAAAAATACAGTAAAACAGGGAAAAAGTTGAGACGATTACTGACAATTCTCTCCCTTACAGGTTATCTTCCCGGCATTATCCACGCCTTGTACATCATCTTCAAATGGTAGACGGCGGCTGAGTTCGGTGCTGGTAATCCGAACCCACGTCTTGGCTTCGGAGACGCCGGCAGCGCAGATGTCTTGGGTCCCCTGTCTGAGCTACCCCGCCCACATGAGCAAGGCCTAGCACCTATTCGACCACAACCGGCCTCGGCCACGATGCTGCTTGCTCGGCGAAGGGGACGCGCAATCGAATCTGCGACTTGAACTCAGCCGATCCTCATGATGTTGAACGGTGCGGGATTAGCGCTCTTGGTTTAGATCCACCAGCGCGGGTCTCGTCCCTCTTTTGTTCATCATGCAGTCTTGGCGCCGCCTATTTCAAGGGCGGCCTTGTCCTCGCCCAAGGATGGGCGTCTTAATTATTTTCACACCTATTCTTGGTTCCTCTTTCCTTTTTTTCTTCTGTCTTTTTCTTCTAAAGAGATCCCCCACTACGTTTTTCTATCATTCACGCCTAATGTTTTTGGGGGTGCTGCTGGAATCATATTCATGATACCATTGACTTGCTTGTTTATAGCTAAGAATCTTCATGATGCCCATGAAATCATTGCTTTTATTACTTGCCTAAACTTTGACTATATCTGTAATCGACGTGACTGCTCCCACAAACTTTTCTCTATCCGTTAGCCTGCTCGAAATACTCTTTTCTAATACCAAGGCTGGCGGATCAATTGATCCATTGGTCTAGTGGGGTCCTTTTTTTCCCATTGAGAGTGTTGTGCTGTTCCTACCAGCTCGTTAAAAAAAAAAAGGCTACAGAGCAATGATGTCATTGTTCCGCCACGACCGCGCGGCAAGCCACTTCGCTCTTGATTTTATCAGTGAGTGACCTTGGAACGACAAAACTGAACTCCCCAAGCAGTCAAAGGTTTTGCCTAGACGGACGATCATTTCCTGGCTATCCAACATCTTTTAGTCTACAGGTACGCTAGTTACATGCAAGCAGATGGATACAGGCCAAAGGAGCCATGAATGTCCGGTTCTCTTTCCAGACGCTTGCAGTTGTGGTTTGAGTGAGAGAGAGACCGAGAGGAAACATGTCTTGTTTTCTCCCCTTCCCCGTTTCAGGCTGAAAAAGGCCCCGGTATTCTAGATAGCGGCAGGGCAATGGATTCATCCATGCTACCTCTTCTTTTTCTTGCAATCCCAATTTGGATCCAACAAGACTGGCTTCGCCCGGGAGGGAGGACCGCGGGTTTTTTCCTAAAGAGGGTGCGAGGGTAAAAGCTTTACGATTCTGCGCTGAGGCCACGGTCAGTTTCACCGGCGAAGCCAGTTCACTAGCGTGTTGATGATCTAGATATCACCACCTGGCGGAGATGGATTGAACGTCAAAGTCGCCATGATGGAAGGCACATGGTGACTTTAAGCTCAGGCTCTGCCAACTTTAAAAGATAAAACCTACAACCGCCAGTTAGATATGGGTAAGAGAGCAACAGAAGAAGAGAAAAGGAGACGATAAAAGGGAGGGTAATAGCCAACGCGGACAAGAAAATGGCAGGAAAGCGGTCGCGGCGGTAAATAGCTCGCCAATATGAGGAAGGGACGCTTACATCGTTCTTTCCAACCATGATGAGGTCGTCCTCGGCGACTCGAATTCCACCGGCGCCTTCTATGTAGGCAATAGGGGCATCGCCCATGACTTTCCGTGCGGCGTCGCCTACTGTAGAATTCTTCTTCACTAGCACGCAGTCCCGAAACACGCCCTTGTTATCGTTGGTGCCGAACGTGGTTGTGTTCCTTACGGGGAAGACTGGCACGAGCCCCAACACCTCGGCAGCTTTCGTGAGGACCTGAACAACGCCCGTAGAGCCGAAGCGGTAGAGCACCATATCTTTCAGGTTCTCTATCCTATTCTTGTTCTTATCATCGAGCTCTTTGAGGCCGCCGCCCTCGGGGTCGCCCCTTCAATGAGATCTTCCCTCGTATCGACAAACTCGCCGCCCTCTGTATATTTGATGTAGCCTTGCTTGGCCATCTTTCGTAAAAATACCTCGGAAACGGCGGAGCATAGGACGACGTTAGGGTACATTTTGGCGATTTTGGCAATGTTCTTGTCCGAGTCTGGGTGATCGATCTTATTCAGCGCAAGTACGGTGGGAAACTTCTCGTCCGTAAACGCGTTGACGACGAGGTCAATGGTCTCGTCGCTCCAGTGTTCCAGGGGCTCCTTGATTCCTAGTCTGTCTAGTGCGCGGTTGACTATTGTGGTGGTTGCGCCGTAACCGGAGAACTGCGCTTGGAGCGTTTCGCCCGCCGTCGCCTTGATGGCGATATGCCGCCTTTTGATAGACGACCACTTATCCATCAGATTCCCTCTGATCCACGCAACTATCTCGCTCCGGAGCCAAGCAATATCGACCGAAGGGTCGTAGCCGCGAGTCTCCTTGCCCTCGGCGTCGACAGTCCCGGAGGCGTCGACGACGTGGATGAGGGCGTCGGCATGGCGCAGATCGTCCAAGAACTTGTTTCCCAGGCCCTTGCCCTCGTGGGCGCCGGGCACGAGACCGGCTACGTCGAGGAGCTCGATGGGTACTGAGCGGCGGCCTTCGATGCAGGAGCCATAGTTTGGCTTGCATTTTCCTCCACGCCATATCGCGCACATGCGCAAGGTATTTGAAGATAGCCAATTGCTCTCTGCGGATCGATCGTCGTGAACCTAAGAATCGAGTCAAAGTCAGAACCAAAGTCAGACCATGCGTCACGGTTTTTCCCTTGTTTCTAGAGGGATCAAGTGGCTTCTCTGCCACCGCCCTAACCCTCTCAGTGTGCTTATCAGTCCATCGCCTGGGCCCTCCCTCCCTCCTTTATATTTGCTCGATCCCAAAAAATGCGACTAGACTTACGGAAAATTTCCTATTGCGCAAGAGGGCATCACAAGTCAGCCTCTACAACAAAGAAGTGCGAAACATCATTGGGAGGATGTGTGTTCTTACCGACTTTAGACGACGCGTCGGTGAGGGAGTTAAGGGTGGTGCTCTTGCCAGCTGAGGGCTTGCCAACGAGGCCGATGAGCGGATCTCGAGGCATGGCGTGTGCTAGGAGAAGCCCGTGGGCTCAATGTTTGGCCGTGGCAAAGTTGCAGAGTATAATAACGCGTCAACTCGGCCCTATTTCCCCTGGAGGATCGAGAGGTTGGATGGCAAAATTGTTTTCGGACCGAGCCGGCGCATTTCACGATATTTTGGATGGTGATCCTAATGTTCGGCGAATGCCTCCGATCCTCCTCAAGGCGGGGCAATTTTTTTTTCCGTTCTTTTGGCGGGGTAATGTTTTTTGGCGTGGTCAGCAACGTTCGCAACCATCATGGCACACGCCCACCTCGGAATGGCGCAGGGCCAGCCAGCCAACAATGATCAATTGCTTGCCCAGTGGTACTGCCCGCCAAAATCTTGTCCTAGAGCGTAGTCTCTATAGCGTAGGCTAGCTCTCAAAACATGGTAAACGAAGAGTAATAGCACGATCAAGCCATATATATCCATAGATCAATTGCATCTGATCCATCCATCCGCGGATTCATTTCATTCAAATGGATTGATCAATGATCAACGTTGACCCGAGAGCTAGGTACATCCAGCCCCACATGTACACAGCACTGAGCATGAGCACGCATTATACGTTCAGCGTGTACCAGGCGGTGACGGCGCTGTCAGTGGTAGCTCCGAGCCCAACTTTGACGGGCCAATTGTTCAATCACACTGGTGGCAGATGGTGGGGTGAAGTCTTCGGAATCACTCCTGTTTCATGCAACCCTATGATCAATGCATCATAGATGGGATATTCACACGCTGGATCGAAGCAACGCCTCACTTCTCGTCGCAATCTCGAGCTTGGCGGGCTGAGGAATGAAAGAGGAATAGCTTGATATCACTCTTTCCATAAATACCGTCGTAGCCAGACTCCAGTCCAGCTTGCTCTCGCAGTGTATACAGGCCTCCTGCAGTGTCAATATGGCTTCCGAGAAGCTTCCCATCACCTCCCTACCGGTTTGGGCGACTTTTAATAATGTCAGGCTCAGTAATGTCAAGATCGAGTCAATCGACGGCAAGGGGCAAGGTCTCATTGCGGAAACAGAGCTCTCAGCTCCGGATGGGTCCGAGCCGCCCTTATTACTGAGAGTCCCTCATGAGGTGACCCTCTGTGAGGATGTCATTTCCGGCTACGCAAAGGCGGACAGGCGTTTCCATGAGCTCCTTGAAGTTCTTGGGCCTCAGGTAACGTTCTAACTATCCTAGGAAATCGAGGCACTGCGTAATGCCGTGTCTTGCTTCATCGCTGACGAGTTCGGCCGTCTGATGTAGTCCACTCGGGTGAGGGCCTTGATATTCCTCCTCGCCCAGACCATACACGCCGAGTTGAGGCAGGCAGATAGCGGCGTATCTACCCCGTGGACGGAGTACGTCCGGTATCTTCCGGACGATGTCTTCTTGCCTACCATGTGGCGCGATCACGAGCGTGCCCTGCTCCGGGAACCTCGCTTGAGGTAAGTTGGTCACATAGAGCGTCCTCACCTATATCCGCTGTAGTGTTTCAATCTCTCAAAACGGCTTGGACAATTCACTGGATAGCGTGTAATCTAACAGCGTTGGGATATAGTCGGCTGTAGAAGCCAAGCTTACGGAACTAACCCGCGAGTTTGATTCTTTTCAAGAAAAATCAGCCGAGCTCCAGGTATGGGGCGATCTTTGGGAGAAGCGAACTCTGAGCTTGCGAGACTGGATCTTGGCGGATGCGTGGTATCGGTCACGCTGCCTCGAACTGCCCAGGTCTGGGGATGCCATGGTCCCCATTCTTGACATGGCAAATCACTCGCCTCAACCAGTGGCATCTTACGAGGAGAGTCCGGACTACGAAGTCACTCTTCGGCTACGACCTGGAGCGACGGTAGCAGCTGGAGAAGAGGTCACCATCACTTACGGCGAGAACAAGTCAGCAGCTGAGATTCTCTTCAGCTACGGCTTCATCGATGTGGAGGGTGCCAAGAGAGAGCTTGTCCTACCTCTCACAACCTTTGAAGACGACCCTCTAATTCAAGCCAAACTACACAGCTTCAAGAAGCCTCCAATGGCCAACTTTTCATTGCAGGATGGCCAGGGCTCGTGGAAGAGTCCGTTTGCCTATTACATGTGCCTCAATGAGGAGGACGGTCTCGAGTTCCGGGTCTTACAAGACCTGGAAGGGGGCCGGCAACTCAAGGTATTCTGGCAGGACGAGGACGTCACTGATCGTGTTGAGTCGTTCGATCTGCTCATCGACAGTCATGACCTAAGCCAAATCTTTAGGTTAAGGGTGGTCACCGTCATGGAAGAACTCGTCTCCAACCACCTAGAGCGCATGGGATCTACAAACTCTCCAGAGGAAGAGGAGCTTCTGCGTAGCATCCACGGGGAGCCTAGAGCCGACTGTATTGCCATGGCTGATACGCTTCGGGGTATCGAGTACACCATCCTTGAGAGTGTGCTCCAATGCCTCCACGAACAGGTATGTATTTGCCTTCCTTTCCTTCCCCGGCGGTCTTTGCCATTTTTCTGGCACCCAGCGCCTCTCACCTACATTCTTGTGCTCCCCTCCTCCCCTTCCGCCATTACTACCGTCCAACACCCATGACAAAGCGGAAGCTCGGGAGAATTTGATACAAACAAAACGAAAAGAATTCTCTCTCTCCTCTCTCTCTTTCCGGGTTCGCCCGCTCTTATGGGATCCGGGAAAACAAGAGGAGACTATGAGGCTGACAGTTTCTGTAGAAAGAAACTCTCCTTGCAGATGACTCCGTGAGAGCATATCTCGGATCGATGGAGGATGCCCAAAATGAACAAGCACCCCAAGCGACGGCCAATGAGGAACCCGACTTTAGTTGAAATGTCACAGTCGTAGCGCAAGGAGGATGCGGCATATGTATGTGTCTTCCGAGCCTACTCGCCAGACAATGGGCGCTAGCATTCTCCAACCCTAAGCCAGCCCCATCCCGCAGGAGCTGTGCTTTTCGGTTGAGCCCTAGGGCACGAGGTATACTGACTGCCAAAGTGAAACACGGACCCGCAAAGCTGCTCCAAGGCCTCTCAAAAGGAAGGTGGAGGCGTGGAGCTCTCGGAATGCATCCGCCTCCCCATCGTTTTCTCTCCTAGGATTGACCATAGATGGACATCCTATTTTCTATACTCTCGGCGGTGCTACGGCAGGAGTAGGGAATCAAAATTAGTCAAGGCTTGGTAGTAAGGGATGCATGGACCGGGGCCAAGACGTCGCGGAGGACCCGGAGAGATGGCCTGTACTCCTCTCTATTCTTGCATTCGCGGAACCTTGCATTGCTCACAACCACAACGCTGGGTAGCACTGAAGAGCGGGTAGACCTTGGCTATTGAGAATCATCTTAACTCCGAGGCGGAGAGCGAGCTCCTGGGCCCATTTTCTTTTTTGAATGCCGGGCTGAGCAGGAAGGATCGATTATACAGGAGAGACTCCACGCACTCGCTTTTTTCTCGCTCTCTAAACTCCTCTCCATACCTAGAACGTGGCTGCCTCCTCCGTATGTCGGCGGATTGGTATAAGTAGTTGCTATTAAGCTATGATATCTATGATGTGAGAACGAACTTGACGCACTTACACCCCTCCCCGCCCGCCCGAGGAGCGTTGCTGCGTCTTTGCACACGAGGGGCGGGTTTGTGCGAGGTATATCTATACTTTCTCTCAAAGGCCGATTTCTTTCCTTTAGCTCATCTCTTCTTTGTGTGCCTCTAGAGAGGGCGGCGCTTTGTAACTCAGCCAAAACAACTTGCGGTCCACTCTTACTCCTCGCAAAATCCAACAGCTGATGGCTGGCCTTCCGTCCAGAGTGGACACGAGAAATAATACGTGCGCGCCAACCCAGTCATCGACTGGTGGGGCAAAAGACCAACAGCTCCACAGGGGACATCCATGGCACCGGACGATTGGAGATTGAGGATTGGGAGATGGGGGAGGGGAAGGGGGAGAAAAGGGGGCGCCGGCAAGCGGGGCTCTCTCGTTGATTGAGCGATCCTTGATGGATGCTATTCTCGCCTTGCCCCGGAAAACGCTAAACTAAGCCTCACCAATAGCAAAAGCAAAATATCGAGGTGTCGTGAGTCTTGAGTATGGGGAAATGGCGTGTCCCTCCCTTCCTATGTTTCTAAAATGCCTTGAGGCACCGCCTGCCCTCCCCTCCTCCCCCACCACCCCTCTTCGCTCTTCCCGACGAGCGTTATGGACTCGAGAGGGGAGGAGGAGGGGAAGTGGGCAAAAGAAGAGCAATAGAATAGGATAGAAGATAAGGACTACGTCTTCTGCCGGATCCAGTCGGCCTGCTCTATACGACTAAACGCTCTATTGATACTATCGATTTCCGGCTCGCAAATGTTCGCGACCATCATGATGTGATGAGAAGAATCGGAGAGCACCGTGAAGTGCCCTCGGAAAAGAACGGGGTGCCGTCCCCTGGAGGCCGGGGACATGGAGGCTAATGCGAAGGGAACCCCCAGCCTACTTGTGATGTGCGGAAGCTAGGCATACGCTCAGAAAGAACGAAATACAACTTAATCAAAGGTGATCTACTGGATCCATCCGTACTAGCTAGTCAGGGTTGGGGTTGTTGGGCTGGCGAGAGAATGGGAATCCTCCTCAACAAGGTGGGAGGATGTAATGGGTACCAGGGTGATCTGCCGCCTGGGCCTTTTCATCCTTTCCACGATAGTTTGTTAGGTGCACGAGGTTGTTAAGGATCTCGGATGTTAAACTTGAACAAATCGATGCATTTGTGTGTCGACACGCGCCCCTCCCCGCCTCTCGGGGATGCGTCGTGTTAGGTGTGCAACTTACTTTGCCAGTCTCCTCCTTGTGCGCCGTGGTGGGCGTGTTCGCACAAATCTCCTGCCAATACAACATTTTGATGTTTTCGGTTCTCGCAGGCTATGTAATCTGCCATTCTGCCGGACAGAAGGAAGCTAGCTGCAAGGAGGGTGGCGGCGCAAGAAGATTGGCTGGAAAACCCTGTACGTGCGCATCACAGCACGTGGCGTGGATGCATGGGAGGTCCAAGAAGGAAGTGATCCCTTCCAACTTGAAAGCACATGGGCGAGGGTTTCTTTTTCCGAACAAAAGGCCCAGAGTATTAGAGACATGGGGTATTGAGGCGTTGGTCGAGGTACCTCGCCCTTGCTTGGTGGCAGAAAGGCCGATGTTTCACGCACAGTACGGCCAGCGCTCCCTGTGCCTGGCGCTGAAAGTCCGACGACGAAACCTTCTGATGCCGAAAAACCGTGATGGTTGCTAGTGCATACTATGTTGCCTATATGATAGAATTCCTTTCAACTCGCGATCATCCCCCAGTGGGTGCGCTGTGCCAACAAGTTGGTTCTGCTGACGGGTGCGTACCGGTTCACATGGTGGATTGGATTTGATCTATTCCGTGCTCTGCCTTGAGCGAGGGACTCGCGTGAGTCACCCTTTGTTGCTCACGTCAAGGCAGACCTATCTGCTGTAGATTGACGATGGAGCTGGCAGCTGGGTATGAAGATTTCGGTGGCCGCGTGCCCAGCCTCTCTTGCATTGGCCAAATCCAACATTCAGCGCTGGGCTCGACCCCTTTCTCTCTTAGTAGGGACCTATCACCGATCTCCCAAGGGAACCGCTCCTTGATCGATCAAGAGCCTGGGCATTCGTCTTGGCCCCTTGGCCCCCAAGACCGCGCCTTCGGTGATGTCAGTGACGTCGTGAGATCTCTTGTGTGTCCCCCTTCGATCGGTGCGCTCGCCGGAACCTAGCTCAGGGTGCTAGGAAGCTGCCCCAAGCATGGAATCGGACTCTCAAGAGGCGGTTTGAGGGTTTGAACTATTTAACGATCTATCCTTGCCACCCTGAAATCAGGTATGGTACTTCCTCGACTTCTTTGAAGTCTCCCCGGATCATCGTTGAGTGGGTCGGAAAATTTCCCACAACCTGTCAAGAGGAGGGCAGCATGATCGTCGCGCCGAATTATCGCTGGCCCGCCCATCACCGGTGCATGTGTATGTGTGTGGCAGGCTCTGGAAGACCAAGGAACCGGGGGTTTTGTGGAGGCCTGAGACCCTGAGAGATGATGCCCCATATCTGAATCTAGAGGCGCTGGAAAAGTATGGGGAAGTGGGGTTCCCGAGGGATTAGCAGAGAACTGCGGGGTCTAATGATTGTGCCTTCCCTCGAGAACGAGCATCCGCTCTCATCGAGCAGGGGCCAGTGTTTGAGTGCCGGCGGTCCCCTCAACTAACATCAATTGATCCATTGGAAGGTCTTGAAGCGCCCAGTGGAGATAGATCAACGCAAGTTATTTGTTCTAATCGGGTGAGCAATTCTTCAGTTTTCATGGAGGACATGAAAACCAGGCCGAGATAATTCACCAGAGAGAGGAAATCCCGATTAGGGATCTCATCATCAAACCTTGTGTCAGGCTGCAATCGCAGAGATCTTCAAGTTGATGTATACCGAAGCCCGTCTCTGTTTTCCATTATATTATTGCCACACAAGACCTCCCGAGACCCTCATCATCGTCATCATCATCATCATCATCACGCCGCCTCTTCCATCATTTCCACACATCCACAGTGGTCTACATCGTAGATACATACCGACGAGGTACACAATATCTGCGTTGATAGCTGAAACGAAAGGGAAGCAAAGACAAATGACACAAGGTTGGCGCAGCCCCATGAATTCTTATCCTTGGCCAGCCACGATACCAAGGATACTACTTATGTGCCGGGGTTGAGAACAAGCATCAGAGCTATCAACTAACGGAACTGAGAGGTTTGAGCAACATCCGCCCTATCGGGGCGGATCAGAGCAGATCGAGTCACTAGATGTGTGTGCAAGTAGAACTTTTCATATCGTAAGAACAAAGACTAGTAAAAACAAAACTGAACGAAAGAGAAAAACCTAAACAAAGTGGGAAATCTGTGCACATTACAAAACGGGAGGCTCGGAATCGCTGTTAATACTTTCACGCCCCCACACGAATGCCACGGATGGAAAGAACCGGGTGCGCGCGGAATTGATCGTATGCATCACAGCAGGGACAGGGAACGAGGCTGCTACGCACGTGGCGGGTCTTTGAACTGCAGATAGATGCACATGCGGAGAATACGGGCAGGCCAAAAATCCTCGGCTCGCAAGGGGAGAGAGAGAGGCTGGTGTCGCTACCTGTGCTGGGGAGGGAGAGCGAACATAGCATAGAGAAGTCTAGAGCCATCACGGACCACCTGGGGGACAAAACGGGCAAAAAGAATGGTCTAGGTGATGAATCGAAAGAGGTCCCTGGGTATGTCCCTGGATATGTCGAGGTGTGTTGCGACTCGGAGCAGCGGGACGCTGCAGGATGGGCTCCTGTAAGTGAAGGGGCCGCCCCTGACGAGGGTGTAGGGCTGCGACATGGCCCATCTCGACTCTCCCGTTCTGGAAGACGAGGTTCCCAAGTCAAGCCCTTTCCGACTTCTCGGTCATACGAGTCCCAGCGGTGTTGTGCGAAGGGTTGAGTTGAGGGTTTGCGGGGAAGATATGGGGTAGAGTCGGAAATGGGCCCATATTGACACCGGTGCGCCAATAAGGCCTGCGTGCAGCTGTGATAGTCATTGGTTCAGAACGACCTGTCGAATCTTCAGCGCAGTTTTAGTTTGGGGGAGGGAGGATACGCATCCTACACGGACCCCAACTTAAAAGAGATGCCGACCTCTCTTATGGCCCATGGGAAGTTTCTGCCAGGCCCCTCAAGTGTCGCGTGGTTGGAAAAGAAGGGTCGAGACATTGCGGATGTACTGGAGGGATTTAAGGGGACTCGATCAGGCCATTTGCAAAAGTGGTGACGAAGTGGATGCTCGGAACCGTGCCCGGGATTGGGCGTGAGCGCGACGCAGCCTCCTCCACACGGTAGGCAGTGCACAGCGGCAACCGAGTGAACGGGGCGTATCTTTCGTGGGGCGATGGCGTCGGCAGACTCGGACATGGGTGACGCTACGAGACCACTAACCACTAGCGTACTGAGAAGTTGGTTTACTCCAAGTTTCTTTTCTCTTTTCCTTCTCCTGTCCTTCTTTTTCTTCCCGATTCCCTCACTTTTGGTGGGGAAGGGGCTCTCGTCTCTGCTGCTGGCGTCTCGTTGCCGAGTGATCCTGGGCCACCCCTTAGACAGAACTGGGAATAGAGAACGGAGAACGAATAAGGGGAAACCCAAACTGAGTACTATCAATCGATTGAAGACAAAACCCTGCATCTTGGCTGAGGGCGCACGGGGAAGCCACTAAGCGAAACTATCTTTTGCCCAGTCGACGGCTGAACGTCGTGGTGCATCTTCCGAGACGACCATCTGCATCCTTACCTGTCGGGAAAATACATTCTGTAAGCCCAAAACAGAGATGAATAGGGTTGAGGCTCAAGAGAACATTGGCAATATTCGGCCTGGCTGGCCCCCTTGACACCATAAGGCTAAATATGGCCGCTAATGTGCTAGGTCCATTAGAATGTATGGCTGAGCCTCTTCATGGCATTTCTTCCTTTACGGCTCGAGGCTAGGAGCCGGTATCGATGGCACCCTTGGGTCTCCGTTGCGCAGGTCGTGTAAGTTGCATCCATTGATGGATTCATTGTGTTCTATTCTTTCTCCTCCCAGAAACCTTAGAAAGGATAAAATGTATTCAGTCGGTATGTCGGCCAAACTCTAGATCTCCCCTGCTACCTTGCTGGCCCGAATCGGAGAATGTTCTGATTCGAGGGTGGACAAGCCGCTATTATAAGATCAATCTTAATATCTCGCTTTCTGCCACAATTGCTGGAAGAGAACGAAGAAGACAATCAATTTCTATCCAACTGCATGAGGAGGACGGGGCTGTCGAGCTTATCGAGCCTATCGGTGTGCTGGAAGGGCAGAACTCGAAACGAATGGGTATTTCCCCGGCCTTACGCCGTGCTGGTGTTTGAAGAGGCCACCGGAGTCTCAACACCCAACACATTCTTTTCTTCCTCTTCTGAGTTTCACGGGCTCACGCTGCCTGCTCCGGGGATTCTACCCACCAGTGATGAGAATTCAAAGAATCGAGGGAGAAGATCCCCCATGCGAGAATATGCCGGGATGGAAGGCCTCTGTGTGGCTGGTGTGCTGTTTGGCAAAGGCTAGCAGGATGCGTAAGACGCTGCGCGGCGCCTCAACCTCGACCCATTGATCAATGAAGCACTAGTAGGTTTCTTTTGGACCACGCAAACATAGCTGGAGGGCACAATTCGCCGCTATCCGCGCACAAATTGTTGTGGGACCCGAGAGCGAGGCTATTAGCCTGCAAAGAAGGGCAGTCCAGTGCGGATTTCGATTGATACCCCCAAGCCTTTTGAGTGGGGCAGCCTCTCCTCCGCCAAGTTACATTGACAATGTGCGTTCTGAGTGGATTGGTGGACAGTGTATGGCTGTTGACCATGGGGCCCGTCACCGAATATGCCAGGTACCTTTATCCGCTTCTCACCCTTGGCCCACGCTCGTCATTTCCTCGCCTCAGGCACAAAAACACTCTATCTTCGAGCACATCGCGCTGCGGAAAAGAGACTGAGCGAGTGCTACTGCTGGGAGGTGGGAGAGAAACGTTGTAAGCTCTACCCGCTAGGGCCATACGCCATCGTCAAGGGAGGAGATTTCTATTTTCTGGTTGAGGACAGGCATTGGGTTATCTTGCAATGAGCACTGAGGGTTAGTCAGTGGGAAGAAATCGAATTTAGGGAGGCCTGACTGGCGCATTTTTCTGCCCGGTTCCCTGCTGGTTGTGGCCAGAACCCTCTCTCTTACCCCGTACCCCATCCTGTACTCTGTACCTCGGTGGAGCTCAATTCTCTTTGCTGATGCTCTTGGCTGACCTCTTCAGTCCATTTCGCGAAAGGGAATGCTCCTAGCATTGCACTGGGTGGGGTGCTGGAACGCAGTGTACAAGTACACGAGAAAGGGAATGGGTTGCGCTCCCTCTCATTTGTTTCCCGCCCCTCTGTTCCTTTTCTTCTCTCATGGCTTTCACGGCGCGGGTGGAGGTGGAGGACGGACCAGGTACAGTATGGAGGGTGAGCAACGTCGTTCCAGTGCCTTATCCGAAGTACCTCTACTTGACCGAAATGATTTTCCCCGCTGCTGACTGGGGTGGCACAAGATACTTGACGCGAGTGTGGTGAGTTTTCTTCGCACTCCCACTAAAGCCCTTGGCCTTTGACGACACCCCCCTCGCCACGCCCCCTTCCTTGTCCTCCCATCGTTTCCCCAGTGTGTCCTCGTTCAGTCGACATCTCCATAAAACCACTTTGATCCCCATCATCCACCCTCCTCTTGAGATTCCTCTCCCTCGCTTCCGTCTCTTCGCTTTTACCTAACTGGGATTTTTGTTGCCCGCCTTTTTGTTCTCCCTCCTTTGAATCATCGATATTCACCCCGCACTTGGAGACTACAACTTGCAACATCTTCATTTGGCGCCTCTAGGAGACTGACACACCCTTGTCAAAGGGCCTGACGTCCTCCGAGGCAAGCCTCTCTGCTTCGACTGAGGACGCCATCCCTCCACGCCGACTCGACCGAATCTAGCCCGAACCCTTTTACACGAACGACTACACTGCCCAGATTGAGGAGGCAGCCCCTGCGTGAACGATTCAAACGACGTTGGCCATTCATTATACCCTCGTTGACGGGAAAAACGCGCCCTCCCCGTTTCCTTTTTTCTCTTCATTATTTTCAAACAACACCCCTAGCCGTTTACGACCCCGGCCATACCGGGTACCCCGCCGCCACAATGCCGGGAATTCTCCCCATGAAAGTTATCAAGGTCGGCACGAGTTCACAAAGCAGGATCGCCCAGGCCTGCGACAGATGCCGTAGTAAGAAGATTCGATGTGATGGCATTCGCCCATGTTGCTCCCAATGTGCCAATGTCGGGTTCGAATGTCGGACAAGCGACAAGCTCAGTCGACGTGCTTTCCCTCGCGGGTACACTGAATCACTGGAAGAGCGTGTTCGACAGCTCGAGTCCGAGGTGAGGGAATTGAAGGATTTACTGGATGAGAAGGATGAGAAGATCGATATGCTTTCGAGATTGTACGGAAACCGCCCTGTGGCGCCCAGCCACTCACATAGTCCCGCCTCGGACCACCACGAAACTTCCGCTTCCCAAACAAAAGAAGACACGTTCCGCATTCAGGCTTCGCCCCTGCTACTAGGCGTCGAGAACTCTGACTCGTATTTCATGGGTGGTTCAAGTGGCCGTTCCTTCATTGGTTTGTATTCTCCTTAAGCCCCATGCTCCTCAATCCCGGCATCTCGCAGCCAGGCTGGGGTGCAAATAGTTATTCTTCGCGTCATCTGTGCTGACTGTTTGCAACGCAGAATCCGTAAAACGAAAGCTCCAGGAAAATGGAAAGTCGTGTCCAGACTTCAACCCAGAGGCCTTTTACACATCCAGGGCTGTTACCCCCTAGCCCCCAACGCTGCTGATCAGACTCTTCGGATACCGCCGCGGATATTCACCGATCGCTGTGTCAACGTCTATTTCCAGGAGTGGGCTCCTCTCTTCCCAATCCTCCACAAGCCCACCTTCCTTCGAATCTACGAAGAGTTTGTTGCGGACCCGGAAAAGGTCAAGAACAACCACAAACTTGCCCAGATCTACCTTGTCTTCAGCATCGCTTCCCTCGCCGGCGACTTCCCCGATACCGCCCAGATCGCTGCCTGCGAAGCCGAGTGGCAAAAGGCCCTCGAGCCAATCCTGATGGACAACACCATCATCACCCTTCAGTGCCTTGTTCTCGCCGTGATGTACTGCACTGTGAGAGCCGACTACAAGAGGCTTCAGCTTTATAAGGGTATTGCCGTTAGCCTTTCACACCGCCTTGGACTTCACCAGAGTCAAAAGCGCTTCTCCTTTGGAGCCTTGACCATCGAGACGAGAAAGAAGGTATTCTGGACGCTTTACACTGTCGATTGCTTTTCGGCAGCTGTTCTAGGCCTCCCGAAGCTTTTGAAAGAGGACGACATCCATGCCGAATACCCGGTAGATATCGACGACGAATACGTAAACGAGAAGGGGTTCCAGCCCACTCTTCCCGGCGAGTCCACCCGTCTCAGCGGTGCGCTGGCTCTCTTCCGCGGTACTCGCATTCTTGCCAAGGTTCTCGAGAAGGTCTACCCCGCGGCTGCCACCCACGAAGTCTCAATGCAGCAACTTTCCGCTCTTGATGGGGAACTCACGCAATGGTACGACTCGCTGCCTCGGCATCTCAGACTCAACTTTGCGCAGGACAAGCCCTCGACCGATGTGACTGGAAGCCGGTCACCTCTACTGGTATGTCATCCGTAGCCCCCAACCCTTGCCGGGGTTCTCCCCGGCCCTCTCTATCCCGTCCCGTCACGTGTGGGCTCTAATGCGTGATAATCTGCAGGCACTTGCGTATTACTACATGCGAACTCTTGTATATAGACCCGCCGTAGGGTCTAGCTTAGGCCAAAAGGCTGCCCCTGCGCTGATTTCGATTGGAGAGGCGAGCAAGCACATTGTCCAAATTGTCCAGCTCCTCGAAGAACGGAACATGACTTTTTCGTTCTGCCTGAACAAAACCGATACGCTAGTGATCTGTGGAATGACGCTCCTTTACCAAACCTTGGACCTCAAGCAGGATAGCAAGCTGTCCAAAGACAGTCAAAAGTATGTCAACGCCGTCATCCAGCTCCTTGTCAAGGCCCAGGCGCCTGGTAGCCTCGACCTTAAACGTATCGCGGGCATGATTATTGCCGTCGACGATGGCGGTTCGCCCACACAATCCCGCGCTAGCCCTCCTACGGCGTCTGCCGGACACACGCAGAGGCGCTCGCCCTCGACCAGCTCGCATGCGAGATCCGCTACGCCGCAAGATGCGAAGCCTAGCATTGGACGGCTCGCGGGGGCCTCGGCGAGCGAGACGGACCTGCTTCAGCAGCAGGCTAAGCTCAGGAGAATGACAATGCCTAGCGCCGCTGCCGGACGACCCGAAGTACTTCGGCCCCAGAGCCGCCGATCAATTGACAACCCGCAAACTCAGTCGTTCAACCAGAGAGAGCACCGCCTGTCCATGTCTCACAGTCCGCAGACATCACCGTCGCAGCACGGCCTCGACTACCTTGCCCTCAATCCCGGTAGCCCCGCTCAAGGCCACATGCCCGTTTCCATGCAGGGCCGCCGGCAACATAACCTCCCGTCGCACCTGCAGCAACGACTCTCCCAAATGCACCCCGGCGCGCAAGTGGACTCCAAGCCAGTTGACCTTTCCTCGTCGCAATGGGAGGCGCTTCTCGGCTCCTTGGATGGTGGACAGTCCAACGTGTATGATGCCATCTATGGCGGGGCACCTCTGTCCTTGAACGACACTGCGGCCATTCCGACCAACAGTGGAGTGAGTGCAACCTGGCTCGCGGATGCGTGGGAGCTCAACACGTTCAATTTGGGAGATTTTGATGGATCTGTTGCAACGCAAAGCGTCCTGAGCATATCGGACGAGGGCCTCAGCCCTGGCGAGGAGATGACGCCGACAGACCTCGGGCTGAGCGTGGGAAGCCTGGATATCCAGGGTACAATGATTTCCAACCAGTGCAGCAATGGCGAGGGATACTTGCATGGTATGGGGAATGACTACATCATCTAAAGATTTTCGAGCTCAAGCACATCCATCGGACGCCATGATTTCGAAAATGGTTGTCTATCTTTTTCCGTTTCCTATTCTCTGAACGAAACGACCTTTTGCCTTGTGCTTCCCTTTTCTTTTTTTTTTCTTTTTCTTTTTATCTACTACTCGGAACATATACCACCGCGTCACCGATATCTTGATTTCAACCGGCGAACGGCACAAAAGCTCGGATAGTCGCGCCAGACTATTTCCAGCGCAGCGGTATTACACTGGCGGGCTTTCTTCGAGACGCCAACTGGTATTTTAGCCGGTGCGCAGAGTATTTTTATCCCATGCCGGGAACACTGTGGGATGGGGCCTCGGCGCGATCCTCATTCACCTTGCATCTCATGTTTTTCGAGCCCACTTTTCTTTCTTTCCGACTTGGTACTCCGCACGAAAAAAAGAAAAGAAAAAGGCGCGGGGTGGGTGAGTGGGAAGGGAGAAAGGGGGCTGCCGATATCCTAACTGCTAATGATGGTTTTATTTGTTATCTTTTGTTGAGAACTCGCACAATGCCTGCCTCTTTTTTTCAAAGACAGCGAGGATGGCACTATATGAAAGGATTTGGGAAGGAACCCCAAGGGGGCGGGGGCGTCTTGGGATTCTTTTTGGATCGTGGGGTCTTGGAACTCTTTCTGCTTTAGTCGTTTGGCTACTCTGGGTGTGCTTTTTTTCTTCTTTGCTTCTTATTTTGCAAGTTGAGGAGCTCGGAGCTTGTTTATTGTTCTTGGTTTGGACGAATTGGTTACCTCGTCACTGAAGTTAAAGAAAGCAGATGATTGTACGCTCTTGGGGAGGCAAGGCACTTCTTGCTCTTCCCACCAAAACAATATGAATGGGGGAGGGTTTGTGTTTTGCTCGTTCAAAATCTACATGTATGCAGAATAGTAGCATCAATCGATGATGGAATGCAGTTTCGAACATGATCTTTTCTCCTTGTCCCACATGTGATGATGGCTGGTGCTGCCTACATGTACGTGAAGCAAGATTCTTCAACGATATGATATGCGCGTTGGCGGTGCATTCTCGAACGGCGTTCGCATTGGAGTTGATGGTTGATGTGATGCGGTGAGCCCGTTGCGAGGCCACCCTCCACGCCCTCCTCCATGACCGCGCTCCACATGCTGCCCGTCTAAGTGCAGGCCTATCCACTCCGATGGTCTCCGATGGTCTCCGACGCCCATTTTGCTGCACTCGATCGATCTTTTTCTCCTTTGAATGGCAATTTCTCTTTGATCAAGCAGTTGATTTGCATTGTATGGATAGGCGCAGAAGAGAGGCGTGCGGTATCTATACTTTTGGGGTGTGTGCCCACGTTTGCTCCCAAGTACCGCTACCCCCTTGCGTGAACGGCGTGGAGCAGCGATCAAATCCGAACTGATATCTGGCTATTTACTTTCTTATCATATCAGTGATCTCTCCGGAACCATCGTATGCTTGAAATTGGACGCGGTGACTGTCGCGGGACTACCCAGATGCCAGAGCAGGCCTATCATATCGGAAAATGTGCGTTGAGAAGTGCTCACAACACGTACTTGCACGTCTAAATGATGTGATGGGATGAACTTGGAGAGACCAAACAGCCTTTCATCCCTTTATTCACCTTCAATCCTTGAATACGTAGTGTCATCGGACATGAATCACATCTAGAACAAGAGGCGATTCGCTCACCCCCTTCCTTCTTTCCCACCCCTGGTCTGGCTCGCGGGAAGTGTTTAGGCTAATAAGGACGAGAGAAAAGCCAAGTTTGGGGACCAGGGGAACGAAGGGAACGAACGGAATGAAAGGGGGAGTTGGATCGGAGAAACGAACGTTGCATGGGAATAGCAACGGGACTCTCTATCCCATTGATGGTTCATCTTTCCTTCCAGAATATCCATGGAGATTGAGGGGGTAGGGCTAGTACGCTAGTGTCCTTTGCCTCGTCACCAGCTCCCATGGCTAATCTTCTTCTTCTTTTCTTTTTTTCTTTTTCCCCGAGACCGACGTATAATATTCGTGTCGCTCGAGGGGGTTCGCGGGAGAGGTCCATCCCGAAGCGGCGAGCTAGCAAGATCGAACGAGTTTGGGGAGCGAGGCAGGGTCTCCCGTTTTCCGCCCCCTCATCCTTTCTCCCCGTTCCTGTTCCTGTTCCCGGCCACCAGTGGAGGGATGCGACGGCACACTGCCGGACGGCGCGGGCCCTTAAAAGTCTGGGCGCTGCAACTCGAAATTGATGGGTAACGAAAAGAATCGGGCAGGCTGCCTTTCTTTTTCTTTTTCCCTTCCGTCAAAACTGTTCAGCCGCCTGCTCCTTTTCCCTTGCTGCTGACTGGTTTCGTGATTGAGCGTTCGGTGAAGTTGCTGCCGTTGAGCGGGATCTAACCTCTTCCAGCCGTCACATATCAATCGTTGATTTGATAAGAGCTACCACGTTGCCTCTGCACAATTTCAACTTGATCCAACATGAAATGGGGTTTTTCCTTTTGTCACATTAAATATGCGCAGGACCGCTCTTCAGTCATGAGCACGCCACTCCTGCCTCGGTAACCAAGTGGTGAATCAATTGACGTCTACGAGATGGCTACAGGGCATTTGTGGTGTTCATCGATGATGCTTGCGCCACACTAGGGCCTGTGGCGAGTGTGTGTACCATCACTCTGGTTCTAGACCCCAGGGCCCTGGCCCACATGTCGTCCGTTTGGCAGGGGTGGTCTTGAGCTCAGAGCAAGGTGCTTGGAAGGGCACCTAGACGAGGCCGGCTCAACTTGTACGCTGCGTCTAGCCCCCTTGAATCAACACAGATCCCAACATACCGAGGTATACATTTTTCGATTTCCTGGGTCAGGGCAAGTTGGGAAGGGTGGCCCTTGGCTTTTCCTGGTGTGGCGGGTGCGGATCTTCGGCGTCGAAACATGGTCGATGATGCGACACCTTGGTAGGTCCAAGCAAGAAAAAAAAAAAAAAGGCCAGCGGGAGAGAGAGCAAGAGTCTACGAGGGGCTAGGGAAAATCCCAAGAGCGTGGAGGGAAAAGAGAAAAAAAGAAAAAGAACTCTGCGCATCAGATATCCAAAAGAAAACTACCCAGCTGAAGCTTCCTTAGGCGAAGTGGTCTGGCTTCGCTTTGCACATCGCCAATCACAGGAGCGACAGGGAACCGGATCCCATTCGATTCCTCGTCCGAGCCCCTCCATGGTGAAATTGAACGTGATCGCAGCCCTTTCGGATGCGCTAGCCGCCACCTTCCGCCGCCACCCCTAAGAACTAACGTCGTCCACGAGACCTCCGACGAACCCTTCAACGCCGAGCGCTGCTTTTCGACTTTGAACGATACAGGAGAACCTGCCCTCTCTCTCTTCTTCGTCCCCCGACTCCGAGGCGATTAAAATATCCCGGCTCCCTTTACCACGAGCGTTGCGCAACCGCTTTTGCGACGCGAATTCGCCGACCCTTTACTTCCTCCCCGCGCGACAAACATACGAAATCGCGACTACTCTCCCGGTTTGCTAGCGCATTGTCAACAGCGTAGCTACACGTCGAAAGGCGGACGTAGAATATACCACACCACATAATATAGCACTGTGCCATGGTCCCTCGAGAAACGAGGCCTCTGCTTACCGCAGAGAATGATCCTCATCTTCCAGGTACGGCGCCCCCACCACTCTCCCTTCTTCTCTCCTCTCTGCGCGCCCAAGCCTCCCTTCGCTCGCGCTAGCTATGGCATGGTCTCTACTATAGTTGGGCCGTCTCTTGCCGCCCACAAAGACACGGTATACTAACAGGGGGACTCTGGTCCGGCTTTAGATCCGTACTGGGCGCGCCAGTGGAAGATGACCAAGGTCGACGACCCAGTCACCGCGCCCCAATGTATCGCGCACAGAGGCTACAAAGCCAAGTATCCCGAAAACTCCATGGCAGCGTTTAGAGGCGCCGTGTCCGCCGGCGCCCACGCTATAGAATCGGATCTCCACCTCACGAGAGACGGAGTCGTGGTTCTGTCTCATGTAAGCCGCCCCGTCCTCGTCCCCGACGCCCGGTAACCCTGACCCGGTTGCTATTGGGAAGGCAAGGCTTTGAGCTGACTGGACCGATTGTGTCCATTGCCTGCCTCTCTATATAGGACGGGACCTTGAAGAGATGCTTTGGCGTCGACAAGAGGATCGACGACTGCGACTGGGACTACATAAGCACTCTCCGGACGTTACGCGCACCGCATGAGCGCATGCCCAGGCTTTCCGAACTCCTCGCCTTCCTGACGGAAGATGGCCACGAGGATGTGTGGCTACTCTTGGATATCAAAGTGAGTTGCGGATAGGCCTCTGCTCTTGAAATCCGAGGGTTTCATCCTCTCGACTTCCAAAGATGTTTCATCTTTTTACAAGAAAAACACCGTCCTCTAGCTAACCACGTCGGGATCTGTCTAGCTCGATGATGACTGCGAGGAGCTGATGCGCCGAACAGCCGACACCGTCGCGGCGTGCCCCCAGCGCAACGCGAGACCCTGGAACGAAAGGATAATATTTGGCTGTTGGAATGTAGGTTCCCCCCTCCCTTCCTCACCTCCCCGTGGCGCCCTCTCCACCCATTCTCCGCCCCCAGTCTCAGGAACTGCACGACGCCCACGCCAACGTTCCAGCTCGCTAACGCCGGGGGTGTAAACCCCACCACAGCAAGCCTACATCGCAAAAGCGCGCGCCTTCCTCCCCGCCTTCCCCTCTCCCACATCGGCTTCTCCCTCCCCTACGCCAACCGCCTCCTCCCCGCCCACCCCAACCTCTCCTTCAACCTCCTCCAAATTGTCCTCGCCGGGCCCCTCGGCCCCCGCTTCCTCCTCTCCGCCCGCTCCTCCCGCCGCCCCGTCTTCGCCTGGACCGTGAACCGCGAGCGCTGGATGGAGTGGGCCGTCCGCGCCCGCGTCGACGGCGTCATCACCGATAACCCCGCCCTGTACCTCGAAGTCTGCGCGCGCTGGCTCCGCGAGGAAGAGTCCCGCCGCCAGGCCCCGCCGCCCGGCGGAAGAAGCGTCGTTCGGAAAGCTGCTAGGTTCGGTAAGAGGAGGGGCTTGGTGAGCGATGCCCTGAGCATGGCTGGTCTCTTGTGCATGAACCTCTTCGCCGCTTGTATTTCTGTCCTCTTCACCATCATGGGTCGTTATGACCGTGTCACGATAAAACCAAGGGCAAAGACACGCTAGATCAAAGGTGCCAGGGGACCCCTCCCCCTTTTCTTTCTCCCCCTCTTTTTGTCTAGTTTGTCTTGGGAAGTTGCACACCAATCGGGAAGGATAGCGATTCTCGGTCACTGTGGTAAGGGGAGAAGATTCTGATGTTCCTGATAAGACGGCATGAAGGTCACCGTATATTTGTACATCGCACATAGTCACAACGCATAAAGTTCATAGCATTGAAGCAACTGATTACAACATAAACTTGACCTGTTCTTGTTCCTCTAGCGCTTCCGGGTGTTACATGTAGAATATTATGCACCTGATCTACCTTGTTGAAGAATCTAGCTTTCAACTAGCATAGAATGCCAAGTCTAGTACGGTGGATAGGGAACCCGAAGCAGAACCCTGGTAACTACACTCCAGATATCGCACTCGCACCGGTAAATGAAAGGGGCGACGGGAGCGGGGGCTTATCGCGTTTTTTGTTAATTTTCTGTATTTCCATTGCTAAACTCTAAAGCATCTCTCTTCTGTTTTTTGGTGTTCTCTTGCCTATCTTGAGAAAACAAAAATGCCATCTAACCATATTGAGGAACTCCCGTGAGCTAGAATCCGCTCGGAATGAAAGGTGAATGAGAGAAGGAAAAAGAACAAGGAAAAAAAAAAAAAGAGGAAAGGCGTGTCATAGATACCGATCCCTCAACCCTTCTTCGACGGATAGTACTCATTCCGACTAACCCAATATCCGCATGTGCTAAGCTCTCCCTCCCTCTACATCTCTCGTTCTCGCGATTAGTCGATCTCAACGTCAATGTCGAGATCAAGAGACGCAATAATGTCGTCGTCCATAAGGGGCTTGTGCACCGTGGGAATGCCCTTATTTTCCGCATACTTTTGCTCTTGCAATTTCGCAATTTGCGGGAGCACTTGCTTCTCCGAGAGCGGCTTGGGAGTGCCGTTGGGTGTATTTGCTCCGCTTCCGGGCTTGGAGCCTGGCTTCGGTGAACCTTCCTCGAAATCGTGCACGAATTTAGCCCGAGTCCTCAGCCGCCTCGACGGATCATCCTGTACCGCTTCACCCCGCGCCAGTTTCTGCTCAATCTCGCGGGCCCTATGCCTTTCCTGAAGCTGCGCCCTCCGTACCTCCTCATTGTTGCGTCGGCGAATGTCGGCGTTCAACTTGGCAAGGCGATCTTGTTGGTTAGACGAGAGACTACTCGACTGCGGGTTGAGTGAGGTTCTGAATGCAAGGCCCGCGGCCTTACCTAGGCTGTCAAGTTCGGCCTGTAGCTGGCTCGCTAGGATAGGGTTGTTTGCTGCTTTGGCGTCTTCAACTGCCCTGACTAAGTTCTCCCGGGCCTCAGGGTCATACTTCTTCCGCAGCAGGTTCTTCTGATCCACCATCATCGTGATTTCGTCATTGCTGAGTCTATAGGCGACGAGTTCGCGTAGCTCATCTAGCTTCCTGTCTAGCGTCGATTTTTGGGGTAAGTAAGACCTCGGTCGCGAAGCACCTTCTTGAAGCGATCAAGCTCGTCCTAGCATCATAGTAGTGTGAGTTGTGCAATTGCTACAAGACCATAGAGTTGAAAGGGGCGCGTACCTCTGTGAATTTGCCGCTGGACATGGCGATGAAGGGGTAGTGTTCCGTCTTCGAGCCGATCCCCGCGAGAACGTGCTGATCTGTTACGAACTGTTTCTTGCCGGACATATCCGCCATCGCGTATGCTCTTCCAGTCGTGAAACCTACGGTTGCACTTGTCAGCTTCAGAACAACCATCCCCAGCCGTTAGTAGAACGTACCTTTGATACAGACCATATGGTACTGTTGCTGGCCGCCCACAGGTTTGCCAAGGACTCGGACGTAGCAGTCTGTCAGAGCCTTTTCGAACCCCGGCTTAAAGCACACTTCGGCGAAATTGTTTCGACTAATCCGCAGACGCTCAAAGTCCACAAGCTGGGCCTCAACGTTGCGCGATTCTCGCGCAGGGCTTTAGGCGATCATCCCGGTCGTCATCTTCCTCTTCTCCGTAGCCGTACCCATAGTCGCGATCGCGCGACTTGTTTGGCGTCTGGGTGTCTCGCTGGCGCTCTCGATCCTCTTCACGTCGGCGCATACGGTCGTTCTTTTCGGCCCGCGCGCGTCGAAGGGTATCTATCCCGGAGCTGGTCTCGCCAGCTCTGGTGCCATCGATCCTAGTCCGTTGCCTCGAGGGCTTACGCTGGTCGTCGAGATCAGCATCGTCCGCCGACCGCTTGCGGCGCTGTTCCTTTTCCTTCTCTTCTGCCGCGGAAACGAGTTGACGAAGCATACGGTTCTGCTTGAAACGCTGGTTCTCTTCTCGACGCTCCGCAAGAATCGTTTCGCGCTCCACTTCTCGCATTTTCGAGATCTCGGCCTTCTCTGCCAAACTGACGTATAACCCTTCGATAGGATATTTCTCCTCCACGTCATCATTCCCGCCATCATCTTGTTGGGGCTCGGCATCCGAGTCTGATTCATCCATCGGCGCTGACTTGAGTGAGCTGGGAGAGGAAGGCGCAGAGATACTATGTGCGCGATAGAATTGTTAGTTATGCAAGGCTCCAGACAACGGATCCAAGTCGACATGGCCAGCAAAGGGCAAAGGGATGAGTTTGAAGGGTAGCCCTTTGGACGGGACGGGGAGGCGACGGCTAGCTCGCAGATAGCCAAGGACAACGAGTAAACCACTCGTGCCGCGGCGAGTTGAATGGAAGCAGGCAGGCCGTGATGAAGATGACAATTGGTAGCGAGAGAGACGGATGGGTATGGAATTAAGCAATGAAGGCCAGGAAGTAGACCATGACTTACGCTTCACCCTCCTCTACCTCTCCATCATCCCCAGAGTCGGCCCTCCTGTTTCCCTTCTTTGCGCTCCTCGATCCCGATCCCCTTCTACCATAACCTCTGTCAGATCCCGACCTATCCGCAGGCTCGGGAGACAGGGAGGCTTGTCTGCTCTCATCACCCGATTCATCCTCATCGGAACCCGCCAGCGCCAAAAGTTCGTCGTCGATATCGGCCATGGCTGCAGACCGTCTTTAATCGTTCGAAAGAGCCCGAAAAAGGTGATTTCGAAGGGGGCGTGGATTTCGAGATGGGTGGATCAGTGGTTGTGTCTTGGCGGTGCCTTCAAGACGAGAGGCGCGTCTGGACGATCTCGCGTAGCCACTTTTTGACCCTAGACAATGAAACAAGGGTGATGGCTTTTCGTTGGAAAGTGTTGAGAAAATTTCGTGTTCTGCAGAGTTGAGAGATCCAGTAAGTGCAGAGACTCGCGGAAGAGGCGTATGGAGCCGGGAATTGAGGCGGTAGAGGAGAAATGTGGATGTTGGAGGCGAAAGCAGGGGGACAAGGAGACGCAGCCCTTCCAACTTCCTAAGCACGATGTCGTCGCTTGTGGGTCTACAAGCCCCCTTTCTAGCATAGTCGTTTTACTATCATAAAGCCATCCGTATAGTATGGTATCTACCGGGTTATACAGGTATATGTGGTTAAAAAGACTTCTCCTTAATATAGACTCTACGTTTAATGGAATGTGCTTTTATCCATAATTTCCTCCCAGCTTCCCGCTTGTGCATTAATATGTACTAGGGAAGCTGTGGAATGATAAAATCGTACCATCAAAAGCCATCTCGGTATCCCAGCGTCCCCACCCTTATTTTGGTGTTCTCCAAGACCTATATTGCCCGAACCAAAGCTGGAGCTGGGCACTTGGTATGCACGCGTAGGGAAAATTTTCGAATCCGATACGGTCCAGCACTCCCACTTCCGCTCCACGATGGCGGCCCCTCGAGCTTTCGCGCAGACTCGCGCCGCCCTCCGATTCCGGGACCCGATTCCGCTTTCCGGCTCTCGATGCGCCCGTCTCCTATCCACATCTCCCCTCCAGCGCGCCAGCCCTGTCGATTCAAGCAGCAGGATGCTCCGAAGCGCAAGGCACTCACAAAGGAGCAGCGCGATTTCCTCTCCTCTGCGGTACGTAGGCGTAGCATCACCCACCCTCTAATCCGACCCCACACGCCCTGGGACGGGGAATAAAAAGGATTTTTCCAAAGACTAATAAGTGCCGGGAATGCAGCTCCGCGTGAACCAGTCCGGCGAGCTTGCCGCCACCCTCATCTATTCCGCGCAGACTCCCTGCTCGTCTCGAAACACCCGCACCTCCGACCCCATGAAGCACATGTACGACCAGGAAGAAGGCCACCTCAAAACTTTCAACGCCATGCTGGCGAAGCACCGCATACGGCCCTCAGCCCTTTACCCCCTGTGGCAGGTCATGGCTACCGGTCTGGGATGGGGAACCGCAATGATGGGCCGCGAGGCCGCCATGGCTTGCACCGAGGCGGTGGAGACCGAGATCGGGGATCATTACAACAATCAAATCCGTACCCTTCTTGAAATCATTTCCGAATGGGAGCGTGATGGCTATGATGTCGGCGACGAGTTGAAGACGTTTCTCAGTACGCTTAGGAGGATACGGGACGAGGAGCTTGAGCATCTCGATCACGCCGTCGAACATGACGCTAAGAAGGCCGAACCACACTGGTTGTTGACTGGAGCCATCCGCATTGGCTGCAGAGGGGCCATTTGGGTCAGCGAGCGGGTATAATCGTTGGAGCGTGACGGACTAAAATGGGACGTTGTAGATATATGTATATTTGTACAGTACAGAGCAAAATGTGCCCTCGGGGCCTCGGGGGCCGTGTATTTTTTTAAGACTAAACCAGGAGACTAGGAATAAGGCGAAACTCAAGTAAACTAAAGATAAGGAAAGTTTTTACAAAGGAGAGCGCCACGAAGAGAGGCGATGATGATATGAAAACAGATGGTGTGCTACTGTGATGCAGGTGGGGCCCCAATGCTCCCCTTGCTCGAACGAACTTTGAGACGTACTGGATGTGTTACAGACCCGAAAGTAGGAAAGAGAAAAAGAAAGGGAAAAAACTCCAAGTGATGCAGCGTCGGGGTACATGTAGTTCTCGGAAGAAGTAGAGGGAAAAGGAAGAGCGAAGAAAGGGGAGGGAGGAGGCAACGAGAGGCGGGGAAAAGGAAGATAAATCAAAAGGTAAAAAGAACAGCGTTTAGAAGACGAGCTGGGTAAGATTACAAATGTCTATAGGTGTAAAGTGTCAAAATTGCTGTTCCGCTTCTGAACTGCCCTCTCACTCGATATCGATGAATGTGTTAAGTGCTGAGAAAAACCGTTAGTAAACATCCATGGAGCTGGGATTGTTCAAAATAGCTCGAAAACTATCAAGTTTGGGAAACTTACTAGATGCTGATTGGCGCCATTCCGTCGAGGTGGAAGCCCCAGTTGTTGTTGCTCTCCTCCGTCACGAGCCAGTCGTAGGGGAAGTAGACAATGTTGCCCCTCGTGAGGTTGAGGAGATCCTCTGCTTCATCCTTGGTGAGCACATCCTCGGATGGGCCTCGGCGGCTCGTCTTGGTCGTCCCCTACGACGGCGCCTCATTGAGCCGACATTGTTATTGATGGACGCCGAGGTGTCACGCGAGGCCGGCTTTTCAAGAGGTAGGAAGGTCGTCCGTCGCTTCTCCTTGACGGGGTCAAGGAACCTGGTGGTGAGGGTCGCCTGTTGCTCGAGTGGGGGAACGGAACATCCCCAGGCGGGAAAATGGGCGACGGTTGCTCCTGGGAATGACCCGTAGGAATCTTTTCCAAGTCAACCCCAAGCTGGGCCTCCCGTTCGCCCCTAGCTCCCCGTCGATGCCCGCTGCCGCCTTCTTCTCGTCTAGTTCGCCTCCCTCCTCGTCGGGCACGACGATAGCCGGGTTAGCATCCCGGCTAGGCGGCATCACCTTCTCGGAAAGATGCTCAGGTGCGGGAGGCCCAGTAGAGCCCTTGCTCTGAGGCTTGGCAGATTTGTTGAGGTCTGCCGTCTGGTACTCATGGAAATTCTTGGCATACTGGGAGTATTCACGATATTCTGGCCAAGTCTTCACTTCGAATCCGGCATGCACCGGAAAACTTCCCGGTACAATCGAGTGTTGTTATCGGCGGTTCTATTCCAGACATCCTCCAGGAAACTGGTGTTGAGAGGATCTCGCATACAATCTTTGTCAATGTATGCGAGCTTGATCTCAGCAGCAAGAGGGTGAGAGGGCTCCTCTCCCACCCTACCTTCGTGCTCTGGGAACGCCGGGGGCCACCAATATCCGTGTCATCCACGGCAGGTAGACTAGGGAGCTGACTTGCTCGGGGCAGGCCAAGTTGTTCGGTGGTGCGGCGGTTCATTGGCGGAATCGGGGGTAGGCGGTCGCTAGTGTCTAGAGGCCCTATATCGCTATGCCGGCTAGTCGACCGGGGACGGGAGTGGTGGTGATGGTGGAGAGCCTTCTTAGGGCTGTCGAGGGTGCCTTTGCCTTCCGAAAAGATGCTGTGAACCAAGACTTCGCGGCCATCCACGATGACGGAATCTCGGCCCTCATCGATACCCAACTTGGCGGCCGTCTTCCACTTGTCTTCTCCGAATCCAGCAACCTCACGCTCGTGGTTGGCATTGTCGGTGATTCGCGGGTCATACTCGACTTGCTTGCCCTTGCTACGAATGCTAGCAGAGTCATTACCATCATCCGGCGCCTCGGCATCACGGTTGAAGCTGCGCAGCTGCATCAAGGAGGGCGCTTAGAAGCTGACTGTTCCCCAGACGATTGGGAGCTTTGCTCCTCGTCGTAGATCTGGTCCATCTCGTTTTCGAACTGAGCTTGCTGAGACAGCTCTGCTTCACGATCTAGAAGAAGCTGTCGTTCCTCGGCCTCTATTTCATCAACATCAAGGCCCAAATGCTCTCGCATCAGGCGCATTCGTAAAGTATGGGCGAAGCGGGAGACCTGGTACGGCTTTCCGGCCATGGTAGACCAAATCATATCAGTGTCTCGGATGATGGCAGCCACTTCAGAATCTCTGTTCCCCAACATAGATCTCTCATTGATATTCGCCGAGCCGATGAGGGCAACACGGTCGTCGGCAATGATGATTTTGGCGTGGATATAAAGCTGCTCCGTTATCAATACGTCGTTATGCATTTTCCCCACTTTCGCAAACTGTAAAACTGGATATACTCTTCGGGATCGATTCCGACGGCGCGGAGGCGTCCAAAGATGGACCCCTCACCACGGCAAATACTCCTGTACTGGAACTGGACGATCAGGCGAACGCTCATTCCGGGCTGCTCATCCACAGTACTCTCGAATCCGGGCATGAGCGGGATGAGGATAAAGCATTTCCAATCATCCTTGTTCTGATAAGCGCGGATGATTCGATCTACAAGAGCATCACCAATGCGATTCACAACCTTGGTATTGTATGCCTGTGTGCTGGTCACGAAAAATTGGTTCTCAATGTAGACAAAGTGTTCCGAGTCCTCAATCATCTTGACATAGGCGTTCTGGATGCTGATTTCTGGCTCATCGATACCGAGGGACCAGTGGGCGGCCGATCGTAAGATTTGCACCTCGCAGGTACCGGAAAGGCCCATATCTTTGAATTCGTCTGGTCGCGCGTCAGGTGGGGGAGGAGGAAAGGGAGGGCGCGAGTAGGCTTGCGGCCTCGGCGCAGATAGTTCCACCTCTGGATAAAGTGTCGCGTCAAATCACGCGCGGGCTGGCCCGCCAGTTGCATTCCAACGTCATGCCAAGGCATGCGGGGGACAAGCTTTCGATTATACATGTCCTCGTAAGGCTGATGGAGGCGGAAGAAATCGTGGACACGAGGGTTGGAGTAGTCCTTGCCAAGGAACACTTGGCAGTTGCCTGGGTCGGTTGGGCGTCCGCTTTCCTCAAACCCGGTTGGCATCTCGTCTGTGAGGGGGTGTTGAGGGCAATCCCAGCGGCCGAAGCAGAGGTCGATGCCTCCGAGGAACGCGACGTCGTGGTCCACAATACACAGCTTCTCGTGGTGCGCAAAAAGAGCTGGTTCTTCTTGAACTGGTTCGGAGAGCGCTGAACAAAGATGTTTGGGTGCAAATTATGCAGCGAGATCTTGGTGTACTCGGAGTCGATGGGGATAGCCGATTCAACATTGCGGTACACGATAACAAAGATCTTGACACCTTCACGGGCCTTGCGCTGAAGGAGTCTATCCAGTCTCCATTTCTGGCTAATTGCCGCAGGGCGCCGCAGGTAAAGCTCGGGGCTCAGCCACCAGTCGTGAATATAGATTACGTTGCGGGCCATGCTGATGGCCCGGGAAACGTTCCACATGTAGTCACGGCCGTCCACAAGCCACTCGGCGAAAACGCCGGTGCGAACAGGAGCAAAGCTCTCGAATCGGTTCTTTCGTGCCACCGGGTACGCTCTAACATGGCCCTCACCGACTCCTCAAACTGCATCATGACGACCTCTTTCCGGGAGAAAAGCTTGACCTTTCTCTCCGACGTTTGGATAGTCAGCGTATGATGCTTCTCCTGCTGCTTGTCCGCAGCCGGCTTGGCGGCATCCTTTGCCTTGTCGTCGGTCTGCTTGATGACTTTATTCTTGGAGAGGATAGTGAACTTGGGATCGACGAGATAGACATCGTATATGATCATGTTCTCGGGCGACTCAACACAAACAATATAGCTCTCACGGATAAGGAACCACTTGCGACTATGGCGCGCAATAACTTTCTTGGGAGTCAAGACTCGGCGGAAATCGATGCCCTTGGAGGACTGAATGTGCAAGTAGCACTCTTTTCCGTGAAAGCTGCCTTCGGCAGCTAGGCGTACACCCAGCGCAGAGAGTTCGAGGAACCGGCAGAGGCGGTTGCTGTCGGCTCTAAACATGAGCCAGCGAATCATGTCCTGAAGGTACTTTTCGAGTAGGCGGCGTTGTCTTTCGATATGGCGTTGCTTGATTACCGCTGCGGCCTGTGCCGCGGTGTGGCCGGTAACCGAACCTTCGGCGGCAGACATATCGCCCACGTCCGTCATGGTAGACCTCAGTCTGCGGTGACCCGGGGCCATCATTCGACTCGGTCTGCGCCGCTTGCCGCGGACATCCATCTCGCTCGCAGTGCCCTCGCCGGCAGTACCTTCGTCTGCCGTTTCTTCGGCCTGGCCCTCTTCGTCACTCTCATCGGCTAGTCCGCGGACACCTCGGAGGTAGGGGAACGTCGAGAGGGGGAACTTGGGCTGCTTTCGTCTCGAACCGTAATCCGCGCTACCGGCGCCTCCGGGAAGGCTTCGTTGGATATCTTTAGCGAACGCGAATTTATAACGAAGGTGCAGTTCGTATATGTCTCTCAAAGTACGTATCACCTGCCATTTCATCCGGCTCGGACCACTTCCGTACTCGAGATCGAGTGTGAATACCCAATGACGGTCATTATCCTTGTCCGTCTTGTCCGCTTCGGGGGCAGCCGTGCTGTCCGAAACACGGATTTTCAGCTGCTCAAGAAGTACAGGTATGCGTTTATTACCGTGCTCATCTCGTTGGATCATGCTCGCAAGGATGAGGGCAGCCGGGGCGCCCGCTCGGAGTTCGGCCATCAACTCGGCAGATTTGGTATAGTCGAATCTGTCATCCTTCTTCGCACGCCAAAGCTTGATGGTATTCTTCACCATGGTAGGCCACCTCGGAACGGCAAAACTCGGGGCCCGGTCAGCGCTGAAGAAAGCCCGTCTCGGGGTAGTATTATCGCCATCTGATACCCCACCAGGCCCAACACCACCACCGAAATACGTAATGCGTCGGAAGTGACCAATGCGCCTCCCATACGGGTTATCGGCATCATCGACCTCATCTACCGTGTTTCCCGTATTGGTTCGATTGGGACCCGCAATCCATGAGGTACCACGCCGCCAAAGCTCTCTCGCAGCATCATCCCGACCCTCTCCATCGGAGAGATCTCGGTTAAGCTGAGGATCCGAGGGACCCGACAAGCTCGCGCGCCTACCAATGAAGCGTCGGCCTATATTCGCAGACAAAGGGATACTAGAGGAGGAAGGATCGGGGCCCACGCCGGCGGCATCCGCCGAATTCTTATGAAGGGGGACGCCAGGAGAGGATGCGAAGTCGGGAAGCCTAGGGCGGCGCATCTTTTCGCGCGTTTCTTCTTTTGCTTCATAGCCTTACGGGCCTCCTCAGCTGCGGCCTCGTCTGCAGTTTCTTCAGCGTCGGCATCGGCCTCGCTGTCTTCTTCCCCGTCATTAGGAATGCTCGCGGTTCGTGTCGCGTGTCGGCTAGCGATCGGCGAAGTGGGGAGCGACTGGCTAGTCATTGGCGGCCCCATGGAGGGAGATTTGGGAGTCTGCAAGGCGCCGGTTCCGGCCAGGGCTTTCAACTTCGAGATGAACGAAGCAGGCTTCGACCTATAGGCACCCTCTGGATCGTCCCATGAAGGCTGGCGAGAGTGGGTGGCTGAATCTTGGCCATCCTTCCGAGCGAACTGAACACTTCGGCGGCCCTGAGGAATAGCGCTCAAGGACTCACTTCCATTATCGTTGCTGGGTTTAGGGTTTTCGGGATCGGCTGATAGGTCCGTTGGTAGCCGGTCTTCCAGGATTGTAGACATATCTTGAAGCGGGCCCGCAGTTATGTAGTCGACAGCATTATTGGACATTAACTTCCTTGGTGGTATAGATGCAATATTCCCTTCAAGAGGCGGCGTGACGGCAGCGGTCGGTCCGGCTTCAGGCGTATCTACACGCGAGACGGGCACAGCGCTGGAAAAGGGCGATGGAGATCCGTCGGCTGAAACATATTGGGTCGAGGCAGACATCCTGTGACAGGAGAGTGGTAAATGCCTCCGTAGACTCGAAAGGTAAGGCTCGTAGAGGAGGTTGATTCGTCGGGGATCGTAAGCTTCCCCGGGCCGGGGTTGGCAATCAGGAGACCTGGAATGTCAATCGGGGCCGTTGTCACCACCGTTCCCAACTCAACATGATCAGCAGGCAGGAACACTTTTGTGAGTTTTGGAGAGGCAGAGAACGTGGTCAATCGTGAAGGAAGGCCCAGTTTAAAGTGGCTGAGGAAGTCAGGGTGAGGATGAGGTCGGGCTAGCTTGAAATTGTTGACAGGGCTCCACGGGCTAATCTTAAGAGGTCGTGAGGTGGAGGAGGGAGCCAAGGGTCGCGGCGAGCGTAGGGAGGCGATATAATTGACCTGTCGCCGCGAGAACAACCCGATGAGCAGCTACAGGAATGCGACCTTGAGATTGAGGAATTGCTGGGAATTCTTTTTTCGGGTGTTGCGAGAGCGTCGCTCACGATCCAAAGCTACTTTGGTCGATCGGCTGCGAAATAGTGATGAGGTGAGTGCAGAGTGGAGTGGACTGGGTGCGGATGAATGTGTACAAAGGACTAAAAGTTGAAGTGTACCTGTTGATGTAATAATGCACCAGCACCTGCACCAGCACAGGTCTAGATGGGTCCGTCCACTCAAATTGCGTTGGTGCGGGCGTCAAGTACTTGTCTGGAGTTCCTTGCACGGGTCTTGACGGGTTCCCCTTCATTCCACTCTGTGGCGCTGCCAGTTGGATCAGTCAACACCGACGCATCGATCCAGGAAGGGTGTGAGGGGTTTACCAGCGTATTATTAGTGCACGCTATTACGGAGAGTCGGACGACACTTTTAATTTCAACTGGATCTGCCAAGAAACGAGCCACGCCTCCCGGATGATATCAGAACGTCCTTGGTTCGATTGATGCTCAAAAGGCAGGAGCAGCATCTTGTATAGGTACTTTGGCCAGCCTCAACCCAGGGTAAGATTAAGCTTTACTTGCACCCGCACTTCCCAACGGCGGCATGTCTGGTGTACCTGTACACCGTTCTCTTCGTCAACCCGCACTCGTCAGCCTCCTAGTCAAGGCCGCCTCAGCACAAATGCGTTGGCATCCCGAGTCGTGTGCTGCTGCGGACAACAAAGAGGACGATCGATCCAGGGCCTTGGTCTCCAGCGCTCCCTACTGAGGCACGCTAGACTTTGATTGATCTAATTGATTGATCGTGACCCGGAAATTCTTACATCCATACAACTATTCCATTCCATCTCAAACATGCGCTGTGAGGATCTGAGGTTTCCCCGTTGCCCACCAAGTGCATCAATGCGTTGTAGATCTGGGAGACCAGGCCTCTGTGGCGAGAGAATATAGACATAGGGATATATAAACATTGGGCGATTGATACCCCGAGTTTCTTTTTCCCCTTTTTAAGCATCATACTTCACGTTATTAAGAGCCATTGATCCCTTGATTGATTGATCGGACCAAACGGGATGGTGGGGGCGGAAAAGGGTCATCAATTGACCCAACACACCAACACAGGCGAACAGGCCAGGCAGGTACTTGTAATACTTCTAATCAAGAGTGACAAAAGGACTTGGCTCCGGCAGCACTGACTAGTGCACGTTTGGTGGGAACGCGCCACCGACCGCGTCGCAAACTCGACCTCACCCCTCGAGACCATCCAACCTGCGAATTCTCACGAAAACGCATGCGCAAATCACCACCATCATGCCCAGGTATATCAATCGAAAATCGCAAAAAGGATTTCTAAAATTTACAGAGAGCTAACTTAAGCGATTAATAGAGAAATAATAACCGTCCAGGCCGGACAATGCGGTAATAGCAGTATGGCAACCCAACCCGACCCTACCCCTCCATTCCCCGCGCCAAGATGGCCAACGCCGTACCACATCCCATGAGCCTCTCACAGAACAACATGCCCTTTACGCCCTCTTTAAGAAGCCAAAACCCTGCTAACTCGTCCCAGTTGGAAGCCAGTTCTGGCAGCAGCTTTGTCAGGAACACGGAATCAGTCAGGATGGAAATTTGGAAGACTTTGCGACCGAAGGCGGTGACCGGAAGGATGTGTTCTACTATCAGAGCGACGACACTCGATACATTCCCCGCGCGATCCTAATAGATCTTGAGCCCCGAGTACGCTAGAACCCTCTCCATGTCCCCCCGCCGGTCAACAGGGTGTTCCGACTAACATGTGGTCTTTTTGGTAGGTTATAAACGGTATTCAAACAGGGCCATACAAAAACATATACAACCCAGAAAACTTTTATGTTGGCAAGGATGGTGTCGGCGCAGCGAATAACTGGGGAGATGGTTATCAAACCGGCGAGACCGTTTACGAAGACATAATGGAGATGGTTGATCGCGAAGCAGACGGCAGCGACTCCCTCGAGGTCAGTACCTCGACTTCACCCAGCTCCAACTTTGTTTTTGTTTGCTTTGTCAAGCTCACCAGTCACTCCTTTAGGGATTCATGATGCTACATTCTATTGCGGGTGGCACGGGATCTGGTCTTGGATCGTTCCTGCTCGAGCGACTGAATGATAGGTTCCCCAAAAGATTGTCCAAACCTACTCCGTCTTCCCCGACACCACGAGCGCCGGCGACGTTGTAGTACATCCATACAATAGTCTTCTTTCTTTGAGAAGGTTAACGCAAAATGCGGATTCCGTTGTCGTTCTTGACAATGGTGCCCTATCCCATATCGCGGCAGACAGACTTCACGTTCAAGAACCGTCGTTTGCCCAAACAAATCAGCTCGTAGGTCATCTCGAAGCCCCCATCCGTTCTCAGTTCACCCATCTCCTGTCTTCCTTTTTTTCCCTTTACCGCCCTTTGAGCCGCTAACAAGGTGTCCAGGTCTCCACCGTTATGTCCGCAAGCACCACCACTCTTAGATACCCTGGCTACATGCATAACGACCTTGTTAGCATTCTCGCGTCCCTGATACCAACTCCCCGTTGCCACTTCCTCATGACCGCCTACACGCCATTTACCGGTGACCAAGTAGAGCAAGCAAAGACAGTTCGCAAGACTACTGTTCTCGACGTCATGAGACGTCTACTCCAACCCAAGAACCGCATGGTTTCGACGGTGCCCAGCAAAAAGAGTTGCTACATTTCCATCCTGAACGTCATTCAAGGCGAGGTGGACCCCACAGACGTTCACAAGAGTCTCCTGCGTATTCGAGAACGGCGCTTGGCAACCTTCATCCCTTGGGGTCCCGCGAGTATTCAGGTCGCTCTTACCAGGCGCAGCCCGTACATACCCATGAGCCACCGTGTCAGCGGCTTGATGCTAGCCAACCACACAAGCATTGCAACTGTAGGCAGAGCCCGATAACCCCCTTTACAATGCGTAGACTAACAGTAAAAATCTAGCTTTTCAAACGTATCGTCAAGCAGTATGACGGTATGAGAAAACGAAATGCTTTCATCGAGGCGTACAAGAAGACAGCACCGTTTGCCGAAAACCTCAACGAATTCGACGAGGCGCGGGAGGTCGTCGCAGATCTCATCGCGGAGTACGAGTCGGCCGAAAACGCCGATTATCTCAACCCGGACGCGGGTGACAAGGCCACGTCGGCTGAGACGGACAAACGCATAGGATAATTGCGGTTTCGGGAGCGGTGGGCTTGCCTTCGTCTCTGCTTCCCATCACTCTACGCTAGGTAGAGAGTGTTGATCTTCACCGGGCTGGAACTCTTGGGGAGGCTCTCCCTTATTGCTGGGACAAGGCATATTTTACGATTAGGTTATGAATGAATCTCAAAGTATAAGAAGGAAGGAGGAGGAGAAACAAAAGGAGACAAAAGCTAGATACCTCATGAAAGTTAGTAAATAGGACTTGGTAGGCTTTTGCTACCCTTCGTCTCGCGCTCCTCATGGCATATTCATAGGCGAGCTAAAATGTACGAGATCAAACATGCACCTTCAGGAAAGGCCTGAGATCGCTAGCATACTCAAACTAGACGAAGAGAAGAGGGGGAAAAAACACTAGTATTCTTTTTTTTTAACCGAGTGCTAAAGAGGGTATCATACAGAATATGGAAGACGGTTGCGTAGCACGTATCAAGAGGCGGAAACCCCGAGGATGCACCTCGACACCTCCCCGCCTCCCCCTTTCCCCATTCCCCGCCCGTCCCCCGCGCCGCCTTCCCCCGTTCCCGATAGGAACGGAGATCATAGTTCATCATTCATCATAGTAGAGGTAGTTAAGAAAAGAGCATACAGGGAAGGAAGCAGCAGCTCTCCCGCCAACACTTTTTAAAAGGAAAGCACGAGCGTGTACACCAGGATGTGCAGGGACAGGTGCTGTAGGGCGGGTGACCTTCCGAGGACGGCACAAGATTGCGATAGCATGGCAAGACGCCATTCAAGAATCTAGCAGACCGACAGGCCTCCTCTCGTTAAAAGGAGGTTTTCTAGGGTGAGGTCGGTTGGGAAGGACGCCCGGACACTTCGGTTTTCCAAAAACGAAGAAGGAAAAAAGGAAAAAAGGCCAACGGCCAACGGCCAACGGCCACAACCGCCCACTCGTCATATCAGGCAGGTTAGGTTCCAGGTAGCGGCGCGGCGGTAGATCGTAAATAGGTTTAGGGCAGGTGGAGAAAAGGTTGGTTCAAGAGGTAAGCCCCAAGATTACCTCCATTTGGTCGACTCGGTCGTACTCATCAGCGTTCCGAAAGGCGAAGACCTGCCAAAAGGCCTCGCGGTGATCGCGGTTCAGGTAGGGGTGAAGGGCCCAGATCTCTCTAGGGTAGGTTTCGGCGAGGAACTCGAGATCCTCATAGTCGTCGGTCTGGCCGTTATTGCGCCGCTCATAGTGGACGTGCAACTTGGTAGAAAACTGGTGGTAGATGTCTATGACAGGGATGAGCTGGCCCGTCTGCAGCAAAGGGTCCCCGTTGAGGTTGGGCGCAATCATCTCCATGGCCTCCTCGAGGTTGCTAGGAATTCAAGATTCCCTTGTGTACAATGTCAGCCACCCCAACAAGCACAGTATGTACAAACTGAACGTCATTTCAAACGCCAGACTGAAAAGGGGAGAGAAGAGGGACTTGAGAAACGGAATCCCGCTGCTCCAGCTTACCGCAGATGATGATGTCCACACTGACAGGGAGCTCGGGTATGGATGAGAACTCTTCGTCCCACTGGCCCCCGTATGGACGAAAATCTGGATACAGGTACTACCGTGGGTCTGGGGCACGCAGAGCCTGTATAGAGACGGTGAGGTTCGTACGTCAACGCGGTGCTCTATCTCCTCGGGGAGGGTATCCTCTTAGGGAGGAGACTTGGGGAAAGTGGGCGTGCAACACCACCGGGGAGATTGGGGAAAGTGAGTGCGCACCTGTCTTCCGGCATCAAGATGGCAGTGAGGCCGTCCATGGACATATCCACGCTGAGATCAACATCTTCGGTCCTGCGAGTGCCGCCTCTTAAGTACACGGCCCAGCCGCCAAGAAAGGCAAAACGAATAGAATGGCGGTCGAAGAGGGAGAAGAGGAAGTCAGCGGCAAGGCTGAGATGCTCGGGAGATGGGCGACGCGAGGCCTGATACAGCTGGGAGAAGCGATTGGTGTCGTAGACCTCCGCGGCTCCCGGGCCCTCCATGTTTCGGTACTTGAGCTTAAAATAATAATAAAAAAGGACCTGAAGCTCGGCTCCGAAAGCTGGGCGGTGGGGGTAGGAGCCCCTTCTAGTCGGACGTAAAAGGAGACCGTATCCCGTGTTATTAGTCGCCTAGCTCACTTTGGGGAAGCTATCGGACGAGATACAGCCCTCCGGGGGTTTCAAGAGAGCGCGGGCTCGGTGGCCCTTCTGGCACCATGGAGGCAGCCACTCCACTGGACGCAGGTGAATGTGACGAGGGTTGCATGCGAACCCCCAACGCCAAAAGCTCGAGCAGTCCGTCACCAATCAGTCATGGGACGCTGGTGGTGGGAAAGAGGGGGACATGTTTGCCTTTGGTCATAATTCTTTTCTTATTTTCCCTCAATTTCCACTTTTTTTTACCCCCTTCGAGGTGTCCTTTTATTAGCGCCGAGGCTACAGCCAGCAGTTTTACGACCCATCCCGAGCGCATTAACCATGCGTGCGTCAAGCAGGCCGTGGGCTGAGTAATCGAGGGGTTGTTTCGTTTGCATTCTGTGCCTTGCCACTTGCAGCGCGCGCGGAAATTGATCTTCTCTGAAGGATGAGCCACTCTGGCTCTTCCGCTTCCCTCACTAGCATAAGCGATGGAACGAATGAGCATCACGGAAACAGGCGGTGGGGAGAGGGATGGAAATCCCGAGTGAGCGTTGGAAAGACGATCGCCGTATCGGTTTATCGCGCCTGGCTTCCTCAATCATTTCCTTCCCACTCTCCGCCCTAGCATGTGCGATGTGAGGCGACGGCAACAACCAACGAGAGCCAGGGAGCTGCACCCCGCCCTCTTCTGAGAAATGCTGGCGGGCGCAACGACACTGCTGGCACGCGGGGGCTTTGCTTGAAGGACCAGCCCTCCACGATCCTCAAACTAATGGTGGATCGTTTCGTAGATGGACACAATGGATCCCACAACGCCCCCACCCAATGATATAATAGACATAGCAAACGGAGTCTTCCGAACGAAACTGGCACTATTATTCTTCAGCCAGCCTCCATTTGGACTAGGAATAAAACCGGTGACGTCACTTGCAGGCTCGCAAAGCGACACTGAGCGGAGCGCTTTTCTCCTCCTTGAAAGTCAATGGGCGGCCTTGCTCCCGAACCCCGTCCCAAATCCGGAAGGCATGGCAACGAGCCATAGTAGAATTTGAATGAAAAGAAAACAGGGCCCTCGGCTCATCGGGGCGGCCTTGGCCGTCGTTGGGATGACTACCGGAGCGGATAATCCTGAGTCCATACCACAATTGGACAATGCGTGATTCGTACTGTGAATCCTTGAACGCCAGGCTAGATAGCTAGGACTCACCCCTCTCCCGTTCAAACGTCACCCCTTCCACCGACGCTTGATATCCACGCATAAAGACGCTGAATCATATGGATTAGACGGTCGACACTGTAATCGAATCGGCGCAGGATAAACAAGACAACTCAAGTGTCTATATCTCCCAGGTCATAGATACATCTCCCACACCAATCCGTTGGAGCGGGCAGTGTTGAGGTTCACAAGGGGAAGAGAGGGGAAGAGAGGGGAAGAGAGGGGAAGAGAAAGTGGCCTAGTTCTCGGTGTACGATTCTTCAGGATCATGAAAAATTCCAGCCTAGAAACCTGAGGCTTGGCCCGCAAAGCGAGAGTCCTGGTGATGACGCCTCGAGCCCCAATTTTATGATGAACCCCTCCACATGTGCGGCAAATGGAGGGCTTCGTCAGTTTTACGTGTCATCTCAAACTTGAGAGCGTCATCTGACGTTATAAGAGAGGAGGTGCTGAAAAGCAGAGAGAGTTTGAACATAATATACTTCTATGGATACATATATATATTCACGAACACTCGCACACTCTTTGGGAACTCATCGAATACTCCGCAAACTCTACAATTCTACAAATATCGTACTCACACCCGACCGCACTCGAATCCAAGCGCAAGTTATATAACACCCCGTTTTCGACTATTCTAGAATAAGCTTGATCCACCCGCTTCAGCTTCCATCAGTAGGGTGTCCCCTTCCTTCCTACCCCTTCACAACATTCAACATGCCCTAGCATGCTGGAAACACCCACAGTTTTACTAACTAGCCGTTATCCCACTAGTGTCAAACCAGAGCAAGATTGACAAGGCCCAAGCCAACCTCCCCTTCCAGAGCAACCACCCAAGGCCTCCGACTGGCAGTCGATGGATGCGAGGAACGTAAACCTCGGCGCTGGAAAGGCTGAAAGCAACACTGGCACAAGTTCTCAGAGCAAGACTGGACTTCGCGAGCCTGCATCTACCTCATCTGCGAGCGACGAAGACTTGAGTAACATTGGCCGCGAAGGCAAGAACAATTAGAGGCGCCTCGGACTCAAACAAGGCAGCGGAGCGAACCTTTGAGAACGCGTTCCGCCGAGCCTCTCGATCCCATGATCATGGATGTATACTAGAAATTATGAGTAGCAATAGAGCTAAACTATTATGAAAGCTTATCATGGCTTTAAATACCCTAGTGTCAAGTTGCAGATGGCCAGACTCCTTCAAACTCCCTGGTACCTGCTTCTTAGGGTATCTCAAAGGGGTGGTTTCAAAGGGGAGAGGTGTAGTGATGTGCGGTGAATAGAATGAGCTTGCACATGATTGATTACCAATGGATCTATCTATGGATATATCTAAAAGAAATTGTTTAATGCTAATACGACTAACACCTCTCACCTCTTATTCACCCCGAACGCGCTATATACCTTACTATAATCCCATCTAAGATTATAGTAGAACAGTGAAGGTTTCGGCATATCTAGAGAGAGAATGTGATGCCCTACTTGTTATATATGGTACTGGAAATAATTATGGTGGTGGCTAACTCTGGGATGCTCACCCGGCGCAGCGCCGGGCCCCATACCGGGATATCACGGAGATGTGCCGGGCTCCTTCCTCCTCTACTAGTACCTTCCCACAAGCCCTACATTCTTTGTGGTCACCAATTGGTAACCACTGAACTTCCCCTCATCTTTTTCCAGGGTAGCCCATCTTATTTTTCTCTTTCCCCATCTGCTATTCCTTGCTAATCCAGGACTAGCTGTCTAAGCGCCCATCGCCAAACCCGCAACTTATCGCCGTCAGGATGGACGATCGGTTGAGTGCCCTCGAGGCTATGAGGGTAAGAGCCAACTCGCATTTCCCGCTCAAAAAGGCGCCAACGATCAGTTGCTAGAGATGACCTAACTCTTTGGATTAGGAGGAGCTAGGCAACCAGCGCCTTCAGGAGCTTCCGCTCGAGGATCAGCCGCGCCGTCAAGATTCGAATCGATTCGTGCAGTCCGTTCGCGTTGCCCCCAGTGCTTATATTGCAAACCTTTCCGATAAATTCAAGAGTATGGCAGGCATAGGGGTCGAATCCAACCCCTCCCTCCTCCGCTCCTTTATACGACCACATGTTTGCTGACGCGAGAACATATAGATGCCATCATGGCCGGCCAGTTTGAAGATAGTGATGCCGCCGCCGTCCGAGGCCTCGACGATTTGGGGGACCACGGCTCCATGCCCGCAACTCTCAAAATTATCGGTAAGCAAGCCTTCAACATTCGGGATGAAAGACTAGCTGGGCGCTCATGGAAACTACTTAGCCCTCCCCAGGCTCCCGCACAAGGGAAGCCCTCGGCTCCATCACCCAAGCCAATTGCCCAGCATCTAAGCCGGCCTGCTGCTGTCCTTGAGACCAAAACTGAGTCTAATCCCATCAAAAGCCTGCTCGTGGTCTTTCCTCGTCGAGATGGGCTGTAGGAGAAAACGAGGAAAAGCCAAAAGTCGCAGCGCTGAACGTTGGAGTAGCCGGTGCTACATTCGTGAATACCTTCAAAAGGACGCGGCCAGACTTGAGGATAAGAAGCCGGCCTCAAATGACCAATTTGCGCCCTTGGTCGCCAACTTATACTCGCGCCACAAGTCACCAACCCCCACGGCTAACAGCAACGAGAAGCGGGAAGTGGTGTTATTTCAAATCCCCGCCAACCTTCATGTTAGCGAGCTAAAACGAAGCCCTTGCCAGGTGATTGGGCTTGTAAGGAATGAACGTGAGACTAGATTCGAGATCAAGCTCGAGTCGGGCAACAGCAAGAGCCACAACATCCTCGATCTGCTCGCAAGGCAGCGAAAGGATCAAGTTTGCAGCCTCAACTTTCGGACCCAAGACAACGAAATCGTTCACTACATTTTGACTTTTGAATCGATGGCCGGAGCCAGCTTCTTTGTGTTCTCACTGGACAATTTCGGGGATGCCACCAGGGCTAAGCTCAACGAGCGGCTCAAGCGATTCGATCTCACGGAGGCAGGATTCCCGGCCGTGGAGCAAGAGGCTGACGGGTCTGCCAAGGACAATATGAAACCACTTGATGTAGGCATGTCTCAGAAGAGGACTGAATATTCCGTCGCTGCGCATAACACAGGCCCGGCTACAGGACTTTTACTCCCGTGCTCTCCAAGAACACTGCGAGCTTGCTCGGAGGCCTGGAGCTCGGCTCCGGCACTTCGGGTCTTGGGCAAGATACGCGTAGAGATAAGTCTGACAGGCTCACATACAGCGTAGAGAAGCTCAAGAGCCTAGAGTCTGGCGCTATTGAAAGTTCCAGCAATGTCAAAGCCGTCTGTTCTCAGATCCGGTCTCCGACACCCATTAGGGACGCCGAAGCAAGCTCCCCGCTAGCATATCCTGCCCCAGACGCTTCTGCCGGACCCGGCGTGGACCGAGGTAAAAAGAAAACGAACTGAATAATAGCAGCACCCAGAGTGACATTGCAGGCCTGGACGAGGCCGAAAGGATTCGGAAGCAGATGATGGCCCAGGTGAAATGGCTAACTGGCCAAGGTCCCAAATAGCTCCTCTATTCCCCGAGGGCTGCAGACACAGGCGCATGCCAGATAGAATAGAGAAAATGAGACGAGACAGAGCTAGAAATAATGAAAGACTGAGCATACATCGATCGTATACTATTCGTATGGTTCATCCATGTGCCCATCCCTCATCCATCCGACTTACTACTACCTCATGGACATTGAGGCGTTTATCCAGTATTTCTTGACCGTTTACTAAATCATTTTCTGCTGCCCGACGCTCCGCCGCCTCTTCATTCTCCGCAAGCCCTGCAGCTAGATGCCTGACTATAAGCCTTCGTTTCGCGACGTCGAAGTCTACGTCGACAAACCAAAGCTCATCAAATAACCCAGCGGCATCCCGCCATACGTCCTCATCCAGGGCTAGATAATTACCTTCGACCACAACCACCCGGTGGCTAGGCAGGATTTCAATGTCGTCGGGTTTGGGGTCCTTGACGGCGTGATCGAAGCTCGGCGCGTAGATGGAAGGGGATCCTGGGGTCACGGGTTCCCGGAGCGAGCGGATCAAGGAAAGGAAGGCATAAGCATCAAAGGTAAAGGCGGCCCCACGCCGTGCATGGGCCGTAGCGGGATCGGGCATGGCAGAAAGCTGGGCACGGGTGAAATGGTAGCCGTCCATGGGGATATAAGCTGTGGAGGAGGGTGACATGGCGTTCAGCCGGGTTGCGACCAGGCGAGCGAGGGTTGTTTTACCTTGAAGAGAGAGGCCTGAGTATGGGTACCCTTTTGGCTTGGGAAGGGGGAGGGAAGAACATAGAAGCTATACATGGGGCTGCGTTTACCTGATCCTGGAATACCAGCTATCCCAATTACTGCGGCGAGCGTCAATAGATGATCGCGAGCGAACCGCGAGATGACGGGGCAGTACATCAAGCATACTCGGGGCGAGTCTTACGGAGGCGTTGGTTTTCTGGAGTGGTCTGAAACTTTCCCCAGGCTTTATCCACCAGACGCGAGACTTGTTCCTCCATGCTTCTTTCTTCTAGGTGGTGAGATTCCGCTCTAGGTGGTGGGATTCCGCTCTAGGAATCTAACGAAAGGTATACGGGGGTTGCGAAATAAAAGAAACCGACGTAGAAGAGGATGATATACTTTGGGTGCGCTTTCAAAAGATTCGCAAGAGCTGGACGAAATCGAAGGGTTTCACCAAGGCGAAGCTTCCTTGGTACATCCAATGCAAGAGATCAATTACATATGTTGCGTTTGTGAGTCCGTTCGATCCTTCGATGACCCCACCTTTGGACCTTTGGACCTTTGGCAGGGCCGATGCCGAAAGCTTGCAGGCCGCATTTCACTGATTCCTCCATACGTCAATTGATGTAAATTTAGAAAACCATCCACCAGCTCTTACCCCCTTTGGAAAGAAAAGAAAAAATCGTTGAAGCTACGACCGTATACGAGTTATTACGAGGATACTTTCTTTCCTTTTTCCTCCCATCCCATTCCTTCACTTGACGTGAGTTGGCTCTTTCTCTTTACAGTGAGTAGAAATGGGTGGGCACTTGTACTCTACCCCTCTTCCTACCCACTTTGATATTTAGTTTAGATCCATTGGATCAATCAATTGATCATAGCTTCAAATCGTCGCCGGGTCTGGTCATCCTACATGTACAAGTCGCACCCTAAAAGGACCCCGCTGATCGATGGGTGGGGTGTGTTTCGGCCCACGGCAGCGCTGCATCGATCAAGTCAATATTGTAAAACTGCAAGTCCGCTGCCATGGCGACCGACCGCCTTGCTCGACGGCACGGCCGGATTTCTTGCTCGGGCGCATAACTTGGGGACTAGCGAGACCAATCAATACCGTCCCGCATGGTTCCATGACGAAAGCGGGATTGTCTCAGCTCGTTTCTGGAGACTTACCCCGTCGAGACAAGTACGAAGCAGAACACGAAAGTTGTTCCTGATGATGTGAATACAAGTCTCATTGCCTCGTGCACTTTGCGGGATGGGGACGCAAACGGAGTCGGCGAAGCAAGGTACCTGCGTTTTTTCTTCCTCTCATGCGTTTAGTATTCTTTTTTAAACCTCTCGAATCTTTTGCGGATTTTGTGTAGTTGAGGATGTAAGCTATGCGTCGCCTCTGGCATTGCGTCAATATTTACGCGTACGCTTTCTTGGCGGCCGACGGTTGAAAGTGAGGGTGTCTTTGGCTGCACTGCCTTTCGGGTTGGTAGGGCTTGGACATATCATCATGCGTGTGTTGGGAGAAACCGGATCCGGGGTGGCTTCAGGAACGGAAGGACGCCGCCTTGGCGGGCTGAGGATTGGATCAAAGAACGGGGAGATGAAATGGTCTCTTCCTCCTCTCCCCTCATTTTTCATTGCGCCGCCTCGTTGACGCAACAATTTTGTCGCGAGGTTGGCGATGATGATTGGGGTTGGGATGGTGAGATTTTTGGTTGGCCATCGACCAATGGATCGAGCGATTGGCCCTGTCCCTGACTGTCCCTATCGACACGGTTCAGCACACTGAGCACACCTCGTCCAAAGCACGACTGCCACCAACAGATTCACGTATTATTACAAGTATTATTACACTATGACCTGAAGCTGTCTTGTTCGCCCTCACAAGCGACGGGGTACCATGGGGCATCCGTATTGATGAGATGCCCATGATTGGCTGATGTTGCATCTGCCTTGCCCTCCCAGCCACGCGGGTTTTGAGGGGCGCCCATGATCGTGGCGCTGGAGCCAATCAGAGCCCCCTCCCAGCCACGCGTCCCAGAAAAGTGCCCAGTTTCCAGGGCACCTTTTTGGTTGGCACGATAGTGAACCCACTACGCTAAAAGCCAATGTTGTTTTTTGCCCTCTTTTTCTGTCCCTTTTGGCCCTGATTGCTCCGGATGCACCAGCGCCCCACCTCCGGAGCTCAGGTCCCAGGAATGCCGGCTCCCGCTGTTTCCCACTGGCCAAGGGCTCTGTGTGCCCCTGTCGTAGCTGGTTTGGACGATGTCGCACCGCGCTGCGTGCAAAAGCCCCGGGGTGTATTCTAGCGTTGGATCCATTGTCACCCTGTGCTCGTCCACGACAAGGAACATAATAGCAGATCGACAATCGAGGTTTAGTGGCCATCAGCCTCCTCACAAGGTCACAACCGCTCTTTCCCTCCCGCCTTGTTTTTTTCCCTTCCCAACTTCGACACAACCCTCACCTCACGCTCATTGTCTGAGTCTCTTTCTCTCCTTTCCGTGCGATTTGCATTTGTTTCTCCTTTGCCCGCCGCCATTTTCCCCATCGTTGTCTTTTCGGACCACTCTCTACATTTTCATGTTGTCTCTCGTTTAGATGGTTTCTGAATGTCAACAAATGGTCCTGCGAATGTAAACAAGCTTAGCAGGCGACGTCTCACTACTAACCAAATAGCACCCCCACCGCACCGCCGGACCTCTCGACAGCTGATTGTTGAAAAACCGCCCGAGAGATCACCATGTCCGGCAAACTTAGCAAGGCCCATCCCCTCAATGGAGCTCATACCGCCGGAATCTTCGCCGACATGACCGTCGACGGCCCCGAGATTGGCACCCTCGTTGTCATCGTCGACAGGGCCAAGAACCTACCGAACCGCAAGACGATTGGAAAACAAGACCCTTACTGCGCTGCAAGGCTGGGAAAGGAGGCCAAGAAAACCAAGACGGACATCAGGGGCGGCCAGACCCCGAGGTGGTAAGTTTATCCCCGCATCAGCGAAGCCAGAGGGGGAGAAATAAACCTTGGAGATATCCCTGGCGCTAATCATTTTTGGGCCTTTGTTTAGGGACCAAGAGCTACGATTCATGGTCCATGATTCTCCGGATTACTATCAGCTCAAGATTTCGGTTTTCCACGATGATAAGAAGACGGACATGATTGGTGAGGGCTGGGTTGACTTGAAAGAGATCATCATCTCCGGTGGGAACCAGAACGATCTGTGGCAGACCTTGACGTATAGGGGCAAATATGCTGGCGAGATCCGTGTCGAGCTGACATTCTACGATACTCGTCCGAAACCCGAGAAACCGATTGCGAAACCGAAGCAGATACAGACCGATCACTCTGTCGGCGCGGCCGGTCAGCAGCAGCAGAGGTCCCCCATTAAGAGGCGGCCTCTTCCCTCGGACCCTATCACGGGCGAAGACGCCCAAGCGAAGGAGGTTATGCCGTCTTCGCAGGCTCCCGAACCCCCGCGAGCCCTTCCAAGGAAGCAACCGACCTCGTACATCCCCACCCAGTCCCCGCTGCAAGCTGTAGAATACGGGACCCCTCCCCCAAATCCAAGGCGCACGCCAGTATCCGCAGGACAACTACGCGGCATCTAGAGAGGCAGCTCCGGCTGCTTCTCAACCACAACAACAGCCACAGCAACTTCCGCCGCCGCCGCCGCCGCCGCAACAGCAGCAGCAGCAGCCGCAACCCCCGAGACAATACCTCCCCGAGAGCCACTCGCCCTCGAGCCCGGTTCCACCCCTCCAGACTCAGCCTTCGAGGCAGTATATACCGGATAACTATAACGCTGTCATCGCATCAGTCTCTCCCGGTTATGGAGCGCCCCATCCAGCGCAGTACGAAACCCCCACCCCCACCCCGGAGGCATACCGAAAGATATGACAACTCTCCTCAGTGGGCGGACGAGAGAGCGTATAGCCAGAGCCATGCCTCACAACACTTTGACCACCAGGATGTGCGGAGCCAGTATAGCTCTGCTCCAGAGCCGTATATTCCACCTCCCCGGCGCACATAGACGACCATCGGTTTCAATTGCCCCCTGACGATGAGCGCCCCCGCCTCCCCTGTTCACCGATCAAGAGCCAGTAGCTCGCACGAACTGGTGATGAGGGGTACATTTGATACGTCCCTCAAAAGGCACGCCTCCAATGAGGCACGACGTGCTGAGGAACGAGGCGCATCGCAACTCCATTTCTAGGCCTAGCTACCAGGCCTATGATGGAGGCTCCGCTTCTCCCCATCAGCATAATGGCTATGGCTACGAACCTTCGCCACCTAGGCACCTCAGCTACGACTCTCAGACGTATGACGGCTACTCACGAAGCGGGAATGGTATGAAGCCCATGGTGGAAGATGCACCGGATTCTCCTACCCCGGCTCGACACCACGCACACCGGCCAAGCGAGACCCACTCGGCTCGGAGCTTTGACGACTTGCGCTACGAGGACAACCCTACGCCGGCGCCCTTGAATTTGAGCGGACGTGGCAGTGCCGCCTCTGGGCAGTATAGCGCCTCTCGGGTCTCTCCTCAACCCTCGTCTGTAGATATGAATGGTTACGGTGGTGCATCCTCGATGGTGTCATCCTCTTCGGCCGACTACGGTGCATCGTACAGATCGTCGCGAGACTCGATAGATCGTACAAATGATTACCACCCACCCACGCGGACCTCTCCCGCAATGGAGCCAAGCAATGGCTATCGCCACTCACCCCAGCCTAGCAACCAGCATTCCGATCTCGGTAGCCACTACCGCTCGTCATCCTACTCGGAGCCGTTCGAGTCTAACCTAGAGGATGACCCAAGCCTCAGCACGGCCCTTGTCCCGCGCAAAGCCTTTTAGAGTCTAGCCAATACGGAAACCGGGATCAAAACGAGTTGGCCGACACGCAAATAGTCAAGGCCAGCACATACTCCCTGCCTTCTGTGCCGCCTTCTCTTGTCCCTGGCGTGGACCCAGCCCTCGCGCGTGAGGTCTCGGATCGGATGTACGAGGAGCGCCGGCTTGAAAGACAGCAGACAATCCAAAACATGGCGACACCGCCGCAGACACGCGGTAGATCTGATGTAGCGGCTTTTGCCAACAATACGGGGTCACCTGCGGCGTATAACGGATCCTATAACTCTCCCGTGTACGACAGTCGGACTAGCCACGGCTATTCCGGTGTCCAGCACACGCCCACAAGATCGAGAGGGATCTCTCGCAGCCCAGGGCCGAGCCCCAACCACGCCATCCGCCGCAAGTCGGTGAGTCCGGTACCTCCGCCCGCTGAGAACCGCAGACACTCTGGGATTCCCTTTGGGCCAGACTCATATGAGGCTTTCAACCCGGCCTTTGTGAACAATGACATAAAGGGCCCGCAGGATGAGGTTTTCGACGGAAAAATCATCACCCATGATGGACGGGAAGTTGATCCCTCGGACCACTTGCCCATGGAGTCTTGGGCACCTGAGCCGGAGCCGCGCGAGGGCAGAAGCGGGTCATTCGACGCGCAGGGTTACGATTCTCCGAGGGGCTCGCAGCCTCCCCACCCGGTGGCCGCCGCCAGCTGCGTATCGCCGGGAGACCCCAATCGATGGCGGCGCCCATGTCCTATAACGACGTCCAGCCGCGAACACCGCCTGCGCCTGGCAGCGCCGGACGCAACAGACTCCAGAAGAAGACCAGCCGTATGTCAGCGCTGCCCGCCTCCACGTCTCCTGCTGGTTCGAGCCCCCTCGCGCCAATCTCGTCGCACAACTACAACACGGATGCCAGCGGCTTCACGCCCCCGAGGCCGTCGCGTGCTAGCACCTGGGACTATCCGAGCGAGAATGACGTGCCTCATTACGACGGCAGCCCTGGGCGAGCGATGGGTAGTGGCCCCGTCATTCCTCCCAAGATACCGATCCCGGCGATGAGTGGTGCGCTCGTGACAACGGGCAATTCTCGCAACGGCAACTACGCGGGCGAGGATTGGGCGTTGATGGAGGAAATGAGGAGCATAGACATCGGGGCTGGGCGGTCGAGACGGCGGTACGGCGGGTACTAACTTGGCTGTGCCTCCTCGCCTCGACTCTCGTCCGCACACCCGATTAGCATTCTTGAGCATCTTGCTCTCTCTCCTCACAGTGCATGCGTATGCGTGCGTGTATCACTATTCATAAACTATATATGTCTCGGGGATTTACGGCGTTGGTTATTGTTTCTCCCGTTTTTGTCTTCTCGATCTTTTTGGAATCTTGGTTTGCCTGTTGTTATCTTTTCTTCCCATTTCTCCCCTACTTTTCTTGTCATTTTTTACTTTTACGAGGGGAAGGGGAAGGGGGCAAGGTCGGGTGGTCTCTACCGGGGCATCGCCCTATTCTATCCCCCAGGCTCGACCTTTTGTTCGTGTTGACGTTTCTTTCTTTTTCTTTTTCTTTTCTTTTCTCAAACGAAAAGGATGAGGTCGGAAAATGGTACTGATACAAGGGAGAACCCGATTTGGTTCGTAATGCGGTTGGCTGGTGCATAACGATTCGTCGAAGGGGATGTAGTTCACGAAGCTTCTTATAATGGACACGATACATGCATGCATCTCCTTTTCTACAAACTTGTGAAGTGCATGTCCTCGGTTACCTGTGTATCTTGATGGACTGGTGACATCGATCCTTGTCCTCGGAAGAGGCCAATATCATATTATCATGACTGCCCTTGAAGATAAGATTGCTGATCCTCCATGCCGTTGATCAGTAATGACTTCACGTAGGAGATTGACCGGGTCTCTCCGGAGAGCGCATACGGGCCGAAGAGGAGGGGCCGGATCGGAGGAGACGATGAGATGGGAAAGTATGACCGGCGCGCAGGTGGTTTCTGCCAGCGCAGGTTCCCGATGCCATGCATGTCTCAGGTTCGGGGAAAACCTGCCATAAAAATCCATCTTTCAGGGCCGTGAAGAGAGAGGGAGGGTCCATGATCAGCCGTGAAGATCGCCATCACTCGAAAAGGGTAGGTAGTATTTTGTATGTGCCGAGCCCTTATTGATTGGAGGGGCCGCATTTCGATGCGAGGGTATTTCGGCATGTGGCTGGCGGAATCAACCATGCGAGAAGCTAGGGTAGAGAAAGGAAAAAAAGAAAAGAAAAAGAAAAAGAAAGAAAAAGAACTTGGTTCGCTTGCCTGGGAGGAGCGGCGCACGTAGTTTTGGGAATCATGAGGCTTGCTGAGGGCGCAAGCTTCTGCAAGGATGGACATCAAATGCATGTGCATGTGGCTGGCTTGTTGATGGGGAGGGGGCTGATCTTCCAATATGCACGATTTCAAGCATGGTGATTCGCCAAGAGGAGCCTTGTTGACATGGGGGTGAGTTGAAGCTTCGGCAAGAGCGATGAGGGTCCCAGGGGGTATCATCGGGGCTTCCAACCTGTGCATTTTTTTGATTGCTTTGCTTGACCACCACTCCCCTCCGCTAGCTGAGGGCACCAGTGAGCTCAAGGTGTTTTTTTTTCTCTTTCTGGACCTGCTTCGAGAAAAGGCTGAGCGTTCACACACCCTTTCCACCTCCTACAGGTATTACAACATTGAAGAATTTTGCACTCTGATTTCGAGGGAGAGAAAAGCCACCGCTTCGCCCCCGAAGAAAAGTAAAAGTAATTTACCGTGAAAATAGCAAAGGAAAGATCGAGTATCGTCTTAAACGAGAAAGAACTATTACAAGATGATATTTCTCAAAAGGTGAAGTGGTCCCTCTGTTGCTTGTATTCGGTATTACTTAACATTCTGCTTTCGCGAAGCCCCACATTCTTCTCTGGTCGTCGCGGCCATCCGTAGTCGGCAAGTTTTCATTCGCTGCGAGCCTCGCTCGTGCGTACTAGCGTATCAAAACGTCAGAAGCCTAAAATTAGCGACCCTTGCGCCAGGGGACCGGGCCAATTTTCGATCAACCCACCCTGAATTCAACGTCATCGAAACAAACAACCGTTTTTCTTCCCTTTCCCTTCTGCTCTCCCTTCCTATCCGGGTCGAAGTGGGATCTTCAAACCCATTTCCTGATCCGTCCGTCCCATCGCAGAACGCCAAGCGCTGATTCGAACCTGATCCCCCGAGTCTTGCCTTTTTCCTCACTGTTGCTTCTGGCCGCTTGAACCTATCGTTGTGTCTCCCCGTTACATGTCTCCGTCTTATCCGGCCCCCGCCTTTCTTCACTTGCTCTCACCCTCGAGCGGACCGTGATCGTACGCTATTATTGCGCGCACATTTTCGATCGCCATGGAGTCACCGCCATCGCCGCCTCCACCTCCGCCCGTCTTCAATTATGTCGCGGGCTTCCTCCTCGTCGGCCTGGCCTGGGGCTTGACGACCCCATTCATCCGTCGTGCGGCCCGCACACATACGCCACGGCGTCATCCCAGCCTCGAGTCGGACGACTTGGGACCTCTGACGAGGAAAGTGTACGGGGCTTGGTTCGCCGTGCTCGATCTCCTGAGGAACCCCCGATATGTTATCCCCCTAGGGCTGAACCTGACGGGGAGTCTATGGTTCTTTCTCCTCATCGGACAGGCTGGTAGGTTTATCAAAGCTCGAGTGCTTTCCATCTTCCCCATTCCGTCTCACAGGCGGCTCTTTTCTTCTTATCCTTTCTTGATAATTCCTAATTCCCATGTCCTGCCTCCTGCCATCCCATCAATCCCACTCGGGGATGGATAGGAAACCAGGGGAAAGGGGAAGCAAGAAATAAAAGAACATGTACTGATGAAATGGAATCATAGAACTGAGTCTCACCGTGCCCATCGTAAACACCTTGGCTTTCTTGTTCACAGTTCTCGGAGATTGGTGGGTGGACGGAAAAGCTATCAGTCGAGGTAAGGCTTCCTTCCCCCGCTTTCTTACCTGCCCTCCCCTAGATTACATGTACCCTCTTCTTGACTCTTCAATGTTCCCTGCGTTTCTCTCCCGCCCCTCCTCTTCCACAGGGTTCACCCACACCTCTCCTGGGGCTCCGAGCCTTTTCTTCCTTTGAAAATTTTCCCATCGTCCTCTTCAAGCGCTGACCCTTTCCCCTTCTCATACATCAGACGGTGGCATAGGGATGCTTCTATCCCTCGCTGGAATTGCTCTTTGCGTCCAAAGTAAAACTGGGTAAAGGATGGTGGGGCTTGGGCAAGATCATGTCCCGGTAGATTACGTGTTTTGTGTATTTAGATGGCCCATAATAAGACGGAACCGGTCTTTCGAATCTTGTTACTGCATTGGCAATGTCTCCCGTTCCGTTACTGCAACATCCAACAGCCTAGTCCTCCCCTTCTCCTGGCTGTGTTACACCATCCTGTAGTGCACCGTAACGCAATGAACAAGGCAAGAGAGAGCACGTTCCGCAATCTATATCCACGCACTCCTTATTCAGAAAGCCGCGGGGGTCCTTGGAACATTGAAGGTCTCATTTCCCTCTCCACTCTCTTCTCCTGGGATTCTCCCCACCTGTCACTTTGGTCATGTCACGAAAAAGGCCTGACGGTTAGGATTAAACTTTTTTTTGTGTGTTCCTTAACTTGGTCTTGTGTCTTTCTTTACGAGCCAGTCGTCGAAAGTTACTTTGAAGAGGTACTCCTCTTTTCCGGCCTTCTATCCCTTCCATGTCACCCCCCATCCCCACAGTGCTGAGTGGGAACAAAAACGAAAAAGGAAGAAAACAGAACGCTCCCTCCTTCAAACGATGCCTCCTTCCAGAAGGGGCCTCGTTTCTTGGTTGCAAGGCGTGGCACCAGCTACCAGCTATGTTTCCTTCGCTCCGTTCCTCATAATCCGTAACGAGTCTTTGAAAGAAAAAATTCCAACGAATGCCCAGACGATAACAGAAAAAAAAAAAGAAAAAGAAAAGGAAGAAAAAAAGGTCCTTTTGATCCCAAACACTCTAGAAGGAGAGAGAAGCATGTGCCCCGAACCGTCTATTCTGAAATACCCAAAATGGAAAGGAAGGGAGAAAACAAAAAGAAGAAAGAAAGATGCCATATGCAAGTATAGACAAGGAAGAAGAAGAATATGCAAAGCCGCAAAAAGGGAATCAATAAAAAGGGCCCCTCCATCGCTCTAGATGGGCGAGGTGGGCACGAAGAAGAGGAGAGCAAGAGTGGTATCAAAAGGAAAAGAAGTGAAAAGTCCAAGGAATAGGGCCGCAGCGGCCGGCTGCGCTGCGTGGAGTGGTATCTGACTGTCATGTATGGGGGCCGCGCAAAAATGGGCAGAAATATCGGTGCCAACCAGAAGGGGACGACTAGCGCTTCGACTGGGGGAGGGTGGCAGAGCGGAAAAGGGTCGTGAGGTGGTGGCCTTGGAAGTTGGAAGGCCAGAGGCATCGGTGGGCATTGGTTCATGTTGTTTCATTAGGCGGAGCGTCGTGCTGCCAACCAGCGGAGAACGCTCCTCAGGCTGGGATCCTCGGTCGTCCAGCGACCGAGGGCAATATCCGAGTCTAGTAGATCGCCATAGACGTTTTGGTCGGTGATGGTAGCGAGCTCCTATGGAGTGGGGATGGTGACATGTTAGCTAACCGCATCACAAACTTAATCACCGTGATCAAAAGCACATTCTCGGCGAGTCCTTGCGCAGCTAGACTCGCGAAGAAAGGCTGCATTTCCAGGGCACAGAGAGTGGACATGGCTGGCCAGTGTTGTGTGGGGTGGTAGGAAGACTTTCTAGAGAGCGCCAGAGAGCGCCAAGGGGGGCGGAGGGGGGACCTACAGCTCGCAGTTGTTGGTCACACGCCTTGAGTGCAGATCGGTTCTCAGAACGTGGTCTGCCTCCGTTAAGGATCAGCGCGCGGCGCTCAACCCATCGTTGCGCTGCCTCCTGCCGCAGATAGATCTTTTGGCCTTCATGGCGTCGAGCAAAGGCATCCAAAAGCACCCTAGAATATTCTTGGTTAGTTGCAAAGTCCTCGGTCGTGGTCCATTAGAATCCTTGTCTGCTTGCATCATTCTGGCGGTGGTGGCTTTTGTGAGACACTGCCCCTGGTGTGTGGAATTGCCTCGCCGGGGAGTGGAAGAAAAGGTGTGGTGTTGGGCCTTGGGAATGGCGTTGAGAATAGTGGAGAGGAAGAGGGGGTTAGAGGGAGGGAGGAAGAGCGATTGAGTTGAGGGGAAGGAAAGAGAGGGAAAGAGAAAGACAAAGAGAGAGAGAGAGAGAGAGAGAGAGAGAGAGAGAGAAGGTGGCCCTGGGAGTAGGCGGGCGTCCGATACCAAGGCAAGAGGCGCCAAGTGCCAACCTGCACTGCACCATCACGGCCATGAAGAAAAGGCAAGGCCGGGGGAGTGGAGAAGGGCAAGGGATGCGAAACTACTTACTGCTGCAGCTCAGCTTTCTCCTGTTCCTCTCGGCCTCCTCTCGCATTTGGGACACTGGTGTCCGCCGCGCAGTTGAGGATGTGCTGCCCGTCAATAGCACACTGACGCAGGGCAGCCCATCCTTCAGTGTAGTAGTCTTCCATGTTATCAGGATCAACTGGGGCGGCGGCAATGTAATACTGCAACGACCGGAAATCGGCGAGCATGTCTGCGACGCGGATCTGGCGGTATTCGTTGACTGGGAGAGGGGCTCGAAGTCAGGGCGCCTATCTTTAAACGGGACTGGGGCGAGGAAGGGGAAAGGAAACTTACGTCCGTCCATTGTCATGCTATGATCGTGCGAGAGGAGGCTTGGGAACAGGCTGCAGAGGGGAGGCGGCGCAACGAAGCGTAAATACCACAACGGCGTGTGACGGAAGAGGACCAGGCTATGGGCTGGTTGATTACCAAACAAGGAAATTGTGAAAGACGCTGGGTCTAAGCGAAGATAGAGGCCGGCTTGTCTTGACGGTTCACGTGTAAGTGCTGTACATGTAAATGCGGGGGAGGAGGGGGACTCTGGAGATTGGTGGATAACGGATCCGGATGTCTAGTGAACGAAGGGGCCAGGAAGTCAGGAAGCTTCGGAAAAGGATCAGAGAATGAAGAGAATGTGTGTCTAAGTGGGTGATGATGCAAGAATTAACAATAGTGCAAAGTAGTGAATGGGAGTGACGATCTCGATGATGACGATCTTGTTCTGTTTCTTCTTCTCCTTGGTCTTGGTGATGGATGGACTATGAGGAAAGCTCGGCGACCTCTTTGGTGATGTGAATCCAAAGCACAAAAGATATCTCGAGGAGCTATCTACAAGTGTCATTATATTATTTTTCTTCCTCGTGTGGGAAGGCTCTCGAGCGGGCCGATCCATCTCGAAGGCCTCCGGCCAACAAAGCATGGTGTTGATAAACGAACCCGTCCACTCAAGCTTGGCTTCCCCATGATGTAGCCTTTCTTGTTCCTGGAAGGAGGGGCGGGTCCGGGAATGCTTGGGAAAGGGTGCTAGATCCTCCTCCACCACTGACACCGACGCCCCCCGTTCAAGCAGGGCATCGACCAGTCAGAGGCTAGATGTGACTATGTTTAGACGGGAATGTGAACCAAGGGCACACTAGCATGCAGCACCTGCAACGGGCGAGGTCCCAATCGATGATGCTATGGAGAGGGAGAAGGGGGAGGCAGGGCTTGGGAAAAGGCTGGCCAGGATATTAGAGAGACTCCGCAATTGGCACTTCCATGGCCAAGCCAGTCGGAGAAAATAAAATGCAGGGGGCTTGCAAAGGAATCGACATTTGGGCGCGCTGCATGGGGACCCGTCGCTAATTCTCCTTCGTACTTTGGACGTGAAGCGCCCACAGGGAGGCAGCGCACGAGGGTTTGCAACTAATACTATGTACTTGGCTTTTTTCACGGACATCTCCCGAGGCTAAAAAAGAGGAAGGGGGCAGCAGCAGCAGCAGCAGCAGTGTAGTGCGAGGTAGCCTTGCTTGTCGTACTGGGAAATAATAATAAAACCCCCAAGCCAGAAGAAGGAAGAAAAAAGCCCACTAACGACATCAAGGAGGCGCTTTTTCTGCGGGCTTTTGGTCTTTGGCTTCTGCAGTCTGCAGCAGGAGGGGCGTTCGATGAATAAAGCTCGATTGGGATTAGTGCGGACCCAGGCGTGACATTAGCGACGTTGCCCTGGGATGAACTTGTCGACTGTTCGAGCACCTCGACGCACTCGCCTGTGGGTCGAGCTGCAGGAAACCATCCCCCATTTCCAAGCAGTAGCGGTTGTTTGGGCTGGGAGAAATAACCTGCAGCGAGAGAGGCTGTACGGCAATAAACCCTCCGTTGGCGTTACCAGAAGAGGGTATCGCGTGTACCTCCTAACCCCAACTCAGCAACTTGAGGCTGCCGGAATTCAGACACACACAGACACACACACACACATACACACACCTACACAACCCATAGCCGACTCCTGTATGCAAACTGTGAGGCAGTGATGGCACGCGCTTGGCACAAGGCACACGGTTCCAAGGTTGACTGGCGATTCGAACTTCGAACCGACTGCAAGCGCACCCGGCGTCAGGGATGTCGGGACCACGGAGTCGGAGGGGATATGGATGACAATACGTCAATCTAGTACTGGCGACGTTGATGGTGGCGTCAGGCGAGGTTGGGGTTGGGTTTGGGCAAACCTAGCCTTGGCGCCCGAGGCCATTCTCGCGTGGGCTCGGTGTAAGCCAACAGGAGAGAGGTTAAAAGAATGGAGAAAATATTATCAATTTCAGGGTTCCATCTGAGTATCAAGGTTCGCAGGCTGTCGATACATGTACTCCTAGTTACAATAAAATTCAGTACGTGCCCTTTAGACCGGAGGAAAAAGGAACAAAACTCCATCAAAACGACGAAAATCAACGTCGCCCTCGTCCGTCTCAAATCCGGCCGTGACACCCTCGCAAAATATTCTCTTGGAGACCTCTGAAACCTCAACAAAAGACCACTCCGCCAATTCACAAATGGGTTTAAGGCGGTCAACCATCAACCCTCATCCTAATTTAGGGCAGGTGAGTGATATTACCTCAAGGCGGAACAACCTTGCCGCGGTGAACAAGCGCCTCGCCTTCTCGCTGGCCGGGCTCGCCAGTTTTTTTTTTTCTTTCCTCAAGAAGCATGGGGGCGACCTTCAGCTCAGGGTCTGCAGCAAGATCGAGCAAGTGCCCACCCAATTGGGAAGTAGGCTGAAGCCTTGCATGGTGGAAGTCGCAGAGGGGTGTCAAGTGTGGCTCAGCCAATAGAAGATTCTCCAAGACTGGACCCCTTCAATTGTCCCCGCCAAATCAGTGCCCCGCAAGCCGACTTATTAATAGCAAGTGACACAAGCAAGCGGCCTCCAGAGCCTCATTTGCCCGCACCGAAAGACACATCGGACCCACAAGCCACTGGCGGTCCCATATGCTTGGTCCCGATGATGCAAGCTTCCACCGTCCGAACTTGCCCCAGCAGTCTTCTGAATGTAACCATTGCGACGGCGAGCATCGCCGAGACATCCATTCGATTAATCATAAAATAAGGGGAGGGTTGGATCATGACCCAGCCCGCCTTTCACCCTGCAGCGCAGCCTTTTGAGGGTGGGGGATGATGAAATCGTGCTGCCCTTCAGAGGGCGAGGCAACGGCGCGGATGGGATTGGTTGAGCGTCCCGTCTAGTTTGATGAGCGAGGCTTGCAATTTGTTGCCGTTGATAGCTAAACTCGGGCTAGCCTTGCCCTCTCATTCCCTCCTTGCTAAAGCAGGAGGAGGGGGAAATGGGTCGAGGATGACGTCCCGGCACTGACACCAAAGGGCCCCTGCAAGATGCAGGCTTTACTCTTTGGGAGGAGCCCAAGTGGCTTGCATCCCTCCCCTTTCTTTGCCGACGATCGAGATCTCTGTGGCCAATTCGGCGGCCTGGGTCCCCATGAAGTCTCAATGCAAGTTGCCCCTTGCCTCAAAAGGCCCCCACCGCTGCCATGCATCAGAGTCAAATTTTCCTTGCAGTTTCCATAGCCGGCTTCGCGAACAAGCGCCGAGAACCCCGCAAGCTGCCTCCGAGACCTCTTCGCATCTCCTAATCAAGTCTCCCCACCAATAAGCTGATGCCTCCTTTTCTAAACCCCTCTTCCTGGAGATTGTCCTTGTCTTCTTGCGTCGAATGTGGGCCCTCATTCTGCATTTACTTACAGTCCTGCAACCGTGGCTACCCGATATCAAAGCCCGGGGACCATGACCACTAGGCCGTCCGGGAAGAACGCCACGCCCTCCGTCATGGCGTAATATCACAGCCTTTCTATTCCCCCTCGTAATCAGCCGGCCAGTTAGACGGCGCTGGCAAGGATTCGGCCGGGATCAGTGAACGACGTACCGCACAGGCTCGCAGCATTTCGAATCGTGCAAGTGTCCTCTGCCTTGCATTATCAAGGGACGGGAGGCAGCTGGCCTGAGTCGTGTCTTCTAGCCTTCTACCCAGTCATCTTGTCGGGGCTAGGGGGCCACCGGTACCGGGCTGCATGCGGGCCGACCATCGTGGCTTGCTGAAGGGGCAACTTGAATGAATGTAACCTTACATATCAAAGACCAACGACTACAAAATCATTTCTCTATTCTTCCTTGCTATCTCAACCTCTTTGCACGTAGGGTAGTATTATACAGTACCGCTAGGGTATCATCGATTTGGCTGCTCACGGAACACATCCTCCGAATCCGAAGCGATCCCCCACCCGCTGAGCAGCCCGAGGCCCCTATTCACTGGCTGACATTTCACTCAGCCGGCTACTAGTTGATATGTCGACGTGGACGGGATTGTTGATTTCGTCGCGTCATTAATCCTTCTCCGCAATGGCTTGTAGCCTCTCATCGATTTCCTCCTCGGTCAGCGTCCTAAACCTAGGCTCGGTTCCCTCCTTACCATCGGCTCGTGGTCCTCCCACAATGCCAATCTCAATCTCCGTCTTCTTGAAGTCCATGCTTAGGACGGTGCTGAGTGTGGTGATGGCGAGCTCGACAACGTCCTCCCACGATCCTGGCGCTGCGTCCTTGTTCCTGAGCTTCTTTTCGAGGTGGTTGAGCGCTTCCTGCTGTTTGGGACCCGCTGCTACGCCTTTATATCCTACAAAGTACCCAGCAGGATCGCACTTGAACAACTGGGGGCCGTACTCTTCATCCAGTGCAATCAACGTGGTAGCGACGCCATAAGGCCTCATCATCGCCTAAGAGAAAAACAACTATAAGTATTCCGAACATTCAGGTGCGGGGAAGAAGGGAGAGGCGGGGCTCAGGGAGAAGCAGTACTCTCTGGGTATAAACCTGGCTGATATTCGCGAGCCTCTTCGCAAGCGCATCGGCAGGCATCTCATAGCCATACTTGTATCTGAACTCGGCCGCTTCTGACTGCGCACGCTGCGCAAGAGGTCGTGCATCGGCAATCGATCCCGTCATGACGCAGCCGACCGAGGGGAAATTTGGAAGATATGGGTGACGGAGGAGGGGTCGATGAGCTTGTCCTGCACTGCCTGTTAATCAACCGGATCTAGATCTGGGTGTTGGTTTGATCGAAACGTACGGGAACCTTCTTTTGCGACAAGACGACAGCACAGTTCTTGCCCTTAAGTCCTACGGACATGATATTGGCGGCTGTGATGGCCTTGAAGGCATATTCTAAGGACAAACGATATCAGCGACTAAGTTGGTGGAGAGAGCCGATTCGGTCGGGTATGTCGTACCAACTTGATACAGGCGCCCCTGCTCGGAGAAAATGGTGATGTGTCTGTCCGATGCGGTGTCTATCCGGTTATTAGCTTCTTGTCACTCTCCCGATTCCCGTGGTCAAAAAAGGTGTCCTCGTGGAGGACACTGGACCATAAGGTAGAGACCGACGTACTTGACATCTTGGGCGGTGAGTTTCGGTTTCAGTTGGATTGGGAGTCGTGATAATTCGAAAAAGGTAACGCCGGGATGCGGGTTTGGTGTTTAGGGGTATAAGAAAAGATTGTCGTAAATGGGTTGAGCGGATGAGGCTTTGGATATGACAGACCGTCTCGAGATCTTGGAAGAACGCGTTGCCAGGAGCTGCCTTGGGAGCTGTGAGCTAAGGAAGGCTGAAGCTCGGAACTGGTCGAAGTGCGGATTGTGGCCTCAGGCATAAATGCGAGAGCAAACCCAATCCCTATCAATAATACTTCCAATTTGGATGGGTTGAGTATTAGGAGGTTGGGATTCGATGCCAAGTGCTTACATAACCACAAGCTTACCCTTATCGACTTGCAGAAATCTGGAGCTTTTAAAAGAAAAGCGGCTAGAGCAGAAAAAAATTTGGGCGAGAACTGGGAGCTGTCAAAGAAAAGATTTCAACCCATAAACGACCCAATAAACCCGCCCAATTCTGCCAACGTTTACTGCAACCAGATTCAGAATTTGCAGTGTGCGGTCTGAATCTGACAAACAGGCAAGAGGGAAAAAATTGCAAGTGGACCAGCAGTTGGTCCTACCCTAGAGCGACCCAATCACTCCCGTCTCGGGATGGCGTCTTCTACCCAAAGCATGGCAGCAAGCCGGGTCCCAGCCTGGAAACGGTTGGGCCTCAAGCTCAAGTCGCCCGCTTCCCAATCGGAACCCTCGAGCACTCCTAGCACAATTTCAAATACCGCAACCCCGACGTTGAGCACTCTAAACGGAAACGTCCGCAGTACAACGACACTCAAGTGGCCAGGCCTTCGCTGAAGAAGCCAAGGATAGACGAAGAAAAGCCCGGCTCTACATTGAAGAGGCAAAAATCTGTCACATTCGCCGGTGAGACAACGGCCCACCAGGAGTCCGCAGCTTCTTTCAACAAGACGGACAAGTCCCCGGCCAAGAAGAAGAGCAAGAAGAAGCCCCCAAGGACCCCAAGAAGGAAGCAAGTTCGCAGCCTACCGCGACGGCTCCTGATCTCACGGGCGCTATCCAGTATCTTCAGCGGTGGAAGAGCTCGCGGGATACTTGGAAGTTCAACAAGAATCATCAGACGCAGTTGATCAATCACGCCTTCAACCCGTCGCTTGTGCCAACCGCCGACGTCGGTGCCTTCTTCGAGTATATCCGTGACCTAAAAGGCCATATCCGGACGAGACTCAGAGACACTGCGAAAGAGATCCAAGCCTCCGATATGGAAGGGGGCAAGGACCACTTCCCTGCTGGAACCCCTGATGTGGAGTCCAAGGAGACGGAATACCAAAAATTATCTCCCGCCTCGTCCGCCAAGAATCAGCCGGCTCCAAAAGGAAGCGGTTTGATGAGAGGCAGTTTCTACAAGAGCATGAGGCCGCCATGGCGCAACGCGTGGTCAAGCGTATGCGAGCCGAGATGGTCATCGACGAGCTGAACAACAGCGACAGTGATGAGACCATCATGACGTCCACAACAGCTTCCGGTGCGGACTCTGATCCGCCCAAGCCCGAGACAGTGGAGGCTACCGATGATGCTGAGCAGCCAGCAAAGCCAGCTGACGGTGCCACACGGCCAGCAAAGCGCATCCGTGCCTCGAAGCGCCGAGGGGCTGACCTGGACGACAGCAGTTCGGATGAGTCGTCTGGTGAAGAAGACTCTGCGGACGAGTCTGATGAAGGGTCCGATTCCGGGTCTGGCTCTAGTTCAGAAGAGAGTTCGTCGGAAGAAGACGACGGATCCGATGACGAAATGGAACTGGATCCTAGCCAAGACACTTCAAGCAGTTCATCATCCTCGTCTTCAGACGACTCCGATTCTGACGAAGAGGCCGGCGACTAGAAGACGAGGCCATCACATTTTAAGATTCGAAAGTAGGAAAATGCCAACGACTGTTGCTCTTTAATTCACTCTTGCTCTTCAAGGTCAACTTTGTATTGGAGGCCCCAAAAACTACCCAGACGAAGCCCGGCAGAGCCTCAAGCCCCCGGCCGCAAACAACCTTGTGAACCCGTTAGCCGGAGGCTGGAGCCAGTTCCTCGAGTCATACTCCCTTCCCTCGCCCTCAATCACATGGAAAGTGTAGATGATGCGCCCTTTTTGACTCGTGTTGCTCTCGCTCTTGTGCAAGAGGTTTCCATGAATAAGGACCAAGGTACCAGCCTTTACCTCGCCCGGCACGTACTCCCCATCTGAGCCCTCCCTTTCCCCGTATCCTTCGCCTGGCGGGAACCTTGGCCCATCATTATCCACCATTTCCGTGCCTGTATTCCCCGCCTTCCTCACAAGGCGCTGCGAAATCGGCGCCCACTTGTGTGAGCCGGGAAGGAAGCTCAAGCACCCATTTTCCAGGGTAGCGTCTTCCAGAGCGTACCAAAAGCCCACAGCAGAAGGCGAATTCGTGTAAAGGAAAGTCGAGTCTTGATGTGGCGGAACGGCACCTCCAATCTCCGGCTGCTTGCATATCACCATGCTCTGCAAGCACTGGGGGTCGTGAAACCCCAGATCCCGGGCGATGGCAGCGGGCTTCGCAGGCTCGGTGCCCGCGGGGTTGGTGAGGGCGGAGAATGGCGGAGAAAGACCGTGTAGGTAGTGCCCGATCTTGTTGACGGCACGAGACTTGGGTTTGGTCAGATTGCCTTGGGCATCGAAGGCGTCCTCTTCGAAAAAGAAGCGGATTTTATCACCCGAAGTGAGAAAATAATCGTCTCCAACGTGTTCGGATTTCTGGCCCGTCGAAAAACGGGTCATTGGATGGTCCTCGAGCGCGAAGTTGTCGAGAAGCGAATGCGTCTCGCCCAGCAGAGCAGACACAGTCGTGGGGAGTAGGGCGTTGGGAATGATCAAGTACCCATCCTTGTGGAAGGTCGCGATCTGCTCCGTTGTGAGCCCGCCTGACGTCAGTTGTGCAGCCATGGCCGCCGTTGAGAATGTCGATGAAGCCAAAAGGGTTGGTTGATCAAGCGGCCACAAAGAAGGAACCCTCAGAACAAAACCCGGCGCTGATGTTGGTTGCAACTCTCTGCCAATCTCTGCCAATCTCTGCTCTCTCTTGAACCGCTGTCAAAAGCTGAGCTGAATTAGGTTCGGTTCCCACGTGGGTTGCAAAGGCCTTGCTTGGGTGGGCAGACGATTCGGCTTGGCTGGCAAAACAGGCAAAACAAGAGTGGAGGTGACCTGTGCTGCTCGCTTTCTAGCGGCAAGTGCCAGGCTGCTAACCTAGCCACACAGCCATCAAGAGTTCCCAATCCGCCCCCTCGTTGGCCAGGCCCTCTTTTTCTCTGTGTTCCCACGCCGTGGCAAGTGTGGACATAATCAAACCGAGGGGTACGTACTTTTCACTGGCTCAAACGCGGGGCACTCGAGAGGGTCCTTTATCTTATCGAGCATTGCGAAGGTGGGGTAGCAATAATGTGACGGGAAATTTTTTGGACGCGAAAGATTTTTTTCTGTTTTTTTTTTTTTTTTGCGGACTCGCTTTCCACTATAAATTCAGGGTCGGGCATCAACAAACACAAATCCCACAAATCCCTCGGTGGCAAAGGCTTCTTTTCTCTTCAAACCGCGCTTTGGTCACTATTCTATCCTTTCCTTTTCTTCCAAAGCGCATAGAAGTCTCACAACACCATGGACAAGGGCAAGCTCATCGAGCTGCTGGAGGCCAGCCAGATCCGTAAGTTCCAGCCGCCTCTCTTCGAAAAAAATTATCCCCCTCCGCCCCCGCTTTCTAATCTATCCATACCGATGGCGTACTACTTTGACTGCTAACACTTTGCTATTTTTCTCTCTCCCCAGCCGACACCCAGAGTGTCAAGGCGGTCACCGCTGAGCTCCAGAAGAACTATCTCTCCAAGCCTGACTCGCTCCTGCTCTTGATCGATATCGCCCTCACCCACGATAACGGAGGTATCCGTCAGCTCGCCGCCGTCCAGGCGGTCCGCATCAGCGAGAAGCATTGGCCCAAGGTCAATGCTAGCCAGAAGGGCCTTGCTAAGAAGCATGTCCTTGACGGCATCGTCAAGGAGCCTAATGCGAGCGCACGCCGCTCTCTCTCGCGCCTGCTTGCCAACGTCATCACTCTCGATCTCGAGAACAACGAGGGAGAGGATGTCGTGCGCGACATCATCGCCCTGAACACCAAGGATGATGCCCCCTCCCGAGAGATTGGCTCCTTCCTTGTTTACTGTCTTTTGGACACTGACCCTCTCCGTTTCACCGACCACATCTCTCAGCTCTTCCAGCTCTTCAGCCAGACCATCAACGATCCTCAAAGCAAGGATGTCTGCGTCAACACCATCAGGTCCCTTGGCGCTCTTCTCATCGTCATCGAGCCCGATGAGGATGAGGCTTCCGTCGAGGCCATCCAGGCTCTCTTCCCTCCATGGTCCGCATCCTCAAGGATGCCATTGAAACGGCCAACTCGGACCACTACGGCGACATTTTCGAGGTCCTTCAGTCCTTCCTCGCCTATGACCCTCTCCATGCTGAACAAGCACCTCAAGGACCTTGTTGAGTTCATGATGGAGATTGCCGCCAACACCGATATTGAGGAGGATGCCCGTTGCCAGGCCATCGCCTTCCTCAGCCAATGCGTGCACGCGCGCCGCATGAAGATCCAGGGCATGAAGGATATTGGTGCCAAGCTCATGACTACCAGTCTGAGGATCGTCACCGAGGTGGATGACGAGCTCATCGACGACGACATGGACGAGCTCACGCCCGTCAAAACCGCCCTCGCTCTCATTGATCAGCTCTCCACCGATCTCCCTCCCCGTCAGGTCGTCAACCCTCTCCTTGACGACTTCCCTACCCTTGCTGCCCACCAGAACCCTGGGTTCAGGAAGGCTGCCATCCTGGCTCTTGGCACCGCTGCTGAGGGTGCTCCTGACTTCATCTCCACCCAACTCGCTCCCCTCCTCCCTGCCATTGTTTCGCTCTTGAACGACGCCGATGAGGGTGTTCGCCACGCTTCTCTCCTCGGCTTGATCCAGCTCGCTGATGAAATGGCCGAGGAGTTCTCCCTAAGCTTGGCGAGATCTTCGAGGCTCTCCTCAAGAATCTCCAGGCCGCCAGCCAGGATGGTGGCAAGAGGAGCGTCAGCGTCGTTCGTGCCGTCTGCGGCGCTCTCAACGCCCTCGGCGTCGGCACTCTCGACAAGGAGGTGACCAAGACGTACGCTCAGAAGCTCCTCGCCCCTCTCGGCCAGCTTCTGACCCACGAGAACCTTACCGTCAAGGCCGCTGCTGCAGGTGCCATCGGTGCCATCGCCGCTTCTCTCGGCGAGGGCTTCACTCCTTACTTCAAGGACGTTCTTGCTGCCCTTGGCCAGTACGTCCACCTCACCGAGGGCGAAGAAGCTCTGTCTCTTCGCTCGGCCGTGTGCGACTCCATGGGATCCATCGCCCATGCCGTCGGCCCCGAGGCTTTCCAGCCCTACGTCATTGACTTGATGAAGGCCAGCGAGGAAGCTCTCAGCATTGACAACGCCCGCCTCAAGGAGACCAGCTTCCTCCTCTGGGGTGAGCTGGCCAAGATCTACGGCTCCCAGTTTGATGCCTTCCTCCCCGGTGTCTTCAAGGGGCTTCTTACCACCCTCGAGATCGAGGAGGAGGAGATCTCGCTAGACGGAATCGTCGAGGGCGCCTCTGAGGGCGATGTCCTTGTTGTCGATGGCAAGAAGCTCAAGCTAAAGAGGGGCGACGATGACTCGTCCGACGACGACAACATTGTGGACATGGACGACGATGACGCGTGGGGTGATATTGACGACTTCACTGGCGCTACCGCCATTGCCCTCCAGCAGGAAGTTGCCATCGAGGTCCTCGGTGATGTCATCTCTGAGTCGTGCAGCCTCGATGACATCAAGACTTACCTCGAGCCCACCCTCGAGAAGCTCATGCCCTTCACTGACCACTCCTTTGAGGGCTGCCGAAAGTCTACTCTATCTACGCTCTGGAGGACTTATACCCGCGTCTGGAAGCTCCTAGAGAAGCAGCCCTGGAAGCCCGGCTTCCCCAAGGATAACCCCATGCCCGACCCGGCTCTTGCCCACATTGCCAAGCTCGTTTGCCAGGCTACCCTCTCTTGCTGGGCTGACGAGGGCGAACGGTATGTTCTTAGTGATCCCCCTTTCCTTTCACTTCCTACCCCAGCAATCACTGTCCCAAAATGATGACTACCTTGCGTTATACCCAGCTCACTCAGACGCCTACAACGGCAATGGTGAGAACGCGTCCAATCACGTCTGATTTGGTTTCAAACCCCCTCTTTTGGAAACCTTGTTTCCTAGCATTGTTTTTCGTCACCTCTTGATAGAAGTGCCATGTACAAGGCTCTTTTTCTATGAATAGTCTTGGAACCATGCTAACGCGGGTTGAAAATTTTAGATCTGTTGTAACGGCCATTAACCAGTACTCGGCCGAGACTCTCAAGACCTGCGGTCCCGCTATTCTTGCGGTCGAGGGTCTCGAGACCCAAATGGTCACCGTCCTCGCCTCCCTCCTGACCCGCTCCCATCCTTGCCAGCAAGACTTTGGTGATGAGGAGGACCAGTCCATCGAGGGTGGCACGTCGGAGTTTGACTGGCTCGTCATCGACACCGCGATGGACGTTGTCATTGGCATGGCGACCGCGATGGGTCCCACCTTTATCGAACACTGGAAGATCTTCCAGAAGCCTATTGTCAAGTTCGCCAGCTCCCAGGAAGATCTTGAGAGGTCCACCGCGACGGGCACCCTCGCCGAGGTCATCCGATACCTCGGTGCCTCGGTCACCCCTTCACGGAACCCCTCGCCAAGATCCTCCTTCGCCGCCTCTCTGACAACGACCCCCTTACCAAGTCGAACGCTGCGTTTGCCATCGGACAGCTCATTATCAGCTCTGAAGATAACAACGTTCTGGGGCTGTATGAGCAGGTTGTCACCAAGCTTGAGCCTGCCCTCGCCATTACCGACTTGCGCATGCAGGATAACATTTGCGGCTGCTTCTCCCGCATGATGATGCGCAACCCTGAGCCGGCCGTCATTGCCAAGCTTCTTCCCGAGGTTGTCAACATTCTTCCCCTCAAGGAGGACTATGAAGAGAATGCCCCCATCTATCAGTGCATCTTCCAACTCTGTACGTCCATCCCCCCCCTTTTTTTCTTCTTTCTTTTGCCCTTGGACAGGGCACTAGTGATTGAACCTCATGTACTAATCCTTGTATATCACAGATGACGCCTCCAACCCCACTGTCCAGGAGCTGACTCCTCGCCTCGTCCCCGTTTTCAAGGCTGTTCTCGGCGAGCCTGAGGACCAGCTTGATGACGAGACTCGGGAGAAGGTCAAGAAGATTGCGCAACTCATCCACCAGGCTCGACCGGAATTGTTCCAATGAGGCGCGGATGTGACGGCATAATCCCTGAGGGATCAAGCGTGACGGAACGGATATTTTCCTTTCCCATTTAATGTGGTGCGCTGTTCATAATGAAGAAAAAGAGAAAGCAAATGTCAGGTTACGGTAGATGACTATGCAAGGTAGTAATGTCGGTCGGCCGCGTTGCGAGCTGGACTAGGCCTCGGGGCCATATTTTGATGACGGATTTTGATATATACTGAACGGGAAGTAAAAAAAGGTGGCTTGAGTAAGATTATTCCAAATGGCAATGAATGGTAGTAAGCGAAGAGAGGACCGATTCCTTTTTTCATGCCTTCTTTGAAAATAAAAACCATTGATTTCTTGGATTTATAAAAGACCCGAAGCGAAAATGCTATTGCCCCATCACATACCTCAGCATGAAGCATGGAGAGAGGTGGATAGCTATTGAAAGCAGTGAAGCATAAAAGATATCAAGGCATGATAGTGTATCAATGTTGCTTGATTGTATTCTGCCACCGGTCATTTATGTACATTTCTGACCAATATCCCTGACAAGATCGTCCCCTTTCAGTCAGTCAAGCACCTTGCGAAATCCGTCCAAGTTATACCCACCGCCTCGCCCCATCCGATCCACAAACGCCAAATAACCGATAAGTTTTCAATGAGAAGCCCCCAGACAGATGCTTGTTTGACACGAATATCTGTCGTTGGGGAAATATAGACACTAGCAAGGCCTATGTAAAGAAGAGAAGGGCATGATGGCGGCAAAAAAAAGCCTTGGTCCTCACGATAAATAAAACAAATAAGAAAATAGAGATAAAGTTGGGCAGGCTGATGGGCTTGCGGGCCCGGAGCGCTCCTTATCCGGAGGAGGTAATGGGGTCTTCCAAGAAATCATAGCCGCCCTCTGGGGGAGGAGGTAGCGTGAGGCTACGAGGGCGATAGCAGAAGCAACGGAGAGGCTGGCGCTCAGGATACAGAGGATCCAAGAGGTGTCGAGGGACCAGCCGGGGATGAGGAACTGTTCATCGTTGTCGTAGGCGTAGGACTAGCCGACAGATGTAGCGTTAGCAAGAAGAAGAAGGCACACGATGAAGCAGAAGGAGAAGAAGAGAAAGAAGAACAAGGACAAAAGGGGAAAAGGGTAGAGAGAGGCACCAACTCACCACAATGCCGATAATAAAGTATTCCAACACGGCAACGGCAGTCAGCAAGCCGGCCAAGACCTTCCAGCCCTGGTCGCGCTTCTGCTTGCCGCCGGCGACGACGAAGACGTAGGCAACGACGGTGACGAGCTGGACGGCGACGGCTAGGTTGGCGAGGAAGCCGGCGGAGCGCCACAGGTGGCAGAAGCGGCCCTTGTCGTCGGAGGCGGCGTCGCACTGCTCGTCGGTGGGGAACGTCTGGCAGGGGGTCGCGGAGGTTGGAGCAGCTGCGGTGGAGGCCGATGGTCTGGAAGATGTGGTCGCCCCTTGGAGTGGTGACGGAGTAGTTGATCCAGCGCGGGAGGCTTATGGACAGGACGGTCATCACGGTAGCTATTTATTAGGGTTCCGGGCGTTAGTCTTTTTATTTTTATTTTTTATATTCATTCTCGGGACAGGGGCGCGAGGGCGGAGAGAGGAAAGATGACGTAGCATCGTATGGTGGCAAGGGTCGAGTCCGACTGGAGAGAGACGTGGGAAGGGAAGGAGTTGACGAACCTGCGATGGAGAAGACCAAGAGGCCTGCGTAAACGAGGACTCTCGTCATTTTTGATAGCGTGCTGGAGCTTTCGCTGTTCCAGGTGCGGTTGTAATTGGGGAGTTAGTTGGGCTGGACGAGATGGGGGTCGGGCTGGTCGGTCGTGGATGAATGATGAATGCGCTAACACGCGGGTTTGCGGCGGTTGTCGTGCGCCACAAGCGGGTCTAATGTTATGTAATGTGAAGTGGGAGAAGAAGGAAACGTCCCGAGTCAGTTGATGCGCGGTGTCTCTCCCCCTTCTACTTCTTTTTCTTTCTTCTTTTGTCTAGATTCGGAGCAGCAAAGGTCGTCGACTTCACCTTTAGGGTAGAAAGCTGGAAAACGCATGGCAAGTGATGTGGGCGGAAAACGTGGGTGTTTATTTGGTTGCCTAAGGGGGCGTACCCAGAGCAGCTGGCCAACAATTGGGCGGGAGCTGAATCGGGAATGCTGCTGGCACATCAATCAAGATTCCGGATTTCAAGGCCATGGCAGCAAGATGAAACCGAGCGAGGAACGTCTAGCCACGGAGTATACTTGTCAATGGCCACAACCGTGGTCTGCTCCGCGATTGGCGCCCTTGTCAAGCCGAATTGGCCGTGGGAGGGAAATGTGCCGTCCTCCCAGAGAATTGACTTCGATTAGCACATGCAATTGCTCTATTCTCCCACGACCGCATCGAGCATACAGGGAGAGTCGCCATCCAATTGATCGGTGTGAACTCTTTCCAGAAGAGGGGAGCAAGAGATGGATTCATCCTGAAATCCGGTTTCTTTTCCCACAGTGCCTTTATCTTCCCGTCCATCCAATATCAAGGGAGCGCTCACGCTTGCATACCGCCGCTTTTTCAACGCGTCCAGCCAGAGCTCTTCCCCGCCTTGACCTCGAACTTTGATGCACAGCAGCATGCCTGCCATGCGGCAACGTTCCTGTACCTAGATTGATCCAATTCCTTGATCCCGTGGCGTTGTCCACGGAAGTGCACTGCATAGCCTTTTGAGCAGTATGCAGAAGATCTGGCGCTGCTCACAGATACCTTAGTCTAGTCGCCATTCCTCGATAACTTGTGTCCTCCTACAATGCTTTGTTCTATTCATGCACGTGGGTTTCTGAGATACGTAGAACCTTGGGTATGTGGACAAAGCCGCACCCTATGTCGAGCCGCGAAGGTAAATATACTGATGTAAAGGACATCAGACGCATTAGAAAGAATAGCTTGGTTAGGATCAATGATAGCTAAGAAAAAGAAAAATGGAGAGAAACAACCAGCAATGCCCTACTTCGTCGAGTGCAACGCTCAAGAGCTCAGCGTCCCACAACGTGGCGGGGTGACTTTGCCGTCCGCCCCAGAATTTCCCCAACCCTCCACCCCTCCAAGCTCCAAACAGAGCAGTCCAGCCCCGCCAACCCGCACACGCCTATGACACATCTATGGCTCCTCTCAATCTACCCATCCAACTCGACCACTATAGAACCGCATTGAGTTGAAAGAACACACACCACACACCACACCAAAAACCCTCATCCCAGCATCGTCCTCCTCCCCTTCCTTTCTCCGCGCGGCGATGCCCCCGTCCTCCGCCTCTTCTCCACCATCCTCACCCGCAGACTCACCCCCTCGTCGCCCGCACCATGTCCACCTCCGCCCCACCCCCGTCCCCGGTCCTCCGCCAACCCCTCAAGCTCGCCTGCGTCCAACTCGCCTCCGGCGCCGACAAAGCCGCCAACCTCGCCCGCGCCCGCACCAAGGTCCTCGAGGCCGCCGCCGCCGGCGCCCGCCTCGTCGTCCTCCCCGAGTGCTTCAACTCCCCTACGGCTGCGACTTCTTCCCCGCTACGCCGAGCCTCTCCTCCCTTCCCCGCCCCCGCCGACACGGCCCCGAGCTTCCACGCCCTGCGCGCCATGGCCGCCGACGCCCGCGTCTACCTCGTCGGCGGCTCCATCCCCGAGCTCGAGCCCGCCACCGGCCGCTACTACAACACCTCCCTCGTCTTCGGCCCCGCCGGCGACCTCCTCGCCACCCACCGCAAGGTCCACCTCTTCGACATCAACATCCCCGGCCACATCGTCTTTCGCGAATCCGACGTCCTCTCCCCGGCGACGCCCTCACCGTCGTCGACCTCCCCGAGTACGGCAAGCTCTCCGTCTCCATCTGCTACGATATCCGCTTCCCCGAGCTCGCCATGACCGCCGCCCGCCGCGGCTGCTTCGCCCTCGTCTCCCCGGCGCCTTCAACCTCACGACCGGGCCCCTCCACTGGCGCCTTCTCGCCCAGGCCCGCGCCCTCGACAACCAGTTCTACGTCGCCATGTGCAGCCCCGCCAGGGATATGAGCGCCTCCTACCACGCCTGGGGCCATACCCTCGTCGTCGATCCCCAGGCAAAGGTGCTTGCCGAAGCCGAGGACGCCGAGGACATCATCTACTCCGATCTCGACGGTGGCGTCATCGACGAGACGAGGAGGAACATTCCCGTGTACACGCAAAGGAGGTTCGACGTGTACCCTGACGTGAGCAATGCCGCCGTGAATTAGATTAGAAAAAGTCTACAGTTTAAGATGGAGCGCGTGAGTGGACGCTGCCAACTTGAAGGAACTGCAAATATCCATGAGAAGCTTTTTCTTTTTCCCACCGTCTTCGAGTGGGATGTGTATGACAATAGTAGGGATTGGACTTAGAATAAAAATGGGAATAAACGTCGAATCAGGCCCAGGTAGCTTTGTCGAGCTTTCTAATTCTACAACTCGCCAAGCATCTCGTAAAGGTCGTCGTCACTGCGATTTAGGGCAACGGGCTCCCTGATTTTATGACATGCTTCATATTCAGCTAGGGTAAAGACTTTTGAAGCTTCGTAGGTTACATGATTTCCATCTATGAGTCCTTTCTTATTCACGCCGCTATTTTGCCTCCCTTGTTTTTTTCTTCTTCTCTCAAGTCATCATGCATTGCGCAACTATCGTCATTTGGTATTCATCTTTTTCGTTTCGCCTTCCTTTGCGCGCGCATCTTTGTTTCGAGCTTCAAAACTCCTCTTCTTTTTTTTCTTTCTCACTTCCCTTGGCAGTCAAGCCACCACATCAGCCTTCCCCTCTTCTTACCTCTCTATACGTCGAGGGCCTTCTTGGCAAAGTTGGGGAGAATAAAGGCAGCCTTGTGGATGTCGGCGCTGTAGTATCGACAGAGCTTCTCTTCCTCCTCAACAGTCCACTTGCGAAGAGGCTCCTTGACATTGCGGCTGGCATCCTTGGAGCAGACCATGAAGCCGATCTGGCCTGAAGGGTAAGTGGGGATGCTTGTGTAGGCGTACTCGGCGACGGGGAAGACCTCCTTGCAGTCCTTCTTGAGCTTGGTGATGAGGGGGAGGTGGAGCCACTGGTTCTCGGCTATAAAGAGGGTGGACGAACAAGGTCCTAAGAGTTAGCAAAGCTGGTCTTCATATTTCACAGGGGATAAAAACTCTCAAACTCGCGCGCTTGAAAGAAACGAAAGAAAAGGGATAAAGGGCAAAGGGGAAAGGTGAGGTCGACGGTCACAACAAGGGGAGGCCACGATCGAGACTTCTCGCATAGCCCATCGAAACATATATATATATATATATCGTCGGACGTGCAGGCATCTTTCCCCAAGCGCTCCGGGTGCCCACTTGGAAGCACAAAGTGGACATGCTTCTTCTCGACGCTGTGCATGGATACACGGCAGACGAGACAGAGGGGAGAAAGGGAACCCCCATGAAGCGCTACGCGCCGAGCAACTAATTGGGACCCATAGGGCCGCAAAAGTCTTGTTTTAAGAAAGCCCTGGAGCGTGAACTCTAGACTGAGAACACGGCGCATTCGCGGTTCGTCGACACGTCGATGGCGGAAAGCGGAGGATGTAGAAGAGGGCTGAGATAAAGAAAGGACGGAGACCTGGAGAAAGATGAGGTATGAGCCGTTGGACACGAAAAGAAGAGAGATACGTTAAAAGTGCGCGCGATGTGTTGAGACGCTTGGAAAAGAGACTTCGGAACCGAAGAACGAACAAAACCAAGCTAGGGAAGAAAGACACGCTAGGCAAAGGGAAGAGATGCTCGCAAACGATAACCGGATCGCGGCTACGAGAGCGGCGCGAATCGTCTTGACATATGGGAACGTACAACCTTGGGTGGTAATGACGCCGCCTTCGCGGAGGGCGGCGTGGAGAAGCTGGAAGTAGGGCTTCTGGAAAAGGCTCTCGGCGGGGCCCTCGGGATCGGAGGAATCGGTGATGATGACGTCGAAGTGGTTCTTGTACTCCTCGAGGAACTTGAAACCATCGCCAATGTGGACCTTGGACTTGGGGTGCTCAAAGCCGACAGCCATTCCGGGAAGGAACTGCTTGGAGAGGCGGACGACGGCCTATACAAAAGGGGAGAGCTCGTTAGTTTGGATTCCAAGCTTGCCATGGCCTAGGTCCTCTCTCTTTCTCTCTCTCTCTCTCTCTCTCTCTCTCTCTCTCTCTCTCTCTCTCTCTCTCTCCCTCTCCGTTTAGATGCAAAGTAGAGGAAGGGTGTCAAAGATCACTGGTTTACCTCATCAATGTCGCAGAGGATAGCCTCCTCGACACACTCGTGCTTGACGACCTCGCGGAGCACGCCACCATCTCCACCGCCGATAACAAGCACCCTCTTGGGATCGGGGTGAGAGTTCATGGCGAGGTGGGTAATCATCTCCTGGTAGGAGAACTCGTCGCGCTCGGTGCACTGGATGACGTTGTCGAGGACAAGCACCTTGCCGTAGTCGGTCGACTCAAAGATGAGCACATCCTGGTACTTGCTCTTCTCGTGGTGGAGGACCTCCTTGACCCTGAGGATCATGGCTTGGCCTACGGCGGGTTGTTAGTCGGCCTCGCATAAAGGCACACGGACATTGGCAGGGGGTGGAGCGGGTGCAGCTTCGGCCAGGGTCGGAGGCCCGGGCTTGAGAGCTGATCGGTTGATATGTATCCTTACCAGGCCACATCTCAGAGATCTCTCGGAACCAGCCATCTGCGCCGCGAAATCGTTAGCATCATTCACCATGTCAGGCTGACTATGAGTTAGGTGGACGGATTGGGTATAGCATCTCCTGTTCGTCGTCGATCACCCAATAAGGGAAACCCGCGATAGCATAGAGGGCTTTATTGAAGAGAAAGAAACAGGGAGGGGCCAAAAAGAAAAAAGGGTTGGAGAGCGCCGGAAGCTGCGCAGGATTCGCACAGCTCCCCACGAAGCAAGGCAAGGGACGAGATCATGAAATAGCTATGATCTCATGGCCCAATCGAACGGTCACAAGTCGAACAGACTGGATCTTGGACTCAGCCTGTCCTCGTCCGTGGCCATTCTCACTTCGCCAGGCCAAGAGGGATTGTGCCACCACACGGACGGTGAACCGAGACACTGCGATAGCCAGTGCGGGGCAAGGGGGTGGAGGGGCGGAACCACGACAAACGGCGCTTGGGAAAAAAAAAAACCCCTCCTACCCTCCAAACACTGACAATTCGAAGACAGCATGGAGGGCGTCAACAAGAAGAGACTGTCACGAACCTTTGATGGTGTGGTGGGTAATTTCCTCAGGCATAGTAGCGGTAGGTTTGTCAGAGTAGGCTCTGCTGCGGAAAGGTGCGAGCTGGGTGAAGCCGGAAACGGTGGTGGTGACGAGGGGGTGATGGTGAAGGGAAGGGATTCGGGATGGCAAAGACAGCACAGCTCGAAGTTTACAATATGAGGAGTTTACTTGCACAATGGCACTTGGCCGCAACAGAATTTTCATGTGCCCAGCGGGCCAAGGAGGCCCCATCGGGATTGTGCGCGGCGGTTTAAAATTTTTCGATTCGATGAATGTATTAATATGGGTCTTTTTTTCCCTCCCAAAGAACTCGGTTTTTAGTTGTCGCGTTCCTTTTAAGACGGAACTATCCGGCACCAGCCGAGAGCATTGCGGAAGGAGAACAGAACGAAAGCGGGAGAGAGGAAAGGGTGTCTGCATCGAGTAGTTCTTTCCTCATTTTTGGCCTTTCTTTTTTTCTTTTTTTTTTTTTTTTTCAAAGTTCTTTTTCTCCAGAGGGACGATGCAAAGGATGGCGCTTTCTAGATTTGTACTTGGTAGATAGATGGTGAATGGAATGAATCTATTGTATTCGTCGGAAGCGACCCTTTCCGTTGAATGCAACAAGCAAATGTCCTCCTCCTTTATTTTTCTTCTTTTTTTTTTTTTTTTTCTTGTCCACTTCGAGAGAGGCCACTGGACGAAAGGTGAATCTCGCTGACGCGAGAATAGTTCCAGCTTTTGTTCCAGTTGTCAAGGGTCAGCCTGGCATTGACGGGAATGCGCTCCTCCTTCCCGAATGGAAGAGATTCAAGCAAACCCACCATTAACACCGAGACCCTGTTATAATGACAATAATGACAAGATACTTCCAAGTTCCCTCCGTATTCCGTACCTACCTCGACAGTAGTGGGCAACCAGCACAAGTTTGACAAGATCTTGTCCCGTCAACCTGGGAGACGACTGTCGCCCAACCCAGCCCAGAAAGCGGCTCCTCCCTCCCCTGCGAATGCGACTCTGCGACTCTCTGGGCAGCCACTTCTCATGGCAGCACCCATGGTTCTCGCAAATCTGGTCCTCTAGTACGAAGTATTATTATTAAGATTGCAACGGGCGAGATTTGAGACTTCTTCTCCCTCTTCCCTCCCGCAAACCACACCCGATCTGACAGGCCTTCCGTCGGACCGGCTGGGCTTCTCACCACATGTACTCCTACCTGAATTCCTAGGGATGGATCTACAGAATGGTTGTTAGAGATAGACTATTTCTCGTACACCCTCGTACACCCTCGTACACCCTCGTACACCCTCGTACACAGCTTGGAAACCCTAGGGAGGGACCGTTGCCGATGAAGCAAAGTGTAAATGGCACTTGGAGGATACTCTGATCAGTCATACGGTTCCCACTTCAATGACAGAAAGATCCAATCGAAACAAAGGCTATTACCCATAAGATTTTGGCACCACTGGCTTGTACGTCTTCGTAGAACAGAACTCCACCCCTTTTACCTTTTTTGACATGCCCAAACTGCCCTCCATTAGCCCGCCCCCGGGCTACGGCCAAAAGCCCGCTTTGCCCCGTCCAACTCCGCCCGCTCTGCTTTGTGTGGCCTGCCTACCCACGTCATTGCCCGATCCGGCACGCTTGCTAACATCAGTCATCACTCGCCCACGGAGTGCAGCGTGCAGCACCGCAACACAGAGGGCAGGCTCTCCAGAGCATCGGTTTCGCCGGCTCATTCATGCACCCGGCATGATTGATCCAAAGAGTTGAAGGGAGAGAGAGGGAATGTCTCTTCCCGGTGCTTGAACTTGCCATCATGCAAGCATCGCCCAAAGTTTAAAAAGGGCATCCATGGTGACAAGTATGTTCGATGCTGGGGCTGAAGCAGACCCTGAACCGAAGCAGCCACCACGCGCGAGCGCGCGCGCGACGTACGCACGCACACACACCTATTGTGTCGGTCCGCCCGGAATCCAGCGGCCAGGCTCTTGCTCATTGCCTAGCGTTGTCTCGCGCGGACCCGAGCCATGGGAGCCAACTAGTCCTTTTCCGGCACGGTGGCCCATGGTTTGCGCCTCCCAACAACATCATGAGCCTCTCCTCGGATCTGGCGTGGGAACTCGCATTGTTGGGCTGGACATGCTCATCCGGCTATATGCAAACCCCCTCGCAGCCAATTTTTTTCTTTTCCTTCTCCATTCAACCGCCGTGCACAGCGATCCTGCTGATCTTCTTTGTTGATCCTTTTAGCGGGTCTTTATCTTCGAACCGCACGCTCTTCTCGGCGCATTTTTAGACAAGTCGTGGGCCGTACCCCACTCCCGCCGATGGCTTGAGACTTGAAAGGAAAAGTGCTATTCCGAGTCACTCCAATGTTAAACCAGGACGCTGCCACGGGAGTCCTTTGTTGCCTCCCTGGGAGCTTACCAGAAGGTTAACGCCTTGGTGGTGGCCCTTGTTCGGTTACGAGGAAGGGCACTATTAGTTCCGTAACTCGCCCCTAGCCTACACTATATTATAAGCCCCGTCGTCTTAAAACCTTGCAGGTCCATTCGTGGACATGGTGTGAATGAACAATCCTCTCTCCTCGAGGCCATGTGCTGTGCCATGATGCCTTGGTCACAGCGCGCCTGGAAGAAGGAGGAAAGGTTAAACATAAGAAGAAATTTTTTTGCATGACCCAGTCCCCCTGCCATTACATAGAGTACCGTGTTCTTCGGTGAGTGGCGCCAAAACATCCATTGTTGACCACCCACTCCTCTCCGCTGCTCGGTAGATCCCGACAGGTTAGCAGACTTCGAGATCTCTTCGGTGAAGGCCCGGGAAACAGTGGCGGAATTTCCCCGAAAATAAAACCCTTGAGAAGGCGCTATCAGGATTGGAGTGGGGTCTAGTTGGTACAAGTAGCATCGGGCCTGGTTACCTCTATTTCCCTTTCCAACGATGTTCTTCCTCGATCTTGTTCTGTCGTCCCATGGGCCTGGCAGGAATCAATAGTTTCTCGTTGTGCCCTGAATCTTCAGCTTGGTTGAGTCAGCAACCACCCTCAATAATACCTCAATGGTCGTGTCCAATCCCACCCCAGGCGACCTCAGCACCCCCCCAGGCGAACTCGTCCTGTACCTCGGTAGAAAAATCAATGAACTTGACGCCGTACGTGTTACAAGACTGCTTCTTCCCAGTCTCGTCCATCCTTCTGTCTTAAAGCATAATGCCCGCTGATAATACCAAGGCCAGTAAAACATCAGAAAACTAGTGAGTGGATACACTGAACAATCCGTGATATAGTCTAGATATACTCGGTATTTGACCTGGTATGACCCAATTTACCCTTTTCGGGTAGCTCCACGGGTCCTCAGCAGAGTTGAATGTGAGCTTTCGACACTAGAAGAACGGCAGATGCTGCGTAGTGCGACGAGAACCTGCACGGGTCAAGAAGCTGGGGGCCCTGGCAGTTGGTCAAGAGCTGGCGTGCTGGCTTGATTGAAGCCGGGCTGAACGACTTTGTATCATCAAATCAACCGAACCAGTATGATTCTCAACTAGCCATTAATGGTCGCGGTTCGTTCCGATATGAAAAACATTGATGAGACCCATCATCCCGGGTAATGCCATTGTATTCTCTTTCTCTAGCCTTTCCATATCTTGAAATTACGCGACAAACAAGATGTCATAGAGCCAATGGCCAAGATCCCGTACCGGACACTGGCCCCTCCAGCACCGTAGTCTTCACATGAATGAGCCCATCCTGCTACGCTCGGAGGAACCACTAACCAGCACTAACAATCCGGTGGCCTTGACCCCACCCAGGGGCGACCTCGATATCAACACCGCGATTGATACCTTGGCGACGCCTGGACTTGGACCACTCGCTACATTTACCTGAGCCAGTCATTTCGCTATAAATCCGCCTTGATCGCAAGCCACCTAGGCGTGCCAAGAACCGCCAGACGCCGATGCTGTGCCCGGGAGAGATGCACGAGCTCATGGCCCCTTGCCCCCGTGCCTGGATCTCGCTGGTCTGATTCGAGTCGTTGTTCCTTTGACAGAAAACGCCGAGGCCCCTCTTCCTTCTCGACTCTCTCGACGCACTGGTTCCACCCCCAGGATGTATGCCGTAGCCATGTTCTGACGTTTTTGTCTGCCAAGCGGAGCGAGAGGGGTGCTAAACAGTAGTTCCATCCAAGGCCCGCCAAAACCTCATCTTGAAAAGAAAGGGCCCAAACCCCTGGTCTCCATCATGACAGATCCGAGTCCGTCCCCCACGTTCCTTGCACCATTTCCCCTTTTCCGTCGTTAAAACCTAGGATGCATGGTTGAAAGCAGTGCCACACGTAGCAGAAGGGCAGGGCCTGCCTAGCTACTGCAAAAGACCTCGTTCTCAAGCTCCGTCCCTTGCCCTAGCGTGTTGCGGCTAGGGAGTGAAGACACACTCGTCAACCACGCCGGCACCACACCGCTCTCTCCCTGACCTACTGGTGCTTTGTCGGGATTCAGAGGGGGGCTATTTTGGTGCCCTGGGGACCGGAGCAGTCCCCAATGATCCGTGATGGACAACAGATCGACGACACACAGACCGCCCTTCCCGCTCGGCCGCTGAAACCCTCTGGATCAATACAGCCCATGGGGTCTGTATGAATCCTTGCCTCTTCTTCTTCTTCTTCTTGAAATTCCCTTTTATGAAGTGTTATCACAGCATCTTCAAACCCTACGATAATGGTCAAGCCTTACTCCTCTAGTCTGGCCTAGCCTGCTTCATGTTCTCCTTGCCCTATGGCTCGACGGAGGGAGGGGCCCTCCCGGAACTTGATATTGTGTATCCTTCAAGGTTGCCACCGGCTCGGTCCTCACTTTTGAGTTCTGCCTTGAGGAGATTGAGCTGTGCAGACTACAAATTATAACCATGCCTGTCAACAGCCATTCAAATTCAAGCTCAGCCAAGCCATGCTGTACCACGTACTTGTACGTCAAGGACACATGCAGGAGCCGCCAGCCATGTGGTGGAAAATACAAATCTAATCCTCGAGGAAGACAATATCCGCTAGGATTGCAGACTGTTGGACCACATGTTTAAATGTGAAATGTGTGGCAATAGTAATAGTGCACAGGCAGTGTACGGAGGACATACAAGTACACTACGCTGCCAGAGATTACGACAAGGAACACGCGCAAGGACGCTTGAAGCTGAGAGGACCGGACTTTTGCCGGGTCGAGGTGGAGCG